CAAAAGTAACGTATTGGCCCCTGGCATTACCGATAACTGGTGTTTCGATGACTTCAGTCATGACGAATATATATATCAGGATATGACAAAGTCAACAATCCATCTGAGAGGATTGAACTGAAAAGGACGAGCAAGTTGTTCTTATATAGTTTTCGGAGGATCCCCTTGTCACTCGCTCGTAGTTGTCACTCGCTCGTAGCTGCCCTCAACCGTTTGGTCTGACCGTCTCTATCACTGCTTATCAGCTCTTTTGTCTTATCTATTCATCTGCCATTTAATGTCGTGCCCCTTTCTCCTCTGGACAACCTTAGTTAAATTCATAAAAATAATGATCTTAAACAGCTGCTTGGAATGCGAAACACGTTTGCTGACGGTGGTCCCTTGCCTAACAGGTTGTCTGCTGATTCCATCATCAGAAATGCTGATCCGAGACTTGAATTCTTCTGTAGCATTGGAACTATTATGGCTGTTTCTGAACTTTGGCAGACCTTCTAGGCATGCCGTGGCAATATCTCTGTTGATATTTCAAGACATTTTTTGTAACCGTATCTTGAAACATGCTAGTCCCATAGTGTTAAAACATTGTGAGGTTACTGATTGGGGGTCTTTCATTAAGGATAATGGCACAATTACTTCGGGTGACTTATTTTTTATAGATGTCGCAAAAAAACGGACGCCATTGAAAAAGCAAACACAATTTGGATTCCGTAGATAAGTTCTGATGTCAGAATTTGGTAAAAAAAACATTATATATAAAGCTATAAGGGTAATATCTCAGTCCTCTAGGTCTCTGATTCCTCAGTCTCCATGTCCTCAAAAACAACTATAGAAAAATTCTTTCTCGCATATAAATACCAGTTTGCCATAGTGAGGAGAAGGGTGATGCACAGCACAACAACGGTATAGTTCATACCATTTGCAGTAACTGGAACATACGATGGCACACACAACCACGCCGCACCGAAAAGGTACCAGACGCAACAGATAATGTTCATTGGTTTTCCCCATCTTCCCAGGTTGAACATTGGCTTCACACCTTTGCCATATCTGTCCTTCTTGAAACATAAGGCAGCAAAAGGAATAAGATACCCCAGATACATGGCAGAGACACAAGATCCACACACAGCATTCAAAGCTGCACTCGAACAAAAGTAAAGGAGTCCAATCACAGCCTCTGTAACGCTAACAAATACAATTGCCCATATAGGAGCGTTCAGTTTGGGGTCGACTGCTCCGAAAACTTTTTGACCATATGGAATGCTTCCAAAATCGGCAAATGCCATCAAAAGACGACTAGCAGAAGTTACAACTCCAACACTCGCAACCGCGAATCCAATAGATATGATCAATGCACAGGTAAGGGCCAAACCATCATTGCGAAGCGCGTCCACAAAGAGTTGGTAAAGGGGGATACCACCAATAGGGTCAAGGAGGTTGTCAGGATTCACGATACAGAAATTGTAAACCAAGATAGCAACCAGTCCCATAAAAAAGGAAGCAGTGTAACCGTATGAAATCACAATAGGAATGTTTTTTCTTGGATTTGGCGTTTCATCTGTCATGTGACAAGCACCATCAAAAAGGGTTAGAGAACCAGCGCATGGCAGAATACTGATGAAAAACACAACTCCTTTTGAGTCCCATCCTGTTAGATTGGTCACCTCAGTAAAAGCAAACGACGCCGTTTGTTTTGGATGAGCTCTTACCAGCAGAGACACCAGAATAAAAAGCAATCCGAGGTTGAAGATATAGTTCACAACCCTGGCGATAATAGGGATGAACCTTGTGCCCCAAACGTTGACCACGGCTGACAACACGGTATTGGCCAAGAAAACCAGGTAGTAGTGGAACACTTTCGACTCATAGCCTGGGTTTTGCATATAGGCCATACCGATAATAAGGTCAGCAATAAAGAAACTAGTCGCAGTAGCTGCAAAAATCCAACAAGCACACGTAAGAATACCACTGGTATAAGCGAGAAATCTTGCATACTTCTTTGGAGCAAATAGATAAGTCCAGTAAACCATAGCGGATGAATGAGGGTTAACAGAAGCCATTTCTGATATAGAATAGGCAATAAGCAAGCAGAAAAACCCGGTGAACAAGTATGAGTAGAAAAAGAACGGAGCTCCACCAACACCGATGACTGTTGAAAGGTAGGTTCCAAGAGTAAGTGGGGTAGCAATGGATGAATAAACAATTCCGACCACACTCCAGACATCAAAGTTTCTCTCTAGGCCTTCTTTGCCATGGAGCTCATCAATCCTAGCAATCTCACCTTCCTCAGTATCAACAATTTGGACCCGGGTGCTGGCTTTGAGGTCCTTTTCTTGGAGAACGGAGCCATCATTTGAGGACGACATTAAACGTGTATTGAAGTGTGAAGGTTATAACATCATAATAATGCATTTTGATCAGTTGGCCTCACAACCCTGTATTAATATAATAAATCAGTTTGAATGTAGCCGTATAAAGAGACCCGCGTTTTGCATCAGCAGCTCGAGATAAGAACAAAATACTTGGTTACCGCACATAATTTCGCTATCGATTACTCACTTTTCTCTTAGATACTGCTAGATGATAAGCACCAAATTATTTGGTAGCACACACATGTTCGCTATCGATTGCCCAGTTTCATCTGAGGCACTGGATTGTGAGATAAGAATCATTATCAGTGATTAAATTGGGATCTGATGAACCAATTGTCAGCCATCTCTTGACAAGCATTTGAGTCAAACTGAGAGGTCAAATCTCCCAACAATAATCGTCGGGATGGTAATCAATTGTTGATACAGTGACAACGCATGCACGGTTTGCTAAAACTTTCGTTGCACAGCATTTGTGCCTGTATCATCTAGTGGAAGCTGATGGGAAAGAGTCGATGAGAAAAATAGGCTTCGTATTGAGAGAGACAAACTTGGGAACGAAGGTAAAGAAAATCAAAACCACAGTATTCAGATAAGAACTTTATTTCAATTTTCATCAGTTTAGACCCTCAAACCTCTTTTCAAAAGAACTGATTACATATGATTCATGGTCAGATTATGAGCGACCTCAGCTGATCATGACTGATCAAAAGCCAGTTCGCTGGGATATACACCTGAAGCTTTGGAATCCTTCAAGCCAAAAACAATGACGAGTCGACTTCCCGTATAACAGACAACCAGCTAACCTGATCACCATTTTCTCTTCTATCCCAAACCGTCTTTATGACGCGAATACCCCGCTTCACTGTGTCCACGCAGTACTGCTCAACTATATTGAGCCATTCTGTAACTCTTGCTTGAGAACTGAGAGAGGTTGCCTCGCAACAAATAATAAAAACTGGCCAAAACAACCCGAGTCCCGGGAACTTCTTTGAGATGTCTTGGTATATTTCCATGTGGTCAATTCCAGAGCTCACCAGATCTTGCAGGTTGTGCGCATCTTGCATCTTCACTTCCCTAAAGAACAGCAAGCTAATGGCAGTGTAGAATATAAAAGACTGGTGGTGTACTATCAACGAGTTCAGAGAGTCGAGGCTGGCATTGAATGCTGGAGGCTCACAGTTTATCAGCTCCTGCTGAATTTCAGAGACTTCTTGTTCTTGTCTCTCCGCTGCGTTCGCGAACTGAAGATATTTAACTATGCGTGTCAAACACTTCATCATACCTGGCGTGACTCCTGAGTTGCGATACACAAGTGATTCCGTCATGTTGTCTTCTGGAAACCTCATGAACTCCAAATCCTGCACTGTTAGGTTCTTATTGCAAACATCATCACTGAGCAGATACAATGTGCTCTGCAGGTACGACAGTCTCGTCATTTGAGAGAAAAATAGCAATGCACTGGATAATCCTTCCGGGTCGCCTTGTCCTGAGATTAAGATGCCACCATCCGAATCGCTGATGGTTTTCAGAGCCGATACAGCACCTCTCAAATGTATCTGCCACTCATCTGAGCTATTGAAAGCATCAGATACCAACAGAAAATATATGGACCCAACCAAGAAAATCAATTCTTCAGTAGTGCAAAGTTCTTTCCACGAGTATTTGTCAGAGACGAAACCGAGAGCCCTGATTTTGTGAAACTTGGCGTACTCGCGGAAGTTGGTCCCTTGGTACTCAGGGGCTATAAAATTCTGATCAGCACTGGTAGATAGAAAACCTGAACAAATTGCACAGAGAGTATGGAAGATCCCCCTCTGAATATCAGCAGGATGTGGTTTGTCAAGTGCTTCCTTCAACAGCAAATTATTTGGATTCACCTCAGTTTCGTCCACCGGTGTAAGAGACTTGCTGAAATAACGGTCCCAGAAACAAAGCAGAGCAATTTCGATTTCCAAATTTGGGCGTACACCCACAAAAGAGGTCTGTTCCAGTCTTTCTCGTATTTTGCCAGCAGTTCCCATTGCGATTACTTCAGAAGAGGGATCCACCAAAGCATTTCCAATTTCCACCTTGCTAGAAACACTGAAAACAGTGAACGGACCATAGCCGAACTCCTTACTAGTCTCCAGATTTTTGGAAGTAAGAAACCCCGAAGCAGTTTCAATCCTATCCAATGAGTTCTCAACCTGTATATCGTCCAGTAGTTGGTTCTCCTTCCACTCATACAGCATGAGACTTCGGGTTTTCTGATATCTGCGTTCAGATAAAGGCGCGTCATTGTTACCCCAGCATAGTTTCACCATGTAACCCTCACACTTGACCCTGTGGATTACGCAGTTCTTGCATCCAGGTCTGCTTTCATCGCATCGAACTCCACGCTTTCTACAAGTCCAGCAACCCGTAAACCTCTTTGTTCTCCTGGTGGAAGTTCCATATGTCTTAGACATGAATACTTGTTTCGGTACTGGTTTCAAAAAGCGAGGTCCATTACGAATAATGAGGATGTCATTCTTCACCTTTTTGAAGTTGGTCGCGCCGATTGGGTTCACGTGAGATATGTGCATTCCCTAAATCTCGTTATCAGTTGCCATTTGAACATCGATTGCAGCTACTTGCTTATCTTCCAATCATTCCAATCCCAGAGCCCCAGAAACTTTGAACGTGAAATGAATGTATGGTGGAACTATTATGGGATTCTGCAATGGATCTCCCATGGTTTTGACGACTCTTATTCAAGATAGTACGTTTACCCTTGATTTGCAAGATCAGCCGAAACTGCTTTTATTAGTTCTGCTGCTCCTAAAAGCACGGTTAACATAATTAATATTTGATTTCAAATATAAACCATACTAGAAAATGCCGTTTACAATCAAATCGACCATTATCAATCCTCAACGAGGTAAACTCCTTGAAGTGCGTAAACTCGTAATCAGCCTTGGGGAGCAATATCTTGATGGGGTCTGCATTTTCGTGCCATCCACAGAAAGGCTGACTGGTTTGCAAACCGGGAGCAGCAAGGGCTGGAATGGATAACGACTTGAAGTACTCAATTGGGGTTCCAGGAAGATATTCTTCTCTTGTCTGAGAGTACCCTGTGTCATAAACAGAAAAGTGACAATCCTCGGTTCATCTTTGATGGTGTTTGCACTACCTCCGTGATAACAGGAAGCCAGCATAAAAAACAATCGCCTTTTTCTAGTTCAGCATAAAAAATCGTCCTCTTCATTTGAAGAAAGATAATGATCCCACAAGTGAGAGCCAGGGATAAATCTGGTGGCACCATTTGCCTTGTTGGTCCTTCTCACTGCCACTGCGGTACCAACAGCAGTCTCTGTTCCAAATAAGTATTTCTCCCGATATGGTCGTACACTGTGATGCAAATAATCGTCTCTGTGCAAGGGCTGGTCCTTAGAGCCAGGTCTAATTGAAAAAGTGATACATTAGTTGTGTTGAGCCGTGGAAAAGCCGGTAATCGCTTCCTCTCCAATTCTGAAAACGTTCTCTTTACCCAAGAACCTATTGGAAACTGCTAAATTCAGAGGGTGGATGAACATCTTCTCAGCAGCAATTCTGAGCCTCAAACAGGTTCCACTCGCACGACGCGTAGTGGGAGAGATGAAACTACTTGCATCTCCTGAATTTGAGAACGAATTTAAACGGGGAGAGATGTCTTTAAGAATTTGGTCGCAGTCTTCCTCCAGGAGATAGTTTCTAACAATACACCCACTGTAGAGTTTGAGTATCTCCTCAATCTTCTCGGGGTTGCTGGCTCGGAAACAATCAAATCTTCTTTATTCAACTTCAAGACCCTAGTGTCGCCACTATTAGGAAGTTTGATGATTGGTCTTCCATCCTCGGTCACTTTATTCAAGTGTTGGATGTTGAACACTGATGAGGTAATAATTTTGGTCATGATTGGGGCTTAAATTCCTATTCTATTTTCCCTTCATTTGAGAAACGCGGAAGCAGTCGAGGATCATTCTTGAGCTTAAATAGTGCCGAACGGCATCCTTGAACTTTTTGATAACAAGTTCGGAAATCTCAAGAGAGGTTGAATAGATAGTGCGCAATTTCTAGCTACAAATGCCCGGAGATCCTGCATACCCTTCAAACAGGCGCCATTTGCCGCAGTGAGGCTTTCAAAAGCTCGTTCAACCCCCGTTTTTTTGGAAGAGCCTACAGGTCGTGTCCCATCTTATCTCTATCGTTATCTCTTGATAAGGACTAGAGATCTCCCTTAGATTAGCGATAACGAAAAGAAACGTGGTAGAGCATTGTATGCGTTGTTGTTGTTGTTGTGTAAAACCTATATGAATCGCAACAATTATTTTCAGTCAAGTTCTGACATACTAATATCGATAGCTAAATACATCTTCATAGGCTTCATGCAGTTTCATGAATAGACTCGGTTTGAAGTATCCAAATTAAGAATCTTGGCCACAGTCACAATAGGCTTGTAAACAACGATTAGAATCCTTTGCAGTTTTGACACTATCATGAGCATAGTTTGTCATATATCAAGTTCTCGCAATGATTGGAAATCTGGGAGTGTTGCACTCGAAAGGGGCGGGGTGCAGAATACAAACACTATATTTTTTACTCTTTGTGCAATTCTTCAAAATTTAACCTATAAAATGAAAGTCCTGAATCAAGGTTTAATTTGTTACGGGCATTGTGAATCTCAATAACTCAACTACAGCAATCCAAAGTATGTTGAGCAGCTGTTCCAAACCACACACACATAATCTTCTGCCCCGTGTTCACCTCATCCGAATTGTAAAAAAATGGCATCAAGTATCCCAGTCAAAATCCCACCAAATTGTTCACGTTGCTAGCCACCGCCACAGTTTTTGGCACCAATCTTGAGGATGGGATTTCCACCGTAATAGCATAGGCGTTGGCTCCAACAGTGAATTGGTAAACAAATGACCACAAACACACAAAAACCACTAGAACATAACCGGCGGTAGTCGAAGATGCCAAAGACATGCTCGCTGTGAGAAAATAGCACACACACAAGAAAAACACTCCGTAGACAAACAACTTCCTTCTAGGAACCTTCTCCAAAATAATATACGACAGGAGTCCACCCACGGCAATCGTCGTAACCCCCACGGTTTTTTTATTGGAAGATGAATTCCGGCGTTTTCAAAGAAAAAGTTGATATGAGAAAGAACCAAAGATAACCCCACCCATTGTTGTCCTGTAATCACAGCCGTCACTATAAAAGTTCTCTAGAATTGAATTCCCTCGTCTGTGAGCGTTTCAATCTGGCGTTCGTTGATAACATCTCGACCTGGTGTGATGAACACGGGATCTCACTTGCAAGCCACATGATGCATGAGGAAGACCTTTTGACTCAGACTGAGGCACTAGGGGAGGCAATGAGATCGTATAGAGCTTTTCGTCTTCCGGGTATTGACATGCTTCAGGACAAACACGAGTACCACACTGCTAAGTAGGCTCGATCAGTGAGTCATCAATATGGCAGAGAGGGTGTTTTATGCGAGGCTTATGGTGTGACTACACGTTCCAGAGCCACAAGTCTCAGGGTCGCAAGTCTCAGGGTCACAAGTCTCAGGGTGATTGGCTGGCTGCGCTGGGAGTGACCTTGAGAGCTCACCATCTTACATGGGTGTCAATGCGAGGTCCATCCAAGAGGGATTTCCCAGCCAGTGTTGGCTACCAATCTCCCTGGTATGAGGAGTATTCCCTGGTGGAGAGTCATTCTGCCAGGCTCAACACCGCCCTTACTTGTGGTAAGGCAGTTGTCAGAATTGGTGTTATTCATCCATTGAGAACTACTGATTGGCTTTTGGGCCATGTCAGACTTCTGACCCTGAAAGACAGGAACGCATGGACAACTTCAATCACTTGACCAAGTGGTTAATGTATAGCTTGCTTGATTTTGATTACATCGCAGAGTCATTATTGCATGATTTGAATGATTTGGACAAGATTGGTGATAAGTTCGAAGTGGGTTCCATGACCTACAATGTCATAGTCTTTCCTTCTGCAAAAAACCTGAAGAAGATCATTCACGACTATTTGCTGAATTCTTCATCCAATGGTGGTAAGGTGACTATCATGGGTGAAACTCCTTCTCTGGTTGACATCACTCCTGAGCCAGAACTTATCTCCAAACTTGTTGCAAAAAGTGAGTTTATTCCTTTCACTTATGAGGCCTTCCACGAGTCCTTGTTGCCTTTCAGAGAAAGTATTCTTGGGTTTGTTGATCCAAAGGATCCATTGTACTTGCTCTACACTCGTTACAAGGGGAGCATTCTATACAATCTGAGAGAGGAATCAGACGGATCCAGGTGGTTGTTCAAGTGCAACACCGACAAAGTTCAACAGAGACCTAACGCTTTGATCACTTTGAAGGGAACCTGGGATCTAACTGGATTGGACACTATCAATGGTGGCAAGTTTGCGAAATCTTCCAGAGCAGAGGCTATTCAAGTCACTGTTGGGCAAACGAGTTCTGAGCTTATTTTAGCAAAGCCTGTTGGGTTCACTTTGGAAGACCCCAACCCACTTTTGCTTGACAGAGCCTTTCACAAGTTGCCCGATGATACCTGATCAGAGAACGACAAGGAGCTTCGCAAACTTGAAACATTGTACGTGGAGAATATGGGATCCCAAAACAAGAAATCATCACCATCCAAGCATACTGTGTTGAGGATAAGAAGACCCTTCCCTCAAGACGTGTCTATTTGAGGATCGAATTTGATTCAGAAACTGATGTGGCACATTCTCACCTTGCCACAAAGCACCATTCTTCGTCAAACTTCTCTTTTGATTCTAAACTGCAAGTCAAATTTGATGGAAAGGATGTGGAGGTCAAGGAAGATGACTTCTCTGTGATATCGCAAAAATCAGATTGCCGTTTTTCAAAGCTGGACACCATGTAAAAGATTATTCCATCATTTTCAACGATTTCAGTAGTTGGAATGGTTGTATACTTTGGGCAACTTCGGTGTCAAACTGACGGGTAGATTTGCTACCATTCTCGGTTTGCCAAAAACCCTGCCTGTTGGTGATTATGCTTTGCGAAGTATTCCTTTCCACGGAGGAAGCTTGACATACAACTTTCCCGTGGCAGACTCGAAGATTCCAGAAGGCAAAAAGCACTTTTTGAGAGTCGCCGAGTTCAAAGGACCAGTTGTTGAAGTTTCCCTGCACGATAAACGTGTTGGCGTGATTGCGTTTGACCCATTCAAAACCGAATTACCAGATTCGTCCAAAGACTCCAAAACCTTGCAAATAAAGGTTTACGGAGACCGTGATAATACCTTTGGTTCGTTGCACAACAACAACCCACCATATCCATTGTGTTGGCCAGGAGCATGGAACGAAATTGGAAATCGGTGGACCTATATATATAGACTTGGTCAAAAGGTATTGGCGAACCATCCACAGATCATTGGCGTTTGAGGAGAAAAAGTGAACAGAGCCACGGAGCTTTGTACACTGTTGCAACTAATAAGAGCAGTTCAAAAAGTTTTTAGATGTACTTGAAGAAAAGTTCAAGAGTGTCGGAGAGTGTGATCTGTTGAACCAGCGGAAAATGCTTCCTTGTTTTTTTTTTTTTTAGATCACCAGCAAAATTAATAGAGGTCCAATTCATTGCTGTGACTACGACTATCTCCCCTAAGCAGAGCAAGTTCTAGAGCGAATCATCTGATAACTCTTTCAGCCTGACCTTACCCACTTGTACACACTGCTCATCCCTCGGCACTCTCGGAAATTAAGATGGCGCTATTATATGAAAGAGGAACTATCTGCGCATCTTTTAGCTGACTTTGTGCGCAGTATCAATAAGACCCTGTGCCATGCAGGTCTGAGGAAACTTTATCCACGTATCCTGTCATTCTAAGAACCGATTCCTGTTGGTCCACGCCCTTTCTTGCATGATGTCTCTGTAGCTGTTTTCAGTTGAAAAAGCCCAGAATTGCCTGTAGTAAGAATCGCCAACAAATAGAATCTCAGTGACCGCCGCTTGGAGCTCTAGATAGGTTAAAACTATCCGACACATGCAAGTGGCCTAGCCAGACTTTCGTGTGCGATCACACAGTTGCTTTTTTTACCCTCTTCAAACCCCAAGCCAGCTAGAGGTTACCATTCAAAGGCGATATGACGTGATCATCACTCAAGGGAAGAGAATATCATGCTGAATATTTTTGATCAGTTCTCGGTTATTCACACATGTCATCGCCATAGATATGAGGTATGTAATTTATTTTGCCGGGTGCCTACGTAATGTGGCTGTGGCTCGATGGGTTAGCGGGAACGGAATAAAATCCGTTTCCGTAAGCTCATGCATGATTTAGGTGATAACGGTACAAAGTTGGTGCACAGTGCTGGCCACAAAATGGTGTGAATGAGATGATTGAAAAAAAGCAGGGATATATAGATCCCAGCATTTCGCTCGGATTCAGTTTCCTTTGAATTTAATTTTTAAGAATCAAGATTTGTTCAATGTCGTCCGGAGAGCCATTGATCATTGCAGTTATAGGTGGTGGTGTAGCTGGGCTCACGCTAGCATTGGCAGCACACCAACGCGGAGTTCGGGTCGATGTTTTTGAAAGAAATGCTGAAATCACGGAGGTGGGAGCAGGTTTAGCTCTGGGTGCAAATGCGGTGAGAATCATCGAGAGTCTAGGAATCAAAGACGAGTTCCGGGCAATCTCATCTCTTTCCACCAACCAGGTTCAAAACATTTATCGGAGGTACAACACCTCCGAAGAGTATCATCGTGGATTATACTCTAATCCCGATGATCATTCTGCGTACCATCACAGGGCTGATTTTGTCAAACTTCTAGCCTCTGCTATTCCCTCTGACCAGATTCACCTGAACAAGAAGTTTAAGTCTGCAAACCAAAGCCAGGACAAAGTGACTGTGGCTTTTGAGGACGGTAGTGAATTTGAGGCAGACATTCTTGTTGGAGCAGATGGTATCCATTCTAAAGTTCGCAAGTACTTTTTCCGTGATGACAACCCTGTCAATTCTTATCAGGTCATGTACCGCGAAGTCATCGACATCAAAGATTTGAAAGGTCCTTTTGAGAATGATTTGTCCCAGACCACAATTTGGCCTGCTCCGGGGAAACGTCATGTTGTGACATTCCCCATTGACCAAGGAAGAAGGTTTGCGGCTGCTGCGATTGTTCCGGTCTCCGAGGACAAGAAGGCAGAAGAATCATGGCTTTTAGATGGAAACGTTTCAGATCTACTTGAAATTCTTGATGATTACCACGAGGATGTTAAAAACATTTTCCGGTCATTCAAGAAAATAAAAATCTATGGCTTGTATGACAGGGAAAAGCTTGATACATGGGTTGACGGCAACGTTTTGCTGATAGGCGATGCCGCTCACCCCGGCCTACCACACCAGGGTGCTAATGCAGGGCAAGCTATTGAGGACGCGTATGCGCTTGCAATTACATTAAAGTATTCTGAAGTTGATGACGACAGAAGAAAAAACTTAAACAAATGGCTGAAGGTTTTTGAAAGAGCAAGAAAAGATCATGCAGAAGGTGTTGCCCTCACTTCAAGAAGAATGGGACATGTTTTCAATGAGCTTGTGGACAACGAAAAGGCCGTGAAGATTATTAAGGATAATTTCCGCTGGATTTTCAACAGTGATCCATCAACTGAAGTTCAAAAGGCTGTTTTTGAGTATTTTGGCTATGAGCTGGCTTTCAAGCTGATAGAATAGATTGCTTAGTTTTTAGTGAATCTTCTAGTGAATCTTCATGTTATTTCAGGTCTGTAGCGAAGAACTATTCACCAATATTATCCTTTCCTACGTTCTTGTTCTTCTATCAGAAATTCAAATAAAAACTTGTCATCCTTGATATTCACAGACCACCTGATTCTGCGTTAAACCCCCAGCTGGTTATCCTCCATGAACAGAAGTTCCTTCGACGCTGTTCATCAGTAAACTAGTGTGATAAAACTACTGAAATGTACAGAACACATCACTCGATTTATCCCAGCAACTTTTCCTTACATAACTCGTATTCTCTCAGGACAAAAGGCGAATGCAGTGTAAAAGGCTGGATCTTCAACAAGCAGTCAACAAATGTGGATCTCTCCATATTTAAGAAAGAAAACCGATCTTTGCGATGTTTCTCCAGCTCAGTTCTGGGGTTTCTGGTAGATTCTTCGCGGTAGCTAGCAATATACCTGAATTTCTCAATCAGCATTAACACCTGCATAGCCTCGTGACATATAAGTGGAGTTAGATCTGAGATAGAGAGTTGAAGGAAATCATTGACGTAATGCGACATTGATGTCATGCAATTCTCCAATATCCCTGCAATTTTCAAACTTGAGAAGCAAAGATTGGCCTGGTGAAAGTACTTGATTTTCATTAACAGTAGCCTTGCCACCGATATGACCGAAAGGTGATAGTTCAACCTGACAAGCAGAAGTTCCAAATTGCATTCAGAGTTGGACTTAATTGCACTCCTAGGATGATAGTCGTTCCACTGGAGCTCAAGAGGCAATGAACATCTCCAAATCTGCAATGAATCACTGTAATTCTCTATTTGCTCAAGTACCTCATCGAATGAGCTGGAATTGACACTTGGGATAATAGCGGTTGCCCTTCCCCTAATATTCGTTAAGCTCACAATGGACATAAAGCAGAAAGCATAAATGGAATCCTTGTCTCGAAACAGGTTCTGTCTGCAGCCTTTGGGAGTGTTCACTTTTTCCTGCAACTCTGCCAATCGAGAGATTTTCAAATTGAACACTCCTGCAATTTCTCGTTCCAGATGTAATATAATCCAGAAATATCGAAGCAATGCCTCGGAAAGGGCATTGTTAGACTTAAGCATTTCTGGTTCGACCTGAATGTAGTAGGTAAGCACATCAAATAAGGCGTCAGATGCAAGTCTTAATTCCTTCCAATGATTCGAAATATTGCAAATCTTAAGATAATAGATGGAAGATAGTAGTCGCACCGCGACCACGTTAACACTTGGCTTGCTCACTGATATTAGTTTCTCCCTTATACCCAGCACCATCCAAAAGTATTCCCATCCAGGGGGAATGTTTTCGATTTTGGCAACTTGCTTATCTTGGTACTCGGAGGAATACCAAAACTCATGGAACTTGTTAATTTTCTGTTCTCCTAACGTTCCTACTCTCTCATTTGCTGCATTCGGGTTGACTGCCGAGCCTACAGCCAAGATTAACAGAAAAATACAACTAGGAAAACTTGTCGTCAAGCCTTCACTGGTGACTTGGGAGTGAATCCTTGAGATGAAATCGTCACAAAGTGCAGGATATCTGGGATATATATGGTCCAGATAAGATTGAATGTTGTTATCAACTGTCTTTTTGGGGAAATGCATTACAGTTGGGAGCTTTGAAGGGTCAAATCTGTCGGCCAGCGAAAATTCGTCCTCAGTCATCAGTTCCAGCGATTTTTCACTCATTGATGGAGTCGTTTTGAATATACCAACGCAGCAAGATTTGGATCCTAGTGCTGCATCGGTGTTGTCGGATAACCCTTCGGCTTTTAGCCAGTTATCAATCAACACGTTCGCTTGATCGAAGTCAGTAGTTGGTATTAAGTAAGATTCATGAGATGAATCGGTGAGGAGACTTTCTGACACACTCGGACTAAGCACGTTTTCCACTTCATTGATGCCATTTTTGTTCTCACCAATGATTGAGTCGCTCTTTTCCCTATGGGTTTCCAAGTCTTCCAGAAGTGACAAAATCTGGTGTTCTTTGAAAATAGAATTCTCAAGACGTTCTTTTCCAAGTTCATTACTTTCTTTCCCGGGCGGTATAATTGCCGCTGTCCTTTCCTCCTCGACGTCAGACTGGTTATGGCGAAAGCGTTTACCCTGCGATATTGCAGCATCGATCTTTGAATCGAGCTTTTCGACCTTATGAAATAACTCAGTCAATGTCCGTTCCAGCTTGGTAGGCAGGACTTCTTTGTAGATGCACTTGTATCCACGCTTTTCGCAATGAGAGCACGAGGGGGCCTTCTCATCGCACTTTATTTTTCGTGACCGACAAAAGTCACAAGCATTTGATGCTCGATGAAGTTGGCTCATTCCTGAACGCACCAACTTCAGCGCTCTCAGATATTCATTCCTCGGGGGAAACAAACTCTGCTCAATAGTTTTCTCAATAGTTATGAAAACATTTTTTGTGTGGTGAAATGTTTCATTTTCATGAACACATTTGCTGTAAAAGCCATAGGATGACGAATGTTACTCATTTGCATTGCATACCCAAGCGGGAGTTCCGTAATGAGCCCTGCATGTGCACAGCCCTAGGTATTGCTTAGAGGTGTGGATGCATTATATAGCGGAAACTCTCCCGCTCCCGATAAATGTGGCTTTTTTTGCTCCCCCAAACCACAAATATTAATATTGGGTTCATATTGTTAGATGCTCTTTGACCAGATTTACGAAAAAACAAAGAGTATAAATAAAAGGTGGGTCCTTTGACTCTTTGTTTGCTATTCGGACATGATTATTTTCGAGTAGAGAGCTTTTTAGTTAGTTCCAGATCACAAAATGTCCGAGACAGAAGAGAAGAAACCGAGAAGCTACGAAGAAATCTTGAGGTTTGGAGCTTTACCAGAAAAGCTAAGGACTCCTATTTTTGCGGCCTTTTGCGTTGGTATGACGGCGTTCGCCTGTCCTGGTATCTTCGGAGCGTTGAACGGTTTGGGAGCAGGAGGAGGAGCCGATGCTTCGACCAGTAACATTGCCAACGCCATAACTTTTGGAACCATAGCTGTCGGTGGTTTTTTAACAGGAAGCATTACCAACCAAATTGGAGTCAAACAGGCCTTAATCATTGGAGCTTCGTTCTATTCACCTTATGCGGCAGCCATGTACGTCACGAACTACCACCCTACAAACAAATGGTTCATGCCATTTGCTGCATTCCTACTAGGGTGTTCAGCTGCGTTCTTATGGATTACTTCTGCAGCCATTCTTCTTGGATATGCTGAACACCACAATAAGGGCAAGGCAATGTCTATGAAGATCTCTTTGCAACACTTGGGAGCATCGATTGGTGGTATGATTGCGCTGGGTATGAACCACGAAAAGACATCTTCGAGAGTCATAACGAGGGCCACATACCTTGTGCTTACATTTGTGATGCTTGTTGGTATCCCATTTGCATTCCTGCTTCCCACTCCAAAGCAAATCAGAAGATCCGACGGTTCAGCTGTTGTGCTTGAAAAACAACCATCTCTGTGGAAAGAGTTCGGGGTCTTGATCAAGCTTCTAAAGACGTGGGAAGTAATTACGTTACTTCCAATATTGATGTACAACCAATGGTATTTGTCTTATCAGTGGACTTTCAATGCTTCCTACTTTACAGTCAGAGGAAGAGCATTAAACTCGTTTCTGTTCTATGTTTTTGGAATGATTGGTTCTTGGCTTACCGGTCTGTTTCTGGACGGCAGTTTTCGCGGAAGAAAATCAAAAGCTAGGGCTGCTTTTGTGGCTGTTAATTTTTTCGCAGCCTCTTCATGGATCCTTGCGATTGTAATTGCAAAGAAGTGGGAGAACAAGACGGAGTTGTATGACTGGGGTACTGGTGGCTACGGTCTGGGTTGCTTCATGTTCTGCCTCTGGGGATTTATGGACGCGGGCGTTAACACATTACTGTATTGGGTTGTTGGTGGGTTGAGTGATAACGTCAACCAGCTGTCGATTCTTTCTGGAGTCATTAATGGAGTTGGATCCCTAGGGTCAGCCATGGCGTTTGTGATGTCTGCAAAAAATGTATCGCTTGTTGCCCAGTGTGCAGTGAATGTGGGTTTATACTTTTTCGGCGTTCCATTTTTTGGCGTTGTCACATGGCATGTCAAGGACGATAAGGCACTTTTCGATGATTCTGCTGACAGCAACTCAGAAGATTTTGACAAGATTGTTGAATCGGTTGAAGAGAAAGCTTAATCGATATTAATTTTTGTTTGCCGGTGACATGAGAGCTATACTTTGCCAAGATACGGTGACTTTTTTGGAGATAATGATGCACTATTCACAGAGGTGAAAGCTCCTTGCCAATCGGCTCTACGTAAATATGGTATTGAAATTTTTGGATTTATTGAGCATATAATTATAACTGAGAAAGAGAGGCCAATCGTGTGGAACAACGACTAGTCGTAGCACATCGACGCAAAAAACACGTGCAGTTTACGGTGCGGCTCGAGGTACCATAAAAATATGCAGCAGTAATCAATATATCTCTAGGTTGGCTTTACCCACCAGTTTGCAGTGAAGTGTTGATCGCCAAAATATTCAAGCGTGAAAATAATTCAAAAGGCTTTGGCTTGAACTGGCACTTGCTGCAATTTTTTGCTGAAAACGATCGTTCTGTGAGCGCAATATTCGAGAACGTCAAAAAAACAAAACCTCCGTTGCGTGGATCTTGAGCTGCGGATAGAACATTTCGTTAACAAGTTTATGGGCAGATATCATTTTGACAGTGTTTGTATTACAACACTTAAGGAGCCGTCTTGCTGAAGTAACGACTAAGCCCAGGGTAAGTTTACCTTTGTGCAGAGTTACCCTCCTACTCTTCATTTGGGTAAATGAGGCGCATGCTTTCTCTGGACTCCACGCTGTCCCTGAGAAACTCAAGAATTCGATTAAGACGTATTGCACTTTATCTGGTAAGCGTAAATCAAAATCGAGGCGGCCAATGATGCAAAGTTTCTACCCTGGAAGAATGTAGATGAATGCAAATGCGCCAGTCTCTTCCGAGTTGCCGCTGCATCGCGGCTTTGCCCTAAGGCTGCCATATGACCAACGGCATCTTCTGCGCCAACAGATGATGGGCTCTTGCTGAAATACATACCCTATAATTCAAATTGAAGAAACTTCTTATGCCGACTTTTGTTTTAACTTGAAATATGACCACACTTATCTCTTATTGCAGTACGTCCCAATTTTTTTCATGAAAGATCTCGAGTAACAAGGCGGGAAGTTCGTTATTTTGTGTCGGAGGCTTCACAGAATTTCAACCTGAGATTTGATTTCCGTTTTTGGACCTTCTTCAAAGCGCCGAAACTCAATTCCGTTCAATTGACGGCATTTTGATGCGTCTGTCGGAGCCAAGCGGGCAGCCGTTAGGCCAGATATGAACCCTGGCCACACTGCAGCCAATTAACTTGCCTGTCGGTTATCTCCTGCAAAAACATATTATTTGATTTTCCTAACAGATTGGTCTTTATCTGCAGCCAAGAATCGCCGGTTTGGGTATAATTGATTCCCAACTAGGACATACTGCAAAGTAGGCAGATTGCAAAATATGCGACGGCAGTTTTTTCACCTTATAAACTCAGTGAATATCCACAATGACCTGAAATTGTTTTGATTACGACGCTAGAAATAAGTTACCACCTCTTGATACCCAAATAAATATGGCTAGGTTCACTTCACTTTTGGCAGCTCTGGCCACTTTGGCTACTTCTGTGACTTCGAAAAAGGTGTTTATCGAGAATGACGGCTTGGCTGCTTTGCAGCTCTTGATTCCTCTTTACGCAGGCTACGATGTGGTTGGTCTCTCTATGAGTTTCGGCAGTGCCTCGAGCGTCGATGCCCTCGGAGTTGCTTACGATATCCTTTCCGAGTACAACTTGACTTCGTGTATTCCTCTATACTTGGGAGCGGAGCAACCACTGCTCCAAACCAATGACACCTTCCAGCTTCACAATACCCTCTTTGGAGCCCCAGTTTGGGAAGGTGCTTATGCATCCACTTATGAAGACTCTTATTCTTGGGAGGATCTCGAGTATGATGATGCTACCCCTGGAGCCATTGCTATGATCGAGGCCGTGAAGAAGTACAAAGATACCGATCCCGTAACCATTTACGCGGCAGGTATGATGACCACTGTTGCCCAAGCATTGAGTATCTATCCTCAGCTAGCCGAAGAAGCAGCCGGTTTGTATGTCATGGGTGGTTACATTGACAATCAGTACGCACAAGCCACCGGTTCTTCAATTGAGGTGGACATCAACACAGATATCAATTTGATCCAAGATCCAGAAGCAGCTCAAATTACTTTGACTGCTCCTTGGAAGAAGCTTGTCATTGGTGGTAATGTCACAAACTATCTGGTTCCTTCCCAGCCACTTTACGACCGTCTTATCCACAAAGCTGGTGGCTTGGACAAGATAGACGGCAGCGAATATTTCGCAGCTATCCAAGACATTGTATACTCGGGCAATTACTCCCAGAACAACGAGCAGCAAACTCTTCCCTTTTGGGATGAAGTTGTTTCTTCCTTCATGGTCTACCCAGACATCATCACTGATTCCATAGATGTTCAGTGCGCTGTGGACACCTCATTTTATTCGCCATTTTATGGTAATCTGAGAATCTGGGGAGAAGAGTTCGCTCCAACATCTGGTGTTAGAACAGGAAATGCGACTCTGATCAATTCTATCAAAGACGATGATTTCTATGATTTGATGGTCGATGTTTTGTTCACTAACTGGACCGACTACTGTGCAACCGGTTCGTTCGCTTCATTGGAAGGTTATTGAATAATTGCAAATAGATAAATGTCTTGCTCCGGACGACATAATACAATAGGCTGAACGAATTCTACCTAGCCCGGGAAAATAATCTTCGTGGTGATAATTATGTAATCCTTCAAGGCTGTCCGAGCTCGCTCGTTCGCTACTTCCCTTTTTGCATTTTGCAATCCAAAATTTGCAAAGATAAGCATACAATCTTCCTGATGAGACACTATCTTACTGAGTTTTCGATAGCATTATGCAGATAACTCGCTCATTATTTCCAAACATGCGTAATATTGAGAACGCAACCTACACTATATAAACGTAAACAATCTCCTCGACTGGCTTTCGCATTTTTTTGCACCAATCATTTTGAATTGACGAGCGCCCAAGATGACTGTCCCACCTCCCAAAGATCTTTCAGAAACCGCCCCAAGTTCCACGCTTTCAAACGTTGAACTCTCCGTAGACGGAGCCATTAAGACCGCAAGAATTATCAACCCAATCAAAGATGAGAGATCTTTGAAACCCTCAGTCGCTGATTTGACTGTTTCTGAGCCAGTTACTGCCGATAAGATTTCTGAGAAGCTCGAGATATACGGTGGAGCTATCGTGAAGAACTTTTTGTCTCATGAGATCACTGACAAAATCTGGAGTGATATCTCACCCCATTTCAAGAAAAGAACTTGGAATGGTGATTTCTTCCCGCAACAAACGACCAGAGTCACCTCTATTGTGACAAAGTCCAAAACTGTGTGTGAGGAATACATGTGCCATCCATTGTACATGGAAGTTGCGGCTCGTTTTGTTGGCAAGAAGAACACATTTATAATTGGACAGGACCTTACCACTGCATACTCCGAGCCACAGCACAATTCCTCTACTACTTTGAGCATTGGTCCAGGTGCGACAAATCAGCCCTTTCACCGTGATGATATCATCCACCACAATATCCGCAAATACCGTGAGAAGTATGAGTACGGCTATGAAACCGCTATTGCTTGCTGCCTAGCTCACAACAAAACCACCAAAGCCAATGGGGCCACCCGTTTCATTCCGGGATCTCATCTTTGGGACCACCAGCGTATTCCCCAAGAAGACGAGGTTGTCTACGCTGAGATGGAGAAGGGTGATGCTTTTTTTATGCTGGCTTCTTGTTTCCATGGAGGCAGCGCTAACACCACGAAGGACGAATACCGTAACCAGAGTTTCCTCTTCATGACTCAAGGTCATTTGAGGCCGGAGGAGAACATCTTCATTGAAACTCCTATGGAGTACTTTGAGACACTGTCAGTCCAGGCACTGAAATCCATTGGACTTGCCGCTAGTCAACCTTACTGTGGATGGTTCAGGGATTTGGAAGATCCTCTCCATGTAGTGAAGCCAGAAACTCTTACCGGTGATGATCAGTTTGAAAACACATTCAAAATAGTCGAATGATTTTTTTGAAGCAGTGTTCGTATTTAGTATTTGGCGCTTGCGATTCTACAACTTGTCTGCTGTCAGTTGCAGAGCAATTTTGTTGGTAAATATTTATAGGAGATTCTACAGACTATCTTTTTGATTATTATTTTTTTGATGATATTAGCAGGTCTTTTCGAGGAAGCAAGTGCTGGTTGCAAAGCGGTCCACCGTACTGGAAGAAACTAAGTTTGGACCTTTTCAACAAACTCTTCAACCACACGACCATCGAGAAATATATTAACCACTTTCCAAACCATTCTCCGCAAATAGAGATCCCAAAGTTATACAGGGCTTATATCCGTATGTTACATATAAAGCATGATACTGCTGTGGAGACAAGAAAATGACTTATTTGTGTCATTGGCCATATCAAGGTAATGAAGAGGGCTAAACCCCGCGGGATGCAATTTTATACCTATATCTATATTTATATCTATATATATCCTAATTTCAAGTTTTTTCCTCAAACTCCTCGATAGTCTCAACTGAAAAGTTCTTGCGCGCATAACCAAACCAGTTCACAACAGCAACGAAGATAGTAGCACTCAACACAACGACAGTGTAGTTCATAGTGTCTGCAGTAACTGGTACGTAAGATGGAACACACAACCAGGCCGACGCAAACAAAAACCAAAAAATGCAGATCATGTTCATTGGTTTACCCCATCTGCCAAGATTGAATAAAGGTATCACTCCTTCTCCATATCTGTCTTTTTTGAAAACCAAAGCAACAAATGGAATGAGATATGCCACATACATGGTGGAAATGTAGCTTCCAGAAACAGCGTTCAATGCTGTAGTTGATGCAAAGATAAGAAGCCCAATCAAAGCAGAAACGAATGAAACAAACACTATCGCCCCTACAGGTGCGTTCAATTTGGTATTCACGGAGCCAACAGCTTTTCCAAAAGGGATACCTTTAAATTCTGCAAAGGCCATTACGAGGCGACTTGCCGAAGTGACAACTCCAATGCTTCCGAATATGAAAGCCACTATGACTAGCAATGCAGATACAATAGATAATCCTTTGTTGTGCAGGGAATCCACATAGAGCTGGAAAAGGGGAATTCCACCAACAGGGTCAAGCAGGTTATCAGGATTCACAATACAGAAGTTGTAAACCAGAACTGCAACAATTCCAATGAGGTAGGCTGCCGAGTAACCGTACGTAATGACAATGGGAATGTTTTTCTTTGGGTTTGGGATTTCGTCTGTCATATGACATGCACCGTCGAAAAGGGCCACAGAAGCGGTGGTTGGTAAGATACTGATGAAGAACACAACACCGTTTGAACTCCAACCTGTTATGTTGGTGACCTCTTTGAAAGCAAAAGCGGCAGTTTGCTTTGGATGGGCTCTTGCTAATAATGCAATCAGCGTAAAAATTGTTCCGATATTGAAAATATAGGTGACAGCTCGGGCTATGAGAGGAATCAGCCTCGTTCCAAATATGTTGACTACCGCTGACAATACCACATTGGCTAAGAAAACCAAGTAGTAGTGATAGGTCTGGCTCACATAGTCTGGATGACGCATGTATACCAACCCCAAAACGAGGTCAGAAACGAAGAAGCCAGTAGCAGTCGCTCCAAAAATCCAGCAAGCGCATGACAATATACCGCTGAGATAAGAGAGTATTCTAGAGCAGCTTTGCGGGGCGAATAAATGAGTCCAGTAAACCAAGGCAGAAGAGTGTGGATGCACAGAGGCCATCTCTGACATGGAGTAGGCTGTCAGCAAGCAGAAGAAACCTGCAAACAAATACGCGTAGAAAAAAAATGGGGCTCCTCCAACACCTATGACGGTGGATAGATAAGTTCCCAAAGTAAGCGGGGTACCAATGGAACCGTAGACAATTCCAACAACACCCCAAATATCGAAATTTTTCTCCAAGGCACCCTCGTGCTCGGGAGTCTTGACATCGAATACTTCCCCAGCTTCTGAATCTACAAGCTGCATAACCCTTGAGCTGGATTCCTTCATGCTCCTCTGTTGGTGCTCAGACGCAGGACTTGACGAAGACATTGTAAATGTTTTTTTAGTCAGAAAATCTCAACACAGATCCTACATAATCATCTACTCGACTACGAGACACTGCGAGAAGTTTTTATAGAACCTGGTTCTCCAAACACCTGCAGCATTTTTTCAAATCGCTGTCACCGCTGCCCTGTAATATTCCGAGGTGCCTATTGATCTGTCGATAAGAAGTAAGAATGGCGTAATTGAGCGGTTCACGACCATATTTATGCCGGACCGATTCGTTCGTAATTGCCTGGTTTAGTGGTTTAAGCTCCGGGCACAAGCAAAACTACTCATGTGCGTGGCGGCCGGTGTCCGATGTCGCTTTAATTCTCCGAAAAGCCGCATCATGTGTGAGGGCTTGTTTCTTTTCGAGATTAGATTAGGACCATGGAACCACTCACAAACAAGCATTTGATAATCATTCCAATATCAACCAATTGTTGCCCTCGAGATTGTTGATAGTTAAGCAAGAAGAGATTCAACGAAGTCATGCACGCTTTGTCTGTGAGGAAAAGAGCCGTTGTTTACCAGTGTGATAAACTTATGGTTATTATTAGAGCACGCCGTTTCAGCGGGAAAAAGTCGCTGAGAACTAAGGTTAAGGTTTTTGGCCGAAAAAGAGCGATGCGCCGAAAGCCTAATCGCATAATAGCAATAGACATTTGGAAAAACTAAACGAAAAAAATAAACAAAAGTAACCTCTAAATTTGGTCAACACTGCCATTAAATTTTTAATCCATCTCGCTCAAGTCGATCCAAGAAAGCGGTTCTTATATTACATCCACTGATACACATGCATAACCGTCGTCATTGCATGATTGATTGCTGTGAGAGATAATGCTCAAACCCACAAATTTGCTTGAAACCCTATTATATCACGCCTAAATTCCCAGCCTTTTCCTTAAGCCAGCCACAAACTGGAGTCAATCTCCCGTATAACAGACAACCAGCTAACCTGATCCCCATCTTCTCTTCTATGCCATACCGTATTTATAACACGAGAACCCCGTCTCATTGTGTCTACGCCGTACGGCTCAATTATCTCTAGCCATTGCCTAACTCTGGCTTGAGACTCCTTGGAAGTTGCTTCGCAGCAAACAATAAAACAAGGCCAAAACAATCCAAGTCCGGTGATGTTCTTTGAGATCTCCTCGTACATCTCTATATGGTCAATCCCAGAGTCCACCAGCGCTTGCAAGTCGTGTGGTTCTCGCTTTTTGACTTCTCTCAGAAACAGCAGATTGATGGCAGTGTAGAAAATCATGGACTGATGATGCACTATCAGTGGGTTGAGAGAGCCAATGCCAGCATTAAACGCCGGAGGCTTGCATTCTACAAGCTCTTCTTCAATGTTCTTCACCGCACTTGTTTGAGCTTCCAGTGAGTCCGTAACCTGCAGAAATCTCACGATGTTTGTGAGACATCTCATCATACCAGGTGTGATTCCTGAATTGCGATACACGAGTGACTCAGTTATACTATCTTCTGGATATTTCATGAACTCCAGATCCTCGACTGTTAGGTTTTTGTTGCAAACGTCGTCACTAAACTGGTATAGCGTGCTTTCCAGGTAGGCCACTTTCGTCATTTGGCAGAAGAATTGCAAGGCACTGGATAAACCTTCAGGTTCACCTTGGCCTGAGATTAGGATGCCACCATCCATGTCGCTGATGGCTTTCAAAGCTGATACAGCACCTCTCAAATGAATCTGCCACTCGTCTGAACTATTGAAAGAATCAGTCGCTAGCAGGAAGTATATGGACCCAACCAAAAAACTTAGCTCCTCTATAGTGCCAACCTCTTTCCAGGAGTATTTGTCGGAAACAAAATTGAGCGCTCTAATTTTGTGGAACATCCTGTACTCGTCGAAATTGGTATTTTGATACTCAGGCGCGATGAAAGCAAGATCAGCACTGGTGGAAAGGAAACTTGAGCAGATTGCGCACACAGTATGAAAAATACCCCTCTGAATATCAGCAGGATGTGGTTTGTCAAAAGCTTCTTTCAACAATAGGTTATATGGATTCACTTCAGTTTCGTCGACCGGCGTGAGAGACTTGCTGTAATGACGATCCCAGAACTCCAGAAGAGAAACTTCGATTTCAAGATCTGGGAAGACACCCTCAAATGAGTTCTGTTCCAGTCTTTCCTGGATTCTACTTCTTGTACCTAAGGAAAACGTTTCTGAATCTCCGATTATCGATTCATAGTTTTGACTCACATGTTCCTTGCTCATTTCTACCTCGCAAGATGCCTTGAAAACGGTGAAAGGACCGTAACCGAACTCATTTTCAATCTCCAGAGATCTGGGATTTAGGAATACCGACGCTGTGTCGATTCTATCCAAGAAGTAGTCAATCTGTAGTTGGTCCAGTAACTGGTTCTCCTTCCATTCATAAAGAACAAGACACCTGTTCTTCTTGAGTCGGCGCATCGATGAGGACTCACTATCATCATTCCAGCATAGTTTTAATTTGTAGCCTTCGCAAATGACCCCATGAACTACGCAGTTCTGGCAACAGGGTCTCTTCTCATCGCACCTGATACCACGTTTCCGGCATGTCCAGCAACCCGTGTATTTCTTTGTTCCTCTGGTGGGAATACCGTCTGGTTTAGGCATCAGTGCTGACTTCAGCGCAGCTCAGGATGATTATCAAGGGGTAATGGATTATCAAAGCGCTTTATGTCGCTCCCAATTGCACTCAAAGTTCTGCACCATACATGATTATATAAGCATACTATTTGTTATCGTCTCGTTCCCGATTGCCAACTTTTATGTCTGTTTGATGCACCTCTTGATTATGATTACAGTTTTTTTCATTGTCGTTTCTGCTATTGGGGTGAATATACTTGATGCTTATCTCAAACGATACTTTCAGGAAAATCCTTAGCAGCCTGTCTAAACTCGGAAATAGTCCTGAAATGAATGTCACTGAAATACTTCTTTTTATGAGCGGCGACCAAATCCTCGGGGAGATCTAACGAGTCAGACAAAACCCAGAACTTGAAAGCAGCAGCATAGATTCGGTCCTCATCTTTTGCCAGATGGGCATCCACCATTTCCTTCACAGAATCAGTGAGTGTGGATGTAGAAACGGTCAAGTTTAAATCAGTTAGGTCTTCAGCCAGAATTTTGTTCCAAGTAGTGGTTTCACCAGATATCCACGTTATATCTTCCCATGGCTCAGAAGTCAAGAACAGACTGGCAATAGCTTTGGCCACGTCTCTGGTCGGAGTGTAAGATACTCTTTCGTCACCTGTTCCAGGGATAATCAAAGTGTTTTCCTTCAAGTTCAGAGGGAATGGATCGAAGTCCTTGATGTACCTGTTCTTGGAGGGAACGAAGTAGTCACACAAATATCCAATGGCTAGCAGCGAGTACTCCAATTGGCCCTTAGGAAGAGATCTCAATTTTTCTCTGACTGGTTGGTGGTTTTCGTAATAGAAGGAAGGTTGATCTGGATATTTCATAATATCACCACCGTACTCTGCTGGGAGGAACTTCTTGCACTTTTCGGTCTTAAGCATCGCTTCGATCATGTTCAAGTGAACGGTTACACTATTCATAGTCATATCGAGCATGCATGACACCAAACCATCACAATCTCTGAGGTTCTCTGTAATCGAGTCAACAGAAGTAAAATCAACTATTCTGAAATCCACGCCTTCTTTTTGCTGGAACCATTCTTTTTCTCTTCTTGACAAAACAACCACCTCCAGTGATGCCTTTAAGAACTCCTCAACCTGATATTTGGCTAGGTCCCCCGGACCCGCAATTGCAATCTTCATAAGGAGACTGGAATTTCTGATTTTGTAAAACAGATCGAAATTGCATCACAACGTCTACCAGCTGGTTCCTCTCTTTATAGATAAGCTACTCAATCCATCGGGTCTCGTTTAAAGCTTCCTCCTAGAGAATTTGTTTGTATGGACACTACTCTATTATAAATCGATTTCCGACGTTATCTCTTTATCGCGTGAAAATAATACGCTGGCGCAAGAAAAGATCCAAGCCTTCTAGGTCAAAATAATGCTTGCTAATGTGACTACCTACTGCCGGGGGATACTAAGATAAGTAAATGACCACCTCAGTAAGTTTACTAGCATTGGAGCCATGTGTGTGAAATGAAAACAACGACAAGGGTCAGACGCTACTTTTTCGGATACGAGACTCGAAATAGTCTTACTGTATGCACATCTGCGGTTTTAGCCTGATCTTGCTATTCAAGCTGGCATCTGATTAACGTTGTCTCAAGAGATAAAAAAAGCATATCAAACCCGAAACCAGTAAATATCACGACTGACAAATCTTTATCGCAACTCCGCCACAAATTGAGGTCAGCAAAATTTGCGCCTTTTCCTTTGATCTCAGCTTCTCTGGCAGGGACTTCATTTTACGGAGTCAGCCAAATGCTCTCTCCTTAATCTTCAATCTGGTAAACCTCCTTGAACTGCGTAAATTCGTAGCCCTTTGCGTCGGGAAGGAGCACCTTGATTGGGTCCTCGTTTTCATACCATCCGCAGAATGGTTGACTGGTTTGCAAACCAAGAGCCGTTAGGGCTTCAAGAGACAAAGACTTGAAGTACTCAAGTGGGGTTCCCAAAAAGATGTTCTCCTCTTGTCTAAGTGTACCTTGAGTCATAAATAAGATAAGAACATATCTGTGCTCGTCCTCGGTGGTGTTTGCGCTACCCCCGTGGAAGCAAGAAGCGAGCATGAAGAAACAGTCTCCCTGTTCCATCTCGGCGTAGACAGCATCCTCCTCGGTTGGGCGACGGTACTGATCCCACAAGTGGGAGCCTGGGATGAATCTGGTCGCACCGTTAGCTTTGGTAGTCTTTCTCAAAGCGAGAGCAGTACCCAAAGCAGTTTCGGTTCCTTCTTGATACGTTTCCTGGTGCTTGCGGATATTGTGATGCAGAACGTCATCTCTGTGCAAGATCTGGTCTTTAGAGCCAGGACCAACATCGAATGTGATGGTCGAATTGTGTTGAGCCTTGGAGAAACCGGTGACAGCCTCGTCTCCAATTCTGAAGACATTCTCCTTACCCAAGATCCTGTTGGAAACTGCGATGTTGAGTGGGTGCGCCAAAAACTTTTCCGCGCAAGTCTTGGACTTGACACACATTCCACTCACACGGCGGGTAGTGGGAGAAATGAAGTTACTTGCGTCCCCCTTGGTAGCCCACTTGTCAATGTATGGCTTAGCGTCTGCAAGGATTTGCTCACAGTCCTCCGGACTGAGATAGTTCTTAACGATACAACCTCCATAGATCTTGAGCTTCTCGTAGATCTTCTCAGGAGTGGCTGGCTCAGAAATGGTCAACATCTCCTTGGTCACTTTCAGAGACCTCTTGTCTTCCACCTGTGGAAGCTTGATGACCTTTCTTCCTTCTTCAGTCACCTTATCTAAAGGTTGGATGTCGAACTTTGTTCTCGTAAAAACTTCTGTCATGTTGCGATATTTGAGTAATCTGGTAGCCGTTTATGAGAGCAAACAATGATTTTCGAATACTGGATACTGCTTGTATTTAAATATCGCAGATTGGCAGGCTATCTTGAGAGATTACGGGGCACAACTGCCTAGTCTATCTCCAATTGTGTATGATGTACGGATTGGGAAAGTAATAACGAATATTGGATTATGTAATATGCGGGCTGCCAGTAGATAACATCGATTTCAAATTATGACCTTATCTATACTTGGTCCCCATGAAAACCTTCTAGATATAGTAAGAATCAAAATAGAAAACATCTTGGAAATCTGAGAAAGCGTACAGGATGAATGAGTAAAGTTGTAATAATTACGTGGATTCACGCAGCAGGAAGCTTGAAACGAATTTAAGGTTATTGAATGTGTTGAATTCCATTATGATATCGTTTATCTCGATTTACATACCTTAGAGTGGCTCCGCCATATCTGTTGACTTACTGTAAAAAATTAAAAGGGGATTAAGCTGAAACTTCCAACCAGGGTATCTGGTGGCTGACAGGGCTTTATCTTGTTTTCAGCTGGAAGAGACAAATCAAAGTAGATTCAATTGCAATAAGATCAATGCTAGGAAAGACGATAATCGAAACCAACCGATTGCAGATATTTTCAGCTATCGATTTGACGGAGATCATTAGCAGCGCTTCGGTCAACTTTTCCTCATTTTCGTAATATGCTTAACATTTACACCTCACCCAATGAATGCTACAGATTCTTGGTATCGTCTACTAACCAAATAGTAGCTGACAATTATAGACTACTTCAGCCTATGAAGCACCCTTGTAGCATCTGGTTTCCATAAGAGCTCGTTCGTAAATACCCTCCTTAAAGATTCGGGGAAGGTCGTGTGCCCCGTCTTTCCTTATCGCTTCATTCTCTGAGCTCCGAAATTATGCACATATAGCATGGTTTCGAGCCGGTTTTCACCAACTTCAATTCACGGTTAAAAATTCCCATTTATACTGCCTATCTTCTAAAATGAGCAAACTTCTTGAAAACCGCAACGCCATTGTTACCGGTGCTTCTCGTGGTATCGGCGCTGCCACTGCGTACACACTTGCGAAGAATGGCGCCAACGTCGTCCTTACCTACGCTACTTCCGCCGGAAAGGCAGAGGACCTTGCCAAGAAGATCATTGAAGATTTTGGCGTCAAGGCGTATGCTATCAAGTCTGATGCCAGCGAGTATGGTTCCGCTGAGAAGTTGGTTGCCGAAGTTTCAAAACTGTTCAAAACTGTTGATATCTTGGTTAACAACGCAGGTTTTGATGACGATGGTTTGATTGCCGATTTGACTGAGGATCGTTTCCACAAAATTCTACAAGTCAACACGGTTTATCCTGTCCTTCTGGTCAAGCACTGCATTCCATACTTTGGTACCAAGCCAAGAGTTGTCAACACCTCGAGTGTCTTGGCTAGACAGGTTACTGAATTTGCATGTTCCTACTCTGCTTCTAAGGCTGGATTGGAGTCTGCTACCAAGAGCATTGCCCTTGAATTGGGTCAAAAGCACGAACTGACCTGTAATGCTGTTTCTGTTGGTACAACTGCTACCGACATGTGGTACAGATCCGATCCTGCTATGCTGGAAGCTTACGAGCCACAAATCAAGGCCACGCCTGCTGCCGCTAGAATTGCAGAGCCACAGGACATTGCAGACATTATTTTGTTTTTGTCCCAAGAGAGCTCTAGATGGGTGACTGGATCAACCATCTGTGCCAACGGTGGTATGCAATTCATTTGATCTGTTCATTTGTTCCACAAATAGTCTAATTTTCAAAAACCAAATTTTATATTAAGTTGAAGACATAATTGCCTTACCATCCATTCTAAATTGAGTTGGTATTAACTCAGTGTGGATTACCAAGTTTATAAAGAGCTTTTATGGTACATGTTCTTGAGTATCTCTTGATCTTGAACTAGCCAAAAATCCAAGTCTATGATGGTTTATTCGGCAACAGCCCTTACTTCAATCTCAATGCGAGCTCCCATTGACAACTCCATAACCTTCACACCGGTGGAAGTAGGCTTGTCCTCACCGAAATAAATGCTAGCAGCATCAGCAACGTATCCATGAGATTCCTCGGTGAAGATGGTCTGGTAGATGATAGCGTGGTAGACAGACTTGAAACCGTCAGCAACACCAGCATTCTTGAGAACGGTGTCCACGTTCTTAAAAGCATTGAAGATCTCAGTCTTCAGGTCAGCTGGGAGTTTTCCCTCCTCATCAATACCAATTTGACCAGAAGTCTCCACAGTGGTTTTACCAGCTGGAATACGGACTGCTTGACTGATTTGGTAATCAGCGGCACTGGTAGTAAGAATTCCCGCTGGGTTGGAAGTCTTCAATCCGAATTTTGATAAGTTAGACATTTGTGAGAGTGATGGAAAAATTAGTCGACAATCTGTTATGTGGAAAGTCAGCGAAATAGATCAGAGAGGTCTTCTCATCAGGGGAGACCCTGTGCCTTTTATAGAAAAGAATCGCTCCCTTGGGAAATTTAGTCAGCGGCACAGGTAGTTGCGATAAAATCCCATTTTCAGCATTGGACTGTTACGATTGGACGTGAAGTCCGTATCTTGGAAGTTTTTGGGTACAGCGAAAAACTCGTTCCCGATTGCTTGTCGTCTTATCTTGGAAAAACTACCCGATTAGACCCTGACTAGTCTGCACACTACAAGATGCCCAAGGTATTCTCTGATAAAACACTATTTGATAAGTTGGCACACGACCCTCATAATGATCAAATCAAGGTTTAGCTATATTAATCTCAGTATTGATGCTTTGATTTGGGAGAATTTTGACAATTATTGGATTTTTGTTTAGACTGAAAACTCTTCAAGTTATAGTTTGAACCGGATTAGTTACCAATATATACATGATTGTGTTATCGGGATTCAAATGGAATCCTTTTTGCCCTGTAATGCGCGACATCGTTGCAAGGCTCAGATCTTCCTTCTTTGGCAGCTATCAAATATAGGGCGTTGTCCTCGAGCAAGTGACATTTTTTTCAAGACAAACATCCCATTTGTTGCTGAGAAGCGTGTTCCTTATCACGTTTTCTATAAACCTGTTTTTAGAATCTGAGAAGATTGATTTATTTTATGATTTTCAAAAGTCCTTTTTGGACAGGCAATTTGAGGACAACAGTGAAACGGACGCTAATCACATCACTAGACTCTACTGTAAGAGAAATTAACACACATAAGGGATTGATGAGACAGGTGAAATAATATTCAAACGGTGTACATGGGATTTCTTTATTTGACAACAGCTCTCACTTCAATCTCAATGCGAGCTCCCTCTGACAACTCCAAAACCTTCATACCGGTGCATGTAGGCTTTTGTTCACCATAATAAATGCGAGCAGCATCGGCAACGTATCCATGAGCTTCCTCATCATAGACGGTCTGGTAGATGACAGCATGGTAGACTGATTTGAAACCATCAGCAACACCGGCATTCTTGAGAACAGTGTCCACGTTCTTGAAAGCATTGAAGATCTCAGTCTTGAGGTCAGATGGGAGCTTTCCCTCCTCATCGAAACCTACCTGGCCAGAGGTTTCCACTATTCCTTTACCAGCTGGAATAAAGATGGCTTGACTGATTTGGTATTCAGCAGCACTAGTCGTAAGAATTCCTGGTGGGTTGGATGGCTTCAATCCGAATTTTGAGAAGTTAGACATTTGTGAGAGTGTGGAAGAGATGAGTCGAGGATCTGTGAAGTAGACAGTTACCGAGATTGATCAGAGAGGTATTCTCATCAGGGAAAATCATGTGCCTTTTATAAAAAAGAATCGCTCCCTTGGGAAATTTAGTCAGCGGCACGGGTAATTGCGATAAAATCCCATTTCCAGCATTGGACTGTTACGGTTGGACGTGAAGTCGGTATCTTGGAAGTTTTTGGGTTACGGTATAGCGAAAAACTCGTTCCCGGTTGCTTGTCATCTTATCTTCGAAAAACTACCTGATTAGGCCATGGCTAGTCTGCACACTACTAGATTGATTTGTCCTCGGAGATCCAAGATGCCCGAAGTTTTTCTCTGTTAAATCACCACTATTTGACAAGTTAGACACGACTCTAACACTGATAAGGTTTAGCGAGTTTTTCACTGACACATCTAGTATCCAAGAATCGTTTTGAAATTGGTCGTGCAATGATTCATTTAAGAGCTATCTAATACAGGATGTTGTCCTCTTCTACCCAACTTGTGAGCAAGTGACATTCTTTCCAAGACAAACATCCCATTTGTTGCTGAGAAGCATGTTCCTTATCACGTTTTCTATAAACCTGTTTTTAGAATTTGAGGAGATTGATTTATTTTATAATTTTCAAAAGTCTTTTTTGGACAGGCAACTTTGAGGACAACAGTGAAACGGACGCTAATCACACCAATCGACTCTACTAGAAGAGATATACCACACATAAGGGAATAATTAGACAATTGAAATGATATTTCAATGATTTGCAGGGATTTTTTATTTGACAACAGCCCTCACTTCAATCTCAAGGTGGGCACTCTTTTCGGCCAACTCTGAAATCTTCACACCGGTCCACGTAGGTTTTTCATCACCAAGATAATGTTCGACCGCTGCAGCAATATGGGATGCACTTTCCTCTGTAAAAATGGTGTGGTAAGTGTTGATATGGTAGACCGATTTGAAACCGTCCACGACGCCGGCATTCTTGAGAACAGTGTCCACGTTTTTGAAAGCATTGAAGATCTCAGTCTTCAGGTCAGATGGGATATTTCCCTCCTCATCGAAACCTACCTGGCCAGAGGTTTCCACAGTGCCCTTACCAGCTGGAATAAAGACGGCTTGACTGAGGTTGTAGTCAGCAGCACTATCCCCAAGAATTCCGGGAGGGTTAGAAGGCTTCAATCCGAATTTTGATAAGTTGCTCATCTCGTAAAACTGTGACTTGAAAAGTTACTGGGCATATCACTGAAAAAACTCGATCCATGGAAAACTCCCCTCCTTTATAGAAACATAATCCGTTGATCCACTTGTTTCGTTAGTACAATTGGCCAAGTGATATTAGTCAGCAATACCAAATACGCAAGAGGGTCGAGTTTTTGCGGAAGTTTTCTCTGCTTTTATTGGTGCTGCCTCAACTATCTCGAGGTTCTTAGATTTTGTTACCGCAAAATAACCACTCTCGATTTGTTTCCGGAAACTTTCCTAATTGATCAATTTGGAGATTTTGCGGTACACTACCGGGTGGTCTTCTGAGAATTACACCGGGTATTTAACGATGGATATGCAGGTTTTTCCGTGTGAACCTTTGACTTGACGCATGGTATATATTGAAGAAATAAGTGGTTTGCTCGACTGACATTTTACGGATCAAAGCGTTCCTCACAGACAACCTTGAAGTGGAACAAAATTCACTGAATCCATTAGATAAAGCAGAGGCAAGAGAGCAAAAAAGATCAAACGATAAATAATAAAACCAACCGTGGTGTACATGGAAAAATTGCGAAGTATCGAGAATATGGTCAAGGGTGAGTTTTGGACTACACCGTTACTCCTTTCAATTTCCAGGTTGAATGTCTGGGAACTGCTTGGGGCCTCAATTTCGAGGAAACTGGCACTAAGCAGTTCTAGGAATACCCTATGCCTCTGTCCCAGTAAGATTCGAAGACTCATGTATGGTCAGTAGGTGGGACTTGTTTTCCCAAGGAGGGGTGTTGGACTGCACAAGGTGCGGCCCTCTACCACACCAAGGCCCCAGATATTTCTACTCTGTTCCGGCATACCCAAGATCTTGGTTTGTTGCACCTGAGCAAAGTGAGGCCGACTGCCTGAACTTAACTATTTCTTTACCTCCAAATACAACCGCAAAGGAGAACCTGCCTGTGATGGTCTTTGTCCATGGCGGTGCTAACGCATACTCCGGAAACGCGGCCCAGATGTATGATGGACTGATAATGGCCACAAATTCCCTGCTAAAGTGGAAAGAGCCCACTATCATTGTTGTACTTAACTATAGTTTAACCTGTTTTGGATCTCTCGCTTCCTCTAACCTGAAAAGTTACCGTGGATAGTTGAGGTAAGATGGTGTGGGAATTTACGGCCTGATGGACCAGATTCCAACAGAATGGATCCAAAAACTGCTGAAAGCTGCCCCAGTTTCGCTTTCTTTTGCTACAGAGCGGGCATTTATCATTCCTCTCCGCTCAATGCCATTCTGCAATAACAGTGAAATACTACACCCTCGAATCCCAAGATGGAGCGAACTGGGGTAACAACGGAAAATCCCAGGAGAAGTGGAGGCTCTAATGATTGGAGATGCCAGAAAAAGTGTATGATCTGGTCCTCAAATTTTGGGGGTCTGAACTCCCAGGAACTGGTTTCTGTCCTTACCCAAAAATGCTCTCCTCGTCTGTACTCCATTATACCAAACAGCTATCGAATTACGGCAATTTTGTTTGTTAAAGAAACTTTTGATGCAATCGAAACTTTCACATCAGAAGGTATTCATTTCATGCCTATGATGCTGTTTCTTGTCGGGAACGGAGAGAAGACTATGGCATATCATTTTGATGAGGGGTTGGAATGGGAGGAAGGCTGGAAAGGCTTTGCCCACCATTCCTTGGACACCACGTATATTTGGGGGAGAGTTAGGCATCTCTTGAGCGAGAAAGACCAACAGTTTTCTGACATAATGCAGAAAGCATGGCTTGATTTTGGCAACGGAAAGGAGGTCTGGGAGCCCTTCTCGCTCAGTCATAGATTCATGTAGTTAGGAGGAGACCACAAGATAATCCCTCAAGTAAGCGAAGAAGGCGGCAAAGAACGGACCAACAGATACAAGGTCATCCCGGAGGTAATTGACCATTCCCTAGTTGAAGAACTTGCCCGAGTTTCTGAGGTGTCTGCTACAAAGAGGACAGCAGTCCATGGCAAGCATTTGCTTCTCAAAGGGGAGTACTGTAAATGAGAATTTCTCGAAAATACCTAGATCCCCCATAGATTGAATCAATTTTAAACACACACTGTAGACAATCAATACAATCTGATACATTCAGCCAGACAGTCATCATCATTAGTATTTTTGAAGGGTAGGTTGTCCAAACCATGGCTATTTTGAGACCCTTCGACCCCGATCCAAATGAGAATGATTTTAAACAAGAATCCTTTGGACAAGGCGAAGCCTATTGGGGAACTAAGTCACGAACCTTGTTAAAACCTCGCTTAGTGATGGGTTTGAATCTCGATGCAAACTCGCGTCACGTGTGCAGATAACAACTGCAATGTTGCATCGCCACCAATATGCCCCCTATTATTTCTATTGTTATTCCTTTTCTTGGCACATCATAAGCATTAATCCGCAAGGTCATGACAGGCTACACAAGTTTTCTTGCGCATTTGTTGCTCGTGTGTACTCTAGCAAGTGCCATAACTGACAGCCTATGGATTGATTCCAATAGCACGGGTATATCATGCCACTATGTTTCGAACCACACAGGATCTGCACATTTCCTTTCGCAAAACCAGGAGCCGTTCATCCAGGCTAGATTGGGAAGACACCATAGAAGTCACTTCAGATCTGAAGACGAAGAAGCTGTCACACCTCTGGAGTGGAGTATGGACGTCATGTTCATCTCCAAGCCCGACTTGCAGATTGTTAATGTGGACAAGGGTAGGTATGTATACTGGGAGGGCGACTATGACATCTACAACGACACAGCGAGTCAAAAATTTAGTCTGGATGAAGTTCTGGCTGCAAACATGAACCAATCGGCGATTACAACTTTCAAGCTCACCCCCGAAAGTAATATTACTGGACGTTACCCTCTGTCTTCCTCTGGAGATTACTGTGCGGTGTTGACATTCACCTCCAACCGGGAAAGGGGATTTACTGTCGCCGAGGTCAAATTTATACAACCACATGGAGAATTGGACAAAGAGGACTACATTTACATCTATGTCTACATTTTCTCCGGCTTGGTCTACTTCGTCAGTTCTATCGTATACTTCTACTACGTTTTTCTCAGAAGGAAGCAGACCACCAATGATTACCGAGCTATTGGCGAAACTAGGTCACAACTGAAGAATGCGGAAATTCAGCTCCGTATTCTGTTGTACATGTTTGGGAGCTCTATAGTTTACCTTTTCTTAGCCGGCCACTTGAATCACAAGAATGCGAATGGCCAAATGAATTTCAGCACCAAGGAAAGTTTCCTTGAGTTGACTCCTATGGCATTAACGACTCTGTTTTTCTGCTGGGCATTGTACAGTCTACTGTTGATGTCATCCGGCTATCTGTTCACCTCAGAACCCAAAGATCGACGCATTGTTTGGTTTATACGTCTGGTAACCATCTCCTCCTTTGTTAGTGGCTTGCTCTCGGATTTTGAGTCTGCTTTCAGTCGCACAATTTATGGTAACTGGGATACTGCTCTTTCTCGTGGGTGGCATAATAGTTCAATAGTTCGGGATATATTGAGCTTAATCTTATTCCTGGAATATGTGGTCAGTTTCGTCTTTGGTTCCTACTTCGCGATCAAGACCTATTCCGACTTGTGCTTTCATGGAAGAAATGCAACAGCAAACAGATTCTTGGCGACGGTTGTCATCATCATCGTGCCAACAGCGCTTGATGGTATCGGCCGTGACGTGATATACATCGAGATCTTGTCGTCTTTGGTTGACAATATAATAGAGTTCAGACCTGCTAGCCACATCTTTCACTTAGCCGCCACTGTTGCGGTGGCTTTCTTGTGGAGAGACACATCACTGGAGTCAGAGATGGTTTTGAAGCAAGAATGACTTAGAGGGCAACAAGATGCGTCATCAAGATGTGTATGGGATGCCTAATTAGCTTGATTAAAAAAAATAAAGAAGCTTGACGGAAGTTACCGGCAAGCAACGAGAAATTAGACGTCTGCATATCACAGAGATCGGAATACGGCAATAGAAGAGACGTGTGCATTAGGATCATGAGGACGCAATTCATACACCACTCACGAATAATATGGGAGAAAGAGGTTCACTATACACAGTCGTTAGCCTTTATAAGAAAAAACATCAGAAATTAAAAAAAAGGCGTCATCTAATCGATTATTGATCCGCCGAGATATAGGAGGCTTGGGTAAAGCGCAGATCGAAGGGGAAAGTTAATCCGAGCACTGTGTGTACGCGCATGATGAGCTACAGATTCGAACATCAACGATCTTGAATCATCATACAGGACAGATAATCTGATATATCGTCGCCACAATGGTGAGAATAAGCAGGACTGTTACCACAGCCTCAATGGCTTGGTCCAAAAGTCCACTTCTTTATTCAATGTTATTGAGGTTGTGGCTGGTAAATGATATTTTTGGAGTTCATCCGGCTACACCATGACGTTTTAGTCCCGGATAAACTGTGGCGCCGCACTTTACCGGGTGAATTAAACACAGTTTACTGGACAAGGTTGAAAAGTCTTATAAATTGGGGCCAAAGGCACCCAAAAAATTGGAAAAGCTTCAAAACTAGGCAGAAAAAGACAAATTCCAATCATGGGCGGCAAGGATCTTTTCACCAGGTACTTCCGTGCCACGTTGACGCAGTCCGTTATCATCGGTATCCTGTCATTCACCCAACCGGGAATATGGAGTGCTATTGCCAACCTTGGTGCTGGTGGCCTGCAGAGTGTTAATACCTCGAATACTGCAAATGCTATTTTGTTTGGTATCATGGTTGTATTTGCTCCATTTTATGCAGTTTTAATCAACAAATTTGGTGTCAAGCCGGTGGTTTCAGTTGGAACCATTGGCTACGTGTTCTGGTCTGCAGGTTTATACAAAAACTCAAAGGATGGCTCTGAAGCCTTGATCATTGCAGGTGCAGTATTGTGTGGTATTTCTGCAGCTGCCTTCTGGACAAGTGAGGCAACGGTGGCCATCCTTTATCCGGAGCCCTCACAGAGAGGAAAATTCATCAGTATATGGCAAGCGATCAACAAGGTCGGCGGTCTCATAGCTGGTGCAATCACCCTTGCTATGAACATTAGTGGATCCACATCAGGTAGTGTCAGTTTGAACACTTACGTGGCGTTGTTATCAATCCAGTGCCTGGGTCTTCCTATTTCCTTCTTGCTAAGCCCTCCAGAGAAACTCCTGAGAACTGACGGAAAGAGACTCATTTCTAACAAAACGGGAGCGACCTGGAAAGATGAGTTCAGACTTTTTGGTAAAATTTTCATGAAAAAAGAGGTTCTGGCTATGGCTCCTTTCTACATGTCGATTGTTTGGTATGGAACATACCAGTCCAATTATGTCACCCACCATTTCTCTGTCAGAGCAAGAGCGCTGAACAGTTTGTTGACTGCCTTGATTGGGGCTTTCACGGATGTTTTGTCGGGTATAATTTTGGACATGAGCTACTTCAAGAGATCAACCAGAGTCAAGGGAGGCTGGGTGGTCACTGTAGTCTTCATGACAGCCTACTTCATTTATTCTTTCATTCTCCAGAAGCAGTTTGACGACAATCCAGAAACCGGTATTGATTGGAGCGGTAATCCTCGTTTCAACAAGGCCTTCATTCCTGTGCAGATCTTCAAAATTGGACCTGAACTTGGGTTTACGTGGGCTTATTGGGTCATTGGAGCCTACCAATTCTCTTCATCAGAAATTCCCCATGTATCTGCTACCATCAGATCATTGGAATCTTTGGGTCAATGCTTTGCCTTTGTCGTTGGTACTGTCAATGAAAGCGATATGACCAATCTGGCAGTCTCAGCTGCAGTGTTCTTCGCGTCTGTAATCCCCACCACTTACATTGTGTTGCAAGCCAATGATGATGTCATTCATGGAGTCATCGAGGATAGCGACGATGGCGAAATCGACTCAGACAAAAATGTTTCTCTGGAGGTGACCAATGTCGCAGCCGTGGACTTGAAATCCGACTCACAATAAAAGATGGTTTATCAGTTGATAAGCCTGAAATTACGGGGTCTGGATCTCCAGTTTTTTTTATAGATTTTATAGGTATTATTTACCGCTCAACTACCTTTTTAGGACCCCACATCTCCTCATATTGTAACTGCGTGTTGGCTTCGCGCCACAATATCACGTCAGAACGCCAAGGTGGCATGGACAAACGGGGTTTAGCCGCGCGGTTGTTGCGGTGACTCTTTCGGCTGTCAGCCTTGGGTAAAAAGACTATCAAAGGAATATAATTTATTTCCACTGATATTTGACATTTGGATATAGGTCATAGCATTTTTTGATTAATAACTAAAGCCGAGAATTACTTTTCTTTATGGTGGACGGATTTAAGCAATTCCAGCACGGACAAATTTTTTTTTTTTTTGTTCTACTATAGTATGTGGCTATGCGGCACGATTGACATTTGCATATTGCTGTTCCTGGCCGCGTCACCGAGCAATGTTCCGAAGCCCGGTGAAGCTTTTTTGCAGTTTCTTTTCCATCGGCCTTCCGATGAAATTTTGTACTTAAACTGCACATAATGCAATTGTGTAACAACAAAAGAACAATTGTCTTTTACCGCTAATCAAACATGGGGGTATTCCAAATCGCTAAAGACCTCTTTATTCCTGTGCCTCCGGCAACCAGGCGCGAGCCCGGTCACCTGAACCAGGATTTGGATGCGGCGCAAGCAAGCAATCTAAACGACTCTAGACTCACCAAACTTGAAGACAACGAAGATGAGTTTGAAACCTCGTCGGGGTTGACTGAGAATATTTACGATATTGGAAGTACTCACCGCAAATTGCTTAATAGACACATCCAACTCATTGGTATTGGAGGCACCATTGGTATTGCCCTGTTCGTTGCTATTGGAACCGCTCTGTCTCATGGTGGACCTTTGAGTTTGCTTCTGGGTTACAGTTTCTGGTCTATGATCATCATCATGGTCACTGCGAGTTGTGCAGAGATGGTGTGCTATCTACCGATCTCTTCGCCTTTCATCAGACTGGCAGGCAGATGTGTTGATGAGGCATTCGAAGTGACTGCCGGCTGGAATTACTGGCTGCTCGAGTCAGCATTGGTTCCCTGGGAGCTGTGTCTTGTGAACACCCTTGTGCACTACTGGAGAGATGATTATTCTCCTGGAATTCCCATTGCGATCCAGGTCGTGCTGTACTTCTTTATCAACGTGTTTGCGGTGAAGCTTTACGGAGAGTCAGAGTTTTGGCTTTCTATTGGAAAAGTGATATTGTCCATTGGACTCATTTTTTTTACGTTTATCACAATGGTAGGAGGAAATCCGGAACACGACGTTTACGGCTTCAGATACTGGAGAGATCCTGGCCCAATGGCTGAGTTCATACATTTAGGTTCTCTTGGAAGATTCCAAGGGTTTCTGGCATGTGTTATCAGTGCTTGTTTCACAATTGCAGGTCCAGAATATGTTTCAATGGTTGCAGGTGAAGCCGTTAATCCAAGAAAAAATTTACCCAATGCTTACAAGCAAGTTTCTTATCGGTTGACACTCTTCTTCCTAGGAGGAGCCCTCTGTGTCGGAATCGTCTGTGCGTACAACGATCCACTGCTACTGGATGCCATCACTAACTCCAAGCCAGGAGCTGGATCCTCGCCATATGTGATTGCAATGACCAACATGCGCATCAAGGTGCTTCCACACATCGTTAATGTGATGCTCGTCACCACGTCCTTTTCTGCTGGTAACTCATACACATACTGTTCCTCCAGGACTCTTTATGGTATGGCTCTAGATGGAAGAGCACCCCGGTTTTTCTCTCATTGCAATAAGAATGGAGTTCCTATCTACGCTGTTTTAGCTGCATTGGCATGGGCCATGCTCGCATTTCTTCAGGTGGGGAGTACTTCCAAGAAGGTGTTGACCTGGTTGGTTAACCTGGTGACCGCTGGTCAGCTCTTGAACTTCCTAATCATGTGTATCACTTACTTGCACTTTTACCGTGCTTGCAAAGTTCAAGGTCTTGATAGAAAGTCCTTTCCATTCGTGGGCTGGTGCCAGCCATACCTTTCCATGTTTGCGGGTATAGTCGTTCTTGTCATGGTTGGTGTTCAGGGCTACACAGTCTTTATTCCCGGTGGATGGTCCGTGGAGTCCTTCCTGTTCTCCTATCTTATGGTCTTCATCGACATTGCCATCTTCATCGTTTGGAAGCTGGTGAAAAGAACCAAATATAGAGATCCAGCGGAGGTTGATCTAGTAACTGGTTTGGAGGAGATTGAGGAACACGAAAGAATCTACTATGCTAATTTGGAGAAGTATGGTGATCAGCCTAAGAAATGGTACCACAAAGTGGGGGCTTTTATGTTCGGTGGATAGAAGTACTGTTATCATGTTGAAGTGTTGAAAATTGTTTAAAAAGTTGTTTTCGATTTTTCTGCATTTTTTTTAGATAAGTTTGTTAAAATGAATTCCTGAAAACTCTAAAGTTCAACCCGTTTCTTCAACGCAACGTTCATCGCGTTGAAGCCTTCCTCGGTTCCACCCAAGGCGTATTTGATCAGCGGGACAAATGCTCCAACGAATTCTTCCTTTTGAATGAGCTTCGTGGTATTATCGTCGATCTTTGTAAAATCAAAGCTATGTCTTCCAGAGAACAACCAGGTAGATACCAGAGTTCCAATCCACTGAAACCGTTCCGGGGTATTCACTAGCACCTCAGTAGTGAATGTTTTCTGTGAGCCTCCCTCCGGTAAAACAATAACCTCTAATTGGGAGCCAGCTTGAGGTCGTTCTGCCACAGATTGAGGCTCAGGCTCACTAATAATCTTCACCTTTTTCACGAACGGATTCCATTCCGGATAAGACTCAAAGTCCAATACTGCAGCCCTGACCACCTTGGCCGAAGCGTTGATGAGAATCTCGGTGCTAATTGTGTGCATATTTTTGTGCTTGGAGCAGATATCAAAAACTTATATTCTGCAACTTGTGGGGGTTTAAATATATTGGCTAATACTACAGCTCGGCTTAGCCTGAGGTTGAGAACGCCTTCTATAACAATTATCGGATAATCAATTGGTTATTACACTCTGATAAGCCCTTGACGCCAAGAGATACGATAAGGGGACCCTTCAGTGCTGATCGTTTTCACAAAGTCAATTCTCCATCCTTTGAGCACCGTCTCTAAACTGAGCATGTCAGACTACAATGATGTGTCTCAGGAAACCCTCAAGGCAGTGGCCGAGTATCATGAGCACACTCGGGGTGGATTCCTTCCTCTCCCTATCCCCATAGTGAAGGCCCAAGACTACAAACTATGGGACTCCGACGGAAAAGAGTACCTTGATTTTTTGTCTATGTTTGCTGTTGTGAATATGGGCCACTCTCATCCCAAGATCGTTAGTGCCATGGTGAAGGCAATCCAAGATCGGGCCTTGGTGAATACGGCATTTGTAAGTCCAAGCTATGCGGCTCTCGCTGCTAAGATCCACCAAATATTTGGGTATAATAGATGCGTCGCTATGCTAAGTGGAGCAGATGCAACAGATACTGCAACAAAAATTGCCCGGAAATGGGGCTATAAAGTGAAGGGTATCACAGCCGGAAAAGCATTCGTTTTGACAACTTCCAGCTGCTATCATGGATTGACGATATCGACACACTCCTTCACGTCCTCCAAAGACGAAAACTTTGGACCTTTTGTCCCATTCGTTGGGTATATTAGTCCATCTGGAATTCCCGTTGAATATGGTGATCTCACGAGTTTGGAGAAAGCTCTTGAAAAGGACCACGAGACTATCGCTGCTTTCATGGTGGAACCTATCCAAGGCGCAGCCGGAATCATCGACCCTCCAGAGGGATATTTCAAGGCAGCTTTCAGTCTTTGCAAGAAGTTCAACGTTTTATTTATTGCGGATGAAGTTCAGACCGGATTGGGTAGAGCTGGATATGTTTTGAAGAGTTGGTCGTCAGGAGTCCAGCCAGATTTAGTGTGTCTCGGGAAAGCCATAGCTGGTGGAATGACTCCATTATCAATAGTCATGGGGAACAATTCTGTAATGGACCTCATTGAAAAGGGGGACATTGGGTCTACGTTTGGAGCCACTCCTCCCGCTACTGAATCAGCATTGGCTGCTCTGAGTGTTCTTATAGACGAGGATTTAGCTACGAGGTCTCTGGAGCTGGGCAAGCTCATGAGGAAGCTGGTACAGGATCAGAATTTGCCTCAGATTGAAACTCTCACCGGAGAGGGCTTGCTGTGTGCTGCAGTTTTAAAAAATCCTTCCGAAAGATTCAATGCCAGAAGACTAGCCGCTTTGTGCGCAACAAAGGGGTTGGTCATAGGACCTATTGCAAATTCCAGAGTGCGTCTTTGCCCGCCATTGACTATCAAAGAGTACGATTTAAGACGGGCAGTTGAGATTTTTGCCCAAAGCTGCCGCGAATTGGAGTCGATTGACGGTCCGATCATTGGGATACCATGAAGGTGCATTTATATAGGGTTGAGGTCAGTCCATATATGGGCCTGCAGCTGAATGGGACAGGGTAAACTGAACATCTTTATTCCAGCAGAATGTCAGACAGTCTTTTATCTTTTTTTGATGCTTTGAATTTGGAACATTAGGGGTTGCATCATAATTGGCACGCAGAAGCGCGCACTTGCGGATGCACATATGATGATATACAATTGCTTGGAACTTTTTCAACAAATCTCTTAAAACGTTTTAGGGACGCATCCAACATTATAAAGTTACAATCTCTAAATCATGTCCGCGGGCCTCTGCCTTATAACCTGCGAGATCTCTTGAGGTTCGCCGGTCATTCTAGGAGCACTTCCATTATCAAGTGTAGTCCTGGTTTTCTCTTCCCATGACCACAAATCCTTTAAGACGGGATCTAGTTGTCCAATTATCATATCAACAACCTTATCCCCTAGAACAGGGACAAATTTCCATGCATGGGCAGATCCACCTGTTGCCAAAACGACATTCTGCAATTCTGGGTGGAAATCAATAATAAAGTTGGCAGATGGAGTTTGGGTCAACCAGCACACCTTGGTTCTGTCAAATGGCCGATCCGCAAGACTAGGCATGATCTCTTTCAGATTTTCGCGAAGAGCCAGTTCGGCATCCTCAGGTATCCAATCGTTTGGGTTACTCAGAATGGTTCTTGGATAGGAGATCTTGATAGAGGATCCGTCTTTGGCCAAAGGGTTGGGACTTGGAATTTCAACACTATTCTTATAACCTGCAGATCTTCTCAATGTCTTAATCTCACCTTCGTATGGAGGAAACAAGTTGATACCAGTCGAAAAGTTGGTGGTAATGGACATGTTCTTCCATTGCTCTTCCTCCTCTTTGGTAACCTTCAGCCAGGCAACTTCAATTGCACTAGTTTTGGCAAGATCATATAGATCCACGAGCTTCGATGTCCATGCACCAGCAGCAACCACCACCAAGTCTGAAGTGATCAAGGATTGGTCTTTGAACGCAACGCCGGTGGCCTTATTAGTTCCTTCTTCATATACTATCTTGTCGACCTCTTTGAAAGTGAAATCTATATTGGAAAACGTTTTAGCCCGTTCGTAGTATGCCTTCATACTTTTCTTAGCATCAATGTAACCGTTGCTTAGATTAGTATATCCTTTGTTCCACTTAGTTTCTCTTCCTAGCTCTTCTGCGGTTTTTGGAGAATGGTCCTTGCCATGGATTCTTTGGAAAACCTCCACATTATTGTTGTAAAGAACGGTTTTGCTTGGATTTTCAGCATTGACATGTCTGGATGAAGCGAGGCCTTTAATCCAGATATCCTCCCATTTATCGGAGTTCCCATCATACACAAATGACATTCCCACCTTGTGGAAGAAAGGTGCAATCGCCGGGTCAGCCTCGATTATCGCCATAGACTCTTTGGCAAGGTTATAGTAGATATCATTCGTGTAATCCACTCTTAGACAACGTGTGGTATCAACACTAGTACCATCCTCTACCGGAGGCTCATATCTGTCGATAACGTGAACCTTTGTCTCCGGATATCTTTTTCCGATAGCTATGGCTGTGGAGATACCAAACACACCAGCACCTATCACTATCACCTCCGATGGAAGACCCTTAGTCATTGTTATAATCAATTACTCTGACCGCTTTGGAAAATTTCCGTAAAATACTCTCGATACCAGCGTTCCTTTATAGATAGACCCAAATTGGACTCGGTCCATTTTCCGAGAGCATCTACGCGATGCGATAAGAGATCTACCTTTCGCAGGGCCTTCCAAATTGGGAATGTCTCGCGACATGCAATCGGAAACATGGTAATAACTGAAAATAGGATAGAAGGAAACTGTTAGCTTGGACTGTGTGAATTGGAATCGGGAATATCGCAATTGTAGCATTATATCCGGCTGGGGGCTTTGGCGGATAATATTATCTGGTTCAACGATTTGGGAGGACCCTGCATTTGCTCTCGTATCCACTATAGAACGATGAATTTGGATGACATTTTGTCATGTAGCCTACCAAAATTTTATTGCATATAAACCTATCACAATTTACTTGTAGTCTTGGTAAATTTGTAGTCTTTGGGAGTTGACAAAGTCTGGTTGTCCCAGATTCTGGAACTGTTGAGCTTTTCCCTCAGACCGTTTGGATCCTTCTCGAATTCGTTTGGATTCTTCCATCTGAACAGCTTGGTGTACAAATTCTCCTTTCCCTCAATTTTGTTCACCAAAAATTGACCAAGAACAGGCAACATCTTGAAAGCATGACCAGATCCTCCACAAGCCACAAAAAGATTCTTCTTGTAAGGATTGAAATCGTAGATGTAGTCATTGTTGATGGTATCGGTATACCACAGAACTCTGGATTCAAAAGGCAACCCAATGAGATCGGGGAAAAATACCGAAATCCAGTCCTTCAGCTGGTCCACAATGTGTTTGGTTAAAAGGGTGTGGGGCGGACTCGAGTTTTCAGTTTTGGGAATTGAAATGACTTTTCCCTTTTCGGTCTGGATAGGGTTGATGTACTTGGTCTGTCTGATGATCACCTTCATGTATCCTTCAGGCTCCATTATGGGGAACATGAACATACCCGCACATTTATCCTTTTCTCTGGAATGCCCAGTCTTCCAGCCAACAACTGGGAAGTTCTTAGAACTGTATTTTTCTCTGAGATCTTTTCTGTGCTCCGGGATCTTGAAAATGGCAATGTTACCAGAAGCAGCCTCGTTGATTCCGTCAAGGTCAGGGACCAAGGAAGTAGACCAAGGACCCGCACTGATAACCACTAAATCTGCAGAATGACTCTGTCCATCCTCCGTCGTAATACCCGAAACGACAGTGTCATTTTTGTCGGAGTAAACAAATTTGCTGAAAGTGCCTTTTGCTCCTCCAAGAACAAATTTCACTCCCAACTTTGTACACAAATACTTGGCATATTGGCATGCCCTCGAAGCATACAATACACCAGATGTCGCATCCAGAGCTCCCCTGAGCTTAGGAACGCCAGTCTGCTTCAAATCCAGAGCGTAATCTATCTTGGACCCGAAACCGGCTGCCCTAGCACGGTTGACATCCACAGGATCATCCAGATCAAATCTTAGGGCAGCCAATCCCTCCTTCTCAAAATTCTCTCTACTAGCAATTTCTTCCCATCCGACTTGATCGTCCAATCTCAGCATGCCACAAAGATCCAAAATTCTCAAAGCCGTGTACCGCTTAGCCTCTTCCTCTGGTACCAAAGTAATGTCTCGATTCCACTTCTGCCAGATCTCAAACGCCTCAAACGCAAGGTCCTGATAATGCTTCTTCTCGGCATATTGCGCCCGAAAAATCTTGTTGATATCCGCAGAGGCAGTATCAGCGCCATGGAGGAGAGTATACCGATTAGCATCGAAATCCAATCTATCATACACGGTGATGTTTCTGTATCCGTTCTGGGCAAGGTGCAGGGCGTTCGAAAGTCCGAACACCCCTGCCCCCACAATGATGATTTTGGAGTCTTTAGTGTATGTATTTGACATCTTTGCAATCTTTGAGTGCCAATTGATCACCTTAGGGTTAATGTGGCAAAAGAGGAACCCTCATATATAATGGAAAGCTATCCCAATTACGAGGATCTCTATCATCTGCACGAGAGATGAGCTAATTCCCAAAACAGAAGTTATTGCGCCTCTCGGAAAACCTTCCAAAAGAAAGGTACTAATGCGCCATGTCCTTCGCGGAGATTTTCACCACGGGCTAATCCAAACAACAAATCATCTCTAAGCCGAAATTACACAATTGCTTTTGATCTACATTTCCATTCTCCTATTCACAAAGATATCCTGCGCATATCGGCTTGCAGGGTACCCGCATTTGGCCATGCCGAGAGATATAGTGGGTGGTCAATTCTTCCGTGTGGCCGTGAAATTTCCATATCGGGGCATCAACTCCGACACATCGGTGGGGTATCGATAAGTGATAAAGCGATTATCAGTGGAAACTGATTGCGGATTCGGCTATTTATTGAACGACTTGCCAGAAAAAAATCAGTCGATTTTCCCGGATCACCGACGACATCCACACCATCCACACCATTTTCACCAATCGCAAATGTCTTCGGAGGAGAACTTGAAAGCGCCTATCGAGGTGACGACCAAGGGCCTGGAGAATGTGCTTTCCCAGGAAGAGGTCAAAGAGGTGGATCGGGCTTTCATGCTCGGTCTCGAGACAGAGGGTTTGGTCCTGGATCCTGCCAAGGAGAAGAAATTGGTTCGCAAAATCGACTTCTACATTCTGCCCATGATGTGCATTTTGATGTCGTGCCAACTTATGGATAAGTCCACCAACTCGTACGCTTCCATCATTGGTCTGAGAACCGATCTGGAAATGACCTCAAAGGAGTACTCCTGGGTGGGAAGTTCCTTTTACCTTGGATATGTTTTTTTCGAGTATCCGGCAAACATTCTGCTCCAGAAGTTTCCGATCTCGAAGGTGTTGTCGTGTGCTATTGTTGCCTGGGGTGTCGTCATCTGCTGCCATGGTGCATGCCACTCGGCAGTAACCTTTCTTCTTTGCCGTGTCCTCCTGGGGATGCTTGAATCCTTCATGGACCCTACTTACATGATCATGACCTCGCAATGGTACAAGAAAGAGGAGATGTATATCAGGTGCGGAGTCTGGCTGGGCTTCCAGGGTTTTGGAACCATGTTGGGATCTGGTATCGCATATGGTTTCTATCAACACCTCGATGCATACTCCCTGGCTCCCTGGAGACTTTTGTACATTGTGACTGGTGTCATCACCATTACCTTTGGTCTGATCTCTTTTGTTCATATTCCAGATATTCCCGTCAAAGCCTGGTTCCTGAACGACGAAGAGAAGCTATATGCCGTTGAGAGAATCAGAAAGAACAGAACTGGTTTCGGAAATCCAACCTACAAACCCAGTCAGCTCAAGGAGGCTTTCACAGATATCACCACATATTTGTACTTTTTCTTCATGTTTGGCTATGGTATTCCTAACGGTGGAATTGGTAACTTCGGCTCCATCCTTCTGAAGGAACAGTTCGGATTCACCACAGGATCTGCATTGTTGATGAACATGGTGGGATCCGGTATTGATATTGTTTTCCCAGTGGCTTTTGCTTACTTGGACAGATACTTCATCCGCTCACGCTTGATCACAGGTTGTGGTATCAACTGTTCCATCTTCATTGGCCTGTGTCTTCTTGCGTTTGCTGAGCCCAAGGCAGCGAAGATCATTGGTTATTACCTGACATATCTGACTACTGCCTCATGGGCATGTATGAGTTCGGTTGTTTCTTCGAATGTGGCTGGCCACACGAAGAAACTTGCTGCAAACACATGTTTTCTGATTGGTTTCGCTGCTGGAAACATTATTGGACCACAGTCTTTCCTTGGATCTGAGGCTCCAGTTTACATTACAGCTAAGAGAACCATGGTCGGCTGTTACGTAATTTCTGCCATTGTTCCAGCAATTCTTTATTTCATCTATACCAGAAGAAACAAAAAGAAGGATAGTCTCCAGGCCGAAATCAATGCTCTCGTTGCTGAGGACGAGCAAGACATCAAGACGTTTTTCGGTGATCTGACCGACAAAGAAAATCCAAACTTCAGGTATATGTTGTGAATGATTCATTAGGCTTTTACATATATTCATATCCATTTTTTCGCAATTTTTTTTCCATTTATTTGCCAACAAAAGTCACAAATAAAGACTGTTCGTCAGAAAGTCTCCGCCAGTCCACCAACGTGAAACCATCTGTGTTAATTTCCCAAACCCTCTCCAATAACATGATGACCGTGAGAATCATCTCGTTGCTCAAATTGTCATAAATTCGTCTCAATCTGGATATGTACCAATTTCTGTCAAGCTTGGCCACTATGTCAATTCCAAGAATCAATAATGGCAGCGTGAACACCACCTCGTTCTTACCACTCTTGGTGTAAGTGTCGAACAGCTGGTCGATATATTCCAGCATTCTCTTCACAAGAATAATAGTACCGGGACTATTGGACACTTGACGAAACACCGACTGGCGAAGATACAAAACGCCGGCATCTCTAGCAAAACGAAATGCTAGCTCAAATGCAGAAGGAGTGATGGACATTTCGTTAAGCCGTTTGTCCAAAGAAGCTGCCTCTTCTAATACGCTATTCATGTTCCAGGAACTCACAAATTGATACCTCATGTGATCGTTGGACAGGTTTGCCTTCATAGAAATTTCCAGCAAAAAATACAGGTTGGAAATTCTGGCGTAGAGTTTGACTATTGCAAGAAACTCATCTGTCGGAACACCTGGAAAGTAGTTCCGGTTGTCGTAAAGTTGCAGACCGTTTATCGTAGTGTCCATCATCAATTCAAGATCAGTGGAGTGGAAACCGGAAGAGGAATTGTCCGGAGTAATTGTAGAATCAAACGATATACCATTGGTATAGTACATGGACAACAGCTTGCATAAACATGCTCCCGTGGGAGATTCGAGAAGTTTCTGAGCACCTCCTCTCAATGTGACCATTGACTTTCCCAGCTTTAAAATGCGGGTCCACATTGTCGTCCTGCAGCCTTTTAAAGTTTCGATAGATAACAGAAGGTAGACACACATCAACGAATGGTCGCATCCAACAGATATCCTGTAGGTCAATCTCCTGCTCAACTCGTTCAGAGAATCAACATACATCTTGTCCATCCAGGGAGTCATATTTTTATACTGAGCGTGCTGAGGATTTTTGGACTTCATCATTTGAAGATATGCAAGAATGAATACACACTTCAGAACCAGAATATTGCCCACGATCAAGGGAAAGCATATCTTCAAAAAGCTCAGATACTGACCATTTTCTTCGGCCTCTTCTTCGCAAACGGAATATTCACAGTAGTATCTAAACAAATAATCCGCAAATTCCTTGTCTATGAAGCTTGGCAAGTTTGTGAACTTTGAGAAATCGTCTTCGGAAACAGCAGGGGCCTCAATGTAGATGATGTTCCGTAGCTTTTCTGGGTCTATCTTCAGATTTATATGATCGGGACTGTCATATACAGTCTGTGGATCATCTTCACTGCTAGTCTTGACCTTTCTATTACCCAGTATCAATGCCAAATTCGACTTTATGTCCACTGACTCGTTGTTATCTGCCAAATTGGCTCTGTAACCAGACAGGGCCAAATCAGAAACCGAGAAGTTTTCGCTCAGGAGAGCTTTCTCGTTGAAAATTTGAACTGTCTTCACTCCATCGCTTACCGTCGGGATATTTGACGAAGAGGAAATGATCTCACTAGTAGGCAAATAGAGAACAAGACTCTTTTTCTTCAAAGGTGGTACTGTAGTGTCAGTTGTAGTCGGATCGTTCAGCAAGTCCGTCAGCTGGCTTTTTCTCTTGTGGCCATTTTGGTCATATGATATGAATTGATTGGACGGATAAACACAATCTATGTTTCGCTTGGTGCAATACGAGCAGCTTGGCTTCTCTTGAGAGCACTTCTTTCTGGATCAGACAGTTAGGACCTCAACTCTGCAATCTCCGATTTGTCCATGATACTCACTTTCTTTCCCGACACTTGGAACACCCTCCACGGGAGATGCTTCTTTTCACTGCCATTGTGTCCTCCAAACAGATTGGCAGATTGACAGATTGACAGATTCGGGTTGGTCTTGTCAGGACGTGGGCTGCTGCAGGTTCAAACACACACGCCATCATCGGGTCGATGATTTACCCTCGGAACCCCGGTTCTTATCAGTCTTCTCCACAAAAAAAAAAAAATACTGGTGGGCTATCTCTAAAAATCATGGACCAGCCACAGTCGGCCCACTACGAAAATATAAAACTGAAATCGTACTCAAAATTGGGACAATGCTGTTCTCAAACTGCAAGTTCTACTAAAAAATTCTCCGAAAAAACGTTCCTTTCCGGACGAGACTAGGTCAACTGCTTACCGTCCCTAACATCAACGTAACTCCACAACCTTCTCCACCATGGCATGGAATAATAAGTTTCCAGAACAATGATCTCATCATCAGACAATGGCCTGTAACCTTCCACTAGATCAACATCCGCAGACCTCACGAACTTAGTCCTGAACACGATCTTGTATACCAGGTAAGTGACCAAGACCAGAGGAACACCTAAATATGTCTCGAAGAAATCATAGGCATTAGGGCTTCCTCCAACAGGGAATAAAGACGCATAAAATAATCCGATAAGTATCAACAGAGAGCCAACCGATACAAATAGCGGGCCGATAGGAAACAACTTGTCCTTATAGGCGAATGGAGTGTTGAGGATCTCCGATTTCTGTCTCCTGACTGCCATATGAAATCTAATGGAAACAATACCCAGGACTACCCAAACTGACATAAAAATGGTGGTCGTGACTGAAGAGAACCACGAGAAAACAGTTGCTCCACTACCTGTGCAGTTCATATATGTGAAGACTGCCGTGAACACAAAGGTGATGGCCAGCGACCAACGCGGTCTTCCCTTGGAGTCAACCTTTCCAATGAACTTGGGCAGCATTCCTCTCACAGCCAAGTGTCTCAGACATCTTGCAGCAATGTAGATGGGCTCCAGGCCCCCAAGGATAAGACAAATGGCCATAACCGCATTGAGAATGTCTGGCAAGACCTTGATACCTGCATCGTTTAAAGCAATGATGAATGGAGAACTAGCAATGGAACCCGCAGTTCCGTAAAGTCTGGTGTCTGTTTCTGGAACCAGCAAAGTGATGAAAACAACTAAGATCATGAAAAATCCAAAAATACGGAGACCAGCAGACTTGACTGTTCTGGGTAGACTGAACCTGGGGCTGCGAGCCTCACCTGCCAACATTCCTACAAACACCTGATCTCCAACTCCCCAGAGGCAGTATAAACAGCAATAAGACACACCACGAACACCGTTCTTAAAGATGTCATATTTGCTGCTATCCCAAAACTGGCCGTTGTGAACAGACCCAGTGGGTCCTCCACCGGCGCACATGATGATGCACGAGATAGTGAACATCAGGAGCATGACCACCTTCATGACAGAGGTCACGTATTGAAATTCCGCAAAGAATATGTTTGGAAGTGCGTGGATCAGAAAAGTAACCACAAGAATAATTGACATCCAAGCGGCAGTGGGGACGGCAGTGGTCCAGTAACTGATCAAACTGGTGGTGGCAGAACCTTCAGATGCCATAACCGTGGTCCAAGCCAACCATTCTCCCATACCAATGGCAAACGCCGCAGCCGGATCAAGAAATCTCTCAGTGAAATCAATAAAATTTCCACTAGAAGGATACAAAATCGACAATTCCGTTAAAATTTGCAAGACGCAGATCACCATGGAGCAAACGATGGTATAGCCTACCACCATGTTACCAGGCCCTCCAAATCTGAGCGACTTTCCAGTGGAAATAAAAATACCAGAGCCGATATTTGAGCCCAGAGCAACTATTTGAATATGTCTAGTTTTAAACGATCGACGCAATTTTCCCTGACCCTCTATCTCTCCGATCACGTTCCCCTCGAAATCTGTCTTGGAGACATCGCTTGCATCGTCTCTGAGCTCTGGGGCTTCCGTAATTTCTGTAGTGGTTAGGTCCTTATCAAGCATCTTGAAATTTTGAATAGTCAGAAAAAAGACAGTCCCGGTATTGTTAATGTATTCACGGAACTTGGCGCATCTTTATATCTCAGGCCAAGCATGCACAACGAGATCGTTTCTATCAGGATTGATGATAAGCGGTATTCTTGCCAAATGACTACCGCATAATGACCAGTCAATCTCCAGATAAAGACCTGATAACTAAGACATAAGCATCACCTTATCAAAAATCACAGCCGTAAAAACTTAGGGAAAGTCAAGCCGCCACACAGGCGTCTGTGGGCTATCGATAAGACACTGGTGTAAACCCAAATAGGAAAGATGCGCGAGGTTTCCCCCCCTGATAAGGTACAGATAAGGATCTGATTGAGATGGGATGTAGAAAGATCTGCTGGTCAGATTGGTGCCAAGCGTTGTTAATACATTGATCTGCTTTGTAGCCCCGCTATTCCACCGATGAAATTCTGTGTTAAATTTCAGAATTGCGGCTGTGACAATCTTGAACTTGGTAAGGTCCCCCATTCTCAAGCCATCGATCGATAAACAGCCAAGTTTTCCAGATATGGGTTCTCACTTTAACCATTACTCCTGAGCTCTTGGGAGCTTCAAATATTTCTTAAAAATGACAATGGCACCTGATTGAATATTATACACCAATAGGACTCTCTCCCACTAAAATAAATAATCATACCAGTCCTTGACATTCATCGTGTTAGGAACATTATCCTGCGTAGTCAAGTCTCCAACAGAAGCCTGACGGCCCACTTCGCCATAACCCACGCCATTGGAAGTTTGAATGGGAGTGCTCATACTATTATCAGGCGACGTACTATTGGGGTCCTTGAACGTCTGGTGGGTCCCATCAAAGACCCTCGCACCGGCTGGATTCGTGGATACATCGAATGATGGAGTCCAATTAGACGTGATACCATCCAGTAATATCAACGAGGTTATCCCGTCATCGGAGGTATTTCCAGTGCTACTTGACGTTCCATCCGGAGACTTTCCGGCGGACAAGTTTATGGCTGCTGGTGCAGGCTCTCCAGGACCGGTAGTGGAAAGCTCTGGAAACAGCTGAACGGGGTTGAAATTTTCAAAATATGGCGTGGTTCCGTCGGACACACTTTGCGTGAAAAGTGGGATATTATCATGGTAAGGATGATTACCGTATATCGTAGCACTGGAGCGATTTCCAGGCTGTGGTACTTTGATACCGGCCACCGGCGCTGGAGAAGACACCTCTGGAAGATTTTCAGGCTGAGGTTTCGACTCTGATTCCCTTCTCGAGTTCATCTTCAAGCCTTCATTAACGTCGGCACTAGAAACCAGCGCATCGTAGTCATTTTCAGAAATGGCTCGTGACTCCACCATCTTTAATAAGTCACGGATCACCCTCTGCTGCTTCTCCCTATCAGCGAGCAGAACTTCAAGTATCTTCAGCGTAATCCTGCCAATGCCCCAGTATTTAGCGATCTCTCTGAAGGCCTCAAGACACATGTTTGTAGCAGATTTTGCAATCCTAACGATCTTGGGGTTTTTGTTATGGTGATGATAAAGGAGAATCACACTAGCAGTGAAAATATTGTACACCATCCCGGCAGAACAAAATTTGATCTTTCCGGATTTCAAGAGGTTTCTGGCAATGATGGCTATCATATGAGAAGCCTGGAATGTGATACCCCATGATGGATAGTATTCATCTTGGGTTTCATCGGTCAGCGTTTTGGCAGCGGGTGTAGACATGTGGTCGTTCTTTGGACTTTCAGATGCCCTCATTACAATCTTCGTCCTTCTAATAATATTTGACCGATGTACCAGACACAAAATAGCGTAGTATTGGGCATTGATCATGGCACTGTACATGTTCTGTCTTGTGGGATCGTTGATCATGTATTGCAATGAGGGGGGGAGATTTTCGAGCCAGTTGCCCATGAGCATATCACAATTACGGACAACTGGGAGCCGTCCTAAACCTCTAGTTTCCTCAGCACGAACAGAATATTGTTGGCGTAGGACAAGACCAATCAGTTCAGCCAATTTCACGGAGTGGATGAAAAAATCAATGGAGACTCGATTCTTTGGGTACTTTGAAGGGAGCCCAGGCTCACTTTCATCGAAATCATCCTCCGTCACCATGGGAACATCACAATCCTCAAGATCAATTACCACTGGTCGTCCAAAACCAACCGCTACTCCTCGATCCCTCAGGAATAAAGACCACCAGACACGTCTCCAAACCTTCTTGTCAGCTTCTGATATGTATTTCGAGTATTGGATGTTTCTCTGGAAACCAAAGCCTTGGGCGACAGAGATCGCAACACGGGTCCAGTAGAATACGTTCTTTGTCACGTCTTCGACCCCATCCCAATACCAGCCAAACATAAGCAGTGACTGCACTATTGGGAGAGCCTCCGTCTCCACATTAGCATCATATAATGCCTTGGCACGCTGATACAGAATTGCAGACACCTTATCAAGGGTTTCTGTTCCAGAACCACCAAAAGCCTCAGGGTCCATAGCTTTGGAACCACATAAAAGAACAGTCTGTAGAAGCAGTAGACTGGGTGGATTCTTCAAATCTTTGTATTCCCTCATGAACTTTGATCTATTGATCAATGGCAAAACGGGATCAATGTTATCGAAGTATTTCTCGATCATTTCCCAGCAAAGAGACTCTTCAGGAAGTAGAAAGGCGCCTCTGAGCTTCAGTATCGTCAGCTCTGTTTCGCCTAAACGCGACAGTGAAAACTTAAGCTCACCACTGACTTCAGGTAACTGCTCCAGGGTACTGCCAGGTGTCTTCCCCTGGCCCAACAGGACATTAATATAGGCTGAATGGCCAAAAAACGACTTGCTTGCGCTTCCTAACTGCTCCGGATACAGTCCTGTCAAGGCGACTTCACGCGCGCTCATTATCGACTTGATATTTTCATCTAGGGTTTTGTTTGGATCGGAAAAGACCTCTCTGGCATTGCGCTCTACCTTTGCTCTCTTCGTGGTTTCACCCTCACTCTCATCACTTACACTCTCGGACTTCTCCTTTGATGGTTTACGCCGTTTCAACTCATGAATCTTGCACTCGCACCCAAATGTCACACAGTTCGTACATGGCATTCTCACAGTGGCATCACACCGAACCTTTCGGGTGTGACATATCTCGCAAGCTCTTGAGGATCGCGGCCGCCTAAACCTACCAGAAAAAGCGCCCCGTTTTCTCTGGGTATCATTGGTATCTGACTCGTACTCTATATCCTCTGACTTGAGAGAGGAAGAATTATGGTCCTCATTCATTTCAGCAGAATATTTAGCCTTGTTCAAAACGTCAAAAACTAATAACTAAGAAACCTGCGTTTACAACGGCTTGTTTCGTACGGCGCATCGGCATAAAACGGTCGGTGAGAACACGACCATTTATTTGTATTGACACGTCATTTTGATTGGAAATATTTCCTTTCTTATAGCTACTCAGACCAGTCCGGGGAACTGACACAAGGAGGAAACAGGCTCTGCGTTGTTTTTTGAAAGTGGCTTGGAGGGTACACATACGAGCACATCTGGCTTTATCTCTCATGACAATCACAAGCCGAATAGCTACTGTCTCGGCGGTAGCTCTTGTCTGTGCCTTGTACCTCTACTCGAAGAGACCACAAGTGGAAGACGGTCCTCCTCGAAAGAAGAAGAATATCGCTCAACTGATTGGAAACACTCCTTTGGTAAAGGTCCAGTCTCTTTCAAGACTGACCGGCTGCGAAATCTACGCGAAACTAGAGCTTGCCAATCCAGGTGGCTCTGCTAAAGACAGAGTTGCACTGGCTATCATAGAAGACTTTGAGGCTAGGGGATTACTTAGGCCCGGAAGGGGCGATGTGGTATTTGAGGGAACTTCAGGTTCAACAGGGATCTCGTTTGCGATGTTATGTAATGCTCTTGGATATACGGCACACATATCGCTGCCAGACGACACCTCCAACGAGAAGCTTCAACTGTTGGAGTCGTATGGTGCGATTCTTCAAAAAGTCAAACCGGCTTCAATTGTTGACCCAGATCAATATGTGAACTCAGCTAGGCGTTCTGCAGAAGCCTTGTCGAAGGATCCCAGCACACAGGCAATGGGTGTGTTTGCAGACCAGTTTGAAAATGACCAGAATTGGAGAGTGCATTACCGCACCACGGGTCCCGAGATATGGGACCAAATGGAGGAAAACATCGATATATTTGTTACGGGATCCGGTACTGGAGGCACAATTGCAGGCTGTGGCAAGTTTCTGAAGGAGAAAAATGCCAATATGGTCTGCATTCTTGCGGATCCCCAAGGCTCTGGTCTCTTCAACAGAGTCAACCACGGAGTCATGTATGACTCAGTCGAGAGAGAAGGAAGTCGCAGAAGGCACCAGGTTGACACGATAATAGAAGGAATTGGGCTCAACCGCCTCACTCACAACTTCAAGATTGGAGAAAAGCTGATTGACTACTCCATCAGGGTCGCAGATGTACAGGCCGTGCGAATGGCCAAGTTTCTTAGTATCAACGATGGTTTATTCCTGGGGTCTAGCAGTTGCATAAATGCTGTGGCCGCAGTTCAGGCAGCTCAGAATGCACAAAAGGGTTCCAAGATTGTGATGATAGCATGTGATTCTGGTAGCAGACATTTGTCCAAGTTCTGGAAACAGGCTTCAGAGGTATCCAGAGATGTCACCCTGGAAGAGGTGATGAGCGTTAGTTAGGGATGTCTTAACTAACATGCATAAGTATGTGAACATTAACTAACGATGTTATGCTTTGATATAGGAGAAATCGGATAACCACTTCAGACGTACGATTACCTTGCAGCATCAAGTCATATACAATTTTGTCCTGTTACAAAGGAGAATCTAAACCATGTATACATCAACAATATTTTCACAAGCTGCACCATCACAAATCATCAAAAGACCCTTCTATCACGCCCTGGTTCTTCCTTTTCTTCGAAGCCTTGACAACATCCTTCCAATCAACAGCGTTCTGTTCCTCGTCTGAACTATCCAGAGCATTTTCGGCAATTATCTTATCCACTGCTTCACGACGTCTCTTTGCCTTTTCGCGCCTCTCTTGCTTCACCTCTTTGGTATCCAGTTTCGAAGACCAAGCATCGTTCTTGTGCTGTTGAGCCTTCTTTTTCTCACTCTGTTCCTTCCTCTTCTTTTTCTCCACCTCTGTCTTCAGCTCTTTCAGTCTCACCTCCTCCAGTTGTGGATCTCTGTATGAATACTCGTCGAAGTTCACATCCTCGATGAAGCCATTCTCCGGCAAGTCTGCTTGGCTTATGTATCTCATTTCGGGCATTTTGGGCAAACGAGGCAGTCCATACATTCTAGCTGTTCCAATGTAATCCAAGGACTCCATTCTGAAAATGGAGGCTGCAGAGTGCATTGAATAGTACCTCACAAAAGCAACATAAGACCGGACACCACGATCATACCTCGCTCTATCCGCCATGATCCACTTTTTGACACCCTTCACAAAACGCCTGCTGAATTTGGAATCCTCGTCAAATGAATACGAGCTCTCGTCCAGGGTCACACCCCTAACGGCCATGAAATCGATATAGTCCAGCTCTCTTCCCACGCTCAACATTACAAAGGCCTTGCCCACCTTATTGGCCCTTCCTGTACGTCCACATCTGTGAAGGAACACATCAGGATCCGTGGGTGGATCAAGCTGGATCACCAGATCAACCTCGGGAACATCAATACCACGAGCAGCGACATCAGTCGTGAGGAGAATACTCTTTGTTCCAGTGGAATTGGTGAAGTTTGACAGAGTTTTGAGTCTGGGACCCGCCTTCAGTTTCCCATGCAAAGAGTAAAAGGTCAACTCGCCTTCTTGTAAATCTTCGTTCTCCTTCAAAATATGCTGTAACAGCCCGTAGAAGTATGTGACACTTATACAAGTTGGAAAGTAGACAATTGCCTTTTTGAATTGGTAATTAGCCAGCATATCGAACAGGAACTGCAGCTTCAAATGCGCTTTGACTGGAATGTAAGAGATACCCAGATTAGTTGGTGTGGATATCTGCTGGTACTGCGAGTTCATGGACTTCACGGTCACCTTAACAGGATTTGTCATACCAGCTTTGAAGATGGTATTTCCCGCGCTAGAAATGGTGGCTGAAAATAACCCTGTTCTTCTTTGCTTTGGAAGATGTCTCAGGATATCCGTCACAATCTTCTCGAAACTAATGTCTAGTAACTTATCAGCTTCGTCAAGGATGGCAATCTCACATGATCCACATCTTATGGATTGTGCACCAAGGAAATCCAGCAGTCTGCCCGGTGTTCCAATGAGTACCTGGGGCTTCCTTTGCAAGAAGTTCTGGACATCATCTCTAACGGTTCCAATAGAACCCACCAAAAGCTGGGTTTTCACCTCGGGAATTATGTCATCTTCGGGCTTGAATTTGAGGATATTTTCGAAAACAGACTGGATCTGACTCGCGAGCTCGCGCGTTGGTGATATTATCATTCCCACGAAATGGCCCTTCTTCAGAGGTCCATCTTCTTTGTAGAATCTGTAGAGCTTTTCCAAAATCGGTATCACAAATGCCAGAGTCTTTCCAGATCCAGTAACTGCCTCAACGACAACATCCTTATTCTGTGATAGCAAAGGAATCGTGGAAGCCTGAACAGGCGTCATGCTTGAATACCCCAAAGAGTGCATCGTTTCCACGCTATTGTATGTTAGTCAAAATGGTAATTTCAATTCTGGAAACAATTTAACTTACAGCCATGGCTGGATATTATACGACAACTGCTCCCACTCCAGCGAACTCTTGGTGCTAGTCATTGTGGTGGTGCTTGTAACTCATCTACATGATCCAAATTTTTTGCAGATAAACTTTCTTACACGATGAGTTCGTTATGAGCGATGCCCACAGGAGGTCGTGTGCGCAACGCCAATATTTTCCATGCCATAAGTGCATGTTAACGACTGAAAAGTTTGGTGCAACAAAGAATTTGCAATCCCATGGTGGAAAGTTGATGTTTGGCTACTTCAACGTGGGTACTGGACTGATCATGGCGAGGAAAAGGCTATTCAGTGTGATGAGTGTCCAGAGCAAAGGCCCTACTGAGCCATCCAAGGTCCCAGACTATACGAACTGGACCAAGAAGCAGCTGCTCAAGAAAATCCTGGAACTCGAAGGAAGGGAAGACGAGATAGAGGAAACGCCTTTGCAGGTAGTACGTCCTCCTAAAGAGAGTACGGAGCTAGATTTCTCGAAATATCACAGCAGGAAGATAGCCTTGCGGTTCTCGTACTTGGGATGGAATTACCAGGGTCTGGCAGTGCAAAGGGAAGCCACCACTTTGCCTACCGTTGAGTTTGAGATTCTGAAAGCTTTGCACAGAACGAAAATGATTAAAAGTTTGACTCCATCCGATTGTGACTTTAGTCGATGCGGCAGGACTGACAAAGGTGTAAGCGCCATGAACCAAGTGATATCTTTGAGAGTGAGATCCAAGCTGGATCCCGAGGAACAAAAGGATCCGCTGAATGACCCCAAAGAACTGGATTATGTGAACATCCTGAACAAGATTGTTCCTGACGATATCAAGTTCCATGCTATATGTTTGCGTCCTCCAGAGGGCTTCGATGCCAGGTTCAGCTGTATTGGTCGCCATTACAAGTACATATTCGAGGGCGAAGGTTTGGACATTGAGCTAATGAGAAAGGCTGCGAAAAAGTTTGAGGGAGTGCATGATTTTAGGAATTTTTGCAAAGTGGATGGAGCCAAGCAAATAACGAATTTCGTGAGGAACGTATTTTCAGCAGAGATTCTGGAGTTAAAAGGTCATGACAATTTGTATGTGTTTGATCTTAAGGGAAAGGCCTTCTTGTGGCATCAAGTTCGTTGTATGATGGCTATTCTTTTTCAGGTGGGTCAAAAGCTGGAGAATGACTCGATTATTGACTACCTTCTCGACATCGAAAAGTGTCCCAGAAAGCCACTGTACAATATGGCTCACGATATACCGCTTGTGCTATATGACTGCACGTTCCCTGAAATGGAGTGGATCGATTCAGCTGAGGGTATAAAAGGGATGAGGTCGAGTTCCAGACTCAAAGCCTTGAATCACGATTACAGGTTGAAGAATCTTATCTCGGACTTCCAGACGGAGATCTCCATCAAGCATTCCCTGAGCGTTTCACCTGGAATTGTATGTGAAAATGTAGGTGACGGACTGGGCGCTTTCCTTAGAAAGTATACCCCCATGAAGGATAGATCAACTTCAAAGTCACCGGAAGAACTCAACGAAGCATGGAGGTTAAAGAAGGGTGATAAGGAAGATAGTGACGAATAATGGTGATCGTTGGTGCGGCTGTAAATTGATTATAACACTCCCATATTCGAGAGACTATGATACATCTTTGTTAAGATAGTGGTTCGATTGAAGACTTGTGCCTTAGCTATAGAAGGTGCTAGTTTGTTGGGAATAAGCGGTATTGAGAAGTAGAAACTCCATGAGAGGTGCTGTATCCGAGCTACGAACATGGTGTTCGACAAGGGAGATTGCTATTGTATCAGAACAGGATGAAACAGGTGGAGCACACCAACGAGTGCACGAATGAGGTCCTCGAAAAATTTGAATATGAGATGAGAATATTTTTACAGTAGAATAATTGCCTGCTTATAACTTTCCAGTAATCCGTTGGCTCAAATTCCTCAAACACCACCATAATCCCAGATTTCAAGATCTCTATTGTCTGTTCCGGCTGATGTCTAAAGTCCGAGCCGAGGGCGATGTGCCGAAGCAGATTTCAAAAATTTTGACGCGCAGCCAAAATCACCGCTTGAGTATCGCTTTAGGAGTTTGGTTAGATAACAAATTAGAGGACTACGTGCCGAAAATACTCGGCCAAAACAATTGTCGTACTTTCCCAGAATACGGCGTATTTCCCTGTTTCTCCACCATCATACCAAGCTTCTCGGCATTTGCCAAGAGTGGAGACAGCTGAGTACCAGAGGCGGGCAGGCTAAGTGTTCAGCTCCCAGTGAATGGGCTATTTCATGAATACCAAGGTGAAACTCCAATGGAACAATAAAATAGTCGTTTTTCCATCTTTGATACTGCGAATCTCGCTAATTTTTTGGTGTTCGCTGCCGTATAATTGACACAAAATAGCAGCATAACTAAGCAGCAAAGGGTACCAGCTTCAACGCGGCTTTATCATGACTGATCTAGACGAGGCGATCGTGTCGAAGCTAACCGATCAAAGGCTTGACGACAATAAGGATTTTTCAGAGTATCTCGGAGATTTGGAAACGCAACATTTATTAGACGAGGAACACTTGAGTCTACTGCCATTCCCTTCATGCGGGGACATTTGCTATCTTGATAAGACCTCCAACCCACCAATATTTGAGGGCTCGGGAGGCATCATTTGGAAGTCCAGAATTAAGGCCAAAATTAATGGAGTGAAGATTGGTGATACTGTGGCTATCAAATGTCTTTTAAACCCAGAAAACAAGAAGCCTGCTACGTATATGAAAAACTCTCTCAGTGAGTTCCTAACGATGAAGAGAGGATGTCTGAAGAACCACAGCATAAGCCAGGTTTATGCCATTTGTCGGGATATGGAGGACGGAGTTGCACAGTATTCGCTGGTACTGCCATACTTCAAAAATGGCGATCTTCTGTCGCTGCTTACCAAAGTCACTCGGTACAACCTGGCCTTCCCCCAATCGGAGCGCGATCTTATATTTTGCAAAATCATCAACGCAGTGAAGGCTTTGCAGAATGAAAATATTGTCCATAGAGATATCAAGCCGGAAAATGTACTTATAGACGACAATGGTGACGTGAAACTAGGTGATTTTGGGTATGCCATATACCTGGCCAAAACAGAGATGTATGAGGACCCCACCAAGTATGGTGACGATGACTTGCGAAACGACAGCAACTTCTTTTTGGGAACGAAAAGCTTCAAAGCTCCCGAACTTTTTCAATATGATCCCACAAAGGAGCACAAGCCCAACCATGAGGGTCTAAACCTGAAAGCCAGCGATATCTGGAGCTTGGGACTGTTCTATTTTCTCGTCTCGTCCATCCCCAGGCCTTGGAAGGTTGCCAATTCGTCTGATAAAGAGTACAAAGACTATGCTCGCATTTACGGTCTCATGAACATCGACGAAGCCACCGAGGCGGATATCAATATGAACATCATTTCCCAGCCAGCCCTACCAAAGTTCAAGAAGTTGCCTGACTCTTCCAGGGAATGTATTCTCAAAATGCTCAATCCTGATCCTCAGAGGAGATGGGATATCAAGCAGGTAACCAGATCTGAATGGTTTCGCGATAGACAGTATACCTTCAAGTCGAAGTTGGACGACAAAACTCACAGGAACGAGTTTGTGTTGAATCTTTTGTCCTATTGAGGCTATTTGGTGTTATAGCCATGTTTGGCCCGTCACTCTTGACTTTTCATAATTCCATTCAATTGGCCACATTCGCTTAGCATAATGAAATGGTTTGGCTCCGGTTGTCTCCCTGTTGATAGTCTTTTTTTCAATCCAATCCGTGCTATTTTTCACTCCATTCAGCAAGATTTTCTCACATTTTGACAGATATGCCGTAGCATTACTTCTATTTAACTCCTCCCCCACATCGCCACTTTCTGGGAATCTTCGGCGCCAGCTCCTTGCTTCCTCTTGGACCTCATTATTGTATATATGCATCGGCTGTGTTTATTCCTCTTTAACCTCGTTGGACTGTCTGTTGCCCAAGACTTTATCTGCCAAACCCAACTCCACAGCCTCTTCAGCAGTGAGAAATCGATCTCTCTCCAACAACTCGCCAATCTTTTCGATTGTCATCGATGAATCCATGTGCTTCAAATAGATCTCTTGGAGCTTTCTCTTGGTGTTGATTATATGATTCGCGTGGATTTCTATATCACTGGCCTGGCCGCTAAACCCGCCGCTTGGCTGGTGGACCATTATGATGGAGTTCGGCAGAGCCAGCCTCAGTCCCTTTGTTCCACTGGCAAGAAGAAGTGATCCCATTGAACATGCTTGGCCCAGACAAACAGTGGAAACGGGAGCCTTTATATACTGGATCGTATCATAGATGGCCAGTCCCGACGTTATGGCTCCACCAGGTGAATTGATGTAGATATGTATCGGTTTGGTAGAGGACTGGGATTCCAGATATAACAATTGGGCTGTAATGGAAGTGGCCAATGCATCATCAACAGGACCTGCTAAATAAATGATCCTTTCACTCAAAAGTTTGCCATACACATCTGTTTGAGCAGCCATAACCGGGCTTCTAAAAGGCATGGAATGAAGTGTATCAATTGTTCTGGAAAACGCGAGACATCTCTGTGTGGAGAACCTTCTCAGAAACTGTACTCTCAACATGGGCGCTGCCATCCAGAAAGTAGCAACAATTGTGGAAATGGTCTTGTCAAACTAAGGTAGGTGCGATCATAGATAAGATACTCTTGTTTAACGTGTCTGCTAGTGCTGTCATTTGTTGAACGGGCAGGAGATGAAGAATGGCATCTGGCTGCCATTTCAGTAACGGGTAAGTGAGGTACACCAGAGCGCTGAATACGGGAGAACTGGAAACTAAGTGTCAGCTCAATATTTGGGAATCTTGGAATTTTTTTGAATAAGGATCATTCACGGAAACATTAGTGGATTTTTTTATGCTTTTTCCGTACTAGATTCATCCTGGGCCATGGCTTTGACTTCACACGGCTTTGGGAGTGGAAATCGCCAAATGCGGCGGCATGTGAGGCTCAAACCAGCCAACCCGACCAAATGCCTCAGTTGAAGCTTATCATTGAAATTTTGGGACAGATTGCAAGTGTTGAGGGTGAAGTAATTCATGAATGTTGTGGTTCCTAATTTTGGCAATTCCAACGCCTTTTCCGTGTTTTAAATCTTATCTAGCTTGAAACCATCAACGACCGGAATGCACATTATGCGAGTGATCTTTATAGGCATATCGCACTCTCGTGGGATATACTCACTCATTTTTTATATTGAAAATAAGCACAAGAAGTTGCGGAATCCACTTTCTTGCCTTTTTGCAGAATCCCCGTTGTCCGTCTATTTCTGTCTTTGCCTGTCAGACCTCCAACTGGTCACATAGATAATTATCCTATTGTAAAGGCCTCATCGCGCACAACAACCTTGCAGACGGCCCACATTGTACACATAAGGCAGAGCGAAAGAAATGGCAAGATCACGTAACGGAATAACTAGAAGCGCCGTCTTGAGAGCATTCCAGCTGCAAATATGATAAGATATGACATGAACGGACTACGAAAACACGTATCTTGAAGAATTCATGCAGAAAGAGAAAAAGTTTACTTTATAGCGACATAGTCCACCCAACATTTGCGAAAGCATCGAATGGTTTGGAAATTGGCACAAGACCAAATTTTAGATAACATAGAAGGGGCTGCACTCGCCAACTAGATGGAATTAGGATGATACGCTTTTTCAGGCGTATTTCGACGCGCGCGCTGGATATTCCCTACACCTACAAACAATTATACATGAATGCAGGTAACATTCGGCAGAATCTGAAGATCGCAAAGCATACGGGCTTACAAACTTAAATTCGGCTAACCCGGTCTTACCGCTCGAGTCTCGTCTGAGAATTATTCCTCATAAACAGTTCTTGAACAGATTCAACTCAAAGCTTAGAACACGAAGCCAAACTTGGGGTTTGTCAAGCATTGCATCAAGTTGATAGGAAAGGGTGGCGTTTATGCCGAAAGTGGTCTAAAGAATTTCTTTTCCCGGTTTTGAGGGCCATTTGGGTCCAGATATATGCAGGGCAGTTCTGGCCAATCAAATGAGCCGAACCATTAGCGTGCATATTCCCAGATATACCCCTTCAGAGACTTCATCACGCGTAATTATAGGAACCTGCAATGCAGGTGCACCCAAATTGGTACAGCTGCAGTGCGCACTGCTAGTACAATACTTGAGTAAATCCGGCAAGTCCGGTTTGGACAAACCTTCTCCAACGATCTCCCTGTCTAAACAGGCTATTCTTTTCCACTTTCCATTCCGCCCCACCAATTGGAGATTCCAGCACCAGCCTTTTTTGGTTTTGGCAGAATCCCCGTGCTAATTTCCCCCAAACCAGTTTCCCATCCTTGTTCATCTTCGCTCACCTTTGAACCTGATACTCTTTTTTTTCTTTGGATATTTTTATTTACCAACCCATCAACGGCCAAGTTTCCTTTTTTTTTCTTCAATTGCTACTGTACCTGTGCACTGAGTCGAGTGGGAAGCCGCAGCGCCAAATATTTTTGTTTTATTCTGGTTCTTTTGCTTGTACCGAAGAAACAGAGTTCAAGCCTCTTGTCCCCAAACACGATCAGGACATCAATATTAAAGGCCCCACTGCTCCCTACCATAAGGCGATCCCGGCACAAAATCGCGCGCTGGTGATTTTTTTGCTATCGACGAATTTTCAAGTTCGATAGTTCACCTCAAAGCGGAAAGTTTTATTGAGGCAGAACCTCTCATACTACACCCGCAACGACCAGAGTTATTTGCCAATCAACACCAGTCAAATTCATCGCTACTCAAACGATTGTATCAAGTGAAATCAAAAATCAGTCACTTGAACTAACGGAAGTCTCAACTTCTTATCGCATTATCAATTTCATCTTTGACTTCAAACTCACAATCACCACTGCATTCAACCAGCATGTCTAGAGAGAACTCAGGAATCGATCCTACGAGTATAGACATCATGAACTCGATACAGACCCAGCCGCAACTGGTGAGCTCTGGTTCCGCCAGCAATGTGAACGTGTTTTCTTCTACTTCGCCAAACATAGGAAGACAGCTTTCGAATGGAAACGTGAACTCCGGCCTAAACAACTCAATGGCCCAATTATCGCTGAACAACTCTCTTCCTCCGCAACAGCAGCAATTTCAAAGCTTTTCAATTCGTGTGAAAAATGTACCTTTGGACATTTCTCCAAGAGAAGCATACGTGCTGTTTGCACTGTCTGACGATCTCATCAGTGTTGAACTACAATATAGTACTCCAATTCATGGCAATTCTTTCAGCACGGATAGTGGGGAGCTTTCGACATCTCCTCTCGCTAGTCCCTCGAGCATCCCTACGATAGTGGCCAGATTCGGCTCCCTGAAGTCAGCTCAGACTGCCGCAGTCAAATTGGACTCCAAGATGGTTTTCGGCCACAATTATCACCCTGTCAAGATTGAATTTGAGGAGTTGATGCAGAGCATACAAACAAACGCAAACTCTATTGGAAATTCGCCTCTTTTATCTTCAGCCGCAGTTGCTGCTGCCACCAACGGTTACATCACATCACCACCAAACTCGGGCTCGACCATGTCTGGAGGTGTGGGGAACGGGTTGCCTCCATTATCGCATGCGGGGTCTTTCAGTATCAATAACGGTTCAATGCCGCTGCAGCAGAGCCAGTCGCAGCCTCAATCCCAGCAGGGCCAACTTCCTAGTTCTGCGAACGGTTTCATGCAGAAAAGGCCTTCTGTCGGGTCACAGAGGTCCAGGTTTTTGTTTGGAGACTCATTCAACGGTGTTGACGATATAAACGCTGGCTTGAATGGCAAGTCTATACTGCTGATGGAGTCGCAAAACGATGCCAGGGAGTACGATCAGTTGGTTAGAGGAGGTCCATGGGGCTCGAACGAAAGCCCCAACTCTGTGCCACCTCCCAATATTCAGCAGCCGCAGCAGCAGCAAATTCAAGGTCAGGCCCCCAATATGGATTGGGATAGAAGAAGACAAGGATCTGCATTCTTCTCGAATCCCCCTACGAGTCAGGGACAACCAACTCCTACTGGGTTAGGATCAGGTTCTCTGCAGCAGAGCCAGGTTCCGCAGTCCAATAACCAGCCCATGCAAATTCCCTCCCTGGGCCAACCCAACGTTTCTTCTTCGAACACTATCACATCTCCACAGGCTCAACCCCAATCTCATCAGGCATCAATTCCTGATCTTTCGCTTCTCGCAAGAGTTCCACCACCAGTGAACCCGGCAGACCAAAATCCGCCCTGCAACACTCTTTACGTGGGAAACTTGCCTCCAGATGCTACTGAGGCAGAATTGAGAGCGTTGTTTGCCCCGCAGCAGGGTTTCAGGAGATTGTCGTTTAGAACCAAAGTTTTGAACCAAAACGGTGCTGCCTCCAACGTCTCCCATCATTCTCATGGTCCCATGTGTTTTGTTGAGTTTGAAGATGTTGCCCACGCTACCAGAGCTCTGGCGGAGCTCTATGGCCGTGCCCTTCCAAGACCAGGTGGAGTCTCAGGGAAAGGTGGCATCAGACTGAGTTTCAGCAAGAACCCCCTTGGAGTTAGGGGTCCTGGCCAGCAAAGAAGATCATCCACTAACGCTGGTTTTGGATATCAGCAATCCCAGCCTCAAACTCAATTCCAGCAACAACAGCCTCTTGCTCAACCGCAAACCCAGCAAAAGTAGACTTTCAAGTCAAAGCGAACATTATCTTTAGCATTGCAATCATGAGCAACACCATATGGACAATCTCAACAAGGGAACCTTTATCATTAAAACATCCCATTTTGTCATCATCACTTTTGCCGGGCTGTTGGACCGTATTGACTCCCAATAATCTCCGTCTTGCCCATGTTATTGTCTCTTTTCTTGCTTCATCGATCATCACTTATCTTTACTCATGGACATTCACGTGCGCTAGCATTCATTCTGCGAAAAACGCCTTTTCCCTCTCGATTATTATGCTGCTTGCTTATTTTATCTTTTTGCGAAGTGGTTGATCTGATCCACTAGACCGCGGGAACGGTCTTCCATTTCAAATCATTTCCTTTTGTATTATTCCTTCTATATCTGTCATTTATAGTTATGGTTGAACCTGTATTATTTTCAAAATCATTTGTAGAGAATGTTCATTAGATATCCAAAACTTTGCAAAATCTCAAAAAAAGAAAAAACGCCAAATCGTATAAATTTCATAAAAAAACCGTCATCTTAAAATAACGCATTGAACGAGCTTCTTGAAAACGTTAAGTTCAAGATCTCACTAATATCGTGGGAATCAGCAGCAATCACAGGATCATGGTGAGTGTTGAATTGTTTAACGACAACGACCAATCCTGTGCAGCTTTTGAAGGCATTTCGTATTTCGTTCCGTTTCGGATCCTTCTTATTCTGCAACCGTTTGCTCACCTGTTTGAGGAACTTAAGGGCATACATTTGGGTGTCTCTTATATAGCCCATATTATCCACAGGAGTCTCCAAAGCTCTGCGGCATTCGAATAAAATTCCACCTCTCAAAAATTCCTCCTCGAGTCTTGGGAACCCTCTTCCACAAGAACTCGCATTGTAGAGATTGTATGGAGTAACCAATGCACTTGCCAGACTGAACAGATCGGCCCGAATTTTCGCATGTGCTCCAGAACTCTTCAACAGTTGTACAAGCATGCTAATAATGTTTTCGTTAAGTATTGCATTTCTGAAGGGCTCGTCAACGGAAGGTTCTTCAATAGCAGCCTCCATTATTCCCAAGATCATGCATAAATTATGCAGCTTATCCACCGATGGGTGTTTTAGATACTCATTTGCCAAGGGAACGAAAACCAGAGGAATTTGGAGACTTTTTAGTGGAGACTCCACACTGCTCTGTATCATGTGTTTCTTGAGAATCTGGTCAAGAACCATCAACTGACAGACCTTCAACGTCTTTTTCAAAACACCTTCCGAAACGGTGCCATTGATTAGCTTGAGAAATAACCGCGACAGTCCATCACGAAGACACTGCCTTTTGAGACTTGTGTAAAATATTGTAGTTTTCTCACAGAGCAATTCCACCAGATTCAACGACTCCATTATCAGTTCTGGGGAAGTGCTTTGGATGGAGTAAACCAGAACTCCTTGACTGAACTCTTTATGGGTGAACACACATCGACAATTGGCATTTCCCCTAATGGAATTACCAAATCCTCGTATTATTGAAACCTTGAGCGAATCTGATAATTCTGGATTGTGAAGTTTGTCAATAAGAACTCTGGATAACGTCGTTGTGCCAGACTCCTTCGATGGCACGAAATGAACATATGATCTAGCAGTCACATGTCGCGTCATGTTCCCAAGAATGTCCACCACACGTGCGCGGTTGAAATCACTCAAAGAAGCGTCATTCAAGAGAATAAAGAGATTTTCCAAGAACTTCAGTTCAACCACCATGTAGTCCACCAGACTAGTGTTAGTTGCGTTCTCAAAGGCAGTAACTTTCGCTAGCAGTTTCAGGGCGAACATCAATTCTTCAGTATTCTCGGATCTGAAATCTCCCACAAATTTCACCAGAGCTCGTATTATGTCTGGATGTTCCACTATCTCGACCAGAAATTTCTGGCGTAATACAAAACAGCTTCTGGTCTCCTTGATCATGCACTGTAGCAGCTTGATAGTGGGTAAAGGCGCAGCCAAGGAAATCTCAGCAGACTCATTATCCCGTACAAAATTTCCGAGACTCTCAAGTAACCCATTTGACAAACTGTCATACAATATCGCATACTTGTATCGGGATGGAAACTTCTCACATTCCTCCAAACAGAGCATCATGCTCTCCGCATTGGGCTGCATTCGTAGTTTCACAGCCATTGCTTTTACGGAGGACTGATGGCTGTTCTCGCCCTCGTGTAAAATTTCACAACTGAATATGTCGTCGTAATAACCCACAGTGTTCCTGAAAACAATGTTATTGGGGCATTTCCGTGGAATATCACTGATTTCCAGGGAAGACTCCCCCAGGTTTGGTGAATCCGAGGTCTCCCGTACCTTTGCCCTATTCACATTTAAGAAAGAGAACGATTTCACGACTTTAGCCATGGTTAACAGGAGGTACCCTGGGAAAAGCCAGAAAATTCCAGGAAAACTCCTGGGAAATACCTTTGGTGGAAGTCTTTTCTGGATTTAAATTTTTCAACATTCCAGGAGTCTTGGCTGAAGGCTTATGCAGCACATGCATCACATCATCGCACCGTGCATTATGTGAGCATTCATGGGAGGGACAGGTAGCTGATTGGCCGGTTAAGTCTAAGCATATCCGCGAATACAGGTAGATAATATGGGGTTTACTACTTGGTTATACTTATCGGTGATTAAGAGATGCATGCAAACGACTACGCAAAACTCTGGGTTTTCCTGCCTAGTACAGCCGCATGTATCGAAGTCTTATCTAGACCATCGTTGAAACAGCTCGTGCATTTCCACACACAATCACCAAATCCCGATTCCTGGCAAATTCCAATTAACTTCTCCGGTAATTCGCATCACCATCATACTAAATAAAAGTGGACGCATTTTTCAATTGCAACCGGCCATCCGAACGTCCCTCCTCTTGCCCTTCCCCCTCCCCTTCCGATATACGTGCACATTTCAATTTGACAGTAGGCTATCTCTTGGCATCACGTGACATTTTGCGATCCTAGATTCGGTTCATTTTTCAAAGGCCGCACCGAGACGTAACCAGACATCGGAATAGTTTTTCATTAGAACAGGCTTGCAAGACTCTACGTTATTTGATCTCAAATTTTCAGGTAGTTGCCCCTCAGCCTAAAATGCCCTCCATAGACGAGAAAACGAGTGTTACTCCAAGCACCGGGTCAGACTCAGAAAGTGTCAACTCTGAGACCGCATCCAGCCTATCGTCAACTTCCCCATCCTCTCCTTTCGGACTGCCTTTAGACTTTGAAAACCTCAATGGAACTGTTTTGACATCTCCACACACGCTGGTGGCCTCCGTGGTTTACTTTCTTTCTGAGAATGTCTTCTCATATGCTGCACCGGGTGCTGATGCCGCTTTAGATGCTCCTCTCCAACTATGGAGAACTTTTCAGAGAAAAAACTATCAGGGTGTTGTTCCTGAGTTGAACAGATTCCAGGTCAGATCGGGTGCTTCTAACGCTTTGCTCGGATATGTCTCTCAATCGGAAACGATTCCGGTCTCGGTTTTCGCTGCGGGCTCTGCTTTGAACTACATGCTTCCCACGCTGTCTAAGGCTGGATCCAAGCTTCCATTGGCTCTGAACGTTGCCGCCTTGGATTACGATACCACTACCAGCACTCTGGTTCCAGACTACTTGACTCCAATCTCTACAGCCAGAAGTTTGGGCTGGCAGGTGATCACTCCGTTTGACGCAAACGAGGCCCAGTACACCTCCATCCTGGCATTGGCCCTCTCTCGCGTTCAGACCACCGTCAACTTGTACGACGGCCCCAATTTTTTGAGAGAAAGTGGCCTGACTAAAAATGTGATCACCAAAGACCAATCTGCTCGGATTTTCAAGGCCTTGCTGGAACAGGTCCCAACTTGGAAAACATTGCCTGCTTCTAAGAGGGTCCATGCTGCATTGAAAGCTTTGAACGAAGTCTCCGGTGTCTCACCCATCAAATCGTTTGAATATTCTGGTCATGCCACTCCTCAGACCGTGTTCGTGACCTATGGTTCTGTTGAAAGCAAAATTTTGCTGAATACCGTAGCCAAATTGGGAGCCGCTAACGTCTCTGTGGGTGCAGTTGCGGTCAGAGTTCCTTTGCCTTTTGACTCGGAGTCTTTTGCTGCTGCAATTCCAGCGACTGCGCAAAGAATAGTTGTGATTAATCAGGTCTCTGGTTCTTCTTCGTTCTTGAAACAAGACGTGGCTTCAGCGTTGTATTTGGAGAGAGGACCTCAGATTAGAGTCGAAGGTTACCAGTACGCTCCAAGCCATGTCTGGTCCCAGTCCTCGATGCAGTCTATTATTAGCTCATTTGTGGTTGTTCCTGAAGCATCTTCAACTTCTCCTTCTTCTGGGAATTTTCTTTTCTGGTCCAAGGACAACGCCAAGTTGGTTGATCTGCCTTCCAAGCTGGCTCATTCTCTCTCTCTGGACCCATCCAACCACGTTAGATACAGAGCCAAATATGATAATGTTGCTGCTGCTGGAATGTTCCAAGCCCAGATCACTACTTCGGACTTCCATGCTGGCGAAATTGACGCTGCAGATGTAGTTGTGGTTGAGAGTGCCGAGGTGCTGGATTCGTTTAACGTTCTGTCCAGTGCCAAATCTGGTGCTACAGTCTTGCTTGTCTCTTCTAAAAAAATCGAGGACATTGAGTCGTATGCTGAGTCGCTTCCCGCTGCCTTTAGACGTGCTTCTGTCAAGCGCAACGTCAAACTCGTTGCCGTTGATCTGGAGTCGGTGGGTGAAGAAGAAGCTACTCAAGGCCGTACTGCAGCCATTGCTCTCCAAACAGCCTTCTTCAAGGCTGCTTATCCAGCCGCTGATAAGGGCTATATTGTTAACAAGGTTCTTGCTTCAGCAGGTGCTGAAGCCGAACTTTTGGCCGTGGTTATCGCTACTTTGGTCTCCAAGGTTGAGGAGGTTGGTATTAAGCAATTGTCCACCAAGAAGGAGTGGGCCGATGCTGTTTCCGAGGAAGAAACTGTTCTTCCTAACCGTTTGCTGGAAACTTCTTTTGAGGCAAATCCAAGATACGAGCCATCCCATGATGCTCCAGCCTTGGAAAGCTCTAACGAAGCCAAAAAGAGGGTTGTCTTCAAAGAGAGTTTCAACACCCAGAGCCAACTTAGACCAGACTTGCCTGTTCGCAACTTCGTGGTGAAGGTCCAAGAAAACAAAAGATTGACACCTGCTGAATATTCTCGTAATATTTTCCATATCGAGTTTGATATAACTGGAACTGGGCTCACCTACGATATTGGTGAGGCTCTCGGTATTCATGGAAGAAACAACACTAAGGACGTCGGTGAATTTTTGGCCTCTTATGGTTTGAATGGCACCGATCTCATACAGGTTCCTCACAGGGAAAATGCCGATATGCTTGAGACCAGAACCGTATTCCAAGCCTTCACTGAGAACCTGGATATTTTGGGTAAACCACCCAAGAGATTTTACGAGGGTTTGGCGGAATATGCAACTGACTCAGGTGAGAGGGCCAAGCTGGAACACATTGCCTCGGCTGCCGGTGCGTCCATCTTGAAAGAGTATCAGGAAGAAGAGTTTTACACTTACGCGGACATCCTTGATTTGTTCCCTAGTGCCAGACCTTCTGCCGGTGGATTGGCCCAGTTGATCGCTCCTCTCAAGAGAAGAGAGTACTCCATCGCCTCTTCGCAGAAAATGCACCCAAATGCCGTTCACTTGCTCGTGGTTGTTGTCGATTGGATCGACAAGCGTGGCAGAGTCAGAAGTGGACACTGTTCCAAATACTTGTCTGGTCTGAGCGTTGGCACCGAATTGGTGGTGAGCGTCAAGCCATCCGTCATGAAGCTTCCACCTCTGTCTACCCAGCCTATCGTCATGGCTGGTTTGGGTACCGGTCTTGCTCCTTTCAAGGCTTTTGTCGAGGAGAAATTATGGCAAAAGTCCCAGGGTCTGGAAATCGGAGAAATCTACCTTTATTTGGGTGCCAGACACAAGAAGGAGGAGTATCTGTACGGTGAGCTATGGGAGGCCTACCTGCATGCAGGAGTCATGACGCGTGTGGGTGCGGCGTTCTCAAGAGATCAAGAATTCAAGATATACATCCAGGATAAAATCCGCGAGGATCTCACTGAGCTCACCGAGGCTATTTCAGACAAAAACGGTTCGTTTTATCTGTGTGGCCCTACATGGCCTGTTCCAGACATTACTGCATGCCTGCAGGACATTATCACCAACGATGCTGCTAAGCGTGGAGTCACCGTGGACTCAGCCCACGAGGTTGAGGAAATGAAGGAGACTGGTCGTTATGTGTTGGAAGTTTACTAGACCTCGATTGCTATATAATCTCAAATAAACCCTCCATCCATATAGGTGTCCAACTTCCCCAGAGTACTTTTCATATATGTCGCATGCGATGCGTGTGCAGCCCAAGATTGCCCTCCCCGCCCCATCCCGGTCACCCGCCGGAACCAAACCCGGCCGGGCCCCAGAAAGGAAGGCAGCTATCTGTTCCACTATCTTACCTTTTAGCAATCACATCTGAGCTGTATTTTATGCCAGTTTTTTACTCAGTTTATGCGATCTTGTTATAAATCTGGGATCATTTCCGCGGAATAGGTGGAATTCTGATTTTGACGTTGGTGAGGCGTTGAACTGGAGTCCCACTAACCTTACAACAGATCAGCACCAGCACAACATCATGGAGTCACCACAAGGCTACGCAGACCGGATAAACTCCATTAGGGAGAAGGAGTATCCCCAGCTGATTGATCAAGGCACCAAGACTTCGCACGTGTATCTCGACCATGCTGGGATGACATTATACTGCAAATCGCTCCTCACAGAGTCCACCAACAGACTGCTATCAGGAATCATGGGAAACCCCCACTCGCAATCGCTAGCTTCTCAGAAAACAGAAGCGCTAATTAGTTCTGTCAGATTCAAGGTTCTAGAACTCTTTCAGGCGGATCCTATGGTGTTTGACCTGGTATTCACTTTGAACTCCACCGCTGCTATGAAGATGCTGCAACAAGGACTTTCCGATACTTTTGGATCCTACTCCTACGCATACAACAGTCACAGTCACACATCAGCTGTGGGACTGCGGGAATATTCTTCAGACTTCTGTTGTTTTGATGATCCAGAAGAGGTGGCTGACCAGCTCTCTAGAGAGTCCAGTTCGAATCACCCAATACTCATATCTTGGTCTGGTCAATCCAATCTTAGTGGAGAAAGGTTTCCCATAGGAGAGTGGAATTCGCGCTTCAAAGAAATTGGTACTAAGAGTTCCAGGACTGCATATACTCTACTGGATGCTAGTGCTCTTTGCACCACATGTCCACCTAGTCTTAGCGACTCTGAGACCGCTCCCGATTTCATGTGTCTTTCATTCTACAAAATGTTTGGTATGCCCGATATTGGAGCTTTGGTTTTCAAGAAGTCGAGTGCTTTGGAGTGCTTTCGAGGAAGGAAATACTTTGGTGGAGGAACCACTGAGGTTGTGGCTCCCGATCAGGCATTTCACGTGAAGAAGCCCGCTCTCTTTGATTCGTTACATGACGGTACGTTGCCTGTTCACTCGTTGGTCCAACTGGATACCGCTATCGACGTTCACAAGAGCATGTATGGATCGTTTGAGAATATCGCGAATTACGTGAAATGGCTCACTGAATATTGTGTTTGCAGGATAGAGAAGGACCTAGTGTTTCCCACCACCAACACCCCAATGGTCAAGATATACAGCAGGTTCTCCTACGACATGCAGGGTCCTATAGTGGCATTCTCACTAATGACAGAGTCTGGGTATCCACTAGGATATTACGATTTCGAGAAGTTTGCAAGTGCAAGGAACATTTCATTGAGGGTGGGGACCGTGTGCAATCCAGGTGGTGCTCTCAAGTGGCTTGAACGTACCACCGAGGATGTGATTAATGACCATGCTAAAGGACACAAATGTGGAGATCATATGGATGTCATGAATGATAAACCAACGGGTGTTGTGAGAGTTAGTCTTGGGGCTATGTCATCTAAAGAAGACATTGATACTTTGGTCGAATGTATCTATGACTTCACAATAGACCACATTTCGAACTCGCGCAGGAATCCGAATACGGCTGAGATCAGCGTGAAGAGGTTAACGATATATCCCATCAAGTCGTGTCATGGGTATGACATCCCACAAGGGGTGGAGTGGAAAGTTTCTTCTAATGGTTTGCTGTATGACAGAGTCTTTTGTCTGATAGGACTGGCTAACAACGCTCCTCTTGCTTTGAAACATCACCGAAGCATGGTCCACGTGAAGCCTTCGATCGATATCAATACGGGCATCATGAGAATAGAGAATCAATACGGAGAGTTTGTTGAACTAAACATTTACTCCATGGAGCAATATGATCTTCAAACACTCGCTTCTGCCGAAGGAAAGAAATACCGATGCGTTATGGATACCAAGATAAGGGACTTTCTGTCATTGACCATCGAGACTCCCTGCGTGCTAGGATCTTACGTTTCGAGCTCAAATTGGGCTAAAAGTGGGTCTATGCAGAACAAATCAGCTTTCTTGCTGTTGACACAGCCCAGTCTCGATAGCATAGGCTCTGGTGAATCTTTGCTTTCTCCCGTGTCCAGCCATTCTAGTGGTAAAGACACTGACAATGACTCAGATGTATCGACTCCTTCTTCGAGTGTTTCTTCTTTTTCAGGGGAGAACCTTGCTCCTAGATTCCGTGCTAACATCCTGGTAGACGGTGTCGGACTCGTTCCGTACGAGGAGGACTTTTGGTCCGAAATATCCATTGGAAGCGAAGGACTCGTGATAAAGACAATGGAAAGATGTGACAGGTGTCACATGATCACAATTGACTCCAATACGGGAGAAAGAGATCCTACCCTCTTTTCCATTTTATCCAGAGAAAGGAAGGAGAAGGGCAAGGTGTATTTCGGCAGCAACATGAATTTGGACGAACAGTGCTACGACAGGGAATACAAAATAAAGATAGGAGATAGACTAGTTGTTGCGTAGTCTCAAAACGGTTTATAATGTATATTTAGGTTTAATTTTGGGAGTTATTGGGACAATCAGAGTAGTTTATCAGCTTGTGATACTTTGTCACTTTGTCACTTTGTCACTTTGTACGTTGTGCCAAAACCAAGTTCTCATGCTGTCATTTTTCAGCGTGCATTTATGCATGAAGATGCTAGACTCTGACACCGCTTTAGTTAAAAACCTATTGGAACGCTGTGTTACACGGACGGTCACTTCGTGATATCAAGTTATTCTTTAGACAATCGTCCTCCAATCATGTCCGATCCGATAGACCTTGCCGCTATTTCCGATGCCACCACCAGTTGGCAAAGTTTCAAGAACCCTAATTGGCGCGCTCCCAAGAGAAGGCATAAACCCGCCAAACAGCTCATAGGAGACGAGCAGAAAAGAATCCAAAGCAAAGATCCCTCAGAAAGAGACATCGAGAACGAGGTGACATATTCCACGCTGCAGGCTCCTCCTTCGCTCAAGCCAATAAAGACTTATTGTGATATCACCGGATTGCCTACTAGTTACAGATCTCCTCATAACCAGGTGAGGTACTACAATATGGAAGTGTATGATGTGGTGAAAAATCTGGCAGCTGGTGTTGACCAGGAATATTTGGGCTTAAGGGGTGCCAATGTGATATTGAGGTGAGCAATGTGTATTGGAGAAGACGCAGTCCAAAGAATTGATATGATTGATCCACTTGAATGCGACCCCATTTTCGCATGGCCTACCGCTTATGTGGTAGTGATATAATAGTTTGTTCAAAGACGAGCCCTATACTTGAGGGATGGCGAAGGGAAAACTCTTCTTAGTTACTTTTCAATGTGGAAGTCGCCCTGATTCCTCCATTTGACAACGATCTCCTGATTACATCGTCTTTGTTTCAGCCGCGGCACCGTTCCATTTCGTCACTATATCCTTTATCCTCTTGTCGAATGTGGGATTCTCAATCGATACTATATCCTTGGATGACCTGAACGGGTTGCATATGAGTCTGAGATATGCTTTGTGTATATCCTTGAAAACCTGGAAAAGCATCAATTCTAGTTAGTATCACCTAATGTACATTATTTCAATACCTTCGAACTTACCTCTGCCAATGCGTCTTCAGAAATCTCCTTCTCTGAAGTCCCCAGAACAATTTTGAGCCCCGTATTCGTCTCGAACCCATACACGTATATCCCATCTTGTATGAACAGCAAGTTCCCCCCTTTAGGCGCGCGTTCGTAAAAAGGTGATTCAAAGATGTCCAGCGACATATGAGAAAGGAAGTTATACTTGAGCAGTTCGTTAACATTTTGCTCGTCGATGAATGATATGGTTTGTTCTTTGGTGGTGTCTGTGGTTCCGGTGGTCTCTGCAGGGACACCTTCAGTGGACCTATCCGTCGTTATCTCTGGATCTTCAGCTGTTGCTTCAGATTTTTGTCCCAATTCCTGATCGGCGGACAACCCTTCATACTGAGAGAACGGTTGAACGTAGAGAGGGCGGTTCTATCAAAGCACACGTTAGTATATAGACATGTCATTTGGTGGAGACGAAAATGCCCACTTACGTCTCGCGTTATGAGTGAGACAAATCGTATTGCCATATTCAATTCTGTACAACAAAGAGACTCTGAGAATCTCAAGTAGAACCACAAAAAGCTCCTTCAATGTTGCAATTGCTAGACTTAACAAGACAACTTGGCTATTCCACAACGTCTTCCAATCAGACCGCTGTATCGACCCGATCATCATTGACAGTCTAATTTTGGCATACCCCAAATCTCATGAGCTACGATAAGAGATTAATGCTAATGTCATACAATAAGTCTATGGATAGTACAAAATCATTAGGCCTCATCTTCAATGGCTTCATCCGATTCAGAGTCCTTGTACATGTAGAATTGCACAAAAATAAAGGCATCCTCAAAAATGGTTCCAAGCGAACCCAAGAGCCACGAGAGGTTGATGAGGATGTACTTGGAGTCAGAACGGTAAAACAAAATCTGAAGAGCATATGTCACGTTCCCAAAAGTGGAGAATATGAAGAAAAGAATGCTGAGTCCCTTGCATGACTTTTTGGACCAGTTCTGGTAGATCTGGGGCAGTCTAGCCGTTAGATACAAAAAGGCAGAGATATAGCCCAATACCTGGGGTCCGAGTCTCAACTCGACGTCTGGAATTTCATCAACAGGATCAGAATCTGGACTTGATAGTAAATAGCCCATAAATCCTGCTCCTGTCACGAACAGTAGTGGCAAAACGAATTTGACGAAAACAGTCTGCTTGCTTGGTTCCATGATCACGCTCACTATCGAGCTCCGTCTGGACCGATGAGACCTGTGGGATTTGTGCGATGGTCTTCTGCCATTGGTGGATTCGCCAGGAAGCAAAGCTTCGTTCTCCCCTGAAGCAGTCGATGAACGGGCCTTTATATTCTTGGGATAAATCCAAGTATAGTACACGTAGGACACTATCACCATTCCGTCGGTAAAACAGAACCAAACTGCCAGTAGAATCACCTCGGGCAACAAACCCGCCCACACAGAACCAGCTAGGTTCGCGATATCACCCAAGAACCATAATGTCAAGAACTCGATTGATATTCCGTCCGCGCTTTTCAATCTCCATTGCTCCAGCAGCTGGGGCATAAGAAGCACAATCCAACATGCCAACCTTTGTATGTTAATGACTCCGTAACAAGACAGATCCTGGAAAGTGTACTTACGAAGTGGAACCTGCAATTCCCGAAAGAGCAGTCCTCAAATGGGACGGAACATATTCTGATTTCATTGCCATTGAAATCGTCTGCCACATTGTGCAAATGCTGATATGTGTAGATAGTTGCTGCTAAAGATCGTTTCAGTACTGATACAGCTATCTTGGATCTTGATAGGCCCTTTTCGTGTAAGGCGTGTGCAGGCAAATGTGTGGTGCACGCTAGAAATCTAGCGGTCGGTGGTCTTCTGAAAAACTTTTCCTCTCTCTTTCCTCTGGCTTTGCACCAGGAATACCAACCAAATATCGACAATTTCCTATATTGCACTATCAAAATGGTATGTTTTAGTCTTCTGGCTAAAGGATAAAGATTCGTTAGATATCTCTCCCGAACACACGTAGATTCCCTCCTCAATTTGACAGTCCTCGGTGTGTTCAAGGAGCATATATTTTTCGTTCTTTATATTATATGACCTTTAACTTTTAGGAGTATCTTCTGAGTTTTGATGTTTCAATCACGCTCAGAAGAGCATCCATACAATATTCTGATCGAATGTGTATGCTTTCTTGAACATTACAGGCTGAGTTTCTCCTGAGAAACTGTAGAGGTTGGAAGAACTGTGAAAGGAAATCCTTTTGAATCTTCCAAACGTGAATTTTGTTATTAACAATTTCCCCTCAATGATCCAGCCATCAAAGAAAGTTGCCCCAGCTCCTTTAGCCAGCAAAAAAGTTAGCTCTAACTCCAGCAAAAACCCTCTCTTTGAGTCGACTCCAAGAAACTTTGGTGTAGGTCAGGCGATCCAACCAAAGCGCAACTTGTCTCGTTTCGTGAAATGGCCAGAATACGTCAGATTACAGCGCCAGAAGAAAATTCTGTCGTTGAGACTGAAGGTTCCTCCATCCATCGCCCAATTCTCCAACACCTTGGACAGAAACTCCGCTGCTGAGGCTTTCAAGCTCTTCAACAAGTACAGACCTGAGTCTAGTGCTGAGAAGAAGGAAAGACTCACAAAGGAGGCTGCTGCCATTGCTGACGGAAAGAAGAAGGAAGACGTTTCGAGCAAGCCATACTCTGTCAAGTACGGTTTGAACCACGTTGTCTCCTTGGTTGAAAACAAGAAGGCCAAGCTGGTGCTAATCGCAAATGATGTCGACCCAATCGAGTTGGTCGTTTTCTTGCCAGCTTTGTGCAAGAAGATGGGTGTTCCATATGCTATTGTGAAGGGTAAGGCCAGACTCGGAACTTTGGTTCACTTGAAGACCGCAGCTGTCGCTGCCCTCACCGAGGTCAGGGCAGAGGATGAGGCTGCCTTGGCCACTTTGATCTCGACTGTCAATGCCAACTTCACCGAGAAGTACGAGGATAGTAGAAGACACTGGGGTGGTGGTGTCATGGGTGCTAAGGCCCAGGACAAGATCGCCAAAAGGGCCAAGGCCATTTCCGCTTAAACTACGTAATTATTCCGATTTAACCCATCATGAACCTTTTAATCCCAATCAGATAATATAGGCATTTATATGCTGTAACAATGCATACGAGATAGGATGATAGAAATACGAGAGGGTCTGAATTACATCACGTGACTTTATTCAGGGCTGCAACCCTTTGAAATTTGCCCCGACGGCATGGGTCTTCCCTTAACACTTCCTGAAGAAGATTCATTCAGTTACATGTATAAACCACATAGAAACCAAATTAATCGGTATGTACATGATTATCTAGCACATTTGGAGAGAGAGTATTGCAATGTTGTTACTGGAATTTCTTTAGCACCAGAACCGTTTGGAATCAGGTGTGATCATGGTTGAAGGTGAATAATTTATCAAGATGGATGTCTACGTCAGCAACAAAGATCAAAACTGCAAATAAGACCAATCTGAAGGTTGATGTGGATGATCTGAGACTTTAAAGATTCATTCGCCAATTCAAACTGGTTGTTGGAGGTTATTGAGGAACATCAGGAGAATTCTATGATGTTAGCTTGACAATTCACAAAGGGAACATGTCCAACCCATTCAATTTGCTACTACAGATCCTTACGATGACTGCGCTTGCTCTCTTTGCATTGTCAGTTACAGCTCATACTAACAGCTTCTCTAGAAATGGCTAAGTCAAAGAACCACACGGCTCACAACCAAACCAAGAAGGCTCACCGTAACGGTATCAAGAAGCCAAGAACTCACAGATACCCATCTTTGAAGGGTGTTGACTCCAAGTTCCGTCGTAACCACAGATACGCTTTGCACGGTACCGCTAAGACCCTTGCTGCTGCCAAGAAGGAGACTTAGATGGAGTTGGGAGTATGAAGCCGAGAAATTTTGGTGTTAACAGGTCAGGTTATCTGCATAGTTAGTGCTATCTGGTAGTTTGATATTGATAATAAAACGTTTGCATCTGCTACGAACAGATAAGTGTAGTTCGAGGTATGGCATTCAGTCAAAATCGTTGATTGGTATTGGTACTTAGTTGCCATGCTAGGTGATTATTTTCGATTGGATTCTAGATCTAGCTGCATCACTTCATGAAGAGTTTGAATCCTGAATTCTCGTTTGGAATGTCAAAACGCTCAAGTAATACTCCAAACATTCACCGCAAGCACTCAGTTAAAAAACCCACAGTAACATACCGCTCGCAGTATTGTCATGGCTACGTCAATGTCACGTCCTGCGTTGTACGCTTGATCACCAACAGAGCAACAACAAACGTCAATGCCGCACTCCCAATCAGCATGAAGGGGAATGAAGGAGATGAGTCGCCGATCAGCCCTCCTATTCTGGTGGTGGTCATCACTCCAATCTCCGCAATCAGAGTGGACACTCCAAGAATGCACCCTTTGTTCTGGAAGAACTTCTTCTGCGAACTGATGTTGGAGATCATGGTCATGGACATTATGATAAAACTGATCTCAGCCACGCCCATGAGGCACGCAAGAATGTATATGCAAACACTGTGATCTGGGGTCCGGATAAATGCCATACCAGCAAACGCGATGATTCCTATCACATTTGCAACAAGTAGATTGTTCACATGATTTCCAAACCTATCTATCAGCACTCCCACTATAGGCGCAAAGATCAAGGCGCAAGTGTTAGTTAGGCCAGACAATATGGATGACAGAATGTATGCTTCACGACAATGCTCCGCGTCTGCCACAGAGCACTTTCCCGAACTGTAGAAATACTTATTGATGTAAAAAGGAAGGAACAGTGTCACTGTTATGGTGGTACATCTCCCCATAACAGCAGCAAAGTAGGCCAGGAATAGCAATGGGTTTTGCAAGCTGAGCTTGAATCCATGCTTCACCGCGAGCAAATACGTCTCGTGGGTCTTCTTAGTTCCATACATAAGAGCATTGGTAGCAGATTCTGTTTCGGTGGGGTTTGCTCTGAGCTCTCCAAGCTGGTCGGGTTCCTCCTCAGGCGAGTATATGTTCTCGTGCTTGTAAAGACCTTTGAATAGAATCAGTGCCAGTAAAGTCGTAACCAGCCCTACAGCCTTGTAGGAGCTCTTGATGGCATCTTTCTTTGATTGAGTCTGACCAAAATAAACAGGCAAAGTCAAAAGAAACAACACCGCAAAGACTGCACCTACACCACTGGCAATGCCCAGCACAGAGGTCCGTTTTCCTTCCCTGCGTGTTTTGTTCAACTCGTTCAGCTCACCAAAAGTTGCCTGAGAAGGAGGTTCATCAGTGGGTTGTTCTTCCAAATTCTCTTCTGGGGGTGTTTGGTCTGCCAGTCCGATAGAGGTCTCGATAGAGGTCTGTGCCAGCTTACCAAGTCCGAGGGCAGAGTTATTGTACTCAATCAACATTACGCTAACAACACTCATTGAAGCAGTTGCTCCGACCGCAAAAAGCAGTCTCCAGATAAGCATTCCTGGAAATACGGAGTTCGCGAAAAACCCAGTTCCCAACAAAGCAGTCCCCATTATGGCCAAGCCTGCCACTTCTAGATACCTGGAGCCTATCCTATCGCAGCACACACCAACAAAAGGTGTCAATGCGATCACCACCAGCTGGTCGTAGAAGGTCAGTCTTCCCAAGTAACTTCCCACTTTTTCCTCCATTCCCAAAGCATCGGTCATGAAGAAGCTCTGTGTGGCCCCGAGGAACACCATAACAGCAATATTGGCCATTGAGGCAACCAAGAATGCCACAAAGTTGATTCTTGTATAGGACGTGATATGAGAATATATGGCTGGTTGAGGCATGGTGATGTATCTTTTGGGGAGAATTTTCAAAAAAGCTCCTGGGAAGAACACAATGGCAAATACAACAGCTTTAATGTTTAACTGGGAAACCTTATCCGTTATTGCACGGTTCAAAGCAGCGTGCCGGTACCAGGATAAAAGTCTATTTGAGGAAGCTTCTCAACGAGCAAATTACGGGATTGGTGGGAAATTTCTGTGATTGTAGTGGATGTATCGGAGCACGGGTGTTCTTTTTATTCAAATTGACTACTTGTTGTGAATAGGAAGTTGGTTGGAATGGTTTTAAGTTGAGTACCATGGGCCTGGGGCATTGCCGATAGCGGCAGGTGATTTGCTAATGTAGTTAGCTTGAGCCAAACTGGACAGGTCTGTAATCATGGCGTGCGTCGGTCGATCTCAGGCATTGTCCAAAATAGTTCTCCTAGTGCTTTCAGAGAAGGCTTGTCTATCAGCTATACGCGATTCCACTTGGAAATGGCATCGAACAATCATTGATCACAAGTCTTCGGGCAGTTGAATACACAGCCTTATCTGAACCATCTCTCCACAATATGGATTTGAGGTAGTGTCCCACACAAACACGTTACACGACCTTCTATTCTTCAAAATCAAAACAAAACACGCACCAGTCAAGCCAACCTTCATCTTTATTTCCCACCGAGCAGGATGAGAGTAGAGGAGCTCATTATTGACGGTTTCAAGTCATATGCTGCCAGAACCGTTATATCTGGCTGGGATGAGCAGTTCAACGCCATCACCGGTCTGAATGGATCGGGAAAGTCCAACATCCTAGATGCCATATGTTTTGTTCTCGGTATCGCCAGTATGTCTGTGGTTAGAGCTTCCAATTTGCAAGATCTGATATATAAAAGAGGCCAGGCTGGTGTTACGAAAGCGAGTGTTACTATTGTCTTTGAAAATAGCGATAAGTCGAAATCGCCATTTGGTTTCGAGAATACTCCACAAATCAGTGTAACAAGGCAGGTCGCACTAGGAGGAACTTCAAAGTATCTGATAAACGGAAGAAAAGCACAACAGCAAGTTGTTTTGCAGTTATTCCAAAGTATTCAATTGAACATCAACAATCCAAACTTTTTGATCATGCAGGGAAAGATCACAAAGGTGTTGAACATGAAGCCTGCTGAGATTTTGTCTCTGATTGAGGAAGCGTCCGGTACGAAAATGTTTGAGGATCGCAGACAGAAGGCTGAAAAGACTATGGCAAAAAAGGATGTGAAGCTGGTTGAAATCGGTGCTATCTTGAAGGAAGAGATCGAGCCAAAGCTGGAGAAACTGAGAAGTGAGAAAAGGTTCTTCCTGGAATACCAGGATACCCAGACTGATCTGGAGAGACTCACCCGTGTTGTCTCTGCTCATAGATATCAACAGGTTTCCGCAAAGTATCAGAAGTTGGTGGATTCGTTGAGCAATCGCGAACAAAACTCTACTGTCTTGAAAACACAATGTGAAACACTCGCTGTTGAGATTGGATCTTTGGAAGAGGACCTTCAAGAGACTTTACGAAAGAAGCAGAGTGAACTCAGTAACAGTGGGCAGTTCAAGGATCTTGAGGTTCGTGAAACCACCTTGAATAATGACATTTCAAGACTGCTTACTCAAAGAGACTTGAAAGCTGAGAATCTCAAGGAAGAGCAAATAAAACAGCAACAGATGGAAACCCAGGTTCAGCAATTTCACAGAACGCTGCAATCTGGTAAGGGTGGGTTGGATGCGTTGAAGTCAGCCCATTCCGCTACCGAATTGGAACTGGATGAGTGCAAGAAGCTTCATAAATCCAAGGAAGAGTTGCTGTCTACATTATCGACCGGGCTCTCGTCGTCTGGATCTACAGAGAGCGGATACACTGGACAGCTCCAGAATGCTCGCAAGCAACTGTCTGATAGTGGTGTCAAGGTGAAGCAGTCTCAGCTCCAGATAAGCCACTTACAGAAGGAGATTGCTTCTAATAAAGCCAGAGTCAAGTCTGCTCAATCAGAAATTGAAGAGCTCATGCATAATAAAGAATCTCAAAAACAAACGTGTCAGGCACTTCATGATAAGCTCGGCAAGATTGGGTTTGATCCGGACCGTTTCAAATCTCTGAAGCAAGAAAGGGCGTTGGTCTCAAAAGATCTTCAAAATGCTCGTAGAGATGCTGAAGGTTTGAAACGGAATCTTTCAAGATTGGACTTCAGCTACTCAAAACCATCCCCCAACTTCAACGATTCGTCGGTCAAAGGTGTTGCTGCTCAGTTGTTTTCAGTTAGTGATGAGAGTCTGGACTACGCTTCTGCCCTGGAAGTCGCTGCTGGAGGAAGGCTTTATTTCGTGGTTGTGGACACTGATGTTACCGGTTCTCAGCTTCTCGACAAAGGTCAATTGAAGAAGCGTGTGAGTATCATCCCGTTGAACAAAATTTCTGTCAGAAACCTTGATCCAAGGGTGGTGGACCTTGCCAAAGAACTTTGCCCAGGTAATGTTGAGGCTGCCATTGATCTGGTGGAGTACGATTCTGAAGTCGCGAAAGCTATGCAGTTTGTATTTGGAGGTAAATTTGTGTGTCGTGATGGTGACACTGCTGAAAAGATTGCTTTCCATCCAAAGATCAGAACGATGTGTGTTACTGTGGACGGTGATACCTATGAACCAGGTGGAAGGTTGTCTGGAGGTGCCAGAAGATCGAAATCTTCGATGCTCGTCGCGATTCAGAGATTCAATAAGGTCAACCAAAAAGTCAAGGTGTTGCAGTCAAAGCTTCAAAACATTGACCAAGAATTGAATGAGCTTTCTGCGTTGAGTGAGCAGACAAAGTCGCTGCAGCAGGAGTACAATGTTGCTCAGCATCAGCTTAGCATTATCGAAAGGTCTTTGGAATCGAATCAGGCGGCTACGCTACTAAAAAAGCAGCAGGCCAGTCAGGAAGAGATCGAGTCCCTCAAAGAATCGGTTAAAGAAGAAGAAGCTCAGATGTCCCAAATTGAAAAGCAAATAAACGATATTGAGAAGGACATGAAGGAGTTTAACTCTAATAAAGGCCAGAAGCTCGAGGAGCTGAAGTCAGAAATCTCCGGTCTTGCTAAGAACATAGCGAAGCTGGAAGATATTTTGGAAACAAAGTTCAGTGATTACCAGTCAGCCCAATATGAGAGTGACCAGGTAGTCGATGATCTTGCAGCTTTGACAAAGAGCGTTGAGGAGAGCAAATTATCCATTACCGAACTGCAATCTCAGATTCATGATCTTGAGGCATCAATCGCTGAACTGCAGGCGCAATTGAGCACCGTCAGCGATAGATTGCAAGCAGAGAGAGCAAAAATGGCGAGCATAGATGAAGAAGTCCACGATATCAAGTCTGTTCTGGATAGGAAGACGAAAGAGTCGAACGCCAAAAAGTTAGAACTCCAGAAGCTAACGAATGACCTGGAGAAGTACGTGTCTGTCAGAGACTCTTTGAAGAAACAATTGCAAACTTTGATTGAGGATAATGAATGGGTTGCTGATGAAAATGAGGTGGCCAGTGTGCTTAAAGAAACTCCAGATATTGACTTGGAAGAGTGCGAAGCTAGAATCTCCAAATTAGAAGACCGTTTCCAGGGAATGAGGAGAAAAGTCAACACTAACATTATGAGCATGATTGAAAACGTTGAGAAAAAAGAGCTGTCTTTGAAAAATATGATCAAGACGATTGAGAAGGATAAATCCAAGATCGAGGAAACTCTGACCAAACTGAATGAGTACAAACGCACCACTTTGGTGGAAACTTGGCACAAAGTTTCTACTGAATTTGGGCAAATCTTTGGCGATCTGCTACCACAAGCATTTGCAAAGTTGGAACCACCCGAAGGAATGGATGTCTCTCAGGGTCTTGAGGTAAAAGTCAAGCTGGGAAAGGTCTGGAAAGAGAGTCTTGTGGAACTTTCAGGTGGACAGAGGTCTTTGATTGCTCTCTCTTTGATTCTGGCATTGCTCCAATTCAAACCAGCTCCAATGTACATTCTGGATGAAGTTGATGCTGCTTTGGATCCAAGTCACACGCAAAACATTGGACATCTGATCAAGACCAGGTTCAAGGGTTCGCAATTCATCATTGTGTCTTTGAAGGATGGTATGTTTTCGAATGCCAATAGGATCTTCAGAACCAGATTCCAAGATGGTACCTCGATGGTTACTACGTTGAAATGAAATACCAGCTTATTGGTGTGCATCACATTTTAATACTAATTTTGCGCTTACGCATGAGGGAGTTCCTCTCTATCGTAACTTTTCGTCCATACAAAGTAGTCCATCCCGTCATACTTGTCAAACTGTTTCTTCAGAATAATCTGATAGTCAAGTACTCGAGGCAGGATCACCACAGTTACCAACCAGTAAACAGCGCCAAGACCCAAAATGCTAAGGCCCACCAAAGCAAAACTCTGATCTCTCTGACTTCCCCATGGTAGAAAGGGCGAAATCACAATTGACAAACTCCCAATCAGACAACAGTAAATGAGAGCTGTTGGTGCCCTCAGTGGAGCCCTGATCATAGGAAATCTGGGACGAAGTTTGAACAGCAGCGCTGCTGACAGGATCGCATGGAACAGCTGGTTTGGGTATATTTGCATGGAGACGATGTAATTGTATATTCCGGATTCTGCACGAGGCAAACAGATCACGAGAGATGATATCAAACCATGAAGCAATATGGATGCCAGAGGTGATCCCCATGGTCTGTTCGAGAGTAGGATTTTGGAGAACGGTAAGAAACCCTCTCTGGCAACGGCCTGGTTCAGTCTCGAATCTGAATAAACCACCACAAAGACGTTACCAGCAGCTGATACTGCAATTATCGAGGATAAAAACAGCTCTCCCAACTTTCTCCCAAAAATCTTGGTGAAGAACAAAGCACCAACCAATTGGCCCTTGCCCAAAAGCTCGTCATGGGGGATCACCACCAAATATGAGACGTTCATCAACATGTACGCAACCATGATGATACCAAGCGACAATGGACCAGCCACCTTCAGTGTCTGTATAGGATCTTTGATTTCGTTCTGGACTGTGTGAGCAGTGGTCCAACCTCCGAAGGAGTATATAGCCTTCAAGACTGCACTAGCGTACAAAGATCCTGAGAACTTCGAAAAATCTGGAAATCGCACCAAGTCTGCTCTTGAAAGATTGTTTTCTATATTTGTGACTGAGCTGGGCAGAATTAGAACATAAAGACAAACTGCGGTGGTGATAAATAGCAGAAACAATTTGACACCTCCAATGAGGTTCTGTGCCAGAATGCCAAACCTCCTGGATATACCGTGCAATATCACGGCAAAAAGAATAAGCAAGACTCCCAGCTTCTTGGATTCGTACTCATCACTAGGAAGTCCAAGCGAGTATCTCGCGTATTCGCCAAAAACAATAGCATTGGTCGAGGACAACGAAAACAGTACTGTGAAGCAGCCAAAAACAACGCTGGCTAAAAACTTTGGGTTAGGGAAGATGTACTCGAGAAATATCTTGGTGGCCCCGTTTACAGGTAACAGAGAGCCCAGTTCAAGATATAGCGATAGGCCACTGAGTGCGATAATTCCACCCAGGATCCATGTCAGCAAAAACAAAGGCACCGAACCCTGGCAGTCCGTGAAGATGCCACTGGGGGTTGCAAAGATGCCAGATCCCATCATCCGCGCCAGAAATAAAATCGAAGTGGAATAAAGATCCAGGATCCGAGTGTGTGGGAGGCTCTCGTCTAACGGAATCAACGGCCTCACCACCAGTGTTTTCCCGTTCGCATCCTCCACCAGATCCGCATCTGGGGTATCTATGTTGAGTACTTTGACGGGGATGTCATCCAGTATGTCAATCGGTATGGGCAGAACAGGTAAAAGCGGCTCTGTCTCGGCCGATTCCATACTTGATGCCACCACCATTGATATTCTATTCCACAACACGAAAACGCGTCTTGTCCCTGTAACAGTTGAACTTCGTGTACGTTATCACAAACTGGCAGCCGCTTCTTGGAAGGCCAATGTTCGCCCTACTGAAATTTGACAGGCTTATGCAACATTATTCACCCAGTCAATTCTAGCAGTTTGACCGAGCCGCACTGCGGTGCCAAGTCTCGTGTGCTGTTCCTCATGCGTTGCTCCAACGTCATTACTTACACAAATGGGATTTCATTCTTGAAAGGCGCTCACAGCAAAGTTAGAGTTGCACTCTTGTGGGGTGCATTAATAATCGTGCCGTTGGAAGCAATTAGCATATTGCGAAATGTTTTGAACCCTGCCCGCAAATGATGCTATCGGGTGCATGGGTTGACTAATTCGTGCAATGTTCCGAAGAATATATATACCCCGTTTCCTCCTGTTTCTCCAATCTTCTTAACACAATTCTCTGCAATTAAAAATCCAAACATCAATTATTGTATTTCCTACAATTTTTTCTTTCAGTCAATTTCTCCATCATCAATGTCCTCTCAAACTCAACAGGCTGTGGCCTATTCCGGCTCGTCCGAAGACAAAAAGCTCACTGAGCTGGTTTCGTATGAAATTCCCCAGCCTAATGCCGACCAGCTTCTGATCAAGGCAGTGGCTTTTGCGACCAATCCAACTGACTACAAACATTTTCTGGGTGGCTGGGGAGCAAAAGGGACGTTCGCTGGTTCTGACGTCTCCGGGGAAGTGGTTGCGATTGGAGCAAACGTCAAAGGGTTTGAGGTTGGTGATCACGTCAGCTCTTTCGACCGTGGTGGAAACAAAAAGAAGCCCCATGTTGGTCTTTTCAAGGAGTACAGTGTCGTAGATCCATATCTGACATTTCGTTACCCTAAAAAGCTCAAGACTCTTGGTGCTGATGTTAACGAGTATCCCTCTAGTAAGGTGGATACATTCGAAGGAGCAGCGGCTATCAACCTAGGAATTTTCACGGTGGGTCTAACTTACAGTTATGCATTTGGCCTGGATTTTGACAAGGCCAAAAATGCGGACAAAACGGTTTTGATCTGGGGTGGTGCCACGGCTACTGGCCTTCTGGCAATCCAGGTCGCAAAGAAGGTCTATGGCCTCAAGGTAGTTGCAGCTGCCAGTAAGAAGCACGAGTCTTCGTTGAAATCGTTTGGAGCTGATGCTGTTTTTGATTACCATGACTCTGATGTTGTTTCCCAGATAAAGGCCTTTTCCGGAGATTCTTTAGTCTATGGTTACGATACCGTTGCTAACCTAGACACTTGGAACGCTGTCAACGATTCTTTGACAGACTCCACTCCAGTCGTTGCTGATAACTTGTTATTCTTGGAGGGATCAGCTCTCAAGAACCCCAAGAAGAATGCCAAATACACCAAGACCTTAGTGTATTTAGCCAGAGGTGAAGATCAAGAACTGGGGGACGATTTTGTTCTGAAGAGTTCCCCGGAGATTGCAGAAGCCCATCTCAAGTTCTACAAGAACATCGTTCCGTTTGTCCAGGATGGTACTATTCAGCACCAGCCTTTGAGAATTCTTCACGATGGTCTGAGTAGTGTCGACGAGGCATTTTCTTTGCTCCGTAACAACAAGGTTTCTGCGGAGAAAATTGTTTTCAAGCTCTCCGAGTCGAAATAAGGGCACCCTGGCACGGTTGAGACGAGTACCGATGACAATCTATAACCAAAGATTGATAATTGCATGGATTAAGTAACGTAATGATTAATCAAATCTGATTCTCCAACACGAAAAAGCAACCATTTAACTACAATTGCTATATAACAGCCTTTCAACATGGTCTTGACTTTTTTCGCAAATTAAATTTAGTGCCATTTAGTGAAATCTGGTGCAACTTAATCTCAGTCACACGACCCAAAACCAACGGTTCCGAACCCCACCTCAATCCCTCGGCTGGCGACATGAACGCGGTGGTGCGCGCACGCCGCTGCGAAACTCCGTGCTAAAGTCCTGAAATACCCTGAAATATCTGCTCAGGGTCCTCCGTATTGCTACCAAAATCTGATTGCTTAATTCTATCTCCAATCAGCTTCCTGCTTCTCCTCTTAAACGTGCCAAATCCAAAATGCACGCTTTAAGACGGGCGCTGGTGTTGCTATCGTGCTCACTTATCAGTGCGTGTTTTTCACTTTCCCGAGTCGCATACATCATTACTAACGCGTTCTAGGTGTCATATGCGGAACCCTGTATATATTTTCTGCCTATAGCCCTCAAGTCGCGAGTAGGCTTGGCTACACTGCCACTCAATCGTCACGGGCGGCGATGCTAGGCACGCTGGGCGTGCTGTTCTCGGGACCTGTTGCTGGTGTTACTGTTGATAAGACTGGCTATTCACTAGCAATTGTGTCTGGCTCTTTGGCAATTGGTTCTGGATACTACCTGTTTAGAAAGCAGTTTGAAGAGGCCTACTCTAGTGTGCCTTACACTTGTTTTTTGTTGTTCTGTGTTGGATCTGGATCCACCTTCATTAATGCCGCATGCATCAAGTGCTGTATGGTGACCTTTCCTTCTATTAGAGGTCTCGCAACCTCACTTCCGGTTGCCATGTATGGTATTAGTGCCATGTGCTATTCGGCTGTGGGATCCCGGTTTTATCCAGGTGATACGGCTGGTTTTTTGGGGTTTCTGTCGACCTCGTCGTTGATCGTCGCCGCACTGTGTGGGCCAATGATTTGTCTTTGTGATAGATCAAGCCACATCCACCACAGAATAGGCACCGACACCCCACGGGCATCCGCTTCGATAGAGCTGACCAACTTTGGTTCGGGAACAGTTACCCCGGTGAGACAGGCCGGAAACCCAATGCCGATAGCTGGCTTTAAGAACCCAGACCACGATATCACGGCCTCCAGGCCTTTGTTCAAGCAAATAGAATTCTGGGCTCTGGCTACAATACTTTCCGTCATAGCAGGTATTGGTCAGATGTATGTGTATAGTGTTGGCTATGTGGTGACTTCCCTCTTTGGGGACTCCAAATTTATAGCCCAGCATACGGCCACTTACTCCATCCTGGTACAGCAGCAACAGCAGCTTCAAGTGGGCATCATTTCGCTTGCTTCGTGTACTGGAAGAATTTCGAGTGGTTTATTAGCAGACATTTTCAGCTCAACATTGCATTGGTCTCGAACTTGGCTGCTCTTCGTTCCTGGCGTGCTCATATTCTCTGCTCAGATATTGGGTGCTACTGTCTCCAGTCTACAGGCTGTGGGAGTAACCTCCAGTTTGCTAGGTTTCGGCTATGGTTTCCTATACTGCATCCTTCCCATTATTGTAGGCGATATCTGGGGGTTGACAAATTTCTCATTCAATTGGGGAATCACTAACGTTTTCACGATCATTCCGAACATGGTGTTGGCAGGGTACTTTGGCCGTGTGTATGACTCTCATGTTACTCTCAAGGAATTCAGCCTTGTGGTTGGTGGAGGTGACGATGGTGCAAAAGAGACAATTAAACTGATGGTGTGTGACTTAGGACGAGAATGCTATAACTCGGCATTCAAGCTTACTGCACTTTTGAGTCTGGTGGCTTTGCTTTTGATAGGCTTCTTCAATCTCCGTCAACATGCTGTTTCGAAAAGACATTTAAAGCAGCGGAGGCTCAGTAGCTGATGGCAAAAATCACTGGTGATTTGTATAGTTGTATAGTTTACGCATCTAATACTTTATTTGAATAAACTAATGCAAAAAAAAAATCAAAAAAAGATTTTAGTGAGAAAAAGTATGGGCTTCATGATCGTTTGGGTATATTCTTGAAAATCCTTGAAATCTGAGAAAACCGTGCTCTTCAATGAGTACTTGTTGACCTCTAAGCAAGCCGAAACCAAGATCGCATTTTCTATACTGGAGAGCACTTAACATGCATCGGTGATTTCCAAATAATAATATACCAAAAAAACAAAACAAAACAAAACACCCAATCTTTGCATATATGTATTTTCCGATTCTGCGGTTCTATCTGCAGGTGGATAATGTGCGGCGGATATTTGATTTTTACACAACCAACAGGTTTTTCTGGCATGAGCCATGCTCCAAGAGACATACCTCTCAACCAAACACCTTGCAAGAAAGTCACAACCATTCATTTACACATCAAAATGGTACAAATATATTACCATCCCTTGCCTAATAGCTCCAATTCCCTTAATAGAGTCTCAAAGCTACCTCTGAGAAAGATCCCTCAGCGAACAGACTATCTACTCTCAAGCAGTGCATTGGAAGCCCTCCAATTCAAGAACTTCCAGAAACTCTCCAACGCCTTCAGTGGTGATTCGGATCTCAACGATTCCTCAGAGCAGATTACTAATGGCACTGAAGAAGCTCATGATAAAGACGGAGATGTGAACATGGATGGACAAAATGAAGAAGACAATGATCTTCACTTGAACAAGGAAACTATTCATTTCGTCAACGTTTCTGACTTCGAATTCCAGTCCAAAAAGGAAAAGCTACTGACAATTTCGCTGGAAAACATCCCATCTTCACTCATACGATCGGAGCTTCTGATAGAGGCGTGGCTGGACCATACTCTCACTGTCGAAATTGCCAAGCTGAAGCCCGAGGCTGTGGAAAAATTGAATTTGGGCTACAGGTGGACTTTTGTTGAGAACGAATATATTGAGTTGAGGTGTATATTTCTTGAATTTGCAGATATTTTGACTCTCAAGCTGATTGAAAGTGCCCTGGAAGGTTGGGCGATAGGCAAAGACGACGATAAAGAGGCTGTTGCTAAGTTGAAGGTTGTGCTACAGCCAGGCACCAGGAGTTTACTTGAAAAGTTAGAGGCAATTGTGCCGACTGATGGCGTGGAACACGCTGAATCTATTGCAGACATCCACCAAAGCTTGACCGCTCATGTCGCAAGACTCATCAAGGTCTCAAGGAACGAGCTGAAACCGCATGCAATCGCTACCATAGGAAAGCTTCAAGATTTAGAGGAGCAGTATACCAACTACCAAATTGATCCCAAAGAACTGGTGGACATCGCACCTGATCTATTGGAGTCGGCGGAAAGAGATATTCTTGATTTCAGACTTTCGGTCTTGAGGGTAGAGAAACAAAAGCGTGAGAAACAGTTGCTTTCTGATAAGCGCAAATCAAGGCAGCGTGTGAAGAAGTTGTTCCAGGATATCCAGAGGTCGAGATCCAATATGGACGTGGACCAGGATGTTTCAGAAGAAGAGGCAGAAGACGAGGAGCTAGAGACAGTTGATGACTATCAGTACGAGCTTGATGCTAAGAAGCAACGCGAACAGAGACAGCAGAGATTATATCAGAATAGGCTGGATGCAGTAAAGACCCGCGACTTAACACGCCACAAAAATCTGCTTCAGTTTGAGAATACGACTGAACATGGGCGTTACGAAGGCACAGTGGTTCCCGAAAAGAGAGCTCAATTTTTGAAGGATTTCGTGGAGAATGTTGTTGATGGAAAGAACAAGATTGACGAGAACCTGGAGAGCTATTATGTGAAACACGTCAATTATGTGAATTTCAGACTTTCTGTTAAGGCACAAGAAGGTAAGCAGGATGACGAGGACAGAGAGGAGGAGCGGAAGATGCTTGAGAGCCAGAGTGAAGCCACCGATTTCATCTCAACCTTTGGCGAAGCGAACGAGGCGAGTGAGACAAAGGAGAAGGTGAAGTTGGTATTGAAGAAGAAGGACAAAGAAGAAGAGGAAGAACCAAAAGACCAACCTTCCCAATCACATCTGCCATCGCCAATTATTCCGAAGGTGGAGTCAAAGATCGCAGCCGTCGTTGAAGAACTGCTCGGAATGCCTGAAGACTCACTCGTGGAGTTCATCCTCAACTATGTTACGAGGCATTATTATTCTGGAAAGACTAGTCCAGAATTCGCAGCCTTTCTCAAGGAGCTTGAAGAAACATTGGACGAGGATGCCAGTGTGGCCATGGACTCCATATTCGAGACTGTGTCGTTGGAGTTGTCTGAAATGAGCGAATAACCAACTGGCATCAAATTGCTACTACAAAAATATAAATCTCTGTAAATTATGACGCGAACTTTAACGCAAACTTTAACGCAAACTTTAGTGGTTTATGTACCTAAACTGTAAATATCAATACCATATCCTAATGCAGTATAACATACACAAACAATGCACGTGCGTGTCTCAAATGTTTTTAGTCTAGACCTCACACCCCGGACGCGTGCCACAAGTCCGCGTGCTAAGCCATCCCTGATGGGGGAACAAAGCGCGCTACGGAGCAACAATAAAGAGACAGAGGCGATTTCAGTGTGCTACAAAGGAAGGAATGTCAAACCTATCACGAGGTTTGGATGCCAGTGTAAAGTGAGCCTAGTATGTTGCCACCAAATTAGACCGGTTTTCTTAGTGGGTTACAGTTCTATTAATAGTTCCCCTCTCCACCTGAAAAATTCCGAGACAGTGCCCACCAGGCACGGAAGCGATATAGCCAAAACAAAAAGTCATCAGAACGGCAATATTTGAGATTTAAAGTTGGCGTGCGTAGTTTTGACTGAATATCGGAGTCAGAAAATCTCACACCACTCTATGTACCCAGCAAAGCCAGTAGTTTCAAGTACAGTCACATATCGCCTGTTCCAGCTGTATAATTTTACAACTCTTCAGTTTCACCCACACCCCGTAACCCTCAGGGACATTCAACCAATACAATACACTAGGGACGAACTGCTCTATAGTTCGCTTCATTTGGCGGCAATCATATTCATTCCACAAAGCCTGAAACACTCGCAAAACTTCCGCACCTGCAGGCAAATTCCCGCTTTCGGAATACTTCGTGTGCAGATCAAAACAGCATCGGAATGCGTTGACCCCTTCCAAACCTTAGGGCTCGCAGCAAAAAAACTCACCTTTGCCAAACAATCAATTCAGTTCGCCCTTTGTTTCTCTCTCTTTCTTGAACCAACCCTTCGCTATATACCCAGAGCAAGATTCGTTGCGAATTGCAAGACTCACAAACCACTTTCCACCAACCACCACACTCTTTTATTCTGGTTCGTGCGATTCCCGGTCTTGTTACTCAAATCCACAACATCACAACAAACACCATAGAGATCTACAATACCCCTTCCGGATTCTCAAAACTTGAAAGACTTCACAAAGCCTTTTGATTCTTGGTTTTTACTGCCTTGTTGAATTACTGCTTTATTCCTGTTTTCTTCTTGTTCTATTTATTTTCTGCGAGCATTATAACTCGTACTGGTTTATACGAGCATTCGCTGGCTCGTACGGAAGATATACGAAGACATCGAACCACACTGAAGTACTAAAGTACCGAAGGACGTTTGCATCTTCCTGAATTACGTGGCTCATAGATTGACTTGAATCTCACCCGGAACAAGGCTTTAATATCTTCCCATGTTTTCACAACGCCTGATAGCACTGTTCCTGCTACTGGTGGCGGTCAATTCGTTGACGATACCCGAGTTCTTCAGACTCTCCAACGACGAACGCGAGGCACAACAGAACAACATAATACAGCATCACATACGGCAGCTCGCTGGTGTTTTCAAGAGGGATGAAGAGGCCAAAAATACTTACATCAATTCTACGACACCGGCTGCTTATTACGCAACCACCGACTCGGACTCGTCCTTGTCGTACCACACATCTCTCGACCAGGAGTCGGGTTTTGATTACGCGTCTGTGTCGACTGCTTCCGATTATTCATGGACTGATTCTGCAGAGCCAACAGCCACAGACAGCGCGAGCACAAGCGAGTCTTCAAAGCCTCAAGCTTATTTCGCAAGATCTTCTTCTAGTGTTAGTTCGGGTTCCAGTTCGACTGTGACTTCAAGGTCAAGTTCGAGCTCAAGTTCGAGTTCGAGTTCGAGTGCAAGTTCTAAAACGTCTAGTTCTGATGTCACTGGCACAGATTCTAGCTCTAGCTCTAGCTCTGAGGCTACCACTGATGCGGATTTTAGTTCTAGTCAAACTTCTAGTTCTGATGCCACCACCACTGGCACAGATTCTAGCTCTAAATCTGAGACTACCACTAACACGGAATCCAGTTCTAGTCAGGATACTAGCTCTAGTACAGACCCTGCTTCTAGCGCCACTTACACATATTCATCGCCGGCTTACACATATTCATCGCCAGCTTACAAAACCACGGCATATGCCTCGACTACCTCTGGAGACGACACTAGCTCAAGCGTGTCAACTACCGGCAACGAAGAATCCTCAACTTCTTCAAGTTCACTACCCAGAGGACTTTACTTGGCTGGCTCTGGAACAGCCACAGCCACTGACGATGACATAACGTCCACTTCGGAAGGTTCTTCATTACAAACTGGTACAGAAGCAGAAGATGATGTGTCTAGTTCTAGCACAATCTCTGCGAGCTACACTGATAGCGTTTCTACATCTTCGGATTCTGTTACTGGTGCGACTACGTCTGCTTCGATATCAGCTTCGGATTCGTCCACAGATCTTTCTAGCGACTCAGAGGTTTACTCGTCACCCTTGCCTTACAGCTACTCAACGGCCACCAAAGTCACCTCGAGTGCTCCCGCTTCTGGATCTTCATCAACGGATTCGTCATCTGATGCTTCAAGCTCATCTCTAGATTCGAGCACCATCACTGGCGGTGGATCCAGCTCGGCAACAGTTAGCTCGACTGCTTCGACTGCTTCTAGTTCAGGAACTGATAGCTCGACTTTTACTTCTGATTATCCAGAACTTTCCAGTTCATCAAGTGTGCCAACGGCGACATCTGCGGAATCATTGCCGATTTCAACCGAAATCGCTTCCTCGACCTTGTCATCAACGTCGTCGCCTCTTCCAACAATTACTGCTACTACCGCGAGCTCTTCAGAGATCGTGTCCTCATCCGCTGATTCAGTCTCTTACTCTTCCGCGGAATTCGACCCATCTGAGTCTGTATCTATGCCTGTCTCCGAGACGTCATCAGATATCTCATCAGAGACTTCATCGCAGTTTTTGTTGTCTCCGTCTGAATCCTCAACTATCCTGATAACATCATCTTCGTCAGCAGCCGTTCCGATTATCACATCTGCTCTGAACGAAACGGACAGCTCTGCGAGTGTTACAGGAACAGCTGCGGCCTCTACCAGTTCTACTTTGTCTTACACACCCGCAGAGCCTGATATCTTCTCTACAACAGCGTCTAACGGAACTGCTGCTTTGCCTAAGAGTTTGACCTCATCTGTGACGGATTTGTCCGGTAATACTGGAACTACGACTCTTTCAGAATCGTCGACTGGTACAGTTACTTCTGCATTTTCTTCCAGCAACACTATTATTTCAACTGGATCGATGCAGTTCACCACTGGAACAATTCCAACTGTGACCGGTCAATCTGCATTGACAGCTTCGACCGCTTATACCATTCCAGGTTCGAAGGTGACTACCACTGCTTCGTCTAACTGGTTGCCCCAATCGATCATCTTCCAAACGCAAGATGCTGCGACGACCACTGGAACCGGAACTACCTCAGCAACCACATCGGTGTACACCAGTGCTCTCCCAAAGGCAATTACTCCAGCCGAAACACAGGTTCCTGACGCTGAATATATGTTGATCTCAGTCGGTTTCAAAAAGGGCTTGAACTATCCATTTGTTGTGCAAAGTTCACTTTCATCGGCGCAGGTATTTGAGTATCTACCTGGAGTGATCACCTTTCCATTTGCCTCGAGTGAATACGATCTCTCTTCGATTGTGGTGAAACAGTTGGTTCCATACACTGCAACGGATGTGGACTACATTATCACTGTTGCTGAGATTTATTTCGTGAAAGACCTGGTCGCTGACTTACAGAATTACATCAGTAACGTCACATCCGAACTGTATGCCAATACTGACGAGACCCAGAGTGCGTTAGCGCAGTTAATTGATTGCCAGGTTCCATTGACGGGATTGATTGGAAACACGACGCCTTCCAGTTCCACTTCTTCATCGCCTTCAGGCGATGCCGAGGCTGCTTCTTCATCAGAGGCCTCTGACGACGAATCCTCCAGTAGCGCTGACCTTAGCAACGGATCTGGTTCCATCGACGGAGAGAGCTATGCCGCTACAGCATCGGGATTTGCCTCATCTGGAGGACGTGTCACTGGAGTTGTTATTGGCTCGGTAGTTGGTGTGTCTGCCTACGTTGCATTCTTGATTTTGTTTTACCGGTCGAAGAGAGCGAAGAAGATGGCGGCCCTCAACGAATACCACCAGGACAACCGTGGTTTGCTCCAAGAAGACAATTACAGTCATTTGAATTCTACGGAGTCTTCTAATGGCTCTCTTCACCATCCCACTGGATCTATCAACCATCCAATTGGATCGCGGGTGTCTTTGGCAGATGGCTCTTCATACGGACTGGGTAGGATGTTCAGATCTGGCTCTGTGACAGCCTCTTCAAAGGAGATGTCTCAGACGAGTACTTACATTCCAGCCATCAGTCAGCCGGTTGCTTCTGCAAACTCTCTAGGTTGGTGAGAAAGACGAAAGGACACATCTTTCTTCGCACCCAGTATTACCTACTCCACCTACCACTGTACCATACTATAGGAGTATATCCATATTTATTGCTTAGCTACTTTTTTCAGTTTTACATTTTTTACCGAATAAACGACGATTCAAAAGTTTTGAATTTTTTTTTTGTAGCAGTCCAGATCTGTCCAAACTGTACATGCCCATACTCATTCACTCATTGTCAATCAGTTAACGACATAGACATACATACCAATAACAATCAGCCCGTCACGTCAACCACCACTGGTACATAAATCTCACAGCATCAAACCACTTGCCCCGTTTTCCACTGCCGGATCTCAAGCTCACTATCTGGTATGACTTCCCACGTCTCATAATAGCAAACCAGTGGTCTCGTTCATCATCACCAAGCATTTTTCGAACTCCCGTTTTCCCAAATTATGAAGTTTTACAAGTATATCGCCCTTATTTTGTTTCCGTTCCTTTTGCACCCGTCGCCTTTCACTCAGCTCTCTTTCCGTATCGTCTGCTTCAAGCAACCAATTGTAATACTCCACCGGAAGACTCTTCCGTTCTCGTTCTAGGGCATCTTCAACCTCTTGTTTAGAGAATCCTCGAGCCTCCAGATCGAATCTCATCATTTGTCTCTCGAGATTGTAACCCGCCCGAAACTTGTCCGCAGAGAGAACATTAGCACCACCCACTCCTTTGGCCTGTGTTTCCGTGAACTGATAGTCCAGTATATTTTTCAGAATAACACCTTCGGTGGTCCTTTCTTCAGCAATCCATGCGTTGACGCAAAACTTCAAAGTCCTTATCGCCCGGTCCAGGATCTCTTCCCTCTGTAGAGCAGGCAATGAGGAATCACCAAGCACCAGTAACCTTCGCAGGTTATAGTCCTCAACAAATCTCAGTTTGACAAATCGCACGTAAAGCTCTCGGATATCTTTTCTAGATGAGACAAGTGGCTTCAATCTCACAAAATGGCGGAACAAAGACGCGTACGCATGTCGTATAGGCACATCTCTATAGTACTCCACTTCCAAACTGGCAATGGGATTGGGTGAGAGGATATTACCCTGTGGTAGCCGTTTGAGCACCTGAAGCTTAGTATAGACCAATGCCTTAGGCGTTTCTAACAAAAGCTGCCTCTGAGCCATGACGGTATTTTTCAGTCGAACCGATTTTTTTCAATGAAAACATCAAGTCTGTTACGTTCCGATGAGCCTCATCTCTAGCAGCTTCTCGTACATAGTCGGAAGCTAGACGGGTAACTCCGGTTCCAGGTTCTAATATGCTTTGCACTACCTTCTCCACACTTCCTTCCACAAAGTTGGGAACAAAGAAACAAGGTAACAACAAGACCATGTGCGAAAACTTCCAAGAATCAAAGAAAATCCGGGTCGTTTCTGCCACCAACGTGCTCGAAAGCAGTTTTTGGGTGGTTCTGTCTGATTCTGGCGCGTTTGACCATGAAAACCATACACTCATTACGCTTCCTGGCTCCCCGTTTGTTGTATGATAGACCAGTTCGAGGAGTATTAATAATGCGCGAAGACTGACATTTAAAGCTACAAATAGACATAGTTCTTAACGGAATTCCTATTGAGAAGAGGAATCACGAGGCATTGGTAGAGCTGCTATCACATCTGCTTACAACAGGACAGGTGAGTGATACAGATCATGGGACCACGACAAAGCGTTCGACTAACATTATTTGGCAGTACTGGAAGGCCATGAACCTGGAACTGAGCCCTTGTCTGACTGACGAATCTGGCCTGAGATTTCTGGTGACTTGTGGTTTGTTCACGCCCATGGTTTTGCACCGATTCGGTATCGACAACAAAGATCTCAGTTTTGGTCCAGTCTTGCTGAACCAACTTGTTCAAATAGGAGTCCGGATCGACATTTCCATGGGTGGTTCACCAAAAAGTCCAACATTTGAACTGGTTGAGCTTGTGAACTATCTTATGGTATCCAATGCGATGGCTCTAGAAACACAATTTCCGATGGTGTTTTCGTTCCATGCCCGCAAGGTAAGACAAACCAATGATCCCTTATGACGGTTCCATGTACTGACTTCGTAGCTATTTCGTGACAACTTTGACTACCTATATTCAATAAGCAGTTCTCTCAGCGGCCAGCAGTCTAACGAGGAGATAAATCATGGCTTTCTGCTGCAAATCTCAAGACAGGTGACCGAGGGGCAGAACATGATTCAGATCATGGCCACATTGTCAAACTCTGCCCAAGGAAGACTCAAATACCTGCTCATGAAACGGAAGAAATCCGGAGACGGCGACGAGATTTGTGCTGGTCAGGTACTCAATTTGGCCGTGGCAAAGGAGGTATTGCGGCTATAACCCTTCGTGATCGCACGCAAGAAAAATCTCAAAATCAGCGATTGAAGAGGTTTCCCTTCCAGAATTGCTTGTAACATCTCAGATAAACTGGAAGTGGATATAATCATTAATTGCCTCTTCATAGACATATCATCCTTTCCCCCCGTATCAGGCTTCCTTATAGTCATATCTAGCCCGCTCTAAACTCTTGATTCCCTTGTCTATTATTTCAATGTCATTTGCAGTCGAGTGAATTCCATATACAAACATAAATGGCAACAAATACACACACTCGGACGGCACAAACTCTGAAAACAGAGTCCTAGCCTTAGAAACGAGTATGAAGGTTGAAAGAACATAGTTGAATTTGGTGAGCTTGCGGTCATCAACACCATGTGAAACCAGAACGGGCATCAGTCTCTCATTCACCATTTTGCTTGCGAGACTTTGCTCGCTCGATCTGTTCAAAAAGTGTATTTGGATCATCAATGCTGATGTTAGCATAGACAGACACGAGGCAGAACTGTAAATGGCATTGACTCCCTTCCTGTAAACAGGAACAGTAACAAGCAACAAGTTCAGCAGGACGAACAGTAACTGAGCCGCTTTTGACGCCTTGATAATAATCTTTCCCGAATCAGTTAACTCGCCTCCCATACCAAACGGCTGTGTGCTCTTCAGTTCTGCAATGAGGCGCGACTGAGCATCGTTGTCCAGATATACCGGCTCACCGGTGTTTCCGGCAGTATCATAGTTCTTCAACACTCTCCTCAAACGCGACGACATCTAAACAAAACACACCCACACGCACTTCAACACTGTACCTGAACACTTCACGTTTTGCCCTTAAAAACCGGTGCGGTGTCAAGACTCAAGACAGGTCATCTGCTACACACACGACCTTGGCTGGTCAATGTCCGAAAAGGGTGGATATGGTTGATACAGTTCAGACACGAGCGCTTTCGAGTTATTATGGGTGATAATAAGAAATACCGGATTTCAGTGAGCTTTAAGATATGCTGATTCTCAGTAGTGGTAAATTTATTCGTTCTAGACTCTGTGGATTCCGGGATGAGGTAGTTCTCGCTACTACACGGGGTACGCCGGTGTGGAGCATTTCAAAACCCATACGGGCAATTGGAATTAAATCTCCAAATGCCTCAAAAAGAAACCAGACTAAAAGAAATGCAACACTTTCAGGAGCAAAATCTGGCACTATCGGATGGAGTTGCAGATCTCAGAAAGGACCCCAGCGGTAGTCTATAGGCACTCACGGTTTGACACGATTCTCAGTCAGACTGCACTTTTATCGCTTATCCGTTTTCTTTTTCCAAAACACGTTTCCGCTCAATGACACGGAGTCTAGACTTTCATATCAACGCACTTTTACTCGAGTTTCCTTGATTTTAGAGGGAGCAGCAGGGGGTCGTGTTTAAGCGCCAGATCTCGACTCTTCGCTAATGCACCTCGCGCATGATGAGTAAACCGTCGGTACCGACTACCAAACGGTTCAGTTTTTCTGCTGGGGAGAATGCGGATTCCTGCATGCAAACACGCTCTCGAGCAGATTGAAACGGGAAACTCGAGGGCAAACCTGCAAGATCTTGTTGGTTCGAGCTGTTTGAGTGGTCGATTCAGATTTGTGGATCTGGCACAGGAGCTGAAAGGAGACATGGGAGAAGACTTGGAATGAACTTAGATCAAAGAATACAACCGAAGAAAATAGCGAAAATTCGCCTTTGAATTTAACACTAGGATAGAGTCTAGAACTAGCGAACATGTGAGAACCCATTGTAGACCCAAATAACATCATTATGCGTCCTCAATCCGGCTTCATTACGTGCATACAGGTACAATCACCAAATGAACCGGGACAAAACATAGGCCGAGATGCCCTGTGTTTCAGAACAACTTGTACATCTCGAACCTGCAAGTTTGGCCGAGGTGTAGAGGTATAAATATGGCTGGAAAGTACCGATTCAATCCGATATTTACTTAGACTTTCACTAGAAACTCCACTTTTAGTTACAGTTCTCCAATGCGCTTTTCAACATCTACACTCCTTTTGACCCTTTTCGCCATTGTCCGCGCTGAAGTTGCATCAGACTTCGAGGAATGGCCAGAATTCCCAACACAAGCCGATGAATGGTTTCACCATCACCACCATGGAACTGAGTGGGACGGTGACTGGCCAGGCTCTCCTACAACTTTGCTTACAGTGACTACCACTGGAGATGACTGCGACCCTACTGAGACCAGCGAGGCTGATTCTCAAACTACAACTAAAGTCATCACTCAAACAGCTTCAGTCTCTACGACCCCAGTCTCCACGACCCCAGTCTCCACGGCTCCAGTATCCACGGCTTCAAGCTCTTCAACCACCCCAGAATCTTCCACCGAATCTTCCACCGCTACCTCGTCCACTTCTTCTTCAAGTTCAACTGACTCCACCACATACTCCGGCCGTGGAACCTACTACGAGCCAAGTGCAGACGCATGTGGAACCAGCTCAACTGCTGACGATTACATTGTCGCAATTGCAGAGACTCTTTACTCTTCTCTGGGAGAATCAAATGACGGAATCAGCTCCGCATGTGGGAAATCTATCACTGCCTCTTACAACGGTAACTCTGTAACTGTCAAGGTGGTAGATGCCTGTGAATCCTGTACCGATGTCGATCTCGACTTTTCTCCTGCAGCATTCAAGAAGTTGGCTGACCTGGATGTTGGTGAGTTGAAAATCGACTGGCACTGGGATTGAGCTGCATTGCCAACCATTCGTTGGTTTCCTATGGATCCCCTGGCAGTCACTTTCTTTGTAAATTCCTCTCGATAAGCTTTAAAGTTTTGTGTTTAATCTGAATATTTCTGTTTTCATCTGTTTACATCCGGTGTCTATTCGTATCCCGCTGTTTTCCCTGCTCCATTTGGATTATTTTTACCCTCTTTGGGGCTCGTGCGGCGCTCAGTTGTCAGCCTCACCCCGGGTTGCCGTGGCAACGAAGCCCCATCCCGCCAGATCGGGCATGTTTACCTTTCAAACTTTTGGGCGGTTAGTGCGCTTTACAGGCAGTGTACCTGGTATTTATTCCGAGCCCTTTCTCACAAATTCCCCAATTTTCAATCGTATTTTGTCAGCGCTGGTAGCTAAATATCTCTTCAAGGAAAGGTATAGGTTGTACGCGCTAGACGCCACACCTAAGGTCACCATGCTCCAAACAAAAGGACGGAACTTAGACGCCGGAAAGAAACGCCATGGATTGCTGCTCAACGGCGAGAATTTGCCCGAGACATACGCGGAAATTCGCAAGGGAGTGAATCGTTCTTCGGTCGCCGATTTTGCCATCTACGCAGATCCTGCGGGGTCTTCAGAGCATTCTGGCGCATACGGTAGGGCAAGCCCCAGGAAGTCAATGGCGCCAGAACCGCTCCAGGCACGGTCTCCCAATGTCAGCATCATCCATGAAACGTCCAAAGCCAACGCAGCGACTAAGAACAAACACAGATTATCCATCACTTCTTTGGCGTCTACCACGTCTACTAGATCGTCGAGCAGCTTCAAGTCCCTGGCACAGAAGGTGGCCAATAGGATCTCCACAGCAGGCGAAGACGTCCAAAGCAAACGCCGGGGCAATACCAGAGGGTCTCTGGAGTCACCAGGTGTTCCTGAGGAAACTACCAAGGCTTCGACCAAATCTACAACTCCCATAGCATCCTCTGAGAAAAGACATCTCAAACCTATGGACTTTGGCGATTCGCCATCACCTGCCAAACCGAGAAGAAAAGCTTCACGGACCGAACTGGACTCATCACAGGAACCGTCGCGTCGTCACAGTGGTTTGTCGCGTATCAAAGAGTCGCTATCGATCCGTTCTAGCATGTTCAAACTGAGATCTGCTTCTGGAATGGCCTCTACAGCAGAAGATAACGAGTCGATTTCGTCAAGTTCATCCTCCTCAAGGTTACACATTCCAAAGTCAATTTCTATGAGAAAATCTCTTCTTTCTCTGAGCTCTGCGAAGGCCTCTACTGAATCCTCAAGCTCCTCTCCAACAACTCCAAGATTGGAAAAGACGATGATCTCACGGCCTGTTCCCCAACAGGCTTCCAAGGATAAGCTCATGAACAAACTTCGCAATTCCTCCTCGTTACTTTCCATTTCTTCCTACATTCCAGGAGAAGGTTCGCAGGAAATTGTCTCGGTTCCAGTCTCCAAGTTGGAGCATTTACAGTCCAATCTGCTTCTGAGACTGTGCTCTCAGAAAGAGACTATGCCGTTCGTGGACTTTTACAAATCCAAGGTCAATCCTAAAACATTTTACGAAAAACTAGCCGAGGCAGGTTACAGCGAGGTTTACGTGGAAAAGTCTCGAAAAACCCGCAAACCGTTGAATGTGTGGAAGATAATTCCATTTGGCCAGGAAGAGTTCGAACAACCACCAATCCAGGACCTAATCCAGGAACTTTCCATTACCATGTCGGTTTCACCACTTTTTGGATATGTCACTTTAAAAGCTGCCAAAGTTGTCAATGGCAAGTTTCCGGGTAAATTGATCTCTTTATGGGACAAATATGCCGAGAAACATGGTACTGTCAGTCAGAGACCTGACACTTATCCCGACTCCCAGAGATATCTGGTGATAGTTCAGGAATATGGTGGTGAGAGTCTTGAAAACTATCGCGTGAGGTCTTGGAGGCAGGCCTCTGAAATCTTCTGGGAAGTTGCCAAAGCTCTCAAAGAAGCCGAGGACAAGTTTGATTTTGAGCATCGTGATCTGCATTTGGGGAATATCCTGGTGAAAAAGAGAAAGAACTACTCAACCGTCGAGGAATTTGCTCAGCTATCTCTCGATCCCCAGAGTAAACAGTCTGATATTCAGGTTTCGTTGATCGACTATACTCTTTCCAGGGCCAAAATTTCAGGAAGAATAGTCTTCACTGGACTTGACAGTCCCAGCTTCTTTAAAGGTACCAAGGACTATCAATTTGATGTCTACCGATTCATGAGACAACACGTTTCCAAAGCGGCCTCGGCCTCGACTTCCCTTGCTGCATCATCATCCCCACTGACCAATACCCCACAAAATAACGTCACGCTTCATGGACTGCGTCATTCCCAATCAAACAGGTCGCTAGCTACTGTTTCCGACAACTCGGATGACACCATCAATTGGTCTGCCAAATGTCCCACAACAAATATTCTATGGCTCCATTATGTTGCTGACAAGCTTATCAACGCAAAAGACTTGGAACCAGTCAACCATATCCGCAAGAAGCTTTGCTCCTCGAGCGTGGGAATTGAAGCTGCCGAAGACTGCGACCTGGACCTCAATTCTGAGGAAATCGAAGCCTACCAGTCCATGATTTATATCCACAAATGTCTTGATCCACGTAAAAAACGGTTTGGAAAATCTTCCAAGCCAATATTCAAAGGAGGAGCTGTTGCCAGAGGGTCCATGCCTCACATCATGGTCAGTTTTAGTGATTTTGACAATATGTCTGATGTGCTAAATTGGGGGAAAGCCACGGGACTTTACTAATGACAATTTTTGTACTATTGTTTTATCGTTACTGGGTTTAGCGTCTAACTCATTGCATTATTTATTTAGTAGGTGGGTGAGAGACGGTAGGACGACGAGATGCAAATGCCATCCAGCAATGCGGAACACAGGTGTTGAATCAGAGTGTTGAATCAGAATCTTCACTCAAAAAGGCCGAACTGGCAATGTTAAGCGGCGAGCCCTATAGCCCAGCTTGACAATGTACGTTAATCTATACCAAGCACCCCCAATATCCACCAAATCAAAGACTGAGCACTCCTTCGTGAACATGATGCTTCAGCCCTTATTTAACCAGTTATTTTGCAGGCGTAGGTTTCAAAGGAATGGTCACTCTTGGACTTGTCACCAGAAACCGCACCGCAGAAAACACCAATCCTGACACCCTGCTAGAAGCAAAAACCCAAACGATGGGTCCAACAGATCCTCTGGGCAACAGTGGAAACGACATCAGAAACTCCACAGGTCTTGGCAACACCTTGTCGGGAATAGAGAATAGCACCCTTCTGGCAAAAAAGAACCTCACGGCATACAATGGAAGCGTAGTGACCAGCTTGATGGCCACAGCCACTTTAGCATTGAATGCCTCTCTTTTAACACCCAAAGACAACTCTAAATCGTTCTTTTCCTTCTCGAGCTTATCAAATCTGCGATTCAACTTGGTCCACTTGGCATACTGATCCTGTGCGCTGATGGCCGACCTCTCCACATAGATCTGTCTCAGCTCTTTGCGAACAGCATGCAAATGTTTGATTTCAGCTTCAGCAGATACTTGTTGATATCCAATCCATGCCTAATTCGAAAAACTATTAGTGACGAACAAGGAAACTGTATCTTGTTACGATTGATACTCACTGCCTGCTTGACCCTATCTTGGCCTATCCAGTTGAAAACCTTCTGGAATAACAGAAAGAGTGTAATAAACACGAGTAAACTCCAGGACTCCATAATAGAGATCAAATATAGCCTGAAATATAATCAAGTCACACCCAAAATGTACCCAAAATGTACCAAAGTCTTGCCAAACCACAACTAGAAATCATCCATTGTCATCGTCTATCTATCTTCTTACACCTGCACGACCCTGCAAAAAAACACACACCTGGACGAAGGCGGTGTCACCGAACCACCAAGGGGCTTGCTGTATTCAACTCATCCACCATATATCTTTTTTGAGGAGCTTTTGATAATCACAGAGTGGCCTAATTTCAGCCATCGAGAGCTCTTGTTAGTTGACCGCAAAACGCCCTTTATATTGGCGTAGAACTGGGGGAACACCGCCAAGAGAGAGTGATCACACATCCGAACCCGCTGATAAGACTACCATCTAAGCAACCAAACACAGCAAATCTAAGCAGGATCTTAGACTTTGTGATTGCAGCAGATACGAGGGAGCAACTATTCTGACCTATTTTGGTTTTGGTTTTGGTTTTGATTTTGATTTTGGTCTTGCTTCCATCAGCTAGCACGACACAGCGACTTGTACCAATATCCGATTGATTGTTCTCATACACACACCGAATGAGCAACATGGCAGAGACGATAAACTCCGATTCCAGCGAGGAGCTGGATACGTGGATATCGCAATATTGTTCGATGTTCGGCAGAGACTGGTTCGTCGAGGTTGACCCGGAGTTTATCGAGGACGACTTCAATCTTACAGGGCTGAACTCATCAGTTCCGTTCTTCAGAGAGGCCCTTGACACCATCTTGGACTTGGAGCCCGAAACTCCCATCAGGCAGCAGAATCTTCCGCTTGTGGAGCATGCTGCAGAGTTGCTGTACGGATTGATACACGCGAGGTACATCCTGACTAAACAAGGCCTACAGGCGATGGCCGAGAAATACGAACAGAAGCAGTTTGGCGTGTGTTCGCGGTTCTACTGTGAGGGAATGCACCTGATACCTGTGGGGAGATACGACCAGGCCGGAATAGAGACAGTGAGATTGTATTGTCCACGTTGCTGTGACATATATGTTCCGACGTCGTCGCGGTATTTGAACATTGACGGTGCCTTTTTTGGCACCAGTTTTGCTGGAGTTTTCGTGAAGATGTATCCTGAGATTGAAGAGCAATGCCAGCAGAGCAGGAATCGCGTTTACGAGCTGAAGCTGTACGGTTTCAAGATAAGCCCGCTGGCCCCCTCCGGTCCCCGAATGGCTTGGCTGAGAAGCACGCCCCAGACTGTTGAAGAAATCGCTGAGTACGATGCCTGTGAGTTCGAGCTTCCCCATGACGAGGAGGTAGACGTGGAGATCTACGACGATGACGATGACGACGATGAAGAAGACGAAGTACAGGTTTCGCGCGCCATTAAGGTGACGCCGAAGCCGGAATCGAAGAGGGCAGATGATGCCAGTGACAGCATGAAGAGTATTGTTAAGGAATGAGGACTTGTGAGGGTTTAGTTCGAAGTATATACGGAACGCCTTGAAAAGTTGATAAGCCATATGTTTCAGTTTCAGTAGACGCTTAATAGGTCTGGGCTACTTAGTTGGTTCAGATATCGTTGAATAGCAGGCTGTTCGCGGATATTACCAGATTTCCACTAACAGTTATTTAATTTCAACCAAGGTATTTTAAATGTTCACTATTTTTACACCTTCAAGCGTCACCTTTTGGGTCACGTGATAAAAGCACTTACACAGCAGCTTGATGGTCCAGGCCTTCTTCTTTACTAACCATTGATATAGCCATTACCAGCCATGTCACTCCATTTTGCAAGTAGGGAAGACTTGTTCATTTTTCAGAATCCAGTCGTGTATGCGCATACCGATTGCGGGTACTGTCATGGATCTAAACCTGACAAAAAGTACGGGTTCTCTCTGGAGTCGTTCAGATCACACCGATCCAGATTGATCTCTGTGGATTATCCCCGATCTGTTACCATTGGAGTTCCAATTTCGGTCATATCTTGTGAGAGATACGAAAGATTCTTGAATCTCGGGTATAGGCGAAGTGGGACCTTTTTGTACAAGGTGAGTGTGATTACTATGATGTGTTGAAACCCGTACTAACCAGTTACACCACCAGATGGATGCACTGAGAGGTTGTTGTCGCATGTACCCCATCAGAACCAATCTGGATAGGATAAAGCTGAACAAAGATCACAGACATACTGTTAACAGGTTTACGAAACGCGTCTTAGGAACTGAGATTGCTACTAAACATAATCGGCCTTTTAGTCTGGACGGACTAATTGAGGCTGAATCAGAATGTTCCGCTTCCAGGTTCCACACAATCATCGAGCCTGCAGATTTCTCCGAGGAAAAGTTCAAATTGTATTGCAAATACCAAATTCAGGTCCACAAAGATAAAGAATCGGATCTCAGTACCAAGTCGTTTACAAGATTCTTGTGCAAAGCTCCCTTTAGAACCGAGAACATCGATTACGTCGCTCTGAACAATTGGAGAAAAGGAGGAAATATTGACCAATTACGGAAGATGAAGGGCGCAATTCACGAATGTTACTATATCGACGATCAGCTGGTTGCAGTGGCAGTGTTAGATCTGCTTCCAAATAGCGTATCGTCAGTATACTTCATATGGGATCCGGCATATGCATCGTTAGGCCTGGGAACCCTCAGTGCTCTGAGGGAAGCGCTCTTCACCCAAAGATGTGGAAAACAGTGGTATATGATGGGCTATTACATAGCAGACTGTGTCAAGATGAAGTATAAGGGCAAGTTTGGAGGTGAAATCTGGGACCAATGCAGTAGCCAATGGGTGGAATTGGCAAAGGTAAACCATCTGATAGATGATGGGCGATTGTGCGTTTTTTTCAGCCCCGAGAAGGAGATTCCCTCCAGAGAGCTACCGATGAAGCCGTCAACTGCATCTCATGAAGCCAAGTATTATGATATCGCCGAGACCATATACAGTACGAATGGCGTGGCATACAAAGACGCACTGCGCGTTCTCGAAACTTTGGGCGAGATCAACGGCTTGGAAGACTATTTTGAAGAGAATGAATTCAATCTCTTTGACCAGAAGGTGGTGAGTGAAGTGTACTCGAGTGACGTGCTACCACGAGTCTGTCCCGGGCTAACTCCCTTATGGCAAATCAAAGAGCTGATAGATTCCAAAGCTTTGGAAAACATCGAGGATTGTCAGCGGAACCCATTCGTTCAACCAGGATTGAGCCTCTCCAAGTGTAACCCCGATGAAACGAAACAGGTAGTTGATTTCGTCCGGCTATTTGGAATCGACGAACTCAAAGACATACTATTTGTATAAGCCACAACAGATATTGAGTTTCGGAACAAAGGTGCATTATTCCGTAAATCTTCTTCGGAATGCGCAAAAGGCCAAATGAAATTAAGAGTCATCTTTCTAGAAGGCGCGGGGTCCTGACCGGATGATGTGATGTGGTAATGACCTCATCCAAAAATGGGTAGTGTGCACGACCTCGCGGGTATAAATATCCGGGGTAGGGGGCCTTGATTTGGACAACTGTTCTTCTCTGGATTCTGCAAAGAACTAGCTTCTTTTACATTTTATCAACTCAATCTCACACCAAGTTACAATCATGGCAAGAACCAACAAATGGAACAACCACCACTCCTCCGAGGAGACTGCCCGCTACTTCACCCACAACGGCCATATCGATGCCGCTCCTAACGGAATCAAGAAAGGTGGGGCTGGTAAGAACAACTGGGGAACCGTCGGATCTGAGATCGACGATCTCATCGACTCAGGTGAGATTCCTCCAGTCTTCAAGAGGGAGAGAAGAGGTTCAAACCACTCCCAGCTTGAGAGAAGATTCTCGAACGCCCAAAACCAAAGCAGCGCCCCAGCGGCGTCTGATGACGACAATGTTGATGAAAATGACTATTAATGATGCATTAGATGAAGCTCTCATGTAACTGTTGTCTTGACTGACTGCGGTTTGTGATCTTCCATGAAGATAGAGCAATACAGGCCTTTTGAGCCGTTTTAGCTGGAATGAGAGAGTTTTGGTTCTACGAGATAATGTTTCTTTGGTCTGGGACCTTAGAGATTATCCGGAGAGAATCTGCCTTGTTCCAGTATTTTATTAATTAACCAAAACCCACAAATATCATAACTTACGATTCTTGCTTTGCTTGTAGCAGCCATGAAAAAGCAATCGGTTCCCACCAGAAACCGATGGAATGTGATTGGATTACACAGATTTGTTGGCTTTGATAAATATTTGTTGGCTATCAGCTGACAATAAATCAACAAAAAATCAGCCAGGAGTTTGCTATTGCTGAATTTCTCGCTGGAATGGTCGAGTTTCAGTTACTGCCTGTTGGCCAAAGTGTGGGGTGATGATCTGCCCCTCAGGCCTGTTTGAGTCATTCTGTCAACACTCATGGTTTCGTCGATTTAACTGGCAAAATTAAAAAAGTGCAGAAATCGGAGGTTTTAGCATAAGTTAATCTACTGTTGCAGTTGAATACCAAGCTTGGTGTTTTCCCACTAGACTGTATCAATGCTGTTCTGATCTCTACGATCTGAACCAAAATCGAATGACTGGGCTTTTTAGAGCGCAACAGAAGGCAGACCTGTGGCACTGTGGTTTGGAACTTCCAAATTGCATAGTGAGAGCCGGTTACAATCAAACATGCCAATGGATATAACTAATACCCATAGAATATTCCAGTAACATCTGTAAGCATTGAAATTTGGCTTGGTGGGAATGGATGTCATGGACCTCATCTCAAAACGGAAGCCGATGGCGACCATGCATGGAAGTACCGAATGTAGCTTCAGTACAGCTTGCCTGTACATATATAGCTGAGTCTGTTCAGAATTAAAAAACTACTTCAACGAGTTTCCTTCTCCGTTGCTTAAAATGGTCAAACAAAATCCGTTCGTTCTCGAGCAGTTTATGGATGCCCATGAGACAGGTATCGAATACAACCTGGGCGAGACCTGTTGCTCTTCACTTTCCATCAAGGAGCTAGAAATCTTGTGCGGCGAACCTTTCCCGTTGCATGAGATTGTTGAACAAAAACTGGCTTACACCTGGATCAAGGGATCAGACCGATTGCGGGATCTGGTTGCTGGCAGCTATCAGGGCATTGGGAGAGAGGACGTTGTTATCACCAACGGTGCTATTGGAGCCAACTTTCTGACGCTCTATGCCCTTGTTGGACCGGGTGACCATGTGATAGTGGTGGATCCAGCTTACGAGCAATTGAGCTCTGTTCCCAAAATGTTTGGAGCAGAAGTATCGCTTTTGAAGTTGAGCGCTGATGAAAACTACATTCCCAACGTGGACAAGTTGGATCAGTTATCTCAAAAAAACACTAAAATGATCGTGATAAATAATCCCAACAACCCTACGGGCTCTCTCATTCCTACGGAAACTATGAATGCGATAGTTGAGATTGCTCGGAAAACGGATGCCTACGTCCTATCAGATGAGGTCTATCGACCATTGTTCCACTCGATTCCAGATTCAGATATTCCGCCATCTATAGTGGAAATCTATGACAAGGGCATATCTACAGGCTCGATGTCCAAGGCATATGCTCTGGCTGGAATTCGGTTGGGATGGGTGGTTTCAAAGTCTCGAGAAGCCATAGAAGAGTGCCTTTCGAGGAGAGATTTCAACACCATCTCGGTTTCCTGTGTTGACGACATAATAGCATGTTACGCTCTGAAGCACAAGAAGTCAATTCTGAAGAGAAATTACGAGTTGCTACTAACAAATTTGCAAATTCTTCAAAAGTTCCTGGATGAAACTAAGGGTCAAATAACTTGTGTTCTTCCCAAAGCTGGAACAACAGCTTTCATTCGGGCTGAAACCACCGCAAGCAGTATGGATTTCTCATTAGAGCTTATTAAAAAGTACAACACTCTGATTGTTCCAGGTGAAACCTTTGGGTATCCTGGTTACTTCAGGATTGGCTTTGGCAACACTAAAGAAGACTTGGTACATGGTCTTGAAAACTTCAAGACTTTGCTAAAAGAGAAGCCAAAAAACACATAGGAATAATGGTCACCCAACCCTTATATGAGAGCAAAAACAAACATACATCCCTGCTTTATAAATGATCGACCAACAGCAATAGATGTTTCCCTATGATCGCTATAGATAAGACTTGAAGGCTTTCTTTATCGCACAACACGTGACCAAATATGTTATCACACGACAAAATATAAATCATTGTGTAACAGAATTGTGCCTGCCTGAGCCGCCGTTATACTGTGACCCAATAGCAACAAGAGTTTTTCAAGGCAAAAGAGAAGTTATCCGAGTCTCTGGAATCTGATACAAGCCACTTGAACTTTTAAGAGCTGGCTTCTTTCCCGGTACTGGCCCGACATTTAGTGCCTACGCTTAACCCCGTCAAAGGGCTGCTTCTTGAAGGAGGATACCACCCGCGATGTTTCACACTCCGCCCACAAACCCAAATCACGAGGTCTGGTCTTCAGAGACGGCTTTGAAGAACTCGTATTTTTCTTCATACGAACCGGAAGCGGAAGCTACTGAAATTCACCAAATATCAACGGTGGCACCCCAGCTGGCTAAGCCGGCAGAACCCGTTGTTCCGGGTGCTAAAGATGATTCTAACACAATGGCCAAAGATGCCATATTGCCAACAGAGGAGCCTGCTACTATTGCTGGAGAAAATACGATTCAAGAAGCACCAAAATTGGATGACACCTTGCCGCCTCAGCTACAACGTGAATTGGATAACTTTGCCAAGTTCCTAAAGGAACCCAGATTCACCAAGCCCTTGTCAATGTACGACATAGCAAACCTTTTTCAAAAATTCTATCTTGATTTCAACGAAAAAAGTGTCAGATTTGTGAAGGGAGGTCTTCCTGAATTGAAGCTCACGAAGAGACGAAGCAGAGTGTCATCCATACCTCTGTTGGATCCAAATGAGATTGCAATGAAAAAGTCCCAGGAAAAGCTCAACAGTGTTAAGATTCATCATTACAACTTATTGATAGAAAAACTGGCTTGCAAAAGATTCTACGACTCGATTTTGGTACCCAAATCTGGATTGCCCACTGATTTGGCTGAGCTACAGATCAACGAGATGTTGAATAAGAAGTTGGGTATCTTGTTCAAAATGAACGTGTCTTTGAAAAGCTTGGATATAGAGTTGCCGGTTGAGGAGGAATTTTTTATTTGCAAGCTGGACGAGGCTGTGATTCCCCAATTCGTCACTATGGCCGTGGAAACCTCACCCATTTGCAAGTTGAGATGCCTCTACAGGGTCCACGAGGAGATCAGCGAGGTTGTGAAGGCGATTCAAGCAGATTCTGAAGCTTCTTCTTCCGCATCTTCGTCTTCGTCGAAACAATTGCACATGAACACAGACCTGTACCTTCCCGTGCTGATCTTCTGTATCATGAACCTTCGAGAGTTGCACAAAATTGATATATATCAACAGTTACAGTTCATCAAACGATTCAAGAATGAGGTATTTTTCGAGACTGGTCTTCTGGATGAACACGATGATGGCAGCAGCAATGAGAGAGGCGAGCTTCTGTATGTGTTGACCAACTTGGAGGCCAGTATCATGTACTTGGGAAGTTGCACAGCCGAAAATTTATCCCTGGAAGTCACATCTGATATTCTGGATGAATTGGACCCAGAAGCAGTTTTGCTTGACGATGACCAGAGAATACAGAGACACGCTGAGATTCTGGAACTTTTGGCCAAACCAATCTCGTTTGAGGCTGCCTCTGTAAGCCCAACCCCCACATCACAGCACACCAGATCAAGGCGCCCTTCTAAACAGTCGAGCAATAGTGGATCGAGAAAGAGCTCATTCAGCAACGTTAGCGAGGAGAATGCTACAACCGTGCCAGCCAATTCCTCCAGGTTTTCTCTTCTCAACGGACCTGCTGACTTCTCTCTCTACAATGCTGACCAGGGTCTGCGTACTATCAGCACAGCGGTTGACTCCAGTTTCCGCAGTATCTTGGGCAGATTTTCGTCTACAGAATTGCCCTCGTGGACTGCTGTCAGTGCTCACCATGACCCGAACGAGATCAGCGAGGAAACCAAGTCCCAGATCGAAGAGAGCTTGCAGTCAATGCATGTATCGTCCATCGGCGAGAACAATGCAAAGCAAGAGCAAACTCATGATCAGAAAATCACGCCTACTTCGTCCATTTCTACCACTTCGACAGTCAACAGTGGTGGGAACCACTCGCTTAACTCCACCGGAAGCAACACAGTGAGACCCCCACCAATCGCGATACTTCCTGAGAAATCAGAACCTACCACTTTTTCCACCATCCCGCTTTCTCCTGCCAATGGCGATCGTTTCACGGCCTTCAACAAGATCACCAGCAGTGTGAATGGGGTGATGAAGAACTTCAGACCTTTGAGCGCTTCCTCATCCTCAACTTCTCTCAGCAACAATCTAGAAACATCAGCACCGCTCTTCGAAACTGTTTCACCAAACAGACAGGGCAATTCCAGATCTAGAAGCAGAACTGCTAGTTTTATGTCTAGCTCTATCTTCGGTGGTGGTCAGCCTGCTTCCAACAGCAGTGCACCCACTTTGAATTCCGTACACAGAAGCAGTTTATTTGGAACCATAGAGAATGCTATAGAGAAAACCACCAAGACAAGATCCCGTGGGAACAGTATGTTGAGCGACCCAGGCCGCGAGATACGAGCCTCCGACGCGGATACGGCCTCTGTTTCCACCGGTGATCTTTCCTCGGCAATAGTGAAGCTGGAGCCGGATCTGAAACAGCTGAACAGGTTTGAGAACAAAGAGTTCACAGAGTTGTCTGTTTCGGAGCTGAACGAGATGTTCAACAATTACAAGCTGATCATGGACCGTCTTCAATAGAGATGAGAAAGACGTCATCAGTGTTCTCCGTCCATGATTTTCTTGCCTGTTTTGCTCGAATCATTGCCACCTCCAATATTGGCTATTATCAGACACTATAGCCGCTCTCCATATTTATTGCCTTTATAACTTGCATCAGACCTCAAAAAAGATTCGCTTTCTTGGGACGTGTTTGTAGCCCTAAACCTCTGGTTGTGTACGCAGCGTGGAGTCAACAACACACTCGTTCGAGAAAATATCAACACCCAGTTTCAAGGTGACGAAGTGAAGTGTTGAGAGCATTAAACCAAGACAAAGAGATAACAGAACGAATCTTGGTTCGATTGCATTGCATATTATGCATAACGTTTGGTCGTGTGTTTCCCATATATGGCTCATCGCGAGCGTGAGGAGCGTGAAATAGATCAAGTCCTCTAAGGCAACTGGTCCAGTTTTGAAACAGCAACCATACCAAGTCCTCCACTGCCCAAATGTCCAAGAAAACATCAATTCCTATCTTCCTGTTTACATTCAATTGTGCAAAAACCAATCAAGCCACACAGGATTTGGAGGACGCACTGGGAAGAGCGTATCCCCAGGCCCATCCCCCACCGTCTTTACTGGTGTTCGGGTTCCAGGAGATCTGCTCCGTTATTGATTCCACCTCGTATGCTACCGTTAATCAGCATGTGATTCAGATGAATGATTTTCTTCTCGGGAGTCTCAGTGCGAGATATGGCTCCGATTACAGTTTTAGTACGGTGGGTATAAACCATACTGGCTCTGTAGCACTGATAGTGATAACCCCATACCCCAGCAAAGTATCTCAGGTGAAAACCGCCAACATGTCCTGCGGAAGACTTTTGTCAAGCACCAAAGGTGGGGCTGGTGTCAGACTCAAGCTTCGGGTCAAAGAATCGGAAAACCCGGTGGGGTTCACCTTCGTGGCTGCCCATTTCATGGCAGCAGAGGGTGAGAAGTATCTACTCAGGAGAAACCAAAACTACCTGACTTTGTTGCAAGGAATGGATTTTGGAGATGGATTTGGCGTTATAAAGCCCCGGTTCCACTGTTTCTTCATGGGCGATCTCAATTACAGAGCCTCGGGTGGGTTTCACGGAAAGCATAGACCTTCCTCGAGAGCCTCGGAGTCGGAGCGACTCATCTCTGATTTCGAATCCACAGACGAATTGAGCATCTACAGAACGGCCGGCGAGGTCTTTTGGGGATTTGAAGAGCCTCCGGTCACGTTCAAGCCAACCTACAAGTTCAAGGTTGGAACCTCTGAATATACATCCAAAAGGGTTCCTTCGTGGTGCGACCGCATTCTGTACCAGAACTACACAGAGGAGTATCACGATACCACCGAACCACTCGAACGAGTACTGGAGTACAATTCCATACCATCTCTGAAGACGTCAGATCACATTCCTGTTTATCTCAACATTGAAGTTCCCACCGACCCACCATTGAGCATAGTGAATAACAGAGGATACCTGATAGATGCCAGTGGTATCAGCGTTGATAACATCTATCTGAAACCAACCAAGCTGACGTCTTATTACTCGAAATTTGGCATTGCGACCGATGTGGTCTTCCGCGCGGTATTATTGGGTCTTCTGACAAATACTGGAAGGATAGTACTGGCTGTTTTGGTGTTGTTTTTAGTATGGGTTTTTCGTTTCTGATTGCAGTCCCATGGTCATTTGCCTACTCTGGGTATCGTTTGGTTGCATGCTTTTGTCTCTCCTTTATTTAATCTCAAGCAGTTATGTTACAAATCTGTGCCACGCCTTGAATTCGCACCCGAGGAGCAATCCACTGACCTCATAAGCAATCTCAGACCAACTTTTTGACTAATTCTCACCTCCAGACAGCAATTTCTCATTTGCTGCCATACTTTGCCTTGCCAATGTCAAACGGCAGATAACGATACTTCAACATGTGCTGGATCTGCCTTCTCATAGTGAGCGAAAACAGCACTATGAAATACATCAGGAGAATGGGCCAGAACACTGGTATGTCCAACAGTGGAATGAACGAGCTCACTAGCGCGATCGAGGTGGAAGCCGTGGCCTTAAACCAGAACTTGAATTCAGGTAATCTCCTGATGAAGGGACGAAACTCCTCGTCATTTTCAGTCATACCAGACATTCCTTCCTCCGTGGACTCATCACGCATCTCTTGTTCCAGCGAAGGATCAAATTTGGGAGTCAAAAACTGCAGAAACATGTTCAACAGGTAGATTGCATACGTGTAGCAAACAATATACCAACCTTCAGCATATATTATTCTCAACATGAACAAGGTGATCAACACGTAGAACGCAACCCATCTGTACAACGTGTGAGGAGTCACCAAATCCAAGTACCGGCGATACGTCACCCTCAATCGCGAAACGTACACATCCAGCTTGTCTTGTAATGATTCTGACATTTTTCAGATGTAAATATTATTGGAATTTCAATTGTTCTTGCAAGGACAATGGCGGGTGTATTTGATTGAAAATCGGACGTGTCTTGTTTTAACGATCTACACATGATTTTCTCATGCACGTGACTAAATGGCAGAAGACCCTAACTATTTACAGGCAAGCCGGCTTCTATAAATCACCTAAACACCATGAATCTTAAAGTAATGGACTCAGAATTTTGGTGGCTAGAACAACACCGGGGCTTATTTTGCGGCCCTCTTTCTCAAAGTCTTTCAGGGCAATTTTGGTGGTGTACTGCTGGAGATGCTCTATCTCTGCCTGCATCTTTGACTTCAGATCTGGGTCGGAGGTGATGATCACGGCATTCGTTTCGAGATCCACCGAGTATGCACGTTTTGTGTAGTTGGAAGAACCCACCACTGTTATGGACGGTTCATTTTCGTCGGGCGCGGTGATCCAAATTCCCTTCGCATGGTAGGACCATCCACCAACCGTGTTGACTATTCCATTCTGCCATTCATAGACGTTGATTTGCGCGTCGCGACGATTGTCCCTCACACTTTCCAAGAACTTCTTTGTGTTGTACAGGTATGCAGCGGGTAAATAGTATGAGATTCCGCCGGATTTGTAGAAGGAATTGGCCTCGGGAGCAGCAGTTATGATGGTTCCTTGGCCCAAAGCACTCAAAAACCGTTTCTGGAGTTGGGAATGCATGTTGAAATAACCCGCGGTAAATGTCCATTTGGTGGTCGGGGAATCAAGTAACGAAAGCAAGCGCAGAATGGCCGGTTTCTCAGTAGACTGGTCTGGCTTCATCAGAGGAGTGAATTGCGAAACGGGATAAACAACTGTGTCATTTGGCTGCGTTACAATGGGCTCTGCGGACTCGCTGCCGCTCTCCTTGAGAACTTTGTGGAGAAAAAAAGTCGAGTCAATAATGAATCTTTCGAGGTTCAGATGTGGCTCGGAGGTCTTATTGGAGGAGGGCCAGTACAATCTGAACGTTGATTTGGAATTCGAAGGTAACAACTGGTAGCTCAACGAGCCAATGGCTGATTGAACTTTGAAGTAGTAATCTGACAATTTTTCAGACTTGAAGACATAGTATCTGTCCTGGCGATTGGTGAAGTAGTCCTGAGATAAATTTGCCCCACTTAAAATAACTTCATGATCAAAGCCGTAAATCTTCATATGTTGAAGACCCCAAATCTCATTCAGACGGCGTGGAAACACAGCCTTGTTGATACCGTTCAAATGCGGAGTATGGTACATCCTCACATCGACCCTATGCTGGCCAAACTCCTCCACCAAACCAGCCAAAAGAGTAGCAGGACACCTTTCTGGTTCCTCTCTAGTTGATCTCAGAGCATCGGCAAGAATGCTCACCTTCAACTTGGAATTTTCTCTCAAAGCACTTGCAAGACATCCTACCAGCTCGTCCTGGGCCTTTCCGATGTAAAGAGACGATAGAAAGATGCGTTTCTGTGCACCAGCAATTTTCTCCTTCAATAGCGAGTAAAACTCCTCAGGATGCGATAAAATGCTTATTTCGCCTTGCTTGAGCAAAAACCTCGGCGCAACCCCATCCAATTGGTTGATGACAGCTCTAAGCTTTGGATGAAATCCATCTCCAACCGTCAGTGAAGAGTTCCGAGTGGTCACCGTGGTATAGCTTCGCACCACGTTCCGATTAACAGTATTCCAGGCACCACAATGGAACATGTGATTGAGCGATGCAAAGAACATTCTGGAACGACACACCAAACAGCGAACCTGTTGATTAAATCTATAATGCTTTTGAGAAGAACACAGTGAATTGCCGTGCTCCATACAAATTCAAGAAGGTGCCTCCTACAATAGTCTTGGACTCAATGCACTACCCCATTAAATTTAATTTTTCTGGCTATTACAACATTCGACTTGTTTTACATATGGTATACTACTGAAAGACCCTAGTTGTCTTGCGAAATATTTGCAGTTTTCGAAACAATTTTTACGTTGGCGTGAGTTATATGAAAAAAGGTGCTCAAATTTGGCCCCTTTTACACTTTGCGAGAGCATATATACCCAGAGCCAGAAGAGTCACAACGATGTCAGAAAAAGAGACAGATTCGCCGTCAAGTGTTTACACCACTGAGACCGAGGAAGTGGTGCAGAGTGAGTCAGGTGCTCCACGTGGAGTGAAAAGAACAAAACACAACGCCTTCTACGATCAATTTAGGGATAAGAATGGATTCAAGGTGAAGCAATCAGCAGTGGATGCAAAGAGCTTTAGTGCCTATGAGCAGTTAGGCGGCTCTAACAACCACGAAAATCTCGCAGGCATTCCTAGTGACCGTACGATGTTCGAGGAGGAATCCGAGGCTAAATACGTGATTGACGGGACTTTAAGGAGAGTGCAGCCGTATTGGTTCACGTATATGACCTACTGCAAGTTGAGATGGAGGAATCGCACGATCTTGGACATTTTCGCCTCAGAATTCCGAATGAAGCCGGAATCGTACTATAGAAACAACATAGAGAGTGGAAAGGTGACGATCAATAAGGAGATTGCCAACGTGGATAGCATAGTCTCAAATGGAGATCTCATCAGCCATAGAGCACACAGACACGAACCACCTGTCAGCTCGAAACCCATCAAGATCGTGTATCAGGACGATGAACTAGTGGTGATAGACAAACCATCAGGAATTCCTGTTCACCCCACAGGCAGATTCAGGTTCAACACCGTGACGATGATCATGCAATCCGAGTTCGGAATGACTGTTCATCCGTGTAATCGGTTGGACCGACTGACAAGTGGTCTGATGTTTCTGGGAAAGACTGCTAAGGGAGCCGAGAAGATGGTGAAGCAGATGCGGGAAAGAGATGTTAGAAAGGAGTACCTTGCTAAGGTGGTTGGAGAGTTTCCCCTTGGCGAGATCACCGTTGACGAGCCAATTAAAACGGTATCTCCAATGCATGCTTTGAATCGTGTTGACCCCAGCGGAAAAGAGGCCACCACCCAGTTTAGAAGGATTTCCTATGATGGAAAGACAAGTCTCGTACTTTGCAGACCGCTTACCGGAAGAACTCATCAGATCAGAGTCCATCTTCAATGGCTGGGCCATCCAATAGCCAACGATCCCCATTATTCTAGTCCCGTAGTTTGGGGCGAAAATCTGGGAAAAAATGGAGAAGGCGACACTGAAAAAATAGTTGAAATCCTGGCCAAATTTGGCAAGACTGAAGTTGCTACCAGTTGGGCTTTTCCTGAAACCACTGGAGAGGTGATTCTGGATGACCCATGTCCTATTTGCGATAGCGAGCTCTATTCCGACCCTGGTCCCAACGATTTAAACCTATGGTTACATGCATTCAAGTATGAAGCCTCTGACAGGTCTTGGAGCTACAAAACGGATTTGCCAGATTGGGCCTTGGATGACCATCGTGTGTTTATGAAGCAGGCAGTGGAGGAAGCGCGCAAATGCGGCCCCACCACGACGGCGTTTGGTGTTGGAGCCTTACTGGTTAAAGACGGAAAGGTCATTTCCACTGGATACTCCAGGGAGCTACCTGGAAACACACATGCTGAACAATGCGCTTTAGAGAAGTACTACGCTGAACACGGCGTGGATGACGTGCCAGAGGGAACCGTGTTATATACCACCATGGAACCATGCAGTGAGAGGCTAAGCGGAAATCTGCCATGTGTCGACCGGGTTGTCAAGTCTAACATTATCACCTGCTTTGTGGGGGTTCTGGAGCCAGACACTTTTGTGAAGAACAATGTTGGGTATACAAAGCTGGGAGATGCCAATATCAATTACTTGCAAGTTCCGGGGTTCGAGAAGGAGTGTCTCGAGGCTGCTTTCAATGGCCACGCGGAAGGCCCCAAAAATGTTTAAAAGAGGTTCCAAAGCATGTTTGATTTGTTATAGAAATATATATATATAAAACAAATCAGCCAGTCCTCCTGACCGTAACCTAGTTGAATAATTCCAGAATCATCCATACCCCAAATTTGATGTGGGGTCAGAATTAGCCGACAGAGTGCGCGTGCTAAATCCGTGGATAAGAAACAATCGCTTTCGTCCGAGGCTATTAGCCGTTCTGATCACCTATATCAACCACGTATCCCTGTTCCTACTTCGAATAGCTTTCATCGCTCTGAAACCGGTCAGAATATTCTAGTGCTATTACAACTTCAAATGACACTGCTAAAGGCGTGCCAGGAAGCACACAGGGAACTTGAGAGGTTTCTGACCTCGACACCAGAGGACATGTTTACCGAGAACCTCACGGATTCCCCAGAATACACATACACCAATACGCTTCTAGCGAAAACACGTGCCCAAACGAGGGACACGCTCAATATCTTCAAGGAAGCACTCAAAATATACAAGTAAGTTGGATATTTCAGGCCAAACCCCGCACGTGGGATCAGAACCCTTACTAATACTTACAGGCTGAGTGAAATATCGGTCTCCTATAACGGGGGAAAGGACTGTTTGGTGATGTTGGTTATCCTATTGGCAGCTATTTACGATAGCTTCAAAAACGGTGAGCTTGATGACCCACAAACCAAATTGAACGCTGTGTACATCAACACAGAGGAGGTGTTTGAGGAGCAGAACAAATTTCTGTATTCTTCTGTGGACCACTACAAACTTTCGTTTGTCCAGATCAAAAAAGGTATGTCCGAGGGATTCCGGGATTACCTTGACATGAAGCCTGAAGTCAAGGCAATTGTGGTGGGCATACGAAGAATAGACCCCTTTGGCGGCGATCTATCTCCTCTACAAAAGACGGACCATGGATGGCCCGACTTCATGAGGATAAACCCGGTACTAGAATGGACTTACACTGAGATCTGGTGTTTCTTGAAAATTTGCAAAATTCCTTATTGCAAATTATATGACGAGGGCTACACTTCTATTGGAGGCATTGACAATACTATTAAGAATCCTCTGCTAAGAGTGGAAAGCTCTGAAGACCGGTTCTTACCCGCATACAGACTTCATGAAGATGATAAGGAAAGGCTCAGTCGCGTTGAAAAAAGCAGTAGAGAAAAGCTCTAGTGAAAAAACTGAAAAGCTTTCGAAGAACAGCGGCAAGACCGAAATACCCATGAAGCTCTAAGTTTGAAGCGTTGACAGCGTTAGTATTTATGACATAACGAATCTTACGAAAAAACATTATGAGTAACGTGAAGCGTAGATCAAACAATGGAGCCAGAAAATGAAACGAAACAATGGAGCAGAACCAGAGATCAAGCCTAGACTTTTATGTTCAACTGATCGAGTTCAGATGGCTCGATAGGTCTTCAGACCCTGTTCCTTTGGGCTCCCAATAATGCAGCTCTGAAGCGACTAACTTTGATAGGATTGCCAAATTCATCAATGGGCTCCTTCTCTAATTCCTCGTCTGTCTCCTTATAACCACCCTGTTGAAGCACAATCTTTCTTCGCAGAGAGTGGTAAGAATTGGAGACATCTTGCATTAACATGGAAACCTCAATGTCATCTTCCTCGTCGTCTGAAATGATCGTGTCTTCAAAATGCTCGACAATTTCGTCCTCCATGACATCATTATCGTCATGAGTCTCTTCATCTTCGAACTCCTTTCCAAGCTCCTCGACCCGAGCTGCAGCATCACTTTCCTCTATTAGCTTGTTAACTTTTTCAAAGTCGTCCAGCTCTTCTATCACAGTTTGCTTGTTGATTGAAGGTATATCATCGTCATATACACCTCTAGTGTATTCCTCAAACATCTTCCTTCTTTCTTCGTCCTCGGCCTCGTCTGGGGTTTGGTCTACAACCTCAGGCTCAAAAAGTGCAATCTCGTCCTTGGGAACCGGAATAATCACAGGGGCCTCTGGGGACTTTGTGGGCAGACTGGAACGAGTATTATTCAAACCTCTGTCCACATTTAGGGCTTGTCCAATGTCGAATCGCTCAATTATGTCACCCACTGGATGTTCCACTATGGTATCGGCCATCGCGACGTCAACAACAGACGAGTCTTCCACATGCTCCAAGATATCTCCATTGGAAAACTCTAAGCCATGACCCTCAATTGACTGCCTTGATTGCTTGAAACGTGAAACTTTTGGCTTGGAAGCGATCGCCAGAGGCTCGGTCGTGGCTTTTGTATCAAGGGACTCCACAGGGCTCATCAACGAGTTCAAGTCAATCTCGTCCCCGAAGATCTCTTCTATATCCTCGGTTTCCTCGGTTCCCTCATCCTCATCTTCATCATCCTCGTCCGGGTTTCTGGAACGTAGCCAATTCTGCATGATGCTGAATGTAGTTGCTCCAGTACCATTGTAATAGGGACAGGATATGTTCTCGACGTTTTTGATATCAAGTTCGTCACTGAAAGAGACAGACTTGTTCAGTTTGGGGGAAGCAGAAGTCTTCAGGGCTGGTTTTCTGGGAGTAACGGTCTCACGAGGAACAGGTTTCGCCTGGGCCTCTTTTCTCTCGAGCTCCTGTGCAATTCTCTCCTGTATAGTTTCGGAGTCACCACCATGCCAGTATCCTTCATCAGGCTCGACGTAGTATTCCTCCTCGCCACTGTCATAATCATCTGCATCATCCATGAATAGTTCTAGCTCCAGAGCATCTTGGGGATCCAAACCGGCATTTCTGAACGCTTCAATTACATCTGGAGTGAGATCTTTGGTGAGTACTGAATCGTGTGACTCTGAAATTTCAGATATCGCCGAAGCATTTGAATCTTCTGTCTTACGGGTTAAACCCATGTCTTTGAGCAACTCCTCAATCTCATCCACCTCTTCGTCAGAATCAGCTCCTTTCAAAGCAGAATCTTCAGCAGAACGAGTCGACGTCGTTTGGGCTTGTTCAGGTTCAGCAGTAGCAATTTCAGGCTCCAAAGTCTCCTGTATATTCATGAAAGGGAGACCTTGTTCATTATGACCTGGACTATATGGTTCCACTTTTGATGAAACCACATTGTCATCGTCGTCCAATTCTTCTCTGATCTCCATTGTTTGATCATCCTGGCTCAAATGATCCATATCAAAGTTTTGCAACGACTGCAACAGATCCATGATCTTACCACCACTTTCCTCCTTGTCGTTGTATTCCTTCTCCAAAGATTCGATCTTTAGATCGACATTCTGAAGCAACTTCAAAAGAACCACCCTTTGTCCTTCGTATATGCTGGTTAACTGATTTGGCGAATTGATAGAACCCACCGATCTCGCCTGTAAATCGTCATGATTTTGGATCTGCAGTTGCAAGTTGTCTTCACGATATCTCTCCAAAGTCGTCAGCAGCTCTTCAAGCTGTTTCTTTTCAAATCTGCAGAACTGAATAGCCAGCTTCAAGTTGGCAAGATTGCTCTTAAAATGGTCCAGCGTCAGCTGAAGTCCATCAGAACTTTCCATTTGGCTGCGAAAATTATAAGTTAGTGAAATGAAAAGCGCTGCACAATACCCCGCTATTCCAGCCTCTAAATATCAAAATTACTCTGTGTTAGAAAGAAACTGCCAGGCCAACAAAAGCTGAATTCTGTTGTCTTGAGTCTCTGGCCAGAATTCGATGCCCTGTGTGGCGCCCGATGAGGTTGGCGAATTTATGGTTCCAACACTACAAAAACTATTCAGTCAGAATTGAAGTATTTTGAGAGTTTGTGTATTCAGTTCTGCAGGTGGTGGTGGATTTACTGAAAATATACTCAATAGCTATCATCAAGTTTAGACATGCCTCCATATGGCCAGATCGTCATTGGACCCCCAGGAGCGGGAAAGTCCACATACTGTTCTGGAATGAATCAGTTCCTCAACTCTATAGGAAGACATTCCATGATAGTGAATCTGGACCCTGCCAACGATAGATTGCCGTATGAGGCAGCCATAGATATTCGTGATTACATCACGTTGGAGGAGATCATGGAGGTCGAGGGGCTGGGCCCAAATGGTGGAATGGTGTATGCCCTGGAAGTGTTCGAAGAACAGCTTGACGACTTCTTGAAGAGAATACGAGGACTCATCGACCTGAACAAAAAAAGCTCGTCGTGCTACCTGATATTTGACTCACCAGGTCAGGTCGAGCTTTTCACCAATCATCACGTGTTCAACAATATCTACGCGCGACTCGTCAAAGAGTTGGACTTTAGGATGTGTGTGGTGAATCTAGTGGATTCCAACAACATCCTCAAGCCTTCACTTTATATAAGCATTTTGCTGCTCTCACTACGAGCGATGTTGCAAATGGACCTTCCTCAAGTGAATGTGCTGAGCAAAATCGACATGCTGAAGCAATTTGTGGAGCATGAACCATTGCCGTTTGATCTCAACTACTATACCGAAGTGCAGAATCTCAACTACCTTATACCGCACATAGAAACCGAGGAAAACAACCCAAGAGCGAGATTCTTCAAGCAGAAACATTTAAAATTGTCTGAGCTGATTGCAGAGATGGTCGAGGACTATAATCTGATTCAGTTTGAGGTTTTGAGCATCGAAGATAAAAACTCCATGATTAATCTTTTGTCACTGATTGACAAGTCCAACGGATATGCCTTCGGAAATGAGTTAGGAGGGGACTCGATATGGCAAGATGCCATCAGACAATCATCAACTGGATACATGCAAGAGATCGATATCCAAGAAAGATGGATAGATCACAAGGATGAGTGGGATCAACTGGAGGCCGAGAAGCGTAAAGAGTTGATTGAGCAAATGAACAAAGAGGATGAGGCCTTGAACAGGCCTCTTGGCGAAGATGAAGAATGGGAAATGGCACTCAAACAATGGGAGGAATCTACTGGCAAGAGTTTTTTGAAGCAATAAGAAGGGTATCAGAGGAAGTATGTGTATGTGTATATGTATAGACGGAGAGCTGGAAGGCTCATATGGCATTTTTCAAAGACGATGTGCTTATGACTATACACGGTAAAAAGAACTTTTCACAGGATCATCGTGCCATTTATTTGACATTCTCAATCGCATTTTGAATCAAAGCAGTATCCTCCTCACCAAGCGTATCTTTATTATCAGCAAGGTACTCTTTCAAGCCATTGAGTGTAGTCTCGATCTTGGTGTCCAGTGTAGGAATCAATCTCTGTGTCTCATCAACAATCCTCTGCTGAACCTTGACCTCATATTCGGAATCTGGCTGTTTCTGCAATCTTTCCAGCTCCTGTTTGTGTTCCTCCAGCTCTTGGTAGTAGAGCTTCTTCTCCTTGACCAAACGCGTCAGTGCGTTGGCTTTGATCTGTGCGGTTGAAGGGGCCATTGAAAACTTTTGTTGATGCGCTTAAGCCGGCTCAGGTTCTGGTATTGGTATCACGTAATAATCAAGAACTAAATCCAATTAACCCAGAAAACACTCCAAATCTGACCAAACACTGGTTGAGATATTCCAAACAGGTCAAACCGTCTGGTCTGTTGTCGTGTACCCACCAACTCTCAGGGAGGCAAACTCGTTCAACAGGGACAGCTGTTACGGTCAGTCCAAACCACACTGGGAGTACGGGATTGTTTGCAATTGATACAAATTTAGACGAATCATCCTAATTTCCACAATGCCTGCCATCACAAGTGAGATGTCTGTTCTATCGACAACAGTTTCTGTGGCGCCGTTGGTGCTGCTATCTGTGGTGGACCACTACGAGCGTGTGCTCAAGACGGATAATGTTTCGAAGCTGAACAAACGTGTGGTGGGCGTCATACTTGGTGACAACACAAGCAAAAACCAGATAAAGGTGATGAACTCATTTGCCATACCATTCGAGGAGGATGACAAGAACCCAGACATCTGGTTCTTAGACCACAACTTCATCGAAAGCATGTTGGACATGTTCAAGAAGATTAACGCGAAGGAGAAGCTGATTGGCTGGTACCACAGCGGGCCAAAGCTGAAATCATCTGACTTGCAAATCAACGAGATTTTCAAAAGATTCACGCCAAACCCTCTGCTTCTGATTGTGGATGTGGTTTCCAAGGATGTGATTGACATACCTACGGATTCATACATTGCAGTTGAGGAGATCAAGGAGGATGGCTCTAGTTCCGAGAAGACGTTCATCCATCTCCCCTCAGTGATTCAGGCCGAAGAGGCTGAAGAGATTGGTGTAGAGCATTTGCTCAGAGACATCCGCGATCAAGCTTGCGGAAACCTTTCCATCAAGCTGACTAACAACTTCAAGAGTCTCAAGTCGCTGAACGAGAGACTGGAGAACATAATCAAGTACTTGAACAAGATTGTGAGCGGGGAGCTACCCATCAACAATGTGATACTCGAAAAGCTACAGGATATCTTCAACTTGCTGCCTAACATTGGAAATCTGGGAGGCGAGACGGATGTGAATAAACTGGGCGATCTCAACAAGTCGTTCACTGTGAAGACCAATGACGAGTTGATGGTGGTGTACGTTAGTTCGTTGGTGCGGTCGATCATCGCGTTTCATGATCTGATTGAGAACAAAATTGAAAATAAGAAGATCACTGAGAGAGGTGAGGAGGTGTTGGCGAAGTAAAGCCAAGCGAGCACCAAAAATTTGAGGCTACATCCTAAGTTTGAAGTCTGAATTCTGAGTCTGGATTTCTCAACTGCGTTGAACAGGAAGATTGTCAAGGAGAACAATCTTTGCAGGTTTCTAGAAACAAGCGCAATGGAATTAAGAATCGGCGATAATCTCCGTAGTGCTAGCATAGAGCCTATTTCGCACTATGACGTAGTGAAACCTTATATGACCTGCAATAAAAATGCCTAAAACCCCCCAAACCCTCACCAAAAGAGCTATAAGCATTACCAAAACCTTAATAATATTGGTGCTTATCCCTGTAAAACCCCCATTCCCTCAACGACTGGGGAGCCCAAACGCGGAAATTAGGTTGTAGATTGCAATCAAGTACCCCTGCCGTCCCCTCATAGTTGAGGCTTATCGAAGACAGTCCTTATTCAGCCCCGTCCATTTTAACAAGTCGGCTTTGACTGGTGTGAGATCCGATGCGGTCTGATCTGTCGTCTGATCATTTGAAGTATCGAGTTCCGCACCGAGCCCCTAGTACGTTATATGATGTACGATGTACGTTACATGCTGTTTAGTGCATGCCGATATTTGCCTAACCAGGTGTAGATCCCAGAAGATTGGGCGGACTGCTTCTCAGCAGTTTATATTTAGATATCTGGCTGCAAAGAAACGCGACCCTTGCGTCAATAGTGTAATGATCTCGGGAAGTAACTCAAAAGGAGACGGACCAAAGGGGTGGTGACTCCATTGGAAATCAAAGAACTTGAACAGAACCCATCCGTAGTGTTTCTCCAGGCCGCGGAATGTTTCGGCAATTTAGTTACATGTTTTCTAGATTAAAACTTGAAGCCTTTCCAAAAGAAGAAAGCCCCCGATAGAGGGTCTTTTGTGCCAAGAGCCAGTACGACAACCCATTTTTCTGGTTTGAATACCGTCTCAAACGGCGCCAATTCCTAACAACCTATTAATAGCCTCACGTACGGAACATGCGGCGGAAAGCTTCAAAATTAGTGACGGGACACCAAAACTTTGGGAAATGAGCGGGAAGACATGCATTCTCACAGATGACCGCGTGCAAACTTTCTGTTGAAGGGGGAGGGGGGGGGAAGAAAGCTTGAGATGTATATAGAGAAGGCTTTCCTCTCTGACTTTTCAAATCGCTCGATGGCTTCCTCGATGCCTTCTATTTTTCTTATCAGTGCTCCGCCCAACTTTGTTGAGCTTCGCACATTCGAATTGTTGCCTACCGGTGCACGACCTGGCCATCACCGTAACTCACAACGGGATCAGGTGTTTGTACCAGTTATCTCTGATTGTTGTTCTTTTAGACCATTTTTTTTGTGTGTTGAAGGCCTTCTCAATAATTTGAAAGTTACTTTGAGAGTTTGTTTTGGAGAGATTTCCCTTGTTTGAGTTTCTAGATCGTTTCCTGATTTCCACATCTGTGATTCATCCTCTACGCCCTTGTTCAAGCCCTTTCCAAGATTAGCCCAACTCAACAGCACTACGCCACTCCTTCCTCCCTCACCTTTTCTTACCCGTTTTTCAAAAACCCGCTCGTGTTAATCATACGGTTCACGTGTGATATTTTTTTGAAAGAAAAAACACCAGCTTGTGGCTCAGCACATCCTGCAAATCTTCCGCCCCTTGGTCTCGTGCCATCGCATCCTCCATCTTTCAAGACGTCTGGGTGGGCCACTCTTTCTCTGCGTATAGCGCACTCTTTTTGCTTGCTTGTTTCAGGTCGCAATACACCATCACACCACGCGAAGCTAGCATTTCGCTTGTTTGGTTTGAGTCCTAACTTTTCTTCTGTCTTGAATTACCGGATAATCGGTCAGGTATTAATCCACTAGGATAATTACGCACCGAACCAAGTGGCTTAATTTTCTTCGCTTGTTTGAAATTTCGGTTTTACAAGCCTCTGGTTGCTCCATCCAATTCCACTTCGTTTTATTTTCCCTCTGACTTCAGCAGGTCCACATTCCCATCATTCCCAACATTCTCAACATCACCACCTCCATGTCCGAAGAATTGAATCGCGATATCGCCGACCTGTCCATAGATACCACCGACCGCAAGCTCGTGCGATCGGACTCCCAGTCTAGCTCCAACCACTCACCACTGTCTTACCACAGGATGCCTAATATTGGTGCTGACGTTCAGGCCAGAGTACTGGCTTTTCAAGAAAAACGCCAGCAGCAACATCAACAACAGCAGCAGAATCAACATTCCAACTGCGTATCCGAGCCGACAACGCCTTCAATGGAACTTTCTAGGAGGTTATCGTTTAAAAAGAATCAAGCTCCCGAGGAAAAGCCTTTGCCTCCACTTCCTCCTTTGCCTAAGGAGTCAAAGTCGACTTCGAGTGTTCAGTTGACGCACAACGGAAACGATATTGCTATTTCCGACGGTTCTGATGGGCTGTATTCCGCCACTGGCATTCCGCTCGGAACGCCGATCGAGGTAACCAACGGAAATGTGAGAGCGACAATATCACCTCGCAATTCTTTCCGAACAAAAAAGCCGGAGAAGTTTGCACAGTTGGAGCAGTTACAAACCTCTGCTCGAACAGCCTCGCCCCAACAGGCGCAACCATCAATACAGAAAACTCCTTCGTCATCAGGTGCTCGTCACCAGCAGTTTCAACAGCAGAATAATCCTCAGATTCCAGTGGTGACTCCGCAGGCGGTGGCACGGAATCCAAGGACGAAATTGTCGCTTTCTCAGAGGCGGGGCATGAAGCTGAATGTGAGTGACCTTCAGGGAAGAGAAAGTTCTTCGGATTCTTCTAATCCCAGTAGTGCATCTTCAGCTTCGGATTCGCCCATCGCACCTGGAAAGCCTGTTCTGGACCTGTTGGCCAAACGGAACCAGCTACCTATGAAATTCAAGCACGAACCGAGACTGGAAGGGTCATTTGTGGATTATTCAAAGTATCTGGATGTGAAGTCCGGGTCTCTCAACTTTGCAGGCAAGGCCTCCGTTCACTCTAATGGAATTGACTTTTCTTCAGGTTCTTCTTTCCGGATTTCACTCGACGAGCTGGAGTTCATTGAGGAGCTCGGAAGGGGGAACTATGGTATCGTGACGAAAGTGCTGCACAGACCGACAGGCGTGATAATGGCCATGAAGGAAGTGCGGCTCGAATTGGATGATGTTAAGTTCCGCCAAATTCTGATGGAACTGGAGATCTTGCATAACTGCGTCAGCGATTGCATCGTTGACTTCTACGGAGCATTTTTTGTTGAAGGAGCTGTCTATATGTGTATTGAATACATGCATGGTGGATCCCTTGACAAGATATATGGGGACGGTATCCCTGAGAAGCAATTGGCCTACATTACCAAATCGGTAGTTAAAGGCCTAAAACAACTTAAGGATGAACACAATATTATCCATCGTGACGTGAAGCCAACTAATGTACTGGTGAACGAATCTGGTCAGGTAAAGCTGACAGATTTTGGTGTTTCCGGAAACCTAGTTGCCAGTTTAGCTAGAACCAATATTGGTTGTCAATCATACATGGCCCCAGAGAGAATTAAGTCGATGAACCCAGACGATATCTCCTACTCGGTACAGTCCGACATCTGGTCTCTGGGACTTTCAATCTTGGAAATGGCCAAAGGGTGTTACCCATATCCTCCCGAGACGTACGACAACATTTTCTCGCAGTTGAGTGCCATTGTTGACGGAGAGCCTCCAACGCTTCCTAAAGACAAGTTCTCTGAGGAGGCGCAAGACTTTGTGGCGCAATGTCTTAACAAGATCCCTAAATTGAGGCCCGTTTACAGTCAGCTTCTTAATCATCCATGGTTGACCAAGTTTGCGGCTGATTCGGATGAAGAAGAGTCGCGCAGACTGATGGCGGAGTTTGTTGACTGCAAACTGAAGGAGATTGAAGAATTGAAGCAGAAAAAGAAGGAGTCCAAATCGAAGAAGTTGCCTGCTCTGCATAAAGGCGGTGCCAATAATACAAAGTGAGAGTTGGAGAAGACTTCTGATCGAGCAATGAGAGCATTCGATATCTCAGCGTAACCGTTAATCAATTTCAACTATTTAACTCACCTACACAGACACATTCAATATACATATACTATTTTCATGAATTGCCGCACTTAGAACCCATTGGTAGGCTATTAGAGATGTTCTTGAGCCATCGAGCCAAAGTTCAGTGTAACTTCACGTATAACAGGGTTATGCGCATGCTGTCCCCAGATCATATTGAGAGGAACTCCAGAGTGAGGCCTTTATTCTTGGCATAGCCTTCAGATCAAAGCTTTTTTATTATCTCCATGGTGCCCTCAGATTATCCACAAACAGTCCTTATGGTAGATATTTCCATAATCTGGTCATATTTATGTACCTTCTCCAGATTTTAGCCTTACATTTCTGTCCGCCTGCCTGCATGCCGTATGCATGAAATTCCATTACTTCCCAATTATCGACAGATGATTCTCCAATGACCTCAAAATACCCTCCATTTAATCTTCGTATCCCCTTCTTATCCACTCAGTCCCCTTGTAAAATCACTCGTCACTTTTCATTTCATTTTGGCCGCGGCCATATCCGCCTGGGCTGAAACACGATGGCTTGGGGCGGACGGGCTGCCAACCGGCCGGAGTCTGCAGCACGATCCAGACGGAGACGAAACAACTACCTGGTTATCCTTGAGTACTCCATCTAAACTACAATTAAGTCCTCATTTTATACAGATACACAAATAGAGACATATTCCTGAATAATGTCGCCTTCCAAAAAAATATGTGTGTTTTGTGGCTCGTCTTTTGGGTCCAAGCCTGAGTTCTCCACCGAGGCCGCGAAGCTGGGACTGAAATTCTCGCAAAAAGACTGGGGAATTGTGTACGGAGGTGGTACTACAGGTCTCATGGGAGTTGTTGCCAACTCGTGCGCCTCTAATGGAGGGTTTGTTCATGGAATCATCCCCGAGGCTCTGATTTCCAGAGAGCGCACAGATGACGCTGCTGGCATCAACGAGAAGCTCAAGGAATCCGTTGAAAATCACGTGGGAACCACTCCAATTCCGGACGAAGACTCATATGGTACTACCACGATCGTTAAGGACATGCACACGCGAAAGAAGATGATGAGCGAGGAAGCCGAGGCGTTCGTGGCTCTTCCTGGTGGATACGGTACTTTCGAGGAACTTCTTGAAATGACTACCTGGTCTCAGCTGGGGATCCACGGAAAAGCAATTGTTTTATTCAATGTGAACGGATTTTTTGACAAGTTTGTTGAGTTTATCCAAGAATCGATCGATGCTGGCTTCATCTCGAAGGCTAATGGCGAGATTATCAAGACGTGCAATACGGTGGACGAGGTGGTTGAAGCGATAGAGAACTATGTTGTTCCACAGGGAAGATTTAAGTTGAATTGGAGTGATAAGACTGATTTGGTAAAGCCTTAGGGTATACGCTAGGAAAGTTTATGGTGAAAAATCGACCAAAAGCTAGCAAAGCTATCAAAGCTACTGAAGCCGCCATGAGCTGCTAAGTTCTACCAGAAGTCACTAAACTATCACAAGCAATTGGAAGCTATTAATAATTGCACGGAGTCACTAGCTGCATTCAAGATTCATAAACAGCCACAAAGAGCTACAAATTCTCGATTTCCTACACTTCTGACATTATCTAATGGTCTTCATGTATCTGTAATCTGTTCTCTGTTTTGTCCTATGTAAAGCGTCTCTTAACTTTTCCATCTCTATCCAAACACCTTGATGTAGTTATTCCCACCAACACATTCAGCAACGGTCATCTGATTGGGCCCGATTATCTTTCCAATCTCAATTCCGGCGTCTACCGTTGACGCATATGCGTCATGTTCAAGAATAATCCCACCAGCATTAGCGGCTTTCCATTTCTTGACATCGTTGTATACGACGCTTTTGGTACGTCCCGGTGGGGTTGTTTCCAGCTGCCAATCGAAAGTATCGTGGTCCCAAAGCACCGCCTGCATTCCAAATTGACGTGCTATATCTCTCACACGGTTATCTATTCCCCCATAAGGTGGTCTGTACCATTTGGGCAGGTGATTTCCGGTGGCATTCATAGCCCAGATTGACCACTCGAATTGGGCGATTATCTGCTCATTGGTCATGCTAGGCAGAAACTTGTGGGACCAAGTGTGTGATGCCAGCAAATGGCCAGCCGCTTTCATCTGCCTGTAAATTTCGGGATACTTCACCACGTTCACCCCAAGTGTAAAGAAGGTGGTTTTCTGACGTAATTGGGATAAGAGCTTTGGCGTAGAAGGCGATGGTCCATCGTCAAAGGTTTGTGACAGTCGTGGACATGTGTACACCTCGTCAAAACTTATGCACTTATGGCAGTCGAAAGAGCAAATAGTGCGGTCTGTACACTCTCCAGGCTTTCTCAGCGGAACTCCGCTTACCTTAGACAAATCGATGAAATCCAGAGGAATGTATGGAGGGTCCAAACCTGGCCATTCGGTTAACCCAGTAAATCTGTTGAGCCATTCAGGAAATGGCTGGCTCTGCATTTCCACAGTGAAATTTTGGAAACTGTAGTCCAAAAGACCGGTCCCTCCTTGGTGATCTGACTCTTTCTCTAACGGCAAGGCTACCGTAAACATCACCCTTGTTAGAATCAGACCAATCAGTATTGGCATTCTGGTTTGATGAATCATTCTGACTTTCTCAGAAATATTGCTATTCTCAAAATTCGACCTTCTTCGTGTTGAAAATGAGAAACAAACCAAAGCGCTCAAACGTTTCCAGTCAATGTTGTACTTAAAGATGCTACAAGCTCTTTCTTAATGAACCGCCCAAAAGCTCTACCGCTGGGACGCCGCACGACTCGACCCCACATTCGGAGGGTAACCCAAACAAGTCGTTCTCTTCACTACTTTCTACTTCACTTGCTACTCGAGAGTGTTCATTAAATAAGCCAACAAGCAATAATATAGACGCAATAGCGACAAGATAAATAGGAACTGCATTCATCACATCTGATCCAAAGTTTCTTGATTAGACGACAAACGACGAGTTCTTGGGCGAAACATCGCCATCACCGAACGATCGGGGTACCACTTCTATTGGCGGAGTTGACAATGGCGTGTTTTCGAGTGTAGGTGGCGACGGGCTTCTTGCAGAATCTATGGGTGCCTTTTGAGTCCGGGTAGCGGCAAAAGCCGGCGTCAAAGAGTAATCGTTGAATACAGCTTGGTCCTCTTTCTTCCGCAGTTTGCGGAAATCGTAATCAACATCCAGCGTGTTTGATGGCTGAGCTGCCGGTGGATGACGCAGGGATACAGATCCTGATCTGGCAACATTATTTCCCAGGGACAATGACAACGAATTGCCTCTTCCATATGATGAGAATGAAGAACCAGTTGTTGATGCCGAGGAGGAAAGGGCACCAGCCAGCTGCTGCTTCAACTCTGTGTTCTGCTGTTTCAGCGAGTAGATTTCATTCATGAGCCTCAACACCACTGACTCCTGTTCCCTTTCCATAGAGTCGATTATGGCCTCTGGGGTCAGATTGCGCAACGAAGACCTTCGGCGCGTTGCACCCGAACCAGAAAACTCAGAAAGCGGCTGCGGCCCCACATCCACCGCATCGCTTAGAACAGAAAGTGAACTTCGTCTTCTGTCTTCCAGATATCCAATTTCAGCTTGTAGAGCTTGAGGACTCATGCTTAGTCGGCGTGAACTGGGCTCAACAAGACATTGTCTGACACGCGGAGATCGTTGGGGCAAAATGTTCCTGGCAGAGTTGATGGAGGCCGAGCGGTGGATCCCGGCATCAGAACCTAATCGGATTTCCCTGGTCGTGGGAATGTCTACGTGAACGGGAGTTGCCATTGCTTCGTCTGCCTTGATCCGGGTAGCAGCCATGGGAAAGTCGAGTAAAAAAATAGACGGCCGTGTTCTCGAAAGACTGCAGATATGAAGATATATCTCACAACTTAAATTAATCCTTTTCAAAAAATTCAGTTGGAATTCCGGCTTTGGAAAGTGGCGGGGAAAGGAGGCAATGTACGACAACACGCCAAAAGAACAAGACTGGGGGAATTTTTGACAGCACCGATGACGTACTGTTTCATTGCGGAGCTGTCGTGGCGGTGGAGTAGGGAAGTGGCTGATGCAATGTAAGCATGAATATGCATGCAAATATATGCATGGAAAGTTTTATACAAGATGGCTAGAGCCAAAGTTTAGGATACTGATTATATTGAATATACGGTAGATGGACTGGTACTGCTTGTTCTGCACTTGTTTTTTTGTTTGAATGGAACAGAGCTTGCGGTGGTGCAGATAACAGATGTTCAGTTTGGCGGGGTTTAATCCAGGGCTGCGTAACCAAATTTAAGCGGGTGTGAAGAATCGGCTGATTGGACGAAATTTTCGGGCGAAAGGGGCAAAAAAACTAGAACAATTGGATACAAAGCCCAACTCAGAAATTTGTGTATTTCCATTTAGATATTGTCTGCCGTGTTAACACCACCGTTCATCGATGCATGTGGGCCCCCACCTGCCAATTGTTGGTCGGATTAGGCCGACGCTCTTATCTATGCACACATGCACGACCACACCTATCCTCTAATCATAACGCACTAAGCCTTGTATTAACAGTACATTAGGACTATATTGGGATATTTATTCACAGGAATCCTCAATTTCACTCTCTGGAGCTTTTTAAACTGATCCGTAACTCGCTTCACCCGCGCCACCCCCACCACGCAGAGTCTGTCTCTCGTGAGCCAGTCTACGCTGCTCTGTGAAATTTCTGGAATGTAGATACGCATCCTTATCAACAACAACGCGATAATGACTGTCACCATAAGGCAAGTGGGACCTGGCGTATCGGTATAGCTTTTCGTCTCTAGCCAACTGGTCTGGTGCCAATTCTGGGTCTCGCTCATCCGGTTCTTCCTCTAGGCTGGCTATCGAGTCTGGATACAGTGGTCGCAGACTTGCCTTCGAAGATGCAAATGAAAACCGCCTGCTATCACCATCTGGTACGGCTTGCGGTAACCAGTACTTTTTCGCCCCTCCTTCACTGTATCGCATGCCCTGTCCAATCCTGTTGATCCGCGATCGAGATTGGGGATGCGCAATGACGGCTTCTATTGAATCAAAATCGCGATACCCATACTGGTTGCCATCGAGCGTCTTGCGGAAATCATGCACGAGATCGCCAGGACTGATCCAATCCTTGAACGCGTACCACGTTTGCATTCTCGCACAATCAGGCATGCTCCGGATACCGAAAGCCGTATATGGAAACGAATACCTATGACCCAGAGCAAATGGAACCATCTCAACACACAAAAGAGCATTTTGAACAGCAGTGGCACTATCCTTCATAACTCCCGCTCGACCAAGAATCGCTAGCACTATACCCTGCCAATAGGATGCAAAAATTATCATTTTCACGCACAGAAACTTTCCCCAAGGTCCAAAAGGTTTCAGATCTGTGTAGAGACACTTCCAGAACATTGCAAGACAATACAACGAGATGGAAACGCTCAGATTATACACGAGGGTGACCCACACATACACCCCGAAAGGACTCGTATCATTCGTATCATAATAACCAGTAATTTGGGCAACACCTATAATGACACATAATATAGGCTTGATCCACACGTATTGCAAAATGCCGCGTTTTAGCACTAAAAAGCTTCTGGGGTCAGAAATGTCCAGAGGTGCCAGTACCCAACCCACAAAGGATGGATGCGCCACGGGCTCGCGTCCAGATGCCGTAATAACAATCCGCCTCTCACCTCCCAACATTCTGGTCAACAACCCGAAAAATGTGTATATGACAAAAGCCTCGTAGACCTCTCGTATCGGCTCCACAGCCTTAGACAGCGTCTCGCTAGTGATGTTCAAGAAACAACTAATGGCAAAGAGAGGAACCACCACTAGAATACGCACAGTCAATCGCTGCTCAAAAGGTTTCCTATAATTTCTCAAATGACTGCTTATCGTATAGACCGATAACAGCACAGAGACCATACTGCTTATCCCGCAGATGATGATGACCCATCTATATGGTTAGTCCAATACGCAAACATTTTGTAGCCTCAGCTATGAATACTCACGTTGGCAATAACAAGCTCATGTTTTCTGCGCTCAAAACATGAATACTTGAATAATCAACTTAAAAGGTGTATATACTTCTTGTTGTCTCAACCGCAGTAAACACGATATGAGTTACGAGTAGCAAGCATTTGAGCCCTGGCCGATGCTCATCTCCTTATCGGCCTCTAAGCCTTGACACTTTGCTATGGAGCCATCTAAGGCTATTCCAATTCGGCCTTTGCTCCAACCCAAAATTTAAAAAAACAGAGGCAACTGCTTGCATAAACGGAACTTGAGTTTGTTACAATCATCCCTGTGAGTTCAAAATTCAATTTCCGACCACTTTCCACTAGCTTGCTCTTGTTCTCCAAGACAGGACGGCAGATCCGGGGGATTTCAATATTTGGCATAAATTTAGCATGGAGGCAAAATAGATGGCTCGATACATTTTAATAGCATTTCTGGTGGGGTTTCTGATCGAGTGGGTTTGGTCAGCAGGAATAGCGGTTCATATTGCACTGACTCAGCGAGTTCTTCCTTTGATACCAGAGGACGCTAGGGATCCAGGATGGCTAAATGCTGGTTCCTTTCATCCAGACGCGTTCTATAACTGTCTGGGGAACTCGCTAGCAGCCGAGGAGTCGCATTGGCCACCTTTTCTGGCGAAAGCCGTCAACCATTACAAAAGACGTTACTCTGGAAGCTACGATTCGGAGCACGCCATGCGGCTCAAAGCTTTCATATATGCAATATTTCAGCACCAGATTGCTGATGTGAATTGGCACTCCCTCCAGTCATATCAGGGGCTTTTGAAGTACCTGGCTGAGGTTGAATTCGGCGGAGATATCGACCGGGCCCATGGTTTTCTAGACTCAGGTGGAGACCTGCTGATGCTCAACAAACAATTCATGAACCTGGATGCGGATCTACAAAATTATTTGACACAGTTATACAACTCGCCTTGGGACTATCCCGAAGATGATCTTGTCGAAATCTACAGGTCGATGGGGTATACCATTCACAGAACTGCATTGCAATATTGTATGATGAGAGGTTTTGCTGGTCTACAGGCCGAAATTCTAGCAGTTCAAGACGGTTCAGTGTTTCCGGCAACAGCTGCATCGATTTACATGAGACAATCACCCTTGCTGGATTCTATTTTGGATGAGTATTACTATGGTGGTCTAGATGAGGTAGTTAACACAATTGGGGTCTGTTTTAAGGGCCTTGACAAATGGTTTCGTACAGGAGCAAACGAAGCCGAGCCGTGGTCTGTGTGTTCATCATTCAGGAAACATGCAGTAAATGAGATCGCAAATGAGGTTGAAGCTGAAACTTCTTTTGATGTCGATTCTCCCTCTCTCCAAAAAGTGATAGGAACACCTTCTCACATGGTAGAATATGTTGCAGGTTCTGGAGGAACGCTTCTCTCATCTATGGTCAGGAATGCCCACTTCGGTAGCTCTGTTGCTTTGGGAAATTTCCTAGGGGATGATATAGGAGAGTGCCTGGCTATTGGGGCTCCATTTGAGGACTCACTTGGATCAGTTTACGTTATTCCCCTCAGCGAAATCCACACCAATTCACTTTTCCCCCGGATCACAGACACCACTTCCAGAAACAACAATGTGACATATCCACCGCGATTTGGAAACGATATCGTGAAGTACACACTGGACGGCACTGATTACTTGGCCATCTCTGAGCCAGGTGGGTCGCAAATTCACCTCTTTCTTGGGAACGAGGAAAAGCTCGTGGTTTATCTAAGATCATCAAAGGATAGACTGGGAAGCCACGGAACCAAGCAAGTTGGGCTGAGAATCGGTGTCTTTGATGTAGATAATGACGGAATTCCAGATCTAGTTCTCAGTTCTCCTTATACGGATGTGAACGGAGCTTATCAGCGTGGCCATATCTCAGTCCTCAGTGGCCGGCTAATCTCCAAATACATGCTACTTCGTTCAAGTAAGCAATCGATAAGAATGGAAGCATTAGAGATCAAGGCATTTGATTTGGCTAGGGATCTCAGACAAGAGAATGAGTATGAACAGTTTGGAACCAGCTTTTCGTCCAGCAAGGACCAATTTTTGGTGGGAATAGGTGCTATTGGATCAGTCGCAGTTTTGGACTCGAATACTGGCAAAACAATCAGTATTTTGAAGGATAAAGAAGTTCTAAAACCCTACGACATTAAAAGAAGTCCGTCAAAGGACTCAAGCCAGTGTGCCTCGAGTTTTGTACTCACAACAACTTTCAGAGGAAAGGAACTTACTTTTGTCTCTTGCCATTCGAAATCTCTGGAGTTTTGCATCAACTGTGGTGTTGTCAACATGTTCGAGAGAGAGGGTCCGTCAAAATGGTCATTCAAAATGTCTATCCAACTTCCGGATAGAACAAGCCTGGCTTATACGTTGTTTGGCTCGAACGCTGTCCTTTCCAACGGGAACATCTTCATCTCCTCGGAATACTACGCTTCCAGGGGAGCAATCTGGAAGCTGTCAGTGGAAACACTCTATTACCACGACTCCCAGGTCTATGAAGTGGAGGAACCACCTGTGGTACTTGGGCCAATCGGTGTTGGATACACTGGTTTTGGCAAATCTCTCTCTGTGTCAGCTGATACCTTATATGTTGGATTACCCTTTTATGGTTACAGCACCTTTTCCTCGGAGAGTGTTGTGGGCAAGGTTGCCATTTATGAGTTATCATGATTCCGAAATGCACAGAAGTGCCGTATCTATAAGACGATATTTATGCTATGTACATGAGATTGGTACTAGAACCAAAGTTTTCTGATAAATTCCCTTGCTGTAATTTGATAAAATCCTTTCCCCTATCAACTCCCATTGATCTTAATCAATACCTTATCACCAATACCACCATTGACACTATACTTCAAACCTGCCTCATCAAGATTCGCCTTTATATGGTCCAAGACCTTGGCTCTCTTCATGCTTTCCAGGTCTGAAAGGGAAGAAGCAGTTGCGGCTCCATGAGCAAAATCGTTGGCTGAAACGTTTCTCGCCTGAGACTTTGAGGTAATGAAAATGTTCAATGGGGTCCCTTTCGAAACAATCTTATCGATTTGTTTCCACTTATGGCTAACCAAATCGGCAACACTGATTTCCCACGTTAGCTTTACTGTCTTCGACTTTGAGTCCTGAGTCTGCTGGGGTCTGTGTTGTCTCATGCTAGCCTGTATTTTCGAATTCTTGGAGATCTTGTTGTGAAGGTAATCAGAATATTCGGTCATGGCCTTGCGACGGTCGACTAGCTTGATGATAGCACAATCAAATCTCCCATCCATGGGCTTAGTCCCACAGAATTGGAATCCCGAACTGGCCAAGTCCATATCGTGAATCGCGTCCTTAAAACTCATCAGCTCACCACTAGGATGTTTATCGCTAATGAAGAACACGTTTCCTCTCGAGTTTGTGCGCATTACCTCATCACGGATTGCTCCTAATGCTTCACGGTCTCTGTCGGAACCTCCGAGATTGGCAAACGGGTCGAACCGGGCCTTAGGCGGTCTGAATCCGCCAGACCTGTTTGACGAAGGTTGCGTGAACTTCTGGTACCGCGAATAGCACCTTAAGCTCGTCCTGCTCCCAAAAAACAATCGTTGCATTGCGTTGTTTCGTTAGTCAGAATGAACAGATTGAAAGTCTCGAGACGAATCTTTTGGCAAAGAGAGTCGTGCAGAAACCACATAGTGTCAATGCTGAAGCGACGCCGCACATATAGGTTTTAGTCGGCCGGTTGGAATAAGCAATCAGCGGCGTAGAACCCCAGGCAGGGCTGGAGAGAAGCGGAGGTGCCACACCATTGACCCCATTCTGCAAGTGGCAGCCGTTGAGGGAAACCCCCCGTTTACAGCAAAAGCTTCCGGAAAAATCATACAGGTTAGGTACCGGCCGAAGCAGATTCCGCGGGATACGGAGTCAGCACCGGTGACTCTGTCTTCGGGAGAGGGCTTGAAACCCGCTGATAAGGCCACAAACGGTGACTAAGGATAGATAAAAAGTAAAAAATATACCTGACACCATATTAGAAAGCCAGTCTTTACCACTCTCCAAAAAAATACGCCAAAATCCCCACTAAATGACGAGTAAACGCCCATCTTCCATGCCACGAATTCACGCCAAATGCGTGGGGGTCCCAAGAGGGGAGGAGCCCCGATGTGCTGAAAAGGGTCAATGATGCCTATCTGTGTGGATCGGGCGTTAATTGTGCGTGAATTATAAGAAGAGATCAATTCGTCTTTCTATCAAAGTTTTGAACTCCCGAGAAGGACCCTTATGCTATTTAGAAGATTTTATTCTGCAATGTCCAAGCCGCAAGTTTTAAGATTGGGACCCGTGAGGTACGCCCACCGCAAGTGGGATGAGCTGGCCAAGTTGGCCGAAGTCGTTCAGACTACTGCTGAGAACCGGTCCGAATTTATCAAGGAGTTAGATGCCGGCAAATGGGACAAGGTAGTTGCCATCACACGTACTTTTGACTCTGTTGAAGTTACGGGACGCTTTGACGAGGAATTGGCTTCGCACTTTCCCCCCAGTGTCAAGGCTGTATGCCACAACGGAGCCGGTTATGATCAGGTTGACATTCCTCCTTTCCTCAAAAGAAAGATCCAGGTCTCGAACGTTCCTTCTATAGTCGACGATGCTACTGCTGACACTCATATTTACTTACTGTTATCGGCTTTGAGAAACTTCCAACACTCTCACCATCTCCTTCTCCAGGGGAAATGGGAGACAGAAACCGCCAAGTGTGGCGGGGCTCCAATTGGAAATGATCCAAAGGGAAAGACACTTGGAATTTTCGGAATGGGCGGAATTGGAAGAGCCGTGCGCGACCGTGCGGCGCCCTTTGGGTTCGGAAAGGTGATCTACCATAACAGGAATAGACTTTCCCCAGATCTGGAGAAGGACGCTGAATACGTGAGCTTTGACGAATTGCTCGCTCAATCGGACATCGTATCTATCAACATCCCATTAAACCCTGCTACTAGACATTCCATCAACAAGGAGTCTATTAGCAAGATGAAAGACGGCGTGGTAATAATTAACACTGCTAGAGGTGCTGTGATCGATGAGTCTGCTCTCATTGAGGCGTTGAAGTCCGGCAAGGTCAAGTCTTGTGGATTGGACGTCTTTGAGCACGAGCCCCACGTCCCCAAGGAGTTGCTGGAGTTGCCCAATGTCGTGAGTCTGCCTCATATGGGAACTCATACTCACGAAACTATGCAATCCATGGAAGAGTGGGTAGTCACTAATGTCGAGGACTTGCTCAGCAAGGGAAAAGTCACCAGTATTGTACCCGAGTTGAAAAACGAAAGTTACTAGGCAGCCAAAGTGCGAGCTACGGAGTGCGAGCCAACGGATTACACTTCCTATACTATACACTATATAATACTGGCCCAATTGGGTGAACAAATCCGAACATATTCTTGATAACTAATCCCCAGATACGTGACCGTAGCAGGAGTCAATTTAAACCCGAATTCGTGACTCAAAAAGACCGAATTGACTACCCCTAATTTAAAATTCGAGCCCCAGCATAGGCTGCCATATTAGACCGATAGCGCCTTGAGGCCGGAGTTCGGTGCGGCCGGGTCATATGAGCTCAAATAACGGCCTGAAAGAGGTAAAAATGCCTGAGAATATAACAAAAATTGTGTAAAAACAAGCTGGTTAAAGCCTGTGTTTAACATTAATATCCTACAACTAAAATGTTGACCTAATTCTTCAAAACCTTAACCTTAGCCTGCACCGAAGACCCTTCTCTGTCTAGACTCTACTGGCTGATTAAAATCGGAACATCTCAGTATCGATAGACGGATGTGTCACGAAATTTCCCGGAGTAAAAAAAAAACACACTTATCCTCAATCTCGGCAAAGAAATATAGAAAATTTTCGGCTTATATTCCACTATACGCCTACATTCTTGTACTATCGTTTCCGGATTCAAATCCTTCCTTCCTGCCCCAAATACGATAAACGAAAGCGCGCCGTTTGCCCTATTCGGTGAAGAAGGCTCAGAGTTTCCTGCCCCATTTCACCACAAAACGACACCCTTATTAGCGTGGCTCTTTTGTTAAACCCAGGAATCTTTGATATTTGTCTCAGAATCAGATTCTGCTAATTTTTTCTTAACTTTTTGTTCAAATTTCAGCCCGAAAAGCCGCTCGGGTCCGAACACCAAAATTGGTTCAGGTCTCCCACCATATCCGAGCCTGCTTTTTTTTTTTTCAGCACTTGTCGGCTGCCAACCCATCTAGTTGTTTGCTGTTCACCACAGGAGCCTGGAAAATCGTCCCATTTAGCTCAAAGTTAGTGGCATCCGTTAATATTTAACAGGCAGTGATTATTGTTGCACTTTTTTATTGAGACTCAGTGTCGCAGAACGCAGGTGAGACTATACAAACTCAGGCCTTGGAATCTCGTCTAGCTGAAGATTGACAGGTAGATTTCTGGAAGTTGGTTCGAAAATTGGAAAATAAGGGAGATTCAGTGCTGCCGCGGTCATTAATCTATAGCCAGAGTTGTCCAGAGTCGTCCTCGTTTGTCCGAACGTTTACTCGCATTCCCCTACCACACCTGTTTTACCACCACTGAAAATACACCAGCATCATCAAATATCCCCTTGGCATTTCCCCAAAGACCCTTATCAGCATCAGTTCATGAAATGTTTGATTATATAATGGGAAACAAACCTGTGCCGACTACATCGGCAGTTACATCACCCCCGTCGACTACCACCACCACCTCCACCACCATAGCAAATCAACAACATCAGCAATACAGACTAGGCCACGATGCAATCGAGTTAGACTACGAATCCCTACCCTCGAATTCTCCTATACTAGCACAGCTGACAGCTGGTGCTTTTGCCGGAATAATGGAACACACCGTGATGTATCCTGTGGACGCCGTCAAGACACGGATGCAAATGGGAAAATCCGCTTCACTTCCAACGGGAATAATAGCGGCTGTTTCCAGGATTTCGAGCACAGAAGGCGCACGTGTATTGTGGCGCGGGGTCTCTTCGGTGGTTGTTGGATCCGGTCCAGCCCATGCCCTGTACTTCCTGGTGTTCGAGTCCACCAAAACGCATCTTTGCGAGTGGACTCTTGGTCTGAACACTAAAAAGCTGGTCACCAACGAAAACCACCCGCTGATAGCAGCTGTTTCGGGTATAGCAGCTACCATTGCCTCAGATGCGTTGATGACCCCGTTTGACGTGATAAAACAGAGGATGCAGGCCTCATCAAAATTCCTGAGACAATCTGCATCTTCTACCCCAAAACCTGTTTCGCCAGCCAATAATGTCATCGCTGCTGCCACAGGGCCGAATATCCACCTACTGGAGGTCACCAAACACATGTACAAAAACGAGGGACTTGCCTCATTTTACGTCTCGTATCCTGCAACGTTGATGATGAATATTCCATTTGCAGCTCTGAACTTTGGAATATACGAATATATTTCCTCAGTGCTGAATCCTAGCCATGCATACGACCCAATGCTCCATTGCATTGCTGGTGGTGTTTCTGGTGCGTTTGCTGCTGCTGTGACAACTCCTCTGGATTGTGTAAAGACAGCTCTGCAAACCAGATCCTTGAGTCGCGATCCCAACATTGTCAACGCAAAGGGCTTCAAGGACGCAGCGACAGCGATCTGGAAGGCCAACGGCTATGCTGGTTTTGTACGGGGCCTAAGGCCCAGGGTCGTTTTCAATGTACCCTCGACGGCCATTAGTTGGACAGCCTATGAGATGGCCAAGGCATATTTGCTATCATGATTCGGCTCCAAGTCTCTGTACATATATAGTTTTTCTGTTATTAACGATCATTACGAAGTGCGTGTTGTAGACAAAATTAAAAGTACTAGTCCCAGGGCTCATAATTCATTGGCATACACTGGCCACACACACGAACAAACTAGTGGACGAACCTAGTGAACAAAAGAGTTGGCAACTTTGGCCAAGTTCAGCACGTCTTTGCTCTGGCGACTCTCGAGTCTCTGGGCGACGAACGAAAACGCTACGCACGAAGCCAAAAACCCAACAAAGTTGTAAAACTACGATTTAGTCAGTGATGCAGTTACGTGACAGAGAGGAGTCCTCAGGGAACCCCTTCCAAAATTCTGGCTTACAGCTTTGCGGGAGTAGGAGCGCTCCTCTTCCTCCGTCCTGAACATAGCGAAGAACCTTCGTATATTCGGGATCATCATCAGGTGTATTCGTGTGTAAGAAAGTTAGTAGCAATTAGGAGAAGGGCCGGAAAACACTCAGAAGAAATATCCCAACGTGCACCCACCGACAATATTGGTTCACACACTTACATAAAAAAAGGAGAAGGAACGAACCGAAAAAATTTCAATGATCGGTATCGAGTTTCATAAACGAATAAATGATCCACGCATTGAACTAAACAATCCCAGCAGACAGACGTGTACTGGGATCAACCATCCACGGAATCTTCCCATGACGACCCCTCCTCGTGAAAGAAGGGAGCCGACTGTTTCTCTGATGATATCCGTCCGACGCTTGCACGTCAAGGTACACCCTCAAGGGCTAGGTAGGTCTATGGAGGGTGGAAGAAACCACCCCCAGGATGGAGTAATACACCGAATTTCCCACTCTCACGTAAATGACGAGGGCATTGCACCGAAATGACGAAGATGCCCTCCTTTTGTCCGAGAGTATGCGCGGATTGAAATGGTTCGTTCCTTAGAGAGAAAAGAAGAAAGGAGCCTCACAGCTTTAGCTGAGGCCACTCTTATTTGTAGCAGAGATGGATGGCAGCTGACGGGTGAACAGCAGAACAATACATCGGTATGCGCACGACAAGTCTACTTTGGCCCAATTGGGAAGGGATGGCTGTTTTTATTCAACCTCCGTATCTTGTGTTTGTATTGTTTCTTAGCTCCACTCATTTACCTCACACAAAGTCATTCTCTAGCCAATTTTGTTTCCAGTATGCGGAACGAGTGGACTCTCTGGAACAAGCTGCTCCAGGAGAAGAAAACTCCAACTGCGGAGTCAAAAACACCCCACACTGTGGCCAGGTCAAAGAAATGGTTTAGACTGGTGCTTTTAGCGGCAATGTTTGCTATGTTACTACGCCCTTTTTGGGAGCCTATGACTGAATGTGTCCACTTTACAACATCTACAGTGTCATATGGTGCTCCAATTCCACGCTGGAGATTTTCCCCGCTGGAATCCCGCAACAACGACTACTCCACCTCTGCCAATGGCCCCAAGGAAATTTTTGAGGTATACATGCCTCCCAAAGACTTTGGAACTCCTCTTTACAACCAGACCTTGTTGTCTACCACCTTTGCGAGTAGCTGGGGCCATCCAGCAGTTGTTAAGTACACTGCTCCAGCTGTCAATTTTACACAGGTAGTGCTGGTTCTGGACACAGTCGTTGATGGGGTTCAGTACGATAGATTAGCCCATCTGTACTTGAGTGGAGTTCCTTTGTGGAGAACTTCCACAATTGAGCCTGGTGGAACATTGGCTCATTCTTCCACTTCCAAGGACTTGACGTTGTACGCCTCGGTATTCAGAGAGGATGGTGAGCTGATGTTTCAATTGGACAATCTCATGACATCTCGTCTTACTGGCGCTTTCAATATCACGCTCACAGCCTACTATTACGACGCCGAGCCAGGCACTTCTCTTCCAAAGAGAGATTCACTGGAGTCACTGGATGATGTTTTGCGCATTACAGACATCGATGACGATCTATATGTCCCTGGTTCTAAGCGTAAGCTGTTCGAGGCTTCCGAAGAGGCTGATCGAGTTATTACTCTGGTTAAAGCCCCAGATGGAAGACCACCTCTACGCTACTTGCCGGACCATGGGTTTGACTTCAAAGTCCAAAAGCTGAACCATAATACCACTCGTGTCAAACTCCAGCTGTTTGCGTCTGGAAATGCCGAGGAGGAGTTTTGGTACTCTAACGTGCTCGACGAGTTCAAGGACATATTTGCTTCGCGGGGCCATTACTTTGCAGGCCATGGTTCTTGCAGAGTTGCTCATGTGTTTGTGAACGGAATTCGTGTGGCTACTGCTACGCCTTATCCAGTGATATACACTGGTGGAATCTCCCCTGCCCTATGGAGTCCGGTCGTTGCAGCCGGCGCATTTGACGTCAGAGCCCTTGAGGTTGAACTGACACCTTTACTGCCCTTTTTCTGGGAATCTAGTGGAGCGGGTCTCAAGGTTGTGATATCTAATTGCCTGGATGATGATCTTCCAGTGGGAGTCAAGCCCAGCTCCATAGGCCAGAACTGGATCACCACTGGCAACTTGGTGACTTGGGAGGACGCTTCCATCGTTAAGTCTAGTGGAGAACTTATCAGCGTTTCCAACACCACTAACGTGTCTAGTTTCGGAATTGCGCCTCCTTTTGCTGGATTACTCAACCAAATTGTGAAAGCTAACTACAAAAATCAGATTGACACTGCCCTCAGCTACGTTCTTTCCAACGGCTCAACCGTTGATATCATTGCCGAGGTGACCTCACACACTAAATATTTGAACAATCTTCTGCTCACCAGCTTTGGTGACAAACAATCGGTGATTTCCATCCCAGACTCAAAGCACTCGTTTGCGCTATTGGATAACGACACAGTTCTGTCGCAGGTGAATTATACCCACAAATATCCTCTGATTCTGAGTCTGAACACTGGGAAAAATCCCGAAGGAGAAATCTCCTATGCCGTGAATATAACCAGAGAATTCGAGGTATCCGTGAACATCAGTGGAAATGAGGCTGCCAAGTTCAAGAACGTGGAGAATGGAACATCAACCTTTTTCTTGAACCCTAACGGAAACCACGGTTTTGGCACCGTGGAGCACAACCTCACCGTTCTAACTCAGGATCCTTTGCCCGAGGGAAACTATTCGCGCCATTTGATTGCTTCAAATGGTACTGTGATTGAGTTGTGATGAGATCAAAATTTCGGCAATTAGCACTTTCTCGAACACTTTAACTCCGCTTACTAATTTTGTACTTCAACTTGCAATACATGATAAAAATTCTCGGAAAAACCACCCGAATTTTCAATAGATTTGTAATATTCCAGGACTTTTTTCACAAATGCCGTGTGCCGTGTTGCCAATGGGCCTGATAGAGCTCTCAAATGGTAGTGTTTCAAACAGAAACAATGCTTAAATTCCCAATATGGAAGTATGCGCTAAGATAAAGCCGTTTTAACAGAACAGAAGCTTTCATATTCATACGGCTCTGGCGGTGTCTTTAAATAGCTCTCTTTCTCCATTTTAAAACGTTAAGCTCGTTATTGAGTCGTGAATACTCTAAAGACTATAATGACTAAAAGTCTGGTTTTAGAGGAGACGTTTGATCGGGAAGTCATCCGGCACTGTCACCTGAGAAATGGAGAAAACTGGAGAGGTCCACTTGCCTTAGAGGTGTATGCAGACAGAGAAGCATACCTTGCTACAGCATCAAATGCAAATATTCCTCGGAGATTAGAGACCCAGGAACTTTCAGGTCTTCATTACTGGGTTCTGAGAGACAAATCTCTCAAGTGTGGGAGTGATGATAATCCCAAGACATATAACGTAGTGGCTGCTTGCGAGTCCTATTTCAGAGACTGGTGGAGAGTGGATTACGACGCGGAGACGGGAGCTGCACAAACTAAAGTGGTCAGCTCGCCCTGTGTTGGAGGTGTATATACTTTGCCTGCGTTTAGAGGCAAAGGTTTGGCTACTTTCATGATCAGTGAGTTGAACAGGCATTTTGGCCAAATGTCTGATCCAGATAGCTTTGCTACATTATACTCTGAAGTTGGTGAATATTACTCGAGATTCGGTTATGAAAGTTCATATGTGCCAAAGTTCGAGCTACAGGTCCAAGATATAGATTTGGAGCTGCCTGAAGCAGAATGGCACCCTGCAGGCGAGATGGCAGGATTAGCAAAGACGTACTCTTCGCGTCTTCTGAGCCACATCCAGGCCAGAACTCTTGAAACCAGGACCACAACGGTGGCACTTATTCCCTCTCAGGCAGTGTATGACTGGCACCACCTGAGGTCGGTGTTCTATGCGGAGAGGCTGCACAACTTGAAGCCAGGAAACTTTGCTGTTTCTATAAACAAAGATTCAGAAACAGTAGGATTTGCAGTTTTTACTGTTGACTATCTCGAAAGTTCCATTTTCGTGATATCATTTTTTGCAGAAAGCTCCAAAGTGGGCCATCAGTTGATCCAATTATTATTTCAGGAGGCCAACCGCGTTGGCTTCAAGAAGATTCAAGGCTGGGTTTCTGATGTGGTGAACTACAATTTTGTGCCGGACTTAGATTTCCAAAAAGAGCTCTCTGAGAAATACATGAGCAATTTTGAGGTTGAAAACCACTCATTAAGTGCACTCTGGCCTATTTCAGGAAAAGGTCCTATCAATTGGGAGGATAATGGGAAACTTGCCTGGTTCTAAGGCGGTGGCTGTTCTCTTGAACAGAAGGTGAGCATTGGTTATAAATATATTGTGCATTTCTGGATTAACAGCACTGTTGGTAGACAACAAGGATTCAACTCATGCGTGGTCATTGTAGACTAAATTGGTAGCAATCGAACCAGTTCAGCATGAGCCTCTTATTTATTCCCCCTTTCCTCTGCTCATCCTCACGCTAGTCAAGCAATCGTATCATACATTATTATTGCTACTAGGCCAAAGCTTGAGAAAGTTCACGAACCAAAAGAGTTTGAAGTAACTGAGATCTTGGCCAGCTATTAAAGATAATGAGCTGCAGTTTCTTTGTAATTCGCGGGTTTAGCTCAGTTGGGAGAGCGCCAGACTGAAGTTCAACTTTGGTCAAACATTGGTAATCTGGAGGTCCTGTGTTCGAACCACAGAACTCGCAATTCTTTTTTGGTATTTTTTTTTTGAATTCGACAAAACTCTACTGAGATTGAATATATCAAGCTAGAATACCTATTTTATTGCCCTATGATTACAATGTTGTTGATGTTTTCTAAGCGACAAAAGCATTCGTAGTAAACGCGAGTTGTGGTGTATAAAACCTCTTGCAGAAAAAAACCGGTTGAGCTCAACCAAAGTGTTCTTCAATTAGGCCCGTCATCATTAAATTTCTAGAAAATTCAAAAACTGGCAGTCATCACCGAGCTATAGAATCAGAGATTCATTCACCAGATTAGATCTCGCTGATTGGTAAAATTATCGGACTCTGCTGAACCGGTTCATGGAGATCACGCAGTTTTCGGAGTATCTTCGGGGCATGAAATTGAAGGGTCACTACGGGTACAAACAGGGACCTAAACATGGACTTCAAAAATTGCAGGAAATATCGCTTCTCGAAGTTTGAACAGCCTATCAGTTTTATATTCAGAGATTGAACACCGAACTAAGCAATCACCATATTAGTCTATCGATTGTCTTCTCCGCAAAATGTCATTCTACAAATGGTGGGGTGATTTGATGAATGAAAGATCACACTGACTCAACACTGGAATGTCACTTAGTAGCTTACAACCGGTTTTAACTAAAAGTCACAATTGACTGGGTTCTAAGCTATTATCGGCTGATTTTGAGCCGTGCTAAATCGGGTGATTGATGCACACAATTTTTCATCTCGTATCATCATTGCCCTTGTTCTTCTTATCGATTTCACGACTAGCACTTTACATCCCCAAGCCAACCAAGACTATTATAGAACAAAAGTATGCCTATGACACCAATAGATTAATCCATTTCACCGTTAAAACAGTTCAAATATCAAATCCCCGCTTGGGGGCCTACAGCCTAAACAGACACACACGAGTAGTGGCCTGGCCAAGTTTAGGGCATTTCCGGGTAGAAATGGCCCCCAATCACGCTATCTGCACATGGTCATTCGGTTTCAATTTCCCACACCCACAATTTTGGCCTGGAGATATTGCTAGCGAAATCTGAAAAATTAGCTTATCTCTTGTTCATAGCCTATAGAGGCGATGCCTCCGTAGTATGCGTTAGTATATATACTTCCAGCTACCCCTCTTTAGATAGCTGAATTAATAATCTTGCCACTTTTTTTTGAAACGTTTATAAGCTGGATCGGTCCCCTGAAATCAGACTATTTCTACGCCGCTAAATACCTTAGTCAATTTTCACGCTGAAAACCCCTTTGAAAAGGCTTTTACTCCAATGCTCGCAAATATTAACCACTCCATTGTCCAATCTTCAGGAATAGTGGCATCTTCCGTTGCTGCCAAAAGACTACTATCCACATCCAGATTGTTGATGTTTGAGAACGTTCAAGGATCCAAGTCCCCAATTGACGCCAACAAGAATGGTAACGGCTCGTACGCCTCTTTTGCGCAATACCGTCTAAAGGTGACACATGAGGACCCACTTAGTACAAGTGCGAGGAGATCTCAGCTGCTTAACAATTCCTCCAAGAGTCTGTCTGAATCGCTAACAGGTCGTTTTCTTGGTCTTGCCAAGTCGTTCGGCTACGGCAAACAGTGACTGCACTGATGGTTTCCTTAAGTTATAATCAAGGTTTACTCAAGGCCGACTATCAACTTGAGTCCCACATCTTTCCTATGAACATTTTGTCTCCAATTGATTTGGAGATAGCCAGGTTTGTTTTATACATTTTTCGGTTCCCAAAAGGGTGAGGTTATGGTATGTTATGCTTGATGTGAACTAGCCGTATGGCAAGTTTTCATTTTGTGTTTCCTATTGCCTTAAGCTCTATCCCATGCTTTTTTTGTTTGTTTTATTTTTTCTCTAGTAATTCATAGGGTCTAATGATTTACCAGTTTGCGCTCAATTCTCTTACAACCGTAGGTTTAACCAACCATCGTTAAACTCTGACCGGTTCTCTCCGTGAAAAACAGACATCTTTATGCCGAGTCCATCTTGCATGCATGTACTGAGAAAAGACGCATGAGATGGAGTGGTAACTACTGAGTCGCAACAGTAATGGCAATACAAAAACAAATTATGCTCCAACAAAACTCTTGACTTTAAGCAGTTATCAATCCAAGCAGTTTCCTTTCGCGAAAAATTCCTTACTTTTGGACCAGGGCATACTGGAAGCTCTGCTGAACCCGCTGCAGGTTGAGCTTTTCACCAGTGTGATCTCTAGCACTCCTGTAGTCTGAACGCAATTCTTGTAAAACCAAAAACATAGTTTCAGTTGAAATGACATCAGAGCCAGATTGCGATTACTGTTCTCGTTCATCTTATATTCTGAGAGCACGACATCAGATTATTGCCCTCCAATAAACTATTAAACTTTTAGGATAACATCTATTGTGATGTCTTTTCTTTTTCAGTGTTCCCTATCACCTTCCACACACTCACTGCATAGCAACAGATTTACAAACTAGAGCGGTCTTTCACGCATCTGCCCCAAGATTCCCAGTCGAGCACCGTGCCATCTCTAACCTAAGCATTTCTGATTTTTTGAGTCTTTTCTGCTTAGATCAGATATATACGGAGCACTCTTTCAAGCGGAGACACACCCAGATAGCATGAGGATAGCAAAGACATATGCTACCAGCGTAGTCTTACCTTGACGTCTCAGCATGGCAGGCGCTGCAGAATGAGAAGCCACCCGAACATCCTTACCACAGTCGTAGGCGTCTGAATAGTCTTCAACAGAACTTGCATTTTTATAAATCGCGAAGTATCCTGAACCACAGTCGAGTACTGCCGGGAAATCGTCTGTATAGTTAGATGACTTCCGAATACTTTTCGAGACTTCTTTGTCAAATTCGTGATCTCCAAAATTCTCCCCGCAATAATATGAGTTCAGGAGATTTTGATAGCTAGCTTCATAAACAGTGAAATTGCTGTCGGGTCCACAGTCGAATGTTATTGGGAATTCATCAGACATGTCGGCAGATGGTTTCAGTGCTTGTAGGCGCGTGTAATAAAAATGATCGAGCCGCGCTATATTTTACAGGTAGGGCTTAGCATGCAGGATATCATCGACTTTTTAAATAAGACAGCCAGCAAGGCCGAAACCCATTGTGTGGTTTAGGGAAAACTAAAATTTTCGCTTATCTTTTAATTTTCCGTAGAGCCAATCCGAGTGATTGGTGGCACAAGATTTGCATGTCTGTGCATGAAAAGTGTGGCAGAGGTAAGGGTCCTATTTAAGCAATCCTGCACAATGCAAGGTATCATGTTTTTATTGTGGACAGCATGGGATAGTCTGTTTGAGTTTTCTGCATATCCAAGCCTGGCGCATCTTGCAACTCGATAACATAAAAAACGATATGATAAAAAAGTCGAGAAAATTCTGAAAAGAACCAACATATTTTTAATTTCGCAATCTTTGACTAACTCCGATCCCGTCCATGAGATTCCCAAAAAGGGAGCAAAATACAGGAAACTTAGATTCATGTATATGTCCGACGAAGTCATAGCATATTCACAACAGAAGTTTAGCGCAAGAGACACCACAAGTCTCTTTCTGATTCCGAGCTTTTGCTGCGATTATGTAAAAATGCGTACCCTAATCGGACAGGCGCTTTAGCTTTCAATACGAAAAACTACCATAATTGCTGTGCCAGTAAATTCTTGAGAGTTGAGTATAACAAAAACTCAAGCAAATCACGTTGCAACACCGTCTCTCTTTCATTTGTTTCCTAACAGTATGACACTACCAAACTTCCGTTCTTCCATCAATGTCTGTTGTCATTTTGTCTTTCCTTCAATCACATTGGGTATTGCTTGTATTGACGCTCCAGCATGATATTTGGAAAACATCTTCAGCTACAGGCAAATCCCGACAGCATTAGAATAGCAAACACATAGGACATCAGCGTCAGCTTCCCATGGTGTTTCAATCTAGCAGGTGCCGCAGAAGTGTTAATCGCCGCATACTCAACCTTACCGCAATCATACGCGGTCACATACTCATCAGCCGTGGTTCCATTGTTGATAGTTACACTGGATCCTTTTCCACAGGAGATTTTGAGGGGGAGATGGTCTTCACTGCTAGACGAGTTCAGAAAGCTCTGGGCGCTTTTCTCATCAGAAGTAACCGCTAGAAAATTCTCGCCACAATAATAGGCATTGAGGAGATTCTGATAACTGGGTCCGTATATGGTTGCATTTTCCGCCCCACAGTCAAGTGTAAGTGGGAACTCGGCCATATTGTCAGATAATTTCAGTGTTCTTCGGTGTGCCTGATATCAGATATATATAGAGCCGCACTATGACAAAGAAAGTCCCGGCTTAGCATGCAGGATATCATCGGCCTTTTAAATAGAGCTGCCTCAGGAGTCAAACCCTGCGGGGGTTTTTTTGGAGAAATTTGTGTTTGCAGTTTTTAGTATCAATCTTCATTTACATCTGCCGATCATGGCCAATATTTGCCGATCACAGCTACAGGAGCGTCACATTTATGGGCGTGCATCAAAAAGTGTGGCAGTGACAATAGTCCCGATTTGGCTATCAAGCATAATGCAAGACATCCTATTTTCACTGTGAATACCAGAGGATATTCCTCGTACGGAAGGAATTAAGTTGGACCATCAACAGAGGGGGCAAGGAGATCGTTCGCCTTTTTCATCTTCCAAACGTGGGACTTTTATGCTAATATGCCTGTTGACGGAGTTTTATAATTCGGTTGGATTCAACAATTCACAAAATGCATGTCAGATGTCAAGTGCATGGGCCAAAAATGATTGAATTTTACCATGCAGGCAGAGAATACTGCACCACCGATATGGTATCCGCGAATTTCAGTAGAGGCCTTTGAAATGTTTTTTAATGTTTCAAACACATGCGAGAATTTGACAAATTGTGATAAGGTACAATTAGGCGTAAGTAGTTGATATCCTGGAACTCAGGCAATCTAGAGACAAAGTTTTCTTTTTTGGCCCGAGAAGTGCAACCCTGAGAAAATTTTCCTCTTATCAAACCTTAAATTGGCTGTTGGTACGATATGCAATGCCACATTCGACGGGAGTTTGAACTCTGGATGACGCGATGTTCACCAGGTTTAGCCCTGTGTCTGCTAAAAAGACAAAGAATACCTAAAATCCAGGAAAGCAGGTATCAGCTATATCTGTTATCTACATCTGAATGCGTTATTAAAATGAAATTCGAATTGAGCCCACCATATTTCATTTTAACAATAAAATAATAGCAAGTGGTAGTGCTGTACTCAATTGGAATTTGGTTTGAATGTGACAGGCAAATCCGCTTGGTGAGAGGCTATTGTTCCCCGGGGCTTGTTCTCGTGGTTTGACAACTCTGGTATACTACAAGACGATATCAAATTATTGCCCTCCAGCAAACCATTGGATCCTCCGGATAACTCCCGTTACGATGACTTTTCTTTTGAGTGCTCCTTGTCAACCTCCGCATACTAACTGCATTGAGAAAGATTTATAAATTAGAGCAGTGTTCCACGGGTACGAGAACATGGAGTGTTAGCTCCAAACTTCCCAATCGAGTACCCTGCCATCTCTGACCGAAGCAGTCCTGATGTTATGAAACTTTCTTCGAAGACAGAGTATAAAAAAGACCCTTTCAAGTCGAAAGATATCCAAACAGCATAATGATAGCAAAGACATAGGAGAGCAGCGTGAGCTTCCCGTGTTGTCTCAATCTACCGAGAGCCGCAAATGTTGCTTTTCTTTGAGCTCTCTCGCCGCCTTCATACGCAAACGAAATTTGCTCCTCTAGAAACTTTGTTATAAAAAAGCATTAGCCAAGTCGGATCGCAGTTTTGCTTCTCTGTGCACAACTGGAGGTTAGAAATTTGTCTGGTCCGCTTTTGAATGCTGTTGAGAATTGAGTCTGGATTGGCTTAAACAGTTCTCTCACAATTGACATTGTCATAGCCTTCGCTGCATCCCTTATTGAAGAGGTTCTTGACGGGAGCGAGGGCATGGTAGTATTTGCTCCAGGCGCCGCAGTCCATTACAACATCACCACTTTCAAGAGCATCCCACCAGCATTCCCGTTTTTGCAAGTCTGCCCAGTATCTTCTCTGCTGAAACCAGATCTGCGCTGGACCATCACCATGATACCAATGACATTCGAATTCATCCGATTTTGTCCACGATCTGCTGATTGTCACATCTGTACCGGCGTCCACAATGCCGAACTTGATACCAGAATGCGCAGTTATTGACCACTCGTACGTGTTAGAATAGTCAAGTGTACGACCACAATCTACATCATCAGGCGTATTGTCACAATAGTCACAGTCAGACGCTGTATGCAACTCCGCCCATTCAGTTCCAGACTGGGCTGTTTGGTATTTCCAGACCGTTCCACTTTGGTCTCTTTTTGACAGAGTACTATTGACCTCGGTCTCAGGGAAGCTGAACCGGTGTCATTATTGTGAAGAATCAAGTTATCTTCACTCGCAACAATAAAGTCCCTGGAAAAAGAGGTGTTTGTTGTGAACAACACTCCGTGCTCATTCAGCTGGCAAATCCTGACAGTATAAGAATAGCAAAGATATATGCTACCAGCGTAGTCTTCCCTTGACGTCTCAGCATGGCAGGCGCCGCAGAATGGAGTGCCTCCTGAAGTTCTTTTCCACACTCGTAGGCGTACGAATAGTCTTCAACTAAACTTCCATTTCTAAATATCGCAAAGTCTCCTGAACCACAATCGAGTACTGCCGGGAACTTGTCTGAATCGTTAGATGTCCTTTGAACACTTTTGGAGTTTTTATTGTCAGATTCTTGAGATCCAAAGTTCTGCCCGCAGTACCATGAGTTCATCAGATTTTCATAACCAACTTCATAAACAGTGAAATTGGTCTCCGGCCCACAGATAAATGTTAATGGGAATTCATCAGACATGTTGGCAGATGGTTTAAGTGCTTGTAGGCGCGTGTAATAATAATCGAGCCGCGCTATATTTTACAGGTAAGGCTTAGCATGCAGGATATTATCGGCTACTTAAATAGTACAGCTCTCGGGCCAAAAACTGCATTGTCGAAAAAACTATTATTTTTGTTTATCTTTATTGATTTCCAGTGAGCCAATCCCAGTGATCGAGGAAGCGAGATCTACAGGCCTGTGCATGAAAAGTGTGGCAGAGTTAAGGGTCCCATATAGGCAATACTGGGTAATGCGGGATAGCATGCTTCTATTGTGGACCCTACGTGATATGGTTCTGCACGAGTAAAAAGAGATCTATTCGAAGTATCGAAAGACAGTTGAAGAGCCATATCAGAGCCATATGACGATTTTCTTTATAGCCTCAAATAATTTAGATTTGTTCGTGGCGCCGAGAGACTGCAGAGTTTTTCCGAGTTTTTTTCCATATGCGGCACGCGAGTTTTTTAGAAGTACAAAGCGTACATCCCAAATTTTGGCTACTCTTAATATGGCCACAGAGTAAAAAGACTACTCTCAAGACTGCGGGAGGGTCAAGCGAATCGGTTTACAACAGCTTACCGGCCTTCGGTATTTCGACGCTTTCTCGGTTTGTTGAGTTTTGAGCATTGTGCATAGACATATCCTCATCGGACTATCAAATAGGGTAATTAACCATTGAAACTACGGATATCGCAAACTTTGCCGATCTTCAGAATCTGTTTAAATTGAAACTACATTGATATCGCTTCGGACTTCCCATCTTTGAAGTCTTTGTACTACCTTGATTACCGTGTTTATGTGCGCGTCTGAAAGGTCTTCTCCCAATCACGTACACCCTCAAGATTCCAATGGCTAGCTTCATGAACTGGTCCTCACTTCAAAATTATGGGGAATTCATCAGACATACTCGCAGATGGTTTCATTATTTGTTGATGCGTTTGGTATTAGAGCTCGAGCCGCACGATGTCCCTTTCTCGAGGTTTAGCATGCAGGATATTATTGTCATCCTAAATGATGCAGCCTTCAGGCCAAAATTCCAGTGAGTCGTTTGAAGATAATCCGAATGTCCGTTTATTTAATCAATTTTCAATGACGCTCGCCCTTCGTGGCGATTGTTGGCCAATCCTTGCCATGGGAGCGCAAAATTCTCAGGCATTTGCATGAAAAATGTGGCGGCGACAATAATCCCCATTTGGCTGTCAACAGTAACTCACGATATCAAACCTTAAATTGGCCGTACGATATGCAATGCCACATTCGACGGGAGTTTGAATTCTGGATGACAGGTTTAGCCTTGTCGCCCGAATCGGGAGTTTGTCGGCTAAAAAGACAGAAAATATCTAAAATCCAGGAAACTAGGTATCATCTATATCTGTTATCTAAATCTGAATGCATTTTTAATTTGAAGTTCAAGTTGAGCCCACCATATTTCATTTTAACAATAAAACAATGGCAAGGGTAGTGTTTTACTCAATTGGGATTTGGTGTAAATGCGACAGGCAGATCCGCTTGGTGAGGCTCTTGTTCTCAGGGCTTGTTCTCAAAGTTTCACAACTCGTATACTACAAGACGATATTTGAAGAGTGGCACGAGTGTGCTTTAGTTTTGCAATGACACTGTCCCCACGTCTCGGTACGGGGTTTCGCTCCAAGTTCTCCAGGCCAGTCTCTTCTGATGGAGTCCAAGGCACAAGACTGAAGAAATACAATGACAGACTTTCAGCGCAATTTACCGATATTCGACAACATGGAGTTCCATTTATGGGGTCTACATCCTCTGACTCAAACTCGTCATCTGATATGACGGGAACGTACTCAGAATTGAACACACCAGTACTTCAGCAGAATGAGGCGCGGCAGACTGCAAAAGACCAAACATGTTGGAAGTACCACGTCACCAAAGTGTCTTCAAACGAGTTTTATCTCACAACAAATCCCGATTCAAAACATTTGTACTGTCGAAATGCGCCTGGGTATTGGTGTACCTTGCTCTTGCCCAGCGCGAAGCCGAAACGAGGACAGTCCCAGCGAGACGTGGGGTTTCGTTTGGTTCTGGTTCCGAGACTCGAGTCAGGTTTGGAATCCAAAGATGTGATCATTGTGACAAAAACGACAGCCGGTTTTGAGGTGGCCTTCACGTCGTTGTTGGTCCTGGATCGACTGGGGAATTTACGTCACGATGTCAATGAGAAGCTTAAAGAGAAAGTTGACGCTGCAGAGATCAAGATGAACACTTCAGAAACTCTGAGCGATGATTCCTCTAATGACACTCTTAAACTGGCGTTGGGAACAATGCATCGCTATGAGACAGACAGCGTGGACAAGTTTGGATCTTTCGTGGTGGGACCTACTCCCAGAGTCAAGCAGAAGACTCTAAACAAGCTCGGGCTCACTAACAAAATATACAAGCTTGCGGACAAAGGTATTGTGTATTTCACTTCCAAAGAATTTGCGATACCGAAGCAGAGACACCGTTCATCGGAAATACAGCCAGAGCTAGATGTCGACTCAGTTGTGGCTCTATTCAGACCATGTGATCGCCAGTTCAAGAAACTGGTCGCGAAGAAACTAAGAATGAAAGAGAGCTACATGGACACCGACGGATATGACGATGATGTGGAGTCGCTTAGTTCGACAGACACATCCCTTTCGTCGACCTCACAGCACTATAAAACAGGAGATGGTATGATACTTAAGGACCCCAATGACGATTCTCCGAACGACGACAAGGTGGGCTGGGTCACCATATATGACGACCCAAGGCTGTTCGGTCCAACAGAGGACGGAAATGGAACAGGAATGTGGGAGCTGGTGCTTGGTCTCACGTTTGCCGTGGGGTTTGAGCGGATTCTGGATAAATATCTGGAAAAAGAGGCCAGCATATGATATACGACATTATGACACTAGACGGCGGAAATGCAGTGCAGAGGGGCATGAAACAATATATATGTCCACATTGAGCAATTAAAATGACTCCGACTGATTTCTAGTAGATAAGTAGTAGCCTACAAGGGTAGATATCAACGCAGTAATCTCACAATCTCAGCTGACTCTGCCAGGGACTCTGCAACAGATGCAGAGTCACCGTTCTGTCACTGCGATGCCTCTGGATTTTTCATTTTTAGGCGATGCGCTACGAAAAATTTGTTGTAAAGCCCGAATAGATGGAGCATATATTAGCCAAGGAGTCCCCCCAATCCGGTATATTTTCGGTCTCATTTTGGATTAATCAATCACACCACAATGCTAAGAAACTTTCGTCTGGCTACGGCCGTGAGACCCGTCTTTGCAAGACGCGGATACGCCCTGTCCACCAATGCCCAGGCCTTGATCTCCAAGAACGTCAAGGATGTTGACCCAGAGATGAACGAGATCTTGCAGGCCGAGCAGAACCGCCAGAAAACTTCTGTTACGCTTATTCCCTCGGAGAATTTCACCTCAAGAGCCGTCATGGACCTCTTGGGATCAGCTATGCAAAACAAGTACTCCGAAGGTTACCCTGGTGAGAGATACTATGGAGGAAACGAGTTCATCGATAAGGCCGAAGCTTTGTGTCAGAAAAGAGCTCTTGAAGCTTTCAAATTGGACCCTGCTGAGTGGGGAGTCAATGTTCAGCCACTGTCTGGAGCACCTGCCAATTTGTACGCCTATTCTGCCGTTATGGAGGTTGGCGACCGCCTGATGGGCCTCGACCTGCCCCACGGTGGTCATTTGTCTCACGGTTACCAGACTGCCACCACTAAGATCTCCTATATTTCCAAGTACTTCCAGACGATGCCTTACCGTCTCAATGAAGAGACTGGACTCATTGACTACGATATGTTGGAGAAGACCGCCGTTCTTTTCAGACCCAAGGTCATCGTTGCTGGTGCCTCTGCCTACGCTCGTGTGGTTGACTACAAACGTATGAAGCAGATTGCCGACAAGGTTGGTGCTTATCTGATGTCCGATATGGCTCATATCTCAGGTCTTGTTGCTGCAGGTGTGACTGAGTCGCCTTTCCCATATTCTGACATTGTGACCACCACCACCCACAAATCTCTCAGAGGTCCAAGAGGTGCTATGATTTTTTTCAGAAAGGGTATCAGAAAGGTCACCAAAAAGGGCAAGGAGATTCCATACGAACTGGAGAAGAAAATCAACTTTTCCGTTTTCCCAGGCCACCAGGGTGGTCCACACAACCACACCATTTCTGCCTTGGCTGTTGCTTTGAAGCAGGCAACCACTCCAGAATATTTGGAATACCAACAATCTGTTGTTGCCAATGCGAGCTCCTTTGCAGATGCTTTGACCTCGAGAGGCTTCAACCTCGTGTCCGGTGGTACCGACACCCACCTGATTCTGATCGATCTGCGTTCCAAGAATATTGATGGTGCGAGACTCGAGGCAGTCTTGGAAAGAATCAACATTGCTGCTAACAAAAACACCATTCCTGGCGATTCGTCGGCTCTGTTCCCATCCGGTTTGAGAGTAGGCACTCCTGCCATGACCACCAGAGGGTTCCTTGCTGGTGAATTCGATACCGTTGCTGAGTACATTTCAAAAGCGGTCGAAATCGCTTCCAGCTTGAAGGCTCAGGAGCAAGGAGCTACTCCAAAGGAGAAGCTCAGCAACTTCAAGCAATTGGCTACGGACAGTGAAGCGGTCAAGTCCTTGGCTACGGAGGTGTCAACTTGGGTCTCTGCATTCCCAGTTCCAGGTGAGCTTTAGGTGTTTGAAGATAGTACATGTGATCAAACTCCAGCTATAGTATTTTGTCATCTAGCATTAATATCCAGTATGATAAGCTAGCATCATAAACCGTCAATTAAAATTTGTATAATAAACCTAACTGTGTCTGGAAGATTACTATGCGCAGCAATCTTCTGGGAGCCCTAGTAATCTAGGCGAACATGGCTTGAAGGCATGACTTAAGGCGAAGCAAATATATATTGGAGTATGTGCGCGATAGATAGCAAAATTATACACTCGAGTTCGGTAGCATTATGGGATGATCATTAGGAATCCAGGTATCTATCTGGCGACAGATGTAGACGAAGGCAGCTATTATGAGGAAGGAAGCTCCCAGTGAAAACAAAACAGGATGATCAGAAATAAAGGGCCTCATCAAATTGCTGGGTATTAGCTTTAAGGTGTTACTCCTTTCTGATTTGGGTAAAGCGTTTTGGGATGGTGACAATGGACACAACTCGGTGAAGCTCAATCTCAGCTTTGTCAACCCAATGTTGAGATCACGGAATAGCTGGAGCTCTCTTTTGTCAGCTTGGTTCAGATGGAAATTCGAATGGGAGTCAAGTTTGACCGACATAATCTTTCCATCAAAATGAACCATTCTCAAATTTCGGTCGACATAGAAAAGCTGTGACGAAAAAACTGTATGCATCTTCTGAGAGAGATATTCTTCGATGATCTCCGGTTTGTCTCGGACAAGTTGTTCCGTGTTTGCATCTAAAATATATTTTTGGACTGACGGAGACATTGTGGGGTTTTTTCTCACTTTAACTCGGGTATTGGTAGAAGCAACTTCTAGCGTTATTGGTTCCTTGACCCATTCGGGATCATCTGGGGAATCAGAGGTGGTTTCCAGCTGGAGCAGAATATCAGCCAAAACAGCATTCAAGTAAACTCCTGCTTCAGAGCATACAGTAATGGTGCTTATGTACTCACTGTTAGGATCTAAAAGATCGACATCCTGCTCTATATAAGCATAAGCCCACACCTCCTGCTCGCGGTTAGAGCTAATCCATACGTAACTGCGGAGCCCATGTGTCTCGAAGTTGGTATTGAGCGCTCTGATTTCTTTCGACTCGCTACCCTGTGCTTCAGCTGGTGGTGAAGGGATCGGATTTTGCCACACTGGTGCCGCAGACACATATACTGTGGCCAGAAGTAGAGTTATCAGACCACCTATCTGCATGGTGCGGGTGCGAACAGTTCAATAGCTGCGACAGTTCTGTGAGCGATAGTCAAAAATCTTTCTTTAGATCTTCAAAGAGCCTTCAAGGGTTGCCAAGAAAATCTGCCGTGTTCTTATATTTTATAATTCGTACACTATTGTGATATATAATCTGCAACTACGTAATACCTATTAATAGGGTTGGGTTCCTGCATACACCCTGAAATATTTTTGGCGTGCAGCAGGCACACGCGGGTTTAACGCCGATGACCTGCGCAAAATATCCGCTTAAGGGAGCCATTAGTGTCATTTGCGTGAAAATTCGTGGAGTCATGAAATCTACGGCAAAGAAAGATTATCAAGCACGTTGACCATAACGTCTGATTTCAAAGTTGTACTATATCGTATTTTCGGAGGGTGTCTCAACTGAGTGGTACATAGCGTAGTAGGCCAAAGATGGCTGCGATGGCTGCTTGTCACATTCGAAAATCGCGGCTATTCTTCGTAAAAGTCTGAGGAGTCACAAATTGGGAATAATCCACCCAAGGTTGATAAATACTTTCGGAAATCTAGGGCTGGATCTCGCTTTGTTGAACTTTCCGCCTTGATAGACCGCATGCATGAATTTCTAGCCAATGTACATGCTTGTCAATGACACTAATTCATTTAGTCCGAAACGTTCTGCCGGGACTGTTGAAAAAGGCTCCAAAATTACGGTAAATATTTACATAACGGCCAAGTCTAATACCAAATCGATTATTTGTATTATTTCAGGCAAAGCACACTCCAGATTTGGTGTGTTCTCGATCGAAGCATGCACATCACCTTTGTGTGTAAGTGAATCTGGACCCTTTTCATATTGCCGCATATGTGCCGGAATTTCCACTACAAAACCTTATGAGGATAAAACTTTTAACTGTTATTAATGATGATATGTGTATTTTTGTGGAAAAAAGAACTTCTATGATCTTATCCCCTATAAGAACATCAAGAATTGAACAGCAAAAATGCACTGAAGACGGTCATCAAATTCATAATGGCACATATCGACCATAAGCGTAATTCCATATGCGACATCCGCAGTCGTCACCACGCATTTCCAGGCCACTACCTCAATTTTTCGCAACTCCACATTGTAACCCCATATTTGCCTTGCCATAAACCCCTCAAATCGGTGAGGTAACCGAGAAGTTTGGGAGTCTCGACTTCGTGGACTGGCTTCCAGCCCATCTTCTTTCTGAGCAGACTCAACTCTTCATGCGTTAGTTCTACTTTTGCAGCAGTTCCATATTTCAGAGGTCCCACATTGATCCATAATGCCTTGCCTCCTTTCGGTAGTTCATCTGCAAGTCTGGTGATGGAGTCAATGTATTCGAGCAGATTTTCAGCTGTATCCAAGAAGAATGCTGTAACCACCACCAAATTTTTAGCAACATGCGTAACTTCTGCAGGATCATGAAGGCCTTGAGAAATCTTTGTCAATAGCTCTTCTATTGAAAAGTCATTGAAATCCTTATGATGAACAGTCAGGTTTCCCGGCTTTTCCCCAACCTGCTTGAAGTTGATATGACGTATCTGGTTGGCTGTGTTTGTGTGGTTTGAATAGTTGTGCAAATATGGATGCACGATATATTCCTCAGGATCTTCCGAATAAACAAACTCGTTAAACAGATACATGAGTGCAGAATACTCAACCGCATGAACAGAATGGAAATTTTCCAGTGCCAATTCATGTGCGATTCTTCCAAGACCCGATCCCGGCACCACCACCAATGTAGAGTCTCGATCAACACCATGCAATTGTGATTTGATATAGTCCAGCAATGGTTTGATTTCAACATCACCTGCAGACGACCAGTCTCTAGCATAATGACACAAACTTTCAACTACTCGGTAGTATTCTGAGGAATTCTGCCTGGCGACTGATCTCACCTCTAGAGCACTAACTCCGTGTTCATTCATAGCTCTGGAGTAGAGATCCTTCAGCAATAACGCATTTCGGCCAATACATCTGTCAATCTTCTTAATTCTTTCCGGATATCCTATTTGGGTGACAAGGGCCTGCTGTCGCCAGGACATCGTCCTGAACATGGACCTCTTGGAGTCGTTCCAGCTCTTTGCAGAGTGCTGGTATTGAGATATGCTGTATAGTGCTTGACACAAAGATTCTCTCTCCTTCGAGTATTTCTGCTGCACACTTGAGATCGGAACAACCGAGTTCAAGATCTTGCTTTTGAAACGGGTAAAAAGACTCGATTGCGAGACTGCCGCCATAGTGAAAAATGTAGCAACTGGCCCAGGTAGCTTGGAATCGGGAAAACAATAAGCGGCCAGCCCGTAGAAGATAAACACAAGCGATACCTTCGTAATCAGCCTGTTGAGCTCGACAGTCTGGATGGGATCAGGTCTCAGCGCCATGGAGGAAATAGAAAGCCTTGAAACAAGAACTCTTGGCCATTTTTCCTAAGTGTCCGTGTAAGCCTGCCTCGACCCCGCGTGGGGGTGAGACAGTGCGATAACCAATGTGTGCATGCCGCACCGCTGAGGCACGGTTTTTCCAGACGCAAGAAAGTCAAACTACATACCAGATGTTGACATACGACAAACCTACAGCATGTCAAGAATACGAGGACTGGGTACGGATATACTTCATGTGTCACGAATTGAGAAGATATTCAAGCGCGGACCTGAGCCGTTCTCCATTTCGAAACACGTAACGAAGCTCGCGGAAAGAGTCTTGAACCCACATAAGGAACTGCCGGTATTTCAAGACTATCGAAACCAAAACACTGATTCCGGATTTCGAGAATGTGTCAGGCTTTTTGCAACGAGTTGGGCTTCCAAGGAGGCAGTTTATAAGTGTTTGGACCCTGCTGAACAGCGCAAGTTTAGTATGGCTCATTGGTATAAGCAGAACGACCAACATGGAAGGCCGTTCATAATTGGTCCGCAGTATAGCAAAATTCATCCAATGGACAAATTTCTGCTCTCTGTTTCTCACGATGCAGATTTGGTGACAGCAACGGTGATTAGGAGCGAAGATGGCGACCCCATCAGCGGTTTATCAGAGGCCGGAATACGACAGACTACGCCATAGAAATCTAGATCTAATGTTCAATGCTTATCGTTCTGAGACTATTCTTCTAAACAAATTACTAATGACTCTACTCCCATTCCACGGTTGCCGGTGGCTTGGATGTGATATCGTAGGTCACACGGGCAACACCGTCAACCTCATTGACGATTCTAGAAGCGACCTTCTTCAGGAAAGCAGCCTCAAAGACGAACCAATCGGCTGTCATGAAGTCTGTGGTCTCGATGGCTCTAAGTGCAATAACCTGTTCGTAGGTCCTCTGGTCACCCATCACACCGACAGACTTGACTGGCAGCAGACACGCGAATGCCTGAGAAATCTGTCTGTAGAGGCCTGCCTTCTTGATCTCTTCGATGTAGATATAGTCAGCCTCACGAGCGATTTTGACTTGGGCAGGGGTGACTTCTCCAAGAACACGGATGGCGATACCTGGGCCAGGGAATGGGTGTCTCCAGACAAGATCTTCGGGAACTCCAAGAAGTTCACCCAAGTGACGAACTTCATCTTTGAACAGCTCTCTCAATGGCTCAATTAGCTTGAGCTTCATGTTCTCCAAGAGACCACCTACGTTGTGGTGAGTCTTGATGGTCTGGGAAGGACCCTTGAAGGAAATGGACTCAATAACGTCCGGGTACAAAGTTCCTTGCAACAAGAACTCAACCTCGGATCCGTCCTTTGGCTTGATACCCTCGGCAACCTTCTCGAACACTTCGATGAAGGTGTTACCAATGATCTTTCTCTTCTTCTCAGGGTCAGTTACTCCCTTGAGCTTGCCGAGGAACTCGTCACCGGCATCAACAACAGTCAGGTTGATTCCCAGACCTTCGTCTAGAGTCTTCTTGACAGTCACTGTCTCGTTCTTTCTCATGACACCATTGTCAACATAGATGGCATGGAATCTCTCGCCAATGGCCTCTTTCATCAACTTGGCAGCAACAGTAGAGTCAACACCTCCAGAAACGGCTCCAATAACCTCGGCAGTTGGGCCCACAAGAGCTCTGATTCTCTTGATCTCGGTGTCGATGAAGTTCTCCATGGTCCAGTTTTGAGCAGCACCACAGATGGTTACGGCAAAGTTCTTCAACAGCTGAGTACCCTTGGCAGTGTGGGTAACTTCTGGGTGAAATTGGATACCATAGATCTTCTCGGACTCGTGTGCGATGGCGGCGTATGGAGAGTTGTCAGAGGTAGCCACGGTGGTGAAACCAGTTGGCAAAGCACTCAACTTGTCACCGTGAGACATCCACACTTGCGAGTGATCAACACCAGTGAACAATGGACATGCGTTGTCTTGTACATTCAAAGTGGCTGGACCGTATTCGCGCTTGTCACCTCTGGAAACGCCCTTACCATTGATCCAGGCAAGCTCTTGCATACCGTAGCAAATTCCCAGGATTGGCACATTCAGCTTGAAAACGTCATGATCAACGTGTGGAGAGCCCTCCTCGTACACCGAGAAAGGTCCACCAGAGAGAATCACACCCTGAGGCTTCCATGGAAGCTCAGAGATCTTCTGAGTGCATGGCAGCATTTCCGCGTACACGTTCAACTCTCTAAGACGACGGATGATCAGATGCGAGTATTGCGAACCGAAGTCCAGCACCAAAATGGTGTTGAAGACACTTGGAACACTAGACACTTCCTTTTGAGACATAGCGAAAGTTTTGCTTGGGAGAAAAAAGTGTTGTGTGTTCTGGGACAGAGTTGTCTTGTTTAAACTCCATTCTCAAATTTTTTTTCCAGGTGACTCCTTCTCATCGGTAGGGTAACCTTATTCTGTGATAAGATAGGATGTTGTGATTGGTTTCCTCGAAGATTTTGAATTAAAAAAGATGGTTAAAACATGAATATTTTGCATGCCAATCGTCGATCTACTTGAAATCTATCCATTTTTCCGTGTTTGGGTTCTATACAACTGTTGATGACTGATTCATTGTCATTGCCCAATATGGAAAGGCATCTCCAAAGGAAAGGCATCTCAAATTGAGACATCTCCAGCGTTGTAGATAGATCGCATCTTACTCAACGTTCAAGTCTCACTTTAAGCCCAAACTTTTTTCGTGTTTTCTTGCTTTTGCGTCAACAATGTCGTCTGAAATGGAAACCGAGTCCTTAAACGATTATAACTGGGATGATATCGAGTCAATCCCCATCAAGGAGGAGGCGTCCTCAGCCTTGTGTCGAATCATGTACTCCGAAGAATATAAGCAACAACTGGGTTATTTGAGAGCACTCTTGACTAAACAGGAATACTCAGCAAGAGCTCTCCTTCTTACTGACAGCATTATTGATGCCGTTCCTGCTCATTACACGGCTTGGAATTACAGATATAACATAGTGAAGAACATTGACCGTGATCTTGAAAGGGAGTTAGTGTGGTGCCAAGAAGTTGCATATGACAAACCCAAAAACTATCAGATATGGCACTATCGCTCTTTAATTATTGAATTGGTTGAGTCCAGAGGTGGAAGCGTCGATATTTCCAACGAAACCACCATTAGTGATGACATGTTGGAGGAGGACTCAAAGAACTACCATGTTTGGGCTTATAGGAAATGGCTCGTGCGAAGGTACCAGCTTTTCAGGGATAATATTGAGGACTTAACCACTAAGAAGATGATAGCATTAGATGTGAGAAACAATTCAGCTTGGAGCCACCGGTTTTTCGTGATGCTTGGAGATTTTGGAGAAACGAGACCTGAGACTGCATCGGAAACTGTGGAGCAAGAGATAGGTTTTGCTAAAATCATGATAAATCAGTGTCCTGAAAACCCTTCTGCCTGGAGCTATTTGCAGGGGATTTACAAATTAGCTAAGAAGGATCTGTTAGCGGAAAAAGAGTTCTGTGAACTATACGCTGTTGGTGCTGGTAAATCTGATCAGAGATCCGTCGAGTCGCGATTTTCGCTTCCCGCTACTGAGCTATTAGCACGAATCTATGAGGTTTCACAGGATAATTCCAAGGCCTCCAGTCTCTACTCCATTCTAGGGTCCAAATACGATCCCATGAGAAGAAATTATTGGGAGATGAAACGGCAAAGGCTTGACTCAGCGAACTCTGCTACAGTTTCGTAATAAAAGGTTGTCAGATCCTATGATTACGATCATCAATATATACAAGACCTCATGCTTTCAATCTTATGTTCGGTTTTGGGCTCGACAACTTCTCCTTCTCGGGGTCCGAGCTCAGGAACCTATCCCACATCCCCCTTTTGTGCAGCATAGCAAGCACCAAAACACCTGGAAGCTGCCAAACAGATCCCCAGAACATCTTTTTGGCATAAACATTCGCCAGAATGGCTCCCTCAGGCGTTGGCTGGCCTCCGTTCTTGAAGTTTATACGTTGTTGGTTCCAGAACTTGAAAGACATGTAAGTCAACCAACCATTAACCAACGATGAGTCCAGTACAAACCAGCCATCTGTGACCCCAGACAGGTATAGGCCATAGCACAATGGGAAAAGCAACAATGAATATCTGAGAGCAACTCTTGCATTCAGCTTGGGGTTTTCGAAAGCAGTCATCACATAACCAGCCTTTTTATACTCATCCTTTATGTTGTGGCTCAAAGAGTTGAAATGGGGAAATTGCCAGGCATAAAGGATACCTGCAAGACACCAGGCGCCCGGATCCATCAAGGAGGACGAAGCAGCCCAGCCCATCAACGGAGGAATAGCTCCCACTAGCGCACCCAACCAAGTGTTCAAAATCGATTTTCTCTTCAGAGAGGTGTAAAACCATGAATAGAGCACAATATTTGCAAATGCTAACCCACTCACCACGGGATTAACACCAAAATATAACATAGTACAGCCTAATGAGCCAGTAATCCCTGCAAACGTAAATGCTTCACGAGAAGTCACCTGACCTCTAACGACAGGTCTGGCAGCAGTACGAACCATCAATTTATCAAAAGAAGGCTCTCTACCCATGTTGATGGCATTAGCAGCTCCCGAAGCCAGCATCACACCAGCAGCCAGAGTCATGAACTCATGGACAGAGACACTGTTCGGTGACAAAGCATAAGATGATATGCATGAAAGCATGATCAAAAACGTCAGGTTTGGCTTAGTCAGCACAAGGTATGGCTCTGTGAGCTTTTTGAAGGTGATTTCACCGTTCTTGAAAGAAGTGAGGGCCGAAGTTGTGGCAGCTTGCTGCTTGATCTTGTCCTTCACAGCAAATGGAATGTGTGATGTTGAGCTTAAATCTTCATTTTTAGGGTGGCAAATGTTCTGCACCTTCCCTATTATTGCGTCTGAAAAGTCTTTGTTTTTTTCAACGGGCTGTGTGTCTGAGGGACTGGTCAGTCCAACCTTCGAGGAAACACCCCTAACAAAATCGTGTTGGCAAAGACCTATCTTTCCCAGCTCGTGGTTTGGTGTGAATTGAATGGAACGATTTATGCTCGCAGTACCTCGACGAAAGTCCACACTGCCGGAATCCAGAAACCCGTTAGCATAGTAGAATCTCTGGACGTTGTGAGGTGATACCACGCTTTTCGTATTGAGTATGGCAGTCCTTCTTGATGCCCTGACATTAGTGGTAAAAAAAAAGGGAAGCATCTGAGCCGCTGCACCTCTCGGCGACTGTTTGAACATGACTCAACCAATAAAAAGTGTCTGAACCGGTCAAGCTCAGTTGCTTGGGGTCTAGTGCTGATCTGAGATTGAGCCCAATCAACCTCGTGATGAAGAGGGTATCGTCAGCTTTGAGTCTGCCAATTTGTTGACGTGCCGCAAAAAAGTAGTGCGTTTAGTGTTTTACCTGGTTGATGCACTCGTTATCGAAATCGTATTATGTATGGTACAAACTAATCTCCAAGACGCTTTCTATCACTGGGATACTCCCAAGCCTTGGTTGATTTGCAATTTTTTGTCGTCTCCCCCACTCACAATTCCAATTTGCTTGTCCCAATCCACTCCAAACACCTTGTTCTTGGATTTTTCTGAGTTCTCTCTGAAAATGGTGTACATCGATTTATTGGCCCTCACATCCCACACCTTACAGGTACCGTCATGGGAAGCAGACACCAGCATGTAGTCATTTTCTGGACTAGCAGCAAGAGAGACCACAAAGTTGGAATGTCCAATAAGCTGAGATTGTACCACGTTTTGCGAAGAAGTATCTCCGACTCTTGGATCATGCAAGTTGATGTGTCTGGCAGAAGAGCCACATGCCAATAATGACACCTTTGGCAGTTGCACCACCGAGAGCAACGAATAAGAAGTGACTCTCGTGTCAACGCATCTAGAAGTCACCAGATCCCACGTTTTGATGGTGTGGTCTTGCGAAACCGAATAACCAACAGTGGAATCCGAAGCGTCGAATATCACTCCTTCAACTGGCCCAGAATGCGAATCCAGCAATGCCAATGGGGCTTTTCTTTTAATTGTTCCATCTTTAAGAGCCAACTTTGCTCTTTTCTTAGTTGCTGTAGAAACGCTGGTGAGGTCTTCAGCCTGGACCGTTTGCATTTCCTTCACGTTGGTGGACCATAATCCAACGGTGTTATCGTAACCAGCAGACAGGATTTTGCTCGATGATTCGTGAACAGCCAGAGAGACAACTGGAGCCTTGTGTCCTTGGAGAATGGCTAATGTGTTTCCATTCCTGGTCACGTCATCTTCAATTTCAGACCCCTCTGCTCCGATCTTCCATAGTCTGACGTGGTGGTCGTTGCCGGAGGAGACCACTCTTGTTGGCGTGACGAATCTGACGGATTTCACCGGCGCTGAATGGCCTACCATCTGGGTCTCCACCTTTCCAGCGCTGTTATATATTCTCACAATACCATCGTATGCTCCGGAGACTATCCTGGAGTCCCGTGCATGAACAGAAGACACCCAATCTTCGTTACTGAAAGATCCAAGGAAGCTTGGTGGAAGAATTGCTCTGGCATACTCCAGGTTTAAGAAGGCCTCATTGGACAATCCATTCTCAACAAGGTAATCCTCTAGTGATGTTTTGAGAAGTGTACCGTTAATCAAGAACTCGAAGGGTGTGGGTCTTTCCGAATCTTTGTCAATCAAGTGATTCACAATCTCACTGAGACCGAATCTCTTCAACGACACAGGAACGTATAGAGGGTTGCCCGAGACATGCAGAGCTTCATCCTCCTCGCGAGTGAAGAAGCTGATCTTCACCTGTTTTGCACCCCCTGACATTTCTGTGGATATGTGACGAAATGAGTTGAAGTTTAGGTAGCTGTGATTGTTTCAACAATTTTTCCGTATCTAGTGAAGAAAAAAAAATTTATAAGATGAGGGTAGTGTGGTGACTGAAACTTCACGTGATTCCTGAAGCCCATGAACTTGGGGCAGCGAGCCTTATTGATGGTTCATATTTCTACCAGGTCCAACAAGTAAGAACATATCACCGAATATTATTTTTGATGGCGTCTCCAGCTGTTCCATTTGTGACCTCTGCGCCTGGAAAGGTCATCCTTTTTGGAGAACACTCAGCGGTGTATAACAAGGTAAGTGTTGTGCTGTTAGTTCCATCGTCGTTCCAACTAACAAGAGATCCATACAAAATAGCCTGCAATAGCAGCTGCGTTGTCGCTTAGAACGTACCTTTTGGTCACGAAGAATCCTGATCCCTCTCTGATTTCTCTCGAATTCAAAGATATCGGTTTTTCGCATAGCTGGAAGAAAGCAGACTTGCCATGGCATCTCAAGCAGGACGCGAACCATAAACCCACTCCTTCAGAAGAACTAGATCCCGAATTAGTAGATGGCGTTTCGAAACATCTCACAGGGCTGAAAGATCCACTTCAATATAGCGCAGCATATGCCTTTTTGTTCTTATACATGAGTATGTGCTCTAAAGGCTTGGAAGGTCTGGTGTTCACAGTTAGGTCAACCTTGCCCATTGGAGCAGGATTGGGATCCTCGGCCTCAATCTCGGTGTGTTTGGCCTCTGCCTTTGCAATTCTGGGAAAACACATACAGAATCCTTCTCTGAAGGAATCCGATATTACTGCGGAAGATTCTGAAGATTGCAAGTTTATCGATGCTTGGTCTTTCATGGGAGAGAAATGTTTGCACGGTAATCCCTCTGGTATTGATAATGCTGTGGCCACTCATGGTGGGGCTGTTATGTTTCAGCGGAAGGAGAGCTCTGTTCCGAGCGTGCGGACTTCTATGAGAAACTTTCCTTCCTTGAAACTCTTACTCACAAACACAAAAGTTCCTAGAAGAACGGCTACTTTGGTGGGAAACGTTTCCTCTTTGGTGTCGGATTATCCTGTGACTCTTGGCTCCATACTGGACGCAATGGAGAGTTTGACAAGAGAAGCGTATAATCTGATGCTGCGTCCGTTTTTTGACGAATCTGCCAAATCAAAGTTGAGAGAACTGGTCAGAATCAACCATGGCCTTCTCGTAGCATTGGGAGTATCTCATCCGTCTTTGGAGAAAATCAAACAGTTCTCAGATGAGCTTGCAGTTGGTGAGACCAAGCTCACTGGTGCTGGTGGAGGGGGTTGTGCAATTACTTTGCTAAAGGATTCGGTTGAACACTCAAAGATTGCTAAACTTGTGGAGATGTTCGAGGAGGCCAACTTTGAATGTTATGAGACCATGCTTGGTGGTAAAGGTGTGGGTATGCTGGTTGCAAACGACGCTGCTATTAAGGAGCTGCTCACAGTGGAGAACTTCATTCAATTTAAGAATAGAAAGGAGATCGAAGATACAATAGGTACTTCCACTCTCGAATGGAGGTATTGGTGAGAGCAATGCTCGGAAAACGCGATAAAGTATTTATGTACATGATAAAACAGATAATTAATTGCGTGGTTCGTATTATATACCTCTGTTGAACTCAACAGTGGTGATCAACTTGCCTTCTTTATCTTTCAAAGAATGAAATTTTTCCTCCAACGACGAGACAGAAACCACTCTTCTCTGAGGGAAAACAGCCAATGCAAAGGGTAGCACAGCTAAGGCCGTACCAAAGATGACTCCCAAATTAGCAAACGTCTGGACTCCCATACCTTTTCCTTTCAGAACAGTCTTCTGCAATCTAACCAACAGCAAAGGAGGAATAACCATGACGGGTGTAGCATTTATGACTCTCGAAGCAGCAGTTTCACCAACAGCCTGAAGGGCAGCCTTCTTGGAAACACCCAAGTCGTTTCCGTCCTTATCGAAAACTGAGATACCTTTTCTAATCTCCTCACCTCTCATCAGAAACACATTCACAACACCAGCAGACACAACAGCTGCAAATGGCACCAGTCTTCCCAAAATCAGCTTGGTATTAGGAGAGACAGACTTCAGTTTGGGTACCAAGGCATTAAGGCCGAGGGCCACAGAACACGAGGCGGTAACGGCCATCAGGTAGTTGGTCACCAGTTGCTGGGTCGTCATAGGGTGCGATTTGTTCGCGTTGGCAGTGTTCACTGCCACGTTGAGCGATTGGTTGGCAATCTGCCAGAACAAAGTTCCGACTTGCCCCAAGTTTGGTGTGAGCATACCAGCAGTAACCACGAGATTACTGAGAACACACGATGACATTCTAAATGGAAGGAAGACAACCTCGCCAGTGTCTGGGTGCAAAGTCGAATCGAGAACCCTCTTCGCCCTCCAAAGCGCTGGGGTCATAGATGGCACAACGCCGTTCTTGTAGTCCCAGATCAAAAGTTTGGCGTTCTCTATATCCTTTTGAGTGTTAAGCAACATGCTGGGATCTGAAATACCTGCACAATGCTTCACTCTACCCCAGTAGGTGCCGAGGTCAAATTTGGACTCGGGGAGTTGAACTGGTCCAGGAACTGACGATGCCATGATGATAATGAGGAATCTGATCTAAATATGTTGCAAAAGTGGGCTGCTTTTGAATAAACGTTTCCAAGATTCGTTATCCAAAGTGCGTTGAGTCACGGAGACAATCCGAAAACTTTTCACTTCACACACGACCCTTATTATCTTGCCTCGATTAGCCGGTTGTTTGACATTTTCGACTGTGCTTCAGATAGCCTTGGCGTTGCTCGCTATTGAAGTTTATGTGGTTCACTCATGCTCCTTTCCTAACTGATTGGGGTGATCTCGGTAAGCTCACGGTGTATCCAGAGGAGTTCAGCGCATATCAATTACGTAAATGCGTGTGGGGTATGGCTAATCGCATGAACTAAATGCGGTGGTCAACGGGCTTTGCATGTGTGGGAGATTTTAAAGATCTGTGCTTGAAATGATTTTGAGATCGAGCAATCTGGTGAATTGGCCCAAAAAGGCTTAAAGTTTTACCTTGACAAGACAACAGGCGGATTCTGTGATAAAAGTAGTACTCCTGGAGGAAGTCCAAGCGATAACAGCCCCTAGAGCCTGCGTCTGCGATTGAGTTCGATCACTCTGCATAAATGGAGGCTTTTTAATTCTGCCGAAAGCAAGAATGTACCTATTTGGCATTCCCGTTTTGACAAAGTTCTTTGCCCAGCAAATGCAGCCTCCAGGAAGTGCGACTCGGCGACATAGCCCACTATCGTCAGATGCCAATTGGCCTTCATGTGCTGTTTCCACCAACATTTCGCCTAGTGGCTTGCCAGTCAGTCCCGTTAGCGACACAAGCCACAACTTCAACACGCCTCGACTTTTTCGGGAAGCGCTTCGATTCATCAACGCTACATTCGCACCAAAAGAGATTTTCGTTGCCGAATTCGGGTTTCCGGTATATGGCGAAAGCGACATGGAGCTTGGCCAGGCTCGGTATGATCTCGGCAGAACCAACTTCTTTCATGACTATCTTCTTGAGATTCTTGGTGCGTATAACGAGGACAAAATTCCAGTCAAAGGAGCCATTTCCTGGGGTCTGATGGACAACTTGGAGTGGAGCAGTGGACTGGAGGTGAGATTTGGGTTTCAATATGTGAACTATACCACCCAGGAAAGGTATTATAAGCAATCCATTCATTATCTGACCCAGTTCTTTGAGCATTACATCCAATGAGGCAAAAAAGCTAGTTGTCATGATCAAAGTTCAACAAGCAACGACTCTCTCTCTGCTGATCATACGCCTGTATTTGATTTCTTTTCTGCCCCTTAGTTAAATTCCCTTTTGATCTAAAATTCAACAACTATCTTCTCATGCATTTCTCGGTAGAAGTACCCCTGAGATGTCCCACAACATGCTCTCTGGTTAGCCTTCTCATGATAGCGCTATCCTGCTCTGCTGTTTCTCATAAATACCCTCCAAAAAGATTCGTCCCTGCTGTGTAAACTTTCCTCGTTATGTTCTAAATTTTCTCTCGTCATCAGCGTCTCCCACATCCTTGATACAGCAAAGCAATCGAGCTTTTTGCATTGTTCATAGAGTGAGAAGAGACGTTGTAGATGTTGTGAGTAAAGCAAGGGCTTGCGGCTTAGGTGGGGAAAGGTCGTGTGTGAATAACAGCTATTAGCTCGTCTTCTTTCAATGGATTACACCTCTCACCAATCCACCAATCTTCAGTCGTATTGCTGGCCAATTGGTGATGGTGGTGCTATCCAGTGACGTTCTGATGCGGCGATTCTACGAGAAGAAATACTCGAGGTATGTGGATTTTTCATTTGCGCCGGCTTCGCATTACTAACCCAACCCAGTCGCATCTCGTGGTCCAAGAATGGATTCATAGCATATCCAGCACAAGGCGACGATCGCTCACAGAAGCTATTTTTGACATATTTAGAGTGTATTGATGGAAGGACGTGGCAATTAGCACCTGCAAAGCAGTTTGATGTATTTTCCTCAAGCGAGGAGCAACCTTCCCAAACACCTACTGCAGGCGGTGTTGTGGCTGTTACGTCCAACTCTACCAAAAACACCGAAATTACACTCGTTTCTTGGGGTCCAATTGCGACGGACCTTGCAGTTTCTGATTCTGCGGGAAATATGGTGATATTGGTCTCTGGAGTCAGGAAGAACGATCTCACACAGTTCGGAGTTCAACACCCATTCACTATGTCTTCGCTCAATGAGCTGGAAATCGTATATACAGACTTTCCGTCAAAAAAGCTTCAACCAGATGTCACTGCATCCACTCAAAATGAAGTTATCGGGTTCAAATGGCTTAACTCGGACAAGCCAATCATAGCAAATACTCCAGCAGTCAGGGTTGAAACTACACATGATACGCCTGTTTCAAGCGGAGCTGCTGCCCCATTGGGAGCTGCTCACAACGATTCAGCGGGCCATGCGTATTCCTATGGAGTGCATCAATATAAGCCTCATGGAGCAATGCACCCGTTGCCCTCAAAACAGGCTTGTGTGGGAGTGCGGAAGAACGGGGAGTTTTGCCTGTGGCATCAGGGGGAGCATGGACTGGATTACCACCGTGTTTCCACATTTTTAGACCCCCATGAGACTGACTACTTTTCGCTTTGTGAGATTGGTTTACAGAGAGATGGTTCCATAGTGGTGGTGGGTTTCTCCCCGTTGAGCCAGTGCATTCGCATCTATTCTGTGAGTATCCAATGGGGCTACTTTGTGAATGCAGCTATTCAACAGCAGAAGAACCAGGCATATAATACACCGGATGACCAGAAAGTTCCTCCAAAGCTGGCTGTGAAAAGATTGTTCAAAAGGAATATCAGCACAGTTTTTCCTCACAAATTGGTTCCTGGGTCAAAATCTTCAACCGAAAACCTTGGTATTGATCTCCAGCAGCTGGTGCATATATATTTGGTTCCTCCCAGCTTCAACTCTAACACCGAGCTGGAGGTGTTCCTTGGCTTTGAAAACATAAGCTCTTCAAAGTCGCACTCGACGTTGCTGCGATTCCAACTTACCGAAAAAGAGGCCTCTAATCTCCATTCTGCGTTTATCACCATGGGTGAAAGACGAGGTGTGGTTCCTCCTGCCCCCATGAGTGCAAATGGCTTGGAGACCAAGAAGAGCGGTAGCTTTTCTGCCAGTTCGCCTACGGGCTCAGAGGCTAAGACCTTTGATCTGGTATACAAACAGAGTCTGAGATTCAATGAGTCGATACTCGGTTTTACATCTCTCAACTTGGACATGTTAATCGCAATTACGTTTGCCAACGGTGAAGTCAAGATGTTCAACAGATCTCCTCTCAAACAGATCAACAACATGTATGCGGACCCAAAGCTCCAGTCTTCCAATACTGCACTGCTGCCCTCCTCGATTTCCTCATTATTTGACGCCGGTTTCGAGTTTCCAAAACTGGATTTCAGGCCCCGTGCAATGTGTATATCGCCAAATCTGTGCTGTTTTGTTGCTCTCTCTCGTTCCTCCAACAAATTGTACCTGGAGTGTCTCGAGGGAAAAGCTTTCAATGCAGACACCAAGCCACGGCCTGGGTTGCTGTTATCTATAGCTGCTAGTTGTGCTTTGAGACATTCATCTGCGTGTTTCACTTCCACCTCTACTGAGGATCTGGTTGCTACAATCCAGCAAGAATTGGTCCGCGCTGCGAAAAGTGTCTCTAAAGAGTATTCCCAAGCCTTGCTGGTTTCTATCTTACAAGAATCACACCGAGCCATCAATTTCTCTCTAGATTTCTCCAAGGAGCAGGTGGACAGACTCCTTGGCTCTCCACCTCTTCAGAGATTGCTGAATCTGCAGTTAGCTTTGGGAACAACTTTCGATTGGCAACGTACTAAATCGGGCAAAGTCGCATGGGCATTGCTCAACTTGCGACTATGTGCTTTTGGTATGATGATCACGCTTAGATCAGTGTATCATCACATGAATAAGCTTAGCAAAAGAGGGTCTTCGGTAGATCTTTACAATGATGCCAAATGGAGAAGCGAAAACGTGCTGAGCTCTTTGGGTGTGATCAGGTGGTGCATGGACTACATTCTTTATCTGAACCAGCAGATAGTGGAGCTGTGTCAAGTGTTCAAAGATGTTGACCAAACTCCAACTTCGCCGGATCCACTCGAGGCTCTCAAGTCGTATGTGGCCCTTCCCTTGATCCTGGGAAAGGTTCCCAGATCGCTGTTGCTCTACTCGATGGCGACCATGAAAAGGTTGAATGATTTCGTGCAGAAGTGTATAGAGAAGATTGAGTCTTCGAACGGGGCACCTTCTGTTGGAGTGAGCGCCAACTCCATCAAATCTGTTGAAGATGCTCTTTTCTTTGCACCTACAACATCTACGCAGGCCAACAAGAACAACAAATCATTTGCAATTGATCCTCTGAACACACCTACTGCTCTTCCCACGGTAGAGGCCTTTTACCGTCTTAGAGAGATTCTCAACAACTCGCCGGTACCTCTCGATGGGTTTGAGAAGTTTTTGACTGAAGCCGACACTGCTCTACGAAACCTTCGCATTGACAAGTCAACCTCACTGGCTATTGAACAGCAGCTTGTATGTCAGGGCCACGTTCCAAAGCCATTTGTGGAGCCAATCAAGAAACTACTGAGTGTCTATTCGCAAAGTCTCCTCAACGAAGTTGATCACGTTGAACTTTACTTCTACAATTTCGATTGGCTGATGTTGGACTCTCCGGATCAAACAACGATCTCTACAGAAGATCCCGTTGTGCTCAGTATTACAAATGAAACCCTGGCCAATGAGGGCTATGCCACTTTGTTCAAACCAATCTCGCCTAGTGGAGATATGGTTGATTCGTTGAGAAAAACTATATGTTACCCGCCGGGTGATCCTAATATCACCTCCGCACCTGTTGTGGAACGCAAATGTGTTAGATGTGGAGCTGTTTCTTCATTGATGGAAACCACCCATCTCAGTAATGTGGGAATCAGTCTCTGGTCACTGGCATTCCAGCGGAACTGTCTCTGTGGTTCTTTCTGGGTCAATATATGAGTTGGGATGGGAGTGTATGAGTGGACTATATGAGTGTATATTACTGTGTATGTATATGTCTAACCATATATTAATAGTTATGGTTCTGTGTGGGTATCCTTGACTGCATATAAATATGCATAAACGAACGTCTCATACCGCTCATAAACTAGTTACCTGCTTACTTTTGAAATTAGTCCAAAAAGGGAAATTTACCTAATCGGGAAATACTTCAAGGGGAAGACGCGTTCACACGCGAAAAAAAGCGGGCTGCAAGCCGGAAGGGTTAAATTGCTGCAGCCTGAGATCGGACGATCTGGGTGATGGCATGTGGATGAGATCCGTTTAAATGGGGCATATTTCGCCCCCAGTATGTGAGGTGAGTCTTCGGGCGCTGTTGATCGATTAAACCTCTAATTTTTCACTCGAATTTCAACCTCACCATGGAATACTCGGAGGGCCTGTTACGTACGCTATCGCACACCTCAACACAATCCATTTCTACCACTGGTACTTCATTCGATGCCAAGTGGATGCCAGAATCCACAGTTTTGAACCAGACCAGATACAAGGTCTCGCTCAAAGTGTCGAAAGAAGAAGGCGCTTTGCTACAGAAAACTTGGAAGAACGTGATCTCCAACAGTGACACCTCCAACGTTCAAACCTCATTTACATCGTCGGTTTTTTGCGTGCAATTTTACAATAATTTGATCAGAATGATGCCGGGAGTGGAAAAGCTGATCCCCTCTCTGAAGCATCAGGCTTCTGCTTTTGCTGGCGTGATTAACGTGGCCATGTCAACATTGGATGATCTCTCACGCATGGACGAGTCCCTAGAGAGGCTCGGAAGACTACACTCGCGAATTCTCGGCATTGATGCGGAACTGTTCGAAATAATGGGTCAGGCACTTATAACGACTTTCAGGGACAGATACGCGAATTTTGGCCGTGAGGAGGAGGAGTGTTGGTCGAAGTTGTACTGCTTTCTGGCGAATTCCATTCTTCAAGGGGGGATCGATCCCGTGATTGAGTACTCCTCAACATACGCCGAAACACGCGAAGAATTGATAAGTCAACAGAGCATATATGAGTCTGATGAAGAGGCTGAAGATAGCGTTTATGATTATTTGGATTTTGCAGGAGTCTCGGCCAACAAGAAGAATTCCACCCCGAAGGTGTCCAGGTCTTCCGCATCGTCTCAGAAGACATTCGTTCCTTCACCAGGTGCCTATATGACTCCTAGAAATTCCGTTTCTTCGGCCCAATCTCCTCAAACTCTGGTTAATAGATCGCCGGCTCAGCAACAACGCTATAACCATCCTTCTCCGTCCTCTCTTGCTGGAATGGCCAACATTCCCTCTGGCATAATGCATCCCCCACCCCAGAAGGTTGCAAGTTTAGCACCAGCGAAAACTCAACAGAGTCTGAAATCATCCAAGAGACTAAGCAGGAGAGGAAAGAAGGCGGTTGGAGAAGAAGATCCCAACTGTATTATTATGTGAGTAATCAGCATCCTATGTATATTATATTAAGTAGGCGAAAAGCCTTCCCAAAACCTTTTGTAGCAGTTTTATCATGCTCTGTCTTTCTTAGCCAATTCCAGCTTTACCAACAAATTCTCCACCCAGCATCTTATATATTGTGCCATCGCCACATGATCGCTGTCAAAATAGTAACTTTTTGCTAAGATGTCGGCGAATATGGGCACATCGTTATCGGGGTGCATAGCCGAAAAGTTAGTGTAGAGATGGCACGCCAAGAGGATGAAAAGTTGATGTACTGGGCGAAATCGCTGATAATCTTCTGAATAGTTTCTTGGAATCGATGAGGAAGTTGGCGATGTTTGACCCAAGTACTCATTCATATAATCTTTTCCGTTCGTTTCCTCACAAAGAGTCCTATACAGCTCTTCCTTCGCTTGCAGCGTCATATGTGCCAATATAGCTGGTGCGGCTTCTCTATCGGCAAAATCGTATATCGAATTGAGCGCTGAATCGCTGAATATTGGATCTGACCTACTCAAAAGATACTTCTGGAGACTTATGGGGCCAATTTCAATCTGTTTTGGAGTTTCTCGTTCTTCTTTATTAGGTTCTCCACACAACTTTGACAGGATGTTATTATCACCCAAGACGGTTCCATCGCCAGAATCATCAAGATACAGATTCGTGGTATTCTGGGTTAAATCAGTCTCGTAGTTGAAATCTGGATCATTGCTTGGACAAACAGATGGAGTTGGCGAATAGTTGCTTGACTCTGCCAGACTGGCTGTCTGGCTGTCACATCCAGGAATTGTTTGCCAACCTGGGTTTTCGGGCTCTTCAAAGGAAATCTCGCAGTATTCGGCGGAGCCATTTTCCGACTCCTCTGACTCCTCAATTTCAGGAAGCTCAAACGAGACGTGGCGTTTGGGCCTGGCTTCGGTGTGCTTTGTGGAGATGCTTCTGGCAGAACTCTCGTCTGTAGAGTATTCGTAACTCTTACGCGAATACTCACCTGAAGTGGAACTCGTTGATGAGTTTGTTCCGGAACGACATCTAGAATATTCTTGGCTTAATTCAGGGCTAAAGATTAAGGACATCTTTAGATCACCTTGTTCATATTGCTCTGGCGTCTGTGCTCCATACTCCACTAGCTGCTCCAACCCAATTCTCTCTTCTGAATATCCTGTTCCTGAGGAGCTTGTATCTGAGAAAATGTGTCTCATGTTGATGAATACAAATGCTAGTTTTTCAGTCTTGTTTTATAATTGGAAGACCGGTTTCAATGATACTTCTAAGTGTATTCTAAAGAATTAATTATGCTATCGAGAATTGTGCATATGTTCAGCCTCTGAGCCGCACACGCCGCACCTGACATCAGCGAGGAAGGTCTATCGGCTTATCAGTAAACTTGAGACCAGGTCTCCACTCCCATGTTTTGCGATCTTGGATATTCAAACCCTGATTTCCCTTAATTGCAACTGCAGCAATGTACTGACCAATCACAGGCGTTAGTCGGAAAGATATGTATGAGTCTCCACTGGCGACTGTGAGGTTGGCAAGATGGGGGTGTCTACAAATCAGCAGTTGTCTATCCGCGGTCATTGCACACCAACACAGTTTTCGCGATTCGAAGGGGCGGTCTGCTAGACTGGGTAGAGCGTTCCTTAGGAATCTCCGAATCTGTGTTTCGCCTGGAGCGCTATTTGCTGGAACTGTGTAATCAGGCACAGATACGTGATCGGACTCGAAGTTCACAAAACCTGGAAACTCCCATACCACTTTGACAGTGTCATTCTCGTCAGGCTCAAAATAATAGCCTTCGTTGAGATTCATGAGCAAAGGAAGTCCATTGAACTGGGAAGCTTCTTCCTCGCTCACCTTGATATGAGCAACAGACCAGCATCGACTTTGAACCTGATCCTCTAAGTCTATGATTCGTGTCACTCCAGCCCCCGCACACACGATATAATTTGCAGCCTTGTATCGTTTGCCCGATACACTTTCGAGATACCCCACGGCACCGTCCTTTTCAACCACTTTGGTGATGTCGCCATCATCGCCACTCACAAACTTCACATTTCTTCTTTCTAGAAGATTTGCCAAAGCCTTTATACAATCACGAGAATGTACCCAGCCATCTTCGGGCTCCATAACGTAGCCTTTCCAGTTTTCCAAAGGACCGTCTAGAACTGGTATATGCCTCCGAAAGTCGGCAGGAGTCTCCAGAAACTCATGGATTTTATGGATATTCGCATGCTTCTCCAACACAGCTAGTGACTCGGTTTTAGATGCTGAAACCACCATACCTCGCTGGTGGTAGAACCGGTTATAGAACTCATCTTTCTGCCACATCTCCATGGCTTCAGCAGCAACCCGGTCTGCGCTGGAAATCTGATCATTAATTTCATGGCACAACCAATCAACAACCTTGTTGCTATCATTGGCCGCCGCAACTGGCGATGGCACTGTCTCTTTGTCGAAACACACTATGTCATTATACCCCAGTTTCGTTAGATGTAGGGCTGTGGCTAGTCCGAACGCCCCGCTTCCAACAATTGCAAACTGGATTGCCATTTTAGACAAGATTGACAAACAAAGCCAATCTCCACCAGAACTTTATCGAAAGCTGGCCATAAAATCATTAATCAATCCACCAATCCACCCTTACCTCCATGTCTCTATCTGACATCATCCTGCGCCAATCCGCTCACGTGTTATGCACGTGATCACATCAATCCCAAAGCGGTAATAACGCGTGTTTTTGGGGCTCAACCCTTTCGTCACGTGATCACAGATTACGCGCCTTTTTGTGAAACCTCCTTCTTTGTATCTGTTGTCTGTTTGAGCAACAAGGGAGCACGCTTCTATTCGTTTTTAAGGCTTGTTGAACTGAACAGTTGCAAAATTGACGTCTTATACATTGCAAGGAATTCTGTTCAACTTTGGTGAACATGGCGCCTGTTGTCGAAAGCTCAGATTTCTACTTTTTCCAGTCTGCAAGGAAGTTTGGTGAAGTGGACAATTCCCCCGCCGTTGCAGACCAGGTCCACAGCTCCACTCCCAGCTCAATAACCTCTCAAGGTGATGACGATATGTTTGCTCGTTTGGATCAATCCTCGTCGGTGCAGACGTCACTATCTACGGCTGATCACGACCCTCACGATGCTATAAACTCTCTTTCCAAACAGTTTTATGCAGGTCCAAGCTTCAACCACAACGGCTTGAATAACCGGGGTCACACAAACTATGTACGGAATTCTATTGTGGTTTCTCCCTCGTTCACGTCGGAACTCACCACCTCCAGACTTGACAATTCTCAGGAAGTACCTACGAAAACGTTTGGAATGACTCCTAGTCCCAGTATGCAGGCCCTGGAGAGTCTGGTGTCCGATAGAAGAAAGACATCTCCCACATATTCTCTTGGAACGCTAACAGAAGAGGCTGATCCCGTTCCAAGAACCAACCAATCCCAGATTTCACTTAACACATTCTACACTGCAGTTTCTGCGGACACAATTATACAACAGGAGAAGGCACCCGGGAGCGATAACGGGCTTGATAATGAGATTAACAGCAACACTGGGCCTGAAATTTTTCACGAACATGACGTTAGAGGTGAACAGAATCAGAAGATCGAACCTCAATACCTCGCAGTGGGTCCAAACCCACCTACCGAAGACCTCATCAGTTTGAGCAGCAACTCTCCAGCGCTGAAACAGCTAGGCAACCAGATGACACCATCGTTGTTCTCACCTGGAATGGTTGAGGCTCCCGTCCAGGGACTTGAGTTTTTAAACCCTTCGAGTTTTGGTACGGTGATGAACTCCAGAAGTACCAATTACCCGGGCTTGTCAAACCCTGGCTTCTCAAATGCAAACACCGCTGACGACTCTGGATATATCAGCATAATCAGTGAAGACGATGATGACGAAGATAACAGAAATCACGCTTTTGAACCTAGACGTGGGGACGACTTCAACTCTTTAAATAGTGACAATGATGAAGAGTCACTCGAAGAATCCTTGCACGAGCAAAAGAAGGTTATTACGGTGCCGACAGGCAAGCCTACTGCTGTTCAGCAGACTTTTAGTCCAGTTCCTGACTACACTATCAGAGCTGTGGATAACGAGGATGTTGTTGAAAATGTCGTTGAGAACCCCTCGTCTTCTCGGTACGAGAAGGTGTTGAGGCCAATGGATGTGAACAGTCCGGAACCGGTCGTTTCGTTGGAGAAACAACTTCCTTTGACACCAGTTGTTGATGTTGGTAGAGATATCACTGCTTCTCCTGCCATTATATCACAACCTGCTCCACCATCAAGGTCGAACTCCTCGTTTTCTTTGAACAATTGGTCTTCCAAGACACGCAAGCAGAAGGGGATGTCAATGCCAGTGAACAAACTGGATGAGGAGAAAGAAAACAAGCACAGAAAGAGAAGAAGTTTAATAGGGCTTTTTAAAAGGGAGAAACCCGTCATGGAGACGTCTATATCAAAGAAAGACCCGAAGCCCGCCAAAACTCCAACAATGCCTAGCCCGGCCCTTTCTACTGGATCACAGAGCAGTTTCGGAAGAAGATTCAAGTCCAAGAGTGTTTCGAATTTTGACGATATGGCTGCACCTCCACAAAAATCCAAACTTCTTTCTGGTTGGAAACGTAAGAGTGTTTCAAATCTACCTGAATCGAAGCCTGTTGAGCAAAGACCAAAGGCCACCCGAAGAAAATCGTTGCTTGAAACGTATGGATTCAGCGGAAACACTTCTTCAACATCGCCTGCCCCATCTAATGTTCAGCCAAGCCCGAACCTTCCCGTTGCCCTCTCTGAAAAGTTCATCGATGCTCCAGCGATCTCTCCAAAAATCCACGAGCCTGCTGCTGCCAAACCTTTGATTGAAAAGCACCATAGTGATGAGACTGTTGTGAATGAACAGCAGGCCAAATTGTATGTCGGTGGCTCGGAGCAGAAGAATGAAACTCCCCAAAAACAGGTTTTAGCCCCACCTTTTGATCCAAGGAAGGCTGGTTTGGGTATCTCCTTTGATGCCTACAGATTTGATGAGACCCCGGAGAGTGAAGCTCGTCCGAATGCCAACTTGAATGCTGCTCGAAACCTTCAGCCTCTGCAGTTGTCTCCTAAATCGCCATCTAGAGGAAATCTGCATGCAGGGGAGGCACTGTTCCCAAAATCGCTGGATTCGGAGGAGGTGACAAGCATTGTCACCATGGAAAGGTCCAGGTCCATGAGATCTGTTCGTTCTTCACCTGTTGATCGAATGATTGCCAACGATTTGGATTCCATTGTTAATGCTGACGGTATGATCTTGATCAGATCTCCTCACAGACTTCATGCCGATGTCTCATCTAGAGGATCATATTCTCCTAACAAACGCTCTCCAGAGCCAGCGTTGCACAATGATGCTGGGCTCATGGATTACCTTGACTTCATCAGTTTTGGCGACGTGGAGGTGAGCACTGATTTCCATCTTCGTGAAGATCAGAGTTTTAGACTCAATGCGGTGCCTAGTTTGAAACCCGTGGAAAACGTCTACGTTCCACCAAAGACTATACTAACACCGGAAATCACCAAAGAGCTCGATCTCTCATACGTCAGCCCACAAGCAAACGGAGCGCCTAATCTTGAGGCGTATCCATCGCCCAGTATTAGCGACGATCTCGTTTCGAGAAATGCTCAGCTGTTGGCAGCATTGGACACTCCAGATCTTGACTCTGGTTCGCCTTTCTCTCCAATTGTGGACCAGTCACCTGCGTTGTCATCTTCTTCTGCCAAGGCAGACGTCTTTGTGCCTGCTGCTCCAAGACCGGTATCCTCATCTTTCCGTGGTCTGCGTGGACCAGCATTTGGAAGCGGTCAGGCCCATCCACGCGATTCGTTGATAAGTGCCTCGAGTGCGCCGGATGATCTGTATGACCCATTCGAGTCCAGAGAGTCGGTGAATAGTGAAGAGTTGATGGAGCAGGGACAGCAAGACTCTCATGGCAAAAGTGCTAGTGTTTCCAGTTTTGTCCACAGCATAACGTCTCGTCGTGATAAGAAAGTTTCCGTATCTACTGCCAAGTTGCCCAAGCAGAAGCCTCCAAAGACGTTGATACGGAAGAGGCTCTCAAAGAGCGTGGATATGATGAACAGCTCCGTCACTGTCAGATTTTCCTCAAGGATCGTCCTGTACAATACCTACGATCCGGAAGATTATGACAGGCACCCCGAGGTGGCTACTTGTAATCAGCTGACGCCTCAACTAGCTCAGCAGATCAAGGATGAATTGAACGAGTTTAAGGCGGAAATGGACATTCATGAGCAATCCAGATGCTACACCCATTTCTTCTAGTTATCAGGATCGCATGGTGGTATACCTACATTATTCATATCTTTTTATATCGACAATAGCATGCTGTATGTTCATGTCCAAGTAAATTTATAAATGCCCTGGCTCCTCAGCCCTTCAACGGTGGTATTTCTATTCTCGCGATCGCTTGTCGATCACCCGAGAATGGGTTTGCGAACGAAAATATGACATCTTCAGAACCACTTGACAGCAACTTCATATTCTGACCACTTCTCACGAGACAAATGCGGGAAGCTGACTTGCTGTCGCCAGATATCCACCAACCTTGAAGGGCCCTTTTTCCAAATGCAAGTAGCACTCCGGATGCTACGACCGCAGCATGGCAGTAAAATGGAAATTTTATCACCTCGTTCCTGCAAACGGTCCCAGAAGCATCTAGGAAGATGGCAAATTTGTCATATACGCATATACTTTCACACTCCGTCAGTCTTTGCACTGTGACGCACTTGGAAGCGGTAACACTTTGCTGTAGCCATTTCCTATAGGGGTAGCGGCTGGCACCGATGTTTTCATGAGTCCAACTGGGGATTGGATATTGGTTGTGGTGAGCAATCGACCTAAACCCATCAGGAGTATTTAGGACATAAACGTTCTGCAATACTGAGATGCCATTATACGGCGGGCAAGTCATGCTTTCGATCTTCTCAAAGTGGCTAAACTCCGGGACTTTCATGCCGGGCTTTATGGCAACTACCGCTTGAAGTGTTGCCACATAATAGTTGTTCTTAGATGAACATGCGGCTAGTATGGTTGAAATTCCCCGCTTCTTCATGCTGTTGATTGAAAAGACGTTGACGCCAGACAGCAGCTGTTTCAAAGTGATGCTGAGGATATGAGTCTCCTTCTTGGAACGACTATCATAAACCTTCATTATTTCGGACAATTTCGTGAAAAAAAGAGAGACACCAGATAGAAAGAGGATAACATCATAATCTTCAAGGATAATGATAGATGAGACATTTTCCATCTCTGCAACCATGTACCAATCCTTCTGATCACTCCGGCTAATTTGAACTCCAAAACTCTGGCCTAAAATCAGGAACTCCTCGTTGTCAAAACTGAACTTGTTCACGCAGTTTACATCTACCTTAAGATCTGGTTTTCTGGGTGGACTGGTAAAGTGATCAGTGAGTTCATCTTGGGGATAAGTGAGCATGTCTTTATAGGCATTTGTCTTGTATTCGAACTCCCTTTCCGCTATGATGGAGTATTTGATCCCAAAGCTCATGGACCTCATTGCCAGCGATTGGACCTCAAGACAAACTTTCACAAACGCATCTCTCATCTCTGGTGACTCTGTGATAACGGCGCATTCTCTATCAAAATCAGAAACGGTAGCAACGTAGAGGTACCCGTTTTCAGTGTTTCTCTCACTCACATTGATGGCCACTTGGATTAGAGATATGGGATTGGCAATAATCTCATCATTAGAAATGAAGATCAGATATTTGTCTAAAACGACGGCCGTACATCTCAGTTCCTTCCTTTTGGGAACCAGAAGAGTGATTTCAAACCGACCAGCCCAGAACCTCTGGGGATCTCCCAAATTCACCAGCTCCAAGAAAGGATTATTCTTGAGCTGGGATATAAGACCGGTCATTATAGTCTGGTTCTCCCGAGCTTTGAGCTGTATCTTTGCAATTCCATTCACAATCTCAACCAGCCGGTTGTGAGATTGTGGGTCGGTGTAACGAATCAGCTCAGCAGTCCGCACTAATCTCTGAGAAACATCCTTGAAATGGCTACTCACAAAATCTGTGTCCAGCATCTGAGTCAGAGTCCATTCATAGGCTTTGGTAGGTGTTGGAGCACCTTGGATCCAGCTTCTGAGGTGGGAGTCGCTTGGTTGCATTTGAATGATCTGAGATGTATCTACTCTGGCACGGTAGTAGTACATGAAGGTGGGACTCATCTTGGAGAGCCATGCCTCATAAAGGGTCAAAAGTTGCCCAATTTCCACTGTCTGATGAACCTCTTTCACACAAAGAAGTTTCCATAGCTCCCTCAGTGAGCTGATTGGTTCGAATGCCAAAGAGTGGAAACCACTAAACGAAGGAAGGAGCAGCTTTTCCTGCTTCAGGAACCCTTTTCCATATCTCACCATCTTTCGACAATTATACATGAATACCAGTTCCCCCTTAAGAAGATCAAAAATGGCTTGTTGAATATCATTTTCTTGCACTTTTGCCAAATCCCCATCTTGTTTCCAAAGTTGTCCCCAACTTGGTGACTCCAGCACGTCTTTGTCGGTCTTGGTAAAACTCTCCAGATCCTTTTGCGCAGGCTCCTTTTTAGTAAACTCTATTTCTCCTGGAATATATATCCCTTCCAAAAAAACTAGCTTGGAGCCTCCTTCCACGATCGCGCCTTCATTTCTCACCTTCTCCAAGAAATTCTCCAGAAGACCGTCAATTTCACGGTCACTTACATCTGGATAGTCCAAGATTAACAACGACTTCAAAGAGGCAAGCCACTGTGATAATTCAGCCTTCACTTTGGGAGACTCCCATAAATCTTGAAGGGTTTTGATAGAGGCAGAATCAGAAGGTTTGTCCAAATGATGCACCTCGTTCTCTTCCTCATCATCTGTGTCATCTCCTCGCTGCACAATGAACTCAGAGTCGATCTCAGTCACTGTATACTCTGGCAAATTATTGGGTGTCATTTTGTCGAGAACCTCAATCAGTTCATTCAAATTTTCGTCAAAACTCTTGAATGATTTTCTCTTCTGTGCGAAAAGAGGCAGCACAACTGACTGCTGGTCAAACGTCTCTGGTTCTGACATTTTTTCAAGTTTCTTATCAGACTTTGACTCATACTCTATTTTCAATGACAAAAGCTCTTCGTCCAAGGTTTGCTTTCCACTCCTTTGGACCAATGGCAAGATAGCTGGTTCCTCGTGTCTGATGACCTCTCTCTCAGGACTACCACGCAAAGAAGCTCTACTCTTTGCTTTTGGGATCACAATGGGAGATTGGTAATCAACTTTAAGTGACGATTTCGGGTTTGTGAACTCTTCAGGGTCATGGTATCGTATGTCAGTGAGACGCGGTTCCCGTTGTTGAATAGGGTCTGCTGGCAGTTCGGGCGCATTCTTCACAATTGCCTCGAAAAAAGAAGGAACGCGGTATATTTGGCTCGGGTTTTGGTTTTTCGTTTCACTTGTCCAAGAGTTGTCTTTTTTGGAGGGAGAATTGTCCTGGGTCGTAACTGAACTCCTTGGGCCCAATGAAACCGATTTTCTCGGCTTTGGCACAGGAGGTCTGGAGAGCGGAATTTTCGGTACCTCTGTAGAAGGAGCATTTGCTTCTGTGGCTCTCATATGATCCAGTTTTTGTTTCAATTGGGAGGCAATTGCGTAGCTGTCCCCAATGAAGCTCATCCTGGAATGCTCCAGTTTCCGGGGTAGGTCTCTCGGCTTCAATGGTCTGGATGGTGGAGATAAAATTGTCGGCTGCTCCGTGGAAAGCAGCGTCGACCCGAACGGTATTCTATCATAACTCCACTGTGGTGGCATTTGGGGAATACCTGGCTCCAAGCCTACGGGTGGAAAGGAACAACGGTTGATTATGTAGTGATATGGGCTCAGATTTTAAAATTACACAGCCACAATACACAGCATGGCGCACAGCCTTGATCCTCCTGCGCACGCCCCATATTCCCCGAAAAGGGAATAACATCAATAGAAAGACTTGATGCCACGGGAGTCAGCTTCTCTGTTCTTCTTGTTGTAGTTTGGTTTTTGGTGGGGTTTATTGCTATTTTTTCCCGGTTTCTTCGCTAATGCGTGGCGATTTCAAGATTCAACACAAGGTTGTGCTGGTGCAGTGCACTTTGTTGGCTGTTGCATTTGCGTTTGAACTGATAGCCGTTCTCACGGTTCCGGTGACCAAGTCTCTCTCGCTTTGTACCTACAACGGCTTCAAGTTTGGTGTTTTTGGGATTTGTGATGCGGACGGTTCTTGCACCAAAGTGAGTGTGGGATACACGAGTGAAGGCCTTGATAATTTGAGTGGGTTTTCGTTACCCTCCAATGCCAGACAGTCTATATCGAAGCTGCTTATAGTCCATGTTCTGGCAGCTGCGTTTACGTTGCTGATGTTTCTGTTGAACTTGCTAACCCTCATGAGCAGATTTGCGACGTCTACCGGGTTTTTGCTGGTTCTTTTGCTAGGAACGGTTCCCACATTTCTACTGGCTCTGCTGTCGTTTCTAGTAGACATCTTGCTTTTCATACCGCATCTCGATTGGTGCGGTTGGACGGTTTTAGCCTCTGCGGTATTAATCGTGATATCTGGAACGACAACTTGCGTTACCCGTAGGACTGTCAGCTCAAGGAAATCGCATTTGAGACACATCCATGGCGGGGATGGTGATCTGTATAGCTTGGTGGGAAGTGAAACTTCATCCACTGGTTCTAATTTGGAAGTGCAAGAATCCAAACAATATGAGAACAACGATGAACATAACGATGTGGGTGTTGTATATGGAACGCCGCAGCGACAAACTTCTACTGGCTTTAGTTTTACGAGGGCCAGAAACAGCAGCTATGGGTATGCTCCGTTAGAGCAGAACTCACCGCATCTGATGCAACGGGCTGCTGTCCGCCACCAGGATCCTGACGGAAGCAGTTTGCATCCGTACACACCAGTACACAATCTTCCTGATGGTGATGTGTTGTCTCATCCTGTGGCTGCTTTGGATCCGGTGGCTGCGAATGCATGGGACTTCGGATCTCCAAGGAGGAGAGGGGAAGAGCTTCCACAGAACAACACTTTCGATGAACTTTACGGTCAGGCTTACTCGGACTCTGAGAATGGTAAGGAAGATGAGGTTGTAAGTCAGGCTGAGACTGGCCTATCACATCCTATAGCCAATCCATATTTGAGCGAAACCCCAGCCAGGATGCCCACGGTGGACTTGAGAAATAACAGAGCAAGTCTTCTGGAAGGACCCGAAGAAGAGCGCGAAGAACAACCCGAAGAACAACACTCGCACTCTGTCACACCTGCCAGTTCCATTTATGTTCCAATATCCAGAGCTCCTAATTTCAAGAATACACACACATCGAAACCTGTTGGTCCTCGTCCATTGCCTTCAGACGTCCGCTCTGGCGATGAAGCCCGCCATCCTGAATTTGCAACTGACGCTCCAGTCTTGGCTCCACCTGCGAGTTTTGGTGAGTCCAAGTCGCTTCAGGCACCTTCGTCCTATTATCTGTCAGAACAGGAAAATTTAGAGTCAGATCTGGACTTCAAGTTTGACTCCAACCAATCGTTGGTTGAGTCCAACTTCACTTCCATCTCACAGCGTCCAATAAACCCAAAATACTACGAGATAGAGAGACTTTCCAACCAGGGCAATAAAGCTGACTCTTCCTTGGTCTCACAGAGAAACCCACATATCTACAACCAGAGGGTTCCAACCCCATACAGACAACAGCAGGCTCAGCCCACGCTTTCGCCCCACTTAGAAGACGGCTATGTGTTTGATAACTCCAAGATTGCAGGAAGAAGAGTTCACGACAAGAGCAACAATACGTCGAAGGAGTTTTGAAACCTGTATGTCTACCGGTGTTTTTTAATTATTTGTACTATTATATGATAATGATCTAGTCGTGATAGTAGATGCATAAAGCGCCGCACCGAGGCATGGGTGGAGTTTCAGCCTTTCTACTCCAATAAAGGACCATCCAGTAAAGCAGTTTTTCAAATCCCTTGGCCTTGCCATTCTTTCCGTATAATTTTTATCTCAATTTTCATATATTGAACCCCTAATAACTCGAGCACACGAGCGTCCTAAGCATATATTTCAGGCGTGCGCCGCTCAAAAGATTTTTCAGATTGAATTATCGACCTCATTGAAGCTCACCGAGAACCTCATCAATACGTTCGTTTTTTCAGAGTTTCTCAACACCCAACTCCCCATTTTTATACCATGGTTGGAGTGATACGAGGTGTAAGTAGGCAGAAAGCCTTCTGTGCGATCTGCTCCAGAAATTACTCCTCCTCGAACGACGAGTTTGTCGATCTCATCAAACAACTAGGATCCGTCTACAGACAGCCGTCGCCAACAAGAGACGCAAAGCTTCAGGTTGAGGTTCCTCGGCCTAAACCCAACAGAAATACAGATTTTGCCGTTCCCGTGTCGCCTCTGGTGAAGTTTTCCACAGTGGACGCTTTGGCATCAATCCTTTCCCCGGTTCATCATGACCAAAGCATACTGCTGTCCAACCAGTCGGAAATCAAATGGGATAAACTGCAATTTAGATCACCGCATTCTGCGTTGATATATTTTACAAAGTCCGGAGCTGTTTCCAGAACTGATCCAATACCGAAAAGGGCGACTTTTGATGATATGGGCGACGAAAGCGCAAAGCCGATATCGGGCTGCTCGCAGAAGATGACGGAGATGATCCAGAAAGCCTTCCTAAGTCCAACTTGTTCTAAAGCAGAATTGACCGAGTTACTGGAGAATCTATTGAAGATAACCAAGTACTCCAATGTCGTTTCTATGACCAAAAGATGTGAAGTTGCTCTCTTTCTACTGCAGAGTCTGCCGGAGAAGAAGTCCAAGTACACCAAAGAGGTGATCGAGACCATTGCCGAGTTTGTGGAAAGCCAGGAGGATCTGATAAAACATGTGATTCCTAGGTTGTGTCGGATGGAAGCTACGTTTGCCAGTCCTGAAGGCTGTGCCATTTTGGCCGAAATGCTGAAGGGTCGTTCTCTGATGCCTCTCTCGGTGTATGCTACGCAAATGCTTGCTCGCGGTCTCGCTGAACGCAAAGCGAATCCCGATTATACCGAGCTGATAAGACAATGTCTCATAAGTGTTGCTGCAAAGAACAGGATGCCGGAATTTGGCGTGGTGGAAACGTATCTCCAACGTGCACTGACCCCGGAGGTTCTGGCCAATAAAGACGAGGCCCTCAGATTGCTCTCCCCATTTTCTCGTGTCTTCAATTCTACTTTGAATGCTCGACTTCTGAGGAAGATGCTGCCACTTATGAACTCAATGCAAGACATTCATTTTCTGCTGAATGTGCTCTTTGACCAGGGCAATCGTTCTCACGATGTTCGCAAGTCCACGGCCACTCACGTTCTCAAAGAGTGTCACCATGAAATTCTCTCGAGGATATTCGACTTTGAGCTTGATCCGAAACTGCTCCACCTTCAAGCAGCCTCTTTCACAAGCGTTTTAACCAGACTGCAGTACATCATGAACAGCGATTTCGATGCCAAAGCAAACACACAGATCCTGTACATATTCTCCAAGTTGCAGAGCACGTTTGCCGTTCAAAAGTACCTGAAGAAAATGACGCCCTCGTCAGAGGTGGTGAGAAATGTCATTACCGTCTTCGGAGACCCCTCCGGTATTCCATTTGTTCCTGGTTATGAGAAATCGGTGCAGGAAGCCTATCTCAAGTATTTAAATGAGAGCAGTCACATTTGAGCCTAATGAGGAATATTTAAGCCCACGCAAGTATAAAAATGAACTACATAGATTTAGGGGATGGATAAGTTTTCCTCGAATAAAGATGATATGTCTACTATTTCTTTCTCACTTACGATATCACTCAAAAAATGTATTGGTGCAATCTTTTCTTTCTTTTACCACTGGTACTAGCAAGCTCGGGAATTGAAGTATTGAATGATTTAATTCAGCCGGGAGATTCGTGTGTGGATGGTGTTTTAGACTTGTTTCTGCCGAAATGTATAGAGCAAGGAATCGAGTCTATCAGTCAACCAGAGTTGATTGAAATAGCCATCAAACTGAGTGTCTGCCAATTTAAATCGACTGGAGTCGATTTTCCAACCGAATGTGAAGACTTGGATTGCAAAGAAAACTGTCTCTCGAAGCTAAGTGCTTCTTCCCAATGGTGGACAACTTATTTCGTCAGTTACCAATCTGTTCAACAGACATGTCACCAGAGGGCCGCACCGTATGCCAAAGCTCAAATTCTACAGCTCTATGAGAACATCACAATTAGATTCAGACTTTTTCATGAGTTGATGCAAGATATAATGGATGTTTCTAGCGACAATTTGGAGGCTACCAGGGCAAGTTTCGACAGATTGGCCGAGGACTTGAAAGAGTTCTCTCGACGCACTGAGGTGCAGCTGAAAAATGTCAGTTCTGGGTTGGACCAAGCAAACGCAAAATCCTCTCAAATATGGCACAGTTTGAACGAAACTGGTGATGTTATTGCTGGGCTAGACCACCATGTTTCTCATCTAGAAAGAAACATGATTTCAGTTATTGAAACGGTCTTAAGCGAGGCCAAGGCACAAACAATCGTTTTCACGACCTCACTTGCTGATCAACAGTTGGATATCTCTAGAGAGTTGTCGAATTCCCGGGCGGTTTTCGAGGAATTTTTGCAGGAGTCTGTTGGGTTTTTATCAACGGCAATCAAAGGTGAAGTTTTTGGAATATCCTCGGAATTCACGAAATTTGTGACAAATCTAGATTCTCAGAATTCCGTCAAACTCGGTCTCATCAAAGATGAAATAGTTGCACATATCGACGCCAAAAAGAGCTGGATCAACAGTAATTATTTTCAGACCTACTCCGAGCAATGGACGATGATCATTATTGCTCTGGTTATCGGATTGAACTACGGAGTCAATGTGGAAACATTACGCCTATCCATAAAGGTGATGCTCAGTTTCATTGTTGGCGGCCAGGTTTCGAGAATATACACTAGAAAGACCGGAAACAACGCTTCTCAGATCATCCTGATGATTGTGGTGATCGTGGTCTCGTTACTCATGATTTCCAAAGATAAAAGACGGGCTGGTATTTTCATATGTTTCATAACTTCAAACTTGTTAGCACATCTTTGCTGTTGACATTGTCATACCACCACGTTATTCCAACCTGACCCTTTTGTGTATCCACTTTGTTGCAATTCAGTATTTCCTCCCAGAGGCGTTCCACTAGCTGCCTTCTCCAAGCTTTGGAGTCTGACTTGAAAATCAACTCGCGTAGAGTGATCTCTATCCATTTGGTCAAACATTCGACAGGAACCAAGGGTATGATGGATATGAAAGCCGAGATAAAATCAACCCTGATCTGGGATTGCGGAAGACTAGCACACTTGTTGAAGAAGAGATTGGTGAGGAGCTTGCTATAGCTTGGATCACAATCGTATACGATAGAACTGGGGGAAACACATGTAGCCAGATTGATCAGTCCTATCTGGAGCTGGTCCATAGACAACAACTTCGGGAAGTGAGAAACCAACAACTGCGAATATGGTATAATTGTGGACATAATCACTTGAATGTCCTGGTCACAAACCTGAGGCTGGAAAACGATGTTGTAGAAAATGAGTTTGACTGAATGGCATGCTTCCACCACAGGCTTCCAGAACTCAAAGTTTGTAAACTGGAATGTTTTCTCCTCTAGTATTCCGTCAATATTTGAGAGGGCAATCAGCCGCTGGTTTACAGGAACGTGATTGATCAGTTTTCCCGTTGTTTCAAGCGAAAAAAGAAGCTTTCCCTGCTCAACTTCAGACAGGGCAACTAATTTGCCAAAGTCGATATTAGAGTCGAAAACTTGTTGGACAAGTTTGGAAGTCGCTGCGTCTTGCTTTAAGCCATCAATACAGCACGCCACCACAAAGTTGAAAGACTCAAACCCTCCATCACCAATTCTGTTGAGGACAAAGTTCTGGAAGTAGAGTATGGTTAGTATCTTTCTCGAAAACCTGGGGAAATGGGTGGTCGCAATTCTGGCATCCAGCGTGAAAAATTTGTGGAATATCGTTTCCGTGATCAGTATAGTTGCATAATAACCATTTTTCAAAATCAGTAGCGAGGTCTCGTTCCAAGGGCCATCACGTAGGCATTCAGAGTAGGTTTGGATTTTGTTCAAACAAAAGTCCATGTTCTTGAGAAGCAAAGCAGCATCTCCGTCGTTATTTTCCACAAGTTTTCTTATCAGCAAAGCCAGTCTGTTGAGATGCTTCACATTCGGTCTCATTTCTGGAGTTTTCGAGTCCAACGGATGCATAAAGAGCTGAGAGTCCAGTCCGTACTCTGAACAGAACATTTGTTGAACTACCCAATTGGCTAAATCTGGTTTTTGTTTGTTGAGACGTGCATAGAACGAGGGCGGCAAGGTTTCCAAATTGCATGCAATACATATATTTGCAAGATTGTTGAGAACAGGATTGGTTGCCAATGAACTGCCATAGAATTTGATGAGTTCAATCTCGAAAAGATGTTTCAACTTCAGGTCCAGCTTGTCGATACTTCTGTAATTTGGAGGAAAGATGTCAAGATCTTTTCTCGAGTCAATTGAAAGTAAAAGTCCCGCTAAGACAGGCAAGGTTCTCCAGCTGGCATCTGGTCTGAGCTGCGAATGGGACACCAGAGATTTTGTTACCGAATGGTACCAATCGTAGAACGACAAGGATGGAACCGAAATTTGAAACTTTGTATCCGAAGCGTATTTGAAGAACTCCAGCACCTGGTAAAGTTGTAAAAAGTCGCTATTTTGCCACAGAGACCCGGACAGGAGATGGTCTGTCAGAAGCGTCACGTTTGCTGCGTTCCTCACCTTGGGGTAATAGTAGGCCAAGTGGGATAGCGATCTCCGCGGGTCTTCCGAAGAATCGAGATCTCTGACAAGACCATTAATCTGGAAGACCGTATTAGATGCCATTAGAGAAAGCTAAAGGAAAAAGACGAAAAGATATATGCAGATTGGGATGGCTTAAACAAAATTTAGACATGTTGTAGGCATAGGCTACTGCCTACAGCTATTCTGGATAAGATCATGATTCATGATGCCTTCTGTTCGAAACACTACCTAAAGAAGCCATCAGCTATTTCCGGTACAACGGTAATCGGAAATGATTGTCGTGTACCACCGATTCTTGAGGTGCCTGAAATCATGGGATCATTTATAGACTTTGAAAACCGCTTTCGTATGTGGTGGTGCACGACATTATTTCCGACGTCCCTGAAGAAATTACCGGAAAAGAGACCTTTACAAGAAACATGGACGCTTCACTCTCACTGAAGCTTCATTCATTTTGCGGCTTTCTTTGAGGATGGAAACTTGAGCCTAGCTCGCACCCAATATGCAATTTAGATCTTTTTCAAGTCAAAGAGGTGATGGGAGCAAGATCAGCCATTCATCACGTGCATACTAGCACCTGCGCTCTCCGAAGTGACATGCTTTCTACTACCGCGTCAGCTTTGTCAATTTGTATATTTACAAGAGTTTATTCAAGTTTTCCGGATTGCTTATTCCAAAGAAACCTTCGAGCCAAGACTCTCCAAAAGAGCCTTAATCTTCTCAGCCTCCTCCTTAGGAACACCCTCCTTCAACACCTTGGGTGCACTCTCAACCAACTTCTTGGAGTCAACCAGGGAAAGACCAAGAATAGTCTTGACCTCTTTTATGACCTTTGGCTTGGACTTAGGGTCGAAGCTCTCCAGTTTCAAGGTGAAAATCGTCTTTTCAGCAACGACTGGCTTGGCTTCTTCTTCGGCCTCCACTGCAGCAGCTGGAGCGGCCTGAGCAGCTGGGAACGAGATATCAGGAATGTCCAACTTGACTTTCAACTCGTTGATCAACGAAGAAGTCTCCAGCAACGTCAGCTGGGAGATCTGGTCCACGATGGTGGCGATCTTTGGGTCGACAGTGGATTGGAATCTCTTGGTGAGAACACTGGCAAATCGGTTAGTATGCATGAAAAATTTCAAGACAGTAGGCGCTCGTCACATCGCCGGCGTCCGTCAACACTTTGCTTAAAACTTACACTCTAGATTGTCTCAATGCAGGCCTAGCTAAACGGAACATTATTTGTGTAATCGTTGACAGGATTCAGGTTTCGAGATTGCGTCACTGGTGTGCCAATTTGGGGTTTTCGTCGGATTTTTTGGGCTATCGAATGTGTGCACGAAGCGTAGTGCACAACGGTACGGATGGTGCCATTACGCCAACACTGTGGCCAGAGAGAGAATGAGAGTTTGATATAGATCTATTGAAATTTACATCTTACAAGCGCATAAAAGTACCTACATAATGGCTTCTTTCAGGTTCTGTGCGGAGTGGTAAGTGTGATTATATGTCATTTTGATTGGTTGACTTTTGCGAATATCTTGCACATCTTTTGTACCCTTATACTAACTCCACCAGTAACAACATGCTCTATCCAAAGGAGGACAAGGAGAACCAGAGACTGCTATATTCTTGTCGTAACTGTGATTATACGGAATTGGCTGAATCCGCAAAGGTGTATCGTAACGAGTTGATAACCAACATTGGTGCTACCGCAGGTGTGGTCCAGGATATTGGGTTGGACCCTACGCTTCCAAAATCCGACAAATTGTGTCCGTTCTGCAAGTTCCGAGACTGTGTGTTTTTCCAGAGTCAGCAGAGGAGACGAGACACGTCGATGATTCTGTTCTATGTGTGTTTGAATTGTAAGAAGGTGTTTCAGAGTTGAGGAGAAAGTGGCAGATATCTGGGCAGAACCTGGGCAAAGCCCAGGATAGGGGCCAGGATGAGAGGACCTCGTGTATATTAAAGCATCTTGGAAGTTTTCGGAAAAGTTACAGCGAATTTGAAAGTAAGAGCGTCCAGTCACGCAAGCTAATTAGTCACAGACCTATAGTCGATGTAGACCCATCAAAGCTGCAAAACCAAGGTGAAACCAATTTCACCCCGGTGTGGCCATTGCAGCGTGGGTAGAGAAGTGAAGAGTAAGAAGTCAAAGAGGAACAAAAAAACAGGGGGAATCAGGGCTGATGGCAACATAAAACAAACAACAAAAACAGCCGTAGCAAGGGAGGGGAGGCATGAAAAGTAATGGAAGCCAGTCAATGTTGTGAGCAAAAACTAGACTATTGGCGAGAGAAATGTGATCGGATATAGCAGATTGCCAACAGGAAAGCCATAAATTGGTCGTTAAGCCAGTGGAATCAAATCAAAAGAGAATCTGAAGCCAGCCGTTCTCAGCCAAGACAGACCAACACTATTAGATTTTGCTGAGCAGTGCCTCAAACCAACGAACCGGTGGAGAATAGAACCAAAAGTTCCAGCTCTATAGCTTGATAAAGTCTCCAGCAGACCCCCGGATCGGCTGCAAACTAGGCAACTGCGGCAACAACAACGGCTCGCTAATATTGTATTGCGAGTAATACGGATTGTTGAATCCCATTGAGTCCTTCAATAGGTTGATCAACTTCACGTAAATTTCCTCCTTGTTCTTGAAACTGACTGAGTTGAACTGGATCAGCAGGTTGTTCAGCTCCAACTGCAAAGAGTTGATCTTTGAGCCAGAAGAGTAAAAACTCTGCTGTCCCAGCCCGAGCTGCGACGACAGTTGCGACGACAAGTTTTGGAGGTTTGACGAGACAGAAGAGGCCAGTGGAGCAGAGTTGACTGCAGAGTTGGTGCTCGAGTTAGTCTGGTGGGTCATGCCTGAGTGTGACTGAGAACGTCCACGCTTATCTTCAGGTCTGCGTTGCTGAGGATATGGCAAAAGGGGATGGTTGTGTCTGTCGGAGATCACAACCAAAGCCCAAGAGTGGGACCGCAGCGAGTAGTTGGCGCGAATTCGAAACGGGCACTGGTTCACCTTGGAGCGGTCCGAGGACTTGTTGGAACGGCATTTGAAAACAATCTTGGAGTCATCCGAGCGCTCAATCACAATGTTAATTCCCCTGGGCACCAGCTGGGCCTGCAACCACGGCTTGATGTTTTTTTTCTCCTCAAAGACCTTCTGCTCTGGCAATATATCCGATATCATTTGGTGAGGCTGACGGAGTAGGCTGCAAAGAACGGGGAAAGCTTGGACGAGGGGGTTCTGTATTTAAATCTCAAGACCCCCTCCGCTTTCCCCCCTTCTGGTTACCCATTTTTTCTCCGGGTAGCAGAGGCCTCTAGGGTGAGCTTCGGAGTCCGTGGGGTGGCCCGGGAGTTTATTGGGCTACGCACGAGTCAAATGGAGTTAAGTTGAGCCGAATTATAAGAAAATTCGAACAGTAGGTATTCGCGGAGAGAAACCCTGATGGTGTGTATATAAGCCTGGCGATTACGATACGGTTGTTTTGAAAAAGTTCTGCAGTCTCTTATACTGTTATTATACACCCTCTACGGTACGTCCTACCCCTTTTTATTATCTGATTGCTGAGGTAGTTCCCTGACAGGCCGGTCAAGTTTTTCTGCCCCAGTGGCCTACTAAGAGGGGGAGGAGGGGTGGGTCATTCGCCTTGACGTGGGTGCCCACCGCGCACCCTGGGTGGGATCCGGGGTTGATCCTGGCCAAGATTGGACTACAATGGGGTTCTAGTGGGAGACCAAACTTAGCAGCCAATGTCGCAAATATTTTGGCTACATTTCCATGTAAGGGTCTTTCCTGATTCGGCAATTCAGGCGACGAAGGTGTTTAAGTGGTTAATGTGACTGGTACAGTGATGGAGCCTGGCGGTGATGAATCAGTAGTAAAATAGCCAGCTGACTGGTAGTAAATCAATAAAATCAGGGGTATTGCTTGAAGGTAATCTCCCTGATACTCGTCTTTGCAACTCTTGATTCCTGGTTTCTTTGTAATTTTAACGAAATGCTCGCTATCGACGATATACTCTCTACTGACCTATCTGCTGACGAACACAAGCCGCAGCACTCCTGTGTTTCGCCAAGGATTCCATATGACAGCACCACACAATCACGAGGCATAACCCAGGGTCAGCTTTTAGCGGCCGCAATGGGTGTTTTGGCGCTCAACCTTGCCCTTCTCTTGGTTCTCCTTAGCAGATTCGAAGAGGCCATCGTCAGACAAGTGTTTGCGTTGCTATGCACGCGGATACTTGCAGCTATGAACGGAGAGATTTAGATGAGCAAATCTGAGAAGCAAGAGAAACCAGAGGCCATTTCCGGACTTTTCTGTGGTCTCTAAACGTCTTTCTGTTGTTGTCACATACTCTATATGAATTATTGGATCACGTGACTGGAGTCACGTGGTTTGGTTCTGTCGTGGCTCATAACCAGCTTCTCCTTCTTCACGTCCACGTATCTCTCTACGAATCTTCGTAAACACCTCCGTTTTCTTTAAGTCACCCCCAGAAACCCTCTATTTTTCTTCAATGGGCTCGCTCAAGTCATTCATCACATCTGTGCGCAAGGCCAAGACCATTGCGGATGAGCGGGCCGCCATCCGCAAAGAATCGGCCGCCATCCGGTCTTCGATCCGCGACACATCAATCGACGAGAGATCTCGTCGCACGTTGATCGCAAAACTCATTTATCTGTACATTTTGGGAGAACCAACGCATTTTGGGCAGGTTGAATGTCTAAAGTTACTTGCAACGCAGAGTTTCACTTCAAAAAGGCTCGGGTACCTGGCTACTATGCTGATTCTAGACGAGAACCAGGAGGTTTTGACGCTATTGACAAACTCCTTGGATAACGATCTCCAGCACTCAAACCAACTTTTTGTGGGATTAGCTCTGGTGACACTGGGAAATATTGCATCCACAGAATTGGCGCGTGATTTGTACACCAACGTGTCTCGCTTGGTCCAATCCTCAAACCCGTACATTCGCAAAAAGGCGATTATGGTGGCTGCAAAACTCATTCAGAAAGACCCTGACTTGACGGAATTCTTTATTGAGCTGGTTCCGTCTCTTTTGACTAGTGCCAAGACCCACGGCGAGTGGTTGGCTTCGTTAGCACTGGTCAAGTCGTGCTACGAGCTCGGGGCAGATCGCCAATTGCTCAGAGCTCAGGTTCCTCAATTGCTTACTCAACTTACAAGTCTTAGAACGACCGGGTTCTCGCCTGAGTATGACGTGGCAGGCGTTCCAGACCCATTTCTGTTTGTAAGTCTGCTTCAAACGCTGCGGGTTTTGATGGCAGATGACTACTCTGACGAGAAGAACATTGACAGGCTAACTGACTTGCTGACGCAGATTGCGTCAAAGGTGGAGACACTTAAGAATGCGCCAAATGCAGTTCTTTATGAGGTGGTTAAGACTATTTTCGAGATCCAATCGGATTCGTCACTGAAGATTTTGGGTGTGAACGTTCTGGGCAAGTTTCTTGGTTCTAAGGACAACAACTCGCGCTATGTCGCGCTTAACACGCTGCTAACTGTGGTCCAGCATGAACCAAAGGCTGTTCAAAGACACAGGGCCACTGTGGTTGCTTGTTTACGTGACCAGGATATCTCCATTCGTCGCAGGGCCCTTGAGCTCTCGTTTGCCATTCTGGATAAGAATAATATCCGAGTCATGATCAAAGAGTTGATTCTCTTCCTGCACACTGCTGAGACCGACTTGAAGCCTTACTTGACTGGTCAATTGACGCTGGCGATTGAACGCTATTCGCCCAGCGAAAGATGGGAATTTGAGACGCTCATCTCAATTCTGAGCGTTTCTGGGAACTTTTTCGAGTTCGACATCGTTTCCTCCATCCTGGGTATTATCATGAGGTGTTCAGATGGCGAACTAGTTCGCTGGGTGACTCAGCAACTGTTCGAAGAGAGTCTCAAGACCCAGGATCAGTTTGCACTCAATCTTATCTGTTGTTGGTGTCTTGGCGAGTATGGTGAGTCGATTTTCGGTTCCGTGTCGCCTGAAAAGATTGTCTCTTTGCTTCAAACGCTGCTGGTAGAGTCGCATTACGAGGATAAATCCAATACAGAGCAACTTGTGAAGTACGGACTGATGGCGTCTTTAAAATTGTCAGTGAAATTACAGCAATACCCGCAATTGGTTGAGAGTCTGCGCCAACTGATTGCATCCAAGGCTAATGATATTAATCTTGAAATCCAGATCCGTGCAATCGAATATGGTGAGATCTTCGTCCAGCCTCTTGATGTGAAGAAGGGTTTATTGGAGAAAATGCCTGCCCCAGCTTTCAAGTCTCACAAAGGAGCTTCTCTTTCTACTGCTGTGCCGCAAAAGAAGGCTGTTGCGAAGCAGGAACCTGATTTATTAGACTTATTGGGTGATGATATTCCCCAGGAGGCAGTCAAACCATCCACAGAGACACTAGATTTGATCTCTGGTCTGTTTTCGGCTCCAATCGCTCCAATCGCTCCTGTGGCGGTGTCAGAACCCGACGTGGAACCGGTGGTGGAATATACAGACGCTTTCCACGACAGTAACGTTCATGTCTCGTTCCGGATCAAGTCTAGTGAGCCAGGTCATGCTGTGTTGGAGTCTCGCATAACTAACACGTCTATCGGGGTGGTTTCGCAGATTTCCATGTTGGTCGCGGTCACAAAATCCTTGAAATTGCAGCTTTTGCCGATGACGGGCACTTCTATTGGTCCGGGTGATTCAGTTTACCAGCAGCTCAGCGTTTCTGGCAAACAAGGAGCAAAGATCAAACTCAGGGTGAAACTGTCATATGAGAATGTGGCGCCAGTAGAGACTCAGTTTGATTTCGCTGGTTTGGGGCAGACTTTGTGAGTCCGGAGTGGATTAGGCAGGCCGTCTGAAGGGTGTCTGAAAAGTTATAATAGAGAGATACTGCAAAAGGGTGGTCTATAAAGAGAACTAAGGTGACGGTTCAAGGCTTTGTTAAGAAATGTCTGCTGATCGGCAGTGTTTGATAACTTTGAAGACACTGAAAAACAACTTTAGCTTAGATCTTGAACAATTCTCTTGCCTCAAATAGATACTTGTCTTGGACTTAAATCAGTATTTAATTTACCCAGAATTCACAATAACTTGTAGCATATGCATATGCATATGCTCTCTGCAAGTCTTGGTATCTTTACAGTACCTACGAACAATTCAAGCTGCCGTCAAATTTTACTCAATCTCATAAATTTCAAGTATATTCTCAATAAAAACTCAATTCACGACCTCATGATCACTAATCTCCTTCTTCTCCCCTTCTTTCATCACCTGTGCGAGTTCTCCTGAACGTCACATCATCCTGCTTACTCGTTCTTCGCATTAACCTTGTTCAACAAGTCGTGAGTGACATCGGTCTTCAAGACATATTTCTGCGCAATTGGTCTGATTAGCGCCTGGTATACCTTCTGGGCTCCGTTGTACTGAGGCAGGGCCAAATACAACAAAAACACGGTTTTAACAACGAAGTAAGTTGGGATCCAATAAAGAATCGCCTTGGACCAGAACTCGACGATGTTGAGGAATGCAAACACCACCCAGTAGGTCAGTAGCCTTGTATCGTCGCTAGTCGTGGTTGTTTCAAGTGCTTGTAGGGATAAATAAGCAGGCAAGGCAAAACCAGCCAAGTTGGAAAGCAATTGACCAATGCCTCCAATATTGAGAAACATAAGGAAAAGATATCCTACAGCCCCAATGATCACGGCATAGGAGCGAGGTAGGTTGGTCTTAGTCTCGAATTGATCCAGGAACTTGAAGCTCTTGGTGTTGGCGTCGAGATTGCCGAGAAATCCTTGGAGTTGTGCCTGATATTGAGCCATTGTTATCGTAAAATTGAGATGAACTGGAGTTAATTGACGTAATTGAGGTCAATTGGAATGGTGGATAGGAGGTTGAAACGGGTATCAGGTGTGAATCCGCGCAGCAAACTTGAAATTTGCCGTCGGGTCGTGTCGGAGTCTATTTTGAGCCTCTGGACCTTTCTCTGGTATCCTACAATTTGTCAGATAAGGCGACCAAAAGTTGGTCACCACTTGAGAACTTGAGGCTCACTTAAATAATGCTAATCATGAAAATTTACGAGTGTCGTATATAGTAAAAAAATGAACAGGTCACAACAAATGTATGCTTTTGCACTTTATATGGTAGTGTTTGATCCCAAATTTGATCAAATCCGGCGAGAATCAAAAGGTGAATTTGAAAGGCGTGTACCAGCTACAACGTCAACTACGTGGTATTCTGCTGTCTCTTTTCTTCAGGTCACGTTATTAGATCCCAAGTTGGGTTATCATGATTCATATCACAAATTATATATATTAGAATTTGGTTCTGGTCATTCCGTCATTCTGATCGTTATGATCTTGCAGATCATCTGGTCTATTAGGCTGAACACGAGTTCACCGACTCGGTCTGTGCTTTCTCCAAAGGCTTTGCGTCGGACTCGAGCTCTGGAGAGTAAGCGTACTTACTCCAGGTTCTAATTTTGGCTCCATAGAAATAGAAGCCAAATGGAATGGCGCAGCATGCAAGTGAGATAAAGGCCATCAGCGATGAGGCCCATTCATATCCAAGTCTGTGGTACATCTGGATGGTGAAGAGAGGTACGGAAGCACCCCACAACGATCTCACAAAGGTCTTAGCAGCCAAGGCACTGGCAGCATAGTGCTGGTATGAGTCCACGATATAGTTGTTGGCTGGGTTATAAAGCATGTTGAATCCAACACCGCATGCGAAGCCAGAGAAACATGGTCCAGCCCACGAAAGACGGGGGTATGAAGACCAAGCGTATGAGAACAGACCAATAGGGACGAACCAACACGAAATCATCATTGGCACCAATCTCAGTTCTGGAGGTGGTAAGGTGCCCTGATCAATGTACTTTTGAGCTCTTCTGTTATAGTTGCGGTTGATGAGAGGCGAAACGAGCGAAGCAGCAATGACACCGGCAGCAACAGGAATGAACATCAAACCGGTCTTAGAAGCACTCCAGCCTTTACCCTCCATGTAGACAACTGGATACGCAAAGAAGAACATGTAGAGCAAACCGTAGATGATGGACATGTAGATGGTCATGAGGAACACAATGACTTCCCTGAGAAGCACCATTGGTCTAAGCAAAGTCTCTTCCATGATTGTTTTCATAGATCTGACTTGGATCTCAACCAAAGTGCGGTATCTGTCGTCACCGGTTATTTTTCTCAAATGCTTAGCACGACGCTTGAGAATGGTGTTGTGATGGGTCTCTGGGATCACAGCAACCATCACGACATACACGCAACCGACAAAGATCATGAGGACCCAGTAGATCCAACGCCATCCGGCATTATCTCCGATATAGCCTCCAACCAAAGGACCGATCACAGGGCCGAGAAATGGAGCTGCTGAAAAGACAGTCATGGCCAAACCACGGTCCTTGGCAAGCCACATATCAGCTAGCGAACCACCAATGATACAGAGAGGGGCAGAAAATCCCAACCCGTCAATGGCTCTGGCAACAAGCAAGGTTCCAATGTTCTTAGCAAGAGCACATGGAAGAATGAAGATCAGCGCAAAGAAAAGCGTACCCGTGTAGATGGCCTGTCTACCAATCTCCTCACTCAAAGGAGCAAACAACAAAGGACCAAAAGCGAATCCAAGCACGAATAGTGTAACAGTCAGAATTACAACTTCCTGACTGACACCAAAAGTCTCCTGTGGACCTTCTAAGTCACCAGTTACAACTGCCGAAGCAAATGCCACCGCAAAACACACAATTCCGAGCAATATGGTGTACAGCCACTTTCTGGACTTTGTCCAATTTCTTGGGTCTGATTTGTCATTTTCCACAAACACAACGAGTCTAAGTCCCGTGTCTATGTCAATTGGATACTTGTATTCATCCAATTCGTTGAAGTCCGAATCTGGTGCAGCCTCTAATTTGGAGGGCTGAACATCAAGAAGCTCTTCTGCAGGACCCAAAGCACCCGCTCTTTCCGTCATCTGGGTCAGAACCCTTTCAACACCGTCTTGGTGGTTAGACACATATTGCTCAAGTTTGAGCCTCTCTTCGCGTTCGCGGGTGAGGGTGCGAGCCAAACTGGCCACCGAATGAGAACGCGACCTGGTCTGTGTGGCTGGAGAGGCCACTGATGAGGCGTCAAAAGCCTGTACGCCATCTTCCTCGTTGAAACTACTTATTGAAGACATGGTAATAATAATAGATGCAAGTAGTAGTTTTTAATTACTTCTATAAAGGATCTTCATAACAAGGGGGAGCAACGCAGTTTATATAGCCGCAAGGATCGGTTCATCGGTCTGCAGGACGGCTCTAACGGCTGTGGTCAGGGTCCGATCCCCGACCTTCCAGGCATGAAGCAAGGGAAACTGCTCAAGGGCCATAGTAGGGATTGGCTTTTCCGGAAACCTCGGAAAAAAGTGTTAAATGTAATCAGGAGCTCGGTATATTCATTTTGGTACTCTTTGACCATGGTTTTCTCTCCTACAAACCGAAATAACTGCCCTTCTTCATACCTCTGATTCTGTCGTTGACAGATCCTCACGGCTGATCGCACTTAAAACTCAGCCGTGCCGGTCGGTTCGGCTGGAGTAAGCCGTCATTGGGTCCCGCACACTTTGTGGTGCACGACTTTCCATCCTGCAGGAGCATCCGTTGTTCTTTGCTATAAATACAATATAATTGACTTTCTACCAAAATACCTACACTCGATCATTTACTCATGCATCGTCCATATTGGTTCTGTTACTGTGTTTTACTTCCTGTCATGTTTGGGCCATTTGTCTGCCATGTTTTCACGGTTTCTTTAGGCTTCTGCGGTTCTTTTTTCTTTCTTTTTTCTTCCGTTGCATCGCCTTTAGGTCCGGCCCCAATTTAGACCGGATCACACGGCTGGGCATGTGTGGCCGTTTTTTTCGCGCATTGGCAGTAAAATATGACCTTCACCTGTTGTACGGATGATAACCGCCGCGCCTACCGCCACGACCTCTTCCGCTATGGCCCCTATTTCTTGGTCCTCTGGGAATACGCGAATCATCATCACGATAGTCACGATTGTCACGGTAATCACGACTCTCACGACTATCACGACTCTCACGGCCGTCACGACTATCACGGCTTCCATTGCCAAAACCGCCCCGCGGCCCTGAAGGGAATCTATCCACTTGCTCTTGAGGATTGGGCACCTCCTCCTGCTCCTGCGGTGTTCCAGAACCACTATAACCGCTATACTGCGTATTTTGGCCCTCATTCTGGTAACCCTGCTGGCTTATCTGGCCACCTTGTTGCATCTGCTGCATCTGCATCCAGTATTGCATCTGCTGCATTTGCCAGTACTGACTGACCATCTCCGGGGTCATGCCTGGTGCGGCGCCATATTGCGGCATCTGCTGATACCCTGTATTGTAACCCTGTTGCGACTTATTCATGTTGTGCTGTGATCTCGTCTCCGCACGTTTAATCTCCATGTTGCGGCCCTTGAAGGCGACGAACCGGGTTTCACTGGCCTTGTCAACGGCGTCAGGGGAATCGTACGTAATGAACCCGAATCCACGAGACTTTCCGGTTTCCTTCTCCAACATCAACTGGGCATCTATGATATTACCGAACTGCTTGAAGAACGTCACAAAATCCTCCTCTGTCACTTCTGGTGAAATTCCTCCGACGAAAATCTTGCCGGTTTTGTCCTGCTCGTCCTTAGGAATAGCAAGTTTTGGGTCAATGAGCTTTCCGTCAACGATATGTTGTTTGGCAAGCACCTTCTTAACACTAGCTGGATCTGCGAAACTCAGAAAGGCAAATCCACGTGACCTTCCGGTTGCGTTGTCCTTCATGATGGTCAATTCGGTGATATCTCCGTATTCTGAGAAGTAGGAGCGTAGCGTTTCCTCGGTCGTTTCCCAGTTCAGACCACCAACGAACATCTTACCAGCCTCCTTAAGGTAGTCAGCCTTAACACCAGACCGTTCTGGCTGGGCTGGGGCTTGAGCCTGGCCTTGGTAGGGGTTTTGACCTTGGTTCTGGTACTGGTTCTGGTAAGGGTTTTGGCCCTGGTTTTGGTACTGGTTCTGGTATTGGCCAGCATATGCACCCTGGCCGTACTGGGGTGGAGCCAGTGGCTGGGTCTGCTGCAATGGCGGGGTGCCAAAAGATTCAGAGGATTGCTGAGCTTCGGGAGCTTCAGGAGCTTCGGGAGCTTTGGAGGCTTCAGGAGCTTTTGAGGCTTCGTCTGGCGTTTTAGTTTCGGCGCTACTGGCCTCAGGCTTTTCCTCAGCTTTATCCCCGATAGCTTCGGGCTTCTCCTCGGAGGCTGCTTCTTGCTCCTTGGGCTTGTCGTCGTCATAGATATCGTCAAAGAGAGCCTCGTCGTCGTCAACAAGAGAAGACATCGTTCAACAGTTGCGTGTTTGTAATAATTCTTATCGATTGTGCTATTCAAACTGTATATGATATATGATTAGCTATATCACTAAATAAACTCAACTCTATAACCCACTTGTCTTTTGGATAAGATGAAGAATAGGAGGCTAAGTCGTCGAGGAGGTGAGAATTTGAGTAGTAGGGGCAAGGCGGGCACTTTGGTGGGGCACGCCTATTGGTTGGTGCACTTAAAATAAATTTAGCCCAGTTGAAATTTATTTCAGTAACAAGACAATCATTCGTGTCAGGGTTTCTGCACCATCAACGATGAAACAGTACCTCATATACCTGGCGCAGTCTCATCCTGGATTCAGAAAGGCAGAGCTCGAGTCTCTCGCTGTCTTGGAGAATATTGAGTTAGATCTCGCCGACTACACCGACGAGTCACCTTTCTTAGTGGTGAGGCTACAGAACGACGATGAAGCATACCGATTGGTCCACAGGAGCATTCTCTGTAGGGGAATTTATGAGCTCTGGGGACATGGTGATGATCTCCAGTCGCTTCATGACAGTATACGCTTGACCAGTCAGCCGCACTGGGCTGAATATCTCCACAAGTCATTCAAATTCGAGATCATAGGATACCAGGGAAAGAAGAAGACAACAAAAGAACAGGTCGCTCTTATCGAGACTTTTGAGTATCTTGGATTTGAGGGTGTTATTGATATGAAAACGCCAGAAGTCCGGTTTACGGTTCTGGAGAAATATCACATTGAAGGGGGTGGCCCCACGGCTCAGCCCGACCATGTCTGGTTTGGTCGTGAGATCTGTGTCAGTGCGAGAGTTAGAGGAGCTGTTGACGAGTACGACCTCAAGAAGAGACCTTATCATGGAACTACATCTTTTGATGCTGAGCTTTCCCTCGTGAGTTGCAATCTTGCGCACTGTTCTCGAGGGAAGGTGATGTACGACCCGTTCGTGGGAACCGGTTCTTTTCTGGTAGCGGGGGCATATTTTGGCTCTTCGGTTTTTGGATCCGATATAGACATAAGGCCTCTTCATGGAAAAGATTCCAAAACAAAAAACATACATGCCAATTTCGAGAAATACGGGACCACGCATCTGTTTGGTGATGTGCTGACCATGGACTTCACCAATAACGCGCTCAGAGATACCTTCCAAATCGATTGCATAGTTTGTGATCCACCCTACGGTGTTAGAGAAGGACTCAAAGTATGTGGAACCAAGAATGAAGCCAAGGCGGAGGGAAAGGAGAATCTTATCATTAACGGCGAAAAGGCTTTCTTGAGAAAGGACTACATCCAGCCCAAAAAACCGTACGAACTGGATCTTTTGCTTGACGATTTGCTTCGGTTTGCAGCTCAAAAACTTCCCATTGGCGGAAGACTGTGTTTCTGGATGCCCACAGCGAACGATGAGCTAATTCCTACGCTGATACCGCATCACGAGAACTTGGAGCTGATCTATTCGTTGGTTCAGGACTTCAATAAATGGTCGAGAAGGTTGCTGGTTTATGTTAAGCGTGATGAAAACTATAAGGGGATTACTATGAGCAAAAAGGACCGCTCTGGAGTGAATAATTTCAGGGATCGATATTTCAGTGGGTTTAGACCAGAAGTGGAGACGGAGAAATAGCACAAGTTATACGTACAATATAGAAATAGACTAAACCATTAATGCATTGTTAACTTCAAGGTAACCCACAATTTTGGCCAAAAAAAAGCTCATTTCAATCAAATAGAGTCGATTCGTTAAAGAGGCTCTAACATACTTAACGTAGAGTATACGCTTGATGTTGACATCACCCACCTGTAATACTTTATTCTGGTTATTAACACTTAATTATCTTTGGCATGAGTACCCTTATATCGTGAAACAGTATTTTGGCCCATAAATGTAATTAGTCAACCAATAATGAACAGTTATCTGACTCTAGAGATTGGACTCTCTCTACTGCATTCTCCAGATATAGGCTGAATCAACCAACAATGAGGTCAAATGTACCAGAATCTCAGTGATTCGTATGCTACACATTCAAACTTTATCAAAATGCTTTTAAATTAATTTTTCTTGTAAGTATATAACCCAAAGCTTACTCTTCATCTTGCTCGGCAGTCAAGGCAGCAAGACGGTCCAAATCTCTTTGGCCGTTGGTGGAGATTCTGCGGCCTCCCTTTGGAGAGATCTCAACAATTCCAATCTTCTCCAAAGCCTGCAAAGCCTTTCTGTTGACGGAACCGGAAGCGTTGACGTGCTTGGAAGGTCTGTTACCTCTGTTCTTGGCACCTCCGTATAGTTTGTTAAGGGCACCGACACCGACATCCTTTCTCAAGTAGATGTGACGGGCAATGGAAGCGGAACGCTTGTAGAACCAAGTCTCAGCCTCCTGTGGTGGGAGCTCGTTACCGGCAGAGGTTTTCACAATGTCGACGTAACCTGGCACCTCGAGCTTACCTTGCTTTTGCAAGAAAGTAGCGTAGGCGTTGATGAAATCTTGAGCTGGGACGTCTCTAAAAAAGGTAGTTAGTAAACATGAACCAGCAGTGAAAGTTTAGTCTTGGTTGAGCGTTATCTTCGAAAAGCTATCCTTGAAGTTTCTCTTGGACTTGTTCCCCTTGAAGTTTTTCATTCGTGATTTGGGGGTTATCCTTCCTTTCCAACAAATCGCAATTTTGGATAAAACATCGCCTCAACTATCTCATCATTAACATACCTGACGGAGTAACCTGGCATCTTGGGATTTGTGTTTGATATGGGATAACAACTCTTTAGCCAAAGCTTTCGAAATTGTCACTTCGAATTTTCAACACTAGGTGAGTGGTTCGAAAATCGGGCAGCGGACGACCCTGCCATCCCTCTGCAAAGATTCTGGCGGATTTTTAGGGTAATGAGGGTAAGGTTATTAGGGATGCCATTTACGCAATTCGTGTGCTGAATATTACACACAATAACTTCCGTTTTGAGAATCACAGTCACAGATGTTTAATACACGACAAAGATAAGATGGAGTACAAACGTAGGTACAGAGTACATACATTAAATATATAGCAGATATATAGCAGAAGCATTGGTTAAATTACCACGCGTATACGCTGCTAGCACATTACATTTCCAATGGGTATCCACTTAATATGATTTTTAATTATACTAGAACCGTATTTAGACCTTGAAGGCTCTGGAGTTTCTTCTACCTCTGGCTCTCTCGAACTTTCTGCCCTTGGACAGGATTCTTGGGGCCTTACCCTTGTGTGGGCCGAAGCCGAAGTGTCTGACAGCCTCTCTGGAGTTTCTTGGACCTCTGACGATCAAAGTGTTTTGACCCTTTGGAGCTCTAAGAGCCAATTGGTCAAGAGTGATGGCCTCACCACCGTTCTTGACGATGGTAGCCTTGGCACCGGCGGTGAATCTCAAAGCAGCAACAGTGGTCTTTGGGAAAGACAAAAGTCTGTTGTCGTCGGTAACGGTACCAACAACGACGATGGTCTTCTCAGCAGCACCCTTTTGCTTGAGAGCCTTGGAGATTCTGGCAATGGAGACTGGAGGTCTATTGATCTTGGAGAGGAACAGAGATCTCAGGATCACCTTGTTGAATGGAGCATCGGTACGACCTAGAAGGGTTAGTATCACGTTTGATTCTGCTCAAAAGTCGCACACATCAAAGATGTACTCGCAGAATGCACGCTGTAGCTGAGGGTTCATCAGCCATTTTTCAATGTGTTTATTGAAGGCGTAGTGAACCCATAGCAAGTGCGTGAAAACTATTGAACCATACAAGATAGTTCGCCAGCTTCGTTTTGTGATAACAGCCTGGAAAAAGGCGTTTTTTCATTCTTTTCCTTGTTCAATGTGGGACAACTAAAGGTTGATACGTACGAGCCAAGAAGGTGTACAGCTTGACCAAAGACTTCAAGTAGACGTTTTCAGACTTTGGAGCCTGACGGTTGCTAACTCTGGTGTGTTGCTTGGAGAAATGATCTTTACCCATTGTGATGTATTTGCGTTGGTGCTGGCTAGAGAAGATTGTTGGAGGAGGAAGAAAGTGAAAAATTTTAGATGTCCAGAGGATGAAGAAAAGGTCGTGTGATATGGCTAAAGTGGAACCCAAAAGTGGTTGGTGCACGAAAATGGTCTGGCTGTGTCAGAGTGGACAGTTCTCGGAGAGTCCAGACGCTTGGGAGATTATTTGTTAGTCCAGCAATCGGTTTCAATAAACTTGAATTTGTATTTATTACACTATGGATAGGCTCAAGTAAGTCGAATTGCTAGATGAAGGGTATACCGAAGTATTGACTAACGCCTTCTCAGAACAGACATCACCAACCCAAGAGGAATACCCCAGGCCAAGTTCATAGATAATGTTTCCGCGTTCGTGAAATCTGACGACGATGTTACGAGGCTGTTACAGGAGTGTGAAGAGAGACTGAATCAATACCGTTTCATGGAAAGTAACAAGAAGGAAACTCTTAGGAGTCTGAGACTCAAAGTGCCCGACATCGACAAATCACTGGCAATGGTTCGTTTTCTCCAGACCCAGAAAAAGACTGGAAACGAGGAATTTGATCTCAACTACGAGCTCAATGATACGCTCTATTCCACGGCCTCGGTGGACGTTGAAAATCTAGATTCTGTGTGTCTTTGGCTGGGGGCCGACGTGATGCTCGAGTATCCTCTGGATGAAGCCATTGAGCTACTGGAAGGAAGACTCAAGACGGCAACTGAGAGTCTTGATATAACCAAGGAGGACTTGGAGTATTTGAGGGAGAATATTACAACGATGGAGGTCAATACAGCACGGGTTTATAATTACGATGTTGCCAGGAGAAAAGTCAAGGCATAAAATAACAGAATACACATTGAATGTGCTTAAGATTGCGAAGTCGTGGTTTCGTAGCGTTCGTTAGGCAAAGAAGAGTTTTGCTGGAAATGTAAGTGTTGTCGCAACATGAAAACTGTTTTGTTGAGGCATTTCCAAGACTCGTGTAAGAGCGTCATGATCGCACAATTGTTAGTGGTAGTCATAGAGATGGATCAGTATCACGTTTACCTTGGACCCTTTAAGTCCTAAAGGTATCCAACAATTGAGTCCCTAGTGGCCTTATCGGAGTGTCCTGCTCGTCATCGCGGAACGCCGTAGCATCCCGTTCGTCGTCTGACTCATCTTGGACATCACTGACAGTCGGTCTGGTCGGCTGGGGCTTTCTTGCTGCGTACCTCCTCAAAAATGGTATCACCAAAGGGAAATCGACGCTCTTACCTGGCAGAATATGACTATGTATCAGAGCTCCCACTGCAACTCCTATTGCGCTTGGGATGCCCGAGTTCAACACCCCATCGCTCACGAACAACTGAACCATTAGAATTTTCACAAAGATCCCATCCGTGATAACCAATTTTGCCGGGTTGGGCGATCCAGGAACACCGCTGAATACGAGCTCAAAGCGGTAGATCGACGGTGTGGATTGCCAGTACAAATACAACAGCGTGAAGAAAATTCCGTATGGTCCTGCACTAACGAAAAGATTCACACCTAGAACTCGATACACCAAAAACGACAAGATGGAGACCAACACCACATTGTACAAGCTGGACCAAATAAGTAGCGATGCTAACCGAAAGCTACCGTATAGTCTCTCGAGATGTTTAAGCGCAAAGTGAAGCAGAGTGATTGCCACGACGACCTCGCTCTCATTTTGAAACGCAGTTTGAAACACGGCAAATCTCCAATATTGGTGCCAACTAGAAATGAAAGGATCATATGAAAGAACAAGCAGATGTTTGATCCCAAGCAAAGAGACTAGCAACGGGGCACAGATCACAAACCCTGTGAGGTACCGGGTCACAGGCATCATAGTGAAGCCCTTGGGAAGCACTGACGTCATTTTTTACCGACAGAGATATGCAAATGCGACTGAAATCAAGGAACTGCCGATTGTACTGCCAAGGAGTGTGAGTTGAAGTCGACAGGTAAACCTCCTCATTGTGGCAAGTCAGAAGGTGTGGATGGTCGTCCGCAAACAATTTAGATATTCTGCAGTACACGCCCGACTCTGGGGAAACCACCTTCACATGCCCTCTTATCGCAAGACCACCACTGCGGATACAGAGTGTGATTGCAAGGTTCTTGTGATATCTACAGTTTCTGTCACAAAATATTTATATTCTGATCTTCCGATACACTACCACCAATTTTTTCTCCTTTACTGGGCCGTTGGCAGTGAAGGCATTTACTTCAATCTATCCCAACAAAAATCTTCAAAGCCCGTGCATTACCCAATTGGGAAGAGCAAATGAGCCCCAGTGGACATCTGTTCCTCGAGAGTGAAACTTTTTGATCCAGACGTTCTGAGCGGGATTTTTTGTTTTTGCGCTGCTGACTTTCCGGAACACCCTCTTTTTGTCGTGTGAACCATGAAGATCACTCAGAAGTTGGAGAACTCCCACCGCGAGCCCGGAGCCCCGGCCACGTTCTCGTTCGAGTTTTTCACTCCAAAGACTTCGCAAGGTGTCCAGAACTTGTACGACCGTATGGATCGTATGTACGGGCTAAGTCCCCAGTTCATTGACATCACGTGGAATGCTGGAGGAAGACTGTCAAGTCTCACGACGGAGATGATCCACACCGCCCAAACGGTTTTGGGACTGGAAAGTTGTATGCACTTGACCTGTACCAACATGAGTGTTGAGGTCATCGACAACGCGCTGAAAGATGCCTACGATGCAGGTTGTGAGAATATTTTGGCACTCAGGGGTGATCCTCCAATCGATGGTACCGAATCTACTGGCGACTTTGCGTACGCCAAAGATCTCATTGCCCATATCCGCAAACGGTACGGGGACCACTTTTGCATTGGAGTAGCTGCTTATCCCGAGGGCCATCCCGAGGAACACGATGTTGTCAAAACGATCGAGTATCTCAAAGAGAAACAGGATGTTGGCGGAGACTTTATTGTCACCCAGATGTTCTACGATGTTGATCGGTTCATCGCCTGGTGTGAAAAATGCAGAGAGGCTGGAATCACTATTCCGATCATTCCTGGAATTATGCCTATTTCCAGCTATGCTTCTTTTTTGAGACGTGCCAAATGGTCCGAGATAAACATTCCTGCTGAATTTTTGGAAAGACTAGAGCCTTTTAAGGACGATGACGAACTGGTCAGAGACGAGGGAACCAAGCTGGTGGTTGAAATGTGTTCCAAACTGCTTGCTTCAGGTTATGTTAATCACCTTCATTTCTACACAATGAACCTAGAGAAGGCCTCAATGATGATCCTGGAACAATTGAACCTCATCGAGCTCAATGTCAGCACCCAAGATCAACCATGGAGAAAGAGTCTCAATCCCAACAGGCTCAACGAGGGCCTTCGTCCTATCTTCTGGCAGAACCGGAAATTCACCTACATTACCAGAACATCAAACTGGGACGAGTTTCCCAATGGAAGATGGGGAGACTCACGTTCTCCCGCTTTTGGTGAGGTTGACATGTGTGATGGTGAGCTGATTCGTCATTCTCCTAAAAAAGCACTGAGCCTGTGGGGATCACCTGAATCGCTAGAGGAATTGTCGCATCTTTTCATTGACTATCTTCAGGGAAAGATCATCTCCTTGCCATGGTCTGATGGCTCTATTAGTGACGAAGTCAACATGATCAAAGATGCTTTGCTGGATCTCAATTCTCGTGGTTTCCTCACCATCAACTCTCAACCTTGTGTCAACGGACTTCCATCTAATGACCGTGTCCACGGATGGGGTCCCAAGAATGGCTATGTCTATAAAAAGCAGTACCTAGAGTTTTTTGTGCCTGCTGAGTTGTTGAGAACTCTGCAGGACCGAATCGCAGATGCTAATTCTGAACGTGGTGGATTATACAATATTCTGTCTTTCTACGCAGTCAATTCAAAGGGCGACATGGTCACCAACACGAAGGACTCAGACATAAATGCAGTCACGTGGGGTGTTTTCCCAGGCCGTGAAGTTGTCCAGGCAACTATTGTTGAGAGAGTGTCGTTTCTCGCATGGAAAGACGAGGCTTTCCGTATTTTGAAAGAGTGGTCCACTCTTTTCAAGAGCGATACGGCAGATCAGTTTGCCAACACCAAGAAGTTGCTATCAAGAATCCACGAAGATTTCTACCTGGTGAACATTGTCGACAATGACTTTGTCACGTTGCAAAACCAGAGAATCTTCAAACTGTTTGACGGCTTACAAGTCAATTGAGATTTCCTGGGAAATCCTGCTAAAATCTCACTTTTTTTTTTAAATTTGCATATGTGCAGGCAAGACATCAACTGTCTATTGCTTACCGTCCCCATTTTTCCCGCTCCGCACCTATTATTTTGCATGTTTTGGGTTTTACCATACCGGTTGGTTACGAAAAAGAGAGGGTTCTCAAGAAGGGCCTTCTCCAGCGATTTTTTATTTTCCGGCACCCGTGCCGCTTACGCCTGCGTATATGTACTCTACGATCTCCTCAACGGAACGATCACCAAATATTCTAGAATGAAGTTTCAAGCGTAGACTGGTGTGCTTTAGGAGTGCTTTTAAACTCTGCCCCGTTGCGTGCGGCTCAGATAAAGAGGTCGTGTGTCAACAATACTTTCAGAGTACATCTCAGTCTTCGGCGTGTTTCCCAGCACGCTAGAAGAGGGAGAAAAAAAAATTTCACATAGTTTTAATCAGATAGGCCTTAACAGGTTTGCAAGTGTTCTTCAAGGCGTCCATTTTCCTAGCTTGAAATCCCACAAGATGTCGGAACAATACCTTATCAAGCCTGATACCAGTTCTCCTTCCAATGACACCACTGAATGGCCCTTGTTGTTGAAGAACTATGACAAGCTCCTTGTGAGAAGCGGTCATTACACCCCAATCCCAGCGGGATCCTCTCCTCTCAAGAGAGACCTCAAAACCTACATCCAAACCGGTGTGATAAATCTGGACAAGCCTTCGAACCCATCTTCGCACGAGGTGGTTGCTTGGATCAAGAGAATCCTGAGAGTGGAGAAGACCGGTCACTCTGGTACCCTTGACCCTAAGGTCACTGGATGCTTGATTGTGTGTATCGACCGTGCCACCAGATTGGTAAAGTCCCAGCAAGGAGCTGGTAAGGAGTATGTGTGTATTGCGCGTCTGCACGAGTCTCTGGATGATGAGAAAGAAATGGCACGTGGTCTTGAGAACTTGACCGGAGCCCTTTTCCAGAGGCCTCCCTTGATCTCGGCAGTCAAGAGACAGCTCAGAGTTAGAACCATCTACGAAACAAACTTGATTGAATTCGACAACAAGAGAAACCTTAGTGTGTTTTGGGCTTCGTGTGAGGCCGGTACCTATATGAGAACCCTGTGTGTTCACTTGGGTATGCTTCTTGGAGTTGGTGGACACATGCAAGAGCTCAGAAGAGTCCGTTCCGGAGCCATGTCTGAGAACGACAACATGGTGACTTTGCACGATGTTATGGATGCCCAATGGGTGTACGACAACTCCAGAGATGAGAGTTATCTGCGTAGAATCGTCCAGCCGCTCGAGACTTTGCTCGTTGGTTACAAGAGAGTCGTTGTGAAGGACTCGGCTGTCAACTCCATCTGCTATGGAGCCAAGCTCATGATTCCCGGTTTGTTGCGTTATGAAGAGGGCATTGAACTGTACGACGAAGTCGTGCTGATCACCACCAAGGGTGAGGCTATTGCCATTGGAATTGCTCAAATGTCGACTGTGGACCTTTCGAGTTGCGACCACGGTGTTGTGGCCAAGATCAAGAGATGTATCATGGAGAGAGACACCTACCCTAGAAGATGGGGCTTGGGCCCTGTTGCCCAGAAGAAGAAGCAGATGAAGGCAGATGGCAAGCTGGACAAATACGGAAGAGACAACGAGAACACTCCTGAGTCCTGGAAGAAGGATTACGTCAACCACGAAAACGACCCTGCTCCTCCAGTGCCTGCACACAAGCTGGAGGCCCCAGCTATTCCAACCACACCTTCTAAGCCTTTGGTGGAGGACATTTCCATGACCGAGCCAGAAGAAACCCCTAAGAAGGAGAAGAAGGAGAAGAAAGAAAAGAAGGAAAAGAAGGAAAAGAAAGACAAGAAGGACAAAAAGAGAAAGGCCGAGGACGATGATGAGAAGTCCGACAAGAAGAAGAAGAAGAGCAAGGACTAGGCAACGCACTCCCCTCTGTCTAGACCGAATTTCGCACACATCTAATCAGTACATTAGTATAAAGACTAAACCCCAGAACTAATGGTAGACTGTGGAATAACTACCACTTCGCACTTGTTGTACCTTTCATGGTGATAAGCTCGGGCACGACCCCGAACCTTCCAGAAGCTTCTGTCGTGTACTCGCCCAATATATCACCAGTGGTTTCCCCGTCATCTGGTGCTGTTAACCGTTCGCTTCTCTTCTTCTTTGCTCACATTGAATTTAAAATTAATTATGGTCAAAGAAACAAAGCTTTATACACTGCTTGGAGTTGCGCCAGGTGCGTCCGACGCGGAGATCAAAAAGGGTTACCGGAAACAGGCCCTCAAGTACCACCCTGACAAGCCTACCGGTGACACCGAGAAGTTCAAGGACATTTCCGAGGCATTCGACATTCTCAGTGATCCAGACAAGAGACAGGTGTATGACGATTACGGTCTTGAAGCTGCTAGAGGCAATGCACCCGCTGGAGGCAATCCTTTCGCTGGAGCTGGTGGTGGAGGAGGACCCCAATATTCGTCCTTTGGAGGAGGTGGTCGCGGCCATCCATTTTCGCAAAACGATGCTTTCAACATCTTCTCGCAGTTCTCGTCGAAGGGCGGAATGGGTGGTGATGATTTCTTCTCCAGTTTCGGTGGAGCTGGAGGAATGCCCGGTGGAATGGGTGGAATGGGTGGAATGCCTGGTGGATTTGGCGGATCTGGCGGATTCGGTGGAGGTGCTCCCAGAGCGGAGCCAGCGACAGTAGATTTGAAGTTGCCATGCAGTTTAGAGGATCTGTTTAAGGGAGGGGTGAAAAAGATGAAGATCAATAGGAAGGGACCTTCGGGAGCACAGGAGAGCAAGGTGCTAGAAATCAACATTAAGCCCGGTTGGAAGGCCGGAACGAAGATCTCGTATCCAAACGAAGGTGATTACCAAGATGGACAAAGACAGACGATCAGATTCACAATTGACGAAAAGCCTCATCCCACATTCAAGAGACAGGGAGACGATCTGGTGGCCACCATCCCGATCACTTTCAAGGAATCGATGCTGGGATTCGACAGACAGATCGCAACTATAGACGGGCGCCAGATACCAATTTCGCGGACTTCTCCACTTCCTACAGACGCACAGACCACCTATCCGGGAATGGGAATGCCGATTTCCAAGACACCTTCACAGCGTGGAAATCTGTTGATCAAATTCAAGGTGGATGTTCCTTTGAGACTGAGTCCAGAGCAGAAGGAGGCCATCCAGAGGTATTTTTAAGGGAGGAGGTCCAGTCTGATTTTGAAGCATTTAGATCCTTCATTCAAAGCCACCTTTGGGGCACCTTCCATTCGCGCCTTCAACCATTTTCACAGTGATGATATACACGAACTCAAGGTAAAACCTGTTATTTAATGCATAAATGTTTCATTCATTTAAGTTGAAAAGTTGTAGATTAGTAGGGGACTGGTGATGTGGGTTCCGTGTAATAGGCAGCCTTATTGCCGGCTGCCAGCATGAAATAGCCGTTGGTGAAGTTGATTTATACTCGAATTGTTTCTAATGGTGAGAAAACTTTATAATAGCGCATTACTAGTGAATCCTGTGGCTTTAAAGCTAGCTAATTGGCTTTGGCTCACATTGCCTAATCTCCACTTAGTGTTCTTCAGCATCCTGTTTTAGGAACTCCTGGTAACTCTCGGTATCCAGCAAGGCTCCCTCATCAAGTTCAGCCTCGTTGGCAAGTTTAACCTTCACAATCCAACCCGCTCCCATGGGGTCCTCATTGATCAACTCTGGCGAGTCATGCAACTTCTCGTTAACTTCCGTCACGATTCCAGAAACTGGCGAGTATATTTCGGAAGCCGATTTGACACTCTCAACGGAACCAAGAGTATCACCTTGCTCGATAGAGTCTTCCGTTATCTCTGGCAACTCTATGTAAGTGGCATCTCCGAGAGAGTCAGCCGCGTAAGACGTGATTCCAATGAAAGCTGTGCCGTCCTGGTGATACGCAATCCATTCGTGTTCTGGAGTGTACTTCACCTTCAAAGGACCGGACTCGGAGTACTTGAACACAACGGAGTCTGGGTTCACCGTATTGGTGGAGTTGAAGCGTCTGGCAAATACGGGGAATGACTGTGCCAAGGCAGCGCGAACAGGGGCCTTGGTCGATCTCGTGATCAGTACTCTGGAAAGGTTGAACATGTTCAAGATTCTGCAAAGATTCTGTAAAAGATTATGTTTCAACACGGAAGAATGAGAAGAAAAGGAGGAAGGAATTGGTTTTTGGGCCTCAGCAGGTTTTGCCAGGAGATCGCGATGCGAATTTGACTCTGCCGCCGCGCAGAGTCAAAGGTCGTGTGATATATAATCGATGTTTTAGAACAACCTCTGCTCTATCTTTCAAATGTCAGTGTGAACTAGAATTGTTTCGTTGGCAAATGTTAAATTTATGTATAAATAGGAAGTTAAGGTAATATATCACTGCTAGTCACCGATGATCATTGGTACAGTAACGGTAATGAGCGTGTTAAGTGGTATTAGCTGGTTTCTTCCAAAACAGCTTATTCTTCTCTAGTTCCTCACTCAAAAAGTCCAATGCCGGCAAAGAGTCACTTATTTCATTGAAAAACTTCTCTGCGAACCTCTCAATGAAGAACAGCTGACTTCCACTTAGTGAAGGTACCAATTTCATTGCAGATTGGGGTGTAAGCGAGCTGACGGGCACAGAGGGCACCTTTTCCACGTTTTTCGCACTAGTACTATCTTTCATTAGACGTTCCAGGGCGGCCACTTCAGAAAATTCCTGATTCAATGAGATTCCCCATTTTACAGAAACTCGCAATGGTCGACACACGTTTGAGATGTCCGCACACTTGATCAGCAGCGCAGCCAGAGTATTAGTAGCGACGGTTTTCACACCTGACTTGCTCCGATCGACAGCTTCCATAGGCATAAAGTCCGTGATCTTGCTGGTGTATAAGTCATGTTTGGCCATGTCTGTGGCAAGGATGCAGTCTGAAATAAACACTTGCGAAAAAGATCCGTAGAATTTGGGTGCAGTAACGGCATAAGGCTCAAGAATCGAGCAAAACTGAGTGAGATGGAAGTTCTCCAGAACGGATTGGTCCTTGAAATAAGCAGCCACGGGAGTCTTATGTGCTGTCAAGAACGGGTTCGTGATACCGGGATGGCCAATATCGTGTCCAAGAGAAGCCACTAGCAGAAGTGCAGTTGCGCATGGGTTCATCAACTCCTTAGACAGCCTGTTGTTGATAAGTGAATCGTTAGCAGAAATGGCCTGCAGTTTCGATACAAAGTAGAACGACGCCTGCAGAACATCAATCGCATGACGGAAGTTATGAAATGGATTTCCGAGACGGTAATTATCGCGAACGTGGAACAGGAAGCTGAGCAGGGTGTTGTCGTTGCGGAAAAGAGTAGGAATCTCGCTCTTTCCCATTTCAGCATTCTGGGCATCCCAGTTCTGTAGACCGAGCTTCAGCATGACAAAACCACAGTACAAAAGCTCGTCGATAGTGAGATCGTGTGCAGGGAACTCCCATTGCCCAACAACCTCACTGTAGTAGCCTTCCGGGTGTTTGAGCTCCATCAAAGACCGGTAATCAAAGGCATTGGCTAGTCGCTGAACGAGGCCAACTTTGGCATCTAGACTCAGTCCATCTGGCTTCTTATCAAGCGTTTCGAGCACGTTCGGCATAGTAAGGATGCAAGGAGGAACATTCTCTATCAGCCCAACCCATGTCTGGATTCGCGGTAGTCTATCTTTGAGTAATTGGGCTTTGCGCAAAGACTTCTTTTCCAGAATTTCATTCAGATCGTCAGTGGAGGACTCAAAGCTGAAGGGTATGACCGAGAGATTTAGGTGCTGGAATCTGTACCTGAGCAGGGCCTCTTTGTCTTCGAAGAGGTCCTCTGGTCTGTGAGGCGCGTCTGAATCCAAGACGATGCAAATGTTATGAAAGAGGTCATTCTCGGCGGAGTTGGGTACCAGTTCGACCAAAGAACCGGTAGATTTTCTCAGAGTGTAACTGTTTCTACCGAGAAGATAGCTCACAAGTCCGTGGAACGACGAGAATACCTTCACGAAATAATCGAATTTCGACGACTTCAGCGAGGAAATAGCCTTTTCGTGGCCTACCGGATCGTATACCAGTACCTCGAGGATCATTGGTGGCGCACTGGGTGGTAGTTGGATTTGGTTTGGTGTCAATGGCTGCAAAGAGCTTGCAAGGTGTTGGCGAGAAAGTGGCGAAAACTTGTCAAATAGGTCCACCAATATGCGAAACGCGATTAAACACTTTGGTGCGTTTTTCGGTGCTCTCCAGTTTGGTTTGGGCCAGTATTGGTCCAAAATCAGCTTTAGGCAGCTGCGAGGGGTTGCAACCGTTAATCAGCCTGGCCCCAAGTGGCTTTAGGCAGAATCGCTAAAGAGTTGCAAAAGCAAATTTATGTGGGCTCCACAGGGTATGTAAAGTCCAGAACCACCAAAAAAACAGACAAAAAGTGCGCAAAACAAGCGTAAACCTGGCGGGTAAAAGGTATGTGATCGGTGTCAACGTTGGTAACGGGGAGATAGAAGGGAAAACGGCTTTTTCCTGGAGGGGGGTTCGAGGGTGCACTACAGAAAGAGAGATATGTGTTGGTGCACTACCTTCAAGGAGAATTGTGGGGTGTAGACCGTTTTACTGGGATCGGGGGTGGATTATTGGGGGGTAAAATGTGGAGAAGTTACTTCGGGTGTGAATGACTTTCATGATGTGTGTGATCCAAAGGAAGTGGAGGTGGAGGTGGTGCGGGTGGTGACGGTGGTGACAGCGGGAAGATCGGAGAGAGATAGGAGATAGAAAGGGATGCGGGATAACGGTACTTTCAACGGTGCCCAACGGTTTTTAACGGCTACTCCTTATGACATTAATAGTTTTTGATGATTATCATGAGATATTTCTGTAAGTTGTTGGTATTATATTGGTAATAGTGGAGAAATGAGCGTAGTATAGCGGTAACGGAGGAGGTGATCGAGCAACACTGTGCTTTTGAAGACAAATTGCTTTTAATATGCACATATATGCAGAGTTACTGCAAGTTTATTGGAAGTTAAATCCTCGAGTCGCTTGAATGTTCTAATTCTTTTCGGTTTTTGTTCGAATCATTTGTTTTCTTAAAACTTTCATTATCTGAATTACTTCAATTCTGTAAAAATCTCAGATTTGTGTGAGTTTTGAAATGTTTGTGATGATGATTTAACTGTCCAATTAAGTATTGCCTGTCACTAGGTGATTCGAGTAGTCTGGCCCTTAAATGCTTTAATAGCAATTTGATAAATGCAATTGCAATGGATAATGCTTATGGTAATTTAGTACTATCGATGTATCACTTTACTACCCTTTTAGCACCTTTCTAGAGCTTTACACTCGAAAACTTACTTTTATGCTGTCCTTCTGGATACTCTCCATCCTTTTACTAAACCAAAGTTCTATTAGTTTTGTCATATATCCAATTACGTTGGCTTATGCAATCGGCCTCCAAAAATTTCACCATGACGTTTAGCACTTTTCTGTGTGCCCTTGCCTTGTGCACTTTACATTGTATTCAGTAGTTCCGAATGCCTCTGAGAATTTATCTTTCCAAGTATTCTTCAGAATCTACTCTTCTACCTCTCTTCTACTACCTCTTATTTCACCTCAGTGTTCTTAACATAAAACTATCTAGATCGAAAGTGCCAGACTTCAATCACTTCACATCCACAATTCTCCACTATGGGCTTCCACTACTGTGCGTCTCCCTTGACCGTAGAAAACGCCTTCATCAACTTACCACGAGCACCAACAGTGCCCACGCCAAGCGCTTCCAGTCCACTCTCGTCCAGATTGATCATCTCCTTCCACGTCAAGTGCTTCAGGTTGTCAGTATACTTGTGGAGTCGCAAAGCCTTGAGCCATGCGGGAATGTTGTTCAACAGCTGGGGATCAGCGATGTCTTTGGGCAGAGACACCTTTTTGGGACTGGAAATATCTAGAGGCTTCGCCTTTGGTGTAACAGGAGCTACATGCGCCGGCCCTGCATTACGCGCTGGTGGTGAAGAGGGAGTAACACGGGCTGCCGGTGGAAGCGACGAAGACGTCGAAGCAGGATACGCATTCCGCACCGCAGCTGTTCGGCCACGTTCTTCACGTTTCGAATCCAGTTTCGACCGCATCGCGATCGTTGAAAGAGCATTCAGTTTGTACGCGTTCTGCTGGCCAACAGTATCGAATTGCATCCCATATGATCCAAATTGGCTCTGCTGTTGCTGCTGTTGCTGCTGCAGCAGTTGAGCCGGGGCCACCTGTGAGACTGGTGCAACTCGGGACGGTGGCATATCTGGTGAAAAAACCCGGTTCGGCTGCTGGACTGGCGCATTCAAAGAGTAACTCTCAGTGAAGTCAAGTGGTCCCGCCGACCGCGGTCTCATCGAGTCAAAACTTGAGCTCCAGGCCTTTCCAACATCGTTGTTGATTGAGGACATGATCCCGAGATCATTGAGAACATTGTCCAGAGTCAAAGGCTCGTGGTTGAGTGCCAGAATAGGAGAAGCTGCGCGAACCTGTGGCTGGTGAATTTTGATAGTTGGTGAGGCAACGGGTGCAGCAATGCTCGGGCTCAACAAAGTGCTGCCATTAAGTTTGCTCCTAGCGTATTGAATAGCTTCTTCAGAAACACTGTTGAGCAGAAGGTCCACCGCAAGCACTTGCTCATTCGTGTTCAGACCTTTGATCCAATTGTTATAGGAATTCAAATCCGAGTTGAAAGAAGCGTTGCTATTGGAAGACGGCTGAGACCAGTGTGAATTGCCATTGTGGTAGAATTCCGTGCTGGAATTGAGCGTGCCACTGGTTGGTGTCATTGGATGGCCGTTGCCGTTTCCTGCAGAAAACGTGCTTCCTGTCAGCAAAGGCGACGTCACATTATCATCACGTGGTTCAAACGCGTAACGCGAACTTGGTGGAGACAAAACTGCCATTGATGCCGCTGACGGCGTTGGTGACAGCGTTGCCGTTGAAGCCGGTTGGGTCATAAGGAAGAGGCAACGACGTAGGAATAAAAGTTGGAGGCGTTTTTACCAGAGACAATCTGAGGCAAGTATCGTGTCCTCGAAGGTGTCACTATCCGCAAAAAATTTGTGATTTCCGGCGTGGAAGTGGCCTATTATTCAGGATCTCCGGTACGTTTATATCACTGTAGGGAGAGTCCTAGTTCCAGCTGTCACTCTGCTTGGAAGTCTTCCCGGAACGTCAATAGCGGTGATAGAAAAAGAAAATTAGCGGGCACAGATCAGTGACCAAAGCAGCACGGTCTAACCTGTTCAATACCGGCTAAAAACAAGCAACAATTCGTGAAGTTGTGGAAAGAAGCGCGAGTTCTCGGTTGAAGACCGCCAAAAAATTGCATCCGGCCTAAGCCATGAGGTCGTGTGGGGAGAAGAATAGTAAGTAGTTCACTGAGTGAAATTTGTACTGGAAAGAGCATTTTCAAATAGGAAGATACCGCAAAACCTGGTGGATGGTTCACAGTGGATATTCACACATCTTCTTTGGAGGATTGCAGAAGTTTTACCTTGCCAGCTTACTCAATTGTACTCAAAATTGTCTGCTGCCAGTCCTTCAAGCCATTCGATGAGGCAGCTTGCGCCCAAACTGTACTGAAACGACTTATGGATCTCAATAGTGTCACGTGAGCGCTTGAGTGAGTCGTCCGTCTCCAGTAATCATATTTGTGAGGCCTTAGGCGAGCTTGCGCGAGATTTTCTGCGCTTTTATTTGGTTAACTAGACTCTGATTGACGAACAATTGGCCTAAAATGGAATTGGCTGATGTACAGCTTACATTGTAGAGTTCGGCGGTTTTGGACGGCTCGTCCATGATGGGACGCTGTGCCAAATCATACACCAATAAGGTGTGAACTACGGTGGCCAAAGAGCCATATTTGAGCTGAAATGGATCGATATTTGGACCAGAATATGACCCAAACGTATCCGATGGTCGGCAATTCCTTTACACTTAAATCCGGAAAGTTTATCCAAATTGCCCATCAAGTTCCATTTCGGCATAATCAAGAAGCTCTCCAGCTTCCAATGCTCCGACCCGCCCAACGGGGGCCCAAAAGATTTCGGCGGCGAAGAGCCTTTATGGCCAGGCCTAACGGGGCTTTTCACGCTTGTGGTGCGTCTGGTCTTCCAAGAAGGCGATATGCGCGGGTGTGAAACACAGTGAGATATCGCGGAATTGGCTCTGATTAAGGTTCGTTCGATATGCGGCGGGTGCCGCATGCCCAGATCACCAAGCTGATCATCCACTGCGGCAACAATTGCGTTAAAAAGTTCGGGAATTTGAATTGAATCAATTACAATGGGATTATTCATTGTCAATTTTTTTCTATTTATAAAGGTACAAGTCGTTTTGGCGTTGGTGTTCGACTGGCTGTAGAAGGCGGAATTGGCTGCCGCAGCGGCTGTGAGTGGTTGCCAAAACGGTCCTGCATCAAATGATTAACATCTGAAAAAGGACAGAAACTATTTGGTCTTGTTTTTCAATCTCAGAGGCTCGGATGCCCAATTGCCAAAGATGAATCTGGTCAACTCAATCATACTAGTTTGATTGAGTTGCTCTTTCATTGCTTCGATCTTTTATCGTCTCAGTTTACACTCTCTTATCTATTCCATTTTTATCTCAGAGCCGTACCGTCATCCAAAAATGCGCTCTACTCCGGCTATGCCGTGCAGATTTGCAAATCCAGTACTATAGCCCTTCGTTAATCTCAGATAGTCCCGGCGGAGGACCCGTCGGTCGAAGCGCAAAAGTTACATAATATTATCTCCCACCACAGGGCCCTGATTGATGGCCGCCTCACGGCTTCGGAAAGATGCAGATCCGCTTAGAAAATCGCAGTGAACAGACGATAAACCAACACCTATCCGCTATAATATCAATTGTTCCAGAGACCCTATAATCCCCAAATAATCAAGTCCTGACGTCTAAATTCACCTTAAATTCTCCTCCCCAATTTACGTCGGCTTTCTGCCGATTCTAACAGAACACGCATTCTACCTGCACGAGACCGTTTTCAGAACGAACTTGCCCAAAAGGGATAAATGGCAGATTCTTGACTTATTTGTTTTCGAGGCATCGTTATCTCAAATTACAAAGCGATGGACGGCTCCCATTAGTCGGATGCAGTAAGTGAAAAGTTGTTAGGCACCAGAACAGAAGAGCTTTCGGCGCAGTATAAGAGCGAGACTGCGTCCGAGTGTGGGGCTTGAAATTTGCAGAAAAATAGCAAAATTGTCACGGCAGACACCACAAAAAGTTTCAGTCTAAACTTTCAACCAAATGCGTTTCTCATTGAGTTTATTGTCGCTCTTGACAGTGTCACTTGCTTCGCCTATTGGAAAGCTTTTTGCTAGGGACGAGGCCTCCACTACTGCGTCTCTCGATGCGGCTACCAGCACTGACAGCTCTGCATCAGTGGCCTACGGGAATCCATTTGCGCTGTTCAAGCCTAAGGTTTTCATAATCTCCATGTTCTACCTGGAGAGAGACCCTTGGCTGGAGGAACTCGACATGGTGTACAACATTACCATTCCGGGGTTGTCGCCAGTGTACCCAGAAATTCACTGTGTCGCGAACTACTCTATCTGTCAAGTCACCACGGGTGAGGCTGAGATTAACGCCGCGGCCACCATTACCGCCTTGACTCTGTCTCCTCTGTTCGATTTGACCGAAACCTACTTCATGGTGGCCGGTATCGCTGGTATCTCGCCCAAGATGGGAACCATCGGTTCTGCCACCTTTGCCAGGTTTGCCGTCCAGGTCGGATTGGCTTACGAGGTGGATGCCCGCCAGATGCCTGCCAACTGGACCACGGGTTACTTTCCATTCGGAACCACCTATTCCGACCAATATCCGGAGAACATATACGGAACCGAGGTGTTCGAGCTTAACGTGAACCTTCGTGACCACGCTTTGTACCTGGCTCAACAGGTTGAGCTCAACAATGGAACCGAAGCCAATGCCGAGTTCCGTGCTTTGTATCCATATGCTCCTGCCAATGAACTTCCAAAGGCCATTGCTGGTGATACAGCCACCTCGGATGTCTACTGGTTCGGTTCCTTGTTAGCTGAATCTTTTGAGAACTACATCACTCTGGTCACCAACGGAACCGCTGTGTACTGTTCCACCCAGCAGGAAGACAATGCTACTCTTGAGGCCATGGTGCGTGCAGCCAAGCACGGACTTGTTGACTTTTCCAGAATTGTCGTCCTGAGAACTGCCTCTGACTTTGACAGACCTCCTCCAATTTACGAAAACGACACCACCTACTTCTTCAATGATGCATACCAGGGTGGAATTTCCGCCTCTTTGAAGAACCTGGTTATTGCTGGTCTGCCTTTCGTTGAGGATGTAATCAATAACTGGGATCATCTGTATGCCACCAACTACTTCACCCCAGCCAATTACATCGGCGACTTCTTCGGAACTCTTGGTGGAACTCCAGACTTTGGTACTGATTCTGATCACTCTGCCTAAGCTATACCAAGGTTGGTTATGCCATCAAAAACTCCATGTTCTGATCAATTCTGGTGCTAGTCATGCAGTTTCTCTCTTCTTTCTTCTTCTTCCCGTTTCAGGCCCTATAGGTCAAACGCCTCTCTATCAGCACGGTAGACAGCATCATACCCTTGACCGGTCTTTTCCTTCTATAACACGTAAAGCAACTCATCGCTCTTGATTACCAGTCTTTCAATTATGACAAACATCTAAACATCAACATAGTTCTGTGATAAGTACGGTCACTCTAGACTAGCAGCAACATCGGCCAGTCTCTTCTCCGCAAACTTTTCCAATTCCTCGGCATCGATGTACACAAACGATCCTTCCTCGTTGTATAGTTTCGAGTTGGTGAACATGATACGCAATTCGTCCGCAAACTCAGCGAAAGTCTGGAACTTTCCCTGTTTGAGCTGTTTCTTCAGCACATTGACCGAAACTGGCCGGGCTATCAACTGGTAATAATCAGGATACAATTTCTTTGAGGGCAGATCAATGAAGAGGTCGATTCTGGTGCGGCCTGTTTCGTCCACAACCGTATTCAACTGATCCAGAAGCGCGAGCGCAGGCTTCACAAATGGCAGTTCAAGAATCACTTTGGATTCTGCCTTTGGACGACCCCGTTTCTTCTTCGGCGCAAGCTCTACCATCTCTCCATCACTATAATCGCCATTGAACGTGTCCCTGCCTCTCTTCTTGCTTCCATTGATAGACTCATTCTCCGAGAACCCGTTCGTTTCGTCTCCAAGTGACTCATCTTCGCTCCCACCAAACTCCTGCTCCTTCAAGTCTCTTCTCGCCTTCCTCTTGGCAAGCGCCTCCTGCTTTCTCTGAATGGCATCTTCTACGGAATCGTCATCCGCATCCATGGCATCTAGCCATTGCTCTTCAGTCAAACCATCATCGTACACAACTTTGGTTCTCTGTCTCTTGCTTGCAAGCTCCTTCTCTGTATCATGTTCTAAATGAACTGCAATGTCCTCTGTGAACACTTGGGGTAATTCTTCTGTCGCAATCAGTCTCGATGGCAGAGGGACTCCAGCTTTTCTTGCTTCTATCTTGGCATGTGCCATTCTTTCAGTGTCCATCTTGGCAAACAGCTCTTTTTCATCTTCGTTTCTGGCGAGGACCTCGTTCAGCTCGTCATCGTCAAAGTCTTCGTCGTCATCTCCTGCTGTCTTGGCCTGTTCAGCTTCTAGCAGACGTCTCAGGAAAGCTTCCTGCTCCTCTGCGGTAGATTTGTTATCGAACTTACCGGCCTGAATGACTTTCCCGTCAATATCAAGCTTCTGATGAGCTCTTTCCAGAATCACTTCCTCGACGGAATCGTCCGATATCAAACGCAAGATTCTGACTTCGTTCTTTTGACCAATACGATGTGCACGGTCCTGTGCTTGCAAATCTTGGTGCGGATTCCAGTCAGTGTCAAAGATGATGACTGTGTCTGCGGTCTGCAAATTCAGACCCAAACCACCCGCTCTTGTGGAAAGCAAGAAACAGAAGTACTCTGAGCCTGGCGAGTTGAACTCCTTCAGCATGACCTGTCTGTCATCTGCCTTTGTACCACCGTCAAGTCTCAAAAACTTCATCCCTCTGTAATGCAGATAGTCTTCCATGATATCCATCACCTGAGTCATCTGGAAAAAAAGCAGAACACGATGACCAGTTGCCTTAAACTTAGGCAAAACCCTATCCAAAAGCTCGAACTTACCAGAAGTCCTCCAGATCATGTCTGTGGTCATGCTTCCAGGGCTGATCGCGTTTTCGACATCTTCAAAAACAAATGGATGGTTACAGATCTTTCTCAGCTGCATAATCTTGTTGTTGAGACCCTTGATACCGGACTTTGAAGCTCCCTGTGAGCCAGCACCAACAAACAGAGCATTGTGCTTGAGCATCTGCTGATAGAGAACGGACTGAAGTGAGGAAAGCTTACACTTAACAACCTTCTCGACTTTATCTGGAAGATCCTTCTCGACATCCCTCTTCAATCTTCTCAAAAGGAATGGCCTCAAAACCTTGTGTAATCTTCTGATAACCAGCAAACTTTCCTCTTCAGTGAGGTCCATCCTATCCTGGCCACCGGTGTTGGCAAACGGGGTGTTGAACCACTCGTCAAACGACTTTACCGAATTGAAAATGTTTGGCAGCACAAAATTGAGCAATGCCCAAAGTTCAGGTAAGTTGTTTTGCAATGGTGTACCAGTCAAAATCAGACGATGTCTGGTCTTATAGTATTGCGACAGAGTAGACGAGAGCTTCGATCTGGTATTTTTCATTCTGTGACCTTCGTCAATGATCATATGAGCCCAGTGAAACTTCGCCAGCAAAGGCCTGTCTCTGATAACGTATTCGTAGGTGGTCAACAAAACACTGAAATTGCCAGCTCTAATATCATACTGAAGCATCTTTCTCTGAGGAGGAGAGCCTTTGTAGACGATGGTTTTCACGCTTGGAGCCCACTTTTCGAACTCCATGGTCCAATTGGTGATGGTCGACAACGGCACCAAAACCAGGAACTTGCCTCTCTCCTTCTTGGTTTCTATAAGATAAGTAATCAACGAGATCGACTGAATGGTTTTTCCGAGACCCATCTCATCTGCAAGAATACCGTTCAAATGGTTATTGTATAACGAAACCATCCACTGCAAACCCTTGATCTGGTACTCCTTAAGAGTTCCTCCCACCAAAATGGTAGGTTGTTTCGTGACTTCCTCCTTGATTTTGTGGGCCACTTCGTAGTAGTCCAGCTTTTCACGAACCGCATCTGGGTTTTGGTCGCTGTCGCCTTCGCCGGAAACAGGTGTGATTGGAGTTGGTGGAGCAACAGCACCGGCATCCACAATACCATTCTCCAAAAGTCTCGCTCTTGACTGTTCGACAGCAACTTTTGTAGCGAGAGAATCCAAGAAAGAGTTGGTCTGTTTCAACAGATGCGTGATTCTGGTGTCCTTTGTCTGATCCAGGAGCTTCAAATAAGCCTCTTCGTCATTGGACTTCAAGGCCGCCAGTCTCTGTTTGGCTGTCTTCTCAAGTCTGCGGCCCTCATCTCTCTCTATCTGTTGATGAAGCTGTCCAACAGACCTTCCAAATGAGATTTTCGCAGTCTTTCTTTCTTTGAGACCAAATATATATTCATCAGCACCAGCCAAGATGTAAGCGACCTTCTTGAGTTGTTTGTTCAATTCGATTTTCTTCTTCTCCAGTCTTTGTTGCTCTTCCAGTTGCTCAGCAAGTCTGGAGGTCTGCGGTGCAATGATTTTGGGTCTTATGTACAGAGACCGCTGTGCAGCCATAGTGATTGAGTTGTTTTTGAGAAGGGGATTGCTCACGTGAGCCCCGTTAGCGCTAGAAAGCAGAATCTTCTGCTTGAGCCTCTTCTGCTTCGCGAGAAGTCTTAGAGACTTCAGCTCAATCAACGACTTTATCTTCAATTCATCCACATTGTCGGGAATCTTGTCAGAAGACTTGAAATCGTTCTCCAGGTTGCGGGAATCGTAGGCACCGATATTGGCGGGAATTTCCTCCAAAGAAATTAGTCTATGGTTGATCTTCTTTGATATCAAACCTTCGGACTCAGAAGTACCGCAGGCGCTGACCTGAGGTTCAGGCAGTGAGATTTGTGATTGGATGCCCATGGACTCCACCTTGGAGAGATAATCTTCATATTGAAGCTTGAGCTTGAATGGAGTTTCAATACCGTCTTCTGTCACAGCAGAAGTTCCAACTTCCTCAATAACCTCATCGACAACATCTTCGTTGTCGTCAATTCCTCCATTCAAGATCTCCTCATCTTCGTCTTCACTTCCCTCGTAGTAATCATAGTAATCCTCTGCAAAGGCATGTTGGAGGTCTAACGGCAAATCCAAATCTTTCGAAAGAAGTTGCAATCCAACAACTTGTTTCTTCACCAGCTCTAGATCTGCTGGAGAAAGCTCTTCGTATTTGTTGGAACTGACCAGAGTCTCAACGGAGCTCTGTTCTTTGAGGAACTCGTCCTGTTGCTGGGATACTTTCCTAAGAACCTGTTCTATTCCCAGTTTGTCAGCAACATGAGTACCACTCTCGAGAAGCTCTCTGTAACGAGCAAGCAGCACTTGTAAGCTTTCAACAGAAGTAGGGAATGGGATTTCCGACGGCTGAAACTTCGTCAGCGGCGGCGTCAATTTAAGATCGGCGCCGTATGCAACGGGAATCGGATAAGACTGCGAATCAACCATGACTCTAGCTATACTTGAGTCTCCAGAGTATGACCGGGAAAACGCGTGAACTTTGGCCGGAGGTTGATCAGTTTGGCTCGCTTTGCTTGTCGAAGGCTGGGAAACGTATCCTTGCAAGTACGAAAAGATCGGTAAATCTAACCAATCAGACGCAATTCCACTGAGAGTATTGGCACCGAATCGCAGCAGGATTGGTGGCGGTGATGTGGAGTTGGAGAGTTACAACAGCTAGCCCGTTGCAATTCGAAGGGTTTGTCCAGAACTCCAAACAAGACACGGTTCGGGAGCTGGCGAGTTTTTCTTGAGGAGGGTAAGAGAAGTGTCAAAACCAAAGGGCGTGTGATTTTCATATTATTGAGTTGTGCACGCAAATATGTCATTCTGGGGAGTTCTGGTGTGGCTTGAAGACCGTGTTTCAGCAATACCAGATCGCTTGGATTACAGATCTCAAGATCTTGCTTGCTCCCACAATGTCAGATGACCATCTTGTTAGAAGGCCATCGAGACTGACATATCTTAGCTCCAACAACCAGCGACTGGACATACGAGCCCACCAGCGCACCTACCAGGGTGCCTACATGAGATCATGTCTAGGAGCATTATCCTTCTCAGTTCTCATTCTAAAGATTTTCTCGAAAGAATTTCTGAGCATAGGAATGGTCTATACTATCTATGGGATGTTGTTTCTGGTGGTGAGCTATCTACGACAACAGAACATTGATCTGTATATCATGTCTCCCGAGACCCACAAGTATTGGAAGGAGGACTCGGTAACTCCCCACGTTGGTGAGGTACAAGACGAATATGATGGATATGACGAAGACGAGCAAACGTTCTTTAAGACTAGTGGAAATTTGGTTCTTGCAATGACTTTAGTGAGTGGGGGGTGTTATGTGTCGCTATTTGCGTTGCTTGCAAGGCTGTGAAATGCATAGTGACTATAGTATCCAAGAGTTGACGTATATCGGTAAGGACTACATTTATATTTTTATCCAGATCCAAATAATTAAACTTAACAATACCACAAATTGTGGTGCCCATAGCGAAAATAAATTAGAGCCAAAAAAAACTGAGGAAGGTTAGAGTGAAAAATCAGTTGGTGAGTGGTGGGAATTGTGTTCTGTGATTGATAATATATTAGAGATCGAGTTTCCTGCTGGAACTGAATCGAGTTCTCTCTTTATAGTGGAGGTTCGAGCTTTCTTTGATAACCTGCTACTCTTTGTAGGTAGACAAGTCCTCGTCTTCCTTCGAGTCAGTAGCACTTCATGAGTGTCATGACTGAAGAAAATTCTCAGATTTTGGTGTGAAATATCTGTAATCTTTTCAATCTCCAATCTCTCAAGAGTGATGGTAAGCAAGAGCAGTCCTTTTGATACGCAGATATCAAATTCATTTGGAGAAACCCTAAGGTCTCGCAAAATGGTGGATACCTTCAGCTCTCTTATGGTTGAGGGAGATCTTCATCGCTTCCGTAATGAAGGGACTTATAATCGGTATTATTTCCTTCCAGACAAACTGCTTCTCTGATAATTTTTAGCCAGAAACAACCAAGGTAGCTTTTGTACGGCATTGATATGTATCAGCTCCCTCTCCAGAGACAGTGATATAGGAGTTGCCTGTAATTTGATGGGACTTGGAATTTCCTTCCATTAAAGAAAGATCGATCATAACCCCAATTAATCGACCGATATTAGACTCGGAGACCTCGCTTGAGAATCATGCTTTTCGTCCCAACACACCGTAGACAACGACCCCACGGTCCCAGCACTTTTAAAAACCACCCTCTCTTCACTGATCACAGTAGTTGTAGAAGACTTGCTCGGAGAATCCGAGAACACTGGCAAAAACGGATAATGCTGACCCGTCAGGAGTCGCAGCGAACTAGCACTGGAAGATACTCTGGGTGCAGTTCCAAGAGAAGACGGCGTTTGCGACACCAGCAGCGATGAAGCAGTGTCATATTGAGTCTTAAAGTCGTGAGCTTGACTGGACACTGAGCTGTGAGTTGACCCATGAAACGAAGCGTCGTCTTCGTCTGATAGTAACTCGCTCACAGAGGTAGAAGAGGACCGAAAATTGGCCGTTCTTTGTGTAGGAAACTGCGATTCCGTAGGAAAATCAGTGAGGATACTTCTACCCGTTCCGTAGTCTCCACCGGCCCCAAAATCGCTCTGGTCGTCGTCATCATCGTCCATGGACTTTGGTGATTGGTGCATCTCGTTAACACCTTTCTCAATGTTGTGAACATCGCGCGCAAATGTTCTTAAAAGGCGGAATAGAAGTCTTCTAGTCAAAATTAACACTGCAATGCACCCGATGATGGCCCCCGCACACTTGATCTCGTCGTATCGCTCAGTATATATTATCCACAGCCCGCTGTAAAGACTCTTGAGACTGTCCACATACGGCCCCAGATGTCTTTCAAGATCTGTGGAGTAGAAATTCGCACTTATGGCTCGCCATTGGTCGGTTTTCGTGGCCAAATACACAGCTAGACTTGAACTGTAGCTCTTGGCCGCGATCCACGCTCTGTGCTCGTACACGTCTGAGCTTTGAAAGGCATCACTGATGAAACTCGCAAGGGGATCCACCCACTCGAAACTCTCCTTCTTTGTAGATATCGATACCGGTTCTGTTGGTTGCATTCCAAGCAAACCAGCTAGTAAAAGGGTTAGTTATCTCTCGAAAAACGTTGAAAACAACCGGCTCCCCGGAAAACCAGCATTCTCAAAAAACACCAAAAAAACCGGGTTTTTCTGACAATCAAAATAGCATCTCCTCTGAATGTCGCTCATTGAAACTTACCTATTTTGCTCCCATTGGGCAATGATATGTTCTCGTACTGCTGCACAACCAGAAAGCCCATAAAGGGCAGCGCGATCAAGTACAGAAAGCTCAGCACCAACGAAGAAACCTCGTTCATGATCCAACTAGTGTATCACCAATTCAGTTGCTTTCTCGTCTAGATACTCAACAAAAACAGATCGGGTGTGCCGGCTTGAATATGGAGAGGTCTAGTGAGCTCTAGAGAGCCCCCGCTGAAACACACGCTACACATTTGGAGTTGATCGCGTGCTCCACACAAATATAAGTCGTGCGAAATGGCGAATTGTAATATATTAGATCGCTGCCCCAGGGGAACCCGATTGTTCCCATTTACCCAAGCTGGCTTAAGGTGTTAGTTTTATCCACTGATATGATCACAATTGTGGATATCTGCAATGCTGGTCTGTTTGCTGCAATTGCAATTACACTGGTGAGTCCGCAGATCCCGGGTCTCAGATCTGTGAGTCGATACGGTAAGACACTCAAGACAGTTCAAAGATTCAACTACTACTTGCCCAAAAGGTATTTTGCGCATTTCTATGTGATAGCCACAGCTCTGCCTGTTTTTCTGAGCCTGCTTTTGCTTTCAGATATTCCGGTGGTGGAATATATTGCCTCGGTTGATTGGGTATCCCGTGACCATCAAAGAACCCTCTCCAGATCAAAGGCCCTGTTCGCTTTACTACTGAACTCGCTCCAAGGAAGTCGTCGTTTGTATGAATCTGTCCACGTATTTAGACCTTTGCCCGATGCGAAGATCCAGCTATTACACTATCTGATTGGGTGTGTGTACTATCTGATAGTTGACATGCAGCTGGTGGCCTGCATGGACCCTCTGAACAATTCGCCTTTGCCTCTGCTGGAGTCGTCAATTTTTGCCCTTTTGTTTTTTGTCGTATACCTGGATCAAGCGCGGCACCATGCGCATCTTTCTGGACTGAAGAAGTATACGATTCCGTCGCAGGGCTTGTTTCGGTATGTTGCGGGTGCCCATTACTTTGACGAAATCTTACTTTACGCGCTCCAGTTCTGGTATTTGCGAACAGAAACCAGCTTGGCAGTTGCGGCATACGTTGCAGTGAGCCTCAGTGTAGTTGCAGCCAATTCGCATGAATATTACAAGGAGAAGGATGCTTCCTACAGTGTGAACCACAAAGTGGTTATTCCGTTTTTGTACTGAAAAGGGGCTTGAAATATGTAACAGAAGTTTCTTTATCATAGTTTGGCACCCAAATTACAATGGATAGCCTTCTCCTGGGTATAGGTATGAATACCAGACTCACCCAGCTCTCTGCCCACACCACTCATCTTGACACCACCGAAGGGAACACGGATATCCTCATCGTTGCTCGAGTTTATATACACCATTCCAGCCTCAAGTTCATCAGCAACACGGTGGGCCTTCATAATGTCCTGTGAGAAGACCATTGCGGCCAAGCCATAGATGGAATCGTTGGCCTTCTCGACGACCTCGTCCTCGGTGGAAAACCTGGAAATCGCCACAACGGGACCAAAGATTTCTTCCTGAATAATCCTCATATCCTGCTTACAGTCCACAAAGACTGTGGGTTGGATATAATAGCCCTTCTCGAATGGGATTGGCTCGGAACCAAGGATCATCTTGGCACCCTCCTTCTTGCCGATTTCGATATAGTTGGTCACACGATCAAAGTGGGCCTTGCTGACCACGGGACCAACCTTAGCATTTTCGTCAAAGGGCTCACCAATAGGATAATCCTTTTTAACCCGAGCAACAAAAAGTTCTATGAACTTTTCATACACGGAGTCGTGTACGTAGATTCTCGAATTCGAGGTGCAATTCTGACCGGTATTGTACATAATGCCAAAGGCAGCCCAGCCAGCAGCCAGATCAAGATCAGCATCTTCAAAAACTAGTAGTGGGGACTTCCCTCCGCACTCCAGAGTGACGGCCTTGAGGTTTGAAGCAGCCATCTGTTGGATCTTCGCGCCGGCAACAGTTGATCCGGTGAAGGCAATCTTGTCAACACCTGGATGGGCCACCAAATGGGCACCTGCAACTGGACCAAGACCGCTCAAAACGTTGAAAACACCTTTGGGGAAGCCTGCTTCGTTGACGAGGTCGGCCAGAACCAGCAATGACAACGGAGTGGTCTCCGCAGACTTGATAATAATGCAATTACCAGCCGCAAGTGCTGGAGCGATCTTCCATCCAGACATCGAGATTGGGTAGTTCCAAGGGACAATTTGTCCGCAAACTCCAATGGGGATTCTCTTCGAGAACGCTAGCTTGCCGTCCTGAACAGGGATGCTCTTTCCGTGAACCTTATCGGCCCAACCGGCACAATAACGGAAGTAGCTAATTGTTCCATCAATGTCAAACTTTGCATTTGATTCGAACGGTTTTCCCGAGTCAGCAGACTCAACTGCCGCCAGAAGATCACGGTTCTTTTCAACGAGATCCGCAAGTTTCATCAGCATGGATCCCTTGGTGGTCCCTTCGACTTTCTTCCAGGTCTTGAAGGCAGTTCTGGCTGCGGAAACGGCCGAGTCAACTTCTTTGGTGCCTGCAAGGTACACCTTGGTGATAACCCTCTCGGTAGCTGGGTCTATGGATTCGATGGTCTCGTCAGACTTGACCCATTCTCCGTTGATGAAAAGTCCCACGGGCTGCTTGTACGTGACGCCATTAGGCAAGGTAATTTCCTGGAACAAATCTGAAGACATTTTGTGAAAGCAGGAATTTGATATCGCGGGTTTGCAAACAAGAATGATGTAGCTGCGAAAGTTGAAGCTTTGAACCCTTTAATTTTCATGATACAGCAAGCCGTTATCGCTAAGTATGAAGGGATCTAGCTGCCTAATTAGGAAGTTAGCCGCCCAAACTTGGCGTACTATTGCGCGCTTTGGAATCATAGCGGGAATGGCATTCCTACACGCGAGCCGATGTGAACCGTGGTATTGCCATTGTTATGGTCTTGGTTATCAGCCGCATAACTGTGCAGTTTGAATTGCTATTTTCATGTCAAATTCCCCGATTGCTTTGTGTTGAAAATGCGTTTCGGTCATGTAGCCGCCGGATAGGTATACAGGCTTGTGTGGTGCACGACATTTCCTTTATAAATGTCTGCCTAGTTCCATAGCCGGAGGTGTGACGTATTTCGGGCTCTTATCACCAGCAAATTATAGATTTTTTTAGGTATAAAATGGTTACTGCAACTGTGTAAGTGAAGCCAAAGTTTGATTGATCTTGTTTTGCCCCGACTAATTTTTTCAGCTCCACTCACACCGTCCCACTCAACACCGGAGCCTCGATCCCACTCGTGGCTCTCGGTACCTGGCAAGCCAACGATGAGGATACTTACAATGCTGTTTTGACTGCCATCAAGGCTGGATACAGACACATTGATACCGCGCATGTCTACAAGAATGAGGCCGCCGTTGGGCGTGCTGTTAGAGACTGCGGCGTGCCAAGAGGTGAACTTTTCGTCACCACCAAGCTATGGTGCACCAACCACCGGATCGCCGGGGAAGCTTTGAAGGGCTCAATTGAGAGGCTCGGCCTCGAATATGTGGATCTTTATCTTATGCATTGGCCTGTTCCTATGCTGAAGGATCCTGCTGATCCCGATACCTTTTTCGTTATGAAGCCAGATGGGTCTGTCAACAACGACCCGGACTGGGATTTCATCAAGACTTGGGAATTGCTCCAGGAACTTCCTGCAACCGGATTGACCAAGGCAGTTGGAGTATCCAACTTCTCCATCACGAATCTGACCAAGTTGCTGGAAGCACCTACTACCAAGGTGGTCCCTGCGGCCAACCAGGTGGAGTTGCACCCTCTGTTGCCCCAGACTAGGTTGGTGGAATTTTGCCAATCAAAGGGAATTGTAGTGGAGGCGTACTCTCCACTAGGATCTTCCGGTTCGCCATTACTCAAGAACGAATCGTTGTTGAAGATTGCTGGTGAGTTGGGTATTCCACCTGCTACTTTGGCTATTTCTTGGGCTGTGTGGAGGAAGACTGTTGTCTTGCCTAAATCGGTTTCTGCTAGTAGAATCGAGAGTAACATCAAGGTCGTCGAGCTTACCGATGCTCAGGGAGAAGCTATCACTGCTATTGGAGCTGAGCGTCCAGTTAGACATGTTGCGGCTGATCGGGACTGGGGTGTGCCTGTATTCAATGACGAGGATGACTTGTCTATGAAGCGTAAATGAGGCAACTGTGCGTTTCTACTGGCTATGAGACAATGTCGAATGTGAACACTCAATAAAGGCTAGAACTGGAGCGAAAGCTTTGTGTCATTATAGATATATAGACCTGAATAGAGATGTGAGTAAATACATATGGGTTGATGGTTTTTCCCATCTTTCGACAGAGGTAACTTAAACGAGGGCCTGAACCAAGAGAGTGATGCGCTTAAAACGGAAGGCGCCATGTGATTGTTTTGATGTCTGATTGCTATATCCAAGTTCGAGAGCTTCATGGCTGTAGCTGGTGGTTGCTCAATGTGACTTGATGTAGCTTCATGCAGCTTCATGTGGCTTGATGTGGCTTGATGTAGCTTGATGTAGCACTAGCTTCACCTGCCTTTTAACTCGACAAACCTTGCTCTCGCTGTTATTGACGACTGGTAGACCTCGTTAATTTCGAAAGAACGTTGTTTTCTAGCTATGCCCTTGGGTGTGCCCGAGTAATATCCTCACAGAATTTTCCTCAGAAGACAGCTGTTGGTGAACAGTATTCTGTCCTCACCCTCATTCTGCACCCCTACGAAGTCTACATCTTTCTCAGTAATATACAATCATATTTTAATCTCAAATCCACTCGTCCAAGGTCATCGAGAGATAGAACTAATAGTTATATCGTGGGTAGTAAGAATTCAAAGAAAACAGGCAAACGAACAAGGGGAAACGGGTCAAGCTTGGATCGAGTTGATTGAGCGACATTAGGTTGAAACTGTGTTTCATGTTTCAAATCAGGTGGTATTCAATACACACACTGATAGAACAACAGGGAGTGGTCTTGTTTGGTTGAAAATGCAAGACGAGGGCATTTTTGATTACTCCGTTGCGATTAAAGAACACTGGAAGATGGCGGGTGTTTCCTCAAACCCCCCACTAACTTATTCTTCATTTTAGTGCTTCGTTCATTCTTTAGAAACCACACTGACCTGGGAACCATCTATCACTCAGTGGCTGGGGGATTGCTCCCAACAGCACTAATCTCTTGAAATCCCATTCCACGGTTGATTCTGTCTTCAAACACCAGAAGACCCATCCAGCGTTCTTTCCATACTCGAACGCATCCAATTGGGCCTCGATGTACTGTCTAGTCTCGCTGATTCTGTTGGAGTCCCATTGCGAGTAGTCGTTCAGACCATCACACGAGCCAATCCACGAGCTTTCGTAAGAGCCGTCATAACGGGCTCCTCTTCCAATACCATTGAGCCAATAGGCACAATCAGTAAGAGCAGCAGTGAACTCACCACAAAGATTCCAGTGGTACTCACTGTTACCGTCGGTTCCCCAGGAACATGCCACACTTACGTGGTCGGCAATAGAACGTTGCAACTCACCTGTGGAGAACACCTGGTAATGGTGATGATCCACAACCACATCCCAGGCACCCTGGTCGACAGAGAGAACGTCGTTCCAAGCACCTGTTTGGAGGAACGCGTCGTGGATAATCACAGGAGCATCACCAGCATTACGAACAGCCTCATAACCGGACCAGTAGAAACTCTGCAGGTCGCTAATGTCCAGTGAGGAACCAAGAGGTTCGTTCAAAAGCTGAATTCCAATGACCACATCCGCGTAATCGGATCCACCGTACTTGTTGGAGATGTAAGTCAAGACGTCAAGTGTAACCTGCACATTGTCGCCCTGTTGGAACTCAATTTGGTCACGAAGTCCAGAATTGTCAAACCCATTCTGCGAGCCTGGAGCTCCGTGGAGATCTATCCAGACCTTGATATTGTTGTTGCGAGCCCAGCCCAGAGCCTGGTCAAGGTAAGCCTCTTGTCCTTGCACGTAAGGATCCGAGTCAAGCAATTGAAAAGCCCAGTAACCGATAGGAATACGCGCAAAGTTCAGGCCGTAACCAGCAATGTCCTCGAAGTCCTTTTCCGTAATCCAGGTCGACCAGTGAGCATCGAGTCTGTTAAGAGCCTCGTCCTTGCCCAGTTGCTGCGTGTAATGATACTCGTCCACTGGAGGATTATCACCAAAGGCCTCGAATAGCGAGGGCGTGATATAAGGCTCCAAAACAAACCAACCTCCAATGTTTACTCCATAGATTTTATCGCTGGAGTAATCCCATCTGCTGTTACGCTTGATAAGCTGGAGAGATGGTTTGACAGGAAGAGCTGTGGCTAGGAGCACTAGCGAGGCTAGGATGCTCAGTAATGGTAGCGTCTGGAGCATCTTACTAAAAAAATGTTAACAAGGATAAAATCCGGTGTATCGATAACCGCCTCGGTTTGCTTTCAGTCTTCTTAACTATGGTAAATTCAAGGGGTGTGTAGTCTTGAACTCTAAAAATTACCAACTTAGATCAGAACTGATAAATTCACTCTCACTAAGGCTTGGACTGCTTAGCACTGGCAATTAGTGATAATCCGGCGATATCTAGAGGTATAGAATTTAGAAGCGCAGTTTCCAAAGGGGTAAGGGTGGCTATTTATTTTAGTGTAAGTTAAGACGGTTTCAGGCATAAAAATAGGACTCGGAGAATCATGCAGATCGAATTCCACATAAGACGGGTTCCAGCCTCCCCTTGATAGATTGCACGGTATGCGGCGCATGCACTGGCCACACACGCCGCGATACCAGGCACAACGTGCCACTATGCACCGCCACAACTCCGTTGTACCGGGACGTGTCCGTCGGGAAGGAGCGGCCATTCAACAGGGCGGCTTCCGTGCATATAGATCCGAAATAATTGCTCATGACGTATTAAGATCTGCGATTCAGCTTATACTATACGGCTTCTACTACACCCCACCGATAGCTTCTAACTTGCACGCACTGAAACCTTCAATGTAATCACATCTTACAGATTTTCACACACATCTAACAACATATCCACACAAACCAATACGGTTGTTTATGGTTCCTAAAGAGTCCACTCTTCCCGAATAGGATACCCCTGTTACGGTAGTGGAATTCAGGATGTGTGTATGCGCCACATGGTCGTGTGCATCCCAGCAAGGTTTGGTAGTTTTTGTCAGGTCGCCTGGTTGGTTGCTGGATGACTGTGAAGTAGATTGCAAAGAGCATGACCTATATACCTTTAGCAGTAGCTGTAGCTTCGCTGGTGGCAATTACAGTAGCTGGTTCGCCCTATGCTTCCCATGTAATCCTCGAAACATACTCATGGAAGCTTAAAAGCGGGACTAGAGCATGTAGCCTCATCGCGACACGCTCCTCTTGCCCGGACACCAAGCCTGCACTGCCATTATATGAGGCGGTGCCTTGATACGTTCCTTGCAATCCACATGTCCACATTGTATCGTAGTGTTCGATGTCAAAGGTGGTTCTGCCAAACAGGGCTAAGCTCGCAAAGCTCGCAAAGCCGAGGCAGAAACCTCGGCTGATAGCCATAAGCCTGACAGAATGGTATTACATGATGAATAACTGGTTATTTCATCAAAGTCGCTAACTCTTGGCTAATTACACCTTAGAAACCATGGAAACCCCGATAAGGCCTCGAAATCGTCAAAATTCTCTTGTTACGCTCTACTTTTCCGGCATAACATAAACAAGGCTACTGAGGCCACCACCGCAACTTAATTGTTACGCAATCCTAGTGGTTTGTGTGTTATTCTTTGTCCCAGTAAAGTCATCGAAAAGCGATAATGTCTATCTTTAGCTAATCCCCTCCAAAAGCGGAAGTTTTCTGTTCTAGGTAATATGTAAATATGCACAATTTAAGACACAATTGGAATAATATCCTCCACTATTTCTCCACATTGCGGCTGAACTAAGGAAATAAAGCAGCTTCTTTTGCGTTCAAATCTATGCTTTGTCGGCAGTGAATCTATGATTCCTTTCTAAACTCGTTCCTCGATCCCGGAGCCCCAACCCCGCCCGATCTGTAGTCACATCTGCACCATGAGTTGCACCAAGAGCTGCACAGCCGGTTAACCTCAGTTTCACGCAAGTGCAATGGCAACTCCAGTCTCTCCAGTTGCTAGGATTCTGTATTTCAGCTTCCCATCTCGGCACTTTGATCTAGAGCATGAAGTGGAATGTGGTGCTTGGACCGTTTCAAAATTCCCACAAATCTGCGAAAAGTGAGATTTACTCGTAAATCTTCAAACGCAATCACATCTAGTAGAGGAAATATGACAGAATCCCGAAACTGGTATCAGTACATAGCATACACACGACAACCAAAAACAACACTCTTATGATTCTTAAAACCTTATCCGTCTATATAGCCTAAACTTTTCTGGAGCGAAAACACGGAACCCAAAACCAAAACTTGAAAACCCACCGGAAAAAACACACAACAGCCTTTAACAGGCATAAAAAAGATGCCCAATAACTGGCAACAAATAGCCAGACGCCTAACCTCTCACACAAGTAAATCCTTGTTTGCGCCAATTCCATTTACGAATCATGGACTAGACGATTGGACTCCATGGAAACCACCTCACCAACCCAAACTACTCTCCTCCTTTCAATAATCCTCGCCCATTGTCTCAAGCAAAACATTCACAAAGTTGGACATTTGATTGTGGTATGATTCGTCATCATCAATGTAGCGGCGCCATTCCTTCACGCTGCGCCGACGAGCCCATGGCAAGCCCCTCGCCATTCCCGAGTCTGTGGCATCCAGAACACGCAGATGACCGTTTTGAATTGATCGCGAATCGTTGATAAATCGGAAAATGTCTTTCTTGGAGGTCCAAATCAGCGAACAAAGATGAATTTCCTCAAGGCCCTCCAGTTTCGACGCCGCTTCCAAAATTTCTGAATGCATCAGCTTTTTGTGCTCGGGACGGCCTTGCTTGGCCTCACGCATGACGGTATCAGAAAGAAATACTGGCTTAGACACTGGTGGAAGTTTAGGCTCTTCGACCTTCTTATCAGCCTCCAGCAACATTGAGCCGTAATTTAGTCCAATCCCGGTTCTCAATGGAGTCTTGATCTTTCCGCGACCCGTACACCAATCAAAGAACTCGTAATCACGCATTTCAAAATCAGGGCTCAGTGAAAGATTTGAAAGGTTCAACACCTTCAGGTGTTCACACTCCTGGATCAAATGGATCACGTAGCCAACAGGCAAGTCCTTTGAAAAACAGTAGTTCATCAAAAATTTGTTTGCAAGTGGATGACGCGAGGAAAAAGGTTGGTGGAGCGAACTGGGTCTGTAACGAGATTCTCTGACTGGATTGAAGCTTGCAGACGAGGGCCGAGAGCCTCCTTTGCGAATAGTTTCTCCAACTTGCCGCGGTGAGGTGCTCGGACCCACTATTCCACCGCTACTGCGACGATGATGCGAGGAAGGGATTGGCTGATCGTATAAAGCCGCGTAGGAATGGATCAGATTCACCTGCTTATGATCGATATTCAACGCCTTCTTCAAACTTCTCTTCAGACTCTTAGCCGTTGCACCGGATTTCTTCTCCGACTTCGTGGTACTTGTGTTACTCATTGATCGAAGCAGATCGGTGCTATCAGAGCTATAGTTTCCTGTAGAAAAAATCGAGTTTCCAGAACTGATAATTGAGCTGTGGCGTCTTGATCTTGACCTTGATCTGGCTGAAGGTGTCGGTGTTGGCTGAGACGATTGATCCTGTTTAGGGGCTTCCCATTGCGAACGACGTCCATAGAGAGGATGATCTCGGAACTTCCAGTCTCTCCAGCCGGCTAAAGAGTCCTGGTCACCCGCAAGGCGATCCGCATCACTCAGTGGACTCGCAGGGTCGTCTTCATCCCGGTTATTTAACAGGTCAACCAGGATGTTGTAATTTTCAGCCTCACCCTCCGATGATAATCCAGGCGCCAACTGCGACAAATCAAGGGTTTCAACAAGGGTTGCAAGATACGGATCGTTCATGATCACGTTGACAAATTGGCCGACCCGATACGTGGAGGTCAGAACCGGGGAGCGGTACAAAAACGTTTTCGCCAACTCGTTGAACCTTTTGTTAACATATAGACAGTTGATCAGGGTTTTGGTATCGTTCTGTAGAAACCCAAAGATGACATCACCAACCTCCAGAGGTAACGAGGAAAACGTGATTGGTTCAGTGTCAGCACCCGTTTGTGCCGGGTCCCTGAGTGTGATCACAGACTTGAAGGACCGGATTGAAAGCGAATCAGTTGCAGCACTCAAAATCTTCTTTCGAGTATCGTTAATAGGTGCCAACAGTGACTTATACTTCATCTTGATCTTGTTCTTCTTCCCGCCTTTGGGTCCGGGCCAGATATTCAGGCGGAAGTCCGAGTCATCGTGGAGTAATTGATGAGTTTGGTAGTCATATCTTGTATTGGGAGAAAGCAAAGAACGATAAGGCGGCAGGAATTCGTGTAATTTGTCGAAATCGTAAGACGTTTGCTGGGGAGTTTCGCTGGATGATGGAGGCGAGGCTATCATTTTCAACCCCGAAATCCACGAATCAGATGAAAAAAAAAACGACCAGTCAGATATTCAGCGGAGTTTGCACTGCCACAATACGGTATCCTCTCAAACAATCCGGGGAACAAGGCGTGGGGCTGAGATCGTCAGAAGACCTTTGTTCGGATCAGGACTAGACAAGACAAGAGCAAGTACAAGTCGAAACAAAGTACTTGGCAATGAAAAGGCGAGTAATTGTGATCAGGATATGTCAGGCTGATTAATCAGATCCAAGATATTTGATCAAAGAAGTTCAATATTCACGCGACAGAACCACGACACGAAAGAAACAAAGGAAACAGAAACGTCAAACAGAGACCAAACAAGCGATATCCCCTCTATTTGACGGGGACCCTGAAACCGGGGGTTGCACCTCGGAATGGATCAGGTGAAGAAGAAGGCTATGTTGCGACAGAAGATGTGCAGGCTTGAAAGTACATGTTGTGAAAATTCATCATCAACAAATTTACATCAGCATACAGAGTTAAATCTTTGTAGCGGGTGGGTTATCCAGAAATTCTGGGGTTTATTATGCCGTCTACAAAATAACTGCTGGACTGAGCAATGACATACTCCATGTTTCATCCCGGAAAACTCCGGCTAAACCCCGGTGTCATAGTGTCACGATTGTGTGCGATGGCGCCGATTGATAAGAAAAGGTGAAATTAGACCCCACACTATTGAAAATTATTCTGTGTCACGTGACAAATTTCAAAATCAAATACATAATCACAACAACCAATTCAATCGTCACGAAGCTCCAAAAACTTCAGATACCATTTTTTGGTCCAGCGACGACAGTCCTTACCCCAGTATATCATTGGAGCGGCCATCATGGAGATAACAAACTCGATCACAGCCCACGCTATGTAAGTGTTCTGAGTACCGACGTTATCAAGCCAAGGAGAGCACGCAAATGTGAATATCATACCGAGGGTATTGTTAATCACGGCAACACCTACCATTCCCTCCAAAACCATATCCGGGTAAGCGTCCATAAGATAAGACATGGCTATGTCTCCCGAGCAACCCCAGCCAAAGCCAATGAAACCCAGACCGACGTAGGTCATGTGCCAATCATAGCCCTTGGACGTCCCAATTCCAAACATAAGCAATCCACAGGGTCCAATAATAGCCGAAGCAAAAAGAAAATAGAGTCTGTACTCAGCCTCTTGAACTCCACCATTCCGCTTGGCCATCCAGATGACGAACCAATCGGAGAAGACACCCGCATAAAGACATCCAATAATCGCTCCGATAAGGCAAGGAACGTTCATCAAAGCAACTCCGGCGTCGCTGTAGTTCCAAGGATCATCGTAGTAATCGTCATCCTCGGTGGTGAGGTAGAATGTGAGCAAAGCATCTTGAATTCCCCAGATCATACCAGATAGGACCACAGGAGGAAACCAAAACACCCGCAGCATTCCAAACATCCGCTGGAAATACTGCTTAACTCCCCATCCAATCAGATTCGAAGATGGGGTGATCATGGCAATCCTTTTTCTGTAGGAAACTGTCTCCTGCGACGCCGAACTGGGTTCAATTGGCTCAGAAACCTCGTTCCGATTATCAGAGGAATTGTTCTGTTCCTCTTCGGCTTCCTTCTCATCAATTTTCTTCACGGGAGTGGTGGTTTTGGCCATTGCCGTGCCCGTGAGGGTCTGTCTCATGTATGCATTTCTATCGAAATAGGTCTCGAAAAGAGTAAAGTACATCACGATCAAAAGCCCTCCAGAGATAATGACTGTTGTCCAACCGATCCAGCGGAAACCCACATTATCAGCGATGAATCCCGCTATCAAAGGCCCAAGGTATGTCCCAACGGACGTAGCCATGATATAAACCGTCAGCACAGAACCCAACTGGTGTTGAAAAAACACGTCAGATAACCCTAATTGAACCTGAGCTTCGGCACAGGATTCGGAAATACCCACAAACAGTTGCGACCAGATGGTATCGGAAGTGCGTTTGGATGCGCCATACCATGCAGCTCCAATGAGACCAGATACAATACACACGAAATAGATGATTCGACGTCCATATAGCGACGTGATTGGTGCAGTAAAAAATGTGGCATATCCAATTCCACAGAAAAGTACACCGGCACCCGTGTTCATGGCATCGTATGAAATTCCGTAAATTTCGTTCAACGAGTCCTGGCCAGCACCAGCATCGTTAGATGTAGCTGCTGTAAAACCCGTGATAAATCCAAGCATCAGTAATTGCCAGTACTTGGCCAACGGAGACCAGTTGAGAGGATCGTTGGGTGAATCCGAGGGTTGCGGATTCAAAATTATCCCGTTCATGATCTTCAAGTCTGTCTGTTCCATACCAGCACCCACGTCCCTGTGAAATATGTTTATGGTACCCGGAATATAGTTGTCGTCATCATATAAGTTGGTGGTAGAAGTCAGTTGGGCGGTTCTGGTGCCCACTGGCGACACCTCTGAGTTTAGATCCATGGGGCTTTGGAGTGTAAGAAGTTTTTCCTCCAGCAGTAAACGTGAAGATATCTGCACGAGTGTCTATGGGAATTCTGAAATGACAGATATAGCGACGAAACCCAAAATCCAGTACAAACTGACCTCAAGAAGTCAAGGACAACCCCAGAGTCTTATTTATGACACGGCGATAACAAATTTCGCTCAAGCGACCAGGGTTGAGTCAAAAATTTGGATTTTCGATAAGCTCAGCGCCGAACGATCCTTGCATGCATCTGTTTTTGTATGGCAGGTTTAATTTCTTTTTAGCGCTTCCGGTGCTCTTTGTTTGGGGCGTCTACGTCAAAGAGGGAATAACGTTGCCAAGTGGGAGAATTTTTTTGGAAAATTAGTAGACTATCCAAATCACAAAATTTAAAGCTTTCTAGACATCCCCATATTATCCTTGCAATGTTCCGCAATGTTTTTGCCGGCCAGATTTTGACAAGCTGTTGCTAAACGCGGTAGATACCATCAGGCACATACCAGCGGAATGATAGGGTGAAGATCGCCTGAGTACCGCGGATGCATCAAAATCGATAGAAGACCCATTTACATTTCATCAGGCTGTGTTCTTTCTACCACAGTCCATAGTCTGCCGATTTGGGCGATACAAGTGACATCTATTGTGGTCCGCGGCTACCTAAATGCTACTGGTTTCCTGCTTGTCGCATCGATAATATTCCGTTGCACACAAACTTAATCTGACCGTTTGCTTAGTAGAAGGGAGATGTAGGGATTAGGTCCAATCATGATTTTTGCGTGTAAAGTCTGTTTAGTTTCACTGTAATCAGTTGCTTCTAACTTGGGAATAGATAGGGGGTCGCGCGGATTGCAATGGGGTTGGGGAGAGGGACAAGAACAACACCAGTCCTGAGTTGAATTCTTGAACTATTACTCGAAGATGTTCTGGAAAGAAAATATTGCTTATTAAATGGTATTTCCCCAAACCCCCATAATTAGCTCCCTGAATTATCCCCTAATCTTTCAAACCGTGGAGCGACCTTCCTAATTGGGTATGCGGTTAAACTCCGAGGTCAGATATGCCCCACGGAGGCGATACTCAGTAAATGATTTTATCTCTCCTGCCCTCCACGCTCTCAATTGAGCGCTGAAAGCCAACCAGAACAAAGGCGAGATTCCATTATGAAGACCGTCGATTATGAAAAGATGTTCTTAGAACAAAAGATTGCGATCACCAAAGATCAGGAGGCAATCGCCTATGCTTACGCTAATTCAGCACAGGTTCACGAGATCGCGGGCGATAACTACGAAAAAATGATTAGCGGAATGCTGTAAGCCTGGAATTAATTTCAGTACCATTTTGAAGCCACTAACACTACTTGACAAGGTATTTTTCATTCACTGATGATCTCGTCAGGTTCAGAGACAACGTAAACGAACTGACGCAGGATTACATGCAAATTAGATACCGTCATTACAAGTCGAATGCCGAGTTTCAGAAGGCGCGAGCAGACCATTTGGCGAAGATCTTTGGAAAAATAGGCGAGAACGTTTTCGTTGAAGGACCTATCTTTACTGACTATGGATGTAACACCTTCATAGGCGATGATACGTTTATCAACTACAAGTAAGTGGGGAAGCATGAAACTGATTCGAGTTTCGTTTCATATTTTTCGACTCCTCTCTTGATCTTTTATTAACCTGAATCTCCAGCTTCACACCCGTTGATGTTGCTCTCATCAAGATCGGCAACAGCTGTCTTATTGGACCCAACGTGGTGATATGTACTGCTACCCACCCAACCAACTCTGACCTCAGATCTAGCGGGCTCGAAAACGGAAGGGCTATCACTATAGAAGATAAGGTCTGGCTGGGTGCCAGTGTGACGATTTTGCCGGGTGTTACTATTGGAAAGGGCAGTGTGATCGGGGCAGGTTCCGTGGTCAATAAGGACATTCCTCCATACTCGATTGTGGTTGGAGTTCCTGCCAAAGTTATTAGACAAATCGATCCTGAAGACCCCGACTTTGACAAAGATGGAGCCTGGGAATATGCTACTAATTTGTAGTGGGGCAGAGTTTGGCAGAGTTCCGTGTTGCACCATAGAACTTTGCGATCTGCCCTCCACTATCTCAACCACTACATACAACTCGTAACAAGCCAATTCGCAAAAAGTTGTTGTTCTTCCATCCAAAATCATAATGCCACCAGTATATCTCACCAAACGCGATACAGATGGCCTCACCATCGCCATCATCACTGTCTCGTGTATTTTGCTTGCACTCATAGTGTCCCTTGTTCTGCTCACGCTATACTGTTGTGCCGTGAGAGTAGCCGTTTGGGATCTTGAACAGGGCCAAGTCGTTGTGAAACTCGCCAAATCCTCCCAACAGCCTCAAGATGAAAACAATGACCACGAGAGAAAAGAATCGCACAATAAAAATCACGATTCTATCCGAGAAAATTCTGTTTTGGAGCCCGAAGCCTTTGACACATTTCAGTACTCTTCGTTGTTAAGACACGAGATTGATCAGAGAAACGTTTCTGAATTGCTTGAGGTCAAAGATGCTCATTCAGAAAGAAAAATCAAGGTTGGAATGGTTGTGGTTGCCGTGGAAAAGTATCGAGCGAGTTCTAGCAACGAACTCTTTCTTAATAACGGTGATCTGATCAGATTATTGGGAATCCAAAAGCTTGAATCGGGAGTTTATATGGGAAAAGGGATCCCGCTGCACTCTGTTTTGAAGATCGACAAGGACGAGATCAGGTTGGTTTCTGGCCCTTATGACGGTTCGATGGAAATTCCGCAATTACTGGACAGCGTCAAAAGCTTCCCCATGAACTGTGTTTCTCTAGAGGCTACGGTGTTGGAGTACCAGACACTGTCTATTCCCAATCATGATGCAGAGGGGAGCATCACTCCCACGAACGACATCAATCATGATTACACCACGTCATCACCAACAACTGCCGAACAGACCTTTTATTCGGTAGATAACTGAGAACCCCAAGCTGCAAAGCTCGCTGGACTTCTTCTCACTGATTATTCAACTCTTTCCGGAACTTCCTCCACCCTTCCATCGTTTTCATCAAAGAGCTATGATTCTCATTCAAGGAGTTCAATTCATTCTGCATGTTCTCAATGGTCGCTTTCTTTTCCTTCAACTCCAACAGCAGCTTGTCGTTCGACACATTCTTGTTTTTCGCTATGGATATCAGCAGAAGAAGGGTATCTGATACCACCGACTCAGATTCGTATACATCTCGAGGGAGATTATCCAACACGTCCTGGTATGTACCTTCAAGCCTGCTGTTTGTGTTCTGGTCGTTCTTGGCCACATCGAGCACGAAATTGTATATCAACGACATGCATTCCTTCTCGGTTTTCAGCTTTTGAGACACTTTCAGCAGATCTCGCTGCGTCGCCTGCAAAGATTGGCTCAATTCGCTTGAAATTACGTTCTTGATCAAATCCTTCCGCTGGATATTGCCGTTTATTTCGCCCATCACCTCCCTCTCATGTCGGGGAACCTTTCTTGCATGCTCAACCGAATCTTGCAATCTACCCACTAGCAGATCTCTCTTCTTCACTTCTCTCTGTGCAAGCTTTCTTATCTCATCCTGGGAATTGAGGAGTCTGTTCTTTTCTGAAGTCAAGCTGCGATTAGTCTTCTCAAGCTCCTCGATTCTGAGCAGGTGGCTTTCATTCTCTCGAGTCAGCATCTCATTCTGCTTATCTTTAATCTCAATATCATTCTCCAAAGCTTTCACTCTGCTCTTCAGGGTCTTAACTTGATTCTCGTTAGTTTTGAGAACCGAGGAATGACTTTCATTCACCTGTCTCAGCAAATCTACCGTATCGAGCAGGCGAAATATCACATTCAAAACATTCGCATCGTTTTCAACCATAGTTGGGGTAAGCTCTAGCGAGACATTGGGCGTTTCTGATATTTCTCCCCAGTTCAGCGATGGAAGAAGGATCTTGGAAAGACTCGAACCTGTTGTGGAGGATCTTGTGAAATGGCCTTTAGCATTCAGCTTTCGGTTCACTTCTTGAACCGCGAACTTGAGAGATTCCACCTTGTGATCCATTTTTGAGTCTTTCAAGTTCTGATACAGCCTGATTTGAAACAACTGGAAATTCAGTGGTTTCTTAAGGTGTTGTTTTCTGGTGGTTTTATTGACAAGAGTTGATTCAAAACGTAAACAAAACAACTTTTGGTGGTGCACTACCATGCGGCTCGTCTCGTTATCACTGAAAATCTGGCTATCGAAAATAGCTGTGAGGAAATCGTGAAACGACATAAATTTGAGGCAAACGTATTTTTCCACTGAGCAATTACAGCGTGTAGGGTGTTCAAATCAAATAGAATTATCCATATCCCCAATCGGGGCTTGGAAAAGCTCCTTACCATTAGCTCCACTATTCCCCTTCTACAATCAAATGTAATCTTCATTTTTCATTTTATAGGCTCGAATAGTAGGAATGTCGTAAACTAAAATCTTTCGCTCTGAACAAGCATCTATGGATATGACCAGCCAGCGAAGCCTACTGCAATGCCACACCTTTCATAATATAACTCCCATCACTGTTTAATGGTGGTGCTCTTCTTCCTCCTCAAACACAAACCAGTCCTCCTCCTCGACAACGGCAGCCTCAGAAGAGCCGGAGACAGTCTCAACGGCAGCGGTGTCGTATTCGGAAAGAGCCTCGGCAGCGTCACCCTCCAAAGCAGGGGCCTTGGCTGGGGATGGAACAGTCCATGGCTTGGTGGAAGATTGGGCATCGGCAGAAGACAATGGGGTTGGCTTGAAGGCCTTCAATTCTTTGATGTACAGGTCGCTGACCAAGTCTGAGGGTGTGTTAGTATGGCAAAGCGGAAGTGAAAAAGTGGGTCTCAGCAAAAAGGTGGAGATGAAATCTCAGATTCGACTTACTAGCACGAGCTGGGGCAACAGAGAAAGCTCTGGCGAGAGGTCTGGAGGCAATGACGCGCTAGAAAAAAGGTTAGTTTCAGGGGTCGAAAGTTCTGGGTAAGGTGGAGTTTCTGATCTAGATGGCGATCATCTGCTTTTTGAGCAACATAAGGGTCAAAATAAGTATAGAATAACGTGGGCAACTGCAAATCACAATCTTTCTCAAAGAATGACCGAGACCGTCTTCAATTGAGGCAAAATACCCGGGGTTCGGCGACGTTGTTCTCACCAACCTGGTCACCGAGAACCCCGTAAACCAATATCCGCCAACATCCACCAATCATACCCAACCACAAATAAATCAATACATACCGATGATCTAACGATGGAAGACAACATTTTCTATGTTTCAATTGAACGTGTGTGTTAGAGATCTGTGTAGTTTATGGATTTCGATGTTCTCTTGGTGAAGAAAGAATGGCGAGTCGAGATTGGCTGGAGACAAGGGCTGCCTAACCATTTTTGACTTTGCACTAAAAGGCGAGGCCTCTACTAAGTTTGGAATAGGCTTCTGAGGTCAAACAACTATACAAACCCAATATTCCCAACACCGTATATCCTACTTGAAATGCCAAAATATTACTGTGATTATTGCAAATCATATCTCACTCACGACACCATGAGTGTGCGAAAGTCGCATCTCATGGGAAAGAACCACATCAAGTTGTATTGCGAGTACTATGAGACCGAAGCCAAGAAGCTGAACATCTGGGAACCCAGCAAGTTACCTTACGAACTAACCTTGGAGAAACTTTATAACGGGATTCCTGGAAAGCGGATCTCCGCGAAGAAAAGCTGGAGAGGGGAAGCAGGCGTGGATATCGAAATGGAGTCTGAGGTGGACGGGTTCATTCCACCTCCCCCAACTCTTGCTGGACTGCCCAATCCTCCACCCTCTGTGTATTATTACGACGCTGCTGAGGAGAAGAAAAAGATCCAAGAGGTGATCAAATCTCACGCGTTGGAAAAGCAGTTGCCGTTTTGATAGGCCTGTGACATTCGCTCCAACCTTCAACCAATTGTACCCTACTTAATGATAACGACTAATAGACCACTTCGACCAGAATTTAGCGAACCTAAAACGAACCTAAACAAACATGCCATAACACTTGACCTATTATATTGCCATATTGACGGCCATTCTCGAAGTTTCAAATTGGATTCTGTTCAGTAGTGTCTACACCAAATCAAATTTTTTCGAATTTGCCAGCTTGCTCAACAACAAAACAAACTCCTCAAATCAACTTTACACTTATCCCGCTTTAATCCATATAGAAATAATCATGGCTCAACAACAGGTTCCAACTTTCAAGCTTGTTCTCGTCGGTGATGGTGGTACCGGTAAGGTAAGTGATGATAAATTCGATGTTCAGCGTGGTGGTTTAGGGGAGTGGATCATGAAGAGTGGCCACTCGAATGTGAATGCTGAGTTGCTGAGTTTTCAGCTCTAGAAGCGTGCATTTTTGAATTCTTCAACTTTTCTCTTCTCCAAACGCCTGTCCTCTATTTACCAGGAAAATGTACTAACTCTAAGCTATCCAGACCACTTTCGTCAAGAGACATTTGACCGGTGAGTTCGAAAAGAAGTACATTGCCACTCTGGGTGTCGAGGTCCACCCTCTTTCGTTCTACACCAACTACGGTGAGATCAAGTTCGACGTCTGGGATACCGCTGGACAGGAGAAATTTGGTGGTTTGAGAGATGGTTACTACATCAACGGTCAGTGTGGTATCATCATGTTCGATGTCACCTCCAGAATCACTTACAAGAACGTTCCAAACTGGCACCGTGATCTGGTTAGAGTCTGTGAGAACATCCCAATTGTTCTGTGTGGTAACAAGGTGGATGTCAAGGAGAGAAAGGTCAAGGCCAAGACTATCACTTTCCACAGAAAGAAGAACTTGCAATACTTTGACATCTCTGCCAAGTCCAACTACAACTTTGAGAAGCCATTCTTGTGGTTGGCCAGAAAGTTGGTGGGCAACTCTCAATTGGAGTTTGTCGAGTCGCCAGCCCTGGCTCCTCCAGAGGTCCAGGTTGACGCCGAGTTGATGGCCAAGTACCAGCAAGAGATGGAGCAGGCTACCGCCATGCCTTTGCCTGATGAAGATGATGCCGATTTGTAAGGATAGAGTCAACTACTTTGCAATCACGTGGATGTCTGGGATCTGGGGTGAAAACTCAAGTCTAGCCCTCTTTGACTAGTCAGGCGGAATGACGTTCAAGCCTCTATGACTAGTTTAGTGGAACGATATTCAGTCATTAACCACTCACCTAGTGATATTTACTCAAGCTATTTTGTAAAGTTAATATTTACTTGAATCTTTTCGTAGAGATCGATTGCGTTCTGCCAAGTTATATAGTACATTCATTATATGGGGGTTGCGGAAGACTATACACTCATTTCGATTCAACACTTTCACTACTTTCATTAACCTCCTGTGCGAGTTGCTTGGAGTCAACGACCTTCTTTGCTTCTACTTCTTTCTCTTCTGCTTCTTCCTTTTTCTTTTCCTCCAGCTCATCTTTTCCAGAAAGCTCAAACACACCCAGATCCAAATTCTCAACCTCCAAAGCATCATTTCTGATCCTCTCATAATCCTCATGCTCAATGCTCCATCCTAGCTTATTGCAAATATGAGCTATAACCGGATCGCAAAACCCCAAAATGCTTACATCAAACTCATAATGTTTCACTGGGTACTTATTGATCAAAACCTGCGGAACATGGCTCGGTATCAAGTTCACCACCTCACTCACAGGAGCCACCTTCAATGAAGTACCCACACAGATCAACAGATCGCACTTAGACATGTCTTCTCTGATGCAGTTCTTGAATCTAGAGGGCAACGCCTCACCAAAAAACGTGATATCAGGTTTCATCACGCCGTAGCTTTCGGCATACGGAACATAGCTCATGGGTCCGTCTTCAGCCTCCAATGCCTTCATGATCTCGGCCCTCTTCTTGGAACACAACGGGCAAATAGGAACTCGCGAACTCCTTATATCTGCATAGAGATTTTCACCAGGTGTTTTATATCCACACGTGACACATGTAGCGCTCGCGAATGAGCCATGGCACTGGACGACTTTCTCAGTCGAGATACCTGCATTAGCTTCCAAGTTATCGATGTTTTGGGTATAGTTTCTCAGCAGTTTTCCTTTTTGCTCGAGCAATTTGATGAATCCATGCATTGGAGTAAAAGAGTGGTCTGGAGGGAGTATCATCTTTGCAATTGAGTAAAATATGGAAGGATCTTCACGGAAGAAGTCGATATCAAACACCTCTTGGGGATCAGTCAGTCCCAGGTGCTCGAGTTGGGAATAAAACCCCTGTGATGATCTGAAGTCAGGAATTCCAAGTGAGGTGCTTATTCCTGCTCCAGTGAGAACCAGCACGTTCTGGGCCTTTTCTAAAGTCTCCACAAACTGCTCTATGGTATTGTATGACGGGATTCTCCTCCGCGCTGATAGCACTTTCGACATGGCCAGTTGCAAATATTGGGTGGACAGTCCGATTAGCACATCCTCATCATTATCCAGATCTGGCGCGTGTTTCGGTATGAATCCCAGTTCTTTGGTCAGCTCAAAGAAACGGTTCGAGTCTGCAACCTCACCTATGTATTCGCTAATGAATTTTCTGTAACCTTCCGTCTTCAAGTAAGCACGCGCTGCTGAGCACCGTTCTCGGGCCTCCAATGCCGTAGATCCGTCTTCTGACGCGAACGATATTTCGTCCAATATGCTTTCTTCGTCACTTAAACCATCGCTATATCCGTTGCTCTCAGAGTCTGATATGTCACGGTTTAGTGCTTGCCCAGAAGCCTCAAGGTCGCCGCTAGGCGAGCTAAAATCAGCCTCGGAGCTCGCCTGTTTCATTTCAACACTCCATGGCGCAGATAGACCCTGTTGATCAGTGGAGAGGGTAGTAGTATCTTTGGACAGAGTCTTCGAAGCGTCTGATGGACTCTTGGTTTCAGCATCCGGTTTCGGCCTTTTGATTACGGCATCTGTGGACTCTTCGCCCGATCGCTTTGCCGCATCAGCGTCAAGATCGTTCATGTATTTTTTCGGTGATTTTTCAACTTACGAGGGGGCACTGTTTATCTGTACTTATCGCGGGAATCGCGGATTATCTCAGCCGGACACTATCATTTGAACCGGGTAACCCCATCACCTGGCGATGGAACTTTTCAGTCGAGGAAACGAGACTCTGACCTCAAAATACCAAGCATTTTCCACACATCACAATATGTCTGCCAAAGTGCCCAAATTGCCTCCTCTGCCGAGGCTACGTGTCGACACCAAGAAGGCCTCAGTGGTCAACAAGAACCCCTGTTACGTGATGCTGGCGTCGCTGCTGAACTGCTGGGCGTCCAACGGAGAGGGCTCTGCCATCTGCAATCCTTTAGAGAATAAGCTGAGCAACTGCATGGTGAATATGGTAAGCTTTGAATTTCTTTGCATCTGCTTTGCTCGATATATGTTGTTTACTAACGATATTTGCAATTACAGCCCAAAAACAGAGGTGCGTCTTACGACTCTTTGAACTACCATGCTGCCAGATTGAAGCCAAAGATCAACGGAAGTGGCCATGATTAGAAAGAGTTAAGCTGAGAAAACGAAGCAGGATCAGACGAGTTTGAAACAAAACAGAGGTTTTATTGAGCGTTGGCTGTGTCCAACGCAGACCAGAAGGAGAGTGGTCTACAGTGTATATATCGCAATAACCAATCATGAGAGAGACCAGAATTATAAACTGGTTGGAATAAACTAAAAATAAGCCAAATATTGGAAATATCTCTTGCGGATGTCGTAGATTTCACCATTTGAATTCGTCCTGGGGGCTACATCTGTCATTTGATCTACGGTCGCCCAATACTAAAGATTGAATTTTCAACTTGGCTCTCTCCACATGTTTTACTCTTCTCCACTTGTCCTCTAAACCACGAAACAGAAATGTTTTTGTCAAGGATACCGAGGACAGCGCGCTGCTATAACTCAAATTTGGTGTTAGGGTCCTTCAGACGACTTGTCAGTTCCGGTGAAGCCACTGACAAAACAAGCACCAGCTCGCAACAGCTCTTCGTGGGGAACGCCCTTGACGAACTGTTAGATGACTGGTCCAAGGAGACATATTCATCTGCGTCTGATGATACTCTGAAAACGGATTTCAAGCGGGATGATGGAATGATGAGGGATCTGTTTAAGGACCTGGAAAGCAATGTGGCTCACATCTCAGAGAGGTCATACAACCCGGAGCGGGAAAAGGCTACGTTAATGGATGTGTTGAGCTCAGCTTCGAATCCGCTTGTAGAGACGCCTCATTTTTCTAGTCCGATCCGCGCAGAGACGCTTACAGATGCAGATTTCGAGAAGAGGGAAGAGGCCAGAAAGCAGATGATTGGTGCCCTCCAGCCATCTTTTGATGCTATAAACGAGACCATTCGTACCGACGATGAAATGGTGACGTTTATCAGAGAAAATATTATAGAGGAATTCAAGCAGGAGTCTCGTACAACTCCGTTCACGAAGAAGACGAGTTTGAGCGAAATCCGTGCCAAGTCGCTGGACACACCACTAGAACCACTGGTATGCAGAGAGAGCATATCCACGCTGCTTGAGTTTGGGCTCACATCATTGGTGAACGACTTTGGCAGCTTTGAAGAAGCCAGATACATCTTCGAGTCCATCCGCAGAGACAGCATGCGAGCTGGATCAGAGAAGTGCACCCAGGAGTTGTATGTTCATGGTTGTGACAGCTACGTTTACGTCTCAATGCTATCACTTGTGTGGAAAAACACTTCAAATACCACGTTGGTTGCTCAATTACTAAAGGAAATGCTCACCAGTGGTATCCGCCTGGACATCAAAGCCAAGATCATAATCTTGCAGATCCAGAATGAGCTCCACATGACAACCAATGAACAAAGTGTGATCTTGCTGCACAGCAAACGAGATGCGAACTTCATATCAAACGTTACCGAAGAAAGAGAGAAGCTGGAACGTCGGGCCAAGGTAAAAGCCGCACAGTCACGTGATGAAGCCCGTGGTTTTGTTCGGCCCACGCACGCTGGTTGAAACGCGTCGGGCTGAATAGATAGCTCTTATTGTAAATAGTGTTCCTTTATTGCCATACCACCATGGAATTTTGGTGAGAACTCAGGTGTAGCAGAGTTAGAGAGTGAGAATTGAACCATTTCGCGTACATCCCACGTTTTTGAGAGAACAACCATGTACCTCATACCGACGGAGTTTGCCAAAGCATTTCAGGCCATCAAGCAGACTTCATTGTCTCATTCGACGTGCAAAGTGGTGATATTTGCCTCATGTTTGAGCATAGACGCGATATGTGCGTCCAGAATGCTGTCGATATTGTTCAAGAAGAATTTGATAGCGTATCAGCTGATTCCCGTGGTTGGATATGCTGACCTGAAGAAGAAGTTTAGTGCTCTGGATGCAGATGTCTCCAATGTGATTTTCCTTGGTTGCGGTGGAATGATAGACGTTGAGAGTTATCTGGAGATTGATCCTCAACAGTTGGTTGATGCTGAAAGTGTTGTCTACGACGAAAACGGCCAAACTAGCTTTCGGTTCACACGTCAAGTCTACATCATTGATGGCCATCGGCCGTGGAATTTGGACAACCTGTTTGGTTCCAAGATAATTACGTGTTTTGATGATGGAGGGGTTGACACGAACTTGGAGAATGAAAGGGCCGCGTATGACGTTTTGGTATCTATAGGTAGCGATGATGAAGGTGAGGATGAAGAAGGTGAGGAAAGTGAAGATGGCGGGGACGAGGAAGAAGACGCCAATTCTGACACCGATGACGACGATGAACTCGATGGAAGTCAGGAGTCACGAAAAAGACGCAAATCTGGCAACGGAAAGATTTCCAAGAAGAGGATGGTCACCTCCAACGAGAAGGTGATTGACGCATACTACAACCAGGGCACCACTATAACGACACCAGTGACCCTCCAGGTGTACTCCATGCTATCCACTATTGGAGAGACCAGCTTGGAGTATCTGTGGTTCACTATCATTGGGACTACGTCGTTAAACTCCCAGTATAGTGCACTGTATGACCGGTGTCTTCCACTGCTGAAAGATGAAGTCAAGAGATTGGAAAACAACTCATCCGCTTCAACAGGATTTGTAAGTGGATCAAAGAAGAGCGCTGACTCTACGAATGTGACCATTGATAAGGATTACTCGCTCTTTCTGCTGCGACACTGGAACCTCTACAATTCGTTCTTCTACTCATCATACGTGAATTCCAAGCTTCAGCTCTACACGGCCGAGGGAAAGAAAAAACTAAACACTTTGTTTGCGCGGATGGGCATTTCGTTGACTTCGGCTTACCAGAATTGGTACTATGTGGATGTCGATCTAAAACGCAAACTTCCTGACATGCTTGCTCAGCATCTGCAAAAATACGATTACGTGATCCGAGATGGGTTTCTGAGAAATTACGGGTACCATGGGTCGGTAAGTGCATCAGAATTCGTAGAATCTGTGACAGCATTACTGGAATACGATGCCGGAGAGGAAGAGGAAGAGATGGAAAAGAGGCGGCGCGGCGGTACTTCCAATGGTGCAACTGAAGAACCCGATAAAGATATTGACCAGTTGATTGCCAGGCGGGAATCTCAGTATGTGGTGAATTTCTGGAAGTCTTTTGATGCCCTGGCCGACTTTAAGGCCATCCAACGTGGACTGCAGATCGCCAAATGGCAGCAGAAGTTTGTTTTTGACAAAGGCCTGGAAATCTTCCAAAAGAAGATGATCAAGGATCTTCGCGTGTTTCGTTTAGTGGTTCTAAAGGGCGATTTTGCTTCGGGTGCGTCTATCAGTGACACGGCCAAAGACGGAAAGGGCCATGACCAAATTGATGCAGCTATCGAGATCCGCACCATGGGTGCCTCAAAGGTGTTCCGTAATCCCTTGATGCTTACAAAACTGGGAAATTGGATATTGGACTCCTGCATGGAAATAGACGCTTCTGCACTTCCCTTGATCATTGCTTCGCTGGATACAGAGACTGATACCTATCTGGTGTGTGGGTTGCCTCCCAAGCACCGTACGTCTGCTGAAGAGGCTGACAATATCGCCATGCTGAACACATTTTCTTTGGCGTTCCAGGAAGTTGCAAATACCACCAGCACCAAGGCAAGAATTGATAGTTTTGAGAGCTCGATCATCGAGATTGCGAAAGAGGATCTTCAGTCGTTTCTAGAGCGATTAACACTTAGCGGGTTAGTCTGAAAAGATTGAACATGAGACTGGAAGACAGGTCATTAGACGGCAAGAAACTTGCAAAAGTGGCACAACTGGTGGAAATTGCATGATTCATGCACTTGTGACAGCTGGTGATAACGCATGACCTTCAGAAGCTACTCCAACCATCAATTCGTTGTCGTTCGAAGCGAACCGGACGTGGACCATCCACAGAGACTAGTATTGGTGGGCGTCCAAAATCAGGGCTAATTGGTCAACTGACGGGAGCGAGATACTACTGAAATCATTATTATAATAGGCTAATTCCTTTAGAGTGCGTCAGTCATACCATTAAGGCTTGGCCTATAAAACTCTGACATATGGCTGAACTCGGCAATTAGTACCATAATCAGCCATCGATTATACAACATAATAAGCCATTTTGAACCATCACCTCTTTCGGTTGCCTCATTTAGCGCAATTTTCACCCACCTCTACTGGGACAAATGATGTGCGTTCCATCTCAGCGAACACCCACCTATTGAGAGGTCTGGTGACCAAATCATTTCCACTACACGATTGGAGTCAAAACTACGCCAATATATATTAGAAAGGATAAAACACAGAATAATCACTATATTGCTTTGTTTCCACTAAACAGCTCGATACTATAACTCTTTTGTAACCGTTTTTACTGCCTCCACCAATGCCTCCACCAATCCCGCATGAGTCGCGTCTCGACAGCCCATTTGTCCCAAAAGGGAAATTGTGCATTTTTTCGCGTCCGCTGCGTCCAGCCGATGCCCCCTTCCAGACTGTACGGCCTCTTTAGCTGTCAACCACCCCTAACACCTCACGCCACAACGTCTTGAAGAGAGTTAAAACAACTGGATCAGTCGCCCAATTTCACGAAGCTTGAATTCCTTCCACTGTTTGGACCCCAAAGCTTTGAGGATCACACCCACCGAATCTCTGATTGCCGAGGCTGATTTTTCATTTGGCCGTGGCTAGCCTCATCTCGCACTAAGTGCAAATCCCTTGGTTTTCGGTCTAAACCATCCGTTCAGGGTTTTAAAAGACTTATTTGATCTTCATCACACAGTTACTTCAGTTTCACCCCATCACCACTTCAGAATGAACAAAGTGGGCCCCTCAGCTAGCGGCCTGGACAAGGACCAGGAAGACATCATTGCAGAAAACATCCTGAAACGAGCCGAAATCGCCCGAATCACTAGACAGTTGCGCTCAAAGCTTCTCAAGGCTGGGATCAAGGCTAGAATCGATAATGGTATTCCTGTGGACCTTCCGAGTCGGTCTGACAGCTCGTTGCCGTCTTCGCCGGCGAATCCACTAAGGGATCCTGTTTTCGTGCCGTCATCCGCGCAGAGAAAACGCCGGTCAGCTCACGAGAAGGAACTAGACACACAGAATGATGAGAATGATCACGATAACGAGACGGACGACTACGTGTCACCCTCGAAGAAACATCACAACGGAAACCTTTCCTCGTCACCGGTGTTCAGAGAGTCTAATTCCACACCGGCTGTTCCGCAAACTCCCCCAATGAGCTCACGAGCTCAACTTGCAACAGCTACTACACCCGAAATGGCTAGGACGCCTGGAAAGGAGCTTGAAGAGGGTTCAGCCCAGTCTGCATTGCAAAACGCCATCTTCGCTACGCCCAAGGCCAAGCTTATCCGCCATCCTTACGAGTTCAAAACTCCGACCTCACTATCGTCTAGACTTCTCGCCAATCAAGCGATAGGTTCCAGCTCAGCTGGCAGGTATGAAAATGACCAGGAGGAGGGTGCTGACCTGCTGATGTTTCTGGCAACATCACCTTCCCCGGCCTACCACAAGGATAGAGATACTTCGTACAATGGCTCCAGGAATGCTGTCACGAGCCCGAAGACGCTTTCTTTTCAAAATTTGAATTCTACGCCGCCCCGGCCCGATGCGGCCAATATGGCTTCTCCGGACCCGATCAAGGCAGCCAATCAGCATCACGCAAATGGCAGTTCGAATGGGGCTCAAAGTGGCTCAGCTTCGACTACGAATCAGATATTGATTCAGCATTCTTCTTCTCCCCAGCACTCGCGGTTTGCGACTCCCGCCGCACCAAACACACCAGGTCGTCACCACAAGCTCCAGGTGGGGCCTAAGACGCCCGGGTTCAGTATGAGCGATTATGTGAACCTTTTCACACCATCCCCAAGGTTCAGCAGGACCCCTGACTCTCACAAGGTGGGCACAGGGACGTTTTTGAATTTAGGAAAGGAGGGTCCTTTCCGAAGCCTTGATCAGCAGCTGACTGAAAATGACTCTGACCGGATTTTCTGAACCTCGCACCTACATTGCCAGGTCTCTGATATTGCTATATTTCTACAATTGGTGGGTTCTCCTTTTAAACTCTGATTTTTTTCACCTCCTCCCCCGTTTTTCTATCTCCGGTGTTCTTCTCGCTACGGTTTTGCTACTCTACACTTGCCATTCCTACTCCTGTCTTGGTTATAGGACTTTTTATTGACTAATCTTTTAAATCCAAAGTCATTGCCTAATGATAATCTCCGTCTAACTGCCACTAAAATTTCGAACTGCAAAAAAGTTTCAGTTCATTTAGCCGTATGTCCCTTCACCAAAACGGGAGCAATCCCAATCCTGCAACCTTTGAACCTCGGTCGTGCCCCACCCACACCTCAGAACAGGGAGCTTGCGACCAACCTCCCGTTCTGCGAAAAGGTCTCCACAGGCATTTTCAAACAGACAAACAATCGCAACAACGCTTCCTTTCTCCACACAATCAACAGCTCTGTCGCCGCTTGGAAAGATCCGTTCTTTGTCATCAGTTTTCCCTGATATTCCAGTCACGAATTGATACCAAGTCACGCGATCGAAATGAGTTCTACGCAGTTCCGCCAGTCGGGACTGGTCGATCTCCAATCGTCTTCAGCCGCGAACCAGCAGCAACAGCAACAACAACAGCAACAGCAGCACGAATCTGACCAGAGTGTTAATTTGACTGATACCAGCGGACTTTCGTTTGACAACTCCAAGTTGCCTCGTGCAACGCTGGAGCAGAAGATTCGCGTCCTGGACTACCACAACTCGTCCGAGAAGAAGTGCCAGCAACATACTGTCAACTTCTTTCGCCAGCTGGGCGAATTTTCCATCACAAAGTCCACGATGAACAGGTGGGTTCTGGGCGAGAAGAGACTCAGACAGGATTATAAGAATCTCACTCTGAACAACAACAAGCTATACAAGACGCGGCCCAAGTTTCGCGACCCCGAGATCAACAGGTGTTTGGAAATATACTACGAACAATTGGCAAACGAATCTTCCACGGCAACCGAACGCGAGCTTCTGACCAAGTGGTCGGATTTCTATAAGCTATACCACGATCTGCCGCAGCTGGATCCGCTTCCTCCAAAGTCAAACGGATGGTTGCACCACTTCAAGAAGCGCAATTCTCTGAAAAAAGAGCTTATGTCCACGTTTTTGTCACAGCAGGCCATCTCTAACGTGGGAACCATAAACGATGAGTTTAAGAAATTGTCGCACACACTTTCGCGGTACCAGCCCCACCAGATCTTTGCCATTGACGAGTTTGCGTTCCATACCAAACCCTCTGCCTTCAAGCCCAACATTGCCAAACAATCTCACGAGCTCAGCTTGACAGACCCCTCTGAGCGTGTAATTGCTGGGATTTGCTGCAACACGGATGGGTCAGTCGTTTTTGACCCGATGATCGTTACCGATGCTCAAAGCTCGCGCCATTCGGGCATACCAACCATATTCCACTCCAAAACGGGACTACTTTCTAGCGAGATTTTTGCCCAGTATGTTGCCTATATTGATGATCATATTGCGAAGACCCTGGGGCAACGTGCTGTACTACTGCTTGACGATCTCCCAGCGCACATCTTCCCCACGGACCGACTTCGATGCATCGATCTGTGCTACTATACCTCTGGGCTCAATAAGGAGTTATACCGGCCCCTTGACTTTGGGATTGGCCGCATTTTCAAGACAGACGTGAAACACTCCTTCCTCCAAAATGCGCTAAAGCGCACGCTTGTGGGTCTCGACGACGACTCTGCCGCAGATTTGTTCACTTTGAGCAAGGACGAAATCATCGCCACTATCTCCCACACTTGGTCTTCGCTGAAGTTCAACGATCTGGTGATATCTGCCTCTTTCCGCAACAGTGGCATTTTTGGACCCCAGGGGAACGTGAACGGTGGGGGCCAGGCTGGATATGCGTTGCGCGACACTACGAAAGAATCCCATATTCTGAACATCTTCAACTTTTTCTTGGAGAAGGGCTGGCTCAACGACTCGATCTTAAATCCGTCGCGGTCGGGGGTAATTCTGGACGATTACCTCTTCCCTGAAGAGGAGGACGTGAGGTATGAGCATCTCACTGACCTCGACATAGTGCGTCTCGTGAAACGTGAGGTCCTTGACGATGAGAGACTGGATGTCGCTGCTGATGACGGTGAATACGATAATGGCATTGACGTCTCTGGAAGGAGATCCACGCCATCAACCCAAGATGCAGCCATGGCGCTCAGTATTGCTGCCAGTGCGGTTCAGAATCCTAACGATACCGACGAGACCCTTGGTGGCCTTGCAACAACGCAGCTGGTCGATTCGCTAAGCGGAATCCTTCCCTCACATAAATCAGTCGACCAAGACCCGGCATTAGATCCCGAGGACTCGAAGGAGATCGGAAGGTTGATCTTGAACCGGCTGAAGCCGTTTTTCTCAAACCCAAATGTGGCCAAACGCTACTCCAAGAGTGCAGAGAAGTTTGTGACATTTGCCAGTACATATCTGCAGGAGACCAACGACATTTTCCTGAAAGATTACCGCAACGGCAAGGATTTGGGCCATGAGAAGATCAATGGGATGGAGTCTATGAACAAACGCAGGCGAGTTCAGTACGACTCTCTACCTCATGGCCAGATGATGATGAGCGGTGATAATGATAATATCGATAATCAGTTGATTGATGGGAGGTGATCATGTGTAATTTTTTGTAATCTGTAATATTAAGCCAATTTTGAGGAGTCTGTAGGAGATCTAACAAGCGAAGAGGCAACGGGACTGACTCTTTGATGTAACTTAGGTGGTGAGTTTTCCAAACCCCATAACAGCACTTGAATCTTGATTATGAGATTAATTATGCAACTTTAGCTTTTTGTAAGTGCTGTTATCTCTCTATATGCGCAAAGATTACCTCGATTAAGCTTGCGGTACCGAAACTTCGCCCAGAACCTTCAGTGTTCTTTTGTGCCTCCGGTGGAATGGGTGGTTTTTGCCATGCTCAGCCTGTCGAGTGAGCTAAATTTTATTCCAAATTGAGCCAATCTCTTTAATGATGTCCTTTTACCTAAATGAGTATCTTTCCAATATGCAATTCGGACGGCATCAAGGGGAATGTTCAGATCAAGATCGTGCAGCAAGACGTACATGACCCTGCAGGTGACGATCTTAAAAGTGCCCCCGAACTAAATATGGCGCTCTTAGGAGACCAGAACTAATTAAGATCAGGCGCAGTGATTTGGATTCATGCTGGCCATGTTGGAAGATTACAAGCACTTAAAATAATGTGATAATTCAACACCGGCTTTTTCACTTACACAGTTCTGCAGGAGCCTTGTAGAGGAAGTTGGTGAGACATGCTTTATTATTGCTCTGTACCATGGCAGTTCATGAAAGGTGCAACGTACCTATCTTTTGGTTGAAGTAATACTCATACAGTGCCTCTCATTGGAAGATGGTAATGCTTGAATGGCAGCCATGGCAATAATGCAGTCGCAGTGTTCATGCATTTTTACGGAAAACAGATGATATTGACTCAACACCAAAACAAAATAAATTGGTAATATGAAGAACCGTCCTATAAATTTTCAAATCAAAACAGCACGACCCCTTCAACTCCAGATATATACAACTTTGGCACCATGTCGATCCAGCTCCATACCAACTGCCACAATCGGTGCGGCTCAGACTAACTGGTATGCCCCGTGTCGTATTTAACTCTTATGCCAAATCTTTCCCTCAAAATGCGCATTGTTTTCAAATTGTCATCATAACGGGTATGGTGTTCCAACAAAATTGACCAAATGTTTGTAACGCATGTTGATGCAGAGATCGCCGGTAGCTGTGGAGACGCACTTTAGGGAGCCCCACTAGCACATGCCTAGCTAACAATGAGCAGACCTGCTGGTCCAGTTGGCTCTGGCATGATTGGGAAACAGGCCCTCCGGGGCTCCTCAGCAAGTGAAACAAGTCTAATTGTGATATTTTTTTAAACGGAAATGCACTTCAAAATTACTTCAAAGGTTACAGCTAAAGTTTCTCCTGGCATTTAGGTTTTGGACTGCCGAAAGATTTCATCACCTCGCGATCGACAATATGCGACTAACGTACCCATCTGTGCAGCGAAAGAAATTTGATACCAAATTTGGGTTCCGTGCGTCATGATACAACACATTTTGCAGCAAAAGGCGGAAAATACAAAAACTTGGTAGATTTCAGGGATATCATGTGAATCAGCCCATGGCTCATGCCAATTTCGGCGCCCTAAGGGTTATCAAAAATGCTACAGCTAACCGGTCTTGACCGTGAAGCACAAAAACTAGCGAATATTCGGGAAATATATCAATTGAACACCAACGAGCATTTTGAGTAATTTTAGAGCTCGTTACCGGCCGTTCTAAAACCCCTTCACATTGTTCTCAACGGTAAGCGCCCAAGTATCTCCACAGTAGACCCCAGTATTAAGCGCTGAATACTTGATCTGGACAGATCAAGCGCTTCAGACCAGCAATTTGTCACTTCCCTTCCAAGGCAAATCAGGGACAAATCAGCTCTGTTCTTTACTCATTGAAACTTAATACCTTCAAAAATATTTTTAAAAGTTTAGCCAGACACTTCGTAACCGGGAGTATCCTCGTAAGCTGGCGTGTCCATCCCGTCTGCCAAAAGACCCCTCGCTCGCTCGCTTTTGGAAAAAAACCCTGGGTTGTTGATCTGCCCGGAATTTGGCTCCAACCCGCCAATTCGCCCAATTAGCAGGAAAGCCCCTAAGAGCAGCAACCCTTACTTCTGGTTCGTCTTGCAAAAGTGCTCTGGACCCGCAAATCCTCAGTTTGCAGCCAGAAGTGCCCGTGATCTCTAATCACCTCGTCCTCGAGACTTTGCGCATAACAGGCTTTTCTGCGCCTTGGTCCCAGAAACGGATTGATCTCCCTGTGAACTTTTGAGATCTGTTGATCTTATTCCAAGTTTTCTAATTGAGGCCTTGTCAATTCATTAATTTCCTTTGATTGACCATTTTTCAGGTGTCGTCGGTGCTTTTTGGCTTCATCATTCTGAAACATTCACCCTGCAAGGATATACGAAGACAAAGCCTAAATCACCACCTCCAATACCAACCTTCAGAGCAAAACCAAAGTATTATCTATCAGAATCTCCTGCTGAATTCTCCTGTTTCTTTTTTTTATACACAATCTGCATACTATATCCGCATGAGTACGGATCAGAACATCATGCCTTCCAACCAGGAAGACGGCTCGACGCAGTATAGCCCGCACCAGCAACAACAACAATTGCCCTACATGAATGTGGGATTGCAATACTCACAGCAACAGCATCCACAACAGCATCATCAATCAGAGCAGCAGCAACAACAGCAGCAACAGCAACAGCAAGTCTACCAGCCAATGTTGCCCATGGCCAGGCCTCCAACGGCCAACAACCAGTTGTACTCAGGATATCTCCCTCCTGGATCTGCTCAGCTCCCGATCCAGTATCAGCAACCGCTCCAGCAGATCTCTCAAGTTCAACAACAACGGCTAGACTACACTTTTCCCGAAAAAATGGACCATCTTCAGCCAGTCCTTCCGGTGAAGCAGGAGTTTCTGTACCCGGTGTCTCACCATCGCCATCATTCCTCTCAAGCCAGTCAGGGCTGGATTTCTGCCGGGGCAAGTGGAGTTGCCGGTTTGCATAATCGAGCCAACTCGTTTTCGGCTCCATCCGCAAACGGATATTCAGCGACTAGTTCGCCAACTGATTCCATGGTCGAAACGCCTGTATCCCGCGCTGGAAGGCAGGTTAACCGCTACAGGAAGCTACAGAAGGACAAGCGAGTCAACAATTTTGAAAAAGTCGAGCGCGAGTTGCGAGAACTCACTTTTGAAGCCGCAGGCGTTGCGTATGAAGAACTTGGAGCAGAGCTTCGAGAAATAGACGCGCGGTTAGCTGGTTCCGATAGGCGCCGAAACGGCGAGGAATCGCTTTCAAAGGATCGCAAGCGTCAGGTTTTTGGCCTTGTTTTTCTGATGAGATCTGTTGAGACGTCCCCGAAGGCAGTTTTGGCTAGATCAACTCTTTATGGGTGCTATGCCTCATTGTGTTCTGGCCACGGTCTCACGCCCTTAAGTGCGGCTTCCTTTGGAAAACTCGTCAAGGTGTGGTTTCCTCAGGTCACTGCGAGAAGACTGGGAAATCGGGCTCGTTCCCGGTACCATTATTCTGGAATTCGGTTCGTCGAAGGTTTTGAGGTGGATGCTCGCTTGGTGGATTCTGCCAACAACTCTCCTTTGGTTTCGCCCTATGGATCTCCATTTTCGACAACTCCTTCTCACGCTTCGCATGCTTCACAGGCTCCGCATACCACTGGTACAGACTCGCCTGGATCCAGCATCTCCATGACCTCTGTATCCTTGGTATCAGACTACTCGGGTCAGTCTGAGCTTGTGGGTGCCGAACTCAGCTTCAAACCTGACATCTTCCGATCTGAGGAATTTGACGATACTGCCCAATTGCTCGAGTTGCCCTCGATTTTTGCATATTTGCCCAAAGTTGGGGACACAGACTCTGCCATTGCCCTGGCAGCTCTCTACAAAGCTCAATGTGTCAACGTTTTCGATGCTCTTCGTTATATGCAGGTAAAGTACCTGTTCAATTGCATCAATACGTTTGTGGTGGGGCTAAACCCATCGGTTTTCAAGGTGTTAACGATGGATGCCTTGGTTCCATGGGTCGTAGAATGCGATCTAGTTCTTTATCGGGCCATCATGAGGATGCTGGCCAAACTCACACTCCAAAGTGTTCCGCTTCCAGTTTTGAAGCAACTCAAGGCCGTTTCTGCCCGGTTCCCTGAGAAAATCGGAGCTTTGAACCTTCCTGGAACGTTGCTCCACGCTAAGGTAAGGGTAGCTGTTAGGTTCACGAGACTTGTTTCGCGTCTCGTAAGAGTGGCTGAGGCCAGAGATACTGCCACAAGGGTATTGATGGGCGCACAAGACCGCGAGCTTATGATGAAGAACTGGCAGAACTCGGTGGATTTCACAGAGCTCGTTCTTAAGGAGCTACCTTGTCAGGGTGAAAACTCTAAGAAGGTCATTGATCTGTTGAATGTGGAAGTTCCGGATCTTTTCCGCGAGGTTGAGCAATCATCCAATGGTTCTACAGTAGATCCCGATGCATTGGCCCAAAAGATTGGGCTCTTCCTGCTGTCCATTCCCAAACGATTCCCTGATGTGGCCCCAAGACTTATTCTCTTGTGCACTAGCACGATCCTAACGGCGGCTTTGCGTGAAATATCGCTAGCTGGTGGTGAGGGGTTTGGAGCATGGTGGGTTTTTCGGTGCTGGATTGACGAATGGCTTGGCTGGTGTGCAGAGCTGGGTGGGTTCCTTGAGATGGTTCCACCCGCGAATTTTGCCCCGCTTGACAAACGCGACAAGTTTCAACCTATCACAGTTCCTAGCAGTCGTTCTGGTAATGCCAGTCCGCTGTATACCATGGATGAGGGCGGAGACGTAGACCTGCTGCAAAAGAAGTACGGTATGTGACCGCATGACACTGATAGAGAGCATTCCAAGTTGGCGGTACCACTGTCCGGTAGGACCTATGTGGGCCGCTCGCTACATAATTGTCTTTTGATTCTATTCGTACAGGCAAAAATTGCGCCTTTTGACTTATATACAGCTGTATGTTCCATACGATACATATCCAGAATACACTTTGCATAAATCAGGGCTGTGCATATATGCGCTATGGTAGTGTGGAGGTTGATCTGACGCCGCACATATATGGCCTTCAACTAAGCGCCTGGGGCAGTGGAGATAGACTGTTTCTAATGGAGGAAGAAAGGGTGTCAATAATGAGCGAAATTACTGATGAGGACTTATTTGGATTTCCAGGCACCTTGTTTTTAAGACAGACCGAACGCGGGTACCACAGGCGGGGTATCGGGGTCAGTAGGCCCTTTCACGCTGGTAAGTATGAAGAGGTGGTGTATGCGTTGGTGTTGAGTATTAACGTTGTTGTCCAAGGCGAAATCATTTGCGAGGTTGTCAGTAAGCTTTCTGTGCTAGATACAGGTGTCCAACTGTGTTCCAATTGCGCGGGAAGCATTTCCCAGAATGAGCGTGTAACGTGTCAACGCTGTAACGCATTGTACTGCTCTAGCGCCTGTCAATGGCAGCACCGCACTCCTCATTCGCTGGAATGTAAGCTCTCAACTTTGGCATTGACACACAAAGATATCAAAACAGTTTTGACTTCCGAGGAAAAGCTTGTTTGCCTGATGGCACTGCTCTACAAGCACGATCTGAAGTTCGCGCAACAACTCGACATGCTTACTTCCCACGAGGACGAGATTGGCAGAGACTCAAATTCAATCTCAGAAGTTGTTGCAAACATGGTCAAAAATCCTGGTTTACTAATCAAGTTTGATAAATCGGTGCTTGAACGTCTAGCGTGTATTATCATGGTGAATGCTACCACGATGCAAGACTCTAGGAAAGGAGCCATTGGGCTTATGTTCGACCCGATGTTCTCTCTGATTAACCATTCATGTGACCCAAACATTGCAATAGTCTTCAGTGGAAGAAGTATGACTCTTTTAGCTCAAAGAGATATTCCTTCAGGCGCAGAACTGTCTGTGACCTATTGCTATCTCGCAATGCCCACTGCACTCAGAAGGTACGGTCTGCAATCAAGATTCTTCTTCAAATGCAATTGTTCTGTGTGCAAGCAAAAAGTTGATCGGTTTTACTCCTGTAACTGCCCGAATTGTCATATCCAAGTTTACGGGTTCGATTTCGAGACTGGTGCATTGATCACCGTTAAGCCCAATTCGCACAGAGTATGCCAGAATTGCGGGACCGAATTTAGCACTTCTGCAAATGTTGTTAAAAATGTTATTGACAGGTGTTTGGCATTTGAAGCTGAGTTAGTTGAAGCGGAAATGAAACGGGCAGAGAATGAAAGAGTTACGGGAACATCATCATCATTATCACCATCAAGGACACCACCATCACCAACTGTCTTTGATGTCCAACTCGAGGTTGTCACTGGAGCACATTCAATTACAACCCACGAGTCGTTTTTGGAATGCCTCAAGCTCCTCAATCTTGCAAACAGTACTGGAATGATCCCACTCTACCATTATCCCCTCAGGGTAATGTACGACCAGCTCGTCGAGTACCACGATAACACGATAGGTTGCAACAAAATTGACTCCTTACGGTTCTATTTGGTTTCATTATTTGGATCTGATTGTGCAGAAGATGTAAGCCCCTTGAAGCTCGGAGTTTCGCGTCTTTTTATCACTTTTGGGTGCGTTATCGATGCTGTATCTGAGTTCGTGGAAGATGACATTAACAACACTTTGGATTGCTACAGAGCCTACTTTACAACCGAATCTCGCAATATTCTAAGGCAGGCGGCTTTGGTTTGTTTTATACAGGCGTATCTGTACCAATCTAGAGGCTTCCAGAGAGGTTTTGCGGCAAAGGAGAGGGCAATGGTGATCAGCCAGATAGAGCATAGGAGGAGAGCTATGTTGGCGATGACCGAGACAAATGCGAGGGATTGGATAAACGAGGGTCTCTGTCACTCCAAGATGATGATCTCTTTGAAAAAGCTGTGTATCCTGGTTGATGCTGGGGTAGATCTGTGTGGAAACCTTGCCCATGCCGATCGTCGTCACCAACCCATCTGCCTTAAATGCGACAGAGACATGCTGAAAGAACTCGTTTTTCACGCATGTTCACCCGGAATGGAGTCTAGAGTCAACTCAGAGTATACAAGACTGTGCAGGTCACACGCACACCTCACAAAAACCAGAAATCTGTTCCCGCCTACTCATCCCCTCAGGGATGAACACGTCTCAGACATCGTTTAGAGCAACACACACTACACCCTTATTATGTCCGTTGTATTGTCTCACCGTCTCACTCGTAGAAAGGTCCCACAGTCTCACGTAATGGTCTGAGCATGCTGTAACCAAGTAGGCCGAATCCGCACTGAAAGCGCAATCCCAAACCCATCTCTGGTGGCCTCGGAGTGTGGTTTCAGCTCCAAAGTTATCGTCAATAGACCATACCCGCGTAGTATGATCGGCAGAACATGTGGCCAGGTGTTTCACATCCGAAGAGAGTAAAACCCGAGTGATGTACTTGGAATGCGAACGAAACTTTGTGATTGGCTGCAGTGACGTCACATCCCTGTTGTTGAACATCTTCCACACATAACAATTGCCCTTGTTATTCCCGGCAACCAACATGCTTCCATCTGAGGCAACACTTACCGAGGCCACAGGAACATCATCTTCGGGAATCAACTGATGCGTACATTGGTTCTCACCAAGGTCCCATATCCGCACGTTTCCGTTCTGATCACACGATATCAGCTCTCCTTGATTCGGATGTATGACGACTTCGTTCACAGGGCAATTGTGCTTGTAATTGCGCTGGACACTTGGCGCCCGCACATCCCATACCTTGACAGTGCCATCCTCACTCGACGACACCATCCACTTGTTATCCGCTTGGAAAGCGATCGACGTCACATTGTTCGTGTGGCCCTCAAAAGAAGTCACAGGGTTAGGATTCGTGGTCTTGATGTCATAAAGTCGCACCCGTAGATGGCCAGCAGCTGCCAGGAACTTTTTGTCCGAGGTTATCTCAAGCCTGTTGACTTGCGAATCGCTATGTTGGATGGTTCGGGAACACACTCCCGTCAACGCTTCCCAGAACCTTATAGTATGGTCATAGCCAGCTGAAGCTAGTATGACAGACATTGGAAGATTTAAAGCAGTGGCCGTAAGAAATTGAACTTGATACAAAGGGTTTGTCTTGTTGAAGGACTTCTGAACTCAAGCGTCTCCTTTATCGCGCGTCACGTGATTATTAGTTTGTGCACTACTTGGAGGAAATGGAGAGAAAGATCGGTATTAGAGGACTTATGGGAGTATTGTCAGAATATTCTACGTATTATTAAATGTCGGTCAATCTTCGGTGAGTCAGACAACTCGTTGGTGTTCTCTGGTCGAACTTGTCTGATCCCCCCCTCATTCCAGGAGGTTCTCTTCTTCTATGCCTTCTCCCATTCCCTCGGCGTCTTGGTCTTCAATTGGAGGGCATGAACTCCCTTCTCGTTCAGCTCCTCTTCTAGCAACTTGTAAACTAGTCTGTGTCTTGCGGGGAGGTTCTTCCCTTCGAACTCATCAGAGACGATGGTAACGTTGAAGTGTGACTCTGTCACGTTAGTGGCTCCACGGATACCAGCATGGTGAGCGTGTTTCCAGGAATCGTTGGCCATGTCAAGAAACACCGGCTTGAGGGCATCTTGAATTTTGGAACGAATGCATAGCTCGATCGGACCCGATTCAGCGGACTTCCCCGCGGCAGCAGACATGGATGAGGTAGATAGGGTTCTGAAAATGGACAGAGACAATGATACTGGCTTCACACGAGCAAGCATCTAGCCACAGAATGAAGAATTTGCGAGAAATTCCCGAAATATACACCAATAATCAGCTTGTGGCTAATGGGAACGGAGAGATCCAGCACCATTCATAATCGCTCCATATGTAGCTGTCAGCTATTTTCTTCATTCCGAGGAAGGACTCACGTGATCAGCCTCGGAATACCCCCTTCGGAAAAATAGCAGTGCCTCTCTGAGGCAATGACACCTCGCCATTTGGCACATACCAACTCCCGCTAAGACCTTCAAGAAGTGCCAGAATAGTTAGTTCTGTTCAGTTTATCTTCTCAGTTTCGTGTGAATATTTTGTCTGGATATTTGTCCAGTATATTTGATTAATCGTTACATTCCAGCGGATATCACGGAACTTGATCCACAGTTGATCAACAACGCATCAAACTAGCGCGAAACCAATTTATAATTCACAAAAGTCTTTATCGAGATGTCAGGTGCAGTGCCTTATGACCCACACCAACCTAGGTCAAATGTTTCCAAAGTGATGGAAGAGATGGACAATGCCATGGGCAACATGCGTGATAACCTGAACAAGGTTACCGAGAGAGGAGAAGCTCTGGATGATGTTGACCAGAGAGCCAACGTGTTGGCCAATAATGCGTCCACCTTTAGGAAAAGTGCGAATACGGTGAGAAAGAGAATGTGGATGAAAAATCTGAAGATGAAGCTGTGTTTGGCTTTGGTGATCATCATTTTGCTAATAGTGATCATTGTACCCATCGCGATTCATTTTAGTTGAGGCTAGCAGGAATTCCGAAGGATTCGCTTTTACTTGGGGGGGAATTGATCTTGAAGCATAATTTGAAAGACAAACCAAACCACTCAATGGATAGTGCAAAATCCACGATGACTATCTCACTCCTCAAATGTTACAGCCCCTTTCTGGACTCCCATTTTTACATCATACGCTATCGCCCAGTTTGACCCTTTTTATGCTTTCGCATTCTCTCAGAGAAGAGAGACCGCGAGTCTTGACAGTTGCTCAGTAGAGTCTAATCAATGTTCTTCAATGTGACAAGTAGATGTTTGTATGTAGGATGGGTGGAAAGGGTCTACTGATTCGGTCTTATCTCAGAAAATAATTAACAGAAAATAGGAAAGGAACTGAAATACATACACGAAAGCGCCATTTATAGCGATGGTCGTAATAGCACTGTCTAGGCAGCAGTGATACCACCATCAACTGACCATGATATCACCTTCTAACACACCATAACACTACCTTCTAAAACCATGGTTTCGCACTCTAGGACTCCTAGTTCGCAACAACCCCTTCCTCGTTTGAGACCAAAGTACTCTCAGCAGACTCAAGCATCTGCTGAGCAATGGCGTTCTTGGAAACGAGCTCGATGATTCTCCTCAAGTGTGGCACATTCAAATAGGATGGAACGTAGGCCTCGACGTTGGCAAAAGGCCTCTTCTCGATCTTCCTGAAAGGATCCTCGAAGTTGCCAGTGTTGTTAACAGGCTCAAGGTACTGGGTGGCATTTCCGCCCTGCTGTTTGACTTTATCGGCAACAGCCTTCAACACAGCTGGGGGCAGCGGAGTCTCGTAATCGGCAATGTAGTAATTGGCGACCACCTTCTGGATCTGACTTGGCTTCAAAGCATAACAGATCTCATAGATTATCTCGATGTCGTCTGGAGTGTTTTTTCTCAGTTGCAACAGTTTGGCCACTTGCAACAAATGGGCCAAGTAGGTAGATCCCTCACGAATATCGTGACCCTTGCACCATTCTTCGAGTCTGGTCACGTTGTAGTTTATCTGTAGACCACGTTTCCAGGACAAGAAACTACGTCTCATGATCAGATCATTGAAACAGAAGGCATCCACAAACTTCAACAGTTCCACTATCACCTCGCTAACAATGCTTGGCTCTATGAAATAGGCCTTCATTGACCAGTAAACGTGGTTGAAAAACGTCAAAATGTCATCCATTTTATACTGGGAACTGCTCGAGAACACCTTTTGCATCAGATTGTCTGGGGCAGTAAAACCGGGTAAAGACTGGGTCAGAACAACAGCTGAGATACATCTCTTCTCCAGCATCTTTTGCATTCTCTTCATCCACATGTTGTAAATATTGTATGACAGCGATTCAAAGTCCTCCTTGATCACAGCAACCAGCTGAAGATACTCCTCGTACTCACCCTCGGTCATGGAGTTGGCGGCATTCTCATCTCCCACAATCATAGACTGAGCGTAGCAAATGAAAGAGTATAACTCATGCGTGTTAGTGAGCCAAAAAGCTCCATGTGAGATAATATCGTCTTCTTTCAGACTTCCCACAACTGTCTGAATGGCAGAAAGAACTTCACCCAAAAATTTCTCACTCTCTCCAGTCAATCCCAATCTCCACATATCACTCAGAATGATGATAATGATGCGTGCAGGGAACAGAACCTCCTTCTTGGTCAGTTCAAGAGCAACAGTCGCAACTGGAGGCTTCATGTTCTTTAGTAAACCGTCGATGATTTCCTTGTGCAGGATCTTGGTGTCTCTGTATGAGTTCCACAGCTCGGTCTCAATTGCCTCAACATTTGGAATCTCTCCATTCGAAGATCCGTTGAAGGAAACTGGTCTCGTGTAGGTATCATGAGTCGAGTTCCACGAAATACTTGGAGATCCACCATTGATGATGCCTCTGGAGGCAGCGCTTGGACCAAGACTGGCAACTCTTCCACTTTGAATTTGCTTTGTGAGCTCTTCAAGTTCCGACTTGAGCTTCTCAACAGTAACATTGAGTTCTCTGTTGGTGACGTCTTTGTCTTGGGCCAATTGCTTCACCCTGTCGAGCTCTTTCTTGTGACCTTCAATCTCCTCCTTCAAACTTGTCTTCTCGTCCAACAACTGGCTAATCTTGCTTTGAGCTTCTTCGTGGTCTTTCTTGGCCCGTTCCAGCTCATCAGTCAAGCCACCCACTTTCTCCAAGTGTGTGGCATGGACAACGTCCAAAGACTTCTGGTGTTCTACCTCTTTTTGCTTGAAGGTCTCCTGGTGTTGCTTTCCTTCTTCCGCTAGCAGTTTCAGACTCTCAATCTCACGAACAAGTGACTTGATGTTATCGTTCTTGCCTGTTAACTGCTGGGTCAAATCAATGATTTTGTTTTCAAGGTTGTACTGAAGTTTCTTCATGTGATCGACCGACTTGGATTCCACCTTCAACTGCTTGAGCTCTGCAATGGCATGCTTTCTGCGGATCAGACTCTGAATCAACACAATAGAATGCATCTTGGTTGCATACGCACGCTTGGCCGAATATGTTCTCCAAACAGTTTGAAGGCACCTAGCAGCACCTTCGTGACGCTGTCTCATCACTCTGAGTCTAGTCTGATGACCACGGACGACAGATTGAACTCTGATAACTGAAACCAATGCGGCGCTGACCTTCTTTCTAGCCAAAAAGCCTCTCGAAATTGTCTGAAGCAGCGTAGCTGCGTGAAGCTGTCTTTCTCTAGTGACACGGGCACGCGTCAGAAAGCCACGCACCAAAGACTGTGTAGCCACAAGAGAGGCCATCGTTGCAGAATACTCACGACGAGCGTTTGAACCTCTAATGTACTTCTGAACAGTAACGGCAGAACGGTGAACCTTTTGGGAACGGAGCTTTTCCAAAAAAGCTAGAATTCCGGCCTTGAAAAAGATCTTAGTGCTACCAAGCTGGTATTTCATTGGATCATCAATAGACACAGCCAAAATCTTCTGACACAAGTTTCTGGCATCAGATTCGCTTGGGAATCCGGTCACAAACTTCTGCCACTCGCTCGAGTGTAAGAGAATCGAATACGCCTTCGCAAATTCAGCATATGGAGACCGTGAGGGATATCCAGCACATGAGATCTTAATCGTTTCAAGAACACCACAGGCCCTCAGTTGCGACAGAACCATGACCGGATCAAACTCCCATGCTTTCTTCTCTTCGTTGGGCTTTATACATCTGATGTAATGAACATTGGTGGAGTTGATTGTGTCCATGAGCTCCACCAAAGAAGCCTTGAAAATAGATCCCAAAGTTGGTTTTCTGTTCACAACTTTTCTCCCTGGGCGAGCAGAAGCATTAGCTGCCTGCTCTGCAGCAACCTTTTCGGCAGCCCTTTCAACCGTTTCCAACACCTGTTTGAGAAGAGGGTCAGAAGTGGCAGCAAGGACATCCAAATGACCTTCTGAAACTGTATCTCTGTTTTTCTCAATGAAACCCTCCACATCATAAGGAACATCCAAGGCATAATGCGCAACGATGAACTTGTTGTTTCCAAATCTAGGTTTCTTGAAGACCTTGTCAGTAGGTGGTTTGGCGAGCGTCTGGAACATCTTGTCAGCCCATGATTGATCATTACCAGCAGGGAGTCTAGACTCCTCATCCAAGAGTGAAAGCACACCAAGCTTGTTCTCAATCAAACTAATACAAGGCTGGTTGTCGGAGAACTCAATGAAGGACCATTCGATCTCTTCCCGTATGTACTCTTCTTGCTCGAGCTTGAAAACGTGTTGGTTAAACTCTTGTTGCAGCTTCTCGTTGGCATAGTTGATACAGAACTGCTCGAAAGAATTCACCTCAAAATGCTCGAATCCGTAAATATCCAATACGCCAATGAAGGATTTGATATTCTCAGCAACGGCTGGGGGACACAAATCGGCATTGACGTATTCCACAAGCCAATCAAAAAGCGAAGAGTATATGTACTTAGCAACAGAGTCTCTGGCAACGATCGCCTGTTGATAGTTCAGATTTGACACGATCTTCTCGGATCTTGTGGTAATTTGCTTCTTTACAATCCACTTACTGAAATTGTTCGGATCCAATCCCAAAAGCTCACAGGCTTTAACCAAACTTGGCTCATCAGCAGACAAAAAGGCATCGTTTCTGGTCTTTTTAATCTCGATGTTTCCCAGATGCAGCAAAGCCGCCAGCATCCTATAGATCTGTAGCTGTGTTTCCTCGTTAACGCCAATAAGTTTCAAAGCGTCCGAAGTCTCCTTGAATTCTTTGGCATCATCAACACCTGCAATTCGTGGAATGCCACCCTGGTTCAAATAGTGGAAATCTTCTGTCTTGGTAAGACCGAATTTCTCCTTGGAGTCTTGGTCCAACCCTTCCATGATCTGGTAGAAAATATGGTAATTTCTCTCAATCTTTGGCTGGAAAACAAGCCTGGAGCGCTCCAGCAGATAAGTTCTTATTCTGGCACCGGTGATGACGGTGTCCTTGTTGAACAAGATCTCAAGGTACTTTCCGAATCTCGAAGAGTTGTCATTTCTAGTGGTTTTCGCATTACCAAAAGCCTCCATGATAGGATTAGTGGCCAAGATCTGCTTTTCAACCTCAGACATTTCATGATCGCCATCAGACTCGACAGAGGCCATGTATCTCATGATGTACTTTGCAGACACCGTCTTTCCAGCACCTGACTCACCAGAAACAACAATAGACTGATTCTTTCCATCGGTCTTCATACATCTGTAAGCATCTTCGGCAATAGCAAACAGATGGGGCTCCTCCTCGCCCCTTCTCTTTCCCGCATACCTCTCAATCCTGTGAGGAGCGTACAATTCATCGTTTCTCTCGAATGGATTGGCCGCAATGAGCACAATACCGGAGTAGGTATAGATTTCAAACTGAGAGTAGCGGACTTTAATGGCATTCAAAACAGAAGGCTCGTTTAGATACGACAATTCAGTCAGATCTTCAACAGCCTCAGTGGGGTTTCTCAGCATAGGCAAATCCGTGTTCGTTTCGTCCAAATTCGCAGTTTCGATGTTAAAAGTTCTTCCGTCTTCCGAGACCAGCTCAATTTGGTGCTTGGAGTTGTTATTGGAGGCTTTGGTGACTTCAACACCTAGCCAGCCTTCTTTATCATCGGGTACCCAACAGCGGCTGAAAACACGTTAGTATTAGTTTCGAGAAAAGCATTGTAAAGCATACCAAATCAACAGCCAAATCACAACATTTGATTGGCCATATGATTTCAGCCTCAATGACCTCAAAAAAGGGCTTTCGTAGGGTTACTCACGTTCCCGGCTCAAAGGTGGTCGCCATATTTGATTATCGCCAGATACAGCGTTGACAGATCTCAACAACAAACCACTAGGCAATGATATCGATGGGTTACCAATTTGAATAGAGTTAGAACAGTGGATATCTCCCTCTGGACCTTTCAAACCACTCAAATCAACCCAAACCTGGACTCTGTGCTTCTATGTAGTCACACGGTTCGCGAAACAAAACAACTCTTTGATTCGTGTCTGGGTCGCGACCGGCACCATTAGTCGCCGATGCCACGTCGTCGGTGCCGTCAACAACAAGATCTTGATGCGGCCATTACTTTGTTAAAACACGACCTGGAAACGTGATTTGTGATAGACTCTTGTCTTCATTATTTATCGGGGACCCGTCAGTGACAAGCAGTTCTCCCTCCGCCAATTCTCGTATACGCATGATCAGAACACCCACAAAGTTCCGGGCTCCGGGTACGGAGCTGACGAGGACGAAATCGGAGGTGGACGAGGGACCTTTGGGAAAAGAACTAAGGACCCCTACGCACGACGCCCCGGTCTCCTCTGCGAATTACTCCTTCTCGAAACACAACGACTTAGAAAGGAAGTTTACCTCTTCTTACAGCTCTTCCAGGTTGGATCCATACAGAAACAATTCTCTGCAAACCTCCGATGTTCAGCTTCCAAAGATCAAAGCGCACAGATCGAATCCTTCGGTCCCATTGTTCACGGAAAGTTCCAACAACGACAAAGACAAACGCAGACTGGTGCGGCAATTTTACAATTCTCCAGCTGTCAATTCAACTCAGACCTCGTTGGTGAATACCAGCGTGAGTAGTGGTGTGAACTCCACTCCTTCTTCCAAGAACAAGGCCGCGTTGAACTTCAGTTTCGTATCGCCAGAGGGCAGAACTTCCCGGACTTCTTCCCATTTCGATCCCTTAACGCCGTCAGCTCAGCCTTCACACTTGTCAGATAATGAGGAGGAAGTTAGTGACCGTGATGAGCAGTTTAGTTTGCGAAAAGAAGTTGCCAGGCTGGAGACTTTGCTGATGGATACTATCAAAAACAAAATCGCTAGGGTTGAAATGGAGAACCATCAGCTGATGGATCAGCTGCAGATCAAGTACACGGAGCTTGATAATCTCAACAGAGAGATCAACGGATTGTATAATGATCTTTCTGAGGACTTGAAAGTGTTGAAGGAGAAGGATTACTCTCAGTTCACCACCAGCAAAGAGGCCACTGAGAAACAGACGTCTGGAGTGCTGGGCGAACTCGACACGAAGTTGTCGGCCTATAAGGAAGTCTTGCGACAGGAAAAGGAGTTTATTGGGAAACTTGGATCCGATATCGGACTGTTAGAGAAAGCCAAGATGAGCCATTATCAGAGTCGAAAGTATAGGCAAAAGTTGATCTTCTTCTGTACATCTGGACTGGTGTTATCAGTTTTGTTTTTCAAGCTAAAGCAGTTTTGAAAAATAGCCCACTAGCAGAAAACTGCAGTTTGCCAACAGGAGGGTAGGATTTCTTTAATTGGTTGGTTTTCCACCTACAATTCCTGTAAGGTCTCATGCAATGGTTAATGAATTATGAAATAAAAAACTGTTTGACAAAATCACGGGTCAACCAGCTGGCTTGTGCAGTACTCCATCTGTTCTTCGGTGAGTGACTTGATGTAGATGCATTTAGACAGAATGTCGTTGACAATCTTGAACTCGTAGAGTTTGGACAATTCGATCAAACGTATCAAGGCCTTGACTATTTTTGCTTGCATCCTGAATTTGTCAAAGTTGATAATCGTGGTGAAGTCTTCTGGGGCAACAATCCCGGTGGTGCTGTTCTTGAAACTAGGTTTCTCCTGGTTGAACGTCAAGTCGGCCAGATACAACCCCACAAACGGAACAACACCTTTGGAGACCACACACTTGTCGATCTCCTGTCTCAGATTATGGAAATTTCTGAATGGGCTGGTGAGATCCTTCAAGCTCTTCAGCAGTAGGAGGTCTCCTGCTTGGACGTCCTTCCAAGTCTCCTTTAGATTGGAGATTTTGGATGATGAAAGAGCAAGTGTGATTTGGATCATGGTCGAGTAGTTCTGTAGCTCCTTGCAATGGTGGCCGATATGGATGAATCTGGAAATGGTCATGACTCTTTCTGCCTTATCCTTGGTTAGAAGAATTTCGGAGACAATCCAGTTGGACATTAAGTTGAACCGGGAGATCACCAGGTTGACACCAGGTGCTGCAACGTTCTCTAGCTCATTGTTGAGAAGATTGAGCCAACTGTTGATTGGCTTGACTTCCTGGTTCCACTTCATCTCCACGAGCTCACTCCAATCGATCTCCTGGAGCGCATCCTTCTCAATTTGCGTAAAGTGCTGTGCAAGCAGCTTGGAGTCATAGCACAGAATGAATGATATGTGCAGACCTCCCTTCATAACTTTTTCAATGGTCAGGTTCTCCCTGGTGAGTTTGTTGAGGTCCTGCTGAGAGAGACGGAATTTCGCATCACCGAGCGTGTGGTCTTCGTCGTTGCTTAGGGAAGGCAAAGCAGGGTTTCTTTGAATGAACAGATCTCTCACTTTCTCCTGAAGCTTCTCTTCGTTAGGGCTAGAAACTGCAGACGTCGAGTCTGCAGTTTCCAAATTCATGGAGTCCATCTCATCGTTCAGTCCGTATATCACCTGTGCAGTTTCTACCTGCTTTCCTTCCAGCTTCAACAGAGCTGCTTCAATCGGATTCACCATAGTAGGCTCATCTGGAATGGCAGCCAGCTCTGCAAGTGCCCTGGAGCTGAACCCAGGATATGGCAGCACGAACGAAGACGAATGTGTTGACGAAAACATGCTGACATCGTCTCCGAAATCCGGCAGATCGATCTCATTGTCGTCAAAATCGTCCTCCAGATCCACGTTACAGAACGGCAGCTCATCCCATGAGTTCACCACCGACGATATGGAATCCTGAGACTGGAAGTTTCTCAGATCCGAGAAGGAAGTCTTCTTGCGCAGCAAAGCGTATCCGTTCTTTCCTTTGTCTTCTTTTCCATGGGCATTCATTGACATATCCGAGTCGTAAGAAACATACGATCTCAACGAAGACTGGCTTTGTTCGGAGATGATTCTAACGGAGAACCTGTTTTCCAGAGGCTCGTGATCAAGCTGGTTGATGAGTTCTGATTCAGGTGTGCCTTCGATTTCCACTAGCGATATTTCGTCTGGCTGTTCCTCGAAAGAAGACATGAAATCTTCCTCGTCTGATTCGGCTTCGGACTCAATTGGCGGGTTGAACGTTCTGAGAGCATTTTCGTCACTCTCAGGCTCACTTTCAAGCTTCAACGATTGAATCTGTGCGATATCCTCACCAGTCTCATCCTCGGTCGGTATGATGTCACCAGCAGCAGCAAACTCTCCACGCGATTCATTTGAAAGGTCGAGCGAATTTGACCAATTCATAGTCACAGAAGGGGACTTGAAAGTGTCTCCCGACTCATCAGCCTCGTCAGCTTCCTCAGCTTCATTCTGCGATAGCCTGTTGTTGAACCCGTCCAACAACTGTGAAGACGTAACAGATTGATTGTCCTCGTAGCTAGTGCTAGTCTCGTGAACTGTCTCCTGCAACTCCACCGGCTTCTGATTGGGCATGAAAAGTGAGAAGGCGCTGCTTCTGCTGGTCTTCCGTCCGTTCATGAGATGTTCAGACAGTCTGTTTCTCATGTTGGAATCCTTCAGTAAACTCTCAAACTCATCAATGACCTGTGCAGATAACAGATCGATTCTGTCATTTCCTAACTGTATTATATCTGCGGGTTTTTGTCTTTTCGGTGTGACTGGAAGGGCAGAAGCCAACGGCTGCGGATTAACAGGCGTTGAAGTCTGTCTCTTGCTCTTGCTCTTAAACCTGAATAAAGTTCTCTTCTTCACATTAATATCCACACTCCTGATTTGCTGAAGAGGCTCGTAGTTAATCTTTTTGAGCGGGGTTCCGGGGGCATACGTCTTAACTTGAGAGTCCTCAAACACCTGGACCTCCCCACGGGTAGTGGTGGTCTGTCCATCCCATTTTCCAGATAGTCTGTTAAATCCTTTCACGTGCAAAGAATTATCGTTAAGCCGTCTGCGGCTCTTGTTCAACGTGAGAAGCGAGTCTTTTGGGTGAAGCATTGGCTGCAATTGATGCTTCTTAAAAGTGCGAGAAACGGGTGGAAGTCTTTGCTTTGGTTTTACGCTCTGATAAGAACCAGTTCTTTGTTGGGCATGCTCCCTCAAAAGAAGGTTCGTAGCACTAGAACTCTGTTGATCATACAACGAGAGTAACCCTGATCTGCGTCTCGCTGGATTGGTCATCTGTTTGAGCCCAATCACAGACAGTCTCACCATATCGTCGTGAACACTAAGCTTTAAGCGTCCAAAATCAACCGTATCAAATTTCTCCAGCTCTGTAGTCAACCAGAAGATGTTGCAAAGACGAATGTAGGCTTTCTTGAGGTCGATAAGACACCGACTGGCAATCGACTGTGGGTCTTTCAACAGCACTTCATCCTCACTTAACCGATTCATGAAGTTCACAAACTCTCTCCGAAGCATCACATTTTCCACAAAATCGTCCTGAAAGTAGTTCAGCAACCAATGGCGAATCGTTACGAAGGTCCGCACGGTAACCAGTTGCCTGACAGTAGCCGTATCTGCCTGATCGTCCTTTCTAAGAGACCATTCAAACCGCGAAAGCAGTAATTCGAGCAAAAAATGCTCACCAATAAACTCCCTGTATGTCATAAAGAAATCAAGCAAAAATTCGTAGTCAATTGTGTCCGGAGAGGTGAGCTGACACACCATGGCAGGAGCCGTTCCCGAAACCAGCTGCCCGGTAACATCGCTTAGTTGCAACTGGTCTCCGTTTTTTGGAAACGGAAAAAAAGCAGGCTGGTCAAACATGCTGGCCATCTCCGCAATTCTGGAAGAGCTGTTGGTACCAGGCATGTTTTTTAGGTGGTGTTTGGGTGGTCTGTAGCGAGATCGGGACTGGCATGCGATTGTTTACTTTTCACTGATAAACAAAAACAGTCGTGTGTGCCCAATATGTATATTGTGTTCTGCACGCCCAGTCTCAATGCGACCGATCACAACTGATTACAGGTGACACCTACTGATTATCGCATTTATTTCACTTGTACTCCCACGCTTCTTGCAGCAAATGTCAAGTCAATCGGGAATCACAGGTAAGTTCAATTGATTTTTTTGCTGCTTGCGATATTGTCTAACAATCCCAGCTTCGCCCGAGCTCATTGCGGCCTTCAAGGACTACATAGACACTTCATCCCGTGCATTAATCGTGAAGATCGTGGATGAGAAACTGCTGCCACACGAGATCATTGCCGGGTCACAATCACTTGGGACTGATCTTGATCTGGTCCGGTCCAAGCTGAGTGACTCGGAGGCGTGTTATTTGGTGGTGAAAAATGAAGGCACTAACAAACACACCTTCGTATCATTCGTACCAGACTATGCCCATGTTAAGTCCAAGATGCTCTATGCATCCACCAAAAATGCGATCATCAGAGAACTTGGATTGGAGTTTTTTGAGCCAGTCGTTTTCGTGAACGAGTTGGAGGAGATTTCGAGTGCAGGCTGGAAAGAGATTTCGGACCACGAATCTTCCTCCGGGCCGTTAACGGCTTCGGAAGAGAGTCTTGCCAAAGTCAAAGAGCAAGAGACGATTTCGTTACTCTCAGCTGACAACAGAAGGCGCGAATTGGCACAGCATGGTTCTGAGGGAACCCTGAATTTGAAGATTGCAAGCGAGCTGCTTTCCAAGGCCTCCAGTCTCCAAAAAGGCGATTACGTCAATGCTGAAATCCTTCCGGATGAGTCGGTTGCGCTGCGTTCCCATGGAAACGTCACCAGTGTGTCGGGACTGGCTAACCAGATTCCCAGTTCGAGCCCCAACTACAGTGTGTACAAGTACGGTGATTCCAAAGTTGCGTTTATCTTGACATGCCCGTCTGGATCAAAGGTGCGGGACAGAATGTTGTATGCGGCATCGAAGTCTGCATTCATGAAGCAGTTGCCTGTTGAGTTTGAGAGGACAATTGAGGCCGGAGACGCTTCCGAGATTGATGTTGGTGAGTTTGAGGAGAAACTTGTCGAAGAGACAGTCTCTAACGGGCTGAGGTTCTCGAAACCAAGAGGTCCAAAGAGGCGTTGAAAAGGGATAATCAAGTGTCAGGCTGAGAAAAGGCTAAGAGCACAAGAGAGATGATCACCACTGACTGGTTAAGCTATCAGGCATGTTCTACTGTTCTACCTTTTTAGCTCTTGGAGCTGTTCTCCGAAGTAAAGTAATTGGCCTTTGCATTCCGCAAAAATAGAAAGTCGTAAGATGAAGGTGAAAGAAAATCCAAGAAAAAAACGTCCAATGATAAAAAAGCATTAAAGTGAGGCCTGTCCTCACTGATCCACAAACTTTTGCTCCTCTCCCAGCAATTGCGGGTCCAATTCCACCTCGAAAAGCGCATCCAGTCCGGCATCCTCGTCGCCGTCCAATAGGTTACGGTTCTTGAGCAAGTTTCCGAGAAACTGTTCTGGGGTCATGTCCTTAGACCCGGAATCGAATGAAAAGCCCTCCGGATACGAGGGCACAGAAACGCTCCTTGCGATGGGCTTTTTCTGCTGGTGTTGCTGGTTCTGTGATGGTCGATGGAGGGAATGGTTCTGGGGCTGGGCCTGCACCGTTGTGTGTGCTCTGCTCAATCCCTTCTCCGACCGTTTCTTCTTTGGTTTGGCTAATTCTGCCACATCCGCCATCACTATCTGGAACCGGTTCATTCCGCTCTGCATGTCTGTGAGCCCGCGCTTCTTTGTTTCGGGCGCGGACTTCTTCTTGGTGTCTGAAAAGATTCCCATAGTAGGAGCTGTGGAAGTCACGGAGACTTGAGGACTTTCCAACCTTTGTTTGTTGAACGAGGAGCTATTCTTGGCTGGCGTAGGACTCTGTAGAATCTCGTTCTTGATGGCCTTCCGCTGAACCGTGTTTGCGTGCGAGCTCGCTATGATGATCGTTGAAGGCGACGATTGGTGCACTTTGGCTGCGGGTGTGGTGAACGTGTCCTTTTTAGCTGGAGATCGGCTTCTCCGCTGGTTAGTGACTTCGCGAAGAGGAGTCTTCAGTCTCAGTTGTGTATCTTCAATGCGCTTGGAGTATGGTGTTTCGTTCTCCTTCCCAAGTAAACTCTCGTAGAACTTTGTCGGAGACTCATACAGGGCACCACTCATCGGGGCCATCTCGTCTTGCAAGAAATCCGAGACCCGGAACAAACGATCGCCGGGAGTTGTACCCGTACTGAAGGGAAATTCGGCATTGAGAAGTGACTGGAAATGGGCGTCCGCTGATCCCAGAGTGGCATTTGCAGGTGAAGATCCAATTGGATGACCCATCTGGTTTATCTGCTGACCATTGTGATTTGAGAGCATGGCAGCGTCTCTTCTAAGCGTAGGACTAGTCTTGTAGTACAGTTCGTTGTTCTCTAGCACCTGACCAACGGTTGCATTATACGGAGTCCAGGACTCATGGGTTGACTCCGGATGGCGTGGTCGAATCCTAGGCGTCTGGTCCCCAAAGATGAAATTGTCAAACATCCTGGAGGGAGAAGAACTCAGGGGATTCTTCTGTTGGTGCAACGGAGGCATTGCTGTGGAATGGCTCTAGATTGGCTCTCTGTAATGCGCTATATATCGCTCTTTGTCCAAATTAAAACCAACCACGCTTCTAGCTGGAATAACTGGCTTCCGGATGACTTTTAGCTTGACCAAATCTGTCACTCGACTGTGAATTTGTGGAAAGAAACAACTACGCAAACCGTGGATGTGCTGTGTTTACAAAAACCGCGTTCCACATTAAACTTTGGTGGGGCACGAAGTGGCTAGCAAATTTAGGGCGTGCCCCGGCAGGCTTTAGGTAGTAGAACGTTAGAAGTACAAAAGGGTCCAATCCAATCAAATGACAAAGAATATTCAAGAATTTTGACGGTTGAAAGCCTTGTTCTTGTTCCTCTACACTTTCTGTTGTCCCAATATCAAGTCTTTTGCCGCCAGTAACCCACCCTCGTTGCTCGCTCGGCTACTCTGCGGGGGCCTCCGGCGGTTAAGCTGCCAACGATCGATGTGTCACCAATCAAAAAGGTAAACACTCAAACGCATCTTCTGAGACGCATTTTTGGGATGTCTTCATTAATACTTTCCTCGGTCGTTTGACATTTTTTACCTGGAAAAACTTCAGAATGGATTCTAGCGACTACACCGAGTCTGGTGAGCCGTCGCTGTCGGATGTCGCAGCATCAGTTGCAGAGTCTGATGTAGCTGTTGCAGACGCGGAAGGGCTCAGAGAGAGAAACGTGAAATACGTGCGAAACGCCAACTTCAACGCAGAAGTCGACAAAGGCGAAGAATCACCCTTCATAGACAGTAGCCGCAATTCTGTCGGCGAAAGTCTGGTTCCAGAAGCATTACGAGCCGAACATTGGAGTTTTAGGGAGCCAGAGGCTCATGACGAAGCCGGAGAGCAGGCTCGCTGGTTGTTCAGCGAGAACCTCGGAACTGTGGTTGAGTCTCCTGACAAGCTTACGGTTCCAGCTTGGAAGAGGTATGCCGAAGCGGTAAAAAAACGTGACTCTTTCGGTGAAAACACTTTCAAAAGGCATCCCATGGGAAGGAAACCCAATGAGTCTGCCGTTTCACACAACTCTACAGCATCGTCAGTGCCCTCTTCACCACTGAAGGTATTTGACAAGCTTGACACGTACACGACAAACCGGTTTGATCGTTTGCTGGGTGGGCTCAGTGCAAATGAGAAGGTGGTTCAGGAAGACGATGATCGGTGGAAGAACAACGCCAATGACATATTCGACAATCTGAAAAAACTCGGACCTCCGCTCGAAGTGGGTGATGATAGTGGTGAAAATAGTGCAAGCTACACATCGGAGGGTGAACCCAATGCCGAACATCCCGATTACAGCTCCGACTTTGAGGTTGCCGAGAAGGTTCCGGGCTCATTTTCGTCTGATGGAACTACTATGGAAAGCCAGGATGCCCGACCAATGTCTGTGCTTCAAGAAGAAGAAGATGAGGATCTTTCAATTCAGACTGTGGATTCGGTAAGTGAGAGGATCTCCACTCCATTCGTGAGCAAGAAGCAAGATATAGCAAAGGGCCGGGAGAAGAAGCCTGCTGAGATAATACCGAAAACACTCAATTTTATCCCCAAAAAAGAGTTTGAGATAGCACCAAAACACATGAACTTCATCTCAAAGGCCGACTTCGATAACTGGGGCACAAATGCGCCCACTGCCGTCCCAACGCTGGATGCTGATGACGAAAATCTCGCTGCCGTTGATGCGATATCGGATCTGAACAGTGATTCCGATAAAGAGAACACGGGCGTTCTGAGCAGAAATAATTTTGCTGGAAAACCAAAGCGTGAGGTCTCGTTTGTCCTCGATGATACGCACACTTTCAGCCGATCCGAGCTCAGACTCGCTGATGTCACTTCCGTCACGCAGGCAGGCGATATCTCGTACTCGGTCACCCATGGAAAATGGACGCGAATTTTGACGGAAGTGAAACCAAGCGGTGATTGGAATAAGATTACTGAGTGTGATCTCAGTGCGAGAAACCTCACTCTCATGAAGGATCTGTACAAGTTTGCGCCCAATCTGAAACGCATAGATATTTCCAAGAACCAAGTCAAGTTTGTGGAGGGCATCCCCGAGACAACTGTGAGCTTGAACGTTTCGTCCAACCTGGTGGGAGACCTTGCGTCATTCAAGCCTTACGGAAATCTCCGAGAGCTAAACTTGGCAGGAAATCTGCTGGACAGTCTCCATGGCCTCTCGAAGCTGGCAAATTTGGATAAACTAGATGTTTCGGGAAACAGGATCAGGTCACTTGTGGGACTGGAAGAGCTAAGCAACCTGTTCATCCTAAATCTCAGCAATAACAGACTGGAGGGTGAGCTGGATCTCCGCAAGTTTGATCTTCCCCGGTTGAAAATTTTGGACGTTTCTGGGAACAGGCTGACAGAGATCCGCGGAATTGAAAAGCTAGTGGATTTGGTAACTCTCAAGGCGGACAACAACCGGATCAGTGCGGTTAGATGTGACGGGAAAAGCTCATTGAACCATCTTGCTTTGAGTGAGAACAGACTCGCAGAACTTGACCTGTCCAACTTGACGAATCTGGAAATACTGGATGTAGATGGAAACGGGATCAGGCAGGTCTTTGGGGATGCACCTTTGAAGGTTATCAGTGCAAGATCCATACACAACTCCCAGAGCCTGTTTGATTATGCGACGGTGGAGTCTCTGGACCTTTCTGGTACCAAGGTTGATTTCAGCAAATTGCGCTATACGATGCTACATCTACGAGACCTCAATTTGTCTGCCATGGGTCTGGAGCAAATTCCGCAAAATTTCAGTAAGATCTTCCCCAATCTCGAAAGACTAAATCTCAACTTCAATCGGCTGAATGACTTGGCGGCTCTGGGAAAACTAAGGTATCTTCAAAAGGTGGAGCTTGTGAGCAACGACGTTGCCGATTTGGCCCAGATCGTTAACGGGCTGGTCGGTTCACGCAGAAATCTGCGGTGGTTAGATACGAGGCTTAACCCGTTCAACCGCGGATTCTATCCGTTTGTGTTTGACGAAGAAGAGACTGAGACAGAAAGGCAGAAGGAAGACGGTTCTTTCATCCACCTGGAAACGTTGGATGATATTCGTGCCTTTTCACATATCTACACTTCTGCCACTACGGAAGGCCAAGAGAACTGGGTCTCGCGAGATGAAAAGCATGTTTCGCAGTTAGTAGAGCACTCGGCCGAGTTACATGAGAGAAGAGTTTCTGCTCTGTCTATCATAATTGCGTTTTTGAAGAGAATTGAGTACTTGGATGGTCACTCTGTTGATGGGGAGGATCGTTTATTAGCGGGCAATAAGGTGCAGAAATTGATTGGCTAATGGTGGGGAAATGAGCGAGCCTAAATCGAAAAAATTACCAAATGCGAGATATACTGCCATTATTTCAATAGGTGGAGGTTGGGTGAATGAAAATTATGAATAGTCAAAACGATAAGGTCGACTATTGTGTAGGCAAAAAAGCGACAACCCTGTGAACTATTAACAGCAATAAACTCATGTACAATCGAACGCATACAAATTGTATAACAAGCTACAAAATATTTTATTCCGCCGGCAATTACACCGGAACCTGAGTCATCACCCTGTACTCTCTCTGGACTAATCGGTGCGGCTCATTAGCTCTGCACGGAAAGATTTGTCGCTACTGTAGAAACGGAAGCCAACTCCATGAAGGGCCAATAATTCCTCGCCTAATCCTCGTCAGAATTACTTGAACAAAACCAATGTCACCCCTTTCGAATTAGCAAAGATAAAGAAATAAGTTGCAGGTGTCAATAATTCCGATGGAATAGGTTTCCTAATACGGTAATACAAATCCGTTATCAGATCCTGCGAGTACCTTATCTCTGGGTGTCTCCATATTTTGACCTCTTTGGGTATGTCAATTCCACGGGAATTCGGGGGAATTCGTGTGAGAATAGTTTTACGGATTTGCTGTGTTGTGTCCTCAGAGGGTATTTATATAAGTCTTGGTGAACCCGCGGGCAGTTGTAAAGCACAAACTACTATCCACTACAGAGACCTTTATCTCATACTGCATCATGGCATCCGCCGTCTCATCTATCAAGCCTGCAGTCGTCCCAAGTGCTCCACCAGCAGACAACCCTGCCGAGGCTCTGCTTCCAGGTGAACACACTCTCCCCTCCTCTTGGTGGACATCTGACAAGGTGTTTGAACTGGAAAAGAGAGCTATCTTCAACAAGTCGTGGCTGTACACCTCGCATGCTTCGCGCTTCAAGAAGGCAGGTGATTACTACGCCTTTACCTTTACTGGAATCAACTTTTTTTTGATCAAGACCAAAGCCGGTGAAATCAAGGCTTTCCACAACGTTTGCCGTCACCGTGCCTATCCTGTGGTCAGAAAAGAAAAGGGTTCTTCTACCATTCTTGGATGCAAGTACCACGGTTGGTCTTACAATACAGAGGGTACCCTTACCAAAGCCCCTCACTTTGACCAGGTTCAAGGCTTTGAGAAGGAGAAGAACAGTCTTTATGAAATCAGAACCCATATTACCGATCAGGGTCTGATTTTCGTCAATTTCGACCAAAGTGAAGAGGGCCCAACCAACTTCGATAGCTGGTTCGAAGGTCTGCAGGACGAAATGCATGAATACGATTTCTCCGACTACGAGTACTACATGTCGTACGAGCTTGATGGTAAGTTCAACTGGAAGACTCTTATGGATGGTTACCAGGAATGTTACCACTGTCCTACGGCACATCCTGGTCTGAGTACCGCGTTCAAGATGGAGACCTACAAGGTGGTTCCCAAGTCCAGATACTGTCGCCATTACGCGCAAATCGTCAAGGAAGAAATTCCCGAAGTTGAGAGCAACACCGATCCAGATGAAGAATCATCCTGGTTTGGTTTTGGAAAAAAGAAGGCTGCTCCAAAGAAGGAGGTTGAGACCAAGAAGAAGAACCCCGGTGGTGACTTCAACGGTTTGTGGGTGTACCTTTTCCCCACCAACGGTATCAACTGTTACTCTCCAGCTTGGTACTCCATCCGTGTGTTGCCAATTGCCCCTGGCCGCACTATTCTTCAGTACGACATCTATACCAAGAAGGGTCTTGAGGATGACCAGAAAAAAGAGTTTGTCGACTTTTTACAGACCGTTGAGATCGAAGACTACAACCTATGTGAGGCCACCCAGAAGAACCTTAACCAGGGTGTCTACTCCACTGGGTACTTGCACCCAACCAAGGAGCAGGGGGTTGTTTACTATCAGGGAGTTGTGAGGGACATGGTCAAGGATCACTGGGCTCAAGAGAAGCTTGCGGGTGGTCCAATCAACCCAGCCTACGTTGGTGGTAAGGCTCCTTCTGACGAAGCTGCTGAGCTTGAGGTTCTTTGCAAGGAGGTTGAGTGCCAGGGCAGCAACCCAGAGACCACTTCTCCCTTTGATTGGTGATTGTTTATATACTAGGGAAATGAAGCTAAATATCATAAAAAAATCAAATATGAGTTAGGAACGCGCTGTAATCATTCGTCGGTGAAAAGAGAACTTTGCAGTGTGACCTTGAGCCGCATCAAATCAGAACGGCATATTTTTGAGATTGATTATTCCCGTCGTAAGCTATTCTGTTCGGTGTCGAAGAAATATTCAAGCTGTTGCCATTTATTTTATTGTTTCTCACCTTGGTTGCTGTGTCTTGATTATGTGGTTTGGTTTACAATCAATGAGGAAAATACTGGTTATGCAGATATCCGGAAATCTCATATTTTACAGAAAAGTGACCAAACCGGATGACGCAAAGAAATAATTTTAGAAAATTTCACCTCAAAAATTAACACAGATAAAGACTTGAGAAGACTTGAGGAGATTTCTGATATTTAGATCAACAAGGAAAATCAGTATAACAGGAGCGATACTTTTCAAGAGTGTAGATAAGACATTGAGACGAGATGTCAGGCTTGGAAACTGCCGAATAAAGCTGAATGAAGGGGGTTTCGAGGATGCGATCCAGACCAGTATTAGCTGATGCAAATGTGACATTAAAGGATTATCTGAGGGTTATTTTCCTGGTTTGAGGAGATTTCATCAAATTAGCTAAAACTGTACTGAAAAGTTCCTGCAGACAGTTCGGAACCCTCTTGACTTTGCGGGCCGTATTTGTTCACCCAGATCCTACGGAGAGTTCAACTACATCTCCAGTAGTGAATCTCTAATACATATCTACGACACCTCTGGAAGGAATTTGAGTAACCTCAAACAATCTAGACCCTCAAGACCACAGGATGTACGAAAGTTCATGACCGAGAGATTCAACGCTTTGCTCATCAGACGGAGATACACTTTCCACAGTTGATCTCACATCCACCGAACCGCGAATCAACGCAGCTGAGGCAATCAAGCAAAGGGCAAAGGACCTGAGCGACGCCTCAGAATGGATGTTTAAGTTTGAATCCCAAAGGAGGATGGATACTCAAAGAGACCGCCCGCAGAGTTTTCTATGTGGAGGTAGTGTACCATCTAGTAAAACAGTGTACAGTGCAAAAGTCATGTGATAAGGAGGCACTGTTCATGCAAACAATTATAGAAGACTATGGGAGATAGTTATCGAGCAAAGCGATGGAACCCATCATGGGTATCAGTGATTTCTAGTATTATAAGCGGATAATCTACGCCGTAGCTTCTGCTAGAAACGGTTTAAGACAGCCACGGTCAAAATGCCAAACACCAGGGGTACAGCCGACGTCCCATTTAGTCGGGGTCAGGTGAAACACCCCGATGTATAGACAAATGGAGTTCGTAGGAGTCGGTGCGAATTGGTGGAAGTTGGAGCCAAGAGCAAAAGGCTTTGGGCTTGATTCGACAAACGGCTATTTTAGTGGCTCAAATTAATATACAAACCTCGAAATTGGTCCGAGAAACTGGAGAATTGCGCATTTCGGAGCAGCCCGTACATTCCTGGCTGATCCTACATGGGAACACCTAAAGGCTGAGTCGCACCCGGTGCTCGTTCCATTCCTCCATTATAAAACCATAGGCAAAAACTTGTAAAAGCCCAGACTGTATACGAATACCTCAAGATACTTCAAATCATAACTTAGGCCATTTTTTTATATCCCCTGTGCGCGCCTTGAACCCAACAGGTCGTGCTGCAACAACTCCCAGTTCTACAGGCCTCTCGAAGCCAGGAAAAAAGCATCTCGGCTTCCTTTTCACAGTGCCAGAACTCATATAATCCTTGATATCTTGCTACGTGTTACCCAGATTCTCCTCGGATTAAGCCCAGATCAATACTCGTCTTGTGCCGCTACCACGATCACCTTGATCTGAACAAAAGCACTGATCCGTATTTCCGGCCCAAACTCAATCAGCCTCGGCTCCGAGCTCCACACAACACGGCTCACCACAACAACACACAATCCTCCACACAAACCCACCAAAGGCCGTTCGGGTGTTGTTGTTAAGGCGATTCATCCAGATCGTCAAGCTTTTACATCTGTTCTCACCAAATCCGGTGAATATCCATCAAGAACTCATTCCTCTTTGCTGAAGCTGGTCTGCTCTTGCTTACCCACAGACCATCATCATGTCCAGACTTAGGGTAATGTCAGGTACGTTATTTGTTCTGATCTGTTCCTCTCAGAGTCAGTTTACTGCGATCTTTTGCTAACTTCTTTCAGTGGGTAACAACCCAAATTTGGCCTTTTACAATTGGAGACTCTATGAGAGCAAAGGTTGTGATATCGATGTGATCACCAACGTCTCCGGCCTCTCCGATTCGAGCCCTACCAGCTTTAACTGGTCCTCCAAGCAATTTGGAACTTCAAGGTTCTCAACCTCGTCGATTTACTCTTCGTTGGACGGTTATCTCTCTGCTGGAAAGCGTGCTGCCTTTGACTTCATCCTTCTATCGGCCGTCTCTCTCCAGGAGCTCTCTGTTGTGTTCACAAAGTTACAACCGTTGATCCAGGCACAGATCGCAGCATCTGGTTTTGCGCCAACTGTGGTGATTGAATCAACAAATTTCGTGAACTTGGAGCCTTTCATCAAGGTGTCGCTTCAAATGGAACAGGTGATCGTGCTTTCTATCATGTCTGATTACGATGTTCGTTCTTCGGGCCCAAACTCCTATACCGTCTGTGATTCTAAGAAAGAGAGCGAGTTGGTGTATGTTGGTCGCAGTGGTGTTGATGCTAAGTACTCTCAGCGTGAGATTTCACTTATCAACCAGATCTCTGGATTGCTAGAGAGCGCGGGAATCGATGTCTACAAGCTCAGTACCCCAATAGAGTTCTTGTCTTACCAGTGGAAGTTTGCCCTGCCAAAAATTGCTCTTGAGCCGCTTTCAATCCTATTTGAAAGACCCTTTCCCCAGCAGCTCCAGCAGCAAATCTTGGCCAAACCACTCATCAGCGGGCTCATCGCTGAGGTGATTTCTGTTATCAAGACTATGGGATGTAAGCTCTTTAAGAGCTATGACACAGAACAGGCTTTGCTGGACAGATGCTCGCAATTGTATCCTGACCAAAAGCTTTCTGCTGATTACGCAGAGGCCCCCAAGATGTTTTACGACTTCTACAATCAGAACGAATTGTATCTGGATCTCCTTCTGTTACAGCCCATTTTGCTTGCGGATGATTTCCAAGTCAAGACCCCGTACCTGGAGTTCCTATATGCTATTCTGACTCAGTTTGTGAGTACCAATACTAGTACTCCAGAGTCTCCAACTTCGATCTTTTGGTTGAGAAGCACGGCAGCCAATGTGAAAGCGCTCAAGCTGAAACAACAGGAATTGGAGGCTGAGAATACTGCCCGTGAAGCCAACATTGAGAAATTGAATCAACCTCAGGTTCCAGTTCAATCGCAGCAACAGCAGCAGCCAATTCCTGCTCTCCAGCCAGCCCCTCAATTCCCGAATGGTTATGCTAATGGAAGTGCCAACGGTTATGCTAATGGAACTGCTAATGGAACTGCTAATGGCACTGTTAATGGCCATGTAAATGGAAACTCCAACGGTAACTTGAATGGCGCTGCTACTGTTGGCCCAGATGACGAGCTTGAAGACCTCAGTCAGATGGCTGCTGCTTATGTGATCAACGATCAGAGCCAGCGTAATTCGGTATCCGGACCTCAGGCAAAAGCTGTTGCCAACAACATTTACGCCCAGCAATCATACGCGAGGGAACACGGCTACACACAGCCTCAACCTCAGCCCCAGCCTCTACAGCCACCTTCTCCACAATACGACCAGTACGGAAATGTGATCAGATCTTTCCCTTCCCAGCAGGATCTCTACACGCAGCAGAGACAACAGTCTTTCTCGCAGCAACAACTGCAGCCTCAACTGCAGCAGGGTGGATCGTCTTCCCCGACTTTCCCTCCTCAGCAGCTGCCATACGGTCTTCCGCCTCAGGGACTTCCTCAGAACCAGCAGATCTTCTCCCAACCCAAGCAGCGTCGGTCTTCGGCAATGCTCTACTCAGATTACCAAGGCATGGAGCAAGGAGTGAACATGTCTCGTTTCAAGGCTACTTCTCGTAAAAACAGGAAGTCTGCTATGCCCAACATGTTGCCTGGATTTGGCGGCCCTGCCGGAATGCCTCGTCCTGGCCAGCCTGCTGGAGCTCCCCCTTCCCAGGGACCGGCTCCACAGTATGGACCGAACAACACCAGCAATGGAATGATCAGAAGTCAGCAATCTTTTAGCAACGGAAGGAGACCCCAGCAGCCACAGCCGCAATCGGCGGCCGTGAATCCAAACGGACTTGGAATCAGCAACGGATACCCTTCGATGCCTCCTCAGCAACCTTCTTCGTATTCGATCTCGCAACCTCAACAGCCCCAAGCTGTCAATGGTTACCAGCAGGGATCGAGCGGAAGTCTTTCCAGAGAAGACGATGATAGCAACGGATCATCAGCCGGAAAGGTGCAGCCTGGGTTCTTGCCTGTCCCTGAAGCCGTTCCCGTCGAAGGAACCCCACTAGGGTTCACAACTGCTACCAAGCCAGAGGAGGAGAAGGAGAAGAAAAAGAAGCGCGGCTTTTTTGGCAGAAAGAAGAAATGAAATCTGCGAGGTCAAAGACGATTCCACACAGGAAACTGCCAATTGGCCAAGAGAGCTTGAAAAATTCGTCAAATACCATGTGAAATTATCCATTTGGCAATGCCTATTGAGGACACCTTTTTCTTGTACCATTGTGATGTCATCATACCAACCTGTTCCATATTATATCATAAGTTGAAATCAAGTATTCATTGTTTTTAATGAGCCGAAGGCTTTGTAGATGATGACCAGACTAATACGGTCTTGGAGGTCACTAAGACGATTGAATGGCTATAGATGAAATCTGTGCCATGAGCTTCAATATCTTTCACGAAAAGGGTTTAATCGTGCTTTATAAATGCTCTACAAATGCTTTGCAAAAGCTTTCACTAGCTTTCACTAGCTTTCACTAACTACATTATCAACAGTGAATGCGCAGTTTTTGATTACTTAAAACAAATAAGGCTAGGCCCATTCTAACCCACTGGGCCATCCTGAGCCACCCTGAGCCGTTCTGGATTATTGTTCTAATGTGTAGTAAGCTTCCAGAAATACGGAAAAACATCAAGCTCGAAAAAAAAGTCAACAAAAAAAACAGAAAAAATCACCTGTTTGTCCCCGGAAAAATAACATAATCAATAAGAGTCGCGGCCGTCAACTTAAGTTCACAGCGAAAACTTGAGCCAATCCCAATCGCCGCTCAAAGTCTCACCCATCTGGGCTCCATCGAGTTTGGCAACGTCGAACTGGACAGCAGTTGGCTGAGCGGGCCTGGGCTTGGTAACTTTACCGTTGTGGACGGCTTTACGCGAGTTTTTGACCGATTGCGTAGAAGCCTTCCTCGCCATAGCAGGTGCGGAAACCATTGGTGAATCAAAACCCACGTCACTCAGCGGGGAGCCATCGAAGGAGCGTTTTCCTGCAGGCTGAATCTGAATCTGGGATTGCAGATTGGTGGGGGACGTCATCGCGTTGACGGAAGAAACAGAGGGGATCGTCGCCATCTTGACAGGTCTGTTGTCATTACCCGGATCCAAGGCATTACCCACGTTCGTGAGCGGCCTGATCACTCCGTGAAGCTTGAAGAAAAGTCCACATGCGTTGCACAGCAATTTATTGTCATTTGTCTTTCTCCACAGCGGGGTGGTCGTGGTGAAGCAGTTCTCGCAAGCAGTTTGCTTTTGCTGTTGCGGTGGTATCTTCGACGCAGCGCCGTTACTGTTCATGATCGAAGGCGAGAGCTGGTCGAATTGTGGGGGGAATTTGTCATTTGAGGAGTGATAGAGGCTTTGCGAGTTGGAATAAGCCCTCTTGCCTAAACCTGCCTTGGAAGTGTCTTCTTTGACAGAAATCTCCAGCGAGTTGATGTAGTTCGAAAGATGGAGGTTGGTGGAGTTTGCAGTGCCAGGGTTGACTGTTCTCTCTGGAGATACCCTGTTGGTCACATCCTCGTCAAACCTTGTGAAATCCAAGACATCAAACTCGTTAAAACCAGGGTCCACAAATGGAGCACCACCGGTATTGTTCAGAGAATCGAAGTTCACAAAACTGTCGATATTGAAGGCGTCGCTTGGATGGTTGTCGCCGCTGTTGTCATAGGCAAAAGAGGGGCGACGAGCCGCGGCAGCCGGGTGTGTATGTTGTGGCTGTTGTTGTTGATGGAGTTGGTGACCTTGTGGTATGAACTGTGAAAAAACCGAGTTCGAAGTCGAAGCAAGGCTGTTCGTCTCCGGCGAATAATGGTCGTTGCTGGTGTCTTTGTCTGCGATGTTGATTGGATTTGACCCCAGCTCCGGGTTTGCACTGGTACGGTATGGAGCAAATTCCTCGCGCGAGATCTTGCGAATGTGCTCTATGTAGTCGAACTCCGCATTGGATGGATCTGCGGACGACTTGGCGTGTTGCGCATGATTGTTAGCCATCGATAACCGCCTTATGGCACCTGGTCTAGTGTCTGGTTTGGCCACGCGATAGCCGGGCGAAGACGCACTCGTAGGCGACGCAATGAACGGTTTCGTAGATGCGGAAACCGTTCTGCGCTTGACATTGTCGATGCTGTTGAGACGCCACGAGAGGTTTAGAATGCGCTTGTTGTTGGGCAATATGGTGTTCTTGTCGTTGAACATCTTCCATATTTGCAGAGACGCATTATCGTGGGTGTCCCTTTCATGGGAGATCTCCTCCTTTAGATGCCGTATGGCAACTTCCGTGGCCGAGGAGCCGGCAGCACTGGACGCTGTAGGCTTGTTGGACATTTGCAACAGCCAGCTGACAAAGGGAGAGGCGAACGGCGGCTGAAAGCGTAGAAATATGAGACAAAACTGAGGCTATGAAGCGGAGGGCGGTGCTCAAAATCAAGGGCTCGCTCGCAGTCTCACGAAAGAGACAGAGGGACAGAAATTGGTTTGTTCTTAGGTGCTCTTGGAACAAGGGGACAGAGCGAAGGGGACTTTGGGCTCTTTGTTCTGAGGAGAACCTGGGATCACGTGTATTAATGGTACCGACGGCGTAAATCTGGGCGAGGTCTGCACGTCTATTATGCCACCTTGCTGCGGGAGTTTTGATTGGTTGTTGGCGGGGACTATCTAAATCTGGTTTGAAACATTTGTACGGGCACTACATAATGCAAGGCTGGCCTTTCCTTTTTGTATCCGGTCTCGACCATTGATGTGTACGCAAAGCTCACGAAAAGGTTTCAAAAAATGAGCCCAAAAGTTTTGTATATTTAGGGTCAGGAAGCTTTTATTGAGGGCTATGCGGTTTGATACTCCGTAGAAACAGTTTTATTTTGTCTGAAGATCGGTTAACATCACGCCTATCGTGATGCGCATGCAAGTTGTGGCCTGCAGATGGCCTGCAGGTGGCTTTTTGAGAGCAAACGGAGGAGATTGATTTCGAAAACCGTTTAGCAAGCGTCAAAAATTATTGAATTATCTTCTCAAAAATCTAGATCGTAACCCGAAAGGCAAAAAAAGAGCAAAAGACAACAAAGCAAGATATGCTTTTTTTGTTCAACATGTCGCCGCCGTAAACATGACGGGCTACGGGAAATGTACAGCGCTCTCGAATACATCACAAGCAATGTTAAGCGATCTTATTCAAGTAGGCATCCCGTTTGATCTCCAGTTCCTGTTCATGGATGGAATCATCTGTTCCATTAGTTTTGGTACACTTAGTCTCCTGATTGGCTGTTTCCGTTTTAGAATTGGCTGGAGCAAACTCGTTCGTCTCCGTTCCAGACTCAACAATATGACTGTTATTCTCAGGTGAGGTCACAGACACATTTTTCACAAAGAAGTTCACAACAAACGCAGCTCCTGCCAACCCTACCGAGAGATAATACACATTGCGATACTTTTTCAAGAGCTTATGTTGTTCCTCCACGGAGTCTCCAATCGTGACATCGCCAACAATTGACGACATAGCAGCAGAAGATGCAGCGACGAACAATTGGGCTGAGGTTAAGGCAGCACCTGATAACAGACCTTGCAAACTTAGAGGACATGACACCATCAATGAGTTCAAGGTGTTGACTAATGTCAATGCAACACCGATACCCAGAACGACCAACCCCATAAAACCAAATCTCCAATACGAGTGTGTATCGGCACCTTGTCTGCTCAAAAGTACTCCCGAAACCACGTTCAAGGCGGTACCCACAAAAATGCAATACTTTGGAGGGATTTTACCAAAAACTGCACCAACGATGAAAGTGCAAAAGAAAATTGTGATCGGGTTCGGGAAAGCTTGTAAGGCAGAGATGATAGCTGAGTGATGTGATACATACTGATATATTTCAACATTGGCCAGTGCTTGGGTGAACATAGAACCAAAGTTCAGTCCCATGATCATGATAAGTGGTATGAAGTTTGGAATTCTCCAGAGTTCGCCTGGAATCAGCAAGTCAGAGTTTCGCGACCATGCAAATTGTCTATAAAGACGCTTTTCCCACAGAAGAAATAGCGCAATCATGAGAACTCCAACTATTATTGGAACGTATGCCTTGGGAGATTTCCAACGATTACCACCTTCGGTCAGACCAGTGACCAATAACAGTGCACCACCAAGCATGACAGCGACCCCGTAGTGGTCCAGGTTTGATAACTTTGCAGGTGAAGTCGGAGTATGTTTCACGCACAGGAGTGAAAGAAATGAAGCCAAGAAGGCAAGACCAGCGAAAAGGAAAAAGACTCCTCTATAGCCAACTGAGGTGCTGTAGAAAGCCCCTCCAACGAGGAACCCAAAACTGGCTCCCATTGTTGTTACTGCGGTAATTCCAGCCAGTGCCATGTTCAAAGCCTTTCCGGTAAAAGTATGGCCAACAATGGCATAAGAGGACGGAATTGTCATTGCCGCGGCGATTCCCTGTAAAGCGCGAAACACAATGAGGACGTATAGGTTCTCAGCAACAGCAGTGACGAGAAGAAAGATTGCCAGCAAAAACAAACCTGTGGTGTATATGATATGGTGACCTACTATATCTCCTAGCCTTCCTGTGATCATGATGAAGCTTGAATAACACAGAGCATACGCACTGAGGGCCCAGCTGGCAGTCGGGTACGTTGCATCGTACTTTTCCTGAATCTGGGACAGCGTTGTCACGACTGCGGTAATATTTGAGGAATCTAGTAATTGCGATGTGGCCACCACGAAGAAAATCAAATACTGATTTTGGAAACGTTTTAAGTTCTTTTCTCGGAAGGCCTCAACTCGGTGCAAAAGGGTGTTGATGATGTTCATGATGTTGTTATTGATAAAAATTGCGCTTTATGAAACAGTACTCCGATTTTGCATACGAGACCCCTTTTCCAAGTTCGCGTCGTTTCCATGTTCTATATACTACCTCAGACCCGAGCCCTGTTGAATTGAACATACGACATCGGACTTGACTTATTAATGCACGGCTATTTCACTTTTACTGCACCATGCCCAATAGTATGTTCCCACTTTTTTTGAGATTCAGCCGTGCATTTGGTCCTTGCCCTACGGCGCATTGTGCTTTCCGGGAGAATGAAAACTTCAGATAACGCGGGGCATTCAGTATGTGAGTAGATCCAGTTAGGCTTTCGCTTGGTCACCGGTCTACGTGAGTGTGTAAAATTGTATGGTCATTTTGACAAGCTAGCGTGGACAGTATATACATATTTCAATCTGTTGCGTTTCGTTGGTCTCAATATGCTGCGCTCAGTTCAAATCGCGCATGCATATGAGGTCAAATTTTGCTGCTCTCAACTCGAAACTCGGAGCTCGGAGTTCAGAGTTCGGGGCTCGGAACTCAGCACAGCTTAAGGTTTCAAATCTTGGGCAACAACAAAGGTAGTGGAATACACACACAATTAATTAACACACTACCGGAGAACACATGTAAATATGTAGTTGCCAGCAAAAAGACCCACGTTTACCTTCAGTATCTCCCGGATTGCATCATGTATTTACCTAGTATTGTTTCAAGAGACGTGCATAGACTGTGGAATAGTCCCGAGGAGCAGGATGGTCAGCGTCAACCGTCGCTATCGGCATACACGGCGGATCGGCCTGGAGTGCTTGCTGAGCGGCATGCACAGGGTCTGGTTCTGCCGGATAGGCCGCAGTATCATCGAATTTCGCTGAAATTTAATCCGAGACTGGAGTATTTAGATCGACTGGTAGTTTGGGGACACGATGAATTGATCCCCTTGGGCGTGGGAAAGACAATGCGTGCTGTCCAGGAGGAACAGGATCGCGAAGAAGCACCAGTGGAAGAACCACAAGCTGTAGGCACTATGGAAAACTTCGATGCTGATGCTGAATCACTTTTGGTGGTGGAAGATGTGGTGGATCTTGACGACGACATTGCAAATGACGACAACAGTGTGTATCTGGACTATGAAGAAGACACCTCTTCAGCTGCAGAAAGACGAATGGATGATGGATTCATGGCCGGTGAAGAGTACGACGATGCAACTCAGGCCAGCGACTCTGAAGATAGAGGCTTTGAGGATGACGACGGTGACGTTTCCTGTGCGAGACTAAGAAGAGTGCACATAGGCCCTTCAACGGGTCTTGGTTCAACTGCTCATGCTTCAACTGCTACGGCAACCACAGTCGGATCCTCTACTATGACTCTAGCTGGAGCGCAATCGTCTGCATCTAGTAGCAGATTGGCCTCCGAAAAGGCCCCCGAATTTGCCGACGATTATGACTATGATATGACCTTTGATGAGTGAAATCTGATGAGTGGCTAGGCCATATGATTGACCTTTGATTTATGAATGATGTTTGATTAACTATTGCTATCTATTATAACACGGCCTAAACAACCGCATTTTGAACTGCCTTCTCTGTCCCCTCTTCCTTCTCGGCCACTTCTGCGTTCTTCTTCTCTGCATTCCGTACGACCTGGTCCACCTTCGCGCTCTGTAAGTGAATCCCCGGAACCATCCACTTTCCGCAACTGCATCGCGAGCCTTTCCAGCTGTAACCCCCGACCTTCCCTTGACATTTGGGACATGCGAGTTTGCCCTCGACCTCACCTTTATCCAGCTCCTCCTTCATCCAGGCCAGCCTTTCGGTGAAGAAGTGCGTACAATTGCTAGCGGCTTCTTCAGATTTCACTACATATCCCCATCTGTTGAGCTTGTGAAACTGGGCCTGGGCCGTTCCAGATTCTGGTGGAATATGCCTGATGAAAGAGCTGGAAAGCGCCAACCGTTGCCGACACCGCTTGCATCGCAACTCTCTTTCTGGTCCTGTATCTTCCACTTCATCCTCACCATATTCCAGTCTTTTTGTCCATTTCAAATACGTTTCGCTTTCCGTTACCTGCTCGTCTCCATTTTTCAGGATCTCTTCATATACACCAAGCTGCGAAACAAACCAACCGGCCGGATAGACATCCCTTTTGCGTTGAATAGCATGCAATGCCATTTCGCCACTAAGTCCATAGCAATGCATCAAATATGCAGCCACGAATGCCACCGATCGCGACGAACCTTGAGCGCAGTGCACCAACACGGAGCCCAAGCTCTTGCGACCCTTTCCTTGTCCATTGGCTATAACCTCACCATAAAGCGCCATGTCAATGAATTTATTACACTTGTCGATCCATTTCAACATGTCTGCATCTCTGTCATCCAAAATTGGGATCTGAAAATGTGAATATGGTGGGGACGTGTATTTGGAGGGCAGGTCTCCGGGGATCACCGAGACTATGTGCGTTATTCCGTATTTTCGCGAGAGACCCACCTGTTCATTGATGGGTCCTATTGACGAGATATAAATATTCCCTATTATCCGATGTATATCGTCTGACATGGTGGAGGGCTGTTGGCATGAAGGGAAGAAGGAGGTAGGAAGATTGAGGGAAAAGAATATTTTTTTAGCGTGAGGCTGCGGGATGTGCAGAGCACGACTGAAGAAAGATTAGAGATTAGACAAGAAATGGCTGATAGATTGGGAGTACCAAGTGGGATTTAAGATCAGAAATTTAGCCAATAACGATTTGTATCACTTTGTCTAGTGATTTTCAAGGTATTTTTCAAAATTTTTCTATTATTCCTTTTTTATTCGTTTGAATCTATACGTAGACAGAGCCAAGTGCATGTAACGGGGCTCAAAACCACCGCGAAACTTACTTGGGCCTAACCACCATGGCATATCTATCCCCCAGATCACAGACAAGAGCCAAAATCTGGCAAGCTACATCCTCATAATTTTTGCGAGAGAATTAATTGTATTCAGACCCTTCAGACTATGCGTTTGAGAAAAAAATTGAGTTGCTGGGATGGACGGGCGTGTTTATTAAAGCACACCCGTCACTTTTTCGAAGCGTCGCGCTTTCCTGAGTCATTGTTCGTGATATTATCTTGACCTGTGGATTTTGGTGATTTTGGCTCTGCATCGGCCTGAGCTCGGGAATTGTTGAGTTTCCGACGCTTGGTGAGCATCGATTGGTTGAGGTACAAGTTCGTGGACCCAGTCCCGAACATCATCACACTATCGCCTCCGTTTTTCGTGCTCTGGTCAGAAACAGGCGTACCAACGGACGAAGACTTGCTATCGTCTATTGTGCGTTTCTCACGAGTGGACTCACGAGTTTCTGGGGTCACCTCTTCGGACTTGAAGACGGTCTTTGGAGAAGGTGATCTCGTCATGGTGGTCTTATGACGCGGTTGACTCTGCTGGTTTTGCTGATTTGGTTGTGGTTGCGGCTGCGGTTGTGGAGCTCCATTTCCATTGGTGCCAGGAATTTGCATCTGTTGCTGTTGTTGCTGCTGCAACTGGAATTGGTGTCGTACAAGGGACTGCAAGGCAGCCTGTTGGTGGAATTGGCGAGGCTGTTGTGGTCTCTGCTGGGGCTGAGATTGGGGTTGGGGTTGTTGCTGAGGTTGTGGAGGTTGTGGAGGTTGTTGTTGTTGTTGCTGCTGCTGCTGCTGCTGTTGCTGTTGTTGTTGTTGTTGCTGTTGCTGTTGCTGCCTCTGCTTGAACGCAACCTCGCTATTGAAACTTGCCTTCTTAAAAGTTTCAAGAGCATTCAACGGACCAATACAGTCACTGGAAGTGTAGAACCCCATCAAAGTCTTCAGATGAGCCATCACATCGCTGATTTGCATCACACGCATCACGCTCTCCTGGAATCCAAAGTTTGAAAGGCTCTTGAATACCTCGAACTGCGACTTGGCCTCTCTAAGGTAAGCGGGCGAGTTCTTTGGGTTTTTGGAGTCACCAGAGCCTAGCTTGTTCTGCACCAGACTCTTCTCGATAGTTGGCCATTCTAGGCCAGGAATTGAGTGAAATACCTGCATCTCTAGCCAGTCGATCTTGAGCTGCTGATTGAACATGACACGTGCCATTCCATAGAGAGTCACGTAAGAGCCATCAGCATACCAATGTCTCATGGACATCCGTGAACACTCCAGATAGGTTGCACCAGTTGGAAGAACAGAAGCCTTCATGAGACTAGGAGTGATCTCGAATTTGGCCACTCCACTTTGGATGATACTGTAGTAGAATCGAGAGATCAAAGGCAGAGAGAAGTCGTATCTGCGCTGGTCATTTCCGTTTCGAAGAGTGAATGCCAGCATTCCAGACTCGCTGAAATACTCGTTGGCAACCTGTCTCCAGTAGGAAAGCCTTTCGGCATCGGCACGAAGTCCAGCCGACTCGCAGAACTCCAAGAATTTCAGCATTGCAAAGTTAGAGATCTGTTTTTTGAGTGTGCTCGAAGCAGGAACTCCATTCACACCCACAGGGACGGGACCAGGGTGCATGGGTGGCTGGCCTGGAACCGGTGTTGGTTTCAAGGGAATTCCCTGCTGGTGCTGCGGCATCTGTGGCTGAGGGAAAAAGCGTTGCTGCTGACCGTCTGCAGCCTTTTGTGGATAGTTACCCGGATAAATGGTCTGACCTGTATTCTGGACCCCGTTGATCATCTGCGGCTGAGGTTGTTGAGGATGGGGATGTTGGTGGGGATGCGGCTGGTCATTGGGCCCCATGACCACATGATTGTCACCCATCGGTATGCTCGAGTTAGAGGCTGCGGATATTGAATTTCGCGTCAGCGAGTCACCAACTGTGCCGTACGTCGCCTGGATCTGCTGCAATGTGGCCATCTGCTGTTGTTGCGACCCCACGGCCCCGGGCCGCATCATCATCATCATGGGGTTAGCCTGCTGGGGATGCGCGTAGAAGTGCTGTGGGGATTGGCCCGGGTTCCCTTGCTGACCCTGTGTTGGAACCACATGACTCTGACCAGGAGTCTGAATTTGTTGCCTCTGGGGAGGTGGGTGGGCCACCATGCCGGGCCCATGGGGATGGATGTTCCCATTCATTAGGTGCTGCTGCCCCATCATCAGAATATTGGGATCCACCATGCCCATGTTGTTGGCCATGGGCTGAGGAATCATGGAGTTATTTGAGACTGTGTTCATCACATTGGGACTTATTCCATTCATAACACCCATCATGTTGCCGTGATTGGTCGAAGAATTCACGTTCATCGGCATCGTGTTAGTGGGCGAAACGTTGGACGCTCTGTTGTTGAGGTTGGTACCGTTATTCATCTGTAAATCGATTCCCAGGCCAGTTAAGGCTGCGTCAGATGTTTCCAATTCGTTTCGGGCCGGTAGTTGGCGCGTAGATCGGCCTGACCGGTTCCGTTCTCAACAGGGGTTCTGGCGAAAATTGCACGCTTTGGGCTCAATCTCCAATCTTTGCAAATGCGGGATTTGGAATGCAAAATTTGCACACTGTTTGCGATCTAACTCTGATTAGCAGCAACAATCTTGGAATTGTGCAAAACGAGCTGGGGAATCTGGCAACACGGCACGGTTTTCAGTGGCTGACCGACACCGACCATAACGGTGCTTGAGGAGGACCAAAGCCTGTAAAGGGCGTGAGAATTGCGAGTACACTACCTTTGGAAGAATTGGGTGGGGATAGAGGGAGAAAAAGGACTGGGGAAGATCAGGGAAATATTAGATGATATAATAGAACATGGGTACATTTGGAGACTTTAATTTGCCCTTTGAATCTTCAAAATTCCAATTTTTGCATTCAATTTGGGCCTGTAGTTGGCGCTTCTCAGGGTGATGCTCGATCACGTGGACAGGTCGGAGTTTGAAAAGATATTGGCGGATTAGTTTGAAGCAAACAAGACACGAGAAAATAGCACAAAGATCCTCAAAGAAGTTGTCAACATTGGAAAACTATAGTCAAGCACTCTAAAACCTTACACTTCATTATCTTCGCGTTATTTTTGACCACAGCATATGCTGTGGTTTGATATGTACAGTACGCTTTCGCGCTCGGAGCCATCGAAAACTCTGCGATAAGGCCGCCAAAACCGAAAAACCAGGCTGCTATCATTCCAGTTTTTCTTTGTGAGTTCATGTTTCTCCGTTACAGCTCAAACGGCTTTCTCCTCGTTTTTATCCAAGCTATCCCGCACCACGTAATACCCATCATCAGAGTCCACTGCTAGTCCTGTAGGATTCCAACTATCAAATACTTCTCCTTTCTCGGGATCAGACTTTGCATGTTTCACCAAATCCGCAAATACCAGCGCCTTGGGTTTGGGTATTAGGCGTGTATCCACGGTCGAGCCTTCCACGGGAAGGGCCAAGTCTTCAATGTTTCTTATAAACCCCAGTTGTCTCTGGATGCTTTTTAAAAGGGTCGCCTCAGTCTCTTCGTTAGACTCAGCGTTTAACCCGGACAATTGTTGCAAATTCAACAGTTTCTCACGGCTCAAACCATCGTCTCCAGCCTTGACTAAAAGCTCTGCTGTGGCCCAGTTAGGCCTTGCCAAATACTCCTCCACCTCCTGAATAGTCTTGAACGGTTTCCCAATCCCGGAAAGCCGCCGTATTGATCGTAAAAACATCGTATTTCGCTTATCTGAAAGCCCAAACCACAGACTAATGACCTTTCCGGTGAGGGGATCTGTGTGGGAGATAATCTACCGTGTACTTGCTAAACAAAGCAAGTCGCTCACTGATTCTTAGTCTAGTCACGTGAGCTTTGGAATTCTGAGTGAGAATTGGGTTGAATTCACCTACCAATTATGTTACTACACCTAATTTTGTACAGAAACAGCCAAATAAGATCTCGTACCATTACACGTCGCCGTTGAGAAGGGCATCTAAGGCGCCCTGGACAGAGCCACCGCTTCTCCGCAGGGCTCTCACATTGCGTTCAAAGTCGCTGAAGCCCATGTCGTTTAACTGGCGCAACTGGCTCTCATATCTTTCCTCTGGAGGTCTGGTGTCAGCAGGAGCTGCGGCTGCTCCAGCTCCAGCTCCAGCTCCTCCGCCCATGAGCATGTTCATGAGGTCTGGGTTGAAGAAGGGGTTGGCAGCACCACTAGCGGCACCAGCAGCGTCACCCTGTGGAGCAAACATCGCAAAAGGATTGGCTCCAGCAGCATTCCCACCAAGCAAAGCTGCAAATGGATTTGCTGCAGGATCTGAACCGGTCGTCGCAGCAGGGGCAGAACCGAGGGTAGAACCCGAGGTAGAGTCAGTGCCAACAGTAGCCGCACCATCACCACCAGTGGTAGTGCTTGTAGCACCCGGGGCAGGAAAAATTGAGGCTGCACCGGCTCCTTGGCCTCCTAGACCACCCATCATACGCTGCATGTCCATCACCTGTCTCATCATTTGAGGGTTGGTCATCATGTTCCTGAAGTAGTCGCTCTGGAGCATCTGTCTGGCTTGGGGACCCATGCTACGTAGCTGAGGCGACTGGTTTATGAGATAATCAAGCATCTGGGGATCTGCCAAAACAGATCTCATGCTTTCTTGGAACATGGGATTCTCCATCATTTCGGCCATCTGGTTTTCATCCGGAAGGGCTCCCATTCCACCATCCGGCCCGAACATGGAAGAAGAGGGTAATGGAATGTTTGCACCAGCATATCTAGCCCCGGTGAGACCAGCCAGAGGGTTGAAAGCTCCTTGGCCAGCAGCAATGTTAGAAGGTACTGATGACTCAGCAGAGCCTCCAGTGGCGCCAGCCGCTACGGGAGCAGCTGCAGGTGCCGGCTGGGAACTCTTTGGAACCGGTGACTTGACCAGATGAATTGTGTGACCTGATTGGACATTGTAAGTGGAAAGTGGGTCGCCATCCTTGAGAACCTTGCCTGAGTAGATCAGCTTCTGACGATCAGCTGGAATCTCCGATTCGGCTTCAACAAGTGCCTTAAGCTCAGCAATGGTTACCGTTCTTGGGACCGACAATTGATACTTCTTATCGCCCGAAGATCTGTAGGAAAGCGTTAGCGACTGTGAACAATAGACCTTCGCAGCCTGAGGTTTCGGTATGAAAGTGCAGTTTCCCGTCCAATTTCTGAAATTCCTGGCCCAAGCCGAATATATCAACTTACTTGATGGTGATACTGATATCCTCGCTTTCTGACATCTTGGTTGTTTTCTAGCGCTCTACAAGGTTCGTAGGTTTTAAGATTCAGGAGATCAGGAAGCAATAGCGCCCACCTTATCGACGTGGAAGGCCCCAGAATGAGTGTGCATCAACCGCAAAAGTATTGAGATACACACGCAAATAAAGTAACTGAAAATTGAAGCGAAATCCGGAATTGTATTTTTGCATGAAAGTCACGTGGGAATTTGTTTGGTCCGCACGACCTTGAACATGCAGATTGAGCCGCAGCGAGGTGAACCCCCAATCCCCCAAACGTACAAAGCACATGTATGTGATGGATCTGCACACCAGGAAAGTACGTGCCAAGAGATGACAAGGAACAAGAAAGTGAAATGGTTGTTCATGTTTCTGCTTTTTGAAGTTTTGTCACATAATCATACCCCACTTCGATAAGGGTCAAGCCAGAAATTTCCTGTTTATCCCTTGTTCTGTCTCTTCCTTCTATGCTTTCAACTGTTTACCTCGTTGATATTAGCACAAAGCAATTCTCAAGAAATCAAAATCTTTGCGGTGGCCTCTTGCACATTTGTGAGATACTCCCCTGCGATCAAAGGTTGACGTTATCAGGACCAGGGCTTCGAAATCTGTCAAACATAGGTTTGGCTTGATCATTCCACACAGAGGCTGCGACGATATATTTTAGCAAAATTGTATCAAAAAGTTAAGTTGTCGATCCGCTCACTGAATCCATAAACTCTAATCTGGAGTAGCGCGAAGTATAAACAGTAGATCAAAACTGCTCCGTTCTTGGTCAAGCCACCCCGTTTCTCATCTGGGGGACGGCTGATCCCCCCTAAACTTTGCCTTACATCTAAATTATATGAATAATACTGACTTTTAGTGAAATCACCAGGGATAAAAAAACTTGGGGAACTGTTCAGACTTTATTCTAAGCTTCTTCGTTGGCAGAACCTCACAGATTCAAGACCGGGGCAGATTCATCAGTCGGCTTCAGCGACACTGCTGTATAGACGTAACACCACCATACCCCGAAATCGGCATGAGGAACACCTTACAAAGTATGCTTTGCAAGCCTCGTATCGGACCTCGTAATTCGTAGCGAGAGACCTGCTAAAGTCTTTGAGCCCCAAATATAGAATGTGGTCGTGCACAAACAAGAGTCGGGTAATGCTTGTATGAGGCACTATGAATGTCTCTCGTCCCAGTCCGGACCCCCTCACCACTTCTTTCTACTCTGCTTTCTTGCTGCCTCTGAAACTGACTCAGTCACCAGTTGCAATAAGTCAGATGTCAATGCCCACACCAGCTCCCTCTGCAGTCGGGGGTACCCCGTCCACTTTGCTGCCCGAGATGATCTCGATCCAGGACCTCGAGAACGGCACTCTCAACATTGACGCGCTGATCGAGGAGATACGAATCTTGCACCAGAAAATTCCGGCACTTCGATTTCAGATGACCAATTGCTTGCGCACGCTTGCAAACATGGACGACTCCCAGGGTCCATCCCAGGCTTTTCAACACATCCAACGAGAAGTGGTGGAGCTCAAGCAGATGTTGGAGACATATTCGGCATCGTACAGGCGACTCATGCCCGTGATACGATACGCTAAGCTGAAGTCTGGACTGAATCCGGATGATATGACTAAAGTGCAGCGGCACGAGGTCAAAGTGTTGAGCAGCAGCGACGAGATTACCGAGGTAGTTGGTTCCCCTGGTTCGAAACCGCTCGGGACCAAGCGTTACAGCACCACCAAACAGGTGAGGCCACGGGCGCCGTCTGCATCAAAAGGAAAAGTGACCGATTCTGCCGGATCCGCGTCACAACCAATCCTACTGTGACAACTTTTGCTGAAAAACTGCCTTTTATGACAACGGTAACAGGCCACCATCACAACACATCCACTGAGTACCTCCGCAATTACTTTTAATCGAAAAAGACCCAGAGACAATCCACAATCCACACATCTGGCATGGCCAGCCTGCCCTGTGAGATCATTCAACTCACTGAGCATGCCGAGTCCCCGCTCTACCGAGCCCTGTATAATCACTACGTCTACACCCTCCTTTTCATTTTCATTTTGTTACATCTTCCGCTTTTTTCAAACAGTTTGTGATACTTGAGCTTTTAAACGTCTGTAGAAACTTCAATAGAGCCGTGTGGTGCAAAGCACAAGTTTACACAATTCTCATGATGTGTATTGCACAATTGTTGTGCACGCCCTTTCCTTAAGCCTCAGCTATTAAACTACAGATCGATTGACGTGGTAGATGTCAGGACTCTCTTACCTCCACGCTATTCTCCACCACGCACACATGAAGTTTCTGACTCTCGCAATCTCAATACTACCTATTGTAAGCGCATTTGAGTGGGGATTCCACCAACAAGCTCCACCCCAGCAACAGGTGTTCGATTACCAGGATAAGCAGCTAAACGGTAAGTACGACGATAAAGGATAGATACCAAATCTGATGAGTTTGATATGATGCTTAGCGGATCGTTTCTACATTTGAGGCCTATTTACAACCGTTGATTACTAACTTTGCTTCCAGCCAATTGCGACAGATATCTGTGTCCAGAGACTTTTGCATGTGCCAACTCCCCCATTGAGTGTCCATGTCCATTCCCAAATTCGCAAACCAAATGCATCCTGCCAGATAAATCAAATTTTGTGTGTATACCGAAGCTCACTCTTGAGGAGATCAAAGGCGCTGAGAAAGGTGTAGAAGTGAGAGACTGCAAATGGGTTGAAAAGGCATGGAAAGGCCAGGCTTAAAACTGCTAAACTGAAACTGCTGAACTGAAACTGGTCATCTGCTCAACCCAGAACGTTTAGTATTTATAAGGTACATAGTATGAGCTATAATTGAAAACTCCTCAGCAAAAGACACGCACACGATTCGGATTTTGGGACCCAAAGTTGCAAGGAAATCCCCGGGAGGCCCGCAATGGTCATTTTATCTCCTTATCTTCTTCTTCTCCCTCTCATAACCTCTCACATGCTTAGAAATACCCAAAATACTTCAACAAAACAGCGAGAACCACAGTGAGAGCAGCAAAAGTGACGAAACTGGAAGAGCCCGAAGCAGGTTTCACCGCTGTTGGGCTTCCAGAACCACTAGACACGGGTGAACTTTCGTTTGAATCAAGCTTCTCATTCAAAGCTGCTACCTTGGCATTGCTCGCCTCGATCTCATTCTTCACTTGTTGACTAGCCGAGGTCTTTGGGGCCTCAATAGGCGAAGACACCACACTTGGTTTTGGCGTAGACCCTGTAGACTTTGACGAAAGCAACGCTGCCTTCTCCTTTCTCGTCTCCAGCTCCTTGGCGGTATAAGTTTCCCCAACCAAAAAGGCCACACGGATCTTCTTGGAGTCGACTCCGCCCTGGCCTTGGAGTTGCACCAGCTTGGCCCAGTTCTCTGACACCTCCTTGTTCTCCACAACCTTGCTAACAGGCACACCTTCAATCAAGAACTTATCCTTGCACTTGAATGGAGCAGTTGGTTCTTCTGGCAAGCCCTGGGAGATGATGAGTACATCCATCTTCTCACCCTTCTCCAGCACCGCTGCATTGGGCCTGACACAGTAGAACTTAGGCGCCGTGGTCTTGACTTTGAATGCCAGCAGACCATCGGTGTCGTTGGTCACCGTTATGAACTCCGTGGCAGTCTCTTTATGGGGGCCTGGATGAAAACGTTAGTAATCGAATTGAGATAACCTGCCAAAGGGGCCGTGCCTGGCACATCAGCCATGCGTGACTAAATTCTCCAAAAACTCACCTTTGAACTTCAGAATAGCTGGAGTCACTTGCATTTTCGGATTCGACTTGCTTCGCTGAAACGAATTGAAGGCAGAGTTGTTGTTCTAGAGAACAAAGCAAGGCTTGGTGTGCCAACATGATCTGTGTGAGACTTGAAATTGAGGCGAAAGCCGGGTAATTTCAAGCAGGAACAAATTGGGTAGGGAACGCAAAAACGACACATGCATGTCAAATAGCACATATCTAATGTGGCAGACGCCAAATTCTTTAGTTCCATATTTTTTGTTCTTTTCGGATTTGTTGGTAAAATTTACTGACATTGTCTCTTTGACCATATTAAAACTAATAATCATCCCCCCGAGAAACGACCTCCTTTACCGTGGGGTGAAGCAGAATCGTATGCTCATACTGAGCAGTATAGGCTCCCTTAGTCTCCATCAAAGGAGGATACTCATTCACAATTCCGGACTTGCAAAGCTGTGATAATGCCAAAAGGTACTTCTCCTCGCCGAGACGGTCTATGTACCGACGGCAGAAAGGCAAGGTGCCGAAGTTCTTATCCAGAGTAGCCAGCAACTGCTTGGCACGAGCCAGACGGATGGGAGTATTTGGCGGAGAATCCGTGTTTTTTGCATAATGCGAACATTCACCTTGACCAACCACATAACCACGACCAGTAGAGCCAAAGGTTTCGATAGCAAACGTCTCACCTTCCTCCATCTTGGTGTTATCACCGTTTTTGACTATGGGCACTGACTTTCCACCATGAATGCGATAAGGCTTGATGTTGTGACCATTAAGGTTCCGGATACACTTCACTGGGTATACTTTCCCGTCTAGTTCGATCTCATGACTCTCCATGGTCTCCTGAATGGCCTCGCCGATGTCAGTCAGCCGGACGTCAATTCCTGCCTCTCTGATTCCTGTGTTCGTTGCCGCTCTCACAGCGTCCAGTAGCGGATCGTACTTGCGGTCAAAAGTGTGTGTCCAGGCACAATCAATAATATGACCGTTTACATGCACTCCAAAGTCCACCTTCATGACATCCTCATAGCTGAGAACGGTCTTGTCACCAGCATTTGGAGTATAATGTGCAGCACAATGGTTCAAAGATACTCCACATGGGAATCCCATTCCACCGGTCAATCCGTCAGCCTCACTCATTGTTCTGACACCGTTTTCGATGGTTTCGGCTACTTCGATCATGGTCATACCAGGCTTAATCACAGACTGAGCGTATTTTCTAACACGACGGTGAATTTCCGCACCCTTTCTGAACTCTGTCCATGTGTTGTTGTTCTGGTTATCAAGATAACGCTTCTCCTCGTCCGTAGTTCTGTAGTTATTCTCATCCTTGTACTCCATGATCTGGCCCTCTGGATACACTCCTTCTGGGTAAAAGGTAGTAATTCCGGCAATCTTCTTTTTAGCGGCAGTCTTCTTCTTCTTCTTTTTCTTTTTCTTCTTGTCCGCAGAACCGGCTTGGTTTTCAGCCTCAGCTTCAACGTCTTCGTTCTCATCGTCTTCCTCGGGGACTTGCTTCTTCAAGTCTTCGTCCTTGACCTCTAGCGCAGCCACGCCAGCCTCAGCTTGTTCCACAGCAGATGGAGCCATTCCTAAAAACTATCTGAGACTTTTCCGGAAATAATTAACGGAATAAAGAGCTTTGTTCAAATGGAATGGCATGCCTGGTTGGAACCTATTTTTGCTACTGCTCCTAACCCTTCTTTGACTGAGTGCACCACACAACGGGTTGAACACGACCAAATCGTTTTTCACCGACAAGTGAACGAGTGAAGGACCGGGAGGTGTAGTTAATCTTCCCTCTACTCATTATATTCAACTACACATTCCAGCGATGATTTCCACAATAGTGAGGAGAAGATGCTTTACTGGTATTAGAGCTCTTAGTTATACTCCACAGAAGTTGAACTCTGATCTGCCGCAATCGATCCTCAAGTTGTCGCAACAGGCCAACAGCCAGTTGGAGAACGCCGCGGTAAACAAAGTCCAGAATGGACTGCTTAAGAGCGGACTTTTGGACAGAAACACCTTCACTGAGAAGGAAGCTACTTTGAGTCCGCGCATGGCAGCCGCTTCTACGCCATTGATGGGAGTTGAGGCCGGTCGCACAGTCGCCGTGGGGCGTGACGGCAACCCACGCACGGCTTTTAGAAAGCTACAGAGCATGACCACTTCTCTTGGAATTAGACAGAAATTTTATGCTGACCAGTTTTACTTGAAGCCCTCGAAGAAGAAGCTCCAGAGGAGAATCAAGAACAAGAAGATCAGATTCATGGGCGCCTTCCGCAATCTGCTTTCTAAGGTTAAGGATGCCAGAAGAAGAGGTTACTAGAGGAGCGAGTAAAGTGGTCTTATTTTGTATATAGCTGATGGTGAAAAAGTATGGTCTCATGACAAAAACAAAATTTAGGGTTCGGCTCAGGCACCCGGAAAGCATGATACGTAGGAAACCAGGTACGCAGATGCCATGTAATACATGGGTCGTGGCTAAATACATGCCATTGGTGAAAAATAGTTAGCATAAGAGAGCGTAATAGATAATGCTGCCGGATATCGTAGTTCGTCAAGACCTGCATCAATCAAAAGCATTTCAACATTCCTGATACTTCCCTGACTGAATAAAAATCAGAGAGAAAAGAAATACGAAAACTATTGGTATAAACCAAAAAACAAGCAATTTGACCTATTTTACCCTTTCAAAAAGTCCTCAGACTTAACCAAATGTCCCCACTGCCATTACCTAGCCGCACGAAGGTTATGAGCCCTGCGCTCTGCTGCATATGTCAGTAGATTTATTGCTGACTGCTTGGTTAACTCAGAACACCACAACTAGGATGATTTCCGAAGGGAGAACTGGCGAGGCCTCTGCGAGGTCGGCCATAACCAACCTCATGAACACCATAATGGGTGAGTGAAAGTCAATAAAAGGTTTCCTTTTCCTTGAACGATACTAACTGGGTACTAGGTGCTGGTATGCTGGCTATGCCGTACGGAATCAAGGCCAACGGAATGGTGCTAGGTGTTTTTGTGATTGCTTTCTCCGCATTTTGCTCAGGATTTGGACTTTATCTTCAGGGCGTTTGTTCCAGGTATGTGCCGCCCGGCCAGGCTTCTTTCTTCTCACTTTCGCAGTTGACATACCCTCAACTTGGAGTGGTTTTCGACTTGGCTATTGCGGTAAAATGCTTCGGAGTAGGAATTTCGTATTTGGTGGTGATCGGGGATCTGATGCCAAAAATCACCGAGTCATTGTTGAATGAGACTTACCTGGAGTCTCATTCTCTGTTCTTGAACCGAAACTTCTGGATCTCCGTCTTCATGGTGGTGGTGGTGCCTTTGTCATTTTTGAGGAAACTGGATTCCCTCAAATATGCGTCCATGGTGGCCTTGTCTTCTGTGGCTTACCTAGTGGTTTTGGTAGTTGTTCATTTTGCGAGTGGTGATGTCACGGAAAAAGGCCCGGTTAGGTATTTCGAGCCGAAAGGCATAATCTCCATGCTGAGTTGTTTTCCTATCTTTGTGTTCTCATACACATGCCATCAGAACATGTTCTCTCTGGTGAACGAACTGAAAGACAAATCAGCCTCCAATATCAACAAGGTCATTCAGACTGGTATTGGCAGCGCGATGGTGCTCTACATTCTGGTCGGAGTCACTGGCTATTCCACATTTGGTGACAACGTTGGAGGAAACATCATTGTGATGTACCCTCACTCCGTGTCGTCTACAATTGGAAGAATTGCCATTGTGATCTTGGTGACTTTGTCTTACCCGCTGCAGTGCCATCCTTGTAGGGCTTCTACCAATCATGTCTTACACTACTTCCAGAAATCAAAGGCTGGAGAATCGCTTTCCAGGTCGTGGTCTAGAAGCACGGGCTCTTCTGCTACCAACCATGTTCAGGAAACGAGGGCATTGATATTTGCTGCCGACGAAGACGAAGACGCCGAAGAAGGCGCGAGCGGGTCTGCCGCAGTCAGCCTGGGAACAGCCAAGTTTGTGGTAATCACCACAATCATTTTGATTGGCAGTTATCTGGTGGCCATGACAGTTAGTTCGCTAGAGCATATTTTGGCCTTTGTAGGATCCACAGGCTCGACTTCGATCTCGTTTATTTTACCGGGCATATTCGGCTATAAATTACTCGGAGAAGAAAATCGCTGGCTCAAAAGAGCCGCATTGGCGCTAAGCATTTGGGGAGTAGTAGTGATGCTTCTGTGCCTGTCAGCAACGCTTTTCCTGGGCGCTAAGCATTGACTAATATGTATAGAAACAACGGCATATATAGAGTCACACACATTTCACAAAATCGCATAAATAAAAACTGACGCTCCAAATTCACACCCACAAAAAGCCGCGCATAGAGCCGGCGTGATTTCATAATACCGGGAAACGCGTATCACCGCGAAATGTCTCTCCCCTTTGTCAGGGGCACGCGCCTAATTGTTACCCGCTCAAACTACACGACTGTTGTTCCTTTCTTCCCGAGCGTTTTTTTGTGTATTTTTGTTGATCTACAAATATAATTCGGATCTTGCTACCACTTGGACCAACTACTTTCACTCGCTCTGACCAATAAGATTCACAAGCCTCACCAGCTCCTTTCATCTCTTACGCGCTCAAATCTTGTCCAGACACTCACCACCATCCTACGACGAGGTCTTTCATCCAACGCCATTACACCTTGCTCAAACTCTGAATGTCAACTTCTACAGACAAAACTGCCGATTCGAAGGCCCGAGCAAAGGCATTTTTCCGTCCGCAGCGCACGAGGATGTCGTTGTCGAATTTCTTCATGAGCCCATTTGCGCTCGGTTCTTTGGGGTTTGCCGCCATCGCGTGGATCGTGGCCTTCGCGGGCTCTATTGCTGCCGCGTCCGCGCACTCAGGCATTAGCTTCCCTAAGTTCACGTGGTGGGGCCTTGTTTTCCAGCTGTTATTGTTTGCACTAATTATTGCTCTCTACGCCACTAATACATTCCGCTTCCACCGCTCGTTTCTGGTGGGAACCATTGCTATCGCGTTCCTTTACACGTCGAACAGCACCACCCAACTGATTTATTCTAACACATCCTCGAGACTTGCAGCTGCAGCTGGTTGTTTGCTGCTTTCCGTGGTGAATTTGATCTGGTTGTTCTATTATGGCTCTGAGCCCTCTTCGCCAATAATCCAATGGATCGACGGAGGAAGAACTGATGACATTGACAATACCAACTTGCCAACCTCGAGATCTCATTACCGCGAAGATCCACTGGCTTTGAGACATTCTTCGCTGAGAAGTACAGCAACTGCCCACGCGAACAACCCGTTCGAGGCAGAAACGCCTGAACTCCAGCAGCAACAGTCCCACTATGGAGCGCCGATTAAAGGTTTTGAGAATGCCTCATCGTCTCAGCTCACTAATGCAGAAGTGGCTATCCGTACAAGTGGAGTTGAAACCGATGATGATTATCCATACCTGGTCAGAGGTCTGTACGACTACGTTGCCAACCCAGATGACCTAAACGAACTCTCGTTCAAAAAGGGCGAGGTCTTCAAGGTCAAGGATACCATAGGCAAGTGGTGGCAAGGTAAAAACTCCAACGGTGACATTGGTATGTGCCCGAGCAACTACATTGAATTACTGGCCTGAAACCTGGCATTTTGTTAGGCTGCTATGCCTCCTGCTTTCGCCCATACCCCGCCGTCTGTACAATACTGATTTGACTATCAGCCTTATTCTCCACTTAAATATAATTTGAATCAATTTTAGTTCTAAACATTGCATTTGGGGCCCATTAAGTTCTGAAGACTAAATAAATCGAAGACGTGCACCACCCAGCACTATGCTTACATCATATTATGTTATTGTTTTCTGGGGCACCCATACCGATCTGGTGTCAAAAGGCCTAATAAGATCCGTTGAGGCTCCATTATAGACGGGAAAATACCCGGAATTTTTTAACCAGACTCCCAAGATGAATGCCACAGAATACTCCATACAAAAGTTGCGCAGTGTCATATTCTATTCTTTGGATAACGATCTGTTGCCCACGGCCGAGTTTACAGCGGAGCGGTTAGTCGCACAGGATTCTTATGACATGGATTCGACTCATTTGTACGCGTTAGTTCTTTTTAGAAGGCGGCGGTTCAAAGCTGCCTACAATGCTACAGCCAATATGCCTCATATTGGATGCGCCTATGTGTTTGCCAAATGTGCGGTAGAACTTGGTCTGGAGAATGAGGGTCTCCAGGCTTTACAGCGAAGAATGGCCACCTATACTCAGGAATCAAAACCCGAGAGAAATTACGAATTGGAGAGAGACATTCTTCCTGATGCTGTGGCAATTCACATATTGATGGGCAAATTATACTTTCTCTTGGGCGACACGAAGCAGAGTACTTTGAGTTATACAGCCGCGCTCCAGTTAAACCCATATGCATTTGAAGCGTATGAGGAGCTGTGCAAAATGGGAACAAAGGTCCGTGTGAAATCAATCTTTCATGCCGAAGCCGGGTCTTTGCTGGACGCGGATATTTTTAAGAGCTCTCCTACCGACGAAGGATCAAAGCTTTTTGATCCCAGCTCAACACCAAGAGTACTAGCTACTCCAGAACAACCCGGAAAATTCATGACAACGCCCAGATTGAAGCAACCCGTTTTTCCCGCTGCTCCTACCAGAAGGGCAGCAAGGAGCTCAACGTTAGACAACTTCAAGCAGCCTACTCTTCCAACAGATTCCATTCACAGAAGAAGTATGCGTGGGTCCTCTTCCATAACTTCGCGATTGTTGAGTCATCCACTCAACTCACTATCAAGCTCCTCGCCGGCTTTTAATAATAAGAAAGAGGTGTCTGGGCTGAAAAGGTCCATTGGTGCGTCATTCTCCGGAGGTTCGGCCTCAAGCACGGGCTCGAGCGCAACCATCCAGTTAAACAAAGGCGCTGAGCAGAGCCTATTGCTTCTCTATCAGCGGTTTGCCAAGGGTCTCAAGGCAATGCACTCCTATGATTGCTTTAAGGCGATCCGAATTTTTGATTCTTTACCTGAAAATGAGAAGAATAGTCCGTGGGTTTTGGCCAAATTAGCCCGTCTTCACTACGAGATAGTCAACTACGAAGAATCGGCGGTTTACTTCAAACGACTGAGGAAGATGGACCGTACTCGCGTCGAAGATATGGATTACTATTCGACGCTGCTGTGGTACTTGCGAAAAGAAACAGATCTCAGTTTCCTGGCTCACGAGCTGTACGACATCGATAAGAACAGTCCCGTTTCGTGGGTTGCCATCGGAAATCTGTTTTCACTCACAAGAGAGCCGGACGAGGCAATAAAGTGCTTCCAGAAAGCAACTCAAATAGACGCGAGTTTCGCATATGCCCACACGCTTCAGGGCCACGAGTACTTACAGAACGACGCTTTCGAGAATGCGCTCAAGTGTTTCAGGAACGCGTTGCTTGTGGATAAACGCCATTACAACGCGTTTTATGGAATAGGAATGGTTCATATGAAATTGGGTGAGTATACAAAGGCCGAGTTTCATTTTCTGAAGGCTCTGGAGATCACTCCTGTGAACGTGATCTTGATCTGCTGCGTGGGAATGGTGCTTGAACGACTAGGCAAGAAAGAACTTGCGCTCAAACAGTACATTTTTGCTTCGAAACTCCAGCCACGGTCCAATCTGGCACTGTTCAAAAAGGCCCAGGCTCTGTTCTCGCTCCACCAGTATGATCTTGCGCTTGGGGAATTCGAACGGCTCCAGGAGCTCACCCCAGACGAAGCAAGTGTCCACTTCTTATTGGGCAAACTATATCGCATTGCCGGGCGGAAGTATGACTCGTTGAGGCAATTTACCATTGCTCTTAACTTAGACCCTAAGGGTTCACATCTGATCAGAGAGGCTCTTGAGAGCTTACAGAAAGATGATAAAGATGATGAAGTTGTTCTTGAGTAAGAGGGAGATGGATATGTCCAAAAGTCATAGGTATGGTGGCTATTGGAATACCAAAAAGGATTGCGAATGGTATTTCCCGACAAACTATATCATCACTACACCAAGTACAATTCTACTCATAGTCCCAGCATCACAACCCAAACGAGGCCGCCTTCATTAAGATAGTATACACGAGAAATCACCCTAATACCCTTACACACCAGCACAATATATAACTGAAAATCAACTAATTAGCTCTTGATATCTGCGTTTTCGCTTTTCCGTCTTTTTTCACCTCTTGCGGAAAGAAGACACCCTCTTGCTTCCGTTGCTGATAATCGCCGGATTCATCTCTTTCTCAAGATTCGTTACCATGGGCGTGGGGTTTGTAGAGGCAGTTCTCTGTCTCTGTAGCGACGGTCTGTATCCCAAATCTGGGCTAGAAACATGATTAGACCCATCATCCGTGTCTGGCTTTGGAGATCCCAGGAGACCCGAAGCAAGCAAATATGGAGAAGAGAAGCCGGAATGGGATCCGGAGGTTTCAATTTTGGGCGGAGCCAAACTCGAGTGCCTTGAGGTTTGCGATTTCGGAGTCGACATCGCATTAGTAGACAGCAGCGTCGGGGTGGTCATATTCTTGGCAGTAGGACTTTGCATTGGCGATGTTCCTGGTTCTGACATCTCTGGACCATCAGTAATAAGCGTAGTTTCAGCGGTGCTCACGGCACTTGTTGGCTCCGAATGCTCGTCCTCAAGGTCCTTCTTGCGAGCGTAATCTCTAGCTTGGGCCAGCATCTCTTGCGCCTTTTGCAGAGAAACGGTGGGGGTGTCACAAGAAGAAACAACAGCCACAGACTCATCCATATCAATAGTGGCCTTCATTAAAGCTGCCATCCAACCTCTCATTTCCTCTTTGGTATCCACGGCAAAGTAATGGACCTTCTGCTGAGTAAAAGTCAGCCCCTTTCTAGAACCTGGAGCAGGAGGTACGAGCTTGAAACAATACCTCCCAGAACCAGTACTAGCTGCGTAAAGAGCAGTGAACTTGTCGTCGCTCTCTTTAGCAGGCAATACCTTGTGGGATGTGATATCGATGAGCCCCTTTTCACGCTTGTCCTTCATCGTTGCGAAGTAGGACAGTCTCGTACCATGAAGAGTGAAATACCTTTTATTCCAAGAGCCGATAGTCACGTTTCCTTTCTTGCTCATCCATCCGGAATAGTCAGCCGTTTTCACCGAGTCGTCTGCAGTTACGTCACGAATACCTTCCTGGAAAGCCGAGGTTTGAGCCTTGCGACGAAATCCAAGGCCCATCACATTTGGAGAAGCGGCACCACTATCGGTACGAGTCATGGGCCTCTTGATAGCTTCTGAAACAGTTCTCTTTGGATCTCTCACGGGACTGCTTACTTCAGCCTCTTTAGCACTGACGGATCTCCTCTTTGGCGATTTCAGGTCCGGCAATTCACCGAATTGGTCTAGATCTATCACGTTTGGAGTTTTCAAAGCACCACCATTGATGGCAGATTGTGGACGCGAGGGAGATTCCCTGGCAGAAGTGAATGACAGAATAGATGAATAGCGTTTGTGTTCTTTGCCGCCCCGCAGATCCCTTGTGCTCATGTCTGATGTGCGCCTTTCATGCCTGGCTGGAGAACCAGTCCTCGATTTAGAGAACGAAAGAGCCGAGCCTGTGCGCTGGTGGTCTGGGTAGATTGAAGACGCCGCTTTGGAAGATTGCCTGCTGTGATCTTGAAAGTCTGTTGGGTATTCGCTGGTATCTCTTGTACCAAAACGGTAGGCCTGGTTTCTGTCTACAGGTGGCTTTGGAGCCCTTCTTGGAGACTCAAACTCTCCGACAGATCCAGAGGCGATTGGAGAAGCAAAGCCGTTTGCAATCGAAAGAGGCCGTTGTGTAGACCGCGAGGGCCGGGGTTCCGTAGCGGCAGGTCTTTCATTCGCAGGAAATTGAGGAATATCATCCATGCTCTGAGATCTCTTTCTTGCGTGTCCAAGTGGGCGCGTTGGAATAGTAGAGTTCGGTGCCTGGCGGCGAACCGAGGGCGCAGCCTGCAGTTTTTGACGTCTTCCTGAACCCTTATGTTTGGAGGCAGCTCTGAGCTCCTCAATTTCCTTGTAAATCTCGAATCTGGTCCCAAAAGAGGCAATATCGAGTTCCTTCAAATTGGACAATTCCAGCTCGATCAGAATGGCACCGCTGATCTTGTGACGCGCAAACTGACCAGCACTTTCCACCTCAAAGTTCAAAAACGAGAAATATTGAGTTACTTGCTCGGGCGACCAGGAGCTCACATCAGCAGGGTTGAGCTGAGAACCAAGCTCTTCGTTTTCGGCCTCGATAGAGCCATTCGTGGAGTCGTAGGAGCCCAGCTCTTGGATCGCCTTGTCGATATCGTTCAGAGTATGATGGACAGACGAGTATTTCGACCTATCGTTGGAGTCAAAAGTATTGAATGTATTCGCTGTCGTGTTGGGAGACTCTTCCACCATCGACAGCTCGTTGAACTGCTGGGTCGGAGTCACAGGACTGCCGTTGACAGTTCTGCGAGACCGCGACCTCAAAAGCCCTGGCCTTGTGGTGGAATCATCGGAAACTTTTTTGGTGAACGCCTTGGGATACAAGCCAACTTCGCCGGTGGTCAGATTTTTTCCCATATACCAGCCGTCACCGTATTCGCTGTCATCGCTTATCAGCTCAACCTTGTCACCAGGCTTCAACGTGACCTCGTCCCCTAACCGGGCCGAAAACTCCTTCACACATTCAAAAAGAACTCCAACGGAGCCTTGATAGTCTTGAGATGCCATTTATCAGCACGTGGTGGCAAACTAGCGGGCAAAGTGGCACAAAAAAAAACACTAGGTAACAAAGGGCGTTTGCTTGTAGGTGTGTGCGCAATGAATGGAAGCACCAGCTTGTGCTATGGCGATATTTAAACGCAATAAGGGATCAATTCGAAAAGCCAGAACTTCGCGTTTTGCCACTAGATTAGCTGTTACAAAAGAGTTGGATATCGCTTGGACAGATGTATCCCTTGTAGGAACTAGCTAAATACAGAGGACAACAAAAAAATTGATCAAATCCACATCCTTTTGGACGCGACGTCTGGACTTTGCGCTTCCCGATTGAGAGGGGCACACCGTTTTGGCCAGACGCGTTTCTGCCAGGGGAAAAGTAAGAGGCACACAAAATGGCCAATTTAGGGTTTAAAATACTTGAAAGTTTTACAGAAAGAGGCAGATGATGAATATGAATAAAATCGCGCAAAAAAAAGACAAGTAACTATGTTTTTCGTGATGATTTGCCAAGCTTGACCGGTCACTCAATAACGCGGCCTGGAACTTCTGCAGAATACAATTTGTGACAGTGACAGGCGTACTGCGTAATACACATCTGTGGGCTTTGAATTATGCAGGCACAGCCAGCATGAACTGTGTCATAGGCCTATGATGATCGAGTAAGAGCATTGCGAGTCCAGCTTTAATAGTATTTTATCTGCATTTGTGACGCTGCTGCCGTTTTGCGTGGCTAACTAATTTTCACTCGAGATTCGTATAGTACTGGTCGCTCTGCTCGAACCTCCGCCTGTGGTTATCCTGGTCTTCCTGGCGCAGAACCTGTTCATACGTAGGCAAACTCTCTGAATTGTTGGCGTCGACATTGTAGAAAGACTGCTGTTGCGTCTGCGATTGTGGCGGCGTACTTATACTGGACCATGAGCCTTCGTCTTCATGGATGGCCTGGGGACTCACCAAAGGCATGGAGTTGTCCTGGACTAGTTGCAACCCACTCAAAACTGTTATTTCGGTATCCAGACCAACTTCAATCACCGGTCCTGTTTTAGTGGCCGAAAACCCGCCCGTGACCAGAAGCCTATATTTGCGCGAGATGTTGCAGGTCTTGAACGTGGGTGCTATATGGTCGGGAAGAACAGCTCCACTGTAGATATCTTTTGGGATTTCCAGCTCGTAAAGCGCACCACCAGTTTTTGGATCCAATGCTTTGGACTTTCGGGCCTTCATGAGGTCAAGTTTGCAGTTGATCCCACCCAAAGTGAGAACGTTCTCCTTAGTGACAATCTGCCTCCTGTGGCCCTGTATCAACACCGTTGTTGTTGAGATCAACTCAAATTTCAGGGACTTCACAAACACGTAGCCCAGTCCTGAGCTCTGACCATTCACGAGCTCGAAACGTTTGGGAGCCAGTTTCGTCATCAGGTAAAGCTTATAGTTGGGTGGCCTGGTGGGGATCACGAAAGCAGGATACCTGAATCGCGCCTCAAAACCCACGGGAAGGTCTATGGGATCCACTTTTGGCATCTCATAAGCCTCGTAGTAGTCCTTTTGCTTCGCGGGGGACTTTTGAGGCGCAGGTTGCGAAACCTGAGTAGGCTGTGCAGGTTCATCCAGGTTGAATATCGACTTCAGAAAGCTCGAGGACGATCTCCTTCGGGGAGTAGTGGGAACAGAAGGCCTTCTGGCCGCTGCAACCCTTAGGGGAGCATCAGCCTTCTCGTGGAAAGCCACAATCTCTGGGTATTTCTGCTTGAAAACGAAATCACGACGCGTGAAACACTGCCGTTGGTCCAGCATTACGTTAGGAAAGTCCACCGGAAGAAAGATGAATGGGTCATATGAGCGAAAATTCATCTTGAGCAGAGAAGGCCGTTTGGCAGTGGCCTTGACGAAGTACTTGACGGTAGCAAAGTCGTTGAGCCCGCTCAGCGACGGAGGAAGTGTAGTCTCGACGTGCCTCGAAGCCTCACTGACAAACTCGATGGAGGTGTTTGTTCCTGGAGAACTGAACCCATTGATAAACTGGAACCTGTTCGAGATCCCCGTCAGCGATTTGTTATTAGAACACCGATTCTTCAGTGGGATGGTGAACTGGAAGGGGAACTCGTAATCTCCTGGAACAAGCGTGAACTCCTTGGAACTGGAAACCCTCCGGAGCTCAGCGGAAGGCCAGACCATCAATGTGTCATATAGCAGTCTGTGGACCTCTATCAACGGCTTGTTCTTGGGCTTCTTTCCGTTGCCAACCTCTCGCGGTATCTCTATCACTGTCTTGGAAATACCCTCCAGCTTGACGTGTATCGAACTCAACGCAATATCAGACCGCACCTTTAGCGATACCCGGCCCTTTAGGATATCATGATTGGTGAAAGTACCACCAGTGGCGGTCTTGTCAATGCGTACGCTCAAATCACAAGAAGACACCATGGCTAGGCAACCATAGCAGTGATCCGTAAAAATGAAAAATTGAGCAAAAAATGCAACCGATTATGCCTCCAAATGCCACCAAATGCCACGTGATTCAATATTCCACGCAAAACTCAACCTTTCTTATTGTGATTAAAGTGTGGGCGTGAAGGTCTTGTTCGTTGTTCGCTTCCCCAAGCCATCTTTCCCTGCCTGAATTTGTGCCTGGAGGCCAAGGCCATCGGTTGCCGCTTTCGGCCAAATTAGCCAACCTATCGGGCCGGAGCGGGGATCGAACGCTACGCTACGGAAAACTATTTTTGTGAAATGTTTTGAGAAATATTTGATTATTGGGGGATTTTCCTCAATTTATTGACCTTTTTGTCTGGTTTTATCCGTGTTGGGTTGTAAACGGCTCAGACACCTTACCAAGTCCTCATCGTCGTCCTCCACTACACGCATCAGCTTGTCCGAAACAGCGTTGTACGACAGCACACGGGCACGGTTTTCCTTGACAGAATCCACAACCGTTTCATTGGCCGATGAAAATGTCTGCATCACCATTTTCCTGAACTTCCGGTTCAAATTTTCCATCGAGCGCGAAGACCCGACGCTGTGGCCTCTGGAGTGTAATAGTCCAAAGTCGTACTGTCTGTTCAAATCTGCAGCCGTAAAAGAATTCTTCAACGGGCTTGAGACTATTGGGAGGTGACGACATTGACACCCGCGCGCTGGAAGTCCTCCCAGATGTTCATAGCACAAGAGACATCTATGTTCTCTGTCGTCATACAGCCCTTTGTGCGAACCCCAGAGAATCACCTGGTGTTCCCGCCTAACAACCGCGGGATGGCTCAGACGTCGTCTCTGGCGAGGCGCTTCATTGCTCTCTTTCTGGAGACACTCGGATGGTTCAGGCCAAGCTGATCTGGGTCTGCTGTTTTCATGTCTTTTCATAGCCGCGGAAACCAACGATAGAAACCTGAATATAACTCAACCGTATAATTGTGTTAATCAGCTCGCAGCCAATTAGCAATTTCTTCAGCGCTCAGCTTCCACAAGCCTCCAAGTATTTGACAATTGCAATCCTTTGCGAAACGAATGCCGGCGCGAAGTTGGGTGCGGCGTTCCAGAACCAACAGCCAAGAACTCGAGGCCCCGGAAAAATCTCGGATAAATCCACACATATTCCGCACTAATGATTTCCCAATCTTGAGGGGCTCTCAGCGCTTTTGAAGCCGTTTGAAAGCCCTGAAAAAACTAAAAGAGCAACAAAAAAAAACATAAAGAACTCCAAAAGTCTTCAAGCAAATCAAAAATAGTCCCGTTCACGTAATCACCTTAACCCGTATCTTCAAATGCGTCAGATCTTTTAACTTCACCATTTTACGGCACAAGGGACAAATCCCAGAGTCCCTGTTTCTTCCTTTAGAGCTTGGAAGAGCCTGGTAAAGACAGTCCGTACAAAATAAATGTCCACATGGAGTCACAACTGCATCGTCAATTTCAGAGAGACAAATCGGGCATGTCACGTCTTTCAAGCTTTTTGCCTTGTTCTCGTGCTTTAAAGACGCATCAATAGCACTTTGAGTAGACTCGATTATTTCGAAACCGTCATCGTCATCTTCATCTTCATCGTCATCAGTTTCTGCTTCTCTTTTCCTTGTCGTCGCATCAACAAGCTCTGCCTCATCTTCTGAGTCCAGTTCAATGGGTGTTGCCGTCATTTCTTCCCTCACTCTGTGATTTTTTGGTGCAGAATTTTCGTCGTCGCTGTCGACACGCTTCAGTGCCCTTCTTCGTATTCTGTGGCTCGTTGGTCCAACGCGGGAATCCGAATCGTCACTGGAGAGGTCCACTATGTTCGCCAGCATTGTAGAGAGCCCTTGCACAGTATAAAACAGTGTTTTTCGTTTCTCAATCCAGTAGAGTTACTCTCTCAAAGGATATGCGGTCATGAAAATCGAGTACCAACTGGCAGGTGGCAAGAACGCTTGTTACAAACCAGAAGTTACCCCGAGTGTTGATAGAGAGATAGATGGCTTATCTCCTTAGCGTGCGCCGCCTAAACCATATAAAGTAGTGTGCAAACTACTTTTATCAACCCTTGTATCATGTGATGTGAATCAGGGCAAGCAAACCCTCATGCCTCGCAGAAGTGGGATCTCCTTAGTTAAGGCAGCAGACCTCCAGAAACGGTACAGCTCATAACCATGGAAAATTTGGACTACCTCTTCAAAAATCATTGAACTCTTCCTCAAAGGTACATAGCATTCAGCTACTATAGAATATCATATAATACACAGAAATGTCTGGATCTGGTGCTTCTGGTAACAAGTTTCGTATGTCGGTATGTATTATCTTGAGACTTATTTTTGTTGCGAGCAGTTCAGAGTTCATTTGAAGCTTATGAAGTCTTGTTGGAATCGGTGAAAGACTGAAGTGAGAAATCGACATGTACAAAGTGAGATTGTGAATTTGAGTTTAAAGAGACATGGGCATAAGAGGAAGCTCCATATACTGAACAAGTGACCGTCTGGTAGCATGTTAAACCATGGGTTCAATCATGGCATGAACAAGTGAAACTTTCCACCATCGAGGAAAAACTGGCCTTCAAAATGCAAACGTGCTCAAATACCAACAACCGCTGTGCCAAACATCATGTCCATCTACTTGACGTTCATTGTTTATCTATGTGAACCGCTTTTCCTCTGGTTCTTCAAGTTTTTCAAATGATTCAACAACTGCCCGGACCCCGCTTGAAAAAAGATTGTTATACTAACCCCCAATAGTTGGCTTTGCCAACCGGTGCTATCATGAACTGTGCCGACAACTCCGGTGCTAGAAACCTGTACGTCATGGCCGTCAAGGGAACTGGTGCTAGATTGAACAGATTGCCAGCCGCCTCCGTTGGTGACATGGTCATGGCTACCGTCAAGAAGGGTAAGCCAGAATTGAGAAAGAAGGTTATGCCAGCTATCGTTGTCAGACAATCCAAGGCTTGGAGAAGAAAGGACGGTGTCTTCCTCTACTTCGAAGACAACGCCGGTGTCATTGTCAACCCAAAGGGTGAGATGAAGGGTTCTGCCATCACTGGCCCAGTCGGTAAGGAATGTGCCGATTTGTGGCCACGTATTGCCTCTAACTCTGGTGTTGTTGTTTAAATTGGAATATTTTTCGTTGCCGCATATTCGATAGGAAATCACTGAAATACAAGTGTACGGTGAAGGCTCGTGCGGTAGCCGTACTTCTTGAGCTAATGGGTGGATCTAACAAAAAAAAATACTCTATTTAAACGTATAATGTCATTGTCTCTGTAAAAAACAAAAAAAAATTAACATGTAGTTTTAGGTTAGCTGCAGGTTTTCAACGGAGCTTCCAAACGTGCATCGAGGACGCGAGAACGCGATGCATCTAGAGATTTCCAAGACATGCAAGATAGCCCAGCAAGACCACGTTAGAAATATATATCACCAGTTAAAAATTAATATCTTCATATAGCCTGATATCAAATGGTGGCATCCAAATACTCAGAGATCAAATGGCGGTATTAGGTTTGGGCAAAATTGCAGGTAAGCACTTATTATGAAAGTTTCATCCTTTGGGTAGTTGAACGTCTTACTGACTCCTCTACAGAAAAGCTGAAATCGGCCAAAACCAAAGAAAGAAATGACGCCATAGCCGAACTTGCTGATATCGATGATGCCGTTCTGATCAGAATTGCAGATGATGCCAGTCAGTTCGTTCCCATACTGGGTACAGTTAAGGGCCTTCTAGATGGTCTCTCCATTGAGCTGCAAGCCTATTCCCCCGACACCGCTCCCAAAGATGCTCAATTATCAAGAATACACAGACTTTCAACCCTGATTCGTCGTCTGGCTGGAACTGTCCTGCTGAGATCAAATTTCAGACATGGCAAGCTGGGCACCAAGAGGTACGAGTCATTCATTGCCCATATCTGCAGTCTAACACTGTGGAGTGATAAGGTGTCGCAGAAGGACCAAATGTTCAAACCGGCGGCTTACAGTCTGATGACTTCATTATGTTCACTTCTGAGCATGAAAGAGTACGCAGATCACCTCAATTCGTCCTCATATTCAGATCTCGTCAAGTTCGTGATCAGATGCATCAACTGCATGATGAGCCCGGAGAATATCGAGAATAGGTATTCCGGGTTTCCAATCACCAAGATTACGATTGAATGTTTTAAACTGCTCCAAACCATTCTGACCCCCGATTCAGATGGAGATTTCATCTTCTTGTGCAACAATAGTCTGAACCCTAATGAGAACTACTACCTAAGACTGGTACTGGCCATTGAGAGATTCTACACCGAGGGCTATTCAAGGGGCCTTTCCTCTTCACAAAGTATGATACATGTTTTCAACGTCATAAACATACTGTTGGTCAGTCTTTCGAAAAAAGATTTCAAGCTGGGAAACAAACTTTGCAGATTGTCGATATGCTTCATTGAGGATACTGCTACCGTCTCTCATGATCTGCCGGAGCTGTTTGCCAGGTTTGCGCATATATGTTTCTATTATGCTTTGAATGCACAATTCGAGGAAGAGAGACTCACCAGAGATGAAATTTTTATCGTTATTGAGAAGCTGAGTGTAGCTCATTCGGATGCTCGAGTGTATAAGCCTCTGAGCCCAAACGTGATCAAGCTTCACTCCCAGAAAAACGAAAACGTCTTGGACTGGTACCATTTCAAATATTGTTCGCTAGCAGATGATGACTACAAAAGAGAATGGAATATCATGACGGCATTGGTGAAATGTGTCGTTCTCTATTTCGAACTCCCTCCCAGTTCCAGCATTGGTGATGGACGCAAGAGACGCAAGACAATGGCCTCAAGTGATCGTCTTTGTGAAGCAATCAGAGCAGTTGACGATCTGACTGGCATTTTGCATTTTTCCTTGAATTCTACTGACCCAAAAAACAGGATGTTCTCTTTGCAATTTGTGTTTTTCATCATATGCTTTGCCAGCACCAATAGTCACTTGAGCATATGGATGAAAGTCACGAAGTCGATAGCTTCACGTTTAAAACTCAAGCTTTATATGAGTCACCTGACTGCCCCAGAATACCAAGATCATAAGCTTTGGGCCATGTTGTTCATAGCCATCAGTCTCAGGTCTGGGTCCACTATGCTGACTCAGGAAGATAGGTCTGGGAATTTCCAGAAAATGTTAGCCGTGTGTTTGGAGTCTGTCAGTCTCAAAGAGCAGGATGTTTTATCTTGTGCACTTGCTTCTATATTACTCCAGCAAAAAGACATCAAATATAACTCGGTTATCATGGATAGGTTGGAATTACTGGTTGCAGACCCGAGGTCCAACGGACCACTTTCGATCAACACCGAGTCGCTGAGCTTCATGGTGGCTTTGCACAATGCTTGTCGAGCAATCAGGTTGAAATCATTGAAATCACACCGGTCTCGTGTTTCCAGTTTCATTGCCGATCAGTTGATCGACTGGCTGGACTCTCGTCTTCCCAGTTTCCTCGCTGTTAGACAGAAGATTGACGATATCAAGACACTGGCTGCTTTTGTGAACTGGGTTCAAGGAAATGATAAAATCAACTTAGAAAACTCCAGTCATCAACCTGTGTATAGACCCTCTTCAGAATGGTGGATTGAATCTCGTCAGCTTCGAGTTTACCCGTACCTAGAGGTTTCGTTTGCTTTGCTAAATAATGAGCCATGGGCTCAATGGCATGACAGTGACTGCAAATTGCATGCAGAGATTATCCCAGTGGATTTTCGGTCGAGAAAATTGATGCTGGATGCATATTGGACCTCGCATATTCCTGCAGATTCCTATAACTTAACTGTGTTAGGCGTGGAGATGGCCAAGGTTTCTGCCAGTGGTGAACTAAGTAGCTATATCGGAGCTCATACCAGCATTGCTCTGGAAGCAGGTGACTTTAGAACGCTGAGAGACTTGTTTTATTCTTCCGAAAGCTTACCTTCAGCGACTCTGTTCTCTGGGGTTGTTTTGGATGAACTCATGTCTCGTCTCTCGGACTTCTCCAATACGGTATCAAAAGGCCACAGCGTGAGCGCTGTGTATTTGGAGTCTTCTGGAGAGCTAAGGAGCATGGATTTTGACCAGTATGTGATTGCCTATTTTTGGCGTTCTTTGGACTTGGCCAGTTTCATGAGCTATTCTGTAAAGTATCTGCGGACCTTGCAGTATGCTCCGCAGATTTCTAAATGTTTCGAAGAGATCTTGAGGAGACTGACGTCTTTTTCCTTTGACAAAAACTCATGGCAATCTTGGGAGAAGCTCATTCGAGATTTTGCAGAAACATTATTCGGAAGTTATGATCTGGAAAGGACCAACTCCACAATCACGCTCTCGGCCACGCTTGTGTGCCATATGCTTAAATCATGGGACATGGTTCCAGAGCATATGAAGCAGGATTTGTCTGACATATGTCGTTTCCTTACTGAGTTACACTCACAGAATTTGGTTCTCTTTGAGGACGGGGTTGCTTCAATGTTGGCCCTTTTTTCTTCCCTCGAAGGAGTAACTGAGAATTTGTCTGAAAATTTGTCTGAAGTGGTCCAATCGTACATTAAGACACTCACAAATAGTCAATCATCTACAGTGTACTTGGCTGCCTCAACAAATCCAATATCTAAGATTTCCACTGACCATTTTGTCACTTTCCGAAGTTGTTTCACTCATCCCGAAGAGTCACCAGAGTCAATTAGTCTGTTCTTTCAATGCATGAGCAAGATATCGGGAATCTCTCCAGCTGTACTGGTACTCTCTGTTTTTGAAGTGATCCAAACCCTGAGACTATCTGAACAGCATAATTCTCGAATTATTGCTTCTTATTTCATGAAGAGCATTTCTGAAAACCGTGTGCTAGATAGCATTGTGGAGCCGGTCATGAAGTACTGGTGGACCTCGAACTCTTCTTTTGAGGGCTTCCCATATTACTTGTTTGTCAGTGAAAAAACATTGCCTTTTCCTAAACGGTATTCAAGAATGGCTGCTGCGTTGGCCATTGCTTTCCCCACTGATGCTTCGTTGCTAACTCTGGAGGAGGCACAAGCGTCAGAGTTTGAGAACACCGAGACTTCGCTGGATAAAATTATTTTCGCAGCATCTTCCTTGGCTATTGCATACGCCTTTACCAAAGGAGGCAGCAGGAATAACGTTTTCAAATTTTTGTCTCTGAATTTAAGTGCGGATCGCTACGAGCAGGTAGTTGGGCAGAACACTGTGCATACTGTTAGTAACATCCTACGACTCTCAAATGTGAACAGTGAGTCCAGCATGCTTCTTGCCCTTAAAAGGCTTGGAATCGAGAACATTACAAGCTCAGTTCTGGATGAGTCTTCTGAGACTCTCGCCATGCAAGACTTCCTCTCGATATCGCCGAACACCACGGTGGAGTCCTTGAAGGCTGTCATAACCCACAAATACCCCCAGGCCTACGACTTTTGGAGCCCCTCGGTTGTCTATTTTCTACTCCAGCAAGCGATAATGCAACTTGAAAGTACCAAAATGCCTCATATGAAAGCCTCTGTCATCAGAATATGCAAGCTCATTTTCCTGCTTGCGTCTAATTCGTTTTGCTCTGTCGATGTGTTGGGGCTAACAGTGCGGTATCTAGCTCCATATCTCCAGGATGAACACGTTCACGCAGATGTTTCGAAACTAATTACTGCCGCAATTAAAGACGGTCGATTCCCCAAGATTATTCTTCTTCAAGTGTTAAGTTTTCTACTTCTGTCCAAGGCTTCTGGAGTAACAACCGATATGGCTCTGATAGCTGCCATTCAAGACAACACCTTGAATATGGATGAGAAAGACCCATTGGGCCACATTATCAATGCTGCATTGCAAACTTTGAATAACCGACCTTGCTTGCTGACCGTTCAAAGTATTTGTGAAACGATAACTTTGTTGGAAAACGAGACTGACATTGACGATGACAATAACAACGGCAACGAGAAAGACGTTGAAAACGCATTGATTTCCATTCTTTCAAGCTTGTTCGAATTGCAGGAATTTACTCCGAGCATTCCCGTCATAGATTCCAAAATTGCATCATGGATGATTTCCCATTGTGACTCGACGCAGTCTAGCACTTTTGCTGTTTGGATCGGGAAAAGTCTGGGGTACTACTGCATCAAGAATGGTGGGGTCAACGTCGACTCTATGGTTAAAAAGTATACCAATGATTTCCAGACATCTTCCAGTCTAGATTCGGTTTTCCGGATTCTAAAGAATCATAAGGCAAAGGGCGGGATAACAGCGGAGTTTCGTTTCAACACAATGGTAGGTTATATTCTTCATGAGATATCTACTGCCGGTGCTGCAGGTGCTGCAGGTGCACAAACCTTAAACAACCTAGATGTTGATAGAGTATTCCCCAACTGCCAAAGCTACATTATGCCAATAATAGATTTCGGCTATCTTCATTCAGACTTTTATGAAAGCACATTCATCAGAAACAATCAAAAAAGCCTCGAAGAGCTCGTCAAAGAGATCGGAACGTCTCCTGTTGGCTCCCATGATATCCTTGATACGCTGTTGGATCGAATCGAATCGCGGACGCCGCTTGCTCCTCTCTTAAAGTATCACTTGAAGAAGAGTCCGGAGTTGGTAAAACACGTGTTCTCTGCTTTGTGGATTTATATTATTTCTGTGGGCGGCGAGGAGGAGCGTGAGCTCGTGATCACACTGATGAATAACGGAATTAATCAAAATTTTGGCGAGCATGAGTCGACTCTACGAGACCTCTGTGAGCTAGCACTGCATATACGTGTCCTGTCTCGAAACGAAGTCGAGCAATTTGCAGGGGTCTTTTCTAAACTCGACGCAATCAAAGTTGCTGAGCTCTGCTGCAAGTTCAAAGATCCAAAAGCAGCATTGATGTTGCTGGAAGATGCGCATTTTTCGGGGTTTTCTGATTGGAGGCTCGATATTGAACTACTTTCTCGTGTCTACTCACTTTTAGATGAAGAAGACTTGGCGTATGGACTGCCTGTGACCCCAAACCTAGATTACGTCAAGAGAATCACATATGAAGCCACTAATGATTCCCACAGGAAATTGTTGCTTTCCAATGCTGAGCTAAATTCAGTGTTTGCATTGGGCGAAAACTCCCTGAAGACTGAAAACGTCATGCAAAGTATGCTCGACTTCGGGTTCACAGGGATGTCAAAGGTTTTTTCGGAAGGTCAGGACGAAGAAAGCCAGGACAAAGACACATTCTATGAATGGGCTTGGAAACTGAACCAATGGGATGTCCAGGAACCAGTAAACCCTACGTCTCTGGACTCATTTACGTTTACCTTTCTTAAAGGTCTGCAATGTGAGAAACCATTTGGGCCTGTTTGCAAGACTTTGGTCGAAAATAAAAAGGCTTTTGCTCCTGGGTTGACACCCTCCAAGCGTCTTGAATCGTGGCTGTCCACCTTGAGTATTGGATCTCTTTCTTATCAGTATGATATTGACGATATCAGGGGAAATTTTGGGGAACACATATTGAGGTCTCTTGAATCAATATCGTGGCTCCACGAAGCTGACTTCAGCACGGCTGAGAATTTACTTCTTGCAAGCAGAGCTTCCTTCGAGATTTTGATGAACCGCTCAATGTTTGAAAATCGTAACACTTTGTTTCTGGCAGCCCTTGCGGCAACAGATAGATTATCTCGGCTAGCCATAGCCAACAATGAGAACCAAAAGTCTCTGGATTGTTCCGTCTACATGGAGAGATTCATAGAGACCAGTCAAGTGCCACATGAGGTCAAAGAGTATGCCAGACGATTCTCAAAGTTCAACCTCGCTTCCGCCTTTTGGGGATTGGGTGATACTTCATTCCCCGTGGAGATGTTGAAACAGTTGTCGAGCGATGATTTGGTTCCATCGTCGTTCCACTCGCCGCTAACAGAGTTGGAGCTTCCTAGGCCATTGTTACGGGCCTATCTTGTGAAGTGGATGTCGGAGTCCAAGCACATGAGTTCAGATGTGATCTTCGATCAATATGTTGACGAAGGAACAGCTAACGATTTCCGAGATGTGCACCAGCGTGCCACTATGTATCACATGTTTGCAGAATTCTGTTACAATGAATATCAGTCGAAGGTTCTCCTCGACCAGCTAAAGCATCACGAGCAGCTCCGGTCAAAACGCATGAAAGAATACGTGGATCTGAAGCTCTTTTCCGAGAATCGCGGAAACCCCATGGAGCAGATAAGAGATGCTGTCAGGGTTTCGAGGAAGACAAAGACTCAGATCTTGGCTGACGAAGAGGAAATTTTGCGCATCAAGACCAACAGAGAGAGGTGTTTTGCTGGTGCAGTCAGATTCTACCCAATCGCCCTCTCTTTATCTGATGAGTTTGACTATACGGACGTGGACAAGTTCTGTGCCCTATGGCTTGAGAACGGAAGCAATTCCAACCACGATTTTGATCCTCATCTTCAAAAAATTCCATCTTTTAAATTTTTGTCATGGGCCAATCAACTTGTGTCAAGACTTCTTTCAGAAATTAATCCATTCCAGACTGCCTTGGAGAATGTCATCGCGAGAGTGTCCCTTGCATATCCCATGCATATGCTGTATCTGGTGAAGTCACTAACAATGATTGAGCTGCACACAGATGATGCAGTTGCAGGGTCAAGAGTTGAAGCTGCTGATAAGCTTTGGCATAAACTCGGATTAAATTCGAGTCTTTCTACTCAGATAGAAGCCATTAATCAATTTTGTCAACATGCAATGGCGCTGGCAAAGGCTACACTTGAAAAACGTTCCAAGATACCTCTAAGCAGCCTTGCAGATGGAAGATGGTGGAAGAGTGGACTGGTGAATCTCAAGCTGACCCCTCCAACAATCACATTACCTGTGGAAAATTCTGAATTGCCTACGATCGTTGCCACTTCAGAAAAAATAGCCGTCGCCAGTTCCGGAATAAGTTTGCCCAAAATCCTCACGTTCACCCTCTCTACTGGTGGTACACACAGAATCCTATTCAAGAGCGGCACGGACGATCTAAGACAGGATTCCATTATGGAGCAGGTCTTTGAGAAGGTGAATGTGCTGCTTTTGAAAGACAAAGAGACTAAGCGCAGAAATCTCAGAATACGCACTTATAAGGTGGTGCCTCTTGGATCTGTGTCTGGGGTGATTGAATTCGTGAACAACTCTGTGGCCTTGAATGATATACTGAGGCCTTTGCATGAAAAGACAGATGAACTGTCTTTTGGCTCAGCGAGAAAAACACTGAAAAAGTACCAGAATGATACCCGCAATAAGAAGATCATGGCTTACGATAAAATCTGTGAGCTTATCAAGCCAGTGCTCAGCCAGTTCTTCTTCAACAAGTTTTTGACACCGGAAAGGTGGTATAACAGTCGCTTGGTATATACCCATGGTGTTGCCAGTAGCTCAATCGCGGGCTATGTACTGGGACTTGGTGATCGTCATAATAACAACATCCTGCTCGACCAGTACACAGGTGAGCCCATCCATATCGATTTGGGGGTGGCTTTTGACCAGGGCAAACTGTTACCGATTCCCGAGACCGTTCCCTTCAGACTTACCAGAGACATTGTGGACGGTCTTGGGATTACCGGGGTCAAGGGAATGTTCACCAAAAGCTGCGAGCATGTGTTCCGGGTGCTGAAGACGAACGACCAAAACATCAGGAGTATTCTTGACGTACTCCGCTACGATCCGCTCTACTCCTGGACAGTCTCTCCTCTGAAATTGATCGAATTACAGGCCAGAGAGGATGTCAATGTTCCTCTTCCAAAACCGCAAGGCGAGTCTGAAGCGAACAATGCCATAATGGGTGTCCAGGCAAAGCTTGATGCTAGAGGTCTTAGTATAGAGGCTATGGTAAGAGAGCTAATTAGTGAAGCGACAGATGCGCGCAATCTGGCTCAGATATACGTTGGATGGAGTCCATTCTATTGATAATTTTCAACAATGAAAAAAATTAGTCCTTTCACCAATAGTATACAATCATTAGAGGAGTAGTTTGACAATTCAGTGCTGCTGCCTTTGGTCTCTGCCGCCCCTTTGTCTTCTTTCATCCTGATTGTTGTAGTTTCTTCTTCTATTGTTGTTATTGTTGTTGTAGCCCTTGTTATTGCCTTGGTTGTTTCTCGCCCTGTTATCCCTTCTGTTCTCGTTGTTACGAGGCTCCTGAATCTTCTCTATCACCTCGTTGCTCATCCTCATACCCTTTATTTGGGTGCCGTGGACGTATATCTCGGGTCTCTTCTCAAAGATGGTTCCTTCGGAGTTTGAGAGTATGACGTTATCCAGCGTGATGTTCATTCTGACGTCGCAGTTGTTTAGGGTACCGTTGATCGTATCTCCAGACTTTAGCTCAACGAGCAGTGGCTGCCCCTTGGCAGCGTACAACAGAAATAATGGTAACTGGATAAAAGAGAATGTTAGAAAACAGTACGACGATATGATTCGAAGAATATACTCACCATTTTTTGAAATGATTCGGTAACGCAATGTAATAGAAGGATGGTAACAAGCAAAAGATACCGTCACTTTAAAACCAGCTTCGTCGAGATACAATTTTGTATGGTACACTACTAGACCCACCCCACATATTCAAGTATCCAGATAGAGATGTTGAAAAATGACTATATATAATTTCAATCGGATTTGATCGCACCATAGATAGTATGCACGAATATGGCCGAGCTTATCAGGCCGATGGAACCGCAGGCCATCCCCACTGCTGAGTTCGCCAGAAAAGAGTATATGAAGAAGAGCAGTATGGAAGTGATGTCCGACATCCTAAGATAAACCGCGAAGTAGTATATGCAGTATAACATCATGTAGAAAGTGATCGAAGCACCAACTAAAAAGGAGGACCATTGCCACTGGTAGTCCTTGGCGTTCAGCCTCAAAAACGTCGAGACGATCGAGGTTTCCACAATAACCACAACCAATAACGTCATCGTGCAGAACAGGAAGCCGTACATGTAGTAGAAAGTGGTCTTTTCCTGCCACATCGACCTGAAAATATATATCAGCTCAACATAAATCATGCCAAATGGGAACAACCCGAACAACGGTATCATGACCAAGGGGCGATTGTAAAGTGGCTGGCGGGGTATGGACTTCTGAACCGTAATATCGTTGGTGGAGTGGTTTATACGTATCCCCGTTCCTGCTTTGGAGAACTTTGACACCAAGTAAGATGCCACACTGGTCTTGTTGCTGAAAAATCCACCCAAGATTCCCAAAGGAAGTTCAAGAGTCAGACATCCAAGGATCAGAACCATGAAAGTGCCGAATGGAAGGGCAAAAGTTGAACCTTTCGCCCACACAAAAAGATTCATTATGAACACGATCCCAAATATTCCCACAGTCAACGCAGAAGAACAGTATAATGAAATTTTTTTCCAATCACTTATTGGATCTGGAGATCCTGTGGAGAAGACCTTGAAGAATTGCACTCCAGAGAAACCCGCAACAAATCCGCTGATCAGGAAGAAAAACACTGCCACTGACAAAATACTTCCTCTATGGGTCGGACCAATAAGACCGGAGACACACAGACAGAGCACAGCAACTATGGTGATGGACAGTTGAACCCCAGACGCGGCTAGCACGGACAGCAAAAGAGGGCGAGTAGGAGTTATGAAGACATCATTTTCAATCGATCTCCAGCCCGTTGTGGGCTTGACAGCAATAATGTCATCAGGAAGATCTTTCACAGTGTGAGATTCTCTGGAATTGTAATAACTGGAAGATCTGACACTAGAAATGTCTTTGCTGAGAGTCCGTATGAGCACAGCACCAACAACAGTAGACAAAAACAGGATCACCACCACGGAGTTCACCAGCGAGAACCAATGCATTTTGCTCTGATCTCCTTCACCGGCAAAGTACAGATTCCATCTGTCTTTCCACGAAAGATCGAATTGTTCTCTCCAATAGACAGAATAGGTGAAGGGAATTATGACATTGCCCAGAACTGTGGGGTCGATTTCGAAGTTCTTGAAGTTTTTGGAGGCACCAGGGCAATGGTGATCGGATACAGACTTCGGATACACTTCGAAGCCCACTATCGTCTTTTTGTTGCGGTCTCCATCTTCCTTGTGCCACCTTATCACGAGCATGACATGGTTATGGATATAAGTCTTTCCGTCTTCAACAAAACCTATGGGAAACCCAGCAGCGTAGTACATCTTCTTCTCAGTGCCAGTAGAAACAAATGTCGTGGCACCTGGCAATCCATCCAAGATCCACTCAACCACATAGCCTTTCTTGATGAGCTCTGCGGTTCTTCTGGCTCCAGCAGGAACCACAATCCTGTTGCAGAGTCTCTTACAGGCGTCATCCTGTTGGAAAAACAGATGATAATCTGACCCCCAAATTCTGTCACCACGCAAAACTTCTCCTAGCGACAAAGACTGAGGAAGGGCCTTGTCTGTGGGCGGACAAGTGAAGGGCAGGTCGTAGTATGAATATGGCAACTGCGTCTCGTCAGACTCAGCCTTGTTGACGTACATGAGAACCTCGTCTCCCTGGTGGAAGTAATTGGGTGTCCATTCTAATAAGTCAGTAAAGGTCTCTTCCACTAGTAGAAGGTTACTTACGAATCCAGTAAAAGCCTTGGACACACCTTAGGGTCAGCAATGTCCACACAACAATGCGAACAGCGTTGAACTGAGGAAGCAAAGCCATTGTTTCAAGGGGCCAAAAGATCAAGAGTCCTAGATACGTGTGTGAAACTGTGTGAAACTATGTTGAAGATACTGGGCCCAAGAATATGCTAAACGCTTTCCGGTATATATGTCCGTTGAGTTGTATTTTGCATTGTGGATACATGCCACAAATAATAGTTGTTTTCACGTACACGACCTTGGTGCTTTGGGGCATCAGAGGGCTCCAAGGTCCAAGGTCGACGAATCGGAGAGTACATATTGATTAATAGCATTATATGGGTACTTTGAAGTTTTTTATGAAAGTAGAAGAGATTGCAAATTTAAAATTGTTAGTCTCAGTCGTTTCTTGCACTTCTACCACTCGAATCTTTTAAGAGTTTCTATCTGCAGTAGGCCTTCTTTGATCTGCATACAAATTTGATTATTATTCAGTTTCCTGAAAAATCAACCAAAATTTCCACAATAAACTTCGCAACTTTTTGTCTTCTACTGCAAATGTCTCAAATATGTCTAAGTTAAATGATTGTAAGAACTATATCGTAAACTGTCATTTGCAAATTGCACATAAACAAAGGGAACAAAAATCCAAAGCTGAAGATTATCACAGACCTCAAACAGCAAGCTCCAATTGATGATGATCGTTCTGTTTCATGTCCACCAATGCATCCTTTAATCCGTTCAAAAGATCCTCGTTAACGTCATCAATTGCCAGACCGCATGCCACAGAGATGAGTCTTTTGTAGTTGTAGATCTTGTCGGAACCTTCTGGAGACGAGGTGGGACTGGAACGTGTGATGATGTCCAAAATTTCCGCGATTTTGCGGCGACGGTTCAGCTGTAATGAGCACAACTCCACGGCCAACTTGACCTGTGCAGACTCACTCAGTTCGGGCTCAGAGTCCATAGTGACAGATTCATGGGAATGAACTAATTTGGCCAATTCCAACGATTGAGTCCTTTCCCAGAGCGTGAACAATTTCTCAGATTTCATCTGAAGCTCTGTGTTCAGGCTCTTGGACTCATTCTTCAGTTTCCACTGCAATGCTTTCGGGCCCATCTCGTGTTTGGGCATCGTCGAAGGCTTTAACCCACCGATGTCAATTGGGTCCTCGGCAAGATCTTCTTGCACAGCAAGGTATTTCTGGGCTTGCTCCGAGTCAATTCTGAAAATCTGCTGAACCATTTTAGTGTTCTTCCTCTCTAACCTCTCGATATCTTTCATCATGTTGCTGTAAACTTCCTCGCTGTGCTGGAGTTCTGCGTTTCTGTCTGCCATTTCTTGGTCGATCATCTCATTCAGTTTTTGGAACATGCTGGGAATTTCAGTCTTCAGAGTTAGTACAGAATTCTTAGCGGTTTGCTTCGTCTGTGGCGGCGAGGAGTCCAATACAGTCTTCACGTTCGTAGGGATCTTATAGGCTTCAGCAACAACCTCTGCTGCCAATGAATCGGTTTCCTGGAGAAACGACGAATCTTGAGAGATCAGAGAGGCCCTCGAAACGTTTGACATTTGCGAAGTGTTGAAGCTCTGAGACTGTTGCTTCTGCTTCTTCTTCTCCGGTTTTTGGCTCTGCATGTACTCCTTGTGGACTTCTTGCAGCAGATCAAAGCTGATCGAGTCCTTGCACGTTTCTCCCTTGTTGTTCTTTATGTTAACGTCTGCCCCGTTGGCCAGCAACATCTTGATGAATCTCTTATCACCATGTCTCACGGCAATGTGTAGTGCGGTATCGCCATAGACATCCTTGTGGCTCAACACAATTGAGAGAAGTTTGTTGGGCTCTGTTTGCCCCGAAGCCTGGGCCTCCAGCTCTGTCATGTGAATGAACTGGAAGATACAGTTCAAGTAATAGAACAGGCTTTCTAGCTTGGAGTGGTACCCAACCAGATCCATGATATAATGCAGTGGAGTCCGCCCATTTGCATCAGGGATGATAAGACAGTGCTTCAGACACTGAAGAAGACCTTCGAAGTTATTGAGTTCATACGCGTTGTTGAAGCTCACCAACTTGGATAATGCATTCATACCACTGTCGTTGATAACCAGCGGATCCGCGTTGTTCTTGATCAAAAGTTCCACAACCTCGAGGTTTGCAATTGCAGCAGCCCAATGGAGTGGACTATGTCCCTCATCATCAATTGGAAGGTTGATATCAAAGTTAGGCGGTAGTGCATACAGAAACTCGGGAATAGGAGCATTGTCAACACTGAAGTAGTTCAGTAATCTGGCAGTGTAATATTCCTGAGGATCTTCAACCTGAGAAGCCATGTGCTGCTGTTGCTGCGGAAGAACTTGAGGCTGCGGCTGTTGAAGTTGAAGTTGTTGCTGCTGTTGGTAGTGCTGATTTCTCATCATATCCATGTTTTTGTGCATAATCATCATTTGCTGCGAGTTTGTGGACGACAATGAAGTATCGGAATTGCGCCTTCCCTGCGAAGCTGATGATTCGTCCTGCGACCAGCTTTCGTTGGTGGATTGCGACGTCTGACTATTATTGTGAGGTCTGAACTGATGTGGAACTTGGTTGGAAGCATTGTTGGGTTGTGTAAACATTGCCGCGTACTGCTGTTGCTGTTGCTGCTGCTGCTGCTGTTGTTGTTGTTGTTGTTGTTGTTGTTGTATCTGTTGTTGATACTGCTGGGCATACGGTATTTGAACCTCGGCCTGCTGTCTCAACCGGTCTTGAAGGGCCTGTTGCTGCTTCAGCTGGTTCGCTGCTTGCGATTTCTCAATTCTAGAAGAATCTGTTGATTTGGCAGACGATTTTGCTGTAGCAGGAACTTTCCTCTTATTCAGTTTGGCACTTGCCTCGGAAGAGATCTCGATCACGACAGGTTTGTCCCTTTTCGGAATGGGCCCATCAGAAGCCGGATCATAGTAAAGCACATAAACTTCGTCCCGCTTCAGCCCGTAGATATCCGCCAGGTGTCTGGCCATCTCCAAAGGCACCCAGGTACCCTGAACACGCCCGTAACCACCCTGGATCTTCTCGTGAAGGGACTTGTGGACCTCCTTTTCCAAAATTCTCGTTCTCTGGGGCTTTCCAAAGTCAGCAGCCTTAAGAATCTGAGTGGCATTAACCCAGTTGTCCGACCGTCTTCTCATTATGGGCGTGTTGTTTCTGATCACGCTCTCGTAGACCTCCATCTGTAAGGGTTAGTCAGTAAAGTGTAAAAGGAAAAAGCTGGAATGCAAGCGGAAATCCAAGTGTAGTAACTTACATTCGAGTAGCTGATCGTGTATATCTTGTCAAAACTCATCTTGAACTGAACCTAACACTGGACTGTAGTAAAGTGCGGTACAGGTGAAAAAACTGGATCAGTGAGCAAGGCAGGCACGCTCACACCAAAGTTGTGAAAAACCAAAGAGGCGAAATAAAAATAATGGAAATAAAAATCTCTTGAACCGAACAAAAAGTTCTGACACTCAGCAAGCAAATATCGGAGGAGTTGGAGCCAGAAGTGTTGATTCTCTAGACACTCGCAACACTGCTAGCTGATTCCGAGGCGACGAGACGGTCTTGTTCAGATGATGAAGTAATCACGCGTAATTGCCCCGAAAAAGACCGAACCAAAAGCAAATGGTAAAGCGTAAATGTGCTCTGGTATGAAACTCAAACTAGAGAGCAGAGAAGTTGTGGTCTTGATCGAAATCCAGGTTGACGCTACGAAGGGGGGATCCAGAGAGGGTTGAATTGAAGGACAAAGACTTGACACCTAAGAGTGGACTACCACAAAAATCCGGATTGGGAAATAAATCTCAGATTCGTGTTAATTTTTCGCGTCGAAACGATTACATAAGCATAATGTAGCTTACATAAGACGTATTGCGTTTTTGTTTAATCGGCACACGAAAGCATCAGCTCCGCACTGCCTGCAGAACGTCGTTTAGTGCAGAGTTCGGCAGTGGTTAGCTGGGCAGATTAGAGCTGTTCTGTTCCTTTGCTGGTTGTGTTGTTGTCGATACTCTGGCTGTTTCATTATCATATACTGTTGCATCATCATCATCTGGCTATATAAATTGCACGCCATCTCGCTCTGACCACCAACTTGAGCAATGGTGTCTACTAGATCAAGACATAAAGCCCAGCACATTACTCCCAAGGAGAACTCTATTGGCGGACTCATGAATCGCAACAGCTCGGTGGCAAACCTTACGACACCAACGCTATATTCCATATACGGTGGCAAGGACGATATCAACGACGAGAACGCCGAAAGTGACATTTATGCCAATCTCAAAGAGGAGATTCGCCACACCTCTGTGGCAAGCGGATCCAAAGGCCAGGCCCAATCGTTTCCCACTCATCGTTCTCCAACGGTCACCACAATCATGATAATAGGGAAAGTGCTTGTTTTGGGTGTTTTGGGAATTTTGTTCAAGGAACTCACCAGGGCGTTGCATGCAAACAATCCGTTGCTCCCAGACATCTCATGGTTCAACCTAGTGAACATAATAGAACTCTCGTTGAAAAGAGTCGGGTTAGCGCCGTTGTTGCACCTCACAGATACAAAACTGGAATATGTGAGTGGTGCACTTGAGGGAATCATCCTTGGACTGATCCAGCCACTATTCGACAGGTTGACGGGAACTTCAGCAAAGTCTGGTTCCACTATCGTCACCACCACCATGATCAGATCGGCTACTGCTCTGGTGGGAATTTCCTACGGTCTCAAAAAAACTGAATGGACATCTCCACTCCAAGCCTCGCTGGCTTGGTCCTGTTTGAATCCGTGTCTGTGGATGCTGTTAGATGGTACTCTCTTTGGATTCTTGAGTGCGTCTACAATCTCACTATGCTCCATGGTGTGTGTGGGTTTGAGCTTCGGAACAGGCTACGAGAAGCTTGAGTGGGAGAAACTGTCTATGTTCGAGTTTGACGGTTTGGACGAAACCGCACGGGTTTTCTGGGTAGGCTCCTTCTTTTTCTTTGGAGTTATATTCTTCGGAAAGGTCGGGAGATGGCTGTTTTGAAAAGCCAAGACAATGCAGGAGCTTCACTCCATAATGTACCGGTAAAGCGATGTGAATGGTCAATTGTACTAAAATTATACGAGAATTAGTCAAATCGTGAGCAAATTTCAACGCTATTAAACGGTCTTAGTAGGGTCTGGCATAATCTTTCTCTCTGGTTAAAGTTTTCCATAAAAATGATTAAAAAGGTTTTGACAACTCCCAAAGGCGGTCGCCGCTCAAAAATACCAAGTAGACATAAATGAAATCTATAACAACTGAAAAAAGAGGATTTGGCAAAATGGCGGGTTCCCCGGCACTAGTCCTACCAGCCATTGGGTGACAACGAATGGCAGAACAAGCACGAAAAGAAACAATTTTTGCCGGGTATTTCTTCTGATTAGTTTGCCTGAATTGTTCTATCTTCCGTTCAATTCTTCAACCCCTTTGTCCTATGCTCCCTTCTCTTTGTTTGTGCTCGTTCAATCATATAAGCTCACACCCTCAAGCTTCTTCTTCGTCGTCATCATCAATGGCAGTCTCCGTGGCTTCATTCTCCAGCTGCGATTTGCCACCGTTAATTTGATGCGCGGCAACCACGGACCCGCTTATCGAGTTCCGGTTTATCCTGGATATCGTCTCGATCTTGGGGTTGTTCAGAGGGTTCCTGCTGATACCCACCTGTTCCTGTGGTTTTATACCTGCTTTTGACATGGCATAGTCACCAGAGTCAAAGTATTTGCGCTCCTTCAGCCTCTGGTTTAAAATATCGGACTTCTTGGGTAGCCTTCCATACAGCTTGTAGAGTTTCAACTCCTCAGGCGACAGCTGAGAGAGGTCTACCGTAGGAGCTTCTTCGTACAATGGGTCTGATGGCGACAGCGACCTGGCAGATGAAACGTCACCCATCTTATATGATAGATGAAAGTTCAAAAAAGGTTGGTGTTTGAAAGATAGATTACACAATTGAACTACCAACCCCTAAAGAAACGTGGAGAACAAAACTGCTGCTAAGCAGTGACACTTAGAGGTCGTGCTTGGGTAAAAATAAAGTAGGGTAACTCGGCCACATGGGGCTATCTCGCTCTATCTCTCAAACTATTCTGATTGTTTCTCTTCCCCTGGAGCAGTAGAGGTTGTAGTTCTGAGCATGGATTACTGGAGGAGACGGTATAGCCAACTGTGTCTCCAGACCTGAGTGGTATGGCTTCTCGCCGATGGACATGTGTAGAAAGTGAGGGTCATAGAGAGAGTTCTCTCCCTTCTCTGAATCGATTTCTCCCTGGAATCCCTCAGTATGCTTCTCAACCAATGAATTAATGCTCTGGACAAGACCCTTCCACTTTCCAGCACTATCGTCCACCATAAGACCTAAAAACAGCTTGGTCTTGCTTGGATTGGGTAGAGAACTGATCTCTTGCTTAAACTGTAATTCCGGCAATTGAATCTCTAAACGTCTCAGATCCTCAATAAAAGCATCAAAATGTGCGATAGATTCAACCACAATGTTGAAAGACAACGACACATGCAATTCCCGCTTGAGACGCGTCACTTCATCCACCAACAGGCTCCGAAATCCCCATTCGCTGCACACGGGTTGCCGTATATATTCATCCAGCAAAGAAACCGAGTCATTAAATATGTTAACCCCTAAAAATACAAATCCGGTGAACCTTCCTTTTTTCCCCAATGATGCTCCCGTTGGCGCGTTCGTGTACCTGAGTTTTATTGTGTTTGAAAGACCAGGCAATGCTTCATCGGTATAAGAGCCTTCCGAGCTATCCGAGTCGTAGTTCTTGATCAGTTCCATATACAAGAAAACACAACAAAACTCGAAGTTCACCAATATAACATAGCGCACCTTTTAAAAGTCGCTTCCAAACGTTGTTAGCACAAGTCCCGGCTTCAGCTTCAGCCGCAGCCTCTTGCATCGGGCCAAGATTTTTCTAGAAGTTCTGCACGTGACCAAGAATTTTTTCGCATGTCGAACTTCTCAGAATGCAACAGCCTGTTAGATCCCTTGATCGAAGCTTACGCCAGTTTGGATATCTGTCTAATTTTTAGTCGCAAAGACCTTTGATACAACTGATTCGCCTATATTTGACGATAACTGTGCAGTTTAGTTCGCATTCTGACCAACCCTGTTTGCGCGCCTCTTATCTCTGCATTAGAAATCAATAGCCTCTTTTGGAGATCTCTATCCAACCGAATTTCGCCACAAAACTGAATCGTTCGCAGATTTGCATATAATCAATACAGCAACTCTACAATGGTCAAAGATACCAAGCTTTATGATATTCTAGGCGTTTCGCCAAACGCGACAGAAGCACAGCTCAAGAAAGCCTACAGAGTGGGTGCTCTCAAGTTCCACCCAGACAAGAACCCCTCGCCAGAAGCTGCCGAAAAGTTCAAGGACATCTCTTCTGCCTATGAGGTGTTGAATGATGCTGAAAAGAGAGAAATCTACGATAACTACGGTGAGGAAGGACTTAACGGTGGTGGACCAGGAGGCATGGGAGGAGGAATGGACTCAGACATTTTCTCCCACTTCTTTGGTGGAATGTTCCCAGGAGGCCAACAAAGAGGTCCTCAGGGTCCTCAGAGAGGCCAGGATATCAAGCATGTGATTTCGTGCACCCTGGAGGAGCTTTACAAGGGTCGTGACGCCAAACTGGCTTTGAGGAAAACCGTCCTGTGTAAGTCGTGTGAGGGTCGTGGTGGTAAGGCAGGCAGTGTCAAGAAGTGTACTGGATGTGGTGGTTCGGGAACTAAGTTCATCACCAGACAGATGGGTCCAGTCATCCAGAGGATGCAGGCTGTGTGTGATGAGTGTAACGGATCTGGAGATATCATTCCTCCAAAGGACCGTTGTACCGTCTGTAACGGTAAGAAGACCACCCAAGAGAGAAAGATCCTCGAAGTGCACATCAGTGCCGGTATGCGTTCTGGTGAAAAGGTTGTCTTCCGTGGAGAAGGTGACCAGGGTCCAGACATCATTCCGGGAGACGTTGTTTTTGTGATTGAGGAGAAGCCACATCCAAACTTCCAGAGACAGGGAGACGATCTTTACTACAATGCCAAGGTGGATCTTTTGACCGCGTTGGCTGGCGGTGAATTTGTCGTGAAACACATCTCTGGCGACTGGCTCAAGGTGGACATCATTCCAGGTGAGGTCATTGCTCCAGGCACCTTCAAGGTGATCGAGGATCAGGGTATGCCAGTTTACCGTTACGGTGGTCACGGTCACCTTTTCGTGAAGTTTGATGTTGAATTCCCAAAGAACAACTTTGCTACCGAGGAACAGCTCCAATCGTTGGAAAAGATTCTGCCCCCAAGACCAAAGGTGGACATTCCAAAGGATGCCATTGTCGACGACGTCATCCTCGCCGATACCGACGAAACCAAGCACCGTACCAGACAGAGACCTGAAGAGGAGGATGATTACGAAGGTGCCGGCCCAGGAGTCCAGTGTGCTCAGCAATAAATGTCTTCGATCTGAATTGAGATGACTTTGAATTGAAGCAGTGGGCCCTGGAGTCGCGAGATTACATCGATAGACTGCTCTTTCATCCTCCAGTATGACACCCGGAACGCCGCGTTCATATATTTCCTCTTGATTTTTTGCCCTTTGCTTTACTCTAGTCGTATTCAGTATCGAAACATATAAATAAATTCGAAAACAGAGGAACGGTAGAACCATATATAGGTTTGCAGTTTTTAGCGTGGTTCGTGTCAAACTTTGTTCCGGGTACGCCGATGACAGCCGAAACCCTTACCAAACATTTCGCATGATGGGATTATACAATTGGCGTTCTCGAAAATTGTCAAGGGAAATAGCAAAAAAAATAAAGTAAGTTTGCAACTAAAAAGGGAAGACAATATATTCGTTTGAAATATTTAAAGGTCTTAAATCCGACGCTCAGGGACCTGAAACTAAAGCCCGTGAAGTCAGTTCTAGCCGAGCCGAAGCGGATGAGCGAAAATCCGAAAACGGCCGACTGATTGTAAGCATACCGGATCTACAGCCATTCTTACCCCAAGGGCAGTCTTGAGATCAACTTTGATTAGAAGTGTTCCAAGTGTCTCTCATTTTACAGGCTTAATATTCCTGGTTGTTGCGGCTCCAATAAGCCCGTTGGTTGCCACCCTTTAAGTATTTGGCCATGAAACCGCATGGGTTTGTCGAATCCCTGCGGCAAATCTCTCACAGTCACGGTTCGTTCTCGAAGAAAGTGAAAGATGCAACGAACAACGACCCATGGGGACCAACCGGCTCGACCTTGAACGAAATATCCAAGGGAAGTTCCCAGATACGAAATCTACAGCCGCTGATCAAGGTGATATCCAAGCGATTGTCCTCCACAGACCCAAAGAGGTGGCGAAAAATCCTCAAAACTCTGACCTTGGTGTTATTTGTGATCCAGGTGGGTGCCATTGAATTTGTGAACTGGTGCAAGGCAAACCAAAATTTATTCAGCCGATTCCACCGATTCGAAGTCACCAACGGCATAGACTATCATCTGACCGTTGCGCAAGAACAGGAGCAAACCAAGAATATCAGGAACAAGTCGGATTTGATTATGAGCTTATTGCAAGATGATTCTAATCTTCAAACCAAGAGGACAAGTTTCCACAGATTGAGGTCGGATATGTCGAATCCAGGTGATTCTCACGATACTACATACGACTATGAAGAGGAGATTGACGAGGTCGAGCGAGTTGTGTTTCCAGCCAGAGGAACCAGAAGTCTTGATTTGAACAGACAGGAGATATTTGGCAAGTTCGAGGACTCGAATGGGGGCTTCTCAAGCGACGATAGTATGGAACTAGACAGTCCCGCTGTGGTCAACAGAAGAAGACAGTTGAGCATTCTGATGGAGGAGTCTGAGGAGATATCGAGGTCGAGAAAGGGTTCAGTGAGTGAGTTGGCAAACTCTGGAATATCGAGAACCGCAACCATGCCAACGAGGAGGTTTCACCATCCGATCGTGCCGGTGTTGAAGAAACCCGTGGCACCCACTCAGAAGCTCCCATTTCAGATATCTGTGAAAACTGCACCGGTGGTGCAACCAGACTGAAACTGGGATTGGTACCAAGATTGGGAACGAGACCGAGAATGGATGAATACAGATCACGCCTACTAGACCATGGCCATTGTTCACCAGAGCACTCGGACTGATATTGATATCAGGACCGAGAGGAGACTGAGATCGAGCTGGACTTCTACAGGTTGCCGGAAAAATGAAACGGGTTTGGGTGGTACAATTCAACGACCATGCTACCACCATCAGTCCAAAATGAAACCAACGCTATCAAATCTATTACAACGAAGGAAAGCACGCTCTCTTTGGCAGATGAGCCGGGACGACTAAACGAGCCACTTAATTCAACGCTCTATCAACTCTAATTTTAATTTAGTTAATTCAATTCATTCAATTCAGCTCATATCTAATCATCCTTCATACCAAAATCACTCTTAAACTCCTCGGATATTCTCTGAAATTTCCAACTAGCCGAAAAAGAAACTCACACCCCATTCTGTCACCATCCCGCGAAATCCCGCGATACCGAAGGGATCAACAGTCCGGGAGAATAATAGCCAGGACGAGGTTGAACGGGGTTGTTTGGATAACATGCGAACTCAAACACATTATAAACGTGCAATATAAAGGCGAAATCAATTCATCCAGCAAGCTCACCAGCATGATGTTCTATTGCGTGCACACAACGAATCCGGGGAGCGTCATCTGCTTGAGGGCCATGTGCAACCCGCTTTGACGTCTCTATCGGTCCCGCGCCAAAACAACTCAAAAGGAGTTCCGGACGGCGCAAAAGAAACCTAAAGACATTCGACACGGAAATTGTCTATTATTATCATGTCAAAACACGGCTGAAAAGGCGGTTAAAAAAGGAAGTTCGGGGGGTGTAGAAAAGCCGCTCTAAAAAGAAACGTCAGACTGTTAGGTGATAACCCGATTAGGAAATAGGGGCTAGCTTTGCCACCCAGCCCCTTGTTCTGTTATAAATGCCGCCAGATTCCTTCTTACTTCTTTATTCTTCTTGTTGACAATCATACAATTGTTACACTCTATTGTTCGTTTAAAATCTTTCGCAATGCAAATCTTCGTCAAGACCCTTACCGGTAAGACCATCACTCTTGAGGTGGAATCTTCTGACACCATTGATAATGTCAAATCCAAGATCCAAGACAAGGAGGGAATCCCACCAGACCAACAGCGTTTGATTTTCGCTGGAAAGCAGCTTGAAGATGGAAGAACCCTCTCTGACTACAACATCCAGAAGGAATCGACCCTTCATTTGGTGCTGAGATTGAGAGGTGGTATGCAAATCTTTGTTAAGACTTTGACTGGTAAGACCATCACTCTTGAGGTCGAGTCCTCGGACACCATTGACAATGTCAAGTCCAAGATTCAGGACAAGGAGGGAATTCCACCAGACCAGCAGCGTCTTATCTTTGCTGGTAAGCAATTGGAGGATGGTAGAACTCTTTCTGACTACAACATCCAGAAGGAATCGACCCTTCATTTGGTGCTGAGATTGAGAGGTGGTATGCAAATCTTTGTTAAGACTTTGACTGGTAAGACCATCACATTGGAGGTTGAATCCTCTGACACCATTGACAATGTCAAGTCCAAGATTCAGGACAAGGAGGGAATTCCACCAGACCAGCAGCGTCTTATCTTTGCTGGTAAGCAATTGGAGGATGGTAGAACTCTTTCTGACTACAACATTCAGAAGGAATCAACGCTGCATTTGGTCCTCAGATTGAGAGGAGGCCAATAAATGTAATTTTACAAGTTAAAGGGGAAACTTTCTGCAACAGAAGTTTATAGTTTATCGCGAATTTTATCTTCCTTCTGCCTAGAGCTTATGCCTGTAGCGCTTTCTTAATTCTGACGTCTAGAACAGAGTTATTCTCTCTGGTTCTGATTTCCTGTAGCTTCAGTTTGATGGCCTCATCGAACCTGCTTTTGAACTCTTCATCTGTAACCACTGTTTTCTTCAGAAATGTCAGGATTGACCCACACGCATTGATAAACTGAACGTTCACGTTCTGGGTCGATTCTTCCCTGGTACATTCTTCGGCAACACGAATCCATGTTCTCTCCAATCTGGTCAACTGATCATCAGTCAAGGAAACTGATTCGAGCTTCTTAAACTTGTCCAGCAGGGATATCAAATAGCCACTGGCAGCAAGATCGGTTCTCCATGTGGTTTTGATAACTTCACTCGAGAAAAGAGCTACGATTCGATCCAGAGCCAGATCAAACAACGCGGGTGAAAAGTCGCCATATTCATCGAGTGAGAATGCCTGGATGAGGTTGGCCATAAATCCCAGTCGCTCTTCCTCTCTGTGAAGATTCCTGCGTGAAGCTGAAACATCCTTTTTTGATGATTTAAAGTCCATGTCCTCGTCCTCATCATCTGATTCAACATAATATTCATCTTCAAGCATCCCTGAAAGAATTGAGATGTATTCATTAGTCCGGCCGGCAGAAGGAAATACTCCCAAAAACCGACCAAAAGACTTAATACTCTCTCTTTGGTAATCCCTGTTTCTTCTCTTTGCCTCTGCAATAACCGTGTCACTGATTTTATCGAGTAAGACATGACCATCGGCTTCGGTCTCAATGTACTTTTCAAACTTGATAGACAATGAAACCAGAGAGTCAATAACCGTCTCCTTGCCCTTCCAGGACCTTCCTTGACATGCCTGGATCAATACCGAAAACAAACTATGGACATACTTTGGAACACCACTAGTATTGTCAAGCTTGTTCGCAGCTTCTGCGATACTCTTTGCACAAACCTGCCTGATTTGGAAGTTCGAAGACATGATGTGGTCTGATATTATGAGGGAAATCTCACCCAGGTACAGCTTAATTGCTCCGACACCGCCCGTGGTGTTCGACCACTCCCTTTCGAAGGGATCGCGGACACTTTCCAAGGGATCGTGTTTAGCGATAAATGCCAATGGCAAAAACTCAGAGGCCATTGAGCTAAACATATCTCCGGAGTATTTGGACACAAACTCATTTGCCACGGCCGATATCTCACGATTGCGGTCATTATCAGAGACAAAGTACAACTTGCGCAGCACTTTGGAGTATTTGGCAACGGCATCGATGGACGATACTCTACACCAATATGCGGCAGCCATAGCATAAGAAGATGCAACCGTATCATTTCTGTCCTTCATTTGGTTGATGCAAAGCTTGAGAAGCAAGTCACCATAGGGCTTGACAATATATGGGTTCTTCAAAACCATACTGACCAAGACTCGAGACCCAGCAATCTTAGAGGGTAGACCCACGCATTTAGAGATACTGCTTTGTAGAGCGGGAACGAACTGGACTAAAATTTCCGCATCCAAGTCACCGATCATCATTTCAAGAGCCTCCATCATAGGCGAATGACCTATAGCCTGCATTCTATGGGTATCGATATGGCTTGCAGTCAGGTTGTACTTATCAGCATTGAGCGCTAGGTAGTTGATAACCTGTGGCTCAACGGTGGACATTAACGTGATCATTTCACCGGCTAGCTTGGGAATGAATGGCTTGAGGGAACTGCTGAACTTGGAGCATATCGTCACAAGTGTTTTCAGTCCAAAATTTCTCACCTCTTCAGCCTCACTTTGCACTCCATTTGGACCGAGCAGGAGAGGAATCAGCTTCGATAAAGCGTTGTGAATCTTTTCCTCCGAATCTGTATTATTCTTCTGTGATGCCATGAAATTCACCATAGTGGATGCCAACGAACGAGCTAGAGCCTGTCCCTCCTTTCTCACACTTTCCTTTATATCATCCATAGCACGAAAACTCATTGACCATATCCTTTCCAAGAAAGATTCATATCTGTTCATTATGACGTATCCAAGAAGATCCTTCAAGGCAACAGTACTTGCCTGCCTTACTCTCCAATCTCTATTGCCCATAGAACTTAGAAGCTCCTCCAGCATGAGATCAAAATTGTTGGAGATGACCTCGGAGGGATTGGGTACCAAAGCCGTCCAGATATCGTTCATGGATCTCTGTACAGTTGGACTTGGATCGTATGTGTATCTGAACAGCTTGGGGATCAACTTGTTGGCAAAGTTTGAGTTACTGCTGAGCAAATCAGTCAGCTTTGACTTCGACAGAATTGATCCAAGACCAAAGGCAATACCTTTTCTGGAGGACCAGAGAGCCGAGTTTTGAGCAAGTGACATGAACTTGTAGACTAGACTAGGATCGCCCACCTCGGAAGCAAGACTGAGAATATCTTTGTACGTCGAAACGGAACCGTCATTCGTTTTCAAAACACCAGGGTCAAACAAACGTGTATCACCAGTCACAGAACCTGACGAGAGTAACGACGTTTTGTTGGAGTCTGTGAACGAAGTAAGCAGTTCATGAACCAAGGTATCCTTGAGTTCCGTGTCACCCAACTCGTAAACAATACTCAAGCCTCTAGATGCCGATTCTTGTACGAGTTCATCACGATCCGCAAGGAATCTCATGAACGCAACGTGAATCTCGGAAGAACTTGCAGAGACAACTGGGAAGTGTCCACAGTACTGAACCAACGATAACAGCCAGATACACCCTGCTTTCCTGAGACTGGGTTTCGTTTGAGAACATGCTTGGAGAACAAATTTCAGAATCAAACTCAGTCTGGCATGGCGTTTGGGAACAAGCTGCTTAATGGTAGGGTCCTGAATGTCCACATATCGTTTCATGAGACTGGAATCCCAACCAGCTGCAATGATTGTCAAGGCCTCTCCAGACGCAAACAGATACTCCGTCTGTTTAGAGTTGTGTCCATCGTAAACTGCCTGCTCAAATTCGGTGAGTTCATCTCCACCCTCGAGTTGCTCATTCTCTGAGAGAGCAAGATATGCCCAAGCTAAAGTGGCCTTTTCATTTAGTTTTTTCACCAATAGTTTCAAAGACTCTTTGATCTTGATTCTGTGATCGGATATATTGCTTGTGACTGTTATCTGAGGTCCCAGGACACCAAATTTAGCCAACTGAGAAACAGTTTCGAGTGCGGCGTTCTGCAGAGAATTTGAAGACGAAGCTAGTGCTTGTATCAAGTTCTCAAAAACATTATCGTACAAGTCTGGGGTCAGAATATCACTCCTTCCTCTCACAGCAAGTCTTGACAATACGTATCCCAGAATATAAAGGGAGCAAGCGTTTTCTAGACTCGAAGCTGGATCAACAAGTGTTCGGACTAGTTCGATAACTTCCAAGTTATCGTACTCCGGACAGGATGCCAGGATACCAATAGATTGTCCTACAGCAGTTATGACGTCCTCTGGCACAAATTGGTCTCTTCTCAGAGCAAAGAGAATATTAGGAATCTCCTTCACCAAATAAGAACATGTGGAAGTTGGAGAAAGCGATAGAAGCCTCGCAAAGTCCTTGATTGAGGTCGATCCGCTGACCGAGGAAACAGCCACAATCGACCCATCCTTGGATTTTCCAATGTACTCTTTGAGGATTAGTCCCAGAAATAGATCCAAGGAGCTTGGTTGATCATCAGAGTCCATAGCAACATCATCGTCTCCATCAATGTTCGTGGAGAGCTCTTTGAGACTTTCAATGACCAATTGGATCACGTCATTATCAAGTTCCAGTCCACTCTTTAATCTGGTTTCCCATTGCTCGTCCTTGACAATCACCGTTGATTTACCAGCTACGGCTTGCATCACCAGACACTGCACCGAAAAACTGATGGCCAGCTCCATTGAGCCCTCCAACGTGGTTGCACCTTTGAAAAACAGTTCCCTTTCAGCCAGCAGGACAGAAACCATTGATTTGAAAGAGGGAAAAACCAGCTCGCTTTTGGATTGATTGTACCTCAAATTGAACCAATATGGATGCAAACCCTTAGTGGCTTCCTCAACAGTGTCTGGTCTGTTCTTAGAAGAAGCAGCAAGTATGCACACTAGTCTTGCTCTCGCATCACTGAATGGGAACATACTGTTGATGTATTTTACGGCCAAATACCTCGCAGATTGGTAACTTTCGTCCTTTGATTTTGTAGATTCTGCCAAGTCATACCTTAAGTACGTTTCCAGTGCCTCAGCCAGGCGCGCTTTATGTTCGCTAGGGAAACCACCGGCTTTCTCAGCCAATGACGAAAGAGCATCTTGCAACGTCAACTTCATATCTGTATCCTCACTCAACAGACAGCGAAACATGAACTGTATATAGTCAAAAAGTACACCCGGGGAGCAATGCCTCAAAAGCAAGCCTAGTGCTTCGAACTGGTGCTTTCTGTAAGTAATAGCTGCCCCATAGTCGATTGATTTCTGAGAATCCGTTTCAGACTCTAAGTTTGCCCTCAGCTGAGAAGCAAGGTCATCGCAATAACCGAGAAGTTCACCAGACCGATCAGTAAGCATCGAACTGGATTTTCTAATTATGCTAACAGCCGCCCGTCTCACTCTAGGAGAGTCAGATTCCAGGCCTATGGAAAGAATCGTTGGTAGAAACTGACCAACTATATCCAGATCAGATTTCTCCAGAAAGCCCAATATTTTCTCCTCTAAAGAGGCTTTCAGAGGAGGAATTCCTTTAGCCGGATCGCCTGAAAGCAAAACCACAAGAGCCCTCACTGTACCCAAGTCGTTGTGGTCCAAAGTTAGCCGTTTCATTGCAGCAGTGGCAGCTTCGGCAATCAAATAAGTTGAGTCAGCAGAAGCAACCAGCAATGGTAAAGCAGCCTTTTTACGGAATCCGTACTCCAAAAACGGAATCAACTTCTTGCGATAAGTCGTCAACGTTTTGGAGTCAAAAGTGACGCCAGCGTCGTATGTCAAAAATGCAACATCACTCGCGGCCAAACCTGGAAACGAAATGTCCCGAGGAATTGACCCATCGCGTGGCAGCACCGGATTCAACAGCATGAAATTTGTGAGTTTTGCAATCAAAAACGCCTCGTCTTCGGGGATGTCGTCAAGTCTTAGAAACCCTCTGAACTCAGCAGCATGATCGGTTCCCCTTTCTGGTGGAGTCCATGCCACAATCGTTTTGCACAAGACCTCAAACAGTCTTGCAGCAGCAACATTGTTGATAGAAGAGATTCCGCGTGCTAACTCTGGGATATAAGGCAATTTTTCAGCATCAGTGATGCGATCAATGCCTTTGGAGAACATCACCAAGGAATACATCTGAACCAAAACCGTCTCCGAACCAGAAGCTACTTGAGGAGCCTTAGCCTGACTCAACAGAGATTCTAACGGAAGTTTAACACCCGGAGAAGCATTGAATCTTGTTGTCAGATGTCTGATGATTTTCAGCACCTCATTCTTCACTGCTTGGTGGGGAGATGCAAGTTTCAAAAGCAGAGGAGCGAGGTATACCTTTAACGAATGTTCGAATTTCGAATCTGAGTCTGCCAGTGCAATTCGCAGCTCCACCTTGTTAATAAGGGAAAGTTCTGCCTCCATCTTTGGCGAGGCCGTGAAATGCACTTGGTAGATGATCTGGGTAGGTGGCGAGTCTCGGTTTTGAGGGGCGGCATATGTGTACTTTGTTGACAATCGTGTGCGGCGTATATTTGAGTTACACACCTTTAAAGCAGGGAGCATGCAATAAGATACGAGATATTTGAAAGCTGAAAGAGCTGGTAAAAGCTGCTAAGAGCCACGAAGCGACTACCAGTGTCAATTTGAATGTTAAAACTGAATAAAAGCAATTATGAATTGTTATGGAAATTACCCGAGCATAATCTGGCCGTACTCCTTCTTTCGAAGCCAGCAGCTAAAACGAGTCCCACTGCACATGTCTGCAGATCAAGCATATACGAACAACTGCTAAAAAAACACACTCACATACCGAAAAATTACCAAGTGCAATGAATATAAAGTTCAAAACCAAAACGAAGCATATCCGAAAAACTCAGAAGAGAGCATAGAACCATGGTACTATCCGACCTTCACCTCTTACAAGCCGACACTCCGTTACATTATGATACAGCAAGAATTTGTCTTTTTTGCTTGCTTGTAGAAGGTTCTTGAACTTGCGCTCAGCACCTCGGACTTCTCGACCAAGGTGTCTAATCTCTCGCCCCTCTCTAGAACACCCTCAATACTCTTTTGCAGCACAATTTTGGTTTCATCCAGTTCTTGTTGGACTTTCATGATAGAGTCTGCCTGAGCTGGGTCTTGGTACTTCTTGATGTAGTTCTCCAGCTCATCGAATTGCAGGGAAGGACCAGATTGTGTGGCTGTGTTCCACTGGGATGGTGGATGTAAAGATATGTACTCCTCTAAAACCTTATTCAGCAATGTATAGGCGGGTCTCACAGGATATTGCTTGTCCGTGATCAAAACTCCACTGATTCCTTCAGATCTGGTGTAAACGTGACCAACGTAGTCTAATGGGGCAGTTAGTATTATGGTTAGCAGCAAACGCAAAGGCACAAAATCCACTTACTTCCTTCTTCCACACTCTGTCTTTGGCCGGATGATGTTCTCTGTGCAACTGTTTGAGAGAAGAAAGTCATGAACTGAGAAACACTAAAGAAAGGCAGGTAGTTAGTATACAGAACTAATTTTGGGGGTTGCTATAGAAGGTGAATGCTTACCCATTCTTCTCAAAGTAGCCGAATTGGGACAGGTCTTTGGCCGCCGAAAGCTCAAACGCCTTGTCACTGTTTGACTTGACGATACCAATATAGAAAATTTTCATGTTGTGGGGATATGATAATGAGGCAACAAGTACCTGAAACCGGATCTTGTACTGTTGTCAAGTTCATGTCCGCCCGTATTGCTGACACGGGATTTTCTTGGCAATATAGTGAGAATAGCAATGCATTGCCGCACACAAACGTCAAGGTAAATGCACCATGTTCGGGTTTCCAGTGTAATTGCCACGGAGAAAACCGCTTTTTTGGAGACAGAAATGTGAGACTAATAGGAAAATGGAATTATAACCAAAACTTTCACGCCGGACAACCGTGTCTGACTCGCATCCTATTGAACGAAGGTCGTAATTTAGCACCGCACACGACCCTTCCCGAGGCCCAAGAATACGGGGCACCGATAACAAGATGCACTCCGAACTTGGAGGTCCCGCTTACGACGCGGCAGAACCATTGTCCTTGTTACTTATACTCCAACACGGAATGCCGCAATGGATTCAGTGAACACCAGGGTTATCAAAGTGGTGCTTTTAGGCGATGCGGCAGTGGGAAAAACATCACTTCGGAGCCAGTTCATTAAGCATGTCTTTTCGAGTGCCTACAAGACCACCTTGGGTGGGGATTATCTTACATCAAGAGTGAACTTGCCTGATAACTCTCAGGTTTCGTTGCAGATATGGGATACAGCTGGACAGGAAAGATTCAATTCGATAAGCCAAGCGTTCTATCGTGGTACGGACATAGCCATCATCATATATGACATCACCAACGCAGAGAGTTTCCACCATTTGAGCAGATGGTTGGGGCTGTTTTTAGACCATTGCAACGTCTCGAACCCTTCAATAATGATTGTTGGAAATAAGGTCGATAAAGACACAATACGACAGATATCCTTGAGGCAGGCACGGGAGTTTGCGAACATGATGAATCCAGGGTTGATCCAGGATGTTGAGTTGGACGTTTTGGAGACAAGTGCAAAGGTGTTCGGAGAGACATCCAAGCTTTTTGTTAGAGCAGCAGAATTGGGGCTGAAGAAATTGGAAGAGAACCAACCAGTTTTGAACTTTGATAGTATAGATGTTGCCCATCCCATTGAGAATAGAGCTGAATATCGGTGTTGTTGAGCTTTCACCATTTTACTTCTACAATGCATACTTTTCCGTTTTGATGATTCGAAGAACCAATCAGCTTTCAATTCAGTAAACCAACACTGACTCCTGTGGTTTAGATTTAAAGCACCTAGTCACATATCTTTACTTCATGTCCATAGATCCCCTGAACCTTCTACTTACTCCTCTAGCAAACCCCTCCCTTTCAAATTGTTGTTAACGCGATCCCTCAAAAACTGAATCATCTCAGCGGGGTCAGTCGCCTTGAACACCGAAGTTCCAGCGACAATGACGTTAGCACCGGCCTCGGCAGCAGCGGGAATGGTGTCCGCTCCCAAACCTCCATCGACCTGGATGTTCATGTTAGGATACTTAGCTCTCAAGTCAGCAACCTTCGGCATCATGCTTGCCATGAACTTCTGACCACCGAAACCTGGCTCAACAGTCATCACCAGGGCCATGTCCAAATGTTCGGCCAAAGGATACAGAACGTCCACGGAAGTGCCGGGCTTGATAGCACAGGCCGCCTTCATTCCGTGAGACTTGATGAGCTTGACCAGAGCCAGAGGATCTTTGGTGGCTTCGTAGTGGAAGGTATACTGATCTCCACCGGCTTTGGCGATCTCAGGAACCCATTGCTCAGGATTGGCAACCATCATGTGACAGTCAAAAAAGCTGGCCGACTTGCCATCCGCACCACCTCTTGGAACAGCCTTTCTCAAAGACTGGATCACGGGAGGACCCAACGTGATGTTGGGCACGAAATGTCCATCCATCACATCGATGTGGACCCAGTCGGATCCGCTCTTGAACATTTTGTGGCATTCGCAGCCGAGCTCAGCAAAGTCGCCGGCGAGAATTGAGGGAGCAATGATAGCTTTGACCATGGTCGAGACGAATATAACGATGTGAGTGGGAACCGAGTTGGTTTTGCAGAGAGCGAGGGAAAGCTCTTGTTAATCGCCAAATTTAACAGGTCCTACGTATAGGAGTGCAATACTCATTTTCCCGAGCCTCAGAAGAGGCTATTCCAAAAATTGGGCCCACCAGGTTCATCACTTTGAGGCCTATGACTCAGCAATGGCCCGTTGTTTCCCACAAGCACTTATTTCTCATTAACAAAATCAACGTGGCTAGTCATGCATAAATGCGAAGAGAGTGGACCGACAATTTTTATTTTTTGATATGGAGCCCCTCGAAGAGAAAAATCCAACGGTGACGCTCTTGGTTGTCTCCTGATCCGGTCACCGATAAGCGATGAGACCAAAGGACGAAAAAGTCGCGACTGAGAGTCTGGTACTTGGGATCTGGGACCGGGTTCCCAACAGCCAAGCCCAGCCAAGAGGCAAACATCTATGCAGACCTTAAGGGCTCAACTTCCTTTTTTTTAAAATTCTTTTTCGCCAGATTCCAGACAGAGACCAATCTAGACACTTTTCTCTGCAGTCGTGCATCTCCAATTTCGATTGCTTGGAAAAGTGGCAAGAATGTATGGAAAAACCCGTTCGGTTGGATCGTACCGTTTCCATACATTCTGGCCACATATCCTTCTCGCATATCAGGAATAATCTTTTCCGGTTTGACTTTTTCATCATACCTTTTTGTGTTTGAAAAGGGTGGAAAAGTTTTTAATATAAATATCCGCGCGTGCCACCTATTCACATCTGCCCACGCAACCGTTTATGCTAAGCTTGAATTGCTCTCGTGTGACAATAAGAACAAGCTACCTCTACTATCTACCAATACACAGAATGGCTTCGCAATCAGCCACGAACAGACTCAACCTGGTCAGCAGCGCGCTGTCACCAGGCTCTCCCAAGTCCACCATCATTCGCCCTGAGGAGGTTCCTGAGCATCCGTTCAAGGTCACCGTCATCGGCTCGGGCAACTGGGGTACCACCATTGCCAAGGTGATCGCCGAGAGTACTGCTGAGAAGCCCGAAATGTTCCAGAGAGACGTGAATATGTGGGTCTATGAGGAGTTGGTCAACGGAGAGAAGTTGACCGAAATCATCAACACAAGACACGAAAACGTGAAGTATCTGCCAGATGTCACGCTGCCATCGAACGTGATTGCTGTCCCAGACATTGTGGAGGCTGCTACCGGTGCTGACTTGTTGGTGTTCAATATTCCTCACCAGTTTCTGCCACGAATCTGTGCTCAGCTCGAGGGCAAAGTTCCCAAAACTGTGAGAGCCATATCTTGTCTGAAGGGTTTGGACGTGTCCTCCAAAGGCTGCAACTTGCTGAGCACGTATATCACTGAGCACCTTGGAATTGAATGTGGTGCTCTTTCCGGTGCCAACTTGGCCCCAGAAATCGCCAAGGGTAAGTGGTCTGAGACTACTATCGGTTTTCAGGAGCCTGCCGATTTCCGCGGTGTTGGTAAGGATATTGACTCGCGTGTCTTGAAACACCTTTTCCACAGACCTTACTTCCACGTTCGTGTCGTTCCCGACGTTGCTGGTGTCAGTGTGGCCGGTGCTTTGAAAAACATTGTTGCCCTGATGGCTGGTTTCGTCGAGGGAATGGGATGGGGTAATAACGCCAAGGCTGCTGTGATGAGAATTGGATTGGTGGAGCTGATCAGATTCTCCAAGAAGTTCTTCCCAGGTTGTCATTCTGCCACTTTCTTCGAGGAGAGTGCCGGTGTCGCAGACCTGATCACTACCTGTTTCGGTGGTCGTAACGTCAAGGTCGGAAAGTACATGGCTGAGCACAACGTTTCTGCCGAGGAGGCTGAAAAGGAGCTGCTCAACGGTCAATCATGCCAGGGTATTCACACAGCCAGAGAGGTTCACGAGCTCTTGAACGAAGTCAATGCTACCGCCGACTTCCCTCTGTTCGAGTCCACTTACAGAATCGTCTTTGAAAACGAGGACATGCAAAACATCCCACAATTGCTGGAAGACTTGGAGGATAATTGAAGAGATGAAGCGCTTTTTGGTAGTCGCTTTCGGGACTCAAGTCATTTTTTACGTTTACTATAGGTGATACGTTTTCTTTCCCAACTTGTGCAGCTTGTACAACTTTTTTTGCAGTTTGGTTTCGCATTTTTTGCCATTTGTTTATACCGTCATTCATATAGAGTATTCACACATTCACACATTCATAACTTTTCATTGTAGCCTCGGCAGTTCTCTTTACAAAGTCCGGTTTAATCGCGCGGTCCTCTTGCCTAAAAGAGACTTCTCGATGTCTTTGCGCAGAAACTTTCCGGTCGTTTCCTTCCAAAGCGAAGTTTTGAGCCAATAACATGAAACAGGATTCACAATAGGTGAAAAATACTTGCGACCAGTGAGGGTGTCATGATGATGTCATCGGGCAGATGCAGATGAGGCGCAAAAGCTCGGAAAAATAGATTTTGGTATCCGGATAAACCTGGATGAACACGCTACGCGTGAAACAAACGGTTGAAAATAAAAAGCATTTATACTGGTACTTCAAATACCAATATTTGCAGTATTGTATTTAACTAGATATGTATATATCTTCAATGTAGTCAACTTCATAGCCTGATGCGGGTGGAAAGGCCTGCCAGTTTTTTTCCCAACATGCTAGAAGAGCTTCACGATATGACGTAGTCCTTTTTTGTTTGATATTTACAAGACAACAGACTTTTTGTACACTGCAACAGGCGGAACTCCATAGATACTGGATTTTTTCCGTTTTCGGATGATTAATTGAACCCACGGAAGAACATTATATGCTATTCCTGGCGGTATGATGATGTCATGATTACGAATTGTACCTTTTTCTGCCTTGAAAAAACCGGAATCAAAAGCAGACAGCACTATTCTGAAGCTATGGGTCTGTGTAGCTTCTCATCTGAATTTTTAGGTTCGCGTATTGTATGAACCAACCATTTATATGCTAGCCAAAAGCCGTTTTGATAGTTCAAAAAAAGAAACTAGACCTGCAAAGCTACTACTGTTTCGGACACGGAATCCGAGACATTGTCAACCCTGGTTGATGGATCTATAGGTTGAATAGGAAATCTCAGAGAAGGTGGTATCTAGGCTTAGGTGTAGTGCCTCTTTGTTACCGGCTTCGTATGATTAAAACAACCATTCTTGGTTCAAGCATGATCTGCTCTTGATGATCTGCTCATGCCCGTTGAAAACATAAGCCCCGCACCCCTCCCCGTTGTCCCTCTCTTCGTTGCCTATAACAACGCCCCTTTTTTCAAATAATATGTTTTTGCAAGGATCAGTTTCACACGGATTGCGTCCTGTTTCCTTTTTGATTGAAACGACGTTTTCGGGGGGTATAGTGCCGTGGTCAATAACAGCTGTGCGCTCGCTAGCGGGCTTACTTAACAAAACGGACTCCTTCCTCCACCAGCAACAATGTAAATCTAATTGGAATATAATTCCCTTATATTTTATTGGTTTCTTGCTTTTTATTCGCCTTTGTATAACAGTTTGCGAGTTTGACAGGTTTGTGAGTGCGAAGCACAATGTGATCACGTGATGCTTGAAATTTCGGAGACGCGCAGAGGCGCGTCGTTCGCGTCTTTGAGATCAGATATGTCCTCAAATTCATAGCGAGCACAAAAGCGTTGATCTGGACATGATGACGGTCGAAGAATCAAACATCGATGATGCCACTCAAGTCAACTACAAGACCTGGAAGAAGAACTCCAAACACCTATATGACTACATACAGACCAGTGCGTTGACTTGGCCATCGTTGACGCTGCAATGGTTGCCTGATGTTGAAAAAGTGGAAGGTCTGACCAAGTCACGATTGCTTCTCGGGTCTTTTAGTTCAGGTCTTGCTGAAGAACAGTTAATCATGCTAAATTTCATGAAAGACGCCAGTCCCAGATCAAGATTGAATCCTCAGAAGTACGATAGTATAAAAGAAGAGTTTGTTATAACGGCCAGCAGCGGCCTGAAACCGATCAATGTCCAACAAAGAATTTCTCATAGCGGGGAAGTCAACAGGGCAAGGTCCATGCCTCAAAATCCAGATTTGATAGCAACGATAACGTCAAATGGAGATATCAACGTATTCGACAGGACGAAGCATCCCTCCCAACCAACCAAGTTCCAGAGCGAAATTGAGCTTACTTATCACAGTAAGGAAGGATTTGGCTTGAGTTGGAACCCCAGGAAGGAAGCCCAACTGGTGAGCTGTGCCTCAGATGGAAAGGTCGCTTATTGGGATCTGAATAGATGGGTCAGAGGAACGTCTATGTCACCTTCAACCACCATATCTGAGTCAGTGGGGTTGAACGATGTGAAGCACTTACCTATACACGACTCCATAATTGGCTATGTTGGCGAAGAATCCGTGTTTAAAATGCACGACACTAGAAACGATGAGACGATATCACTGGGTCGCGAGTCTCATTCAGAGATAAATTGTCTTAGTTTCAACACAGGTAACGATTATTGTGTGGCAACCGGGGATTCAGACGGTATGATTGACATATGGGATATACGCACGAGGAAAGCGTTCAAGGAATTTAAAGCACATGACGAGGATATAACATGTCTGGAATGGAACTGGAGCAATCATGGTATACTAGCATCTGGATCCGGGGACAAGACATGTAAAATATGGGACTTTGCAAACGAAGACGACGATCAGTTGTTATTTGTGCATGGAGGCCATATGGCTGGTATAACAGATTTGGGCTGGAGTCCCGATGAACAGTGGATGTTGGGCACAGTAGCTTACGATAATTCCGTGCATGTGTGGCAGCCTTCTACAGCGTTAGTTTGAACGGACCACAATCAAACTTTTCCTGAATGGTGCTTTAGCGTGACTAAAGAAGATTTTAGAGTTTAGTACCACTTGTGGCTTCCCCAGTACCGAATATGCAGAATACGATTTAATAATATGGCCTAGTCATGACTTGCAGTTCAAGTGCGCAATGAAATCTCGGTTCATGATGAACTAACCTCAAACATCCCGACAAAACGGCGAAACCCTGCAAAAGTTTGCCTGCGGCTACATCTAAATAATAAACAATATCTCAGATCACCCATTTTGGGTCTAATTGACTGCAATTTGGAAAGTTTACAGTCAAAAGAAATCTTCGTGAAATAGCGCGCTGCTTAAAAAGCGAGCTATTTCGTGAGATATTATTTATCGTGCATACGAGCGCTAACGGTATATGCTCTCTAAATTAGGTTTGTAGCCCAACGTAGAGCAGATTTTTTTTCGGCCATTCTGCAAATAGATACTTTTAAGAATCTCACATTTTTTGGTCCTTAGGATTTTTTGATTAAAAAATAATTACTCCGCTCGTTCTTCAGTATTTACACCGAAAGTTTCTTCGCGCGCATTAAGGTTTACGGCCTTTCATCTAATGCACTGTCGCGTCCAAATTGGGCTTCTCAGCTACTTTTTGTGGACGTGCAATTCCCCAGCGGGTACTTCCATGACCAAAACAAGCCTATGGGCTTTTCATGTGTTTATGGCTTGAGGGACATGGAACGTCTGCGAACATGATATTCAGACAAAACGCTTGAGATATAATACAGATATATTTTTGGAGCGAAGCTGAAAATGTCAGAATGTCTTACGTGACTTTCTTTTTCAGCCTGAGCTAGCTGCAATGGAGACCGCAAATGCGCGTTCATCTGGCCACACGATGCATGATCGTGCATGTTACACAAAAACACGCCAATATCAAGTGCGTGTTTTGGTTAACTCAAAACTCAAGTGTAATTAGTCGGGTGATCAGTATTCAATTTAAGTGCATGGTTCCCCGGCAGCTTTTCTCGAGATTCCAAATGCCAGGAAGTTTTTCTCCGGTTGCGTGCGCCTTCACGAGTCTTCTATAGCTAACTCTTTGGCATAAACTGATCATGTCGCATATGTGATACGATGTTGTCTCCAAGGATAATGTCGAGCCCGCAGATGATACAGGTGAGGCGGGTGTCATCAGGTTCAAAACTCAACAAAAGAGCATACACATCCATTTTCACATCTGTGTTTTTGTTCTTTTCCTTGGGATTATTTTACCGAATATGCAACAAACCGAATGACCTCGAACTGAAAGAGGTCGCTATCTTGAGACCGTCTTCCGTTGCAGAAGTGCAGTATATCTTACCCAAAAACCAAGTTCGATTGGCTGAGCAGAGAACGGAAGATAGTTACAGAACGGTGTTGGAAAGAATTGCGCTTTTCCATAACTATCTGGAAGATCTCGACGGCAATATTCATGAATATCCATGGAACGCTCACATGAGACAAGCTAAGGAAGAAGAAGCAACCAAGTTTGAAGAGGAAACTCAAAAACCGGATTCTGATGAGTCTATACCGACATCCGAAGAAAAGGAAACAGAATCTTCCGACGTGCCTGGAGTTTCAGACGTAACTGAGCAGGAAAGTCAACATGTGCTTGAGCAAGACCATAAGAGCGAGGAAAACAGCCCTAGGATTGTTGAAATCATTGAAAACGATAATTTGGACGAAGGGCAAGATGAAAGCAAAACCAGCGAGACAAATGAGTCCGAGATTGTTGGTAATGCCGAATATAACGAAGAACAAAATGAGGAAAGTAACAGTGGGACCACGCAAGAAGAGTCTCAAGTTAGTGAAGTTGCCGAGAAAGAAGAACACAATACCCAATCTAGCGAATCAGATGAATCTAGCTCCCAGGACCAGGAGCCCCAGGGAGTCTAATACCAAGTTGAGGTTGATCAGAGGATATACCAAAAAGAGAAATGCCTCAACCCCGTTCGCTTCAACAAAATAAACAGCATTCAATTCACCGATACGTTGTTTTTCGATTTCAAAATTCACCGTGACGCACCACGCAGCATATCACAAAAAAAGGAAAATCCGTTTCCTCAAATGCAAATGCCAATTCAACATAAGCATATATACACCTGATCCATTGGACTGCTAATTAGTGACCATTTTCATTATTCTCAAAGTTTCCTTTTTATTTCTCCTGATTCGCACGCTTTCAAGTTCGAAGGCATGCTGAATCTCCACGGTCCCAAGTTCGTTACCAGTGGTGTTTTTTATTTACAACCATGATACCTTCCCATCAGACCACATTCGTTCCACCAGAATTCTATGGGTAATTACTCCAATTTCGCTGAGGCCCTTCCATATTTGTTATACGTTTAACTTCTCTAGATCCTATATATTTTCATGAACACGATTTTAGCATTAAGCTGAACCTGGTAGACGAGTTGCCATTATTAATGGCAACTATGAGATACATGGCTTCCATGACTGATTATTATGAATTACAGTTAAAAGTCACTATCCAGATCTGAAGATCTTATGCTCAAAATATTTCTTCATTATGTCCTGCGTTCAGGATGCCGTACGTCATTCCCCATAAAATACGTGATGCGTACTGCGTAGCCTAATATAGACTATGCTTTAGTTGCAACTTGATTTATCCGCCGCAAATATATACCAGCCCAGTCGATTAAAACATAATATATAAATACAGAAAAGCTAACCATCAATAGTCTCAAAAAGAATACTCATACGAAGCTACTAGTCATAGCCAATTTCATAGAAAGGAAACAGATCTTATCTGGGTAACATTATTGTTGGATTGTCTTGACTAAAAAATCCAAAGGCTCCTAAGCCCAGTTCTTGAACTGGTTGATCAAGCCTCTGGTTGACGAATCGTGGGTCTTGACTGGAGTTTCGTCTTCCAACTCGCTGACGATGACCTTTGCCAACACTTTGCCCAGCTCAACACCCCACTGGTCAAAAGAGTTGATGTTCCAGATGGCACCCTCGGTGAAGGTTAGGTGCTCGTAGTACGCAATCAGGGCACCCAAAGCAGCTGGGGTGAACTTCTGTGCCAGGATTGAGGTGGTAGGTCTGTCACCACTGAACGTCTTGTGTGGAACCAAACCACCAGTAGTTCCCTCGGCCTTGACCTGGTCTTCGTTCTTACCTTGCATCAGAGCCTCAGCCTGGGCAAAGAAGTTGGATGCCAACATTCTCTGGTGCTTGTTGTTTTCAATTGGGTTGTGGGACTGAGCAGCCAACAAAAAGTCAGATGGAATCAGCTTGGTACCCTGGTGCACCAATTGGAAGAAAGAGTGCTGCGCGTTTGTGGTTGGCTCACCAAAAAGAATCACACCAGTCTCATAATTGGTGAACACATTGGCCTTGTTGACGGACTTACCGTTAGATTCCATGGACAACTGCTGCAAGTAGGCTGGGAATCTGTGGAAGTACTGGTCAAAAGGTGCAACCAGTCTGGTCTGAGCCTTGTGAAAGTTGTTGTACCACACAGAAATCAAACCGGCCAGAAGTGGGATGTTCTCCTCCAAAGGAGTCTCGACAAAGTGTCTGTCAACGGCCTCGGCACCCTTGAGGAAGTTGTCAAAGTTCTCGTATCCAATATACAATACAACAGAGAGGCCAATGGCAGACCAAACAGAGTATCTTCCACCGACCCAGCTTTCAAAACCGAACATGTTGGCGGTGTCAATGCCGAACTTGGAAACTTCCTCGGCGTTAGTGGACAAGGCAGCGAAGTGTTTGGCAATGTGGGACTCGTCCTTGGCGGTCTTCAGGAACCAGTTCTTTGCAGAGGTAGCATTGGCAACCGTCTCGGCAGTGGTGAAGGTCTTGGACGCAACCAGGATCAGAGTGGTCTCTGGGTTCAATGGCTTCAGAGTCTCAGCAATGTGAGTACCATCAACGTTAGACACAAAGTGAACACTGATTCTTGGATGGGCATATGGCTTCAAGGCCTCGGTAACCATGACAGGACCCAAATCTGAACCTCCAATTCCGATGTTGACGATGTCGGTGATTTCCTTGCCGGTATAACCCTTCCACTCACCAGAACGGACCTTCTCCGAAAACTCCTTCATGTGCTGCAGCACAGAGTCGACCTCAGGAGCAACGTTGACGCCATCGACATACATGGGCTTGTTAGCTCTGTTTCTCAAAGCAACGTGATAAACAGCTCTGTTCTCGGTGGTGTTGATCTTGTCACCGGCAAACATCTGGTCTCTGAGCTTCTCAACATTGGCTTGCTTGGCCAGCTCAATCAGCTTGGCGACGATCTTCTCATCGATCAGGTTCTTGGAGTAATCAAACAAAATCTTGGATCCGTCGAAGTTGGTGAAGGTCTTGGAGAATTTCTCGTATCTATCAGCATCCTTGGAAAAGGCATCCTTCGAAGAGAAGTCCTTACCGTAGGAGTCGTAAATCTCCTGCAGCTCTTTCCAGGCTGGAAGTTCGGTTGGCACAAAAGACATCGTAGAGAGTTTTAAAATGTGGATAGAGTATCAGGTCAAGCTAGAAGCACAATTGACAAAATTCCAAAACACAAAGTACAAGAATAGCAAAAGTTCTTCTTGTTAGCTTGTTCTAATGGGAGTTTTCGGAGGGCTGACAGCGCTGTATTTGTACTTCCTAAACTGGTGATCAAGGGTCGTGCGCGAAGGTGCAAACCGGATCCTGAAGTTCCGCAGCGTACATTTACTTTTCATTATTAACGCATTATAAATCGGCAAACCCTGGAATGGTGGGGGTGAAGTGAAATGGGCACAGAATGATTTGATAGTGATCCAATAAGCTTAATAATTGACCTTTTACCTTTTACGACTCATCGGTGTTCTTGTCCCACATACCCTTACTCAACTGGTCGATCCGAATAATGGACTGCTTGACCTCCTGCAAGCTACTTCGCACCGTTCCTGTTAATTCCCCGAGTTCGGAGAAGTAACTATTTTCGAACAGAGTTTCTTTGTAATCCTTCAAATCAGGAACCTGCTGATGCGTAGAAGATTCTGATTTGCCCTGCGGCTGCTGGGCCTGATCGTTTTCAGCTCGATGGGGCTCACTGCTCCCTTTGACGGATGCCGAATTGGACCGCGAGTTTGGATTTTCTTCAGAACTGCCCAGTGTCTGTGGTTTCCAGATCTTGTAATAATCGTTTACACTCATCATTTTCTCGGCCTCTGCCATCGCGCACAGAAGCTTCATCTGGCTCTTTTTCAGCTCCTCCAGGCTTTGGGCGTGTTTCGCATCAAAAAATGACCCGTTCACGTGCACCTTTTGGCTGAGCTTGTGGACGTCATCCAATATATCGATAGGCGTCCACAGCTTGTCCTGGTAATCCACTTGAGCTTTTATGCTAGGAATTTTATCACTCGACTTGTGTATCTCTATGGCCTCATTCTCCCATTTATTTCTATCAGTACCACCACTGTGCTTCTCTCTCCCGATCATAACATCGAACGGGGTCCTATCGTAGGTGTCCATGGTTTCAAGTCTGGACACGGCATCCAGCGTAGACGTCCTGAGGTGCCCAAATTTGTGGCTTACCGAATCGGTGGGGTCTGTGTTGGTGTTGGTCTGATCCAGTTGCTCGCGTCGTAGTAGCACAACATCACTGGAGGATTCCTCGCACGGGTCTTCCTTCGTAGCCCTCACTACTGAATCTGCGTTTGAACTGCCGCGTTCCAACATCGAAAGTCGATTGTTCCGCGCATCCAGTGTGCTTTCGCCAGGTGCATAATGTGGTGCCGAGGATGTCTCCTCGGAGCCAGATGTTGCTGTGGAGTAGGCAGACTCTGAGTATGAGCTATAGTAGCTGCCGCGATCGATCGAACTCATAACAATATACAATCGATTCGTATACTATAAAGAGAAGGAACAAAAAAAAACCACACGAAAAGGAAGATCGCTTTAGTATGACAGGAAAGACTGTGGAGTGTGATGAGCTAAAATCAGCCCTCCTTACTTAAGCACACGCACGCACCTTTCCATCACTGAGTCTAAACACCAGCTTCTTCCAACTCCGGCGCGATATTGGCCTGAATTCACCGAAATGGAGGTTGTCTCCAGAGACAGAAATGCCAATCACAGACCGCTAAAGTTTGCAGAAAGACCGGAACGCAAACAGTGGAAAAAGCTGCTATGGCTCAAACAAGATTACCCAGACAATTACACAGATAAGTCGTTTCTATCACAGTTAAAGCGTAATTCGACCGTGGTTAACTACTCATATCTGAAGCTGGTGAATGACTTTACTCTGATAGTGCTACATCTTTCGGTTTTGGCCTTGGTCAACATCGTGTTTTTTGGGGTCTATAGTCTGGACTGGAACCCCGTGGTTCCAACCTTTATCAGTTCCACGCTAACCATGGCAGGATTTGCCATATATGTATTCACATTGAAGAGGCGACACCAGCAAGAGGTGGTAATAGCTCTTGAACGAGAGCGAAAGCTCAAGACCAACAAATTTCGTCCCTTTATCCAGACCTCCAGATCCAGGTCAACCTCCAGACAAGGATCCAATGTTCCTTCGAGAGAAAACTCCCAGAACCGAGGAAACGGGACTTTGAACCCATTGACACCATCCACCATACATGTTGTCACCGAATCGAACCCACCGTCCGTGGCCAACACTCTGAAATCTTGCATCCTGATTGTACTGACATTGCTCACGTTTTCACCAGTGTTGAAGTCGCTCACCAACTCCACCTCCTCGGACTCCATTTGGGCTCTTTCTACATGGCTTTGTTTCTTCAATGTTCTGTTCAACGATTATACTATAGAATTTCCCAGTTTGCACCACCACGACCAGCAGCAGCAACAGCCTCTTCAGCAGCAGCAACACACGCAGGTATCCAATTCCAACATTTCCAAGAATTTGTCACTTTCCAATGCGATTGTGTTAGCCTCTCGACTCAACTCTAATCTTGCAGTGTTCTGTTTCATAGTGTTCTCCATACAGCTCAATGGTCTATTTCCTATGTTCAACAACTTCACCAGAAAGGTTGGATATACCAGGTTTCACTGGTTCCAGGTTACTGTCGTGGTGCTTGGTGTGGACATTGCGGTGTACCAAATGGGAGGACTGGTTTGGCTTCTCTGCTGGACGATTGCTCACTTCACCATCATCATGGTGGGTCCTGCGTACTTCCTGGCGCTGCAGAAGTATAAAGACGAGCTACAAGGTCCTTGGGATCCGGCCCAACCCATATTGAAGAACAACGGGTTATGATTGATGTGACGACACAAAAGTATTAGCGAGGCATAAAGTACATAGGATGGCCTTTTATTTCAAATCTTCTCTCAACCTGTAAAAACACCAGCTGCGAGGCACAGGTTTCTTCTTGTGAAATGCACTTTGTACACGGGAGTCCTCTTGGTGTGGTAAACGGCCATGTGGTCCTGGGTACCAACTATGTCAGTTCTCTTCTTTTGATCTTCTGTTCTCTTCAATCCACTGGCTCCATTCCCGGTTTGGGAAGTGACAGCATCGCCATTTGATTCAGTGGAGTACTTTTCAGGCTCTGGTGGATTGTCCAGTGTGCCCTTCTTGATGTCCCACACTCTCACCGAGCAGTCCGAGGCACCACTGACAAGAACGGATCCCTCCTTTGAAAAACTCAAGGAGTATATCGATGACCTGCCATGACCTCTCATCGTCTTCAGCTTGCGACCAGACCCGATATCCCAAACATTAATCACACTGTCCTCACCAGCTGTGGCCAACCATCTTCCGTCAGGCGAGGCTGCAATTGTGTTGATAGGTCCACTGTGACCCATGAACACACGAACAGATTCACCTCTGGCAACATCCCACATGCGCACGGTCTTATCGCTGGATCCCGTGAAGATATATGAAGAGTTTGGGTGGAACTCGACACAGTCGACATCATGAAGATGACCGGCAAACATACGCAGAGGATAGATGTGATCGCAGCTCCAGAGTCTTGCGGTTTGGTCATGGGATGCAGTAGCAAAGTAGTGGCCCAAGGGTGAAAATTTCACATCCCAAACAGGTGAGTTGTGGCCCTTATACGACACAAGAGATGTGTACGTATCGGTAGACCATAGACGGACGGTCTTGTCCTCCGATGAAGAAAGAAGGTAGTGGTTGTCGGGACTGAAACTTAGTCCATATACTGCTCCACTGTGGCCTACCAGACGTCTGCTTCCGTTGACTGCAATTCCATCTATGGTCTGGTTGTGAATATCATTTTTCAAAACAGATTTCAAGGGAGAACCATCAATACTCCACAGTTTGATAAAAGAATCTTGGAATCCACCAGCAACCATCGTACAATCATCGTTGAACTCCAAAGTAGTCAAGTCGTTGTTGGTGTTGTGGAAGGTGTACATGCACACACTAGGCAAGGCCGCCTGCACTGCAGAAAGCTTGATTTTAGCTCTAGAGTCTTGAATCACCTGAATTTCATGTTTCAGATCAACAGCAGTCTTGGCTGGGAAAGGTATACTTTCCCTAGTAGGGGCAGTTTCGTCATTGGGATCGGTCTTGAAGTTTGCGTTGTATTCTTCAAGAAGAGTAGTATCGACCTTCTTGTGGGCCTGACTCTCATTTTCATCACGATGCTTCAGTTCAGCTTCTAACTCTTTGGAATACTCCGGATCCATGGGCATCTTGCCTAGTTTAACGGGTTTGGAGTTTAACGTATCCAACTCGCTTCCGTCAACATTAGCTCTTCCCTCCCTCTTTTCTCTGTCAATGTGGGAGTAAAGCTCCTGAATACCCTCCTGAGGATTCAAATCACCCTCTTTGTTAGTTGAGCCAGCTTCGAAAGAGTCGGCCCCGATCACAGGGTCGATGTACCTGTTCAAAAGACGGATAACGATTCCTCCTCCAACAGCTTCGTTTTCGTGCAGGAAATAGAGCAGGAGATTGAACGAGGTCTTTGATATCAGTATCCTGTACTTATGAGTTCTGAACAGTTTAGCAACCTCATTCTCGTCAATGTGCTCCTTCAGAGCAATTCCAGCCACTTTGGAAATCTCAAACTCGTGCAAAATCAAGTGGTCCTTTGAAAACTTGTTGAAAAATTCACGGGCTTCCGAAGAATCGCCCTTCGCAATCAAATTCAGATAGCAGTGTATAAATATTGGAAATAATATCTTCTCAAGCTCGTATCTGTACAGATCCAAAGAAGACTCGCACCACGATCTTAGCATGGAGTAAGCACGCGTATACGCCTGAGGAGTCTCTCTGAGAATTGCCTGTTGCTGTTGTATATGTTGTTGATTCTGCTGAAATGGCAATCTGTTCCTCTGAGCATTGGGGGCCGATGGAGGTGCTATAGCAGAGTTATTGGGAGTCTGCATAGGCCCCTGTGGAGTCAGCAACCGCGAGCTTTCCACTCTCAGCATGGCCTCCGTTTGATGGTAACCTTTTTTGTTCAAGTATTCCAACACAATTCGATTCAGTTCAGCCTGTGAAAATTGCTGCCCTTTAGCTTGCTGTTGCCTAGCCGCCTGTTGGGCCCTGATTTGTTGTGCTTGAGCTGCATTCACCTGCTGTGGAGCTCCCGACTGTAGCGCTGGTGCACCAGCAGACGGCTGCTGAGCAGACTGGCTGGTATTAGAAGTGCCGGACATGTTGGTATTTTCTCCCTCTTGTTTGATGGGTGCCATGTTTTAGTAAAGATGAATGGAAAGCTACCAATAACTCAATTGAGATGTCGCTGTCCTATCAACTATAACACACAATCAACAACCAATTCACGGTATCAGTATAACGAGTTAGTGCTAGCCCAGTGCAATTCAGGTAAAATCCCAAGGTTCGTGAGACCAAAATTGGATCTATTCCTGCCTGAATGATTGGAGTGATACTGCGAGTTCATTCCAAGTTTAACATTATTGGGTCTACTGAATATTGGTGAGCTCGTTGAATTCGAAGATGATTTTCACACGACCTGCCATCATCCACATATTGAAGTTTCATGCACATAACCTATCTCTCTTCTTTTTGAGTGTTCGTATTATTTATAAAAACTATCTACTCCTCCGGATGCCCTGAATACTGCACATTCACCGTCACTTTGTCTGTTCCGCTGTAACTATTGTTGAGCTTCTTGATTTTCTTTTGAAGGCTGAAGATTCTGCTCCTCACACTGTAACTCGACTTGACATCGTTAGGAGACAGAAGAACCAGGACATCGTACTTGCTTGTGGGATCTTCTGCCGTCGTGCCGGCAACTTCAGCAGTACTATTGTTGGCGCGAACTTGGAATAATAACGAGCCTGGTCTGATGTTTCCTCCGGGATGAATACCACATATGACATGCATTATCTTACCGCAGTACTTGGTCCAATACAGAAGTCTTTCTCCATTGCGGGCATCTGATTGCATTACCAATTTCTCCAGTTGTGCGTAAAAAGTCTCCTGGGATGGTGGTATATCACATCCCCATCTCTCGCATGTCGCTATGCTAATTAAAGCGCGAACTTTGTGGGATAGACCATGAGAACCGGCTATGATACCCGTGGTAGCCACATGGAGTGCGGCTGTGGGCTGCAGCTCTTTGGGGTAAGAACAATGCACGAAAGCCAGATTACACAAAGCTGGTGCAACGCTATTCAACACCTCGTCTGGAACGACTCCGGGTGGAAGGCCTGCTTTGAGTAGTTCGTAGTAGTTGTTGGATAACAGTGGAGCATACGGTCTCGAGGCCGTGAGCAGGGGATCCTCACTTCTAATGGCGTTGGAATATATCGAGTATAGAACACCTTCCCTGACACCTCCTTCGCTGAAATGAACAGTCCTAATTTTAGGCAACGACTCGAGAGCAGCAGAAACCAATAGCCCCACAGCTGGTAGCTGCTGCTGCCTTCTAGCAGACACTCTGAATATCTTTTCGTTTCCGTTGATTCTTGGCACCTCCTTCTTCAAAACCAGGTAATCCACTACTGATCTCACCTGCTCCACATTGGTAGAATAGCCATTGATGATTGTCTGTATAGGATATCCTTGGTCCTGCGAAAGAAGGAGATGGCCCAGACCTCTGAATCCTCCTCCGCACGTGTACAGGTCAAAGCCACCGTTTGCTTCAGCCTCTTCGATCAAGTGTTGGGGTATATTGATTCTTTCCAGTGCCAATTCGTAGGCCTGCTTTATCTCGTTATAGACATCCTTTCTGTCTTCAAACTTGAGACGATGAGTCAGCGCGGCTGCTCCATAGGGAAGGGATACCTGTAGCTCGGACATTTTGACAACACCATTTACGGACGAGATCCAACTCAACTGCGTGGATCCGCCACCCAAGTCCATGAACAAGCCGGAAACCCTGTGGAAGGAGGATGCAACGCCAAAGGCACCGCACTTGCCCTCGTCCTCCTTGCTGAGCAGATCAACATGCCACCCAGTCTTCTGGTAAATAGCGTCCCTGAACTCTTTGGAATTTGCAGCCTCTCTGGTAGCTTCCGTAGCGACAACTCTCACTCCTTCTGGCGGGACTCCGAAATCCTCACAAATCAGCTTGAATCTTTTCATGGCCCTGCAAATCTCCAGGATTGCATCCTCTGGGATAGGTCTCCTGGCAGTGGAACTGGCACTATCGGGCAACTGAACGTCAAAAAGCGAAATACCGATTCTATCCTTAAAAACACATGGCATTATTCTGGCGTGGTGCGGGGCTTTGGACGATATGGAGAATCTGATACCGTTGGATCCTATATCCACGATTGCTATGAGTGCTCTCCCCACAACCTCGGCCTCATTTTCGTGGTCAGCCATGATGAACAGCTGAGAAACTTGACTTAAGAAAAAGAAAGGATCGAACTAGCAATTGATATACTATTTCTTGTGTGGACTCTGACAGAGGTTCGAGGTGATGGAACCCTTCAATAGTCGTACAGTATTGCAGTCGGAAATAGCGATTCTCGTTCACTTAAGACGGCAAATCAATTGTCCAATTTCAACTAACGCGAAGGTCAACTCCTGGTAAACTCACCGAAGCTGTTGTAAAAGCACAAAGAACGAGTGGACTCGAGGTCTATCCTTTGAAGCTGGCAGATGGGCACAACTTGGTCCTTGAGAAATCGCAGGGTAGTGCACATGCGAATTATTGACTCAGAAACGCTTGCCTAATACGGGAAGTCGATATGGCTAGGAGATAATTTGGTGAACTGCTTCGATCTACACGAATTTGACGTAATTTTCGGGTCAGTCAGAGAGACTCGAACGTGCAGTTTCGGTGATAGTTTAGCTTTCGAGATGTCCACAGATTTGTCAGATCTTGAGCTGCTTGGCGAAGATGCCGCAGCAGTGGCACAGCAACAATACCAACCCATTATACCCCAAGAATATGACGAGTTGAAGGACATAGTGGAAGATACGGTCGATGACTCTGTTCCTACTGAGTCGGGTGATGTTGCGCTGAGCACTACATCAGGTTCGTCGGTGTGGGGGTTCATTGCCTCGTGTTCCATCAACCTGTTCCTGCCGTTTGTAAATGGTATCATGCTGGGCTTCGGCGAGATATTAGCCCACGAGATTGGCTTCAGATTCAGATGGTCAGGGGCTAGAGTGAGTTACGTCCAGGGAAATTTTCTAACAAAGTTAAAAACAGTTTACTAACTTCCATCAGGTCACCCCACAGAGAAGATACCTGACTGTGAATCAGCAGGCCAGCCAATTGCAAAAATCGTCTTTTCTTTCATAGTCACTTTGTTATATGTTTTGGAATATGACTACTGGAGGAAATGGCGCTCAAGGGACTTAGACAGACTCTTTTTTCACGAATTGGTTACTTCTCCCATAGCTGAACCGGTTTACTAGCTTCGCTAACTCAACTGCCTCTATCGCATTTCTTTAGGTCTTTGGGAGATCAACTGCTGCATTTAAAAGTGTGGAAATAATCCGTAGTGTTCTGGATTTATTGTATATGTCAAGGAAATAATTGGATCCAGACTGGGGGCCCTCAAGATAGTTTGATGATAGTATCTTTGTACGTGCACCAACCAATCAACTTTTTTTTTATCAACTGGAGTAACCTAGTAAGCTGAAAAATCATGAATTATCCAGACCGTGGTACATTCCGATCGCAAAACTCACGGTCCAGATGTCGTTTCTAGGATATAAAAGTATCATTGAAGAGGGCGATCTTGTGCTTGCTTTCATTGGAAGGGACAGCATCAAACCAATCAACGTTAAGGCTGGTGAGATCTTGAATACCAGATATGGAGCCTTTCCACATGACATAATGATTGGATCCAAGTACGGTGCGCAGGTCTCCGGCTCAAAAGGTTTTGGGTTCATTCATTTACTGTATCCTACGCCGGAACTGTGGTCCATTTCGCTTCCTCACAGAACACAGATTGTGTATACTCCAGACTCTTCCTATATTGTTCAAAGACTGGGTATCACTGCCGGGTCTAGAGTTATCGAAGCAGGTACGGGTTCAGGGTCTTTCAGTCATGCCCTGGCTAGAACAGTTAATGAAACCGGTAAGCTATTCACATATGAGTTCCACGAATCCAGATATCTCGAAGCTAAAAAAGAGTTCGAGGATCACCACCTGCCAAATTTCATCATAACCCACAGAGACGTTTGTGAGAACGGTTTTGATATAATTCAGAACGATGAGACTGTCGACGTATCTGCTGATTCCGTGTTTTTGGACTTGCCTTCTCCATGGACGGCCATACCGCGTCTCAAGAGCGTTGTTGCAAAAGGGAAGCGTATAGGTATATGCTGTTTTTCTCCTTGTATCGAACAAGTTTTGAAGACAGTGGAAGCCCTAGAAGCAGAGGGCTGGACCGGGATTGAGATGGTGGAAGTTGCTGGTCGTAAATGGGAAGCTAGAAAGGACATGGTTAGAACACTAGATGACGCTTTGGACCGGTTGCGCGATGTCAAACGCAGACAATTGGAGGGTATTGAAAAGGTCAAGCTCATTAGGGCTCAGAGGGACAATACTCCGGTGGAGTCTGCTGATGTGGAGGTCTCTTCAGGATCAAAAAGAGAAGCAACCGAAGAGGCTGATTCAGAGGAACCCATCAGCAAGAAAGCCAGGGGTTTCAATCCTTGGGGAAGAGGAATCAGAGTGAGAGAGGGAGACGAGGCATATCAATGGTTCAATGTTACGCGGGGTGAAGGTGAAGTAAAGAGTCATACCTCGTATTTGACTTTTGCCCATTATCTGAACTTTGATGATGAATAGGTCCCAAAATATAGAAATAATGCCTGAAACCGTGGGACACTCACATTCCAGAGTAATTAAAGGCCATATCTTGCGTAGCATGTTGTAGCAGTTCTCTCCAGGTTTTGGCGTAGTAGACATCATTTGCGTGTATATCTCAGCATGGCTATCGCGAGATGAGAGAGTGCAATATTTCAAGCTACTGAATGTTCGCGATAATAAAACTGGCTTAACCACTACAGCTACAATGATGAGCATTGGAATCTCGAGGACCGCAATGCGGCCCATATTGAGTGCATTCAGATCGCCTTTTTGGGCAAGGTATGCTTCGTCGCAGGTGGAACCAAGACCAAGCATCAATGCTGTTGGAGTGGTGACGAAATACTACATCCCACCAAGATTCTCGAGATATCCCAGTTTTTTCAAGCACCCCAAACTGTTCGTTCAGCAATTTTTGAAACGTGCTGCACTTGTTGGTCTCAACACCGTTCATGTTGCCATGATCACTAGAACGAAAAAAGGTGCTATCACCAAGGCCAGACTGAGATTTGGAAAGTGGAAGACTAGATCGCTGGAGATCTATGTGATGGTAAACCAGGCTTTTGCTAAGCGCAAGGTTGATGTCTTGTCTAAGAGCGTCACTAGATGGGTACTGGATGCTTTGAGAGAAAGACAGGCCAAAATCCCCGAGGGAACTTTACTTGACTGGAAGATGGTCAAGTTCAACAAGCCTCCCAAGATTGTGAACGTACAAACCTTACCCAATCAGGACGGCTCGGTGTTGGCTGTTCAGATCACCTACAAATACATGACCAAACAAAAGCTCACGTTCACCAAAGATGGCAAGTCTCAGTCAAAAGAAAGTGACATGATAGAGTACATGACATTCAACGTTGATCCGTACACGGACGAGGTTGTTCTGGCAGGTTCGCTGTTTGAGTCCGAGTGGACAACTCCAGTTCAGCCTCCCAACCAAATTCATGAGGGTTCGGACATGCTGAAGTCTATGGCTCATTACGGTGATATCTATCGTCCAGAACCACAGAGAGTTGACGATAATAAGCCTAAGACGATTGAGCAAAAGACTGAGCAGTAAATTAGTCTCAGACATGTACATAGACAACCAACACGATAACGCGTTAAAGACTTGAAATAAATTATTAAAAATGACTGTCTGAATGCGTTCCATTCATCAACTATTTTTGGGTAGAGCATTTCCGTCGTTCCGAGTCATCACTCGTAACGAATGATCTCGAGATAGCCAAGACTAGCAGAATCCTCGTAACTCATCCTAATTATTCAAAACATGGAACGCCTGGGTAGCACGAAGTGGAACAGAACCATAACTGGTAGGCTCCAAGCCGCTAAGAGTCTGGACATCATCTTCCATTAATATACCCTCACCTGGACCATATAGACTCTCATTGGAACCCAGACGATGCTCTGTGGGATAAAGCGCACGAGTTCCACTTCCTCCTGAGTACTCAATGCTATCCATGTTATTTTCATCATCTTGGTCGTCCAGTAAACTCTTCTTTAGATTATTTTTTTCGTCGCCATCTGTGACCGCTACCTGATAGCTAGGTGGCTCATCTTGGGTTCTGGTGCCAACAGAGGAGTCTGATTGAGTGGTCACAGAGGGAGTCAATTCAGATCCAAAGACGGGTGGAGGCTTGAACATGTTGGTCAACTGGCCCGACTGACGTTTCTCCAAAGTTGGTGGTCTGGGTGTCACAGGTTCTTTCTGAATGCGCATAGGGGCAGAAACTTCGCGGGTTTGATCATCCAAAGACAATCCCAATAATGCACTTGACACCGTTGCAGCCGATTCAGATTCTTTGGAATTAGTGCCTGCCCCGGGTAAACTGGTTCCATATGAACCTCTTGCAGATCTGCTGTATGGTTGATCGCTATTTGCCATTAGTGCATCAATGTTGTTGAAGTCAACGGTATTGTTTCGGTCTCGTCTAGCCAGATCGTAGCTGTTTAAGCTCGAGGGGAACGCACTTGGTGAAGATGCGTTGATAGACAAAGGAGATGCAGACAGTAATGTGGTTGAATTCACACTGTCATCTGAGAACATGCTTGTTGCGGAGTCGTGTAGACGGTTCATCATAATACCAGTAGACATCATTGGAGAAGCAGGTTGAAGAACAGCCTCGTTGAATGAGGGCAATCTCTCAGGTTGATCGTTGTCGAAGATTATCTCACCCGACTCGTAATCTACCGCATTGGCTACTCCAATGGAAAACTTTGGAGGTCCTTGTATCACAGAGTCATATGACGGTAGCTCTATGCTTTCTCCAACACAAAATGGCGATACCAGCACCAGTGGAGTATCCACAATCACCTCGTAATGATGCATTTTCACTGGGTCTCCGTTCTCCGGCCTCTTGTCCTCGGGTTTACTGATTCTGAAGCAGATCTGCAAGCGATGACGGATCTTGACGTTGTGAAAGGAGCAATCAGGGTACAGTCCACTATCTGGTGCCCCAGAATTTTTATGTGAGTTTTTTGGTACAGTGTTGGCTCCAAATGAAGACTTTCGAGAGGTGTTCCCCACAATTTCACCAAGTATCGGCGACTTGACAAGCGAGCTTTTGGAAAATATGCTTCTCAAAGTGCTTCCTCCCGTATCGAGTTCATCGTCGATAACCGCTGAATTGTTTGAGGCTTGAGGAGATAGGTTAGTTTGTGATCCGTTTGAAAAAATTGAGGTCAGTTCCTCACCATTCTCATCTTCTTCTACCAAGTCTGCAATATCTGTTCTGCTTTCGATGATGTTTTGGTGCAGATCCTTAATGAAATCAAAGTCATCGGCAGCTTGGAAAACAAGGGGAGACGTGATCTTCACAGGATTTGTAATGACAATGTCATCTGGAGCATTAGACTTAATCACATTAGTACTGCTGGAACTGTTGTTGTTCCCATGACTGAAGAAACTGTTAGAATGAGATCTGTTCCTGTGAGTAGGCTGTTGTGATGTGGGCTGTCTGTTCAAATGACCGTTATTGAAACAGGACGTAAGCAAATTATCGTTCACACAACCCTTGATAATCTCTGTTTTCAAAGCAGTAGATGGACCCTTCTCTTTCGTCTTAACCTCGAACAAAGTGATGGTGCGCTCTTTGATTCCGCTGGAATCAGTCTTTCCTACATCAACCTCATACTTCTGATCTTGAGATATATACGTGATCTTCTCAAGGATGTTCACCTTAACTCGTTTGACAGACAACGTTTTGATCAATGGAATTATCTTCACTTGCAGGTTGAATGTTGATGGTCGCATGATGTCATCCGCCACTCCAGAAGCTGGGCTCAGTTGCACATACTTTTTTGGGAAAAGAATCTCGTAGTTCATAGCATCGTTCCATACCTTGTTAACATAAATGGATTTGTTCAGAGTAGTTGCGGAGTCTGAAGGAGGCAATCGTATGATTGGCAGTCTGTAGTTGTAGCTAAGCAAAGAACTGTTACCCGTGGGCTGTTTGGACCGCATTGAAAGCTTGCGCTTGGGTGCAGTATTATGATTTCCGAGGGACTTCAAAAACGACCCGCTTGTCTTTGGTGATAGCGATGCAAAAATACTACTTCCACCTCCACCGGTAGACATGTTAGACGTGACTGGTGACAGTGACGGCTCTAAATCATCGAAGTTATTTGACAGACGATGAGGTGACGTAGACAGGAACACTGCTGCCGGTGGTTGTAAAGCCGGTAAAGCCAATCTCTCCAATTGCAGCGTGAAATGATGTTGCACTTGAGCAAGCGGAGTCAGGATGGATTCAGGCATGTTTATAGGGAACAACACAGGCATGATGAAGATGTAGTAGCCCGGGTTGAAAATTCGTCCACTTCCAGGGGCAGTACCAGACGACTGGTTGCGCTCTTCAGACTCTGGATCATATTCTTCAAAATCATCAGGCTGAAGCATTTCGAAATACCTTATTTTCTGCATGGGCTCTTTAGAAACCACGATACTCCCACTATCAGATGTGCTGGAAGTCGTTACCGAGTCAGTTTCTTGAAAATGAAAATGCAAATCCTCATCCTCATTATCATCTTTGTGGTTCTTAAAGGCAATGAAACAATCGCAGTTTCGTATATCGAGATCCCAATGTAAGTCCTTGGCAACCTTGTAGTCTTCTCTGTTCACCATCTTGGTCTTTCCATTCTTGCCAGGGTGTGGTACACCTTGAGGCCATTGATTTGAAACAACCGTTTCAAATCTTGCATGGGCTGTATACTGGAGAGAATGTGGTTTGCTGAGTTTCAAGATTACGGCAAAGGTATGGGTGACCCTATCGACTTCCTCTTGTTGATCAGCAGCTGTCGTTGAAATGTCTGCTCCCGGGAGCGATGGAGTGGGTGCCCTGCTAATCTCGTCGTCATCATCTGGATCCTCTGAGGCGCCAGCTTCAGTCTTCTTCTTTGTAGGAGCATGTGGCAAGAACAATATAGGACCATTACCAGAGATGAACGCCTGTAGCGAATGGTCCGAAGCTTTGTGGAACCCCAGAAATCTCGACGATGCAGAGGTTTTCTCCTCACTCAGCTTTAGAGGATTGATATTAAGACCTTGTGACGTAAGATATGCGACCAACTTCTCATTATACGACTTGAGATTCGGTCTGAAGTCGGAACTAAATGTGGCTGAGTTGGCATCAGTTGCACCAGGAACAAAAAAAGCGGGCTTCTTCCCACTGACTGTGTCCGCTCTCAAAGACCGAAGATCACCACTTGGTCCACTTGGCAAGCTTATGGACGAGGCAGCATGGGCATCGGAGCTAGATAGTGTCTTCTGCGTTGATCTTGAAGAGGATTCGGTGACTGAGAACGGGGGGTTTCCAGACTTGAACTGGCTAGACAAATCAGCTGATGGAAAGTACGAATTTCCAGTGGCGGTAGGCGAGGATGACTTTCCGAAAAAGAAAGACATCCTGGAGAGATCGTTTTGTCAGTGAGGTGATGATCTCGGTATGTCCTCTGGTGGTGGAACGGCTGATCCGGCTAGCGTGAAGCAACTTTCAAGTCAACGCTCCAATTTTGGTATTCAAATCGCTTTTGGTTGAAACCGGTAACTTTTGACACAGTCTGAATATTCCTAAGCCTGTGTTTGACGAGACTAGTCTTGTTTCAGCTTTCACGGAGCTTTGAAGCGGGCACTGCGAGCACGGGGTCTGGTTTCTTAACGCGAATGTGGCTCCAGTTAGGCAGCTTAATAAAATCAGTTGAGAAATCCAATATAATCGTTCTTAAAAGTGATCACCGAATATACAACAACCAGATTCCTACCCGTCTCTGCCGTATATCCGCCGTTAAGCCTTTGCAATGAATGATTGGAAATAGTTCTAAGTCTTCTGGTGAGGCGCGCACTTCCACCCCTCTGTCCAGATAGGGGGTGACACTCGGCAGAAGGCACAGCAGTTCCATGTTAGCCGTGAACAAGAAATTCACTATTGTTCGGCAGTTGGGAGTGATTTTCCGCTCCAATAGTAATCAGTGAAAACAGTGGAATCTCCGATAAGTTATTCCGGATCATGTAACTCCGAGGATAATACTTAAACAAAAATCCGCGGCTGCGTGGTTAAATCATGGCGAGCCGCATGTGCCGTAAGAGGCTGTCAAAGAAGGCTGAGACTATTTGCTGACCAGCCGGAGTTTTCTACTAAATTTTGACAAAGATATGCGTGCGGCAAAGCGATTTTGAAGTTTTTTTGCTTTTTTGTTCTACTCTTTAACGATGTGATGATGTTAATTTGGTGTGCATGTAGTATGCAAGTAATATATGCAAGTAAGAATCTAGTGAGCAGTTCGATGCTTCCGGAAAAGAAGATCCGTTCATTCATGGGGCAAATCCCGAGCGGCAGAAATAGAGCCAAAGCTGAGAGTTGTATTTGTGCTATGCGTTTCCGTCAGTTGCGACATGGCAAAAAAAACGGTGTGGTTTCTGACTTACAGAGGTGCTCAATGGTTCCATCTTCTTTAGTACTCGAAATCGGCAGTTCCGCGATGGCTATATTTTTCCGAGATCTACCACAGAAGTACGGGTCGTCGACTCATTTGACTGATCAAACTCCCGTCTCTTTTCCAACAGCTCTTTGAATTGATGCAGATGGCCTCTTTCTCCACCATCTACTCGCATGGCCCTCATGCCTTTTAGCAAACTCATTCAAATATGCGGCGTAATATTGGTTTATGCACAGAACTATTCTGCAAGCTACCAATGACATTTTTACCAATCTTTCCGTACCCCAGGTTCCGAGTTCTCACTGTCAGTCTAGCTTCTCACAATGATGTCCATAAAACAACAGAGGCCTTGTGTGGGACTCGGCCGGATCACATTGTGCCACCGTTTTCTGTCTGGTTCGCGGTTCGTATATCCATTGGTCGCTCCCAAACTAAGCTCGAGACAAGAAAAAATACATTGCATACCTGGTACTACCGCATTCAAAATAACCAGTCCAGCCTCCAGATATGACTGGAAATTCTCTCATAGGTCTTTTAGCTCGACATCAAGTCTACAAATAAGACGCGGGGTGGGGTCTAACGGGGTTTTCAGTTTAGTGCCTGATTCGGTCAAGGTTTTTGGATTGGCCCTAGGCATTGGATCAGTGGTGGTGTTCGTTGCATTACCCATTGCAACCATAGTGGTTCCACCGGTACTGTTAGGTGGCTGGCTGTTCGCGAGAACCATGTTACGGAGAAGAAGGAAAGAGCTGGATACGGTGATGGAGAAGTTAAAGAGTACTAAGCTCAGATACGAGGCCTTGGAACCAGAACTGGAAATCGGTGATACGAATCTGGCAAAGTTTGCGCTCCAGCGTTTCACGTATGCCCTACAGGATAACGAACAGAGTCTTGATGAGATTTTTGAGATGGGGTCGCAGACTTACCGTTTGGCATTGGGTCCTATTGAATCCCATAATCAAGAGTGGAGATTCAGAGATGGAGCGTATGCCTTGCTGGGCATTGAGCGCAGGGGAATCATCGACAAAAACTCGGAAGAACGCATTGGGACAATGTCCATAGCGACTCTTTCCAGCACTGTCCACAATCCTCTTGAGGCCATCATATCAGACTCGTTCTACAATATGGTGATCGAAGTGACCCCTAAGGGTCGTTTGGCCCGGACCTATACCATAGACACTCCAAAGGAGGTCATGGAAGGTGACGATGAAATTATTGATGTTCAGGGTCGTACCAGAGATCAGTAAAAAGCATGTAAATTGAATAATAGATGTACTTTCTAGCACGGTAGTAGAAGCTTTCAGTATCAACACATATCCTATATTGAACATTCGTCAAGTCTCTTCTATTTCTAACAGAAAGGCCTTCTGCATTTCTCCATCACCTAATATACTTAGTGCTTTCGTTTCTTTTCGAATTGCTTTAATGTTTTGGCTTCTTCTTTTCGGCCTCCGCAGCCTTCTCAGCTTCTATCTCCTCCACAACCTTTGCAATCTCGTCGTTGTCCAAATACTTGATAACCCTATTTGGCTTCATGACTGCGATTTCGATGTTCTTGGCTCCCGTCTGAACAACTTCCAGCAAAGATTTGATGGTGAGCTTGATGGTTTCCTCATCAGAAAGCTCAGTGCCTTCTTCTTCGTATTTTGAGTAGTTCTTCTCCAAAAACTCCCTCACCGTCTTGCTGCTCTTTCCGATCGAATTGGCCTTCCATGCAGAATATATACCAGATGGCTCCGTCAAGTATAGCCTTGGAGTGTTGTCGTTCTCATCGAATCCAGCAATCAATGTCGCGATACCAAAGGGTCTGACACCACCACTTTGCGTGAACCTCTGCTGAACACCAGCCACATACTTGGTGAGGTACTCTATTGTCACGGGGTCTTCAACCGTTAGCTTATGAGACTGGGCCTCCACTCTGGCCTTATCGATAAGGATTCTAGCGTCTGCATTCAATCCGGCAAATGCAAGTAACACATGATTATCCACCTTATTAATCTTGGAAGGTGTGATACGTGGGTCCTGAAGTTTCAAGGTGGTTCTCTTCTCGCATCCTAAAACAACAACCTCTTTACCCTTGACTCCCACCGCACACGTACCACGTTTGACCGCCTCCAGGGCATATTCCACCTCTGCAAAAAAAAGTTAGTAATTGGGATCACACCGAATAGAACAAAGTTCAATTGTGAATTTGTTACATTCACTTACGGAAGACGTGTCCGTCAGGACTGGACTATTGTTAGTAACTGCAATCACAGATCTAAAGAGGTGGCAATCGGGTTAAGACATAGAAGCCAATGGCAATCCCCCTATCTCCAAAGCAAAAAAAAAAACATACCTGAAAATGGATAAAGCACTATCGTAACCACTCATTTATTCAATTGGTGACAATTAGTCTGATTTTGCTTGAAGAACGGTGGCTATGTGATATGATAGTCAGGCGTATTGCCTTCGGTGGAGGTGCTGGAGACTGGAGAGTTGGTGCGAGCCGTGCTCCTAACCAAGAACATATCATAGATTTAAATAATTCAGTATTGGCACGATCACCAAGTTATATATTCATTCTCCAAACTGCATTTCCAGAAGTGTGTATACTTATTTTATTCATTGTTTAGGCAATGACTGGTGACCACTCTTCACCGAGAAAGCCAAAACTTCCGAAGCCACCAAAACAGATACCACGGAAGGAACACCATGCCAGACTCTCCTACCTATACCAGATATCCACTCTGATGGCTGCCAGAAGCGAATCTTCGGACAATGAAAAGGATATGGAAACACTTTCCAGAGTGTATGCGCGCAATCTGGATATTGTGTCGAAAAAAGCGGTGCTCAAACTATCACCGACAGTAAAGAGGTCTATATGCAAAAAGTGCCATAGAAGGCAGATTGAAGGCATAACGATGTCCACTCGCCTTTCCAATCCTTCGAAGAAAAAGACAAAAAACAACGACATCATGGAATGTTCTTGTAAGTGTGGCGAAACTAGGCGTTTTCCAATTGGAAAAAATCCAGATTTCACACCCTTTCACGAAAGAGAAGACCATGTGGTTGCCGAGGCCTAACCATTTTAAGGTACTTACGATCTCCACAGCTTTCATGACTGCTACGACTCACGCTAAGTTCTTTCGTTTTTATTTTCTGCATCACATTTAATGCATAGCTCAAATGTATAGAAACCTAATCGTACATTGCAACGTTATTAGTAACCTATGGATCCTGTATGTAGTCACCAACGAGGCCATTTTTGGTCAATATCTCCTGTTTCTTCGCCTGCGACAACTTGATATTGTGCTGTATTTGCTTGAACTCCCTCTCGGCTTCCTTGAAAGGTATACGAGTAAAACTTTCCATGGGCTGGTCCTCCTTGTCAATGTCCAGTTCTCCCATCATCGTCACGTTCTCACCTCTGATTATGTATGTGTCTCTCTCTTCGTCGGCATACCTCTTTCCTGGAAGGCATATTCTTTCAACAGCATCTTGGATGACCAAATTTGCTGGAAAAAAGGGTTAGCATTTGCTGTGAATGGGTAGTCTCCTCGAGTATCGGCGAAGAAGACTAGTGTTTCTGAATTGCTGACTTACCGAATTGATCAAATGTTCTCAAAACGCCAAAGATAGTTCTCTCATCTCTAAGATACACAAACACTTTGCCTGATGAAAAGGTTAGTACAGTTCTCGTTAGCCTTCAAGCAGTTAACATACGGTCGACAGAGCCTATGATTTGCGCGGCTGTGGTAAAAGAGTACGACTCCAAATAAAGATCCTCGCGTCTATCCTCGCTAGCTGGTGGGGTTGTTTCGGTTTCAGACATTATATTGATTGTGTGACCTACCAGTATAGACATGATTGCAGGTAGATGACGGACAGCTTCAAGTTGGTCTCCACGGCCAGCGAGAGAACTCACATTATTGTGCATTTGCACGACCCTAATTTGAATTTTTTCTCAGACGTGCATTAATTTTTTTTCACCTAGACAGGCTACCGATTGAAACCTCCTTTCAACACCGCCGCCTAGAAAAATTATAAGAATATGCCATCCAGAAACTCAGTCAATAGACCCAAGGACGGTATCTTGAGAAGGAAGAAGGCTGTTGGGCTGGCCAGAAAGAGAGCCGCAAAGAGATCATCCGCTCCTACAGGCAGATTCAGAGGACCAGCTTCGCTTGTTGGTACCGCCAAGTCCAGTGCAGTTGCCTTATATACTGGTGTGTCTCAGCCTACCGGTTTGCTCACTACTCAGACTTTGTCCAACAAAAGAAGAAAGAAGCTGGAACGTAACCAGATCTACGTTGATAGAAGAAAGGGTGCTGCTGATAAGCCAAAGGAGGACGACACCACTATGGATGTTGATGAGATGGTTCAGAAAAAAGAACAACAGGCTAAATCTATCAGAGAAGCTTTGTGGAGTGTTATCGAACAAGGGCGTTCAGTCCCAGTTATCAATGGGACAGAAGGAACCACCCTGGGTGGACCAAGCTATTAGGCTAGGATAACCTTCTGGACTAGCATTTCTCGCATTTGTACATTAGAATTGGTAAATATATTTTGCTGTGCTTTTAACGACAACGTTAACAATTGTTTTTCTTTGAAGAGGTTCAGTTCAAACCTTATTGGTTGTATTATTTAATGTTTTTGTCTATGCTAATATGATACAGGTGCTCTCCGTGCTCAAGAGCCAAAGAGCTCGTTCCACCTCTTGACAACCTTTCCGCTTCCAACACCAACAGTGACAAATGTCAGCACGATGTTCATGCAGATTATTATAAGCCCATTTAGCATGAACCTTGGGGCGAAAATCTTCCACACCATCAGGTGTCTTCTGAAATGAGCAGCCATTATAAGTGTGGAAAGCGTCAGACAAGACTGATAGATCAGAATACCCGTTGCGTTCTCGACTATTCGGGAAAAGAGTGTGATTGGTTTGTTTGTAGGTGTGATCTTCCATATTGACAAAAGAGCAACGCAGAGACTGACAATTATGAATGGTCCAAGAGTGTTCAAAATGACAGTCAGATGTGTGAATGGAAAAGTGATTTTTTCGTTCAGGATAAAGGCAACATCCCAATGAATGGACTGCAAAGTAGCCTGATGTCCAGATGTAAAGAAGTGCAAATATCCGATCAGACCCATGACGACGACAGAGATCATGTCGTGACGGATATCCAGAAGATCCGCTAACTCCAGTAGAGTCAACAGTTCGTAGATCATTAGGCACAAAGAAAGTCCTCCCAAAGGCTTGGAAACCAACAGAGTAGCAGCCAAAATGTTGATTACCAGTAAGAAGTAGCTGGAGCCATAAGCGTTGCCGTACCCAAGAATTTGAGCTTCCTTCTTTGCTGATGGAGAAGCTGATGCTGCTGCAGGTTCTAGACTAAGGTCTAGTCTGATACACAGAGGCCCAAGAAACCAGCCCACATTTCCAGCTATCAAAGCAATGCCCAATACTATTCTCGCAATAGTAATTTTGCTCAGTTTGAGCAAGTTCATGGGAATGCCAAGAGATTGGGTTAGAACAGCGTTGTGTTCCAAGTACTCAAGAGTCCAGTGAATGGCGGTCATGAACATCAAGCCTCTCAACCCAGTAGTTATCCATAGTGATGCAGCACCTTCAAAAGAGGATGATATCTTGTAGAAGCCCTCGATGATTTTTGGCAATAAATAGGCAGCTACAAACAAAAGAGCAATTGCCCACCAAGTGATCTGGAAGTTGGAAACGCATTTTGGCTGTTGTTCTTCTCGGCAAAGAGTAATGGAGGAGCTCACTCTCACCATGATAATGAATGACGCTGCGTGATAACAACCCCAAGCTCTTTTGAAGCTGTTTTGAAGGCGAGTAGCCTTAAACAGAGCACAGAATCCAAATGTGCTCAGCCAAAAGGCGACAAGTTTGTCCTCCCATATCACAAACGAGTTTGAGGTGAAGACCAGAGAGTGCATGATAATGAACGTCAATGCCATATAAGTCCATCCATTCAGATCCATGCGTTCTCTTGCCTGGCTGATCAACCATGGGATTGAATAACGATCCATGACTGGGGCCAATATGCCGTTCGCAATTCCAATTGCAACACCAAGCAGCAAGCTCCAATTGAGAGTCAAGTTGTCAGGTTTCAGTACGACATATAGCGATCCCATCAAGACAATCCAGACAAAACTGATGGCAATGCTCGAGCTAAAGAATTGAGGGTTCAACTGGGCAATGACCACTGATGGGATGAGCTTGGAGTAAACTATGAGTAAAGTCAAGGCGACTATGGTGATCACAATCCCAAGAGTGATACTGGTCAAGTCAAATCTAGCCCAGAGATCTTTACATTTCTCGAGGGAAAGCTCTTGATACTCTCTTGCCTCTTGCGCAAATGCAAACCATGCTTCGGGGCTGGTGCTAGGGTCCTGCACAATGACTGGCCATTTCTTCAACAGTTTGGAGAATTTCAGGTTCACCTCCTCGTCGTTTTTCAGCAGATCTGTGTTGTTCCTATACTGGTGAATCTGAACAGAAGTGTAGAAATTCGCATAGGCCAGCAGTTTATTGTCATGGTGGCGCGTGAATAACTCTTCGATTGGAAATCCAAGATTGTTGTAAGGAACTGGAAGTCCCATGAGAAAGGATAAGGAAGATACTAAATCGATTTGATTCACGGACCTGAAGCTCTTTCCAGCCTTTGAGATGTCATATGCCTTTTCTGCTTCGGCAACTCTTCCGAAAAATGGTGTTTTCGAGTACATGAACATTGCAGCTTCCACTTCATCAGGAGACTCTCCGCCGTGATTACCGGTCTGGTCCATTCCATGATCTCCCATCACCACCAACAACGTTTTATCGTCAATGGTTTGCATGAGATCCTTGAGAAACCCATTCATCTGAATCAGTTTCTGCTCCATGGCACTGTGACGGGGGCCATATCTATGTCCGCAATGATCTAAACCAAGCAGATGGCCAATAAGAACGTCCCATTCCGCAGAACGGTTAGTGATGGTCGGAAAAATATGCTCAATCACTCCATTGTCAACCGAATGCAAATCCCATACGTTAAGAGAATCGTAAGGACGGGTCAGGTTCTGGTATAGGAACGGGTTAAACAGTGCCGTCCAAGTATCGTCACCTACGAAAGCAACGTTTCTTTCATTGTGGTACAGCTGACTAACCCAATTGTCCTCGTCTATAGTATCTCCATCAAAATTGGACCCCGCATCTATAAACGTGGGCAGGGATCCTGTAGTCAACCCCTTTAATCGTTGCAACGTTGTGGTGGGGGGGTCGGCTATGAACTTCAACAAAAGCGAGTTCTCAGGCTCGTTCTGGAACAACTCGTACAAAGCAGTGAGCTTGTTGTGATATGGCTCAGTACTGCCCTCAACAGGTATAACGAAGTCGAACCTAAGTGCATCTATAACCACTATCACTGTTTTCTCGAAGGGCGATGCTTTGAGACATTGGTCTCTTCCCTGCTGATCCATACAATTCGACGTGAACGGCAGCACCTGGCGAGAAAGCAAAAATCCCTTTGTGAAAAACGCAAGCCCTATGATCTGGAGAAGACCTAGAAGAAACATCACCTTCACGTAGTAGCCATGCGAAATTCCTAGCTTCCTGTTTCTGAACTGTATTCTTTCATTGGCCTGGCGTAATAGCCTTTGCCTCACGTCAGGAAGCATACCATCAGGCACGCCCTCAGGGATCATGGGTATGCTCGGCAAAGTCTCAGGGCTCTGGGAAGGCTGGATACTGCCGTTCTTCGGTTCTCCTGGGGGCACAACAGGCCTTGTTGCAATGGGAACTTGGGCCATGGCTCGTGTTCGCCTTCAAACAACGATTCGCGTCAATTTGGCAGAACAAAAGAATTTCAGCAACAATCTGGTCACCTAAAATGTATATCGGTTCAGACTGTCTTATTGGTCCATTCCAGTATCGCCGTACCGGTAGGTCTGTAATCTTATAGAGTGCTGGCAACGTGAAACTGTCGGATCAGACTAGCCGCAAATGGGTTCCATACACGACCAAAGCCGTTATGAAAAGTTGGGCTAAAGATTTATGATATATCCTTATGCGAAGTAATTTCATACAAAAATCGAGCGGATTCACCATAATATCTTATATACCATAATGGATCCCCAGGAAAAAGTGTACGAAGCATTTTACCACTATGACTTTAATTCGGACGAGGGCTATAAACAAGGTCTACAGCAGGTGTACGAGCAGTACATAGACATGCACAATCAACAGAACCCAACCGAACAAATCACGGTGGACGGAATTGACAAAAGTGCTAAGTCAATTCTGAGTTTGCAGGCAAAGGTATTTTTCTTCTGCCAGAAAACTGGCGATATTCTGAGTCTGGATGACTATGAGGTTTGGAAGAGCAAGTACGAGAGTCATTCCAGACCGGTCACAGATACAGTTACAGAGACAGCTGCAGAAGCTCCTCCTTACTCTTCGAACTACGAGCATCTGGTCAACTTGATAATGAACAACCAGCCGGTTCCGGGTATCAAACAAATACCCAATGTTGTTCTTGACCCGAGTACGGGGTCGAAACATGTTCTCAAAGAAAGGAAGAAGCCATGGGAAGTTGCTGAGCCGACTGGTGGTGAGGAGGCTGTTAATGAAACAACTAGTACCGAGGAGGCTGTTTAAGTTGATGAAATAACACGCAATGGAGCCTAATGATCATTTCTATGCTTTAATATCGCCTTATGACTTGAAATTTTTTTAATGTCATCAAAATGCATCTGGCATATGGACAGGATGGTAGCCTGTGACTGACATCTTTCAAGGTCTACCGGAAAGGCTGGTTAAGCTACGTTTATGGCATCTCGCGATAGCATGGAATAGCCTACTGGGAAGAAAAAATAATGACATGGTTATCTTCTTGGTCTCTTTTTTGCATTGAAGGTTTTGCAATCAATATCATGTCTGGTGCTGATTCATGAAAAACGTATAGCCTACCGCAACGCGACGCCCCATGGCACCAAAATCTGCACCCTGCCAAGTACATGGCTCTAATTTAGACAGATTATTTAAGAGCACTCCTCAATAACATGAAATAATGAATTCACTTATTAAAAAGCGCCTTTTTCAGCAGATTCGCGTGGGAAAGTCGGTTGCCCTCGTATACCCTCGGTTTACCCTCGATCTGTTTCACGCGCTTCCAGACGCGCCTTGAATCCATCTGTTAGTATGTGGTCTTTATACCAGAATATCCACACCGAGTCTCCCATTGTTGTCTGTACGACAATGAAAGGAAGGAATAACCCGAACCAGGAATTTCGAGGGTTTAACGAACCAGATGCTATTGATGATGAGGAGCTGAGGTTTTTAAACGACACATACAGAACTGCTAAGAACAACGGTGGTCTACCGCAACAACATCGTGAAACATTCCAGGAGAGCACTTTTGACGTGAAAGAGTCTCGAATTTATGACAGTCTAGATGGTTCGGTGCCGAATACCCCTATTTCCAAAAAAAAACAGTTGATTGATGCTCCAAAATTGACATCCACGAAGTTGAGTGTGGCAGACAGCTTCACGAACATACTTCGAGAATTCACCAACAAACGTGTTTGGGTTCTTGCCATAATAGTTGTTCCAACAGTGCTTATATCAGTTGTTGCTACGGTTTTTTACCTGTCGTATGCCTTCCCTGTTCAGTCGATGCAAGACGCGAACACAAGGTTTGCAGCCTACGATTCTCAGTTACGGATTATCTCGGCGTATCAAAAGAGATCGAACAAAGACTATCTTCAGATTGTGCCTCAATTCCGCGACATCGAGGAGAAGCTCAGCAATTTGGACTTGGACTTATCTAAGAGAGTGGATTCCTTGGACATATCCTTTGACAAGGCTGTAAAAGAGCAGGTTCAAATCGCTGGCGATGTGGAGAGATTAAGCAAGCAAGTTCAGGTGATACAGGGCGAAGTTAACAAGGCCAACGAGGATGCAGATACATTGAGGGCCTTACTGGAAGCAAATGCTGGGGGTAGTTCCGAGAGTCTGAGCGAAGTCTGGACCAGGTTCACGGCTCTTCAAAATAAGACTGAAAGTTTGTTAACTGAATTTAATGACAAGATCGAGGAGATCACGATCAAAAATGAGCAAGCGAAGCGTCTCCTAGAGAAGAGAGACAAGAACTTGATTTCCATTGACCCTTCAACAGGAAAAGTGCTCATCAAGCCTGAGTTTGAGAAGTACATTTCAGAATTTGTTGCCAAAGCTCTGGAGCAGCACAAGGAAGACTTCTCTTTGCAGGACTTTGCATCCAAACTTGAGGTCAATCTACAAAATGAGGTAAGATCCAAGCTTCACGATGAAATACAGTCCATCAAAGAGGAAGTTTCAGCTTCCATCGCTTCCTCGAGGGGTTCTCACGACAATGGATCTGTTCCACAGCTGTCTGATTTTGAGCTTTCCCGCTTGGTTTCCAGAATTGTTCGTCAAGAAATCAAGAAATCCACTTCGTCGCAACAGACAAACTACGCTAGTCAGTCGCAAGGAGCCAAGATCATTCCTAAAGTGACAGTGCCACAGACGATACGCAGACCGAGAAAAAGAACAACTGCTCTGGAGCGGGTTGCCTGGGGCTGGTATGACTTCCTGAAGAGACAACTTGTTGGGGAGGTCTCGTTTGATCCACTTGGTGCTGGTGATGTCTACGACAGGCGAAACAGTCCAGCTAATGTCTTGGTGGATGACAATTCATTATGGCAAATTCTTGGTCACCCGGATAAGGTGAGCGTTGGAATCAGTCTGTCAGAACCCGTGCTTTTGAATCAAGTGGTGTTATGTCACCCAAATGATGTGGCTCCTAGCAGTACAGCTCCCAGGAAGATCGAGTTACTCGCTAAACCAGCAAAGGGTTCTTCTGGGAATTCATTGAGGCAAGTCTCCTCTGGGTTTATCCATGAGAACAAATTGTTTGCACCGGAGTACATCAAGCTTGCTGATTTGGAGTACAGAAAAGAGGGTGGGTCTTGCCAGAAGTTCGAGCTTAGCGTTGCTATAAAAGATTCTGAGACGCCCGTCTCAGAGGTGGTGATACTAATCAACTCAAACTGGGGCAATGATGATCTGACTGTGCTGAAATCAATCAGCATTTACGGGTTCAAGTCTCCCAAGACCGTAAAATCCTCCAATAGACTTGGGGGAATATTGAACAGTTTCAAGCATTTCAAGGACGATATTGACCACTCAGGTGCGACCCTGGGTGACGATGTTCCATTTTAATCGCTTCGGAACTTCGCTACTGTATAATATGTATTTCTGAGACGTATTTTACCATACTACCTAAGATGTTTCAACTATGACGGACTATTTCAGGTCGAGTTCCGAGTTTTGATCACGTGACTGATTCCCAGTCCTGGACACGAACAAAATGCGAGGCGTGTATGGTTGACGTGTTTGGATGTGAGGTCTTTTCATTCTGTTCAACCCCAATCGCCTTCCCACTTCGAGCTATTGAACGTTCCTCAGAAGAATGTCTAAGAGGATACCTAAAAAAGCGCTGGCCAAGGCTGCAGCGTCGTCTCGGGCCGGTGAAAGCGATTTCACCACTGAGTTAATTTATGAGAAGGGTGAATTGAGACCATTTGTGGTGACCACACCAAGTGCCAAATTGATAGAATCTCGTGAGGTTCATAAATTCGAAGAGAAAGTCTATTTGGCATTGCTGATCGTTTTTGCCTCGCTTGTTCGGTTGCACAGCATCTCAAATCCCGACTCTGTGGTTTTCGATGAAGTCCATTTTGGTGGTTTCGCCCGGAAATACATCAATGGTGACTTTTTCATGGATGTCCATCCTCCACTAGCAAAGATGTTGTTTGCAGGAGTTGCAAGTTTGGGTGGTTTCAAGGGCGATTTTGCGTTTGAAAAGATTGGTGACAAATTCCCATCCAACGTGCCCTACGTTTTGATGAGAGAGTTCCCAGCCGTGTTGGGAATTGCTACTTGTGTATTGGTTTACTTGACCCTGAGATCAACTGGTTGCAAGCCAATTGTCTCATTGATTACTGCTGCGCTTTTTGTCATCGAAAATGCAAACGTCACCATCTCGAGATTCATTTTGCTTGACTCGCCATTATTGTTCTTCATCGCTGCCTCTGTCTATTCTCTAAAAAGAGTCGAGAATGCAACTCCGTTCTCATTCTCATGGTACAGAGCTTTGTTTGCATCTGGAATGTCGATGGGTCTGGCTTTGTCGTCCAAGTGGGTTGGTCTTTTCACTATTATATGGGCTGGAGCAGTCAGTGCGTGGAACCTTTGGTTCACCATTGGAGACCTTCGGATCAGCACCAAGAAAATTTACGGTCAGATCATTGTCAAGGTCTCTGTTTTGTTGGGAATTCCTTTCTTCTTATACCTATTCTTTTTCTCCATTCACTTCCAGCTTTTGGTCAATGAAGGAGATGGAGCAGCCTTCATGTCTTCCGCGTTCAGATCCAGTTTCCGCGATGCTACAATTCCACAAAATACCCAAGCAAATGTTGGTGTTGGCTCAGTGGTTACTATACGTCATTTGAATACCGTGGGAGGATACTTGCACTCGCACAATCACTTGTACGAAGGTGGTTCAGGCCAACAACAAATCACCCTCTATCCTCACTTGGATGATAACAACAAATGGGAAATTGAATTGTATAACGTCTCTGAAGCTCCCACACAATTTGAACCAATTACGGATGGAACGAAGATCAGACTCAAGCACATTTTGACGCAAAGACGCTTGCATTCGCACGATGTCAGACCGGTGGTTTCCGAGCAAGACTGGCAGAACGAGGTCTCAGCTTACGGGTACGAAGGCTTTGAAGGTGATGCAAACGATGACTTTATTGTTGAAATTGTCAAGCAGAAATCCAAGAGCGGTGATGCTCAAAACAGGGTTCGCGCTATCGAGACAGTTTTCCGCTTGCACCATGCAATGACCGGCTGTTACCTTTGGTCCCACGAAACCAAGCTTCCCAAGTGGGGATTCGAGCAGCAGGAAGTGACATGTCCAACTCAAGGTATTAAGTCCCTTGGTTACTGGTACATTGAACAGAATGTGAGCCCATTCCTAGATGCCTCTGCTGAACGTGTTAGTTACCCAAAACTTACCTTTTTCCAGAAGCTTTTGGAACTACACCAAAGAATGTGGCAGGTGAACAAGGGGTTGACTGCCTCTCATGTTTATGAGTCTCGTCCGGCCTCGTGGCCTTTCTTGACCAGAGGTATCAGCTACTGGAGAAACGAGGGATCCCAGGTATACTTCTTGGGCAACCCAGTCACATGGTGGGCCTCATCCGTCTTCCTTTTTGGATTCTCTGTGTACGTCGTTTTCAGTTTACTGAAATGGCAACGTGGTTACAGTGTGGGCTCAAACTCAGTTGTGTTCAACTACAACGTTCAGATGTCCCATATTGTTCTCGGATGGGCCATTCACTATTTCCCATCCTTCCTCATGGAACGTCAATTGTTCCTGCACCATTACTTACCCGCCCTGTACTTTAGTATCTTGGGAGTCGGACAAACCTTCGAGGTACTCTACAGTTATGTCTTGCGTCCAAAGCGTTATGTTTCGGTCTACTTGTTTGTGATTCTCTTCACGGGTGCGTTGTACTACTTCGTCTCCCTGTCCCCACTGATCTACGGTACTCCTTGGATCAAGTCCAAATGTGAGACTTCTAAGCTTCTTGTCGGCTGGGATTACGACTGTAATGGTTTACCAGAGGAGATCAAAGGCTCCGAGACCATCGACATCTTCAGTGCTGAGGCCACCACTGCTATTGCGCCGCCTATTGAGGTTGAGGTAGTAGAGTCAGCCGCTCCAGTTGTTGAAGAGATCCTAGTGGAACAATCTGAGCACGTGGCTGCTGAGCCAGCTGTGGAAGTGGGCGAAACTCCGTTGGTGGACGATGAGGCTTCAAAGAAGCTGACAGAAGAGGGTTCTACTATGGCTGAGCCTGAAATTGAGGATCTGGAGACTAAATAAAATATACTGTAAGCTTATATGGTGAGTCATCACTATTTGACATTGATAATTGGAACTGTAAGTATATATGACGGCAACCATCGGTATATGCGCATTTATTCACTCGAAGGTTCTTTTTCAGCCGCACCTGGTAGCACACGACTTATTCTCACTTATCTTTCGCTCGAGAAAACGACACCTTACAAGTTACAATTCACCCTACGTTCCTACTGCTCAGCTTCCCAACAAAGTTATAGACTTACTAACTATGGATTTTGAATTAGAGCCATCACTCAAGTCGGTTATCGATCACGAGAGTCTCAAGTGGATCTTTGTTGGAGGAAAAGGTGGTGTTGGTAAAACAACCACCTCCAGTTCGGTCGCCATCCAGCTGGCTCTGGCTAACCCCAACAAGAACTACCTTCTAATCTCCACAGATCCGGCTCACAACCTGTCTGACGCTTTCTGTCAGAAGTTCGGCAAAGATGCCAGAAAGGTTGAAGGCATGGACAACTTATCGTGCATGGAGATTGATCCTAGTGCTTCTATGCAAGAGCTGCAGGCCTCTTTCGGCGAGAGCGATGGTAATGATCCTTTGAAATCGATAATGGGCGACGTCAGCTCATCGATTCCGGGTATTGACGAAGGCTTGTCTTTTATGGAGGTAATGAAACATATCAAAAATCAGACTTCTGAAGACAACGAGGTTATCAAGTATGATACCATCATCTTCGATACTGCTCCAACAGGCCATACTTTGAGATTCTTGCAACTTCCTACAACATTGGGCAAATTGCTTAGCAAGTTCAATGAGCTCAGTGGAACCTTAGGTCCATTGATGAACATGATGGGTGGTAATCAGAAGCAAGAAATATTCGCCAAACTGAAGGACTTGCAAGAACAGGTGTCTGAGGTAAATAAGCAGTTCCAAGATCCAGAGCTTACCACTTTCATTTGTGTGTGTATCTCCGAATTCTTGTCACTTTACGAAACCGAGAGGCTCATCCAAGAACTGATATCCTACAACATGGACGTGAACTCCATCGTCGTCAACCAGCTGTTGTTCTCAGATGATCATGACTGTCAGAGGTGCAAAGCCAGATGGAAGATGCAAACAAAGTACTTGGACCAAATGGATGAGCTCTACGAGGATTATCATGTTGTGAAGATGCCGTTGCTCGGAATGGAGATTAGAGGCGTTGATAACTTGAAGAAGTTCTCCAAGTTCTTGATTGAACCTTATGATCCTAAGAAGGATGGTGCTCTTGTTTTTGACCTGGAAGAAAAATAAATACTAATACACGAAGCATCTCCGTCGAAAAAAAATAAAGCCGCTAGAATATAAGCAAGAGCCACAAAAATGGCATATCATTCGTGCTCTAATAATAGTGGTAGCAAAAAAACAAAGTTCGTATAGCGGCGAGTAGTTTCGATCTACCGACATCAGGGTTATGAGCCCTGCGCGCTTCCACTGCGCCACGCCGCTTGTGATATGATGATTGTAATCTTAGGACAGACATATGTCTCCAAACCTGTTTAATATTCGTAATGGGCTCATAACCGTCATCATTTTGACGTTTTCAGATATTACATAATGCTTTTTTGCTTATCGTCTCTCATGCAAAGCACTAGGCTTCGGCCTTTGATCTTAGACAGATTCAATGAATACCTGTGTACTTCCACAGTTGCGCTTCTTTGAGGTTCTAATGTTTCCTCAAAAATCGAACGCCATTGTGGGAGAATAATTGTTTTAAGACCTAACGTTAAAGGCTAGTAGCGCCTTCGAGTAAGCCATTTTCTAATAAGGAATAAGTGGAACAGAAACAGGCCTCTTCTTTCCCGGGTGTATTACTCTTATGAGCAGGATGATTTTAATCCCGTTTCAAATTTAAGCATTATGTCTACGCCTTCAAAACCATCTCAACTACCGCAGATACAGAAGCTTAAAATGACTCGATTTCACCCCCCTGCACTTCTCAAATATTGCAGGTGGGCTGTTATTCTTTCGTGATCGATATTCCTCAACACAATGGAACTGCTGAGATTCAAAGTCCTTGCTTGATGACGTTCCTGCAATGGCGCTAACGCCTCTATTGTTAACCGTTATCAATAGCGGCCTCCGTCGGCCCCTTCTCAATATATCAAATTATAACCGTCAGGGCCGGGCTCTGCATGCCAATTGTCTAATATGTGCGTCAATTTGGTAACTACCAGAAAATTAAAAAATTGGACCGAATAAATTGCAGCCACAAGCCACCGGCAACTTTCCGGGTGTCGGATATCTCTGCTGTAACTGTGGAGGATCAATCCGGACTTTGGTTATCACGCAACAAGAGCCGTGCAGATAAGCCAAAGTCACACTTTCTTGTTCGAATAACCCATAGGAATTACGTTCTTCATTGTATCCGCTTCTTCTCCACAATGGGTGTCTCAGTTTTAACCTATGCAAACTTTTTTTCCGCTGAGCTCGTAATCAAACTTTATAAATACTACAAAGGAGAATGCACAGATCTCAACATGTCTGGACCCGCATATCCATAATCTTTGAGAATTGACTGAGGCTTATCATGAGCGACGGTGAGAACGCAGCGAGCTCTTTGGAAGCTAAGAATGTCAACTTAGTTACAGAAAAAGTCGTTTCTCGGGATAGTAGTGACGAGGACGGCATCATCATTTACAAACCCACAGATGTGGATCAATTAGCCGAACCTTTGAAATTTGACACTTCCTTGACTTTCAAGTTCAAAAGCTTCTTCAAGGGTAGGACTCATGATGACGACAAGATCGCCACCAGGCTATCACTCTTCGAGAATCCTGATTTTGAAATTGCTAAGAAGTACTATCCTAAGAAGAAGTATGAGAACTACCACGCTTTCGACCCTTACCTGAGATGGACTTTCAAGGAGGACAGACAGTTGACCAGGAAGATCGATTTTAGGATCTTTACAATGGTCTGTGTCCTATTTTTTGCCTTGAATCTTGACAGAGGAAACCTGAGTTCTGCAGTTGCCGGAGGACTATTGGATGATATTGGTCTCAGCACTGATGATTATAACAACGGAAACACACTGCGGTCTGTTGGATTCATTATCTCTGAAATTCCTTCCCAAATGCTTGGTAAGAAGTTTGGCCCTGATTGGTGGATTCCAATCCAGGTGTCAATCTGGAGTCTTATTGCTCTTTTCCAATTCTTCATGAATAACACCAAGTCGTACTTGGCACTGCGCTTTTTATTAGGAGTTGCCCAAGGAGGTTTCATTGCAGATGCTGTTCAGTACCTGTCATACTTCTATACCAGAGAGGAAATCAGTTTCCGTTTGTCGCTATTCTGGCTCACTGATTCCTGCTCGGGAATTATCAGCAATCTGTTGGCTATTGCCTTTTTGAAGGTTAACCTTCACGGAAAAGAAGGATGGCGTTGGTTGTTTTTGTTTGATGGTTTGATCACATTGGCTATTGGAATTACCTCGTTTTTCTTCATGGTCCCTGGCCCTACTCAAACTAAGACTAGATGGAACAAAAAAGGAGTCTTCACCGAAAGGGAAGAGAAGATTATCACTAATAGGCTTCTTCGTGATGACCCCTCGAAGTCGGATATGCACAACAGAGAAGGTATCAGTTTCAAACAATTCTTGAAAACTCTGTCTGATTTTGATCTTTGGCCAGTGCTCATCATGTCCTTTGTTTTTGAGATTCCTCAAAATCCAATCAAAGCTTACCTGAACATCAACTTGAAAAAACTGAAATTCTCAAGGAATACTATCATTTACTTGAACATCCCTATAGAGGTCATGACCAGTATCACCATTGTGCTGATTACGTTGTTGTCTGAGCTTTTCAATGAAAGATCCCTTGTTTCTTCTTTACAACAAGTTTGGATTTTGATTGTTGTTGCTGTTGAGTATGCTAGAGTGAATACATTGAGTCCATGGGCTCAATATGCCATCATGTTTTTCGCTATTGGAAATCCGTCGGCTCAAGCTATCATTGTGTCCTGGTGTTCCAGATTGTCCTACTCTGTGAGAGCAAGAGCTATCTCCTCGCCCATGTCTAATATTGGTATTCAGCTTGCTGGTATTGCAGGAAGTTACATATACCGCAGTGACGATGCGCCCCACTACCACCGTGGAAACCGTGTTATCATTGGTATATGTGTCATGAATATCGCTCTTTATGTTTTTACAAAGCTCTACTATATTTGGAGAAACAAGACCAAGACCCAGAAATGGCAGGCTTTATCAGATGAACAGAAGGAAGATTACTTGTCCAAACATGAGAATGATGGTAACAAGAGACTGGATTATTTGTTCGAGCATTGAACGCGTTCGAGGGTGAATTTTTATATATTTTTGTAATCTTTTTTCATACTTCTGAGCTACTCATGAAGTATTGTTCGACCTTATATCAAAACACTTTTAACTTTTGAACCGTTTCAAAAACGCATGCATATGCACATTACACTCCGCAGTTCTTGGCTCTGCACTACCTACACCGGGTCAACTCAGGTATCCGGAAACTGTGGCTGTTCGAGAGGCTCGAGCCGCTCAAACCGTATTATTAGAGTATTTTATCCACAGATTACGTTTACCCAAGATATCAAATCCCGATAAAAATGGTCCGACTTGAGTTTCCAAGCCGGGGTTTGGTGAGACTACTTCATTCCTATCTGAGCCTTATAGAACACACGAACTGCTGCCAAGAAAACTTACTTTGGGCAGTGAGATAAGCTTCAACAATGACAACCGTTACTGTACAAGAATCTTCTTCGTCATCAGGGCAAACAAAACTCCCAATTGTTGGTGATACCTCTGACAATAAACCAAGATGGTCCAATAAGCCATTTGATTTTACCGTTCCCCCAGATCTCGAGGGAAAGTTTCCGGGGTATAGAACACCAGAGTCGGAATCTCCATATCTCTACGCGAGAAGGCAAGGAATTCAGTATCCCAATTACACTCAATGGAAAATGGAGCCTTATGTTGAGAAATCTGGTTTTCAAGACAAAGGCACCCTTTCCCATCCGGAAAAGAGCAGCCTTTTGAAAGCTGCCAAAGAGGTTATTCATTTGACCCCATACTGTGGTACGGAAATTGTGGGGTTGAAACTTTCTGAGCTCACTGATGAACAGAAGAATGACTTGGCCAGGTTAGCTGCCGAAAGGGGAGTTGTTCTCTTCAGAGACCAGGATGATCTCCATATCAGAGCGCAAATCAAGTTCACCTCTTATTTTGGAGAACCACATATTCATCACCAAAGTGGGATTATTCCGGACTTGCCTTGGGTACATCCAGTCTATAAGGACGAAACCTCGGTGAATGGTCTCACCTCACAAGTTTGGCACTCGGATGTCCCATATGAGCTTAATAGTGCTGGTATCTCTACATTGAGATTCGATGTTCTACCTCAAACTGACAGTGGAGAATTCATTGGAGGAGACACCTTATTTGCTAACGGATATCTGATTTACGAGGCTCTTGATCCCCAGTTCAGATCCTGGTTGGAAACTCTAAAGGCTAGAAGCAGTGGCTTTGGACAGGCTGCTCTGGCAGCAAAAAGTGGCTTGGAAACCAGAAGACCACCTATTATTACAGAGCATCCTATCGTGAGGACAAACCCAGTCACAGGATTGAAGTCTCTTTATATTGCCGAGAACTTTACTACCGAAATTGTCGGACTGGAGAAGAGGCTGAGCAGAAGTGTCTTGGATTACCTCTTCGACCATGTTAGGAGATGTTTGCAGTTTCAGTGCCGTATAAAATGGACTCCAAATGCCGTTGCAGTTTGGGATAATAGGTCACATTTTCACACTGGTATCTTTGATTACTTTCCCAAGACAAGGCATGGAACCAGAGTGATTGCGCAAGCAGAACGTCCATATTTCGACAAAGACTCGAAACTATTTAGTGAGGTCAAATTTAAGGGCTACACCACTGTATAGTTGATTAATAAGGGTTTTTTGTTAAGCTAAAATATGTAAAACATTTTACTAAACTAAATCAAACAGTTTTTGAAATTTTCTCAATGGAGGGTGGAAACACGATACCGTTAGCTTTTTTCACTTGATCAAATATCTTCAGAACCCGTATCGACTCATCCAACGGATGGTCAACTGGCTCCAATAACGAGTCTCTAATGGAAATAGCTGCAACGTTGGCTTCATAGTAGTAACCAAGACCTCCGATTGTTCCTATTTCCAAGTTAGTTCCTTCTGGACTTCCGTTAGAGTACAGAGTTGCTGTACTCGGCTTTGATGCTCTGTCCAGCTTGATGTAACCCTTTGTTCCTTCAATCAAGACACTGTCGCGAGGTGACTCTAGGCTGAAAGATCCGCTGGCTGTCCCAATTGCATTCAGATCATTAAAAACCAGAGAAATGCTGGTGGCTGTGTCAATCTCTGGAACATCTTTGGATTTCAACGAAAAAGTCTTCACAATTGGATCTGTCTTGGCTTGCGATAACAGCAAAAGATCTGTCCACGCAATAGAGTAAATCAGGTTGTCATACAAAACCCCAGGGCCCAGTTCTGGATTGTATAATCTTCCGCTTTCATCAAAAGGACAATTATGACTCAGATCGGCACTTACTCTATGGACTTCCCCGATAACCTTGTCTTGCAATATCAACTTTTGAATTGCCTTGGTTGTTGGGAGAAATCTTGTCCAAATACCATCCAAAATAAACAGCTTGTTTTTAGCTCCCACTTCTTTGAGATGCTGAGCTTGCTCGTGGTTAATTGTGAAAGTCTTTTCCACCAAAACATGTTTTCCCGCTTGCAACGCTTGCAATGCCAGCGGATAATGAAGAGCGTTCGGAGCAGCTATATAGACTATGTCAATATCGCTTTCGGCCAAGAATATCTCCCAAGAATCGTAAGTTTGAGGAATTCCAGTAGCTTCGGTATTCAAAAGTTTGATAAAAGACTCGGCTTTTTGAATCGAGGTGGTTGATACCACCGCTTTAAGCTGGTGATTCACCAGCTTTCCGTGGATGGCATCAAGCTCATAATTAGAGAACACGTCGTTTGCCCATTTTGCTGCGAAGGCTCCAAGACCAACTATTCCCCATTTCAATTCGAATGAATCAGACATCCTCAATTTCAACCTTACAGAAATGAATATGGAGACGAGCTGACTGAGAACCTCGACTTTTTGAAGCTCTTTTCAGTGCGAGGTGCGATAACAGATCCATGCACCACTGCATACAGTTACGTTCCATTCCGGAGGCCACGACTGTGGCTGGTAAAGCATTTCCGGGCTTCAAGATGACGAATCTAACCGGCCCATTCCCGAATATATTCCTATCTTCTGAGAGGTACAGTTTGGTTTTTATACACGATGATAACCATGTTTTTAGTTAATTAATCCGGAGAAATAACCTCATCGAGAAATCTAAACGTTCCAGACTTCAATGCCTCTTCTCCAGACAAGCCTGCCGGAATTAACCGGTGTTTACAACAGTAAACTTGTCAAACTTGTCAAAAAGCCGTTGAAAGGAAGTAAGCTCGTCAGAGGGAAAGAGTACCCGATCGGCTTAGATCTGGTTGTGGAGTCTCAGGATGGAACCTTATCAGGACTTGATATTGCAGAAGTGAACCAGTTTTTCCAGGATTTGGGAGAATCTGGAACACTATTACAACTTATCACGGAACATGGGCTGGTGATAATTCAAAACTTGAACTCCACGGATCCAGAGCATTATTCCCAGATTGTCAATAGCTTTTTCAAGGCTCAACAGTACCATGAGTTCGAGCAAGTTGGTTTGTTAGCGGTTAGAGAGAAGGTTAAGAAGGCGGTCAGTACTGTTGGTAATGACGATAAATTGAACAAAAACCTCGGCAAGTTGAGTGCTCATCAAGAGTTCTCCAGATATCTTGATTATCCTCATGTTTTGACTTTTTTTGCTGAAAAGGCACCCAAGTTGGGTGGTGGGCAGTCCACTACAACGCATGCAACAGAGTTGTTTGATCGCGTTGTTAACAAATTCCCTGAGTTCATTAGGGATCTGTATGAAAAACAAGGAAACCATGTTTCTCAAAAATTCAGCTACAAAGTTTCTGGTGAGTCAAAATTCAAAATTTCCTGGACGGACGAAGGAGCCTTTGGCAAATATATTACCCAGGAGGAGAAAGACAGCGAAGATATAGAGGCCATGAAGGCTAAGGCAGTTCGTCTTGCAAACGAACGTGTTAGCAAGAATGTTGAGTTCGACGAACATCATGACTTAATTCTTCACCAAACCAGTGACATAGTCCAGATTCACCCTCTTACAAAAAACCCAATCATCTTCAGTAGTTTGCCTACTTATTACGGTGGTTATTATAAGGCAAAGAAGGGTAAAACAGAGGATGAGATTTCTCAGTTGACTCCTCCTCCTCTCTCTTATGGTGATGGTGATTTGATACCGGAGAAGTACCTCGATTATTTGTTTGAGCAATCCCAGGAACTTGAGTATACTCATGATTTCGCTGACGGAGACATTCTGTTTTTGGACAACTTTTCCGTTTACCATGGTCGCAACCCATATACACGGGGTGACAGGACAATCCTGGCCAGTTTTTGGGAGCAGAAAGATTCAAGCAGACCAAAACCGTATAAACCACAAACTTTGGAGGAGCTCATAAAACCCTCGATTTGATCAAAAAAATATGCAATCATTTGATTCAACAGTTTTTGAGACTAAGTAGACCATATTTCATCGCAAGGCCATCCCAATTAGCTACAACTAACCTTTAGCATTATTGAGTACGCAGTCTGTGTCATTCGCCATATATAATTATCATTGGCCTCTCCCAAATCAAAGGTAATTTTCACTTCGAATTGTCAATGCTAATGCATATCTTTCAATGCCCCTCTTGATGCAGATGAGCAGCTGCATTGTCTGCACGACTTGAGAGTGCTCCAACCGAAAATACCAATGCGGGAATTTCGTGGTCAAACATAAACAAACCTCGAGTGACAATGCAGAAGAACAATTGTTCTGTTTTGAGGTACGTGCTGGCAGACCGGAGTATAATCCTGAGATCTTCTTAATAATTTGCTTGATTTTGATCCTTATCCTCTTTTTCATTTCTTTTAATTTTTTTTACCTAAGACACTTGCTAAAGAGGGAACTTTCATCTGGCTCTTCCAAACATCACAACAATCGCGTACACATTGGCTAATTGAAGCAGCTAGCAGGATTTTCACCGCATTGAGAATCACAAAAGTACAAAAAATGGCCAGCTTGTTCCGGCTGATGGTGAGTGCCTTGCTGGCATTTGCAAATTTAGCCAATTGCTTGGAAGGATATCACACAACGTTGATAGATCAGCCAGATATCGACTATGACCAGGTGGGGAATCAGCTTTATTTCCTCGGGAATTTTGATGCCTTGTCTGAATACAAGCATACGGGGCAATTCAACACCTCGGTAATATCGAACACATCTTCGAACAACTCAATCTATCTGCTATCAGATACCCTTCACAATGTGGGCAGTCTACCATTTGAGAATGGTACTGTGTCGATTGCAGAACGGGTGCGGCATGGCTATTACGTTATAGTGATAGATGGAGCTCCATACTTCTTTAACTTGAGCGGGTTCTCCATTAACGAAGTGAGTGGTTGGTCGCATTCGGTGACGGGTGATGTCAGGTCCGTGTTGGTAGACACGGATGAGGAGATCATATATTTTGGAGGAAACTTAACCTATGACAAAGATTTGTATGGTGTGATAGCATACGATTACTCCTCTGATGATTTTCATGATTTGCCCTTTTCTGGGTTCAACAAAGGTGCTTCTGTGAACTCCATAGTCAAAGTACCAGGAAACGGCGAGGATGAGCTAGGAAGCATCGTCTTTGGAGGAAGCTTTGATGCTTTGGGAAACACGGACCTCATGAACTTCAACGTGTCTTCAAATCAAACCTACAACATCACGAACTCCACTTACACAAGCATTGACCCAAATAGACTGGTGTCCCTGAAGTATGCCACGATATCCTCGGTAAATACTGATAGCTCAAGTGATGCGTCGTCGATTTTGTGCCCTGGATCTGACACAGAATGGTTATTGGAACCTGAAACGTATGGATCGTGGACTGCTTCTTTGGAAGTGAGTTTGATACCCTCAAAAATCAGACTGTATAACTCCAAAGATGACTCTTCCAGCGTGAGCATTTTCAGAGTCATAACTTCCCCAGCCAATGGAATCATGAACATGACCTATCTTGATCCTTACACTGGAGACTTTGCCTACTGTGATGCATGGTGTCCTCTAATTTCAAATTCTGATTTGAAAGCTTTGGTTGCAAATAATAGTGATGCCATAAAGGGAGTTGTCTCCGAGATGAGCGAAAACGACCAGGGATTTCTCAGGTTCAGCGACGAATATCAAGAGTTCGAGTTCTACAATGAAATTTCAGTTGAAAGCATTACAATCGAGGTAATTGCTTACGATGGTTCTCAAGGTGGGTTATCAGGTTTCCAGATGTTCCAGTACGGTCTCTATGCATACGCCAATGATACTTTGAATGAGCCAACATGTTCAGGTTCAAAGGGGTTCTCAGCCTCTGAAGAAACTGGTGATCTGGACTGGAAGCACACAAGTGCTGGTGACAGCTCTTATATGAGTGCAACATTCAACCCAAAAAACGTGAAAAGTGGATCGGGAGTTTCGTTCTTCCCAAGCATTGAGTACTCAGGAAACTACTCCGTTTTGTTGTATACTCCAGGATGTTCTGCTGATAACTCGTGTGATCACAGAGGAATTGTCAATGCCACTTTCTATGAAGGTGACGACACAATGCTGGGATCATCCCTGGTCTACCAAACGAACATGTATGAGAAGTACGACCAAATCTACCAAGGTCATGTTGACGTGAAGAAGGGCTCTCCTTATCTCACAATGACTTTCGAAAATGGCTTTTCGGACTCGAAAGTTGTTATGGTGGCTGATAAAGTTTACGTGGATATTCTTGGAATTGATGCCTACAAAAATCGCACCATGGAAAACGAGACAACTACCGATTATGATATTCCAATCAGGAATCTTTTTGAGTACTCTCTTTCCAATTTTTCTGATTACACGGAAAGCTTCGAGAACAATGTTTTCGTGGGAAACTCTTCTTTGAATCTCATTGGATCCCAGGTCTTGAATGAAGATGCTACTGTCAATGCGCTTCTCTACACCAACGATTCCTTGATCATCGCTGGTGATTTTGATTCTGATTATGGTGCGGATGCCATTCAATTGACGTTGAACAGTTACAATGCCTCAAGCAACTCGACCTCCATCAAAACTGAGAGCTCTCTTTCTGCTGGTTTGACTGGAACGGTTAGTCATGTGTTCAGTTATGGTGATACAGTCATATTGGTGGGAGATGAAAAGTCGAATTTCAGTCACATCTCTATCTACAACGGTTCGTGGCACTCTCTGGGAAGAGTACGTGGAGAAATTGCTACGTTTGCTAATTTGACCATCGACAATACAGAGCTTCTCGTTTTCAATGGGGCTCAGTCGTCTGCTGTTGTTTGGGACTATACGAACTCTCAATGGTTCAACACCACTTCAACTTTACATGTTAATGCCTCACAAGCTTTTGTTGAAGATAATGCAACTGTTGCGTTTGGTTCATTAGCCATGATGGACCAGTCTGTGGAAAATGCTGTCACTGTGAAGAACTCTAGCTCGAATAACATATTGCCTATTGGTTTGACCTTCAATGAAAAGCACGACAATGTTCTCTCTTCAGGGTTCTATGTCAACGACTCATACATTGTGATAGGAGGACATTTTGAGACTTTTGACTCTGCTTACAATTTAGTGCTGTTAGACACATCGACCAACCGAACCAGCTCTATCGGTGGTGTTTCATGGAACAACGATGCAGATGTCACGGACATGTTATCGTTTAATGACGTTCTCTATCTTGGTTTGTCAGGGAAAGTCACCGTTGGATCTACCAAGACTAAAGGACTGATAGCGTATGAACTCAAAAACGACACCTTTTCCTCGAACCAACCTGCATCTTTGAATGGTGATGTTACTTCGATTGCTGCTGTTGAGAGCGATGCCAAGTTACTGGTTGGTGGAAGTTTTAGTGGACCTGATGGAACATCCTGTACTGGAGTTTGTTTGCTTGACACTGAGAAGAACAAGTGGTCTTCAGCTTCCAATCAGACTACCACTGGTGACATCACTTTTATTCAAGCATATTCCTCCAGCAAGTATCTGCTTAGTGGCAGAAATTTTGGCATTGATGGTACAAAGTCTGACTTCGTTAGTTACGACTATGGCAGCAAAAGATTCGCAAAGGAAGATGGCCTTTCGAAAAACAAAATCCCAGGAGTTGTTGAAAAGTTTATCATGGTGGATAACAAGACGACTGGAAGAATCGTCTCCATTGGTACTGATTTCATTGCCTACTATGATGGCTCCAACTGGAATAGACTAGATGATGATCTCTCGAATTCAACCTTCTCCGATATTGTTTTGCTTGATCTGAAGAAGGACAATGATGCTAATGACGAGAAAATATTTGATAAAGATCAAATTCTGCTGGTAACGGGTCTCATCACTGTTGAAGACGTTGGTTCTTTTACGGCAGCCTATTACAATGGATCGTCTTGGATTCCATCTGTGATTACCACAAACAATCTTTCTGTCTCAAACACCACCATAAGGTCTGTTTTATTGAACAAAAGTACAGCCTCGTTCTATGGTTCTGCTTCCAAGCCCAAACAGACTCACCACCAATCGGCAAGCAAAAACTTTATGCTGACCAGAAACGTGGTGGGCGTTGGCTTCGGACTCGCTCTTGGAACTACGCTATTGCTCGGTATTGCCGCAGCAGGTGTAATATTTGCTTCCAAAAAGAGAAACAAGTATAATTCAGGCCAACTTCTCCACTCCAGGGTGGGTGAAGAGAAGATGATCCACATTGTTCCTCCGAACGAGGTTATCGACAACTTTCATGTGGCCAAACAGACTGCATCTTGATTGCCTGGTGTGACGTCAACCAGATGCAGTTGTCTCAGGTTGGCCCCAAACTCTTTTCCTTACTCGCTTCCTTTTCTTATTTTGGACAATGGTGTTAATAGTAATTTATTCATGATTATGAAATCTTTATGCGGCTCAAACTTGTAGTTTGCACGTCTTTATCTACTGGTGCTATCCGAGCTGAACATCATCACAAACAGATAGGGAATAGCCCGAGTCAATCACGCCTTCATCACACTAAAAAGGCATGGAAGCCCGTTCGTATGATCGAGGAGGGCTCAGTATCATTGAAGGCATGATCTTGAAGGATATCAAAGGACCATCGTCTTTGATATCGAAGCAGATTGTGATATCAGCCTTCTGTCCGAAGATTGCAGTCAGTTGTACTGAACACTCGAAGGTGGTGGCTGGAGCCTTTGGATTTTCCACAGTGTTGGAGCTCTTTAGGTACTTTGAATCGTCAGCTGTGGTTACATCGAAGCTGGACGTGCGGTTTGTCAAGCCTATCCATGACGTCTTGGAGGAGCAAAAGAACGTTGAGGGCCAATTGAGGTTGCACAGTATCCTTGGAAGTGGAGCCGCCCATGGAAACAGTTTTAGTGGCGGAGACAAGTCGTTCGGGTTACCCTCTGAGCTGTTCAACATGAGGTCGTTGGAAACATTGGCGAACGATGTGATCAAGGATGTGGACTCTGAGCTAAGAGAGTTGCTAGCATCGGAGCAAAGAGACTCGGAGAAGGTGATTGACCTTCAAAATTCGATATACACGAAGTATTTCACCAAGCTGGTATCCTCAACTGCACCTTCGCCTTACGAGACTTTCAACCACCCTATTCTACAGCTTTTCGTGGCATCTGCAGACGACGATGCCCTTTCATTGAAAAGGTTGATTTCAGACTGGAAGTCGCTGGAACTGCCCAATTGGATTGACAAAGACGAGATACTTCCGCTAGCTATTATAATTGTCAATAAGAATGTTGCTGACGATCTTCAGAGGGGTTTGCGCTTGCAGGAAACGTTGAAGCTTGACATGGGAATAAAGAGCTCGCTTCTTTCTGTCTCTGTTCCGGGTATAGGAGACGACGATGTTGTGGAGGAAACTGCCACCAAGCTAGCAACTGTTCACAAGCCGATATTCGATACCGTTGACGAAGAACTGAACAGAGTCCATTTTTCAAGACCCACGGTGGAGATTCCGTTGAAGTCCAAACGGTCCGTTGAAACGTTCCTCCAGGAGATAATCCAAAACGTGATGGTTCCATTCATGAGAAGGAAGATCAAGCTATGGACAGACGAGGTTGTTGCCCCGAGAAAGAGTCTTGCTGGGAGACTCTTTGGAGCTGGTCGGAAGTGGGGAAACGCTGGCTCGAGTTCCCTGTTCTCTATGGGAGATAATAAGAAGGGATCTCCACAGCCTCAGACCATGAGCTCGTATAACGAAACTGAGGGCTATTACTATGCGAAATCCCCGGACTTTTTGATCAGAAGATTGGGAGATTGGTCTTTCATGCTGCGTGACTACAAGGACTCGTATACCACGTACGAGCTGCTCAAGAAGGATTTTCTGAATGACAAAGCGTGGTGCCATCTTTCGTCGTTACAAGAATTCATGCTGATATCTCTGCTGATCGGTGCCAGCAACAGAATAACACCTCTCGATGTGGCCGGCAGCGGGAACGGAATCACGCCCAAAATCATCCACGATCTCATAAACCCAATGGTCGACTCGATATACTATTCCTACTTCTCTCGGTCCAATCTCAAGACGTATACTTTGCGATCTGTGATTGTGCTTGCAGAGCTGTTCATAGCTCTGAGTCAATCGACCGTTTCGAGCAGCACCGTCACCGAAATATATTGCGGTCAGGCTATCAGATTACTGAGGAAGATCGTTGACGGAAACATTGTTGATAGCACTTTCAAGGGAAAGCTCATGGAAAGAATAGCGTATGTCTACGGGTGCTATTACCGAGCCGTTGTAGAGGCCTCTCCCCCACAAAAACCCACACCGGATCCCGAGAACGGAGACGACCAGCCGATTGCCAATGTTTTGAAAACACACTACAAAAACACAGACCATCTTGGAGAGACCAGGCACCGAAAAAGTGCACTCTGGCTGCTGATGGCATGCAGACAGCTAGACCCTATCATCAAGCCGGTTCAGGTGAAGGTCTTGCTGGATGAGATAGACGTGCAGATAGCGCAGGGAGAAGGCGATCCCGCGGATCATATGTGGCTATATAGGGAGAACCAGCTTCTGAGCAAGCTGAAAACAAGTGTCAGCTGAGACCAGTGTACAATAATGAACAATACAAACCTGAAAAAACCGACTAAAATGCACGCCTGTCGCGTGACTCGCCAAACCTGCCTGAGGATCGGCAATTGCTGCGGTCGTGTACCTTGCTAAACATCCCGTTTCGGATGCTTTTGGGAAAACGCACGACCGTGTTTCTTGATCTGCATTCTTCGAGATCCGCCAGGGTAGCACCAAGTGTTTTCATCTATTGCTTGCTCTCCTCAATATAATCAATTCGAAGCTGGTCGTCGATTTGCATTGTTATCCGTCATAATGAAGGCTCATCTCGTGACGTTGCTTTCTTTCCTGGTTGCCGCGCAGGCTTTTTACCTGCCTGGTGTTGCACCAACCTCCTACACCAAAGGCCAGACAATACCTCTGTACGTCAATCGCATAACCCCTTCGATGAGACACACCGACGCCAAATCCAAGACCTACGTTTATTCCTACGATTACTACTTCCCTAGGTTCCACTTTTGTGCCCCAGAAGGTGGTCCACAAAAGCAGTCTGAATCCCTCGGTTCCATCATGTTTGGAGACAGAATTTTCAACTCTCCATTCGAAATTAAGATGCTCGAGAACAAGACTTGTTCCAAATTGTGCCAGCCTATTTACTCCACTGCTGACGCAGTTTTTGTGAACAGAAATATCCGTGCTGGCTTCAAGCATAACTGGTTGGTTGATGGACTCCCTGTTGCGAAGGCCATCATTGATACCAAGACTGAAACCCAGTTCTACGGAGCTGGGTTCGAAATTGGAGCCGTTGATAACTCTAACGTTGCTCATTTGTACAATCACTACGAGTTGGTGATCGAATACCACGAGCGTGGTGCGGACGAGTTCAGAGTGGTGGGTGTGACTGTCAACCCTTACTCGATCAACCATGCGGACCCTTCAAACATGAAGTGTGACACTGAAAAGTCCACTCCTATCGTCTTGGACCAAGGCAAGGACACCAAGGTTACTTTCTCGTATGCCGTCTTCTTTGTTCCTTCCGACACCGTCTGGGCCACCAGATGGGACAAGTACTTGCACGTGTACGATCCCAAGATCCAATGGTTTTCCCTGATCAACTTCTCCATCATTGTTCTGTTCCTGTCCCTGATCATGTCTCACATTCTGGTCAAGACCCTCAAAAGCGACATTCAAAAGTACAACGAGGTCAATCTTGATGACGAGATGATGGATGAGATGGGATGGAAACTGGTCCATGGTGACGTTTTCAGAGCACCCGAGAACAAGATGCTGCTTTCGGTGCTCGTTGGTTCTGGTGTCCAGATTCTGTTGATGTCCATCACCACTGCTGGTTTTGCCCTGTTTGGTCTGCTGTCGCCTTCAAACAGAGGGTCTCTGTCCACCGTGATGTTCATCCTGTATGCCGTCTACGGATGCTTTGGTTCCTACGTTTCTGCTGCTCTGTACAAGCTGTTCCAAGGTGAGGACTGGAAGTTGAACATGATCTTGACCCCTACCATGATTCCCGGTAGTTTGTTTGCGCTGTTCATCTTCTTCAACTTCTTCCTGATTGCTGTCAAGTCGTCTGGCGCTGTTCCAATTGGAACCATGTTTGCCATCGTTTTGATTTGGTTTGTTATTTCTTTGCCATTGTCAGCCGCTGGTTCCCTGTTGGGCTACAAGAGGCCTTCCGTGACTCTGCCTGTGAAGGTCAACCAAATCCCAAGACAAATTCCAACACAACCATGGTACCTCAAGACACCCGTCCTGGCTCTGATCGCTGGTATCTTCCCATTCGGCTCCATCGCCATTGAGATGTACTTTATCTACAACTCTCTTTGGTTCAACAGAATCTACTACATGTTTGGATTCCTGTTCTTCTGTTTCTCGTTAATGCTGGTCACAACCCTGTTGGTGTCCACGCTGCTAATCTATTACACTCTGTGCAACGAGAACTACAAATGGCAGTGGAAGTCCTTCTTCATTGGTGGTGGTATTGCCGCGTACATTTTCGTGCATGCCTTATTCCTGTCCAAGTTCAAGCTGGGTGGGTTGACCTCGGTTGTTTTGTACCTTGGATACTCTTTTGTAATCTCCGTCGGTGTGGGTTTGATGTGCGGTGCGGTTGGTTTCCTTGGTGTGTTTTTCTTTGTCCTCAATATCTATGGTCAAATCAAGATTGACTGATTGAAAACAACTCACACAGACAAAAAAAACGCCAATCGAATCAATATTCCGAATAATCACCCCGGTGGCTTTATAAATCATCCAAGCATGTATTATCCTCAACTTTTTTTCATGTAGAAAAGTGCCTACTGCCATCCGCTCACGTGTAGGTAGTCCCCTCCTACCAGGGCCTCGTGATCTTTAACAAGACACTTTTCTCAGCCGCAAACCCTGTTCTTTCACGCCAATTACCGTTGAATAGACATTTCCAAGCATCAGGCTCAGTTGTGCCGGTCCATGCATTATCATGAGCCCGTCCAGCAACGAAATCCCCCCATTTTCAACGGCCTTAGTACAGGCCTCTTCGAGGCCCCAAGATGAGTCTCAAGGACACTTCAATATAGCTAAACCCGCGGCGGTTTCGGCTACTCCAGCTGTGCCAGTGGTGTCTAACATTGCAAATACACCCGCTTTAGTTGTCGCTGAGCTGGCACCATCAGGCAATTTTCACCCTATTGTTGGGCCCACCGTTGCTCCACTCCAGTCTACGGCTTTGCCAGAGTCTGGAATTTCAACATCCAAGACCTTTGTCGGTTCGCCAGATCAACAGCGGAGCTCGACATTGCCTTTAGGATTGAATTCCCAAGTTTTGCACCAAGACGGGAAAAGAAGCTTGGTTCTTGACGAGCCTGCTGATTCTCCCAAAGAGTCCCCTGCAAAAATACAAAAGATCGAACAAACCCAGCCAGTGGATCCGTCTCCTAGAACCTCGCGGTTTTACAGATTAGTGGGATCAGGTTCAGACCCTAAAAATGGGGATTCGGGTCCTTCACATCACTATCATCCGTTCCTGTACCCACAGCATAAGTCAAGAGCTAGTCCGTTTCTGGACATTGGCGGGCTTCCAAAACGGTACTTTAACGATACTTCAGCCCCTTTGTACACCTCGATACCCACCCTCAAACCTACGAAAGAGGAGTTCGCTGATCCAGCCAAATTTATAGACTCGATAGCTGAACTTGGTGAGAAGTACGGTGCCGTGAAAATCATTCCTCCGGATGGCATTTTACAGGATAAGCCAAGTCTGAACACGGAGCTGTTTTGGTTCAAGACCAAAAGACAGCTACTGGCATCCTTGAAAACGGAACTTAATTCGCGGTCTCAGTTCTACAAGAGCATTATTTCGTTCTACAGAAAGACTGATGAGACGTTCTCGCTAAAGCTGCCCAGCATTGACAAACGTACTCTTGATCTCCATCGTCTACATAATTCGGTCAGATTGAAAGGTGGATACGATGTGGTGTGTCAGAAGAAACTGTGGGCTCAAATAGGTAGAGAATTGGGCTATTGTGGAAAGATCACAAGCTCTTTGTCGTCCTCGTTGAAGTCAGCGTACCTTCGGATGGTCTATCAATTTGATCTTTTCGAGGCTGGGCTGATTTCAGAACCCATTCCGGAGAATGATTTGACTATCCAGAAAGACTCTTGGAAGAGTCCCAATGCAGCAGGTCTCCGTAAAGTCCCGGTATTGCAGCATTTGATGGGATCGCCTATTGAAAGCCCTTTGGACTGGAAATCTCTTAGTTCCGAAGACCTTGAAGCGTACAAAAAGAGACTTGTGGAACACCAGTCTTATCATGTTAATGGATCCTCCTCACAACTGAGAAGGCCTCGGGATTTACTGATCAATAAAGGCTTCAGGATAAACTTTGACACTCTCACCGATGTGAGAGTAGGCGTTACATCACCAACTGAAGCCACTCTCGGTAGTTATGACTTCTATCACTGGGCAGGTTCACTTGTTGTGGAAGATTCGTCAGATTCTGAGCTGCAGCATTCTCCGTTGTATAATCTGAAGCAGTTCGTGGACCGAAACAGCAAGTTTGAGGAGAACACCATCTTGCAGAACGGTGACTCCTATCCAACTTCTCGCGAGCTTGAAAGTCTTTTTTGGAAAGTGCTGGGTGATGACGAAACATCCATTGAAGTAGAGTCTGCTGCTGGAATTCCCTCGATAGTTCACGATACCACCTTCCAGTCCGTGAACAAATTTGACGCAGAGATCGCTTCTCGAAGGTCTGATACGCTCAATCCCTGGAATCTGAACAACTTGGGCATAAATCCTTCTTTTTTGCTGAGCTATCTCTCTGAAGAGAGTTTAGACTCGTTAGTTAGACCGTCCATCGACATAGGAATGCTTTTCAGTTGTGTGTCATGGAAATTGGAAGACCACTTCTTATGTTTGGCCGATTACTTACACATTGGTGAGCGAAAAGTTTGGTACTTTGTTCCTCCTCACCACCAGCAGAAGTTCGAGGAGGTGTTGCAAATGGTCGTCTCTGAACGTGAGCAGAAGTTGCAAAAAGAAAGAGAGCAAATTGATGAATTCAAACAAAATGTTGAGGGCAGTGACAACGTTCACATCAGTCTGGATGATACTTTGACGGAGTTGGAGACAAACCTACCCCATAGATACGGACTGAAAGATGTGGTCTTAGATGATTTATTTCCGCGTGTTGAGCCCTTGGTCAAATCGGACGATGTCTTCATATCTCCTGAACTGTTGTTAGCTCATGGGATTGACGTCTATTCATCTTATCAGCAGCCTGGTGAGCTGATCATTAAATTTCCAAAAGCTGTTTCCTCTTCCGTCTCGCTCGGACTAACTGTTTCTGAGTCTGTGAACTTTGCTCCTTCATCCTGGATCCCATACGCATACGAAGCAGAAAACTGGCTTGCAAAGCAGCATCTTCCTCCCAGATTTTCTACATTCAGACTTGCAAAAATCATTTCAGAGGAATGCAAGGACATTGGGGTTTTGAAAAGGATGTCAGAGGTCGTTTCGCCAGTAATTGATAAAGAAATTGAGCTGAGAAAAGCCCTTCGCGAAATCCCTGACGTTGAAACAGTTGTGGCCGTGTTGCGTAATGAAGAGGAAAAAGAGCTGATCACCGATATTGATGTGAGCTTTGGATATCCTTCAAAGGTGGTTATATTTCATGGCGAAAACAGTGTTAGCGTTTCTTCAAAGGTATTTTTGGAGAAGTACCAGCAGATGAAGGAGGATGATTCCAAAAAGATCTCCAGAATAGAGCTTCACACTTTTGAATCTGACAACTCTCTGCTGGAGCTCAAAAGAACGCTTCAGCAGTCTGCAACAGCTGGTGAAAACTGGTTAGAGAGACTGAGAGAAATGTATGAAGCAAGTGAGAGAGTACAGCTCAAGACATTGAAGCAGCTTTATGTCGATGGAAAGCACCTTCTGCCGTTCCAGTATGATGATCCTGCCGTTGGCAAGGAGATAGCTGAGGGCTTTGAGTCTGTGAAGAGGGTTTTGCATGAATGCGAGCAGTGGGTGGAACAGGCTCAAAAATTTATCTCGATCAAGCACCAATCTCGGACGAGGGGAAGGAGGGGTCATACCAGCGATGTCCAGGACAAAATGGAGGTGGATCTTGTGCCAGAGTCATTGAATGTCTCTGCTCTACAAGAGCTTCTTGAGTTCATACCAAAGATCCCTGTGACATGTCCAGAAATTGACCAGCTTCTGGAATTGGGAAACGAAGTTGAGCAGTTTGAAATCAGTGCCAGGAGCATGCTGGATTCCCCGACTGCTTCTTCGAAACAGGAGTTAGAAAACATGATAACCTTGGGCCAATCTCTTGCTTTGCCTTTGGAATCGTTGTCATTTCTGCGCAGACTCATGAGACGGATCGTGTGGTCAGAAAACATGGACAATTTGGAAAATAACATTCCCGACCCTGCACATCTTCAGGCATTGATAGTGGAGGGAATGGAGGTTGCTTCGGAGTCCGATCGTGAAAGAATTCAAAAATGTCAGGAACTCCATGATAAAGTCGTTCACGCAAACAACGTGATATACTCCTGGCTGAGTATTCCAATGTTAGAGATTGCGCCTCTTATGGATTTGGAGAGAGAATATAGAGACTTCCCATATAGTCCCGAATTAAAGTTCAGGCTTACAGATGTTATCTCGATTTATAACAGCGTGAAGTCAAAGAGCGAAGATTACGCTCGCAGGACCGAGCTGGTGAACGAGGCCAAAAGAGAACTGTTGGATATTGTATCCACTGCGAATGCAACGACATCAGTACCATCTTACTCCTTTCTTCAGGTGAATGCTGATAAGATGAAGGAAATAGCCGAGATGTCGCCTTCTCCATTCGAAGTTCATGAGGTCATGCAACAGGCGGCCACTTTCGCCAATGTGGTAACCAACTTCAATGTTATCCCGAGTTTCAAGTTTTTGGAGGACCTGGCGTCGAAGTTCATGAGCACATCTTTATCGTCGGTGGGTAACCTGAAGAGGGAACTTGAATCAGCTGCTATCCAGAGCAACAAGATACTGCAGGCTGAGGCTGACATTTTCATACCGCACTCCTCGACGAATAACAAATACTTTTGTTTCTGCAGAGAGATGGAAAGTGGCTATATGATAGAGTGTGAGGTTTGTCGGGAGTGGTACCATTTCAAGTGTGTTGGGATATCCAAGCCTAGAGGTAAGAAAGAACTGGTCTTTGTTTGTCCAATCTGTGACTCCAAGCGCTTGAAGAGAAGTACCTCGAACCACTCTCGTGACCTCAACAAGCGACCAAAACTAGATCCGCTTGCTGCCTTGATCAAAACCGGATTCCAGACGATGACCTACTTTCCTCCTGAGTTCAACTTGGTCCTTGATATGGTTGTAAAGGCAACAGCGTTCAAAAACGAAGTGCAGGCTGCGTTCCCTGATATGTCATTCGAGAAGCGCATTATCAAGAAAGAGATGCTAGACCTGAACAAAATCAGGTTCTACATTAGAAAGTTGGAGGGTCTCGGGATATTGCTGGAAGCTGAGCACAGTGTTTTGAAAGCAGCTCTACAAATAGCGACCGAAAGTGCCCAGAAAGTATCCGAAGGTGTTCCTTCGACATCTGAGGATGGTGTGGCTACTTTGGTTCTACCAGTCGAAGTGGAGACTTTGCAGGGATCAGAGGAACTACCTCTGCCGGAACTGGCGCCTGTCACAACGAAGGTCTGTAACAAACCTGAAGCTTCTGAGAATTTTCAGGTGACAATGGAAGCGTTTCAGAAATCCACAAATACTCCATTCGAGGACTCTTCCCTGGCTGCTGGTGAGACTGAAAAAGTCAACCCAGTGTCTGAGGTGTTGAGTAATGGTGCAGCTGACACTCTATCTAAAGTCTCTGCAACAGAGAAAGAGGAATCCAAAGATGTGGGAGATGTTGGAGTTGCTACTGCTGAGCCTGAAATCCGCGAGGAAGTCCCAGAGGAAGTCGGAGCACAACCCTTTGAGCCAAAAATCCTTGCGAGTACGCAAGATGATGTTTCTGCACCTTCACCGGTCAATATCGTCGCTCCGCTGGTAGAGGAGTCGTCCAATGTCGAAGGAATTCAAGTGGAGGCGTCCCCTGTTGAGCTTGCACCTCTTCCTCCTCACCCAAAATTAGACAATTCCAATCCCGAGGTTATTCCTGTTATTCCTGTTATTCCTCCTGTCTCTGCGGAACCGCCCATACCCTCTTCCCATGAATTCGAGTCCAATGACACACCAAAAGACGCCGTTCCGCAGCCTTCAGCCATGCAGAGTTCTCCCACCGACAGCCACACCGAGGGAAAAGGCGAAATAAAAAAAGAATAACATTCACATAGTTACTGATGTCATTAACGACCCAAAAAAATCGATGATAAACCCATATTTTTCTGATTTTTCACCCGTAGAAAATTGTAGGCCCGGCCTGCCATTGTGGCCCCATTTGTGACCCGGCCAGATATTGCTAGTGAGGCTCTCGGTCTACAAAAGATGAGATTGAAGGCGATTCTCAGCAATCATCATCGCGCTTTTTGGGCACGCAATTCGCAATAGTTGAATATGATAAGACTATATAGAGCCTCTATTCAAATCGGCAATTGTCGTGGGCTTTATATGGCCCAGTCCGTGGTTGGTGCGAAAAGACTGAGATTTTTCGCGTTCTCTACACTGGCAAAGCAGCTCAAAGACGAACCATCCCATCACAACGATTCTCATAGCCATTCGCACGCACAAAAGGCTCTGGATTCTCAGCCGAATGCGCCTATTGTTTCCTCCTCGTTTGAGAAGGTGAAGGCATTTTTCAATCCGCATACCCCGTTGAAAGCCATGGGTGGTCAATCTCAAGGTCACAGCCATACCCATGGACACTCGCATTCGCATGCCATGGACCCAGAATCCCGCAAATTGTACGAGACAAAAGATTTTTGGTCAAATCCAGGCGTCAAGATAACGTGGGTGGGATTTGGGGTTAATGTGGCCATGGCAGGCTCCAAATTTCTGGGAGGCATCTACTTCCATTCTCAGGCATTGATCGCGGACTCGGTGCATGCGCTTGGAGACCTGGTTTCGGATGTTTTGACTCTGTCAACTGTGAACTTTAGTGGAAAGGGACCTAGTGAGCTCTTTCCCCTAGGTTTTGGTAAAATTGAAACCATGGGAGCGCTTTTCGTATCTTCCATCTTGCTGTATGCCGGGATACAGATCGGTTGGGGTTCGTTAATAGAAGCAATGACGCCGTTGGTGCCACAAAATGTGATGGAATGGGTTCATTCGCTGCCTATCCACTCTCATTCTCACTCTCATGGTCATGAGGGCGAAGGTCAGGTCGCCAATATCAATGCGGCTTGGTTAGCACTGGGATCCATTTTCATCAAGGAGTGGCTATTTAAGACTACCAAGAAAATCGGCGAGAAAATGAACTCCAACGTTCTCATTGCGAATGCATGGCATCATCGAGTTGATTCTATGACGAGCATCGTGGCACTAGTTACTATATCTGGAGGCTACTTCTTGAACGTTCAATGGCTTGACCCGGTGGGTGGGCTGATTGTTTCGATGTTGATCATCAAAGTGGGCATTTCTGGTGTATTCCAGTCGTTTAAAGAGCTCGTTGACAAGGCTATGTCAACATCTGATCCCACGTATCTGGAAATCAAGAACCGCGCAGAAACGCACCTGATGAAGAAAGACCCGAAGCTGGTTGTTAAGAAGCTGGTCGTTCTTCCTTCTGGAACAAACATGAACATCAGTCTCACAGTGGCCTTGAACCCCGAATTTCAAGGTCTTGAGAACGAGATCACATTGGCGGATATCTCAAACGTCAGCAAAGACCTGAAAACCAATCTCCATCAGGATTACGTGAACCTGAAGGCTGCGTCTATTGAGTTTGACTCCAGTGCGAAATAGACCTAAACCTATATATCTTTAACTCTCGGAAAGAATTTCCTCTTCTTCTCTGGATATTTCTGTCCCCTCAAGACTGGTAACTATTGAGTCTACCAATTTCCTCAAGTGGTGTGCTTCATTAGCTTTTCCCGTAATACTCACCGTATTCACTCCCTTGCCCATGTGAGGGTAACTTCCCAGCTTTATCTTCGATCCCTGTTCTTGTGCTTGGTGTTGTAGAGCTGACAAGGTAGGTGCGAGTTTGCTCTCAGACATTTTCGTTTTGACAAAAAATGTGAGATTTTTCAGATTCTGAGACATCCTCGGTTCTATCTGCGGTGCTATGCCCTTATCCAGCAACTCTTTGAAAAGCTTAGGTATCCCCGGCAAAATAAAAAATTTCTCATCAATAGTAACAATCGGAACCCATTTCCCGTCAATATAGTAACTTTTCACCCTGTCTTTGTGCGTGGGAAGACGGAACATCTTGAGATGGGCCTCTCTTTGATGCTCATCCAAGGAATCCATGAACTTATCAGACCTGATTTGGCCAAACTTCTCCAAAGCTAAGTGGTCTAGTTCCAAAGGAAGCGAAAATGCAGCTGCAATCGATTCGTAGGTGATGTCATCATGTGTTGGCCCAATTCCACCCGAGGAAACAATGAAATCATACTTTGAACTGAATTCTAGCACTGTCTCCACAATGTCCTGTGAGTCGTCTCCCACCACGCTCACTTTTTTCAGGTCAATACCTCTGTCGTAGCAAAATTTGGCGAAATATCGCGAATTGGTGTCCGTAATTTTGGAGTTGAGAACCTCATCTCCTATTATCTGCGATTCTGGTGTCAGTCACCGTATCTGAACGGACCCTCAGCCCTATCTGCAGAACCATAATACTCACAATGCACCCCGCAGTCTGCACTCCACGTATTGAAGTGGAAGGAAATCTGGAGATACATGTACTCCATCTTCCAATCAAAGAGCTTTGTACTGTTCTTCCAAACATTTCAGTTCCGGTAAATTAATTTCTTTGCCAAAACATTCTAAAGCCTAGTATGTGCTAGAAGGACAGAGAAGATAGTGGAGAAGTCTATTTAACCGGGCTCATCTGGCAGCAGCCGTTTTTTGACAATTTTTTATTGAGAAATTTCGACTCGCCTAACATTTTATTGGAGTAAATTTTAACTTTCAACAACCAAACATGTCTACATTCAACGCTGAAGAAGCCGATAACTTGGAAGATATTGAAAAGCAGTTTGCCGTCAAGGCAGTGATGCAAGCCGACACATACTGGAACTTGCTCAGCAAGATTCCCGGTACCAAGCTCAAGTTCACACCAAGAGACAACGATATTTTTGAAACTTTGCTTGCGGACTTTCCTGAATTCGAGAGCCCAGATTTCGTCAAGAAGATTAACGAGGACGAGATGAAATCCAAGGACGGAAAGGAGAGGTGGAGAAACTTCTGCAAGAAGTTCGAGGACATTGAAGACTACAACTTTGGAACCTTGTTGAGAGTCAGCAGTGACGACGAATACACTCAGGAGGGCACGATCTTTGTCCTGAGATTGCAATTCTATGCAGTTGAGATTTGCAGAAACAGGTACGGTTTGAACGAGTGGGTTTCCGGCAAGAAATAAGCTACTTAGTACATATAAGCCTGGGGCTTCGAGGCTTCGAGGCTTGCTTCTACATTTTCAAACTTGTTTAACATCATGAACTTAAAACCGCTTACCTAGTATTTATTAAAGGATTTTAAACTTAGTTCATAGACTTGACCAATTGGTTGATGAACTCCTCTCTGTTACCAGTAGAACCACCTTGGATAAAGTGCTGGAACTTTCTTGGAACACCCCAGCCACCAGATGGGTTCGACAGCTTGAATGGCCACAAGAAGTTGTTGGCCTGCTTGAAGTTTGGACCAACAGTGTAGATCTCGTGGATCAAATCCTCGACGGAGGCAATACCGTACTTGCCGAGGGCGGCCTCGATGATGGAGTTGTCAGACAGAGCAATTCTCTGCTTGTTAACCTTACCGTAACCTCTCTTGTAGATCAACTTTCTGATAGTGGCCACAGATGGGTAACCGTAGGCAACGTATGGCTCAACCAGCTTCAACAGCTCGGTGGTGGCCTTGGTCACCTTGACGAAGACACCGGCGTTGATCTGCAGCAATCTCAACAATTGGAGAACCTTTCTTGGCTTTGGAGCAATCTTGTTGATACCCTTGATTCTGACGACAAAGACCAACTTTGGTTGGGCTTCGACGTAGTAAGAACCAGCAGCCTTGGCGTCACGCTTAGCTTGGATCAAAGCACGCTCAGCATCGTAGTACTCTTGGGTGTAAGCAGCGTTTCTCTCAAAGATAGCATCTCTCTTAGCCTTGTTGGACTGGTTTGATATCATGTTAGTAACTAGGTCTCGTTTCAAGGTATCCTGTGGTTTGGCATATCACTTGTGAATTCTTTAATTATCAGCCCCGAAAGATGGTTAACAAACTGACAACAGAGCCGAAGCTAGTCGATCTCAAAATAGGTCTTCATCACTTAAATGAAATTTGGGTTGTGAAAATGCTCAAACCATCACAGAATAAAGAATCAGTACTTACGACCTTGCGGACCTTCTTCTCGGCAGCGAGCTTGGCAGTCTTTTCAGCGATAGCCTTCTCCTTCTTGATAAGGGATTCTGGTTTTTGAACTTGTTCACTGAGAGAACTGGTGTTAGTACGAGGTTGGTTGGATTGCTACCTTCGGTAGTCAAATCAATTAATGCGTCAGTCTCTCTGAAAAACATTTTCAGAGGTAGACTGCCTGGAACTGATATAATCATTCCAAGACTCAAGTCGCAGAGGAAAACAGATTTTGATCGTTTTGATTCTTTGTATGTTCTTTCGAGGTAAAATCTAACTCTCCCTTGGAATGTATTTGACCATAGCCTGAAAGGCATGTGGCAAGACCTTAATCAAGTGATCGACGAGTGTCGGTCTGATGAATAAGAATAGACCTGATATATCCCTTGAAGTAAAGGATTATATACTATTCGGCCATGATTCATTTAGAGAAAAGTACGAGGAATAACGTGTAGTTAGACGCCAGTAGTGATCTCAAAACCTTTGAACATGTTCAAAGACAAAAGATAGACTCAGCAAAGAGCTCTTTTGTTCGCGGATTGTAATAAACAGGAAAGATATAACAAAGGGTGCCTTCTGCCATCAAGAGAACGCATTCATCGATGGGTTTGCAACTGATACATACGCAGCCATTGTGATATGTGTATATGGTTTCTAGTTGTTGAAAAAGCTAAGAGCTATCACCAACTAAATTTTTCAGATAGTTCTGTGGTCCGGAGATGATATTGGTCACGTGTCCATATATAGGGTTGTAAACCCTGAAGTGGTGATAAATTGGTTGGTACACTTTGTTTAGGCGTATCTGAGTATTTAGTGTAACAAAAGTGAGATACAAGTTAGCACGAAGCGCACATATTGAAACCCAAAAAGCCTCTTCTGTTACCGAAGCCATTTATACTATTGGCTCATACTTTTTAGTGCTTCTTTTGTCCGTAACCAGCCGTTTACGTGCCTCTTGAAAGACGTTTCTGAGCTATTCGCTTAAAGTTTAGTGCATTCCCCAATTATCCGCCGCAAATAATTTCAGACGCCGCGCCCTCACACAATCAAGGGCAATCTCTGTTTGACGTGATGAACCCGTGCGGCCGCAAGGCACTGGAACCACCACACTTGCGCTTTCCTATGGCGCTGTTGTGAAGGCTACCCAGGTCCGTAAACACCACAGTTTCCATGCGGCCCAGGTTTTTAGTCCCCACCACAGCGGATATGCCAAACAGCAACCCGAGTCGGCTTTTTGACACACCTTCGGCGCCAATCAGGAAGCGATAAAGTCACGTGAACTGAGCTCATCGATATCCGAGTCACGTTTCATTTCGCCACCATAGTTTTTTATTGATGTTTAAATCTCACGCTCTCCACGCCTATACACACTAGATAAACCCTTCAGCCTCAGTCAGTCAAAACCCTGTTATCAAGTCCGTGTCTGTGTGTGGCTACAAAGTCGACGTCAGTACCATTTCCCCGGGAAAAAAAACAACGATCTCAACTGTGGCGTTTGGTATTCATTGCCTAGAGTCTATACATAAGACTACGCTTGTCATCATTTCATCAACAAGCACACAAGCGAGAACAAGCAACGGCTCTTCTGTCAAAATTCATTCCCCGTTTCTTTTAAAGCCATGTCGCACCCGGAATCTGACTTCCAGGACTTGATGGGCTCTCATTCTTCAGCACAGCACAACAACCATTCGGACGATACACCGGCAGCCTTGTTAGAGCAACTGGTGTATATCGATAACTTGATGCCGGATGCTGACCCTTCCACGTTTGACGCGCAACTTTCCGCAGAGCTAGCAGCGTTTGCCGACGAGTCGTTCATATTCCCTGACGAGGATAAGCCCAGCTTACCCGAGGATACCTTTGAGGAAAGTTCTTCTGCCCACTCAGGATTGAACGGAAACAATCACAGCCATAGCAACAGTAACAACAGTGCTTCCAGCTACCAGAGAGTGGCGGACTCTTTCAGAATGCCACCTCCATCGAACCCACCTTCCGCTTTATACGCACATCAAACTGTTCCGACCACGATAACGGAGCTTCTGAGGGCTAGCGAGCCCAAAGTCAAACAAGAGAACAGCTCAGACGCCCTGAGCAGGGTGCCCAAGGTGCCAGTTCCTCCTGGTGCGCAGAGCACGCTATCAGCCGCAGGTCTTTCGCAGAACCAGATAGATGCTTTGGCTGCGCTGATTGCTCAGCAGCAACAGCCCTCGCCAAACCCACAGTCACAGCCGCATTCGCGTTCGCACTCGCGTTCTCAACCTTCTCTTCAGTCTCCCTCAACCCACAATCAGAGTCTGGACGTTGCTACTTTGCTTAATCCCCCAAGAAGAGAGTCCATACCTGATAAGGCAACACCTGATGAGAAGGACGGCAGCGCTGAGCCATTCGACTCGAACAATGCAGTGGATCTGGATAAAAGAAAACGGAACACTGCTGCCAGTGCAAGGTTCAGAGTCAAGAAGAAGATGAAGGAACAGGAGATGGAGAGAAACCTCAAGGAACTTAACGACCGCAACACCAGACTGGAGATGAAGATCCAGCAGCTTGAGATGGAGAACAGACTACTGAGGAACTTGGTTGTGGAGAAGGGTGCCCAAAGAGACACTGAGGAGTTGGAGAGGCTGAGAAAGAGGGCGAAATTCAGCGTTGACGAGGAGACTATTCATTGAGTGAAGCTGAAAATGAAGCTGAAAATGAAGCTGAAAATTAGGGAACAGTCACGTTGGGCTTCTGTTCTGAATATTATGATTGTGTACTTGCTATTTTTGTCCTGGTCTTTGCCATTATTTATATCTTTGGTTTATGCTATTTGTTCCTGCGTTCGTACGATAATAATGATGGTTCAGGTTAAGCGTTCCGTCTTGAAGGCCTTATCTATCTGTACTTTTCAAGGCATAATTAGATGCTACACTAACCAAAACATAGGTTGGGGTAATTTTCTTAGGGTCGACCCAACGGGCTAAAACCCACGTCAACAAAATTCTTGTTTTCCCAAAAGCCGTGTCGAATACTTCAAATGAGCTGTTCTTTCTGAAGGTCCAGAAATCCAACAAATTACGGCCACATTTATTCAGTTGAATTTCAACTCTTGAGTCGCGTTCATCCCCATACTTAAGACGGAGTCCAAATTCCGCATAAGGCGATTGGTATTTCGACGCATCTAGTTGGTTGTGTGTGTATTAGCATAACAATCACTGAGGTTGAATTACACTTCATACCCACACATCCTTTACACCATTATTTTTGCTTTTAAAGTGAGAAAGCAACTATATCGCAATTTCCATAATGTTGTCTCTGAGGTTGAAGACTTTTAGTTCGGCTAAAGCTGCCAGCTACCATCTGCCATCCCCACTTAAAGCAGCATCCAGCCGGGCTACCCGTTTCAACTCGACCAAGTCCAACTTCCACAGAGTGGATTCGACTGGATCGATCAACCCAGCAGATGCTGCTGATGCCACGTCGACAATACTGGCAGATTCTCTGGATTTCCAGAAGCGCATCATGCCGGAGGCTACTCCCAATAAAGTGACCTGGTTGGCAGCATTGAAAGAAAGAAAGAAGCAACTGGCTGAGGGAAAGGTGTTGGACTCTTTTGCTTACAAAACCACCAAAACATCTGCCATCACGGAGAGAACAAGAGACGATTCGTTCTCGTATTTGACTTTGCCCTTCAAAGACGATAAGTGGCTTTGCGATAGTTATATCAACGCTGCTGGCAATCTGAGAGTGGGCCAGATGTTTCAGGACTTGGATGCTTTGGCCGGCAGAATTGCGTACAGGCACTGTGCACCTGCTGAGCCTGTTAATGTAACTGCTTCAGTGGACAGAATCTACATGCACAAGCGAGTGGACGAGATCGAGAAGTACAACTTTGTTCTGGCTGGGTTCGTGACTTGGACTGGTCGGTCGTCTATGGAGATCCAGGTCAAGGGCTACGCCTACGACTCTGAGATTCCATCAGAGATCACGCCCACGTCGTTGCCTCACGACAAATGCTTTCTCACAGCCAACTTCACCTTCGTGGCCAGAAACCCAGAGACCCACAAATCGTTCCCTATCAACCATCTGCTGCCTACAACCGAAGCTGAGTGGATTGACTTCAAGAGGGCCGAGTCTCACAACGTGTCCAAGAAGTTAAGAGCTAAGCTGGAGACTCTGGACAAGGTTCCCCCAACTAATGAGGAGTCAAACATTATGCACTCCATGTATCTGGCGTCCAAGAAGGTGTCCGCCATCGAGGATAAACCAGAGAATTTGGTGTTTATGAAAGACAGTGTCATCAACTCAACCTTGATGATGCAGCCGCAATACAGAAACAGACACTCCTACATGATCTTTGGAGGGTATCTTTTGCGTCAAACCTTTGAGTTGGCATATTGTGCTGTTGGTTCTTTTGCCAGAGCTCCTCCTAGATTCGTCTCTTTGGACACCACCACTTTCAAGGCTCCAGTTCCGGTTGGATCTGTTCTCTACATGACTGCCAGTGTGTCCTACACCGAACACGTTCACGAGGCCAACGAATCCGCAGACTCGATCTCGAATTTGAACAGGCATCTGGAGGACTTTGACATGCCCGTTTCAGCTAACAAGCCTTCTGCTGACGAGCACGAGTTCATGTCCATGCCGGGCACCCTGGTGCAAGCCAAGGTGGACACCACCATCAGGTCTTTGGATAACTCTGAGCACAAAGAAAGTGGTACTTTTGTGTATTCTTTCTTCGTTCCCAGAGATGAAAACGGTACTTATGACCAGCCTGGTTACTGCTCTGTTATCCCACAGACTTACACAGAGATGATGGACTATGTTGAGGGTAGAAGAAGAGCCATTGACACAGCTAACTATGTCCAGCATTTGAAGGGGTCTAGTTCGTGATTGGCCATCATCAGCTATACAATATTCAATATAGAGATAGGCGTGCAGAGAGAAAGTTGCCACTATGCATTGCTGAAATATATATTCATACTCCAATTCAAATTGGTGAATCCACTAACAATGCTCATATCAGTTGATAAATAAATAGAGTATCCATATTAAAAAGAATATAATCAAACAAAGGCGCTTTCAAATTAAAAATTAAAAGTCAGAATTAAAAAAAACATCAAAATCAAAGCGCAACTCCAATGTCTATCAGGCGATAACAAGAGGTTATTAGTGGACATACAGGTTCATCAAATCGTTCAAGAGGGAATACAGCAGGATCAAGCATCAAGCTTCAATCGCTGGCACTGTCTTCGCAGATCTCGCCTTTCACAGACTTCAGATCTTGGTCTGGCAAAGGATCATTATTGGTCTTTTTGCCACGACCAGTGAAGTCAACGAGTTTGGCGGACACCTTTCTCGTTATGGAGGGAACGAATGACTTGGCCTGATTCCCATTGCTGGAACCGTTTGAGGTGTTGATAGGAGTCCATGTGGTCTCTCCCGATTTTGATACGTTCGGCCTGAACTCCTCCTGGACCGACTCCGAGGAGAAATCCTGGCTGGAAACGATGGAAGAGGCCTGGTGACCGTGCGTGTGGGGAACCGACAATGGAGAGTCTTCCTCACTCAATGTTTGCAGGTCTGCGTTGGAATTGAATCTTCCGTCTGTGTGTTTCATTGCTGTAATATTGCCATTGCTGTCATACAGTTGGTAGTTTCCACTGGGAGATTCAGGGTCGTCCAATAGGCCGGATGACGAGTTCCGTGCGGCGTATCCTCCCATCAGCTGAGACATCTGGGAACGGCGACGGAGTTCATCATCCGTGACTCTTACACTCAGCAACTCGTTGGTGGCAACGGTGGCCAAAGAATTTAGCGAATCGTGGGGTTTCCACGTTCCATCTCCCAGCTTTGTTCTCCATGATTTTCTCACTTGTGCGTCTCTCTCATCATCTAGAGGTTGGTGCTGTAAGGCATCTTCGTACATAGATGATCTCGTGGAGTTGACATTTGTGGTAGAGCTGTTAATGCTCGCGTTGTCACCGTAGTGTTTGCCGTCTAGTTTCAACACGTTGAGTGTCGAGAGTCGTCTTGCGGTGGTCTCTTCACTGTTCATAGTGTCGAAACTCTGGCTGCGAGGCACGTTCGATCCATTGATGAAAATTGGATCCGAGATATCAGGGCTCTTCTTCTTCTCATCGTCGCTTCCGTTTGACTTTCTGCGTCTCCAGCAACAGAACAGCAAGAACCCAAGCAGCACCAGGACAACGATTGGAATAACTACTCCAAGTGCAATCGCGAGTGTCTTCTTATTCGAGTTCTTCGAGGTGTTGCTCTTCGAGTTGTTGGTTGGAGTGGCAGTCACGGAAGAGGTGGAGCCTGTCTTTGTGGACGTGTGACTAGAAGAGGAGCTTGAGGAAGACTTCGAATGGTGCGAGGATGACGAAGATGACGACGAAGTCTTCTTCTTCTTTCCCGCAATTCCGTCTATGTTAAACTTCTTGGTCGTGGAAAGACTGCCAAGCGTGGCCTTCAAGCTGATTTCAAGCTCTTTGAACTTAGAGGGAACATTGCCAGCAAACGTGTAGTTCGTCTGGAAGAACGTCAACCAGGTGTTGTCGTCAAACTCCACCTTAATGGTGGTATCGTTGATGTTGGTGAAGTCATCCTCATCCAAGGTGTACTCGAAAAACTCACCCCTCGTGGCATTGACATCTGGAAGGCTTGAAACGGTAAAGACAGTGGTGAGAACCTCAATGGTAAACTCCAATTGAACCGAGTTAGAGTACACATCGGTCACAGTGACGTTGAAAACGTGGTTCTCGTCTGTGTCCTCTGGAACATCTCCCGAGATTTTGGTCATGGCAGACAACGAGACCCAGGATGGAGCATTGTTCAGCTGCACGGAGGAGATGTTGGAACTGCTGATTATTTCACTATCCAAGAACACATCCTCAAGAGGAACAGTATAAGAAAATGAGTCACCAGCAGTGGCATTGATGACCAATGGAGAGGTCATATTGGTGCTCAGCTGGTGGGCACCAACCACGATGTCAAACGTTCCGTATGCGCCAGTGTATCCTTCGTAGTCCGTGGCAATCAGGATAAACCCAAATGACTGACTTGGCGCGATTTCAGAGTTCACGGCGGGAGCAGTTCCACTGAACGTGAGGGTATCGCTATCGAAATAGGCCCAACTTGGCAACGACGTTCTGTTGAGAGATTTCCCGTAGTAGGTCTTGATTTTGTTGGTAGACCCCGAAATCATTTCAAAAGTTTTTGACGAAAACTTAATGTTGAAATCAGCACCCGGACTCAAGACCAGACCATCGATTCCATTCGTGTCTCCATAGGCACTCAGTTGGTCGATAAGAGTACTGGCAGAAGACAGGGAAGGACCAGGATCAGAAGAGACCACGATGGAATAGGTCTTGTTCAAGGTGCCAGAATTGTCAGTTCCAACCAGGTAGATAGGCACGTCTGTTGAAGCATCGTCAGTTTTGGGAACCCCCGAAAAAGTGAGCGAGCTGGAGTCGAAGGACAACCAACTAGGCAGTCCATCAACAGAGTAGGCAACAGTTCCGTCGTCCGTCTCATACGTCAATTTGTTGATGGAGAATTCGTACTCCTCACCGACTCTGGCAACGTTGGGAAGTTGTTCGTCCAGCGGAAAGCCAACGTACGGAGTCGCGGAAACCAACTGCAGCCATCCCAGCAGCAGTAGAGCACCAGCTCCTTTGAATACAGACATGGCAGTGAGCTCTGAGTGTCTTTTCATTGCTTCAGAGTCTCTCAAACAATCCTCTCACTATCAGATTCTGGAACTCGTAGTGTTGGAGAAGAAGAATGCTTAGAGAACAAAAAAATAGAATTCCCGTCTAACCACTTCACCTGAGTAACGAAAGGGGTGTCTGGGCGTTTAATTAACCTGGCAGCTATAGGAGCGTCAAACCCTTGAAGTCGCGGTCGATGAATGATTCAAGGGGGAATATATAGAAATGCACGGCGGTGAAACCAGACAACACCCGCCAAAACAATGTTTGGATGCCTCCTTATGGTTTCAAGAAAGCGCGTTTATGCACGGGAGCGTGTTTATGTTTTGGGCTTGGCCCTTCGGATGCACGACCCGCGCGCTTACGCGTTTTCGATTTTACGTGTAATTTGTTGGATTTTGAAGCGGCGGTTAACTTGGTGTGGAAATAAAGGTTGAGGTAGACTTGGCTGAGAGTACCAGTTGGCGCAAACTTGTGACTGATTTCTGGAAATTAAACTAGAAGGCTGTTAGACCAGATTGTTCAAAGATGCTGGAAGGGCGGCGCAGCCTGCATGGGGTTTCAGACTAGTACGAGGTGCTCGAGAAAGACTAAAAAGCGAACAACAATAGAGTAAGAGACACTGAAAACATTCACCAAGCAATTGAGTGTGTTTTGCGGATACTCCCAAGATATAAGAAATCTTATTCAATCGGTTTATGTGGAATCCTTCCCACCCAATCTGTCAACCTTTATATAAACATGCCAGATATCTGCAAGAATGCAAAAGACCGCACCTGCGAAAACCAATTCTGAAAATATGTTGTGTGCGGCTCAAACAATTATTTTTAGCGTGCAAAGCCGAATGCAGATCATTTCCAGAATTCATGGCGGTGCCGGGGACTTCCTGGGATGAGACATTTTGTTGTTTGATGTGAATACGCCTAAGCCACAGTTGTTGACGTTGTGGAGAAAACCAGTTTATGGGCTTTGAAGATTCTCTGAGTGAAATGAAAAACAGATTCGGATTCCGCTATTGAAAACTCATATATTGCATTCTCCCCGGCATTTGAACCTTAAATTGAAAACTCGTACTAAAACGTTGGTCTCAGTACACGACTCTGCTATTGTCCATCCCAGCCCATCTGAGCTCATTTGCAAAGGCTTTAAACAGCAAGACGTTGCTTTAGACCAGTTTTCTGTCCTTTTTTGTGTCCTCAATTGGAATCTGATACTAAACCAGGCAATTAGAAATTCTGGTGCCGCGATCATTAACTCAAGTCATTTCCCTACCCCAGCCTGTTCTGTCGCGACAATTGAGAAGGGTCTCACTCGCAAGGGACAAGGGATACGCGAGAATATTCATCGAACTTGCATCACACAAGCCAAAAACTTGCAAAAGTTGTCTGGAAAGTTTGTTTTTGTTCCCTGTTTGCCCGCCTGTTTTTTTGTTATTCAATTGTGTTTCTGTTGCATGGTCTAGGCTGCCGTCCAAGACTGTTCACTTGTACTGATATTGTTTTCTGTTGCGGTGCATTTTTTCTGTTGATTTTTGAGATATCCTGCCATTTTTTGAGCCTTTTTAGTCCACAATGCTCAAATTGAAGCCTCTGCCGTACACAGGCTCAAGGACCGTTGTCCCTAGGAAGAGCCAGAACCAGGCGAAAATCACTCTACGTGGGCTGACGCTGTTTGGCCTTTTACTTATCTTCATCATCACCTACAGCTTCTCGCAGGTTTCAAAGGGAGCGGACCGTTCGGAATGTCGAAGAGTTTTTATGGCCCCAGCCTATGCCAGAATACATGGGTTTGACGAGACGCACACAAGGTTCGCCTCGAAGTACTCGCTTTTCCTCTACAGAGAGCAGGGCAAGGACCGAATGCCTCCAGAGTCCGAAGATACGCAAATCGAGCTGACCGGTACTCCTGTTTTGTTTATACCAGGGAATGCAGGCAGTTTCAAGCAGGTGCGTTCGTTTGCTGCTGAAGCAGCAAACATCTTCTACGACACATACCAGACCCATAAAGATACCGAAGACCATCTGAACCCGCTGGCGACAAATCTAGACTTCTTTTCCGCGGATTTCAATGAAGACTTCACGGCCTTTCACGGAAGGACAATGCTGGATCAGGCCGAGTATCTGAACGAAGCAATCAAGTTCATCCTCACCCTATACAGGGAGTCTGATAATCCAGTGGATTCGGTGATCCTTTTGGGTCATTCCATGGGAGGAATTGTGGCCAGAGTTATGTTGAGCTTACCCAACTATAAAGAGAACTCGATCAATACGATAATCACCCTTGCTGCACCTCATGCTGCCGCTCCAGCCACTTTTGATGGCGATATCCTCAAGGTGTTTGCATCCACAGACAACTTCTGGAGGAGTGGATTTGCAACCGGTGATGCTCAGACTGATCTGGAGAAGATCGCCACAAAGAGACTTGGTGATGTCTCGATTGTCTCCATCACCGGTGGTCTCTCCGACAACATCCTCCCTGCTGACTACACTACTCTAGACGGTCTCGTTCCATCTACGCATGGGCTGGTTGTTTCTACAACTGGTATTCCTGGAGTATGGACTCCAATTGACCACCTGGCTGTGGTGTGGTGTGATCAGCTGCGCAAAGTTGTCTCCAAGATGCTCCTGGAGATAGTGGATGGAGGTTCGCCAAAAAGAACGCGTCCGCTTCCAGAAAGAATGTCTATTTTCAAGAGACACCTGTTATCTGGGTTTGAGGAGATTTCTCGGGAAGAATTAGAGGCAGTGAATGTTGGCTCCGGTGGAAAGAGTTTTCAGTATCAGGTCAAAATAGATACCAAGCATCTATCGAGCTCGGTGTCCAGAGAGAAATCTCTACAAATACCTCAAAAGAAGAAGGCTGAGGGAGAAATGCCGGAACTGCATCTGTTTTACATTCCAAAAGATGAGTTGAAGTTCAAATACACGTTCTTGAGTTCTCTCAAGCCAGTGGCTATCGAACAGCTCGGGCAAACCTCGGCCCCTGCTGTGCTACTCTGTCGAACTCTCGCTCCTTCTGAAAAGAGACAGGGCCAAAAACTGTTGGATTACACCACCGGAAACACCAACAAGTATGTTGAGTTGGAGTGTGTGGACGTTCATGGCGATGTAAAGACAATCCCCAGGTCCTCTAGTGACACCCAATCAACGGTGGAATCTTCCGTTGGTGATGGTAGAACACCTTTCCAGTTGCTGGAGTATGACTCATCCATTCTAGAGCTATATGATGCGGTTGTAATTGTGGAATCACCAAAGTCGATCCCTGAAGAAAGTGAAGACTTTGTGTTGGGCGATTTGGAGCTGGAACAGTCCACAAACTTCGTCCTAGGTGATGCCAGTTTGTGGAAGCTATTCACGCGAGGTTATGATCTTTCGCTGCCAATGCACAGACCTATAGGCGTCTCGGTAAGCATACCCTCGGCGTGGAGCAGTCTTCTGGCGTACGAATTCGACGTGAGATTCGAAGAGTCTTCCACCGAGCGCTTTGCGCCTTTCATGATGCAGCACATTAGGGATGAGGTCAAATGGCACGTCAATTTGAACAGAGACGGCCGTGTTTTGTCGCTGATAAATGGAGTTTCCCCCTACTGTCCTTACTCCAAAAACAACCTCCCCACGATGCAGCTGAAACTCTTCTCCGATTCGCTTGCTTCGGACCAGGTGCTGGACATCTACATGAGCGTGGACTGGCTCAAATCTCTTAGTCTGCTGATTCTCAAATACCGATTGGCCATTGTGAGCATGCCCATCTCGATCTGTCTGATGGTGTTGTCGTTCCAGTGGAGGGTGTACATGAAGACTGCGGTTTACCCCAGCTTTGGAGCCGGGTTACAGCGACTGTGTAGGGTGGACATTATCGTGCCCATATTTGTTGTGGCCAGTCTACTTTCAAGTCTCACATCATTTGAGTTCGTTCAGCGCATCCTGCGTGCGCTCGACCCGGTAGATACCACGGACTTTGCTTTAATGAAGAGACTAGAGGACCCTAGCATTCACACAAACCCTTACTTTCTCGGAATTGATGCATCGGCTCTGTGGTTCTACGGTCCCATGTTCTTTATCATTTCAATATCATTGGTGTGCACAGTATACTTGGTCATTCTGGCAGGAGTTTCTGGGTTCCATTGTTTTAATGAAAGGTTTGGAAGCGGTGAAGCAGTGGAACGCGTTGCAAGACCTCCCGTGTTCAACTCTCGCCGTCGCACCGTTGGTATGATCATGGTTTTCATCCTTGTGCCATTTTTCGTGCCGTTCCAATTCGCCTACGTGATTTGCTGTATAGTCCAGATAACAGTGGTATTGCGAGCATCTTCTTCCAAGACAGCATCTACTACTCCAAGTCTGGCTCCAAGCGGAATGTCTCCATCACAAGTGTACCAGAACTTCAGCAACTACTCACTGTCTTTCCTCATGGTTATGATCTGGTTATTGCCCATCAACATCCCCATTCTGATTGTTTGGTTCCACAACTTTTCTCTCAAGTGGTCCACTCCATTTTCATCTTCTCACAACTTCCTGGCGATAATACCCATTGTGCTGGTTGTCCAGCACCATGTTTCGGGGTCGATGATTCCTCGGCCCAAGTCACGCGCGTTTCAAATGATCACCAGGGCCACCATTGCATACTTTTCGTTCTACGCCCTGGTATATGGGCCAAGAAACCTTTATTGGCTGCACCATCTCTTCAATTTCTTCTGCGCGTGGTGTCTGTTGTTGTGTTACGATTCGTCCTCGATATCAGGAAGACTGGTGGACTCAAAGGAGCAACCAGGTGAGAAGGACTCCATCAATGGCTCTTCGAAACTTCACTAAAATCAATGCATTCGCTACATGGTATTCGCTATTTATTCATATTTTTCATAGCAGATACTTAGTTTCTCTCCCTGTTGCTGAGGATGGCCAAAACCTTGAGGAAAAGGTTGATCACATCCAGATACAAAATGATCGTAGCAGACACCTCTTCGTCGGGATGGAATTTCTTCATTATCATCTGCGTATCTATAACGATGAAGACAGAGAATAGAAGAGCGCCTGCCCAGCTGTAGAAAACTTCCATTCCTGAGTTGTATGGCAAGAACATGCCCACGATTCCAAATCCCAAAAGCGCAAATAGGGCACCAGAAGCCCATCCCTGCCATTGCGTGAAATCGTACTTTGTTTGGAACGTGAAAATCGTTAGACCCAGAAACACAATCAGAGTTATCAACACCGCTTGCAGAACGACGTTGCTATCAAACAGAGATGTCGCCAAACCCACACCATAACTCTCACACAGAGTGAAACCTGTCAGCAACAGCAAGTTGTAAGGATATGACTTGGACTTGATGTAGGCGGCAATCATGAATCCGAAGGATCCGGCAATAGACACAAAGAACATCCACATGTTATTCAGACACCAGTCCTTGATGGCGGTATTGTTGTAGATCACGGCACCAGTCAAAAACGTCGTCAAAAGTTGCATACACAACAAGGAGTAGACCTTTCTCAAAAACACCTGTCTTATCTGAACATCGCACTCAGAAACATTGGTGGAAAACTTGAAGTCGTTGGGGATTTGAGACTCTCTTGGTTCTGGCGTGGAATAGTTCGCCATCCCGTCCAAAGCCTCGGCATCGTTGTAGGAAGGCGGTTCCACAGTAGGAGCGTAAGTATGTGCGGCGGAAGACATTTTCAAAATTATTTGAAATAGGAAAGGGCAGAATGCGATTTCGTAACGGTAGGATATATATGTAATACGTAGGGGGGCGGAGAGCTCCACAGGCGGCTCATCAGAATAACCATTTGTTGCACAGATGCACTGGTCTGATTGTTCTGAGTTCACACTACCTGCGCCGCATGCGATTTTTGAGGTTTGAGCCTTTTTTCATGAGCAGTTGGACTGAAATTTTAATGCATGGCTTGTTTGTTTTTTCACGTGTAAAACATCAGCAGTTGAGATCTCGAGTTTCCAGTCCTTAACGAAACTGTTCTCTTCGCATGATTAACGTGCAGAATGAACCCGAACAGCTCAATGGTCTTCAACTGAGGCGATTGTCTGATTATCATTTCGAGATATAACTTCTGGCCAACGGCTCCGTCGTTGAAAAATCTCGCAAAAAAAACACAGAACATCGCGCTGTTCTCTGTGACCATATCAGTGAAGTCTTTGGTCACGTAAGAGGTAAAGACTGTGTTGGGAAAGGCAAGTTGGTGAGATTGTTCTGATGCATAGATAGGATTCATCCTCACATCGATTTGGTTCTCAGTGAACCATTGCTCCATGGAATTCCTAATATTGAAATGGTAAGATTGGTCTCTATATTTGAGATACTTCAAAGAGCGTTGGTAGCTGATGATGGTGTTGTTTATTTGTAAGATATCGTTTTCCCCCAGCGAACTGTACTCAAGGTTTAGATGGAGCAATTTGTCCTTCCATGATGTCAAAAATAGAATAACCCCGCGAATCTGGCAGGTCAGACAATTCTTTGTTGGACGAATCGCTAGCGAGTTGAGATCTCTCAAATGTGGCAACAATTTTTGGAAAAAAAAGTTGTCAGCTAAATTTTTTTCGTTGAGCACAGTCATATCATGAGAGAGGTTTGTGTGGGTGAGCTCCATGATTCCAAGGTCAATGTGTTGAAGCTTTGAAAGGTCGATTGATTGCGACAGGATTTTGACTGCGATATCTTGTTGGTCCATAATAGTGCAATTTCTGAGGACCAGGCTGGTCAGGTTGGACAATTTGATCTTTTGAGAGACCAAGACATTGAAGAATGCCAACCATGTCAGTTCTTCAGGCTCGTTGAAATCCGTTCTGGCGAGCTCAAAGGTGAGTTTTTTCAGTGAGCACAGATCGGTACGCGTCAATATATTGGCAAGATCGACAATGCATTGGCTAGAATCGTTTTCAAAGACCAAAGTCAACTCCTCCAATCTCAAATAGGGTAGCGCCGAAATCACTCCGTCGTAGTCTGTCCTGGAGGTCAACGTCAAAGACTTAATGGCGGTTTTTAGCAACGGAAACATTTTCTGTGGGTTGCAATATGGAGCATTCAGCTTATGCAGTGAAGGCAGATAATTCATCATGAATAAAAGAGCATCCTCCAACGTCAAGGAAGCAAAATTCACTCCCTTGAAGATGGATAGTTTTGCAATGCTCTCCAGAGGGAAATCGGCGGCGATATCGCCCACTTTCTGGCTCCAAAACTTTCTAAAAATCACACTTTGATGGTAAGTGCTGAGACCCTTGGTTGTGATAAAATTGAGATCTCTAATGTCTTCTAGGTTTTTCCCGTTTTGCAAAGTCGTCAGCACAAAAAGGAGAAAATTGAGAGGTGTGTAGATGAGTGTTGTTTGAGCCGCATTGGAATGGATTGCTTTTGGTTCAGCGCAGGAATTTACTATCACAGTAATAGATCTCACGAGAGTTGAAGAGGCAGCCTTGTGAAGCCTTTTTGAAACTAGCGATAAGTTTTTCTGATCGTTGGTTGACAAGTTGCGAAAAATCTTCCCCAGAAGATCCACTGGAAGGGCTTCTATAGTTGGTTGCGCCAGTAGCGTGTTCCAGCTTACCTGCCTCTCAAGCGCAATGCTTGACCTTCTTCTTTGTGTATTGAAATAGGTAGCCATGTTAATTTTATCGAGCTAGTCAACTCAATGTCTCTCCTTTGAAAGGAGAATATGAGGAAGGACCTGAAGCGGATGTTTGGAGAAGTAGGTGTATTGTGAAAAAAAAATGTGCCTTTGGCTTATTTAATGCACGTATGAAGTCACATAGCTAAATTAGACGGAAAAAAGAAATTCACCCTCGGTGAAGACTTCCGACCAGCGATGGCTAGAAGAATCAAAAAAATAAAGGCAGAAGATCTCACCTTCCGGGATCGAACCGGAGACCCTAGGATTACTTTGAAGCCATTACAGTCCTATGCTCTTCCAACTGAGCTAAGGTGAGTTTCTGTTGGAGACATGGAACTCAGAGGTCGCTATACTCTGAGAATTCAGATCGGCAAGCTTAGTAGAAAATAAAGTTTGGTTCAATATTTCTGCAAAAATAAATCGTTTTCTATTTTAGAAACACATCTTATAAATTAATATTGTGCTTTTAAATTCATTGATGCTTATTTTGTTTTTTATTGCAACCAAAATACCAAAGTGCCCACTTAGACTGTATCACCTGTAGGTACCGTTGCCATGCTGGTTGCCAATGATACACCAGCACACCCAGGGTTTTGTCTAATGATTATACCGATTATCCAGTGAGATCATTTAACTATTTGAGGGGGTAAAAACTTCTCTCCTGCTCATTTCCAAGGAATTAGTTCCCTCCACAAGTGGAGTGAGATTTCTACTGGAGTTAAATGGTTGGATTTGACAATTTTGAATCTTGTTTCTCTTTGAGAGATAGTTGATCTTGATTGAACAATTGCTGTAAGATTGTGACTCTTTTTATGAAACACTAGTTACGCAATATATAACGAGTCGTGAAAATAAACTCCTTGAATTTTGGAAAACTCGAGATTTTTCAAATTTCTACACATTTCCAGACACACAAGTTAAACATTTTATGGAAGCAAAGTGAAAGTTGTCGCTTGCTGGATTCTAAAGATCCAGAAGACAAGCTTGAGACATAATTGAGATCATCCATAAGTCTTTGAAAGTACCTTATCATTATTTAAACTTAGCGTTAGTCCAACCTGAATACTCTTGTCTATTTGACAGACATCTGAAAGACGTTTCCACAGCTACTATTTTTTGGGCTCTGAACTCATAGCTGATACTAAACCTGGCTTCGCTGTTCATCTGCTATTTATTAGGAACATCGTTTTTAAAGCTTCTAGGGGACAATTTCTTTCCTCAATCTTTATTTCTGCGAGAGCAGCGAGAGCAGCGAGACCAAGAATCCTCGCTCAAGTACGACCAGTAATAAGACCATCAAAATGAGTTTCATGAAATTAAAAATACCTTCTATCACTTTCTGTAGGCTTCTTCTACTTATGCAATCCTCTTGACTGGACCACCAGGCGACTTCTTGTTCCTACTGGTCAACACCTCAACACCATCCTCAGTCACCAGCAAAGTGTGTTCGAACTGAGCACTTGGCAAACCATCTGCAGTAGTAGAGGTCCAGTTATCTGGCCACAAGTTATCTCTGTAGGTACCCATGTTCAACATAGGTTCAATGGTGAAAACGATACCTGGCTTACAAACTCCCACGGCCTTGTTTTTCGCGTAATGAGGAATATCCGGTTGACAATGGAAAAGCGTATTGATACCATGGCCGCAGTAGGATCTCACCACCGAGACATTGTTCTTCTTCGCATGTGCTTCGATAATCTCGCCGAGTTGTCTTATAGCAAGACCAGGCTTTACACTGGAGATCGCGAGCTCTAGCGACTCTCTCGTTGTTTCAACGAGATTGACAAGATCCTTGTTAGCAGTAGCCTTTTCTCCAACATAGTAAGTTTCATTCAGATCTGCATGGAACCCGTTCTTGTAGAGAGTCACATCCAGGTTAACAATATCACCGTCTTGCAAAGGGCGCTTGTCTGGAATACCATGGCAAATAACTTCATTCACCGAAGTACACACCGACTTAGGATAGTTCCAGTAATTCAAAGGCGAAGGATAAGCGTTTCTCTTTATTGTTTCGTTGTGGACAATCTCGTCTATCTCATCGGTAGTCACACCAGGCTTAACAGCCGCAGCGGCAATATCTATGACTTCTCTTGCCAAAGCACACACTACCCGAAGTGCTTTGATCTCTTTTTCGTCCAGAACCTTTATCTTGCCAGTTCTGTCGTTCTTGATCTCGGTAACGGGCTTACCATTCTGCGCGTAGTCTGGTCTTGGAATATGAGCAGGAACCTCTCTACGTGGCGTCAACGGATAGGCTGGCTTAACGTTACCAGCATAGCTGAACTTGGGAAATGGATCATAGCTATCAGCGTCTGGCTTCTTGTGTATGTTTTTGTGCTGAGCCCAGTTGCGGCGGAAACAAGACTGATCGCAGAAGACCATGTTGAGGCCTTCCTTGAGACAGGTCGGACACTTCAAGGTGGAAGTGGTTTCCTTGCCACAGTCAGGACCGCAACAGAACGTAAGTGTTGCCTCAACCATAATCTCAAGTTTATCAGAATGTTCTAATGATTATCAGGGAGCCGCCAGCCTTATTGGTGTAAATTTGATTGGTACGCCCCTTTGCAAAATTTTCGAAAGCTGGGGTCGTGATCAAACCAATAGCTCCCACAATGTTTTTGACACGACGAAATGAAATATTCACATATGCAGGTTCACATACACATATAGTATCTGTAGGATATCATGTAGGTGGTGTAACCCCAAGGCTCATAAGCCTTGGCTTTAGCTCTATAGAGGGTCTCGCCGTTATTGTTACAGACTATACCAGTTTGATCTGAACACTTATTGTGCTGCGAGCTTTTGAAGCAGGCATATTCTTCTAGGTGATTGTTGACTGTCCAGCTCTGTGGAGCTGGCTTATTGGAATATCCACAACATCCGAAACTCTTTGTGTTACTAGACCGTCCAACCTGACCGAACCTAGAAGTAGCGCTAATATAAAGTAAAACTCAGCATAATCTGTCCTTTTAAGTGTGTTTGGACAAGTTTTGTCCACTTTTTCCATATGCCCAATATAAAATTGACTGACGAGTGACATCTTGGTATACCTCTGAGTCATAGTTGAACGTATGTCCTTCAACTTTAATGGTAGGGTCCAAATTTAACTCAGTGTTCTTATATTGTTCACAACCCATGCAGAAGGCAAAAGTTTGCGGTCCGTGTCTGCCAGTTTGTCAAGTTCTTCTTCAGTTATAGCGTACTCAGCTGAGGGGTCTTTAAGGTAATTAAACTCGATGACAGGCACCGAACTAAAATCGAATCCATGGTGTAACTCCAGCCCATTCTCATCAGCATAGTCTTGCAACTGAGAGATAAACTTGAAATAATCAGTAATATATTCTAGTCTGACCATAATAATAGTGGGAAGGAGACTTCGTCTAGGCTTGCATTCTCACGATCTCGATCTCAGAGATTCAAGCTTAAGACGGGGGTAACTGCACCTCTTGAACTTCACACGTCTGCATGGTAGAACTTGGTTCTAACACTTCTCGTTAAAAGATAGGAGAATATATTCTTTCTACTCATTCTCCTTGATTTTCTTAAGATATCAATAATTTACTGCATTTTCCATTCCCAGATACCTCCAAGAATATTCATTGGTGACCGACTATGGGCCAACCCCTCCTTCAATCGGTAGTAAACAAAATAAAGTCCAAAGGTACATGGGACATGCCACATGCACCACGTGCAGCTTGATTCACACTCTGAGAGATTCAAATCTTTCAAATTGAACCTTTATCGGTCTCCTTCCAAGTCATCACCATCTGCAACACACTAAGAGCCACCATGACATTAGCACATCTTTGTTAGATTTTGTTGATCCATCTAGTGCTAAAATATGTATCAAAACTTATCGGAAAAACGGTTTCGGTTTCATCTGGCCTATCACATGTCATCTCTTGAGGGGGATCAAGTCAGGCTACTTAACAGGCAAATCGCGAAATTACACGCACAGCATATCGTGCCGATGAGATGACCGAAGCCACAGTAGGGATCGTATATCCAAGATCTGGTGCCTAGGCCGCAACACGAAGATCGGGTTCCAAAGAGATACCCGACCAAGGAATCTTTTGTGATGACACTCAAAGAGATAAAGGTCCAGACGTTGGGTGAAAGTTGCGGAGTAGAGGATGATGATGGTGGCACACCACATAGGCAGTCTAAGGGCCGTGCACACCAGATCTAAAATCAATTATCTATCTTCTCTATATACTGTACATTGCTCTGACACAGTTATCAAGGTTCAATTTGATTTCAGATTCAGTGAGAATGACCAGGCCTGAAGAAATTCTATGATAATAGACACCATGGTGCAATAGAGCAAGAATTTTATCAAGTTCTAGTCATACTGTAAGAGGATTCTGTATTGATTGAAGAGGCCAACTGACTTTGTGGGTCCAGATAAGCCGATGGACCAGCGGATGCTTCTTTTAACACGGCCTACTTGCGATGTTATTTTATTGAGGTTGCAATGTACTCCGTATTACTTTTACCCCTTACTGCTGACCCCTCTGCTCACATCGGAAACGCTTATAAGACCCACGCGGCATACTCCAAAATTTGCTTGCGATCTAAAGACTCTTCTGAAACCCATATGCCACTCACGGAAGACCCTATTGTTTGATGGAATTATGCTCACTATTGTTACCAAAGCTAGATATCGAGGAATGAATTACCACCCCCGGAAAAAAGGAAAAACGACTGAGGACGCACGAATACGCCTAAGCCGACTACAACAAGTAACTCGAGAGTGCATCTTATGCATGGAAATCCGCTCACCCAAGCATTGCAATCCGGTATTTTAGTTTCTTTTTCTTTCCCTGCTTAACGCCTTCCTTTCTTCCTGTACGAATCTTGGGCGTGCTTCCTTCGAAATCTGAGAGTGAACCATATAAGCTAAGAATCGGTTTTTAGGATATTCTCCACCAGTCTTGCTTGCGACTAATGATTGCAATGACAAGTGATCAAGGAAACCCCTCATCCCACTTTTTTCACTCTCTCCACTAGTTCCATTTTTTATCTTCACACTACTAGAGTCAGTCATTAGGAACCCTACCCGACAGCTGCGGCACGATGAAATCTGGCTCTTATGTCAGCCATGAATGAGTGCGATGCCTGGTATGTATACCCATCAAAGTGGGCATACTGGTATAATCTTGCGTACTCGCTAAGGCAACGGGATTAAAAATGCTATTAACTAAATCATAACCTACGTAATCCCTAAGCAGTTCCCCAAAAATTAATTAAACTTAACGAGGATGTTATACCCTTGCTCGGATATGACAGCATTCTAGAACACTTTCAATCAAAAAATAAACCGTTTTGACGAATCTGCATTGTCATCTTTTTCCGAGCAAGCAAGCCTACTGCTAGAGTAATGACTCGGTTTCCTTCCCTCGCATCTGCTACATGATACTACAATCCGGGGCTTGGACTCTGATATGTTTGCAAAATATTGACAGACTGGTACAGATGTTTCGGTAGAGATCATTTTGATGATTGGTGCGCAGCAAAGCAGGCTTTGTTCATGCCCAGTTCAATGGTCTCCACTCTCTGCCTTAAGAATTGATGAAGCAAAACGTCACTTTTGATAAAACAATTCCTCAACATTGATCATCTTCCCTTACCTTGCAAGTGAACATTGCTCCCTATTATTAATTTCGAGGGAAACTGCACGCGCGATCAATGTCCCATCCACTGCCGTGGTGGGCGTGATGGAAACTAGTGGTTATAATTCTATGCAATAGCGGCTCGCAAGTTTCCGCATGCATCATGCACGTATAACAGCTCTGCCGACGTCTGCTTGTCGGAAAAATCCAGGCAGGATGAACTTTACGAATATATATAATTACAAACCAACGACCGTTTCTAGTTTTATAGTCGTATACGTACATTTACAATCATTGCTATTAAGTTAACGCTTAAGAGCAATACTAAGCTCGTTCCAGTTATAAGACTGCTTCGCTACGCAGAACTTGTAATTTGACGAAGGGACATTAAAGTGCTTATTTGAGAACCGGATTGAAGAATAGATCTGAAAGTAGTTCGTCTTGGAGTCGGTCTCAGTCGTCGGTTCAAAATCCATAAAACAAGAACTACTTTCAGCTGTACTGTGAATCTGATCAACTATAATATGGACAATTTCGGCTTTGGCATCGGTGGTTCTTTGAAGATGGAACCCAGATTTCAGAACTACGGTGAAGGATATTCTTTCGATAATAAGAAGAGTGGTTTAGGCACCGACTTGCGGCTTAATTCGAAACAAACCCCTGCACACTACTCATATTCTTATGGTAATGGTTATTCACAGATGAACGGTTCAGGCATCATTAATCCAAATGACCAATTCGCAGCTTTCAACTCGAACACGAGTATTGGCGGATTTCTGGGAAATGAGACTTCAAGCAACTACGTTTACTCTTCAAACGAAAAGTACGAGCCAGCAATTCCTCAAGCCCCTACGATAACTGGAAGCTACTCGACTGTGGGATCTTCACCTTCATTGACTACCGTCAAACTTGATGATGATAGACAGAAATTTTTGAGATTTGACAACTACAAGTCAGACTCTCCAGCGAATCCACACAGAAGCTCCAGAAAGTCATCCAGTCCAAAATCTGCTGCTGTAACTCTTCCACCCAGAATTGATGCATCTGGAAAGGTAAAGCGGTCCAGAAAAGGATGTCTCACATGCCGTCACCGCAAGAAACGCTGTTGTGAGTCGAAGCCAAAGTGCACAGAATGTCAGAGGCTAGACTTACCTTGCAAATGGCCTCTTCCTGGTACCGAAAATAAAAACAGGTCTAAGAATAATGATTTCAGCAGAGATGAAATCAAGCATGAGATTTATGGAAGAATTAAGGTCTTGAGGGGTATTGTCGATTACAAGTTGGATGGTTAGAACCAGCAATAATTGGGTTCCTGCTCCAATAGCTCGATAAGAATATCAAGAATTCAACAACACCACCAGCATATCTATCGCTCTTGTCTGACCATGATCGGTTAAGTTTTTGTCACATATCATTGTCTCATTCCCGTTGTCTCTTCAGCTTGATCTGCATCGTGAGAGAGGGCAACCCTATCGTTGTTTCTCTCCACTCCATTTTTTGCATTAGTTTTTTTTTGCTTTATAGTTTATCATGGGTTTAATTGTTCTTTCGCTTATAATATGATCTAACATTGTTGACGACCGTCTAATTCCCTAAAATTCAGATGCCCCTATCTACCGCTGGGACTGGCGATTTCAGGTGCTGATGTTTCCGTGCATTTAGCCGGTTTCCAATGCAGCAGCTTTTTTGTTCTAGAAGGCTGCTTGAAACATGAACCGCTGAGTCAGACTTCCATGAATCGGCAATCTCAGGCGTATACATTCTCTACATTACTGTGTTGGCTTAGTTTGTTTAGCTTCTCAACATGAACATTTCTTTGATGATGTTTTTTAACCTCTCTGTTCATGGGAAGGCCACTTAATTCCGGGCTATAGCTAGCAAAAACCCCTTTCCCTGGCATGACAACTCGCACTGAAGCATTGCCTCGGTAACTCTGCTTCTGAGATAAGCACTTCACATGCGAGGGGACTAATAAAAGAAACTGTTCTAGCTAAAAATATCTGAAATCTAAATCTAACAGCAGGTGGAGAGGGACAAGGTATACATGCGTACAACGTTGCATTGAATACGAAATCCGAAATCTAATCAAATTGGGTCATCCAGGTCCGTTGCGAATTAGCAAATCAATTAGGCATACCCTAAATCAACAACCGCTCATTTTTTTTTCGTTCGCTGATTCATCGATTGGTGTATGATGGTTTCTTCCTTACCAACTGATCGTGTCCCGTGCCTAATGGGAAAGCGTGCACCCATCAACAAAATTTAGACCTTCAAGATTCGGCTCGCGATGATCTCCAATGGCTTACCGTGTTTACAACGTTCACACGTCTAGTTGGGAACAGACTTGTGGTATCAAAATTGAAAAAACATCAAAACTCAACTCAAATAGAACCTTGTTTTTACCAGAATTTAGTCAATTGCACAGAACTCCAAAATGTCGATGGCTCAGGGCCTTCCAAGTCTAAGGGATAGGCAAATCGGTAAGTGAGAAAGAGCTTTTGTGGTGTTCGATGTGACAAGGGAATTTCACAATTCCTTCAAGTCATTCAACGAAATACGAGAGTCCCACGAGAACAATCCGACTAACTTGCTTCATAGCCATCTTGGAGAAAATGTTGCACCTCAATATTGAGGGCAAAAATATGGATCTGACTGCGGTCAGCAACCAGGAGGAAATCATATGGAAGGTATTGATCTTGGATACCAGAAGTACGGCGATCGTTTCCTCGGTACTTCGGGTCAATGATCTTTTGACTTGTGGTATTACCATGCACACCCTAATAAATGCCAAAAGAGCTCCCTTGCCCGATGTCCCAGTGATATACTTTGTGGAGCCCAAACCGGAGAACATTCAGCGCATCATGCACGATCTGGAAATCGAGCACTACGCAGATTTCTATATCAACTTCACCTCCAGTTTGAGCAGAGAGCTGCTGGAAGACTTTGCGAAGAAAGTGGCTGCTTCAGGGAAAAGCCACAAGATAAAACAAGTGTTTGATCAATACTTGGACTTCATCGTTACGGAGCCTGACCTTTTCTCTTTGGATCTCCCAAAGATCTACAGTCAGTTTAACAATCCCACCACAACTGAGGATGAGATCACTGGAATTGCTGACAAGATCTCAAATGGGTTATTTGCCACGATTCTGGCGATGGGTTCGGTACCGGTCATCAGATGTCAACGTGGAGGACCGGCTGAACTGGTTGCGCAGAGACTAGACCAGAAGCTTAGGGACCATGTCATTAACACAAAATCTCAGTTGAACAGCACGGAGGCAACAAGTATTCAAAGATTGGTTCTAATCTTGTTGGACAGGAACATTGATTTAGCCTCCATGTTCGCGCATTCATGGATCTACCAGTGCATGGTTAGTGACGTCTTCAGACTCCACAGGAATACCATCACCATAACGGGCGGTCAAGATGATTCGACAAAAAAGTATGACATTGATCCAAGGGACTTTTTCTGGTTTAAGAATGCCCAATTGCCTTTCCCAGATGCTGTTGAAAACGTGGAGAAGGAACTGGCAAAGTACAAACAGGATGCCCAGGAACTAACCAATAAAACTGGTATATCTTCATTGCAAGATATCGACCCAAATTCAAGTGACACTTTGCATATACAACAGGCCGTGAAAGCATTACCAGAACTAACTGCAAGGAAGTCTATCATTGACATGCACATGAAAGTGTTGGCGGCCTTGCTCCAAGAACTGGAGTCGAAATCGCTTGATGCTTTCTTTGAGGTTGAACAAAATGTGAATGACCCCAAAGTGCAGAAGCAGTTCTTGGAGATTCTTAGACAGGAAACAAAAGGAGACAACAAGAAGGACAAACTGAGGACTTACATCATTCTTACATTATTGTCGGATATTCCAAAATCTTTTGCCACTGAAGCTGAGACAGTTTTGACCGAGCTGGGCTGCGATCTTTCTTCTTTGAATTACATCAAACGGGTCAAAGAAGTCATCAAGTTGTCAGCAATGTCTAACTTACAATCTGCTTCCTCGGGCTCCCTATCTGGATCTGGAAACGGCGAAAACAAATCTGCTCTTTTCAATGGCCTTTCGAACAAGTTGTATGGCTTGACTGATGGAAGGTTATCTGAAGGTGTGGGATCTTTGATCACCGGTCTCAAGAAATTGTTACCAGAGAAAAAGAAGCTGCCAATAGCAAACGTTGTGGAATCGATAATGGAACCAAACTCTGCCAACCAAGCATCTGCAAGCCTTACCGACGAGTACCTCTACTTCGATCCTAGATTGACCAGGGGTGTTCACTCAAAGCCGCCAAAAAGACAATCTTATAACGAGTCTATAGTTTTCGTTGTAGGAGGTGGGAACTACTTGGAGTACCAGAACTTACAAGAGTGGGCCAATGGAACAGGAGTGACTCCTTCGTCCAAGTTAGTTGTGTATGGCAGTACGTCGGTGCTCACTGCAGAAGACTTTCTTGACGAATGTGGTGAGTTAGGAGCGCAACCTTGAGGAACTACTGGTGGCTTGATCGGAAAGAAAAGCACTTAAACTTTTACAATTTTTTTCTAGTAACATAGAGTACACTTTTGCCAACACAGACATTCAAAGATAGCCCTTAGTGTTCTCCAGAACCGTTGTGCTTCTGCGGGCATCAAGAAACAGGAGTTGACACTCCTCGAGGTCCTGGACAGTGATCTCGGATCTACCAGCAATACCAGCCAAAATTCCAGCAGGTGCCAGAAGTTGCAAAGCATAACGCATCGACGTGGCAACACCTTGCTGAGCGATTTTGTTCAAAGCATCTGGGTGAAGGGCCAAACCCTCGATCTTTGCACGTTTGGCAATGATCGACTTGATTTCGTCAGCAGAGTAAGGCAGGGTCCTGACAATTAGCAATCTGTCAATGAGATCCGGAGGACATCCATGTGGTGAAACCAGATCGTCGGTTCCTCTCACAGTTGTCTTACCTCTGTTCGAAGCCAGAACCACCACAGGGGCTATGGAGGATTCGAGGGCCCTGTTCAGGTATGTGAAACATTCAATGTCTAGCATGTTGACCTCGTCAATAAACAAAACACCAGGAACCAGCTCAGCGACACCTTGGTCTATGTACTTTTGCACTACCTTGTTGACCTCATGTCTCAATTTCTCGGTGATTTCCGTCTTTCTTGGTTTCAGCAACTGACTCATCATGGACAGTACATCCTGGCCTCCTTGAGGTCTCGCGTTGGCAACGTCCAAGTCGTGCAACGTCACATCCTGAACAATCTCTTTCTTCTTGTGAACATCACCCTTTGGAAGTGGAACGTACTCTTCAGCTTCCAGATCAAACTCGGTGGCATAAGCATCGGACCTTCCAACTCTTTTCACAGCACCTGTGTTTGCCTCTATGTAAATGACATCGCCAATGGCAACTCTTTCCTTCTGGATACTCTCGTATATAACAGGGTCCAGACGTAGCTGTTTCGTTCCTTTGGCGCTCTTGAGTCCCACAATCACGTGGGAAATAGTCTTTCCGTAGCCCCCCAGTGGGTTCTCACTCTCTTCAGGAGTGAGCTCTGTGACCTCACCTTCGTACACCTCCTTCGTTTCTTTGATCCTCAAACCGATAGATCTTCTGAAATTTTCCATCAGGGCTTCGGTTTTCTTGACTTCCGCGGAAAACAATTCACTTCCAACAATAGGGCAGAAAGGCACTTTTGGGCCTAGTTCTTGCGAGATCGCCAAGGCCAAGGCGGTCTTTCCGGTTCCTGGACCACCAGCCAGCAGTATGGCTTTTCCACTCATCTTTTTGGACTTGATAAGATCAACGATGATACCACACGCTTCTCTGGCTGATTTCTGGCCTACAAAACCACCATCGATGGCATGGGCATTTCCAAATTCGTCCAGACCCAGCCCTTTGATGTGGGTATGTGCCGCAGTTCTACTCTCTCTAGATTGAGAATCTTTGACCTCACTTATCTGCACCATTGTCCGATTTGATTGGCTTGATTCGGCTTGAAAATGGGTAAGCGTGGCAACTTCGTGTGTCCTTTTGGTTACACTTACTATTCTCCCATCAGACACACGAAGTTCTTCTGTACCGTAATTTACACTTAACAGTGAGTACATCTCAGTCTGGAGTAGGAATCCCAATTTAGCCGCATCCGGAGATGCTCCCGTTTAGGATCAAATGTGCTTCAGACTCTTGTCTGTTCCCTGTTTAAAAAGACATATTTTGAAACCATGTCTGGGAAAGAGCTTCTGCCTAGTCCAGCAGGATCTCGAGTCGGCAAAGAGGTTGCTGAGATTGTGGCGAAAAAGCTGCAATTTCCGTTGACCCCTGATGACTCTTTGAGAAACTCTGATAGTGAAGACGAGAGTGTTAGCAAACAAGGGTTTTCCATTGATCAAAAGTCTACAGAAAATGCCATAGAGGAAGTTAAGAAGATACGGGAAACCCCTAAGAAAACAAGAAAATTACCCCTGAGATACAGACCGCCTAATGGTACCATCCTTGAGATAAGCTCGTTTACCGAATCACAGTCATTACAAGAACAAGACGATCAAATCGATGTGCAAGACCTTTCTTTTCTGCATCATGCTCTAGAGTACTCCCAGAGAATGGTGGTAGTATCTGGCGCTGGAATATCGGTGGGGTCAGGGATTCCGGATTTCAGGTCCGCTAACGGGTTGTTCCAAGGGCTTTCTTCTCAGGCTGGTCCTGGAGGAAGTGGAAAGCAACTTTTTGACTATAATGTGTTTAGATCTGAGGAATCCACACAAAAATTTCACAAAATGATCCAACGACTATTTCAGATGTCCAGAGAGGCCGAACCTTCAAAGTTCCACAGGTACATCGACAAAGTGTCGGGTTCCGATAGACTGGTGAGACTGTACACCCAGAACATTGACTGTTTGGAAATCCAGTTGCCAAACCTTGCCACTGCAACTCCTTTGATCCCCAGACCCCCGTTTCCTAAAACTATTCAGCTTCATGGAAATGTGCAGTTGATGTCGTGCTCGAAGTGCAAGTACACTACGAACATGGACCCGTCTTTCTTCGAACACAGCAAAGGGGGCATCTGCCCCGAGTGCGAAGAGTGGGAGACAATCAACCAAATAGCCGGAAAAAGAGCTCGCGGCTGCGGTGTAATGAGACCAAGAATTGTGCTGTACAACGAGTTTCATCCAGATGGAGAAACCATTGGCAAAGTCTCAGCCACGGATCTCAGGGCGAAGCCAGATTGTCTCGTGGTAGTCGGTACAACGCTGAAGATTCCTGGAGTGAGAAGATTGGTGAAGGAATTATCACGAGTAGTCCATTCTCAGAAGGGCTGTATTATTTGGATCAACACAGAAATGCCTTCAATGTCAATCGTGGATTATGTTGAACATTTCGATCTGATAGTTGTGGGAGACTGCCAGTTGATTCCCACCATAATGGAAAAGTTCAACCACGAAATCGCATCCAAGAAGAGGAAACCAAGGCAGATAAAGGAACGTCAAGGGAAAGTAATCAAGAAGTCAAAGAAAAATTTGAAACAGTCCCAATTGGTCCCAATAAAAGCTGAAGATCCAAACTAACGAGATCATTCTACAGGTGCTGTTTCCGCTTACGAATCCTAGCTCAATCATGTATATCTAATTCACATTTTGCAAACAACCTTATCTTTCTTTTAGTAATCTTGCTCGAAATCTTCCTCTTCAGCCTCATCCTTTGGTTCCTTTGGTTCCTGTGCTTCCGACCATTGGGTCACATCATCTATGTAACTAAGAATAGTGGCCACAGAATCAGAGGTATCCTTGCTACTACAGTCCAACGGCAAGAACTGCACCATTCCAAACTCGTCCACCAGATTGGCAATCGCCTTATTGAGCTTCCTGAACCTTGGATTTATGTCTATGAAGTCGTCATCATTGCTTTTGTCTGCCAGTATCAAAGGGTCTGGGTTCAAGAACCTCTTGAGTTCTCTCTTGGAAACGGAGTCTTTCACCAGATCGATCTTCGATAATATATTGATGTGCGGAAGCTCCAGCAAGATCATCGCACTCATGGCTGATAGAGCTCCGCTGAAAAATTTGGATCTGTCAATTATGAAAGGAGCTTCCAACAGGTAGGTGGCGCAAAGTGAAAAATTCAGCTGTTGTTGCAAATGCTTAACAATCACTGGTAAAACAGGCACGTGATTGTACAGTTCTATCTGACCAGGACAGTCGAAAATCAGATATTCGTCGTTATAATCTCCAACTTGTTCATCCAGCCAGTCCAAGTTGTCCAACAAGAACTCGAAGCAGTATATCAGTGCACCGTTAGGACCAAGTCCAAGTTCTTCCTGAACGTCTTGCAGAGAGATCAAGTCCCTAATGTCAATGGTGAATTCGTACTCCTTAGGATCAGCAGCGGGATCCAAGTTAACTATGTGAGCCCTTCTGCCTATCGATTGCATATGGGATATTATGGAGTTGCAAAACGTGGTCTGCCTTTTGATTAGTAAATGTCCTTGGGACCTCGGGAGGCGCAAAGAAAGAGCAAACAAAAACTCACCTTTCCCACACCGGCAGGACCAAGTGCTAGAACACCAACCCTAGACATGTTTGATATTCGATTTCAAGGGATTTATTTGAGAAAATAAACACCCTTTTCGAAAGACTACTCTCCTATGTCGTGGAAAGCTTGGAATTTTTTCTAACTCGATAAGGAAATGGTGGACACACTACCATAAAGCCTTGATCTTAAGGAATTTGAATATTAGATTGATTGATCTAGGAAACAGAGATTTATAGATTCGATATTAATGAGCCAATGGTATCAGCTTATTCAAATATGCTATGTATGCTGTTCTTTTACTCAATATGAGCTGAAAACCCCCGAGCCGCTGCGACACCAGCAATCGTCCATTTCGTTCTCGTACTGAACATAGAGCTTTCCAAACAGTTTGGAGTCCTGAGTGACTTTTTCAACCTTTCTCCTGATCGAAGTCGAGCTCTCGCTTTTGTAGAATTGAACATGAAGATATCCAGTCAGAGTTGAAGAGTCATCTTGAGCAGGCCAAAATCTGGGGGTCGTATAGGATTTGACTCCCGTTATGTTGGCAATCTCGAATAGAGTATCTCTCACCTTGGTCTCCTGGGCATCACCACCTTTCAATGACAACAACAGGTTCGAGGACGAGGACTTGATTAGAGGTATTGCGGAGATCAAGATCAAGGTAGCAATTAGTATGGAGGTAAGAGGATCCAGAACAGTAAGACCCGTGATACGAATCAAGATTGTGGAAATCACCACTCCAACGGAACCCAGGGTGTCTGCGAGAATGTGCAAGAATATGCCGTGCATATTGTCGTTATTTACCTCTTTTTCATCATGACAGGGCTCGTCGGGATGCTCCTGGTGTTCTTGATGCTGTACAGGGTCAGTTGTGTGAGTGTGAGTGTGAGTGTGAGAATGAGAATGAGAGTGGTCGTGAGGTTCTGATGCAACCTGATTGGCTTGGTGAGAATGGGAATGTGAGTGACCACCAGAGCCATGGTCATGGCCATGATTGAATGCAAATATACCAACAAGGTTCACAAGAAGACCTAGAATACTCACCAAAAGTAACTCTTCAGTCTTTTGAAGATCAACAGGTTCGAATATCCTGCGAACACTTTCGTTGTATATCCCAAAGACGATGCCAATCAGCAGGGATCCGTTTGCGAAACCCGCTAAAGTTTCAATTCTGGAGAGCCCAAATGCATACCTTCCACTGAACGAGCTCTTGGACCTGTTAGAGATCAACGAGGCCAAAAGACCAAGGAACAGAGAAAGACAGTCCAGGAACATGTGCAGAGAGTCACTCAATAAACTCAGACTCTTGGACCTGAAAGAGTAAAGCAGCTGGACAAACATGAAGGAGGTGTTGAGAAGCAAAAAATTGAATATTGATCTGGTCTCTTTGCTGTTGAAGAGTTGTGCAATCAACGCCAGTCCGTTAAACCCATCTTCGTCGATGACGCTGTTCATGGTGGATAGACTAGGCTTTCTCGTCAAGGCAGGCACACTGGAAACAGGCTTGATCAAAAATATCAAAGCAAAGTTAATTCCAACCTCAAATATTTGAATTTTTAACCTTTGGAGCGCAATTCCTATGGAGTTTGTGTTCGTGTTCAAGCTAATGTGGTAGATTAGCAGTGTGACAGTATTGATGATAACGAGATTGACCTTATAATCCTGCATGAACAACGATTTGTTGAAAAACCCACTCAAAGCATTGCTTTCCTGTGAAGAGTCACAGTCAGGGTCAGTCGCGATCTCGCTAACAGTTTCCAGCTGCGAAAGGATGATCACCACCAAGCTACCAGCGCTGACAGCTATCACCTTCAAATGCAAGTCAGTTAGACTGAATTGTAGCAACAAAAGCACGGAACAAAGCGTCAAAACGTTGCATATCATCACCGAGGGATAGCACACCGTACTAGAATTTGTATTAGAAGACCACCATATGAGAGGACCTAAAAGTAGTAAGTAGCCCAGAGTACTCTCAGCGACTGACTTTGTCTCGAACTGAAAGCATCCTGCCAGGTCCCAAATAAAAGACCCGACAAATACTAAAATCACCTGCGAATTTGCAGCGACATCATTGGCTAGTGATGTCCACTTTGACGACCGATTATCTATGGAAACCACCAGGGTCCCCACTATCAATAGAGACATGGCTCTTGAAGGTGACAATAGGTTGTTGGCGCAGAATACACATTCCAGCGACAAAAATGTAGGAATCCAACCATATGGCGATTTCCTAGTATCAGATGATGTTTCTGTCGGTATCAGACCAACATTTCGCAGCACGGCTATGAACAAGAGTGCCAGGGAAGCTAGCAGAGCGCTCTGGATTGCAGTTGTTGCATAACTGCCTGAGACCGAGGTAAAAGTCAGCGATATGAAGAAGGTCGGTAAGGACAGAAACAAGGGAGATAGCTCTATTATGTTGGCCAGTCCCATGATGGACTTCGATCAACCTAGAGCACAAACAATCTGGAAACAAACACACCCTGGCTCACTTTTCAATCTTCAACAAAACGCGATTGAAGCACGAATTTCCAAGCCACGCCATCACCTTGCCCCAGCCACACTAGGAGGCTGAGCATTGATCCCCGCACGCATGTGGCAATTTGCACGTGCAAATGGCTTTCGAAGATCCGGACACAACTTAAGTCGTATAAACGATTCAAACGATCGTCCTGGTATTCAGCCATACCACTCAGAGGGCAGTTTAGCATTTCGTTCTCCAATCTGCCTGCATCTTGTCAGAATGCACCTCATTCTACTTAGACATGGATCCAGGCTGGACAAAGGTATTGGATCTTCGTCAGATTCACATGCGAATGATGCGTCTACGTGGCTGGCTCCTTTTGATCCTCCCTTGAACATGGAAACCGCTCCCAGACAAATAGAACTGGCTGTGAAAAAGATCAAGGGTAACCTGAGATTTGAGCAGAGGAAAGACCCCAAAATTTATGTTCATTCCAGTCCTTATAACAGATGTGTGCAGACCGCTGAGTTGTTGTTGGCGTCTCTCAACCAGCCATGCACTGTCAAGCTGAGAGTTGACAAGGCGCTGTCAGAATGGCTTCACAGTGATTTTGATACCAAGTATTTGCCACCAAATGATAGTGGTGCGTCCATGATCAGCAATATCAACAACTACATCCACAATTTTGCAGATAATGACACGTTGAAAAGGGCAAAGGATCCCATGTGGGTGTACAATCGACTGGGTGAGTGTGGCGACTATGGTGAGTCATTAAAGGAGCTCAAAAGAAGGTGTTTCAAATTTCTGACCAGTTTTTTGCAATTCTATGCCAGATCCCAAAAAAGTGGCGAAGATAAAAACTCTGTGATAGTGATCATCTCCCACGGAGCCGTGATATCCACGTTATTACAAATTCTGCTGAACAGATCGGTGTTCAACGAGATTCCTCTGGCGACCCCGATATATTTCAAACAATCATCCAATAAGAGAACGGTGTTCAACATCACTGATTACGATAAGAATTTGTCATCCATATTGTCGATATCCAATGACCGCGACCTGCATTCTTTGCTGAGATCGGAGATTGATCTGGACCTGCTTGAGTTGGACAACATCTACGAGGAGTTTGAGCCTAGTTTGCCAACTACAAAAACCAGAGGAAGACCCAGAAGCAGCACATATCAGCCTCCTTCTATGAGTTTGAGTGCTCCAACGGGAGGATTCAACAATGGTGAGACGTCGGATGAGGAGCCCATCAGGCACAGTCATTCTTCCAGACAGCTCAGATCTTTGGAGATTCCGTCTGGGGATTCTAAGACCGGCGAATCAAAGTTCCTGGATGTTGGGAAACTGGCTACTTATTTTGGGGGTTACTCGGGTTCGGATTCGGAATCGGAATCGGAATCGGACTCAGAGTCGGATCCTGGAGCTGAGGATGACATGGAGCACAAAGACGTGCTCAGCATGTCGGTAAAACCCAAGGGTGCGATCTCAACACCTCGGATAGATGCAAAAGCCACGGAAAGTTCCGAAAATGAGAAATCTGGGGGACTCTCTGCGCTCTACAGAAGGTACGGCCTTGACGAAGAGGACTCCACAGATAACGACTCCAAAGAGTTTGTTTTGGGTTTCGGAAACCAAGAGCTCGCCAAACGCGAGACTGTAGCCACAAGCGTTTCTGATATACAGTCGCTGACGGTTCCGCATTCAAGACCTAGGTCAGGGTCTTACTCGCTGTCAGATTACCAATCGCAAGCCAACTTGACAAAACAACATGGAGTCATAGATGGCACCTTCTCAAATTTCTACTTCGATACGCCGAAGTCGGAAGAGAAAGGATCATCGACATCTTTCCTAGAGTACTTGAAAACGAAGAAACCAAAGAAAGCCATCACTATCATTTCAACAATGTTCAACACCAGCAAGAAGACGAGGCCTTCGGATAACTTTGTGGAGACGTCATCGCTCGAGAGTCTGGCCAAGCCCACATCGTCTTCTGATTCTGGAGAGAAGAGGTTTAAAATTTCCGGCTCTGGAAGAGACAGTTTTGGGTGCTACAGCAGTCCTGGATTTGCCAAGAGCGAAGATGATGGAAGCTGGTTTGGTGGAAACGTCCTTCAGAGGGTGTGATCGAACACAGAATAGCCAACGATATGGCTGCATTGGGACATTGGGGAAATTTAATGAAAAAAAGGCTAGGTCGGGGACCCGGTTCAAGGAGTAATGAAATAAAATTAATAAGTGAAAAAAGTTGTGAGATTCATAGTCAGATTTTTACGAGTATTGCGAGTCTTTTGGCTCCACCTTATAAGTGCAGCCCGTTCATCAATTAGATAACATCTGACCCATCGTTCTGACATCCAAGAAAGGTTTTGACAGAAAAAAACACAAAATGGGTGGGTGATCAGCAACAAGCAAGGCTGCAGTGATTCTGGTTTCAGCTTCACCGAGAACAACCCCTCAGTGACACGCCAAATCTTAAAAAATGTCTCTCAATTACAGGGTAAAACCAATAGTCAAGCGGTAAAATATCTAGACTTAGCAGCCCGGGGAGTGTGATCGGAAGGGAGGACTAAATAGTCCGGAGTTGGGGGGCCGGTTCCTCCCATTACCCCACAGAAAGGAAGTCGGGCCACCACCCGACTAAACTTGGACCCAACAGGAACAAAATTCAGGAATTCGGAATATAGGGATTCCAAGCCGAAAGGGAGAGGCCGAAATTGCAAAGCCAGTTTCAGATTGTGCTTTGGTACCTGTATTTTTCACCAAGGGTTGATGGATTGGGGGATATGGTCTATCTCTCCCGCACTCAAAACGAACACCGATTCTAACACGATGCTATTCCTGTATCTCTTTCCTACGGCTCCGACCACTCGAAAGCTTAAACAATAATTCTTCTCCGGCCGCTTAATCCAACACTACTGGTGCATTCTACTAACTCAACCGTAAATAGCAGTGCCGGACTGCACAGCCTGATTTTCCAACTTCCACATCTGGCTGTTCAGGAGGGGTAAGATGAGGGGCACGGAATGATCCCGACGCACCCCTAATCACTCCACGCCATTGATCATATGGCTTAACACTGGATCATTTCCATCCATCCGTGAAGCGGTTGCACAATGCCTTGGTGAAACGACTATGGCATACCATGGAAGAAGGGAGATCTTACCACCATATTACCATCAGATGAACTTAATTAGGAGCCGCACTCCACGCCTACTGCCTTTCCAATAGTGACGAATGAAGTAGCAATCTAGCACAGAAAGGATGACCTCTCTATCGACTCAGAGCCTATAAAGTCGTTTTTGTTATTTAATTGGTCATATATGAGCCCCTCTATAACTAAAACACCTAAATGGGGGCGAACACGCCAATGTTGCATGATGCGCTTGCTATTTGATGTCCCCATCCCCACACCTCGGTTTTACGGCCAATTCTAGTTATTGGTGGGTCCGGCCACTATATTTGCCGTGATGTTAAAAAAAGCTTAAATATCAGCGAGAATCTTCTATAAATTCCAGTGCTTTCCTGGCAAAATTACAGAACTGCAAAACCACAAAATTACAATTGAGACTGTTCAGCTTTATATCTAAACTCTATCATGACTATCCCAAAGACCCAAAAGGCTATCGTCTTCGAAACGAGCGGAGGCCCATTGCTCTACAAGGACATTCCAGTCCCCACTCCAAAGCCCACTGAAATTCTCGTCAACGTGAAGTATTCCGGTGTGTGCCACACCGATTTGCACGCATGGAAGGGAGATTGGCCCTTGGACACCAAGCTTCCTCTGGTTGGTGGTCACGAAGGTGCCGGTGTGGTTGTTGCCAAAGGTGACCAGGTGACTGGATTTGAGATTGGCGACTATGCAGGAATCAAGTGGCTCAACGGGTCATGTTTGTCATGTGAATATTGCCAGCAGGGTGCCGAGCCAAACTGTCCTGATGCTGATCTATCTGGGTACACTCACGACGGTACCTTCCAACAGTATGCCACTGCTGATGCTGTTCAGGCTGCCAAAATTCCCAAGAATGTCGATCTTGCTGGAGCTGCTCCAATTCTCTGTGCTGGTATCACGGTCTACAAGGCCCTGAAGACAGCAGAGCTTAGAGCTGGCCAATGGGTTGCCATCTCTGGTGCTGGTGGCGGATTGGGTTCGCTTGCTATCCAATATGCCAATGCAATGGGCTACCGTGTTCTCGGAATTGATGGAGGCGATGAGAAGGGAGCACTGGTTAAACAGCTTGGAGCTGAGGTGTATCTCGACTTCACCAAGACTAAGAACATTGTCGCTGAAATCCAAAAGGCCACCAATGGTGGTCCCCACGCTGTCATCAACGTTTCTGTTTCCGATGCAGCCATCTCTCAGTCTGTCGAATATGTTCGTCCATTGGGTAAGGTTGTTCTTGTTGGTCTTCCAGCTGGAGCTGTGGTCAAGTCAGATGTCTTCTCGCACGTTATCAAGTCTGTTCAGATCAGAGGTTCTTACGTTGGTAACAGAGCTGATTCTCAAGAGGCCATTGACTTTTATGCAAGGGGTTTGGTTAAGTCCCCAATGAAGATTGTTGGACTTAGCGAGTTGCCAAAAGTTTACGAGTTGATGGAAAAGGGCCAAATTGTTGGAAGATATGTTGTTGACACCTCCAAATAAAGGCTGTCGCTTCCCGGCTTTTTTGGCTGCCTGAGTGATTGGTCGTTCGGCGCTGATCTGGTGTTTTGACAACACCGTTATTCAGCGATTTCATTGTCTTCTATTTTTGTTTGCCAATAACTTATTATGAATTTTGATTGAATGTTCGACTTAGTAGATCCACCAATGCAATGAAATGCACAGTGACCTTATGATATGCACCTACTGTTATGTGCGGCAATATACTGGTAATTACACTGACTAATAATGCTGCGACTCAAGGAGCGTTAATTCATCCTTGTCTGGGCTCATCAACTAAACATCAAACACCCGCACCAATCATGCAAAAAAGACACAGTAATTTAATGGGTATGTATCTTTAACTATCTCAAGAACTTTTGACAATGATCTAACCTTTTCCAGCGAAGCTAGACTCCAATGCGGAGCTGATGACACAGAAGTTTCAGAACATACTCGATCTTTCGTCCGTGAGTAATTGAAGTGGTAAAGGTTACTTTTGAGTTGCATTGGCTCTATTTACTAATCTAGTTTCAGATTCTTGATAAATCGCAAGGAACGCTGGCTATAGAAACGCTACAGATAGAGGCAGACTCATCAACCATAATAAGACTGACTGAAGAGCTGCTCTCTATAAGTCGAACGCTAAAGGAATCATGGATATTAGGGCAATTGCCTCAAATTGAGGTGGACAAGGTTCAGGAAGGATTGTACGACAAAATGAATTTGTTATTGGACTCAATTACATATGGAGATGTTAGCAAGAATAGTTCACAGGAAGCTACAGAGAAGACTGATAATGGAAATGTGCAGGATAGTGAACACACCCGCGAGGCTAGACCGGAAGATGAAGCAGTGGCCGATGCTGAAATCTCAGAGGCCGACTTCGAGGATGTGATGATGAATTAGATAACGAAGAACATGGTGAAATAACCTGTTTATAATGAACAATATAAAATGATCTCATCAGCCCCATATAAATAAACGATCAAGTTCCTTCTTAAAAGTTTGGTGCAAACGTCTGCCAAATCAGTGTGTGTCACACACGCATCGGCAACCCCATAGAGATAATTGATATAAACAAACAAGATAGAAACATATTACATCAGATTTCTTATTGACGCCGTGCTCTTCATCTCCCCCCGAATTTGAATAATGCCTCCAAGAAAGAAGAAAGTTACGAACCCCCCCAAAAAACAGACAGAGCCGCCGATGCCGTCCCAGAGCCACAGACTGGGTAGAGGCTCCAAGTTTGGAAAACTGTTTCTGGGCCCGAACGAGAAGGCAGCGGGCTCAGGCCCGGTATCCACTCCAAAGGGCAAGAAAACTACGGCTGTATTTCCTGTTGATTCTCCAGAACCTTCAAAAACCACACCGAAAACCAAGAAAGCAAGAAACTTTGGAGATGAACCTGGGTCGCTCTCCAAGACGAAGCGTAGTGCTCTTCAACTCCAACCTGATTTACCGCCTCCGGTCAAGAAAACCAAACAATCAAAGTCAAAACCCAAAGCATCAGTACCAAAATATGTTGAAGAGGCAGACGTTTCGGTGATACCGATTGAATTTTCGCCGTTGAAGAAGAAGACTCCCGAGAAGGGAAGGAGATCGTCTTTAGGAAAGAGAGGAAAACGGGTCTCATCCATCGGAAATGGATTTGTGGCTGTTCCACATGATGATGTCTTGGTGGAAGACTTCTATAAGCACTTTGATGAGAGTTCACCGGAACCACACAAGATGAGACAGTTGCTCACGTGGAACGCAAAACGGGTGATGAGACAACACAGCACGCAACATTTTGATCCTCAGATGTTTGACGCGTGGCAAATTGCCACCCAGATCAAGGAGATGATAATACGGGACTTTGAAGAGGGGAATATTGAGACTAGCTGGCTGAATAGGAGCGACGAGGGATACTTGAAGAAAGTGATGGATACCACAAGACCCATAAGGCTTTCGCCCAATGAAGTTAATGTTACAAACAGACGAAACATGGACATTCTTGAGTCCAAGATGAGACTGCTGAGAGCAGAGGAAAAACAATGGCAGGAGTCTATGACTCAAATAACGGCAAGCCTGGGTGCATCGCCAGAGGTCGCTGACGTCAAGGCATTGGTCCAACGTGATGAAATCAAAGAGCTGGAGCAAAGACTACCGTTCAACGTGGCTGAGCTGGTGGACGAAAGTGCGTTGAAAGAACATGCTATAGTAGTTCAAGAGGTCGACTCCAAGACTTCGGAACTGGTGTCAAGCTCCATCGCCAAATTCAAGGCGCTAACTCACCGTCTCAACTCGGTGAATACGTCGGCAGACTGCTTTGCCGAAACGGAGACCAAGAAAATGGAAAGCATTTTGAAAGAGCATTTTGGCAAGAAAGTTCCGGTGGAAAATCTACTGAAGGGTATATCGCGGGTTCCGACGTGACCTTGAAACTGTGTATTATGTATAACGTGTATCACTATAGATACTTTTTCGCAAGTAACCTCACCCTCATATCAAAGCTTCCACTCTTTATGGACTCATTGAAGTTGTAGAACGGCGATAACAGCATTTTGACATAGAGATCATTGATTTCGATAAAAAATTGTCGTATGCTCTCTTCGGCCTTGACATCATGGAGTAGCATGAATTTGACATTCCCTGGCGTAACATAAGCGCTCACCTGATAACCATAAAAGGAGTCGATTGTCTTCAGATAGAGCTGATTATTCTTCCATTGTACCTCTTCGACGATATCCAGAGCCGAATGCACTATAAAGGGGTTCAGCTCTTTCATCTCTGTAGGGAACTTGGGCGTGCCGTCTCCGCTCTGCTTGTAGGTACCGATCTCAAGTTCGTAGATTGGATTATCCTTGGTGCCAATCATGGCAAAATAGTAAGACATGATGCCTGGATATTCGATATTCGGGACAAAACCGGGCCCATCACTAAAATCACAGTATGAGCCTGATATGCATCTCATTCTCAATTGACTGTTACGAAGGCTAGGTAGTGTGCAGAGATCAAAAGTTGGCTCTTTCTACATCTAGCCACCACATTGAGATTAGACCAGTTTGCAACAGCACAATACTTTAGACTCAATTCCTCGACTCATAGGTGACGTATAATGCAACTGGCCGGGAAATTTTGAGCTGAATGAATTATTTTTGACATAGCCGCCCAATCACCAAATCTAATGCAATGCAGGGGGCTAGCCCGAGAGCTGAAGACGAAGGGGCATTCACAGATTCGCCGATCGGGTCAGCCAAAAGAAGCAACACGCGAAAATATGGATCTTTGAACCAGAACAAATCGCTGAGACTCAATAAAAGAGCCGAAGCCTCCAAACTGAGACCCAGCAATGACAAATCACAGAACGAGTCCATCTTGGAACAGACCAGCGAGCTCACCTCCACATTCCTGAGAATCCGCAAAAGACTAATGACGGATCTGAATATTGATCCCGAGCTGACACACCAGAAATTTGAACTTGATCAGCGAAATGAGGAGACCAAAACGTTCGAAAACTGGCACATCTCTGAGGCAACGCGAAACAGGGCGGATCGGGTGAGAATAGCCCTGACGCTGTACTATACCAACATCCAGAAGAATCTGGCGATATATCACCCCGATGAGAAAAACTTGGGAACCAAATATCCTGGTGTTGAGGGAGTGTACAATCCGCTACAGGTGATCCGCAATCGCAAGATCAGAAAGAGACATAAAGAGAGGTTTGACGAGTTGGATGTGAACATAGTTCCGTCTCCGTCCCAGGTTTTCAGCAAGTACAAGCACCACAGACTTACGTGGCAGGTGAACTTAAAGGAGCATTTGGAAGATCTTCATTGGAGAGAACAACATTGGGCCGAACTGAAGGACCACAATGGCAAGACGTGGTTCCCGCAAGAGAAGAGCTCCAGGTTCCACCATCGCCATGGCCACCATAATAGCCACACTTACAGTACCAGAGAAACCGGTGATTCGGCCCCAGAGTATGGCAGGAGGATGCACGAGCAACTATTCGCCGATTTTGACGGGGCAAGTGCATTTGCACGCGACGAGGACCATTCGAGAAGTACCAGTCTAGTATCTTCGGTAGGTAAAAGCTCCCAGGACGATCCACAACCGCCGAAATCCAACAGTCTTGTTTCGTTATTTGCAAAAGCAGGCCATGCAAGCCGACCTTCGAGAAACGAAAGGTCCAGCAGTAAGCATAGGAGACTTTCCAAGTCTCCTATGGGGCCTCCGGTGTTGATACCCTCTTCCAATAGCTCCAAAATGGACCTCACCGAACCGATATTGTTTAAGATTGAACCACCTCCGTCACCATCTATACCACCAGCGTTGCCAGAAACAAAGCAAATCAAATTCGAGCACGTTGAACAACGGAAATCCACAGACTCTTCCATGAACGATGAGCTGGACGTTCAGGTGAAGACGCTGAAGAAGCTGCAGGCTTCAGTTCAGGTATATGAGAACTACATAGACACTCAGCATGAGGTGTTGAACCTGAAGTTTGACAAGATATCAAGGTTGGTAGCCTCAAAGACTCGGGAGTGCAACGAGAATTACACCCGCTTAGAGAGAAACGTCATCCGCGATTTCGAGGTGTTCTTCCAAAACAGATTTAAGGATTCCGACGAGCACAAAAGGTTTCTCAGCACCAAGTACGAGAGAAAGCTGGACTATCTGCTTTCGCTGGCAGACCGTACCATCGGTGACATAAGCACCAGTGTGACATTAGACGTGAGAAGACTGAATGAAAGAGTTGACAAGTTTGGAAACAACCTCGGTGTCTTGAGCTCTGATGACATGGGAATGAATCTTGCATACAAGTTCTTGGAGAACTTGATCGTGCTTAGTTTATGGGTCATCTGGGTCTTCGTGAGCTCGTACCGCGTTGTGAAAAAGATCCTCATGATGATTATCATGGTCTTGGGATGGGCCTTCTGCTGAAACAGACACCATTGGCTCTACAAACGACTGAGGAGATAAACTCTGATGCATTGAACGTACCTTGACCAACCTAACGAACTAAGCTAAACACTATAAAAATGGGGAAACATAACGGAAAAAGGATGAAAAATGTAGATGAGCTTGCGGAATGCTCTGAAAAACGGGGAATAAGAAAACGAAGAGTAAGAAGCAGCTGGAAAGACTCGAGGCTTATTACCATGTCGGGTATCGTATTATGGTGGGTGTAATATCCCTTCTCGGTGGAATAAAAGGTGATGTTGCTGTGGCTCCAATTGTGGTGTGTTTTTTTCATGGGTTTTTTATCGTTTTTGTGAGTGCATGTATGCGTTGTGGAGGGCCTATATCGATTTGAGATAATGATCACCAAATACGCTCCAATGAAATTTGACGAGAGATCCGATCTTCACGGCAAGATTGTCAATTTGTTCGTTCGAAATTTCCTTAACTGGTCTCTTGGAAAGGGAACCGTTGATAGGATTCCCTGTAACTATAGGTAGAGGAACCTCTTGGACCTGCTGGTCTGCCTTGAAAGTTTCACCAATCAGCCCGGAAAGCTGCTTGAAACATCTCGCTTCCAACAATCCGTAGATCTGACTTGTTGGCTGGGTCTGTTTCATCAACCAATCGTAGGCAAACTTGACGGTTTGTTCTGGAACCTGGTCTGTCTGCAGAGCCTGCTTCACGATCTGCAGGGCGATGGAAAGAATATTTCTGGTCCATTTCACGTTTCCGTTCTCGTCAGTGACGATAGCCAAAATTTGGCTCTTCAACACCTTTGGATCTAGCGGCTGGACAGGGCCGTCCGTCTGTTGGCGTATCTGCTTGTACAGAACCAGACAGATCTGGAGACACACCAATTGTCTGATATCTGATCTCCAGAGCACCATTCTTGAATGGTCAAATGCGAACGTGGATGGGAACTCTGTGCACATGTTTCTGCACGATAAAAGAGTCAGAATGGACTCGGTTAACTGTTTCTGCCAATTAAATTCAACGGCCTCGGTCTGGCTGGATTCGAAATCCTTGTGGAACCACGCCAGAGAATCTGAAATATCCAGCTTTTTTCTTTCGATTATCTTGTTGAAATACTCCTTCTCAAAGTCCATGGCCGAGTTAACCAAGGCGGGTCTAAGGATCCTGATCTGGTGATTGGCAACATCCAGCTTCATGGCCTCCAAAATGGCAAACACCATTCTAAGACCGTCCACCAGCTTGGCAGTCGAATTTTCCTCGTTGGCTTGTTTGAACTTGCTAGCCATTTCATCAACCCATTGGTCTCTCATAGGAGCACAATGGTTCTTGAAAATGGTAGCCAGCCAGTTCGACATCGATACAAAGTCAAACGTTCTGTCTCTGAGTTGCTGCATCACCAGGTCTGTGTCCATCACCTGGTTCACAATAGATCTGTCCTTAAATGGCAGCAAACTCAGCAAAATGTCTTTCAACGTTGTGAACATCATGGACAATCTCGTGTTCTGAAGATTGAACTTATTGGAAGCGGGAGACGCAGAGTGCTCCAGAAACTCGTCACAGTCGTTCTGGATCTGGTCCCAGTAATTATCAACACTGATCTTCTTTCTCTTGCCACGCTCACCATCCAGGTTGACTCTGAACTGCAACTGTGGGTCGAAAATGATATCGTGTCTCAGTTGTGGATTTTTCAAAATCTCATGCAGATCTATCTCGCGTAGACTCTGCAGGTTCACGGGCGGCAGTTGCGGCTTGGCCTGGCTGCTTAGTTTCTCAGGCTTGTAAAAGAACAGGTTTGGCAACGATCTCGATCTGAATCGCTTGATGGGAAGTCTTCTGGAATCCCTTTGCTGTTGCGAGGAGGGAAGGCCTGTTGGAGAGACAGTTGCCGTGGGTGTGGTGGGCGTGGAGGGGCTGACGCTTGCAGTAGAAGCAGCGGCTACCGAGTTCGAAGCGGAAGCAACAACCGCCGACGTCGTTTGCGAAGAAACGGAAGTGGCGGCATCCGAAGGGTCCTTCTGTATCACAGAAGCATCGAGTCTGGCCCTCTTGTTAGACTCGTTGGACGTGTTGCACGCTCTCTTAGCGCTATCAAAAAAAGAATTTCTGAAGCTGTCCTCAGAGAAGACCTCTTGCTTATCGTTGTTGTTTATCTGAGAGTTCATGGTGGGCCAAGAAAGAAAGCTGAAATTTCAGGGGGACGGCGCTTTGGGCCGTTTAAGGTGATGACGATAATGAGGCTCCCAAGATTGGGGTGATGAAAAGAGCGATGGCAATAATAGAACGACTAAGCACAGGCAACTGGAAAGTAGACAAAGCTTCGATTCAGAAAAATAACTTGCAAGCAAAAAGACGGAGGCGTGAAAAAAAGTGGTGGTGAATGGAATAAGAAAGCCCGGGTCAGAAAAAGGGATAGGCCGGTAAAGTTAAGAGAGGCCATACAGCGTGGTTGAAAAAAAAAGAGTCAGCCAGCGCACCCTGCTGGAAAAGAAAAATTCTATTTTTCCATTAGCGCTGGGCTGTTTTTCTTTTTGGGCGGTTATGGGATGGGCGTGTAAAATTTCTTTTTCTCGAAAGAGGCAGAGAACTTTTGAAACACGTTACTTCCGGAATATAATTGGGTCGCCAGAAGTGTGCTGGGTATGTAAAATAATATTCTTGCTATTATTCATTTGGCCAGGCCTTTGGTACGTGTTTGGTCGGGGGTCGATAGTATCTTTATTGTTAGCTATATACATTGGGCTACATTTCGATATTTGCCTGCCAGGCCGGTGCTCTCCCTCAAGCATGTGGCCAGGTCTTTTTTTGGCGCGACAGCAGTGGTTTGGAACCCAGTTTCATCCAAACTTAATGAAACCATTGAATTGGTCCATCGGGGGTTTCCAGTCTAGTGGCTCCTTCTGACGACACCTCACCGTTTATTTTATCTGCACATGCATTTTCGTTTACACTTTCCTCTTCACTCCAATACTTGACTCCAGGTCTCCGACGTCCAATCTGGTGTTTCTGATGTAGTAGTGCTTTGTACGGCCCTTATACTTGGCTGGTCTTCTCACTATGTCGATTCTCTCCACCATGGGAGAAAACACCGGCACGTGAAACTCCACACCAACACCAGTTATCATGTTTCTGAGTAACAGCGAAGTTCCCAGACCGCTCTTGTTAATGGCGATCACTGCTCCAACGACTGGAGACTGTTCTTTGTACACGATCCTCACCACGTCCCCACTTCTAAGTTTCTCTGGATTAGACTTGTCGAGAATCTTTCTTTTAGTTCCGTTGGGGTCAAACTTTTTGTATTGAGCTTCTTTGATGTAGAGCATTAAACTTTTGCCCTGGCGCAGTTTGGGAAGTGGTTCATAGACAACCATTTCTGGAAGGGTTAGTATTGCCAATCATCATATAGACTCTGTGGTGTACTCACTCTTGGCAGGGGCCAATCCACTCTGGAACCGCTGGAGTTGGAGGGGAGCCTTGACGCATATCCTGTTCACTATTCTGAGCGGATTAAACATGACTGTGGATAATTAAAGCTGGTGTAAAAACAGGTTTCAGTCTCGTTGAATCGGCGAAACTTTTGATCACCGCCTCTGTTGGTCTTAGTACACTACCATTTCTTGGTCCTGGCACACGACATAAAGATCTTATTTCCAGGCTAAGTACCAAACTATCTACTCAGATTACTACCGCTTGATCCGTCTTTAATGCCTTCCTGTATTGTTGATAATAATTCTATGACCCCCAGTCGGTCAAAACTTGATCCGTCTCTTCCTGGCAGTGTATTTGGAGTCCTTCGCCACGACCCTGCCACGCTTTCTCATCAACTCCTTCTTTCTCATTATGTAGTCCTTGGTGCTTTCTTGACGCTTCTTTGCTTTCACAGTTCTCGTGTTCTCCAGTTCCATGTTAGCCAGGTTGAGCGCTCTTCCAGTTCCGTTCTGTAGCACCAAGTAATGCTTCTTGTTCTTCTTCGACTCTGGGTCATCAACCACCAAACCACACTGGAAACCAGCCAGCTTGGCACTGGATGTGATTTGCTCAATCTGATTTTCGTTGGAGGGGTAGAATTGGAACACACACTTGCCTCCTTTCTTCAAACTCGAATAAAGCGTGTCAAAAAATCTTTTCAATCTCAGCTTGGGCTCAACATCTGCCCGATCTGCGTTACACAACCACTGGATTGCACTAATAGATATAGCAGCATCAAACACACCAGCTCTGAACGGTATCCCATCTCCCATATCACTCAAAAACAGATCTCCATCTGCTTCACGGTCGAGTCCGATGGCCAACATCGAAGGCGAGATATCCATACCAATCCACTCATGGCCTTCTTGCGAAAGAATCTCACCCGAAAGACCAGAGCCACACCCAACATCGAGCACAAAGTGCCTCTTACCAGCTTCCAAGTTCAGGATTTCCAGCGCTCGCAGCGTCATCTTGGCCTGAATATGCTGAACTCTCGAAGACGAGGTATACTTGAACGATTCTGTGTCGTTGTAAAAAAACTCAGGCGGAGCCAGCTGTTCTGGACGAGACATGATTGCGACAAGTGCACGAGCAAACCCGTAGAGACAACGGTATATAGACGTTCACGCTAGATAGCGACCTCATGATCTAGAATGAATTTTTTTCTAATCTAGATAAGGGCGTTCAATAACCACTTTTTTCTGCAGTACACGACAACGGCCCAATGCGGCTTAATATTGCCGCTTGACGGGGGATTCGGACAAATCCACATCCACTTGCTTCCGACGCTTCACATTCTTCTTGGAACCACCGTTGAAATAGCGATACATACTCAAAATGGATCTTCCGGAAGAATTGCTCAATCTGGAGTCCAGCGTGAGCCATCGGAGATCCATATATGCCAGCACAGAGTTCTCGGAAGACGAGAGGTCCGTTCCATCTACCCCTAAGAGACAGACGGATGATTCGTCTCTAGATTTGGTCCAGTCGCCACCAAATTTGCCCAAAAGTCCCGCTATTCTTTCAGCAGTATCACAGAAGCCTATTCTAGAAACTTCCTCAAGTCAGGAGTTCAATCGACTGAGGTCTGCGTCTAACCAGAGCCTCAGGTTCCGATTCCGCGATGGCAAGCCAAAAAGCAGGTTCGCAGATCTCAATTCCAAGGCCCATCCCACAATTTTGGACGAGTCCACAGCGTTCGGGTCGAAATTCTATGGCTTTTTTGTAGCAATTTGGTTTGGAGTTGCGCTGGTTGGCTTCGACTCTCTGGTTCACCATACACTGACTAAGGGATCCATCCATGAATGGGATATCGCCCGAATAATGCGGAAAGATGCCGTTGCGGTGGGTCTCACGGATTTGGCGATGTATTTGGCGATGTATGTTAGTGTTGCTATTCAGAATATGGTGAAGTTGAATTGGATCAAGTGGAGGTCTACGGGGTGGGTATTGCAAAGTGTGTTTGAGTTTGCTCATCTGGTGTTCTTCATCTGGTATGCCAACTATAAAAATTATCCTTGGATCGGAAAAGTGTTTCTGTGCTTACATTCTTTGGTTATGCTCATGAAGATGCACTCGTATGCTTTCTACAATGGATATTTCTGGAACATCAGTCATGAGCTACAATTCTCCAAGAACTACAAGCAGACCAACCCTAAGTTGGATGAAAAGTCCACCGAATTAGTGGAAAAGTCTATAGAGTTCTGTCAATTTGAGTTGGACAAAAATGGGATGTTTCCTTCAAACCTGACAGTTTCCAACTTTTTCGACTACTCCATGTTCCCCACAGTGGTGTACGAAGTGAAATATCCACGCACCGCAAAAGTGAGATGGGGATATTTCTCCACGAAAGTATGCGGAATATTTGGTGTCATTTTGATGATGATAATCGTGGCTCAAAACTGGCTATATCCCCTGGCTATGCAATGCATCGAACTGAGGGGCCAGCCTTTCATAGAGAGGGCCAAACAGTACCCACTTATCGTTCTAGATTTGGTTCCCCCTTTCCTGCTCATGTACCTGTTGGTGTTCTACCTCATCTGGGAGTTGATTTTGAATGCAATTGCAGAACTTTCCAGATTCGGAGATCGCAATTTCTACGGAGCTTGGTGGAACTCTGTCACTTGGGACGAGTTTGCGAGGGACTGGAATTCTCCAGTCCACAAATTCTTACTGAGACATGTCTATCACTCGTCGATAAGTGCGCTGAATTTGAGCAAAGTGAACGCCACAGTCTTTACTTTCTTGCTGAGCTCAATAGTTCACGAACTGGTCATGTTTGTCATCTTCAGGAAGTTCAGAGGATATCTGTTGGCTTTGCAGATGTTCCAGCTTCCACTAGTGGGTATCTCCAGGTCTAAGTTCATGAGAGATCAAAAGATTTTAGGAAACGTGATTTTCTGGTTTGGAATAGCAACCGGCCCGAGTCTAATGTGTTCGCTGTATCTAACTTTTTGAAAAAAGGGGATTTTTCAGGCAACGCATCTATTCACCTAAAAGCATGAACGAAGCACTCAGTGCTCATCCAGACCTTATATTGGAATTGGTTATTTCTACAGGTTAGGGTTGGTTTGTTCTAATTACTTCAGTACTCTATATACAGTATTGTTTCCATCTATTTATCTGTAGATCATCTCATAAGGACGAGGGTCGTTGAAGCAGCTTGCCCATACCTCATCAACAGCCTTTTCAGCAGTCTCTCTGGAGTCACAGTTGGGATTAGCCATCACCGACAAAACTGCCCTACGCTTGACACAGTTTTGATGGCCTTTGCTCACCTTTCCCAGGGCACCTTTCCAAAACTCCTGGGAGATTCTACATTCACCACTTAGCGAACTAGCCCGTATCTCTGAACAGGCGTGATGCTTAAGATTCAGCCAGTCAACCTTAAATTTGCGATCGTCGTAGGCATGCACCAGTTCGTGCGACAAAACGTCTCCCAGATGCCACTTATCCAGGATTCGGTTCTGACAGAGCAAAATTCCCATATCCGGGTGGTAACCTCCTCCTCGTAGATCGTCGCATTCATCACATATGATGTCTTTGGAGTCCAGTTTACTACCCAGTTTCTTGATCTGGTCAAGCATGAATACAACACTTGGCGAGTACGTAAGCATCCAGTCTCTGTATTCGTAGCACTTTTCGCAATCCTTGGTTTTTGTCCTCACGGCGAGATCCTTCTCGTAGGCCTCTTTGGATTCTGGTGTTAGACCCATGCCGGTCTTGTACTCCATGGTTCGCCTCCACCAGTCGAATGTGGAGGGTTTATTTGAATCGGTGTTATCAGACATGGCAACAGATATATATAATCCAATTAATGAATCAAATAAACAAGCCTTCACCGCGGATTAAATGACCCGAACGTCAACACCTCAAAGGAACGAATCTACTTCGGCATCTCATCTCACAGCCCATCTGAAATATTTGAAATTTTTTGGTACACTTTCACTCTGGCGCAGTCTCTTCATCTTTGCCTGAAAAATATTTATACATACCACAAAAACAGAATAAAATGGTGGCTAATATTTGGATCGCGGTTGCTGATGGCGACCTCAACACAGTCAAACAGCTTATTGATAGCGGTGTCTACGAAGCCAACTCAAAGGACGAGAATGGATATACCCCAGTGCATGCGGCCTGTGCTTACGGCAACCTGGAGATTCTGGATTTCCTGGTATCCAAAGGAGGAGACGTCAATCTGACAGATAGTGATGGCGATAGTTCTTTGTTCCACTGCGAAGATGTTCAGACAGTGGATGTTTTGATCCAGAAATATGGCGCTGACTGGTCGGTGAAGAACGCTGAGGGACTGAACTTGCGCGAGTTCTTCCTGGAAGATAACGAGTACCCGGAGATAATTGGATATTTTGACAAGCTCTTGAACCATGATTCTTCCACGTCGTTGAACTACGAAACCGAGGGCAATGGACCAGATATACGGTATACCTACACGGACAACTTGCCTGTGGATGAAGAGAGACAGCAACGGATTAGAGACATTGTCAACGGAGAGAATCCAGAGGAAAACTTACAGAAATTTTTGACAGAGTCTATACAGCAACAGATGAACGCACAGCAACAAGCCGAGTTTTCTGATTCGCCCAACTCCAAAAAACAGCGTCACTAATCATCATCTGCGTCTAGCGATTCAACAAGAATATTTCCATTGGGCCATATCGCCTTGACTTCGGCCACCTTGGTAGATTTGTCTGGTTTCAGGTTGTATTTTGGCAAAGGTGAAATCAATTCAAACTCAAACTGATGCTCGTAGCCATCAACCACTGTGACATCCAGTAAGGATAGTTCTTCTTCGAACTTGTTGATCAACTCCTGCTCATCCTTGAAGCCCTCCTCAGCCATAGCCTGGCTTATATACATCTTTGTGGAAACAAATTTGTAAACGTCGTACAATGTTTCATCTTTTGCGAAATTCTGTAGCACCCTCAAACCTTCGTTGTTCCGTATCTGGAGCCTCGTGTATTCCCCTTTGACCCAATCAGAGTCGGTACGCTCCAGTAGCTTTATTGCACCAAGTTTGAAGTATATATCTCTTTGCTGGAGTCTGAGAAGCTCCTGTCGTTCAAACTCCTCTTTCTGTCTTTTTTCCTGTGTTCGTTGCTTATCCTTCAGCAAAGACTGTTCGTATGCTTCATCCTGCTGCTGTCTGATCAAGCGTGACAACTCTGCCTCCTGCTTATCATATCGTTGAGCGACCAGCTGGGGCTCGAAATTATCCATCACTTTGCCCAGCTTCTTGGTCAATTTCCTAGGATCATCCAGGCCTTTGAAGCTTTGAAACCTCGCGATCGTGGACATCAGAGGCATAGTTTGCCCGGTCGCGGATGCATTGGCTATGAGACATGAAAATGGAAGAAAAGGAACTCTATAGGTTCTACCAACCTCATGCGCTTCAGCATATGAGACATCACCGCACCACAACAGAACATCACGCTCGTTGATGAACCTGATGAAAGCCTCATTGTTCAGGTATTTCTTGATAAATTTGGAAGATTCCTCAGACTCGGAGTTCACCAGAACAACCAGCAACCATTTCACCTCGGTCTTGGCCGTGTTAAATGCCTCGTTGAATTCGCCTTCGAATATCTTGAGATCAGAGCTCTCTCCCAACACTGATTCCAGATAGTGCTTAAAGCTGGTGTACGACCCTGTAGATTCACCTTCTTTCTCCTCCAATGCATACTGATAATATCTCGGTTTGGCCGGGAAATCGTTCGGGCCATTGCTTATGCCTATCAGCTTCCATAGTAGCCTGTGCAACCAACCACCCAGAGTAATCGACAGAAAGAAGAACAACCTCGGTACCAATAACAGCACAAAGAAAACCGGATGTCTCCTCGGAACCAAAACCTGCTGCTGTTGCTGGGAGTATATGCCGGCCTGAAATCTCCAGTTGTTCGCAATCTGGATGGCCTTGGGCAGCTTGGGGGCCAGATCTAAATGGTCTATCAATCCAAAGTTTCTGTCCATTCTCTCTCTGAAATCCACCACATTGCTCGGTATATCCTGGTGACTGGGTGCTATATCTGCTAAATCGTCCACCAAACTGGGGAAATCATTCTCGAAGTACCTGGAAATTGCCGTCTCCAAGTTCCAGTTGGTCACCCGGAGCAACCTCAACACCTTGTCGTTGTCCTCATCCGGGTATTGTGTAATCTCCTTCAGCTGCTTCAGCTTCTCCTGTTGCTCAGCATCCATAATATGACCGGAGAAGAAGATTGATGAGAAGTGGACTTGTTAACTTGATATACGTAACCAACCAAGCTGATCTCCAGGATAACAGATACGCATTGCCGGTTCGAGGCTGTGCTTAATTATGTGGAGCACGACCTTGTTTACTTCTAGATCAAGCTGGAATACTTGTAGTTTACATGCTATGATGCTGCTGTATTATACTACATTTCGTTGTCTTCAAAGTCATGAGCGATACGTCCAAGAGGCAATTGCCCTCGGAAAGTGGAAGTTTGCATGTGGCCAAACAAAGGAAGTCGGGGTCGAGACCTGGCAGCAACGATAAGCATTTAGGAAACATCAAGGTCATGGTCAGAGTGAGACCTACGGGAGCTAAGGATGCAGAGAACATTGTGAAGATGCCAGATAACCGTACGGTTGTCTTGGAACCGAAGAAAAGTTTAAGCTCCAAACAATTCCAGTTTGACAGGTGTTTTTGGTCGTGCAATAGAGATGACCCCAACTATGCTTCTCAGGATGATACTTATGAGACATTAGGCAGGGAAATGTTGCAGAATTTACTAATGGGGTTCAACAGTTGTATATTAGCATATGGTCAGACTGGTTCGGGAAAGACATATACCATGATGGGAGACAATGACGGTCTCATTCCTAAGACATGTCGTGAGCTTTTCACCTCGACCGACGCTCTGTTTGAGGAGCACCAGGTGGGAGTTTCGGTGAAAGTCTCGTTCTTTGAGATTTATCAGGAGCAGGTGTATGATCTACTTGCATTGAGCAATCATAACCCTAAGTTGAAGATCAGAGAGGGTCAGGACAAATCGCCGTTTGTGGACGGGCTCACCCACTACAAAGTTGAGTCTTATGAGGAAGTTGAAAAGTTTCTGGAGCGAGGTAATTCAAACCGAACCACTGCTTCGACGAGTATGAACATGCAGTCCTCAAGATCGCATTCGGTGTTTACAATATCTGTTACACAAGAGAGATTCATTGATGATACGCTCACCAAATGTGAGCAGCTGACCTCTCATCTCCGTTTGGTGGACTTGGCCGGGTCTGAAAGGGCAAGTGCAACCCTTGGAAACACAGAATCACCTTTCAAGGGCAACGGAAATGCGAGGTTCAAAGAAGGGTCGCAGATCAACAAGTCTTTGACTACATTGGGAAGAATATTGACACTATTGTCGCAGAGAAAGGAGCAGAAAAATGTGATGATTCCTTACAGAGAGTCAGCGTTGACGTGGATACTGAAAGAAAGTATCGGAGGAAATTCAAAAACTGCCATGATCGCGTGTATATCACCATCTGACTACGACGAAACGCTGAGCACTTTGAGATATGCGACCGTCACATCGCAAATTGAGAACGTCGCATCACTGGGAGCAGGTGAGTCTACCCGAACCGTAGATATCGATGATGTCGTTCAACGATACGAGGTGGAGAAAGCAAAATTGCTGGAGACACTGGCAAAGGATGACACCAAAAGGAGAACCCTGGAGAACTACATGCGCTGGAACGAAGAGTATCTGCTAGGACTGAGTTTCAGGATGAAGGCTCAAACCAGGAGACATCTGAAAAGTGCTGAATTTGGTGACAATTGCAGCGCGATGTTAGAGCAATTGTACGCCAGCATGAGGAGAATTATGGACAATTTTAACGAGCAGGTAGCTCTCAAGGTTATGGAGGCCGAGTCAAGCCTTACTGAAATGACCGTGGATATTCAAAATGGAGTTTCGTGGGATTTGGTGGAGAAGTATGGAGTTTTTTGAAGATGGACTTTCCATCTCCACAACCATAGAATTGCATCTCTACGCACTATTTATATTATACAATACACGTGATAAATGGTCATACTCGCATCAGTATCAGGAACACCTCTGAAAGATTCAAAAAGTAACTTACCCAGATGTTTTTCAAAGTCATCATTGTAAGACCAGCTGTCCCATCATTGTGCCCTCTTCATTTTTACAACCTTTCCAACATGATAGCATTAAGTGGCCAGCCACCGCTTCAGTTTCTAGGGATTATGGATCAAATCGATTCTTCTGGTCAAGTCATTCTCAGGTTGGGCCCCAAATGGATACACATTGTGAATAAGACCTCAATACAAAATAGAAAGTAGCAACTGATGGTAAAACAAAAAATAGGTCAACAAGCTCTCAGAGAGCCTTAGTATCTTGGAGGAGATCTCTCTCTACCGTAGTCCCTTCCGGAGTCTCCTCCGTAGTCCTCACGGGGTTGGTAATCATCTCTGGATCTGTATTCACGTGGAGCAGAATCGCGGTATGAATCTCTTCCGCCTCTACCACCTCTGAAATCACCTCCTCTTCCTCCTCTTCCACCTCTGAAATCATCTCTGAAGCCACCTCTGCCACCTCTGAATCCTCCACCTCTTCCACCTCTGAATCCACCATCTCTGAAACCACCTCTTCCGCCTCTAAAGTCGTCTCTGAAACCACCTCTTCCTCCTCCCTGTCTGCGTGGAGGTGGTGCAATGAATGGGGAAGTGTCTTCCTCAGCAGTCAACTGGGAACCTTGGTACTCCAGCTTGCTGATGGACTCGATAGCGCCCTCCAAATCCTCTCTGGAGCCGAACTCAAGGTTGGCAACACCTTCCTCCTCGTATGGGATCTTCACAAAGGTTGGACTCAAGCGGGCTTCGTCACGGACAAAGTCCTTGAACTCTTGCCATGCGACTCTACCTGGCAATCCAGTAACCTTCACTCTGAACTCACCCTTCTTGGCGTAAGCTGGCTTCTGCTTGGCAAATTCAATCTGCAAAGCTTCACCCTTGAAATCGGTGTTGGCCAAAGAGTCGACAGCAGCACGGGCATCGTCGTTGTTCTCAAACTCAACAAAAGCATATCCGTTCATGAGACGGACTTCCTTGACTGGACCGGAGACTCCGAAAAGCTCCTCAATCTCGGATTGTTCCACTAAAAAAGGTTAGTTACACAACTTCCCAAACACATAGCACGGCGCCAGACAGTACTCCACCAACGAAGCCCATCTGTCCAGTCATATTAAATCACTTACCATCAAATGGAATTGGTCTCACAAAGAGTTGGACTTGGGATAATTCAGACATTTTTGATTAAGTTTATTGGTTAGATCCGAATGAACTTAGGAAGATCTCTTGTTTAATAGTAGGGAAAAGAAAACTCTGCCATAAAATTTAGATCTTGCAGGAGCGATGCGAAGGCCGGGTAAAGGTTTTGGAGATAATATCAGGGATGGAGGCAGGATAGCTGCAGGAGAGTGGGTAGTGAAAAATTGGGTAAAATCTCGAGGAAAAACTTAGAATTTGGCGTCATAATACCACCTGTATACCAGAATTCCAATGGTATTGCTTTCATCCAAGATCATCTCTTATGGACCTCAGAAAAGGCAGGTGTTCAAGCATTACAGACTGGAGACCTCTCGGAGTGAGTACAGTCTGGTATGTATTCATGGAGGTGCCTGGAGAGATCCAAACAATACATATGCTGACTATGATATCCTCGTGAGTAAAATTGACAAAGGGTTGGACGAACTTAGTGGTACGAAAAACGATGTGCTGGACGTGTACTCCATCGACTACAGACTGTCCCCAGAGGCCAAACATCCAGATCACCTGATGGATATATTAGCAGCTCTTCGCGCAATACACCAAAAAGATTCGAAACCGCTGGTCGTGATTGGTCATTCGGTGGGAGCTACTCTGTTGTTGCAAAGTCTGACATATGATAGTCTTCTACCGTTGAATGAGACGTCTACCCCACATGATTCAAGCAAGGAAGTGCTCACCACAAGTTTGATTCAAAATTGGTCCAATGAGCTTCCTACGATCAAGATAGCAATACTGGCTGATGGAATATTTAACGTGCAGGCTATGCTGGAAGAATACCCTTCATATATATCGTTTGTGTCAGGGGCCTTCAAATCAAAGAGCGACTGGGAGACGAAATCTACTTGCTTGGTCACTAGTCTCAGCAAAGCTTCGAAGCAAACACTTGACAGCTTGAAAAAGATAATCATTGTTCACAGCACACAGGATGAGCTGTTGAGTTTGCAACAACCCAACCTCTTCTTAGATTGGGTTCGAGCCAACACCGACACCACAGTGGCAACAATTTACGAAGACATTGGAGACCACGAGAATGTCTACAGATCACAAAGACTGGCAAAAATCACGAGTGAAGCCCTAATTTCGGAATAAAAGCCCAATTATTGTTTTACATAAGCGTAATAACCACGACAAAGCCTATCGCATAACCTCGAGTAGCTTATCTGGCAGGTCTTGGTTTCGAGAACTCTACTCTCAAAATCAGCGAGTGGTAACCCCTACCATCCAGATTCTCCATGGCTTTCTGAGCAGCCTCAACGGTTTCATAAGCAACGTAGGCGGTACCCTTGGACTGTCCGGTCTCTCTGTCTCTCACCAGGGTGACTCTTCTCAACATACCAAAAGGAGCAAAGAGTTCTTCTCTGATCATATCCTCATCAACCATTTCGTTGAGCTGCGTAACTCTCAACGTTGTCGAATCGTCACGCTCTTCGAAGTTACGACCACCCAGCTTGGAGCCACCAGCTCTCAGATGAGGAGCAATGTAAGCCCCTGGAGCACCGGCAGACTCTCCACCATCATCATGAGCACCAGAGCCTTCTGGATCGGCTCCCAATGTATCTTTGAAAGGACATTTGGATGTGAAATGGTTACCGTCACACGTTCTACACTTGACGTTAGTGGCCTTCACGACATCCAGCTTCTTCTCCTCCTCCTTCTTAGACTCTTCTCCTCTCCAAGATGTTCCCAAAACCAATTCCACAGCTGTACCAACCTGTGTGGTTCTGAAATCTGGTCCAATAGTGGTGGAATCCTTTTCATCACCGAATTTGCTCCATTTTCTTCTCTGGGCAACACCCTTATTCACCTTTTCCGTCACCTTGATTTCTCTGACTTTCTGTGTCAGCTTAATCTTCTTACCTGCCTCGTTCAATCTGTACGATATAACCGTTTTGGTTCCATCTTTGTTGTCAATCACTTGTGGAGAAGGCAGATCATCTTCAACGTCGGCCCAAGACTGTCTAGAATGGTGACAAAGCCCTGTTAGTATGCGAACTCAAAACAAAAATCAGCTTCAAGAATTGACCTACCCTTTAGCTACCTCAGCCATGTTTGTGTATATTTTATTGTTGATTATATCCTCTGACAAGTCACGTCTGGAGGCAAATGATGACGTTTTGGCCATCCAGAAATTTTTCAGAACCGTACGAAAGGTTATGAGCGCCACCCACATCCCACTTTTTGGTACGTTTCACGCCTAAACCCTTTTGGGCATACAAATCACACCGAGGGACCAGCTTGAGGGTTTGCTAACAAGGTACATTTCGCCATTTCCGCGTTTGGTTTTGCATATTTGTCTGATTCGAAGATCTGAACCTCGTGCTGTTAAAGTTGGACAGTTGAACGGCTAAAGTGCAGTCCGGATCATGACATCCACTTTACCTTCGATTTCGCTATCTACTGCATCATCTAAGCCGACCTCCAGCTCCACACGTTTTGTTGATCCAGACCACCATGAACTGAACCGGTTTGACATGCGGTCTTACCCGTCGGGTTCTGCTGATGCTACGCTTGGCTCGGACCACACCTCTGTGACTCCGGTGGCAAACGGCGATGTTCCGCTATCCACCGATGCCAAATGCGAGGGGTCTTGCAACGATGTGAAGAAAGTGTTATCTTTGGGCAGCGGAAAGGCAAGTTTGCCTTCTTCTGTTGCACCGAGCATAGTGGTGGATAAATGGGACGACGATTGGCTAAAAGAGCCCAAGTACAAGGAATTGTACAAGCGTTCTGCAAAATCGGCTTCAAAGGGCTTCGAACGGTTCTTTCTAGCCCAGGAGATGATGCCCTCTGAGACGGAGTCCTCAGGCTCATCTATAAGTGAGATGAAATCCGGTATCAACTTCAAGGACCCAAACAAGAGAAATGCCGTGTGGAATATGCAGTTCAGTCACGACGGCAAGTACATGGCCACAGCCGGAGATGACGGAGTCATCAGAATCTGGCAGGTTCTTTCGTCAGTCATGGATAGGCATACAGAAGAGGACAAACTGAAGGGAGGTCTGGTATCACCTTCTGATGTTTCATTTGTGGATGAGGATTTGGAGTTGGATGGGTATGCTCATGATTCAAAGAAGAGAAAGGACAAGCGTAAGAAGAAGGAGGATTTTGCTCCGATATTCAAGTCGAGGCCGATTCGAGAGTTTGTTTCTCATTCTGACACAATAAACTGTCTGGATTGGTCAAAAAACAATTTTTTGCTATCTGGATCCCAGGATAATACCGTCAAGCTGTGGCATGTGGATAGACCTGCCTGTCTTGCCACTTTCAACACCAAAGACGTTGTGACCTCTGTAAAGTTCCTTCCCACTGACGATAGGTTCTTCATAAGTGGTGGATTGGATTGTCGTGTTCTTCTATGGTCTGTTCAGGAAAACGAGATCATCTACAAGCGCAACATTCCCGAACTTATCACAGTGCTGGAGTTCTCAACGGATGGCGATGAGATATATGTCGGATGCTATAACGGATGCTGTTTTATTCTTGCAACTACAGGACTGGATATCACCGGTATGTTCGAAATTAAGAAGAAGAAGCAGACCCCTAAGATTACCGGGATGCAAGCACTGCTGTCTCCGGATGGCGACAAGAAGCTATTGATCACATCAGACGACTCCAGAGTGAGACTCTTTGGACATGGCAGCGGGAAACTTGAAGTCAGATACAAGGGCTTCCAGAACGATCATTCGGCAATCAAAGCTTCCTCCAGCGATGATCTGCGATATGTGATATCGGGCTCTGAGGACGGATGGGCCTATGTATGGTCTCTAAAATTAGACGAGTTGAAAGAGCCAGGCTCTGCGGACAGGGACAAGTCGTTCTCGAAACCATGGTTCAGTACTGGATCCGGTGGGTTTAACCTCAAGTCCATTTTCGGAGACGAGGATTGTCTCTTCAAAAACAAAAACTACACAGCTTTCAGGTTGTTCCAGTCCAGGTGCAATGTGGCGATATTTGCGCCTACAACCACATCCAAGCTTCTGGAACTAAGCAATGACCCATTATTTGAACTTTTCAACACATTCTCAACACCTAAGCAGCGAGTGGGATTGGAACTGGCTTCCTCCATCATCATCACGACGGACAATCACGGAATGATTCGCGTTTACAGGCGGGACTTTGCATATGGAGTACGCAAACCGTTACTCTCAAAGAAGTCCAATGTACAATTTTCATTGGATTCCGCAGAAATTTCCACGTTACATTCATCCAGATCTACCACAAGAAATGGCACAGAAACATCTTCAATCAACAGGGCAGGAAGCCTTTCTGCAGCATTGTCACGAGGGAGATCGCTCACATCAAATTCTGTCATCAAGGTTCAAAGTCTCAGTCCAAATATGCAACACAGTCACATCGATTCATACTTCTCTCCTCTTGCTTCAACAGTGGTCACTTCCAGGAACGGAAACTCGTTTGAAGCTGAAACAGATTCGGCACTCACCAAACCGGAAAGCAAAGACACAAATCTTGGGATTTCTCGTACGCCAACGCTGACGTCGCAACAGAGTGCACTCTCAGACGAACCCGAGGGAGGTTTGTCTTGTTTAAATTGCGGTGGTCAAAAGTTTTCGGCAAAAAGTATGACGGACAGAGGCGACAACAAGATTGTGTTCTACTGCGATCATTGCGGGTACAGATTGAGATTGGATTGAGGGTCAGGTCGGGTCATATTAAAATATTCACGAAAACAGCAAAACAAAAATATTTATGTATAAAGTGTCATTGGAGTCATCAAATAGTGAATAATAGGTATAATAACTTCGTAGGTACAATAGAGCCATAGGCCATGCATTGGTCAGGGGCCCTGAGCTTTTCAACTGAAGAGAGCTGGCCTGCATGAAGCTCATCACCATCTTAAAGCCTCACTTCCTAACGCGTGGTAAGCTCGATCGTGCTTCCATCTTCCTTTCACACAACAAAAGACTTATTTGCTTTTCTTGAAATGCCCATCGAAACAGAAGACTTGGAAGAAAAATGGCAAGAGTCTCTTCTCAAATATAATGGCCATAGGTCCGTGGTAGCCTACATCAGAAGTACCCTTGGTTCTGACTACCACCTCACGCGCTGTCCATCAACAAGGATGATGCAGCAATTGCTGACATTAGCGTGTATTTCGCAGCATTGCAATGTCTTGGATGATCTCAATGGATCGGACGACCGCCCTTTGAACATGATGGCTCTGGATGTGTTGTACTTTGTGCTGAATTATGTCTCGGTGAAACCCCAGTCCGGCGTACAGCCTAAGAGTTCGCTTCTCAGAACACCTAAGCCGGAAGAAAGTGAAATTTTGAGAATTAGAAACAGACTGTTTGATCTGGTGATGCCACTTGTGAGCCCATGTGATGAAATGAGCGGAAATAGAGCAACATGGGGAAGCAGAAAAAGACAGATACAGACCAAGTTGACGTTTGGGGCAGCTCCATTACCTATAGAGGGCGAATTCACTCCCGAAAACTCGCCCAAAAAGAAACTCAAGCCCGACTTAGAGCTTACACCTGGACAACGAGAGGTTGCAGACTTGATCAGAGAAATTAAGAACGGCCAGGAAGCTGACAAAGAGGAACCTCTTTCCCTGTGGGACACAGGGAACGCGGGCCAAGCACATGACACTGTGCTCGGCTACAAAGCCCTCCACGTTGCATTGAAAGGTAACATATGGAGGGCCATTATAGTGGCTCTAATGTGTGCCTCGACATCTGATTTGAGGTCACAAGCATGCTGGAAAACGTGGAATCCAGTATTGACCTTCGTTGTGCAAGTCATGAAGCTACAACTGGACACCGTGCGTACCACCTCTGATTTAGTCTTTCTCAACCAGACGGTGAAACAAGACTCGCTTATAGGAGAACTGGTGAGATCTTTAAACATTTTTTCTGCTGACCGCGCAATTCAGACATTCGTTGAAAGAGCGTTTGCAGTAGTGGATGATGATATCCTGCCACTAAAACATGTTTACGACCAGGAGTTGAAAACGAGCAAGCAATTTTTGCTGAAAGCAGAGTTGGGGCCGCTAAACACCTTTCCTTTAAACCCGCAGTGGTCAAACAACGTCAAACTTGGGTTTGAGTCGATACCTTTGAGAAGAGAGTTGCTCTCATTACTGTATGATTACCACGACATTCTGTTTCGTTCGTCGAAAAGCCCCACTGAAGTATTCAATCTCAAATCAGAGAAACTACTCAACGAAACCGTCAAGAAACTGGTTCTCGCAAAGTATATGGAACTCGAAGAGTTTTTCACTGTTGAGCCCACCGAGACCTCTCAAACAAAGTTTTTAGCGGCTCTAGCAGTTGAACTAATAGAAACCTTTTGTGGCGCAAGACTAGAGTTCAATGGAGAACTGGGATTGACTGAGCTTTTGGAATGGCAAGAAGAGGCAGAGTTTATCAACCAGTCTCTGACGGACGACCCAAACGTCCAAGGGTCGTTCTCCTTCTACTTCGAATCCACCTCCAAAGTCACCCTATTGTTTCAGTTCCTTATCTCCATGGAGCTACTCAAAGAAAGGTTTCTGGATGAACCCAAAGTACTCAATTCTTTACAGAAAGGCGACAAAAGGAGAATTGAGATGGTGGATAACCAATTCAACAACGTTTGCAAGACTACATTGAAAGAGAGAGAGAGGTACTCACCAGAAACGCATCGTTATTTGAAACTTGAAGGCCTGTCCAACTTGGATAATAATCTACAATTTTTTTTGCATCATTGAACTCTGATATGTACAATCCCACTCAACGTCTTCTTGACCGCCATGATATGCCACGGAATCATCGAGTTGAACTTGCAGTGTGGCTTACTCATGGCCCACGCATCACTCAAGTTGGACAAGTTTCTATATTGGAACAGAATGGTCTTCACCAGTTCTGGTCCGTTCGAGAAATGGGGACAACTCAGAAGATTGACTTCTAGCGAACTCTTGTCTTTACGCTCACTGTTCAGAGGGAAGACGTTATAGAGATAACCAGTCTTGATTGGTATTCTTGTGGGTTGGTTGGATAGCGGCAAGGGACTATTGAGAATTAGTCCAAACGCTTCTTTTGTCACATCCTGGATGGAACTTGTCTCGGAATTACCAGGCGTTCCAGGAGGTTTTCCTGTGTTCCCTCCTGATGGAGAAAGCATGTTGAAGTCAGATGGAGTAGTCATTGAGCCATAGACTTCGGGGCTTTCGATCTTGAACGGAGTCACACCTGTGTTTGAAGAAGTCGACCCCACAGTGTTGGTGTTGAGTTTACCTCCAGTGAACCCAGCATTGAAACCAGCATCAGAGGATTCAGGATCCCCACAATACCCGTTAGCGTTTCCTACCTTCACCAGGAAGGATGAACTGGTATCGACAGTTAGAACAACCAGTGACATGTTTTTGTACTTCTGCGAGAGTCTCTTCCACTCAATCAGCTCATCGTCGGGAATGACATTGTTGAGTCTGGTGAGAATCACATAGCACTTGCCAGTGTGATTGTTGATGTAATTCATGGTTATGTTCCACATCTTGTTGCTCACGCTCTCAAATGGAGCTGATGATCCTCCTTTACCGTTCTTGGACGACTCGTAAGGAACATGCCACGATTGCAGGTTTCTGATACTGCCATATTGGTCAGTCCATGATGCCACACACCAGTTTTTATCAATCGACCTTTCATAAGCAACATGGATGAAAAGGTCCTCCGAAATTAGCGAGCTGGCGATAGCCATTCTGGTGAGTTTGAAATCAATCTTTTTGGGAAGATCCTTCGAGATAGTAGTGAATGTCCTCATGAAGTCTCGAGAGTGATCACTCGACGGGCATATGTTATAGAGACTCAAAGACATCTTTGTCAAGATGGAGTTGGTACACATGGAAAACCCACCGTCTCTTGAATAACAGAAATCGATCGGAAAGATCTTCTGGAATACCTTGATGGGTAGTCTCACTATTGGGATCACAGGAGTTTTGGGAGTACTTGCGTTGCTCTTCTTTTTCTTCTTCTGCTTGTCCAAAGCATTCTTATCAGATATAGACTGAGAATCAACAGCCATGGAGACTGTGTCTGCAAACTCCGAAACCGACTTGGCCGCTTCCACAATTGAGCTGATGCTTCCGAAAGGATCAGCAAAAAAGAGCAAAATGGGTAACCTCTGAGTTTCGTCCGCAGTTTGGGCATCCGCATTTCGCTCATTCTCCAGATAACTTAGCTGTATAGATTTTGCAAGCAAGCTGAGAGTGGCTCTCACAGAATCCCAGTATTGCGCTTCGTTGTTCACGTCTTCTGTGTCAATTGTCAGAACACCATCACTCAGCAATAGACACTCATCATCATCTTTTTTGACGATTTCGACTGGATGTACCGTGCCAAGTTTGCAGGAGGAATAATTTATCACAACGCTGTTGAAAAAGTCCTTGCACTGGTCAGCGAAGAACCCGTTAATGTGAGGAGCAACTATGACCATTCTGAAGTCCGCCTTTCCGTGCAAAGGCTGCAAATTCAAAAGGTTCCAAAACTTGAGCCCAGAGAGGCTGACTTTCAATGGTTGATCCATGCGCTTGAGATTGATCATTGACTGTGGAAAATGGAAAAGGTTAGACTGGCTGACACTGTCTAGCATCGACTGGGTGTCGCTTGCCTGTTGGGCAAAGTTTGCACTTTCAGGAGCAGTATTCATGTTGAATAGGGGCGAGGTCGTTGCGAAATTGGGGTCGTCAAACTCTTGCGGAATGTACTGGTCGGTGTACTCGATGGAATCTTTGTACTCCCCAGTCAGATAATCGAAATATTTCACTTGTTGGGACTTGCTGCTGCCCAGTAGTTCATATAGTTTCAGGGGAGCAACTCCTGGAAACGAAGTCCTCATGACATTGTCAATGTCCGAGGAAAGGTACCGAGAAGCCATGAGCTCCTGGAAGCATGGGTCGAAAGAGGCAAGTTCAGTGTCATCTTCAAGATAGTTTGCCCAGCCAAAAACCAAAAGATTCTGGATAATTGGCAGAACCGAGCCCAACAATCCAGCACTGATGGAAGGGTTGTTCTTCATGAAACACGCAGGAATAGTATACATCGGAATCGTTCTTAGCAGGAAAGGCAGCCAGTTTTGATTCTCAACGGGTCCACCAGGAATGGGTGACTGGTTTACATTCTGTGAAGACGTCCAACCAGCAGATAGAGCCGAAATTGCAGGTTCCTGACTGGATAGCAACGATCCATGGTTGATCCCCAGCCCGACCATACCAGCATTCGATTCAGGCGTCACTTCCATCTCCTCAGCAACGTCGTTATCTGAGGTGCTATCACTGTCTGAAGACTCATATTCGCTATCAGATACCAAATCGCTATCGTCATTCTCTTGCAAAGACGGAGTGATATCGCCAAACCTACTCTGCGCAAACTTCTTGAAGGAGGGAGTCGTAGGATCATCAATCTCTATGTCGTCAGAGCCTGTTTTCGAAGACCCAAAAAAGTACTTTCCTCCGTTGGAGTACTTGCTATCGATACTTTTTTGTATCACAGGGTTGAAGTTGAGCGGAGCAAAAACGGACTTTTTCAGCTCGTTGGGAGTAACGCTTCTGGACTCGGGTTTTTCAGAAATGGTTCGGTTTTCCTGGTAATCATGCGAAGGTGATGCGAATATTTGAAGAGGCAAAGGAGCAGGAGCTCCGGGATCTTCATACAAAGACGTGGAAACAGGCTCAAAGCTCCGTGACTCCTCCATATCGGATCCGAGTCCTTCCTCACCAAGCTGCACGGAAAATGAAGGAGAAGAAGCAGCAGCATTTGGCAGCTGGTTGGTCATAGGGTCATCCTCATCTTCCATATCACCAAACAGCTCGTCCCAGTCCTCTCCTTTAGGACTTGGAGTGGATACTTCATCATGCGAAATGCTTTCCTGGTCGGATTTCTGCTCCAGTCTGTCCTCAGACCAAAGCTTGGAATCATCGGCCATACGAACATCTTCTTCAAAATCATGCATTTCCAGATCTGCGATGGGAGGGTTCAAAACAGGAAACCCCTCTTCTTCTTTTTTGGCATCGTATTCTAGATCCGCATCTATAAAATCGTTGACGACGTCAAACGGATCCTCAAACTTGGAATTCGGTTGAGCAGAATCTTGTCCAGTGTCGACTGACGTCTGGATAAAACACAAACATGTGGGCCATACAATGTACTTGGAGCTTCCGTATCTGGCCAGATCCTTCTCCAAAAAATTCGAGATCATGGGAGTGAGACTGTTCAGGTGCTTCAGGTTAGGCACCAGCTTGACCCACGCCTTCTTCCGAGGTATCTGCGGCAATATTATGTCACAATGTTCCTTTAACAATTGTATGTGTTTGTCCAGATGCGAAGGAGCCTCTTCAGTAAGCGAATCCTTGCAATTACCATTCACCGCGAAGTAGCAACGCACCCCAGACGGGCATAGATACACCACCTTGTCGTCCGTAGCTATCACAGGATCTCCAGGACAGAGGTCCGATAATCGTCTAAATCGCGGGAAATTTGACATCGACATGTTGACAATGAGTTCTCCTTTTAAGCTCAACGACGGGTTCATTTTCAGCACCGAAAAGTCATCAGAAGAATCCGGGCTGATATTGTGGATCAGCAGCTGCGTAGCAAAAGGCAGCATGTAGCCCTTCGCATTGGCACCGGACGCTGACACTTTGGCGAAAATCGATTTCCTAACGGCCTTGAAGAAATTCATGTACATTGAAAAGTTTGGTTTTTGGGCGAATTCGGACGCAGTGAAACTCCCAACTGAATGCATGTTCAACGGCAATCTTCCGTCTGAAATTAGCGACTCTAATGCAGACTGCAATTGGGCAGAAGCAGCAGGATCTTCGATCTCAGCGACATCCATCAAAAATACCCACACATCTTTTCCTGAAGCAATTACCAGAACGCCTTTGCCACCATAGTTCTCAGCCAGTTGGTTTCGTATGAGGCTTTCGTAATCGTAGATGTTGAGCTGTGGGGTTGGCGACCCGTTGGTAGATTCACCACTGGTCTCTGGCGGTCCTAAAGAAGACGAGGGAGTCGAAGACTTTTCATTCTGCTGATGGTCTTTGAGTTGAAGAACGAAATAGAAAACCCGTCTGATCTGTGCGAACTTGTAGAAGTTGGTCTCCGTGTACTGTTTGGCCTCATTCTTCCCAAGCGACCGTGGGTGCTGCCATCCAGGCAGAAACCCCGGGGCTTTGAACAATGGGTTCAAGTCCGACAGCTGGAATGTCATGCCAATATTAGAACCCACTGTGGAACCAAATGTTTCCCAGACGTAGCTTTTAAACTAGCTCGGGGTCTCCGATATTGGTATCAGGTAGGGCTCACTATGGCACAATATGGCGTGCGGGACCTATTTTTCATAGATGAGAAGTCTGTCATTTTTCCGATGGACGAGACGAAAGATACTGGAAGAAGCATAAGGGAACGAGAATAGTCTGAGCGTTATCCTTTGAGACTAGCTCTGTTCAATATTCGCATACCTCACAACCATGGCCAGTATGTTTGTTTCTATTTAGTTGGGTTGGTGGTCTCCGTTTACTAACACAGCTGCAGAAGCTAAGTCCAAGAACGTCATCGTCAAGCTGATATCCACAGCCAAGACAGGCATCACCAGAACGTTGCTATTGCCCAGACAAGTGGGAATCGTTAACCAGATCAAGTATGACCCTATAGTAAAAAGACATGTGCTCTTTGTGGAAGCCAAGAAGAGAAAGATGGGTACACAGAAGAAGCCACTGGACTTTCACAGAGGTGCTTTTGACTGGAAGAAGAAATAGGGGGCTCGATTTGGCAGAATCAATAACAGCAGAGGCTGAAACAATACTAAAGAATCGGAGGTTAGGAACACAAAACTAGGAAGCTGAGCAGACGATCCATATGTGCGAGGCAAAGCAGGATTCGGACTCATGTACATAGTTCTATCCAGCCGTATCTTTACTGACGGTCACTTAGTCACCACAGTGATATGGTGGAGTCCAAACGGATTTGAACATTTCTAAACATATCTTGATTATATTTCCTCGTATTTAACAATTACTCTGAAATAGCATACCTGAAGTTGACATTTGCACTAAGGTGTGCGCATACCAGAAAAGATCACGAGCCCTGGTTCTCTCGACTCTCAGAGTGAATTGTTCACCGAGAACACACCAGCTACAACATCTCAGTTGCAATTCATCAACATCAGCCCTTTGCTCAATTAAAGGCCATCCAGACAAGCGATTCAACGATGGCTGCTGAATCTCAAGTCAAAGAAGAGCAAGTGGCGTCTGAGGTCGCAGCTCCACCTGTTGGTGTTGATGCTGATGCTCCCCATGCTGGTTCTTCGAACGGTGCTACTACAAAAGATGTGGGATCTGAATCTGAAGCTGCAGAAACTGGAGCTACTGAGAGCGATGACAAAAAGCCCGAGGATGTGAATCCTGAAGGCGCTGAAGTTGCGGAAGATGATGAAGAGAATGAAGAAGAGGTCGATGAAGAAGAAGACGAAGACGACGAAGACATAGATGACGATGAAGAAGACGAGATTAGGTCCAGAAAAAGACGGAAGAGAAATCAGTTTTTGGATGTTGAAGCCGAGGTCGATGACGACGACGAAGAAGATGAAGACGAGGAGGAAGCCGAGCTTCTCAAGCAAACCTTCATCCAAGATGACCATATCGAGCACGATGAGGGAGCAGGTCCAACCGCCAATGATGACAGACTCCACAGAAAATTGGACAGATCCAGAGAAAAGATTGACGAACAAGATGCGCAGCAATTGGCCGAAGAACTGAGACAGCGTTATGGTCGTTCTTCAGCTGCTCGTTACACTGGTTCTTCTTCAGCACAAGTTTCCCAGAGACTTCTTTTGCCTTCTGTTGACGATCCAAACATCTGGGGTATCAGATGCAGAGCAGGAAAGGAGAAGGAGCTGGTAAGAAGTGTTATGGGCAAGATGATGAACAGGCAGTCGATTCAGATCTACAGTATCTTCCAGAGAGATAACTTTGAGGGATACGTCTACATCGAGGCAAGAAAGCTGGATGCTGTGAACGAAGTTTTACAGGGTCTGCCGTACGTGTATCCAAGCAGTCCCAAAGTGCTGGTGCCAATTGAGGAGTACAAGGACTTGCTGAGACCAGGAAAGTCATCGGATGTGCAACTTCTGCCCGGTTCGTATGTCAGAATCAAGAGCGGAAAGTACAAGGGTGATCTTGGAATCGTTGTTGATGTTCTTGAAAATGACCTGGAGGTTCGTTTAAGGATCGTTCCAAGGCTTGATTATGGCAGATCTGTATCTCAAACAGTCATTGACTCCACGGGCAATGCTGCTGCTACCAAAAAGAGATCCCATTTTGATATTAAAAGCAGACCTCCACAGAGACTGTTTTCGGAGTCAGATGCGTTGATGTACGATCGTACAGGTATATCCGCCAGATCTGGTAAAAGATTCACATACAGAAATGAGGAGTATGTGGACGGTTTTCTTTTCAAGGATTTCAAGATCCAGATCCTGGAAGTGAAGAATGTGAAGCCAACTTTAGAAGAGCTCACCCTTTTCCGCACTGGTGAGGAAGATGGAATGGATCTGTCATCGATAGCGAGTACTTTGAAACAGTCTACCGATTCTCAAATTACGTTTCAACCTGGTGATCGTGTTGAAGTGAAAGGTGGAGAGCAGGGTGGTATGAAGGGACGTGTGACGTCTGCCCAGCAGGAGAAGATCATTACCATCACCATCGATGACCCAAATTTCCCAATGATGACTAACACCACCATTGAAGTTCCGTCAAACAACTTGAGAAAAGTGTTTTTCACTGGTGACCATGTGAGAGTTGTTCACGGAAAGCACACAGACGATAGCGGGTTGATCGTGGAAGTTACCGGAGACCAGGTTACTTTTGTTTCCGATCAGACAAGGAAGGATATAACTGTGTTCAGCAACTACCTGACCGAGTCAAGTGATGTTTCTGCATCAGCAAGTCAAGTTGGAAGATTTGATCTGCACGACTTGGTGGAGATCAACAGTGACAGTGTTGGTGTGATTATCAAAGCCGAAAAGGAGGCGTTCACAGTTCTTCGTACAGACGGAAGAGTATTGGTGCTTGCTCCATCGTCAATTTCGTCAAAGATTGAGCTCAGTAGCTACCAGCAAATAGCCACCGACAGGAACGGTGTCGAAGTGAAGATAGGAGACGTCGTGAAAGAAGTGAGCGGCGAGAGAAGACAAGGGAACGTGATCCACATGTACAGAAGCTACCTGTTCTTGAAGTCCAAAGTCGTGACCGAAAACTCGGGCGTTTTCGTTGTGAACGTGTCTGCTGTCCAGACCATCTCGACTAAGGGAACCAATGGTGGATCAAAGGGCCCAGATCTGAACAAGATGAACCCAAACAGGTCCATGCCACCTCCATCTCTGGCAACAGTTGTCAGATTCACAGGAAGAGACCCCACGATCAACAAACATGTCACTATCAGAAGAGGTGGCTACAAGGGAAAGAAGGGTATTGTGAAGGATGCAAACGGTGATACTTGTAGAGTTGAATTGCATGCTCCTTCGAAGACTGTTCCCATTAAAAAGGACGATTTGAGGTTCGAAGCTAACCCAGGCAACTTTGTTTCCTATGAGGACTTGGTGAACAACTCCAGAGGCTCCAGAAACTCGGGTACACTCGGTTACAGCGCTGGGCCTCCAGGTGCTCGCCTCAGCTCAGGTGGACCCAACGGCGGTTCTACTGTGGGATGGAGCAGTGGAAAGACACCAGCATGGGGAGCTGGAGGCAAAACTCCTGCATGGGGTTCTGGTGGTAAAACACCCGCCTGGGGATCCGAGACTTCGTACGGCGGCGCAGGTGCAAGAACGCCCGGTTGGGGTGCTGGTTCAAAAACTCCCGCCTGGGGCTCAGATACCTCGTACGGTAATTCAGGAGCGAAAACCCCAGCATGGGGATCCGGTGGAAAAACCCCTGCGTGGGGAGGAGACGGAGGAAAAACTCCCGCATGGGGAGGGGAAGGCGGAAAGACTCCTGCATGGGGAGGAAGGAGTGCGTACGGTGGAAACACAGATTACGGATCGAGATCGGCCTGGGGAGGTAACGACAGAAGCAGCGGAGCAGCTAGAGCCCAGGACCATCCTACAGGTGGCTGGGCTGCAAACACTCCGGGGTTCCAATCGGCCAACACGCCCGGATTCCATGCTGCTCCTACTCCAGGTGGTTGGGATGCTCCCACTCCAGCTAATGTCATTCCTCAGACCCCGGCTGTTGGCCTAGATGATGAAGATGACTATGATCCCGAGACGCGGACTCCTTGAAGATGAGAAAAGTTGCAAAACAAAATGCAAAGTAGATGTCCTCATTGATAGTTTACATCTATTTTTAATTCGCAGTGAAGCTGATAACCGATAATCGGATAACTATTGCCGTAGACATGACTCGACGAGGCGCAGTTGATAAGACGTGAGATGCAATAAGATAGATATCTCTAAATGGGTTCTTGCCCGTAATTGATAAAGGAAGCAGGCTGAGACAGGAGGCTTAGTTATGGGGTAACATTGGATTTTTGACGGAGTCAAACAGAGAAAATCTTTTCAAGCTATAATCTCAAAATTAATTTACGTTGAGTAATGAATGAAAATTAGTTTAAGAGGGTAATGCAGGGTGTAATGCAGTGTAATGCACATTGTTATGAAATTCTTTGGCGAACCTAGTGGGCAATTATGAGAGAAGCAGTTCGTAAATCCCTAACGAACCACAGAAGAACACTTGACAGTATAGTTACATCCTCAGATCTACATCAAAGTGAAATATTACAGCCATTGATTGAATTATATAGATAACAAGGTAAAGAGCAAGTCGTGTGAAACGTGGAAGACATGATCAGGAAAGGAGCAAATCAAGACAGTTGTCTTGCCTTCAGCCAATCCTTGATGGAGAAAATGGTCATGATCCAACCCATTACAAGCGCAACGACACCAACACTTACGTTGAGGGTGAACATACCCGTAAGACCTCTGTACTCAATAGCCTCCACAATCTGGTCTGTGCTCTCCATGAACACTAAACCACCACACAGGAGGGCAAAAGAGGTAATCAGCTCGGTCAAAGGCCTAGAAGGGTTGAACAGCGATCCCTTATAGTAAGGGGTGAAGTTGAGCAGAATGTAGGTGAGAATTCTGAAAAATGAACCGTAGGTTAGCAGGTCTCCCCATTGAACATGAATAGCAGTGGAGACCGCAGATGCCTGCGCGTGCTGTGACATCAACAATCCAGTCCAGAATATGGTGAAAGCAGGAAATGGGTTTGGAGAGTAGCCAGGGGAACCGTGCAAGATATCCGCTGTGTCAATGTTGTTCTGGTTACACACAGAAGTGAACTTGTCCCTTCTCCATGCAGCCAGACGACGCTCGACCAACACGCCACATAGTCCTGAACCTATGTACATGAATGCGATAGAGGCGTGTTGGAGATCCTTCGCGGTCCAAGCTTCGCCCCATGCAGCCAGATGCTCCAAGAAAATGTTTGTAGAGCCGTAAAACAAAATCAAGGAACTTTCAATCATTTCCATGGTGATCATGTCACTGCTTGGCTGGATTCTGAACCAAATTGATTCAGGCTTTTCGTACCGTGAAATGAAGGAAAAGTTCCATGCCATTCCCAATTTGGAAAAAGCACCACAATATCTAGCTAAAGAAACAATTCCAAGCAACACAAAAACACCACCCTTGATGAAATGGGCCAAAAGGTTGAAAATTTTGTCTCCCTTTCCCATAAGGTTCAAACAGGCAACGCCTGTTGGCAGGTAGATCAAGAAGAAAACAAAAAGACCCCAGTTGAGGATGTTGAAGACGAGAAAAGAGACGCTGGAGAATAAGCGAACAATTGCTTCAATTGGCTTGAGATTGAGGATTTTACCGAGGATCTGGTCTCTCTTGAGGGACCATTTCGAAGGCTGTGCGGAGAAGTTCTTGAGACCGAGATCATTAGAGGCCATGTCAGGCCCGTTGCCGGTCTCAGTAGAACTCAAGACTTCGTCCAACCCTTCTCCCAAGTGAAACATACCCGAGTCATGAGAGCCATTATGATCGAAATCATACAGCGTGGAAGAAGGGGACTGCGAACCGTCATGAGAATAGTCCTCAAGAGGGATGAACTGGGACCGACCCCGGGGAAGTGTACCAACCGAGTCTACCCAATTGGTAGCATAATGAATAATGGAGAAGACGAAGTGGAAACCAGTGAGAAAGAACAGAACCAGACTCATTCTTGAGTATGCATTGTTCGGAAACAAGTCCGGAACATTTCCAATGAATATCCAGTAGCTGAACAACGAGATAAATGTGAGCAGCACATGGACTGTCAGACCAGGCAAAAACCAGCCGGATTTGATGTTGTTGAGGATGAGCACCACCGGATAGATCACCACGTTAGTAAGCAGCATCAGCGCCATGTGGATGGTGAGGTGCTTCTTGTAAGGTGACTCAATAGTGAAGTAGGTAGTAGTGTTGTAGGCTTCCCAATAGAGTCTCTCTGCGGGGGTGAGGTTTTGCTCCAGTATGGGGGTTCCGTGATGGTGACCGCCTTCATGTGGCACTGGGGTGATAGTAGACAAGTCAACGGTCGAGAGATCAACGGTCGAGTGGTCATGAGACATGTCCATGTCCATGGAGGCCACGGCCTGGCTCATTATGAGCAGGCCAAACAAAATCAATTTTTTCACACACAACATTTTATAGTATCATAAATGGGACCAGGTGCAGAATGGTGTCACAGAGTATGTTCAACGGGTATGGCAACTGTGGCGTTTAAAAGAAACCAAGAAGACAGGATTGGAATTCAGATAATTTAATATCGAACCCAGTGATTATTAGGAGGTTTCAGACACCGGGTAGAAAAACAGTCTTGTTATCTGGGTAGGCGCAACGGGGTGTAGTCAGAACTGGTTGAGACTAAGGCACAGGTTTGAGAATTAGACTAAATCCTTATCAGTGAATAAAGCCTGTCAATTCGAATTGAGGTAAATGGTTCGTGTCAAAGAAACTTCTTGAGTATCGAGACCAAGCGGCGAACTTCGAGAGACAGAATAAATGGACAAGGAAAAGGGCAGAACAAGAACCAAAAAACCGCGTGTGGCGCAAATTGGGTCTTCAAGTGGGTCGAAATTAGCGCGCTGGATATGGGCTTCCGTTAGCTTCCGTTAAAGCTTTATTCCGACGTGACAGGTCAATGATGGTACTATTCAAAACCAATATGAACAAATCAAATATTTGGTCACTCGAAAATCTAAGGAGCGAACTACGAAATATATATCTGCCGGATTTGAGTAATTTTCTTCACATGAAGGCTACGAAGGGGGGCCTTCCCAAATCGTAAGCCGGCTGTACCGTTTGCTTAGGTCCATAATGTCCGAGGCCGACCAAGGGTACGGGTGCAGGGTAGGGCGGCTCCGAGATGGCATGATCATTCGGCGGGAACACCGCGGTGGCGACCTATCAAGGTTAGCATGTAGCATTCACCAAGGTGGTTTGTTCAGATCATGTTACACTGTGCTGACTAGAACATACGGTACTGTTCTTCCATCGCAATACCTTAACACCGACTTTTGGCTTCTCGTGCGGTTCGTTTTCCGTAACCCACGCCGATTATTAATTTCCTATGCACCCAATTAGTCGCATGATTGTTCATGCTACCCGCTCCGTTTGCACGGACTGACGCAAAAACCTTTTCCGTCTGACTAAGGCTCTCGTTTCTTTTTTTCAACGCAAGGGAGCTTATTAGCATCGGTGGGAGCGAGACCCGCAACCGAAGCCCTTTTTTTTGTCCGGGGCTTCCGTTGTTTGAGCAATTGGCGAAATATTCTCGGTTTGGACTTAATTATAGAATCCAAGTGGTCTGGTGGTTATTTGCGGAAAACAATTGAAGGTGTGAGGTTTATTGAATATAGTTTTCAGAGTGGTCTGTTCAGTTCATGTGAGTGATTTAACCTATTGCAGTGCCCGTCCAAATTTCTCCTTTGCCGATGACGTATCGCTCCTATAATATTTACAAACTTCCAAAGACGGGTCCATAAAGTGGTCCCGGAGCCCAATTGCCGAGCCGACGTTGGGACTTTTGTGCCTTTTGAACGTTGCAGAAGGTCCAGATTTTGTTTGGGGATTTTAAAATATTACGGGGACTTTTATTGTCACCAGTAGATGTAGAATTTCCGAATCCCTCTGCCGACACCCATATTGTATTCACATCGTTGTAGGGTCTGCTGTGCCTTTGCATCATCTACCATCCAACGTCTTTTTGTGCGCGCCAAGCGCATTTGAGCCCGTAGTGCGTGTACCACACAATATGGTTGGAGGGAGCCACAACAACAAGCCTGTTGCGGGGGTAAAGAGATACACATCGTGGTGTTTTACGCGCGTTTCTCTGATTCACTATCCTGTCTATTCATTCTTTCCAACAATGATGGAATCGGACTCGGATACGAGTAGCGATGCTTCTGCTACCGTGGCAAATCGCACCCACGTGGAAAATCGATCTCCCGGCTCAAGTTAGAATTACCTCATCTGCTCATAAGCGTGTTAACTCGTACTAACCCTACACAGCTTACACACTCAACCCAACTGCCTTGAATTCCACAGTCAGTGACAGAACATGTTTGCCCTTCAGCGGATTTCGAACCCCGTTCCTCAATACGGGGAAGTTCAACGATCTTTCCAGAATGGCTACGGTGTTTGGGCTCAAGCTGGATGGATCAGACAACAAGGGAAACTTTGGGAACGGCAAAAATTCGCTTGCCGAAAAGGGCATCAACGATGTGTTTGAAGATTTTTACGATCCCTATTCCTCGTGGATTGACTCGCCGGAAATTCCGATCACGAGAGTGCAGATTGAAGCTATTTTCATCCATCTGAGAAGGATCTTTGGTTTTCAATTGGACAGTACCAAGAACATGTTTGATTACCTAATGAGACTTCTGGATTCCAGATCGTCACGTATGGGACCCATAAGTGCTCTTAAGACGCTACATGCAGATTATATTGGTGGGATAAACGCGAACTACAGGAAATGGTATTTTGCTTCCCAGATGGATATCGATGACTCTGTGGGGTTTAGTAATACAAGATCCAATGGAATGCTGAAATCAAGCGCCAAGCATATGGGACAGGCAAAGGCAAACTTGACATTAGAAGAATCAGAAAGAAGATGGCTGGAAAACATGGCAAGCTTCTCTCCAGAGGATTGCATTATTCAAATTGCGCTTTACTTGTTGATCTGGGGAGAGGCCAACAACATCAGGTTCATGCCAGAATGTCTTTGTTTTATCTTCAAATGCTGCATCGACTGCTTTTACTCGATTGATTTCTCTCAAAGTACACAAGTCTGTTCAACTTCTTTCCTGGATCACGCAATCACACCCCTGTATGACTTTTATTTCAGCAGGTGCTACGAGATGGTTGATGGTAAATACATCCGCCGTGATAAGGACCATAAGAACATCATTGGGTACGATGATATGAACCAGTTGTTTTGGTATAGGAACGGTCTCGAGAGAATAGTTTTGAAAGAGTCAAAAACAAAGTTGATGTTCCTGCCGCCAGCCGAGAGGTATTCACAGCTGGATAAGATTAACTGGGAGAAGGCATTTTACAAGACGTATTATGAGTCCCGAACCTGGATGCATGCTTGCCTAAATTTCAATAGGGTTTGGATTATTCATCTCTGTGTCTTCTGGATGTACACCTCGTTCAACGCCCCTACGCTTTACACCCTGAATTACAATCCAAGCGAAGATAACAGACCTCCAAGCTGGGCAACTCTTTCTGCAATGTCGCTTGCAGGTACAGCAGCATGCATCATAAATTTGATCAGTCTTTTGGCTGAGCTTCATTTCGTGCCTCGAAAATGGCCTGGCGCAGAACCAGTTATCTGGAGGTTCATCATAACATTTGTGATGTTTCTTCTCAATACCAGTCCGTCGGTGTATTTGTTTGTTTTTGCGGCATATGAGGAGTCATCATCATTGAACCTTGCAATAGCTCTATTGCAGTTTGTACTTTCCCTGTTCACCGTGGTATATACATCTGTGGTGCCTTTAGGGTCATTGCTGGGAACCACTCATAGTTCGAAAGACAGAAGGTATCTGGCCTCACGATTCTTCACAAACTCAGTCCACAAGTTACAAGGAAAGACACAGATGATTTCAATTGGATTGTGGTTTTGTGTTTTTCTTTCTAAATTCACAGAATCATACTTCTTTCTCACCTTATCACTGCGCGATTCAATCCGAGAACTGAGCCAGATGGAACTCACAAGATGTGCTGGCGATCAATGGCTTGGTCAAGCATTTTGTCAGTTTCAACCTTCAATTGTTCTAGTGCTACTGATAGTGACGGACTTGATTTTGTTTTTCCTCGATACCTATCTTTGGTACATCGTATGGAATACGTTCTTCTCAGTTAGCAGGTCATTATACATCGGTGTATCTGTTTGGACACCATGGAAAAACACTTTCTCCCGTTTGCCAAAACGCATATATTCCAATATTGTCTACGACAAAACGGAAGGTCACACCAAGAGCAAAGCACTAATTTCGCAGGTTTGGAATTCAATCGTGATTTCTATGTATAGGGAGCATCTTCTCTCATTGGAACAGATACACAAATTGATCTACCAAGACATATATTTGCCTAATGGGGAACACTCCTTGAAGGAGCCGTCGTTTTTTGTTTCCGGCGAGGATTCGGCTATGAGGTCTGGTTTATTCGAGTCGCATACAGAAGCCCAGCGCCGCATCACTTTCTTTGCTCAGTCACTATCGACACCAATGCCTGAAACTACCCCGACAGATACGATGCCATCTTTTTCGGTACTGATCCCTCATTATGCAGAAAAAATAACGTTGTCTCTCAAGGAAATAATCAGAGAGGAGGACGAGTACTCCAATGTCACTCTCTTGGAATACCTGAAGCACTTACACCCTGCGGAGTGGCGCAATTTTGTTCACGACACCAAGCTTCTGGCGGAAGAAGTCGACGGAAAACAGACCAAGCTTGATGACAGACTTACATCAGATGACTTGCCTTATTACTGTGTTGGTTTTAAGTCGGCTACCCCTGAATACGTGTTGCGAACAAGGATATGGGCTTCGTTGAGGTCACAGACTCTTTACCGCACGATATCAGGCTTTATGAATTATTCGCGTGCGATTAAACTGCTCTATGACATTGAAAACCCAGACTTGTCTAGCTTCGATAATAGTGAATCGAAGAAGCTGGAGGTGGCAAGTGTAATGGCCCAAAGAAAGTTTCGAATGGTTGTGTCATTACAACGAATGAGTGAATTTACCCCAGATCAACAAGACAACAGAGAGTTTATAATGAGGGCATTTCCAGAATTGCAGATTGCATACTTGGAAGAAAATACCTCTCCAGAAACTGGCGAGACTACCTACTACTCTTCTCTCATAGATGGCAGTTGTGACATCTTAGAGAATGGTCAGAGAAAACCCAAGTATCGCATAAAGCTATCCGGAAATCCTGTGCTAGGTGATGGAAAGAGTGACAATCAAAATCACGCTCTTATATTTTGCCGCGGTGAATATATTCAGCTGATTGATGCCAACCAGGATAATTACCTTGAGGAGTGCCTGAAGATAAAGAGTTTGCTGTCGGAGTTTGAAGAGGACAATGCTCCAAGTAATCCATATGAAGGTGGAGTCGGGGGATGGAACATGAATCCAGTAGCAATTATTGGTACTAGAGAGTACATCTTCTCTGAAAATCTTGGAATTCTTGGAGACATTGCTGCTGGTAAGGAGCAGACCTTTGGTACATTGTTTGCTAGAACACTGGCACAGGTTGGCGGTAAGCTACATTACGGCCACCCCGATTTCTTAAATTCCATCTTTATGACAACAAGGGGTGGAGTCTCAAAAGCACAGAAAGGGTTGCATTTGAATGAAGACATTTATGCTGGTATGAATGCTATGCTGCGCGGAGGTCGCATCAAACACTGTGAGTACATCCAGTGCGGTAAAGGTCGTGATCTTGGTTTTGGTTCGATTTTGAACTTCACAACAAAGATAGGTGCGGGAATGGGGGAGCAAATTCTGTCCAGGGAATGTTTTTATCTTGGAGCTTACTTGCCATTAGACCGTTTCCTATCCTTTTACTATGCACACCCTGGGTTCCATCTGAACAATGTGTTCATCCTGCTCTCTGTTCAACTGTTCATGTTCTTTTGCATAAACCTTGCTGCACTAACTAATGACTCTGTGATATGCGAATACGACAAGGATGTGCCAATTACCGATATGCACCATCCTTTGGGTTGCCATAATCTCATACCCGTTGTGCTGTGGCTCAAAAGGTGCGTCCTCTCCATCTTCATCGTCTTTGCAGTCTCATTTGTACCTTTGTGTGTTCAGGAGTTGACCGAAAGAGGAATATGGAGGGCTACTGCCAGGCTAACCAAGCAATTTGCGTCTTTCTCTCCACTATTTGAAACGTTTGTGTGCAGGGTCTACTCTCAGGCTTTGATCAACGACATGTCATTAGGTGGCGCAAAGTACATTGCAACCGAGAGAGGGTTCTCTACAATCAGAGCATCATTTCCATTGCTGTACTCACGGTATTCACATGAAAGTATTTACTTTGCTGCTACACTGTTTTTGATGCTGTTATACAGCTCAATTGCCATGTGGAACTTCTCTCTGGTTTACTTCTGGATCATTGTGTGTGCTCTGTCGCTTCCCCCATTCATTTTCAACCCGAATCAACTGTCCTTTTCGGAGTTCTTTTTGGATTATGGTAACTTCAGAAAATGGATGTCGGGCGGAAGTGTGAGGTGGAGACCAGATTCATGGATTGGTCATGTCAGGAAGACCAGAATGCAAGTGACCGGTTCCAAGCGGAAGGCCAACAAGAGTGGCGATTTGCCTTCTTTAGATTTCAAAAGACCCTCTTTCATCAACTCGATATTTGATATCCTGTTCTCACATCTGGTCTCGACAATTCTTGTTTTCATTGCATACCTATTTGCCAACTCTCAGAATGACAGTCGAGCAGAATTTACGGCTAATACCACGTTGAGGCTGATCATATGTTCTGTTTCTCCGATTATTTTGAACACGGTTGTTCTCTTACTGCTCCAGCCCCTTTCAATTGTTATAGCGCCAGTCATTAGTTGGTGCTGGTCAAGTTTCCCTTCAATTCTGGCAAGAATTGCTCATGGATTCGCCGTCATCTGTCATCTGTTCTTTTTCGAGCTTTTATGGTTTTCACAGAACTGGGATGTTTCCCGAACCATACTTGGATTATGTTGTTGCATTATGATCCAGTCTCTCATTCTCAAAGTGTTGACTGTGATATTCTTGACGAGAGAGATGAAACACGATCGATCGAACAGGGCATGGTGGTCAGGGAAATGGGCTACTGCAGAGCTAGGATGGGGAGTTTTGACTCAACCATCCCGGGAGTTTGTCTGCAAGATAACTGAAATGAGCTTGTTTGCTACGGATTTTGTCCTGGGTCATTTCCTCTTATTTGTTCAGTTTCCTTTGCTCTTCATACCTGGGATATCGATGTGGCATTCAACGATGCTGTTTTGGCTCAAGCCGCACTCGCAGGTGAGATCTCCGATGTTGAATCGCAAACAACGAGGACACAGACGCAGAGCCGTCCAATACAACCTTTTCATGTTTCTGATGGCAATGGCGATTGCAATCGCTTTGTTTGTGGTGCCATTGGTCTTAGTTAAAGTGTGTGGCATAGATCTAGATGATTTTGTGCCAGAATTCTTCTTCATGTTCAAACAACCATACACTCCTCCAGACAACAGGAAAGGTCTCAAGAACTACGTCAAACCTAAGACTCATGCATAGCTACATATTAATTAAAATGATCTTATAAACCCCAAACTTTTGCCGTCGTGCTTAATTCTGTCCGAGACTGTGTCGAAACAGACAAACCTTCGAAAACATGCCTCACGAGGCTTTCATCAATCATGAGCAGTGATATTCCAAATCTCGGGTATTTGGAGAATTCCTTGAGATTCGCTAGTATATTAGCGTCTAGATCGACATTTTTCGCTCCTTCATTTAGATAGAAAATCACAGATTGCAAGTAAAACGTGAGGAACTCCTCTTCGATAGCCCTCGAGGCGTAATAATCATGGAAAACTTCAGGAACCACCTTGAGTATTTCTTTCATGGCGCTTTGTCGGAGTTCCACGGGCAAATGAGCCAATGTGCTGAATCTGAGAAGCTTCTCCCTAGGTATCGTCAAATTTGAGGTGACATCTTTGTCGTTGGCTCGTGATGATGGTACTGAGTTATTGTGAGAAGTTGGTGAGTTTGCCTTAGGAACGGGCAGTGGTAGGAAGTCAGCAGGCAGAGCATCTACCTTTTCAATGGGTATTGGAACTAGTCCCTCTTTGGGTGTGATTGACGACGAGATTATGGTGTTGTGGCTTTGGTGGGTTTCCAACTCTTTCTGTATCAGTTCGCCCTGGCTGAAACATTCATCAGCTTCAGCCTTTCTTCTCAAAGACCTTAGAGCAGTACCCTTACGGAGCAACAATTTGGCCTTAATCTTCAGCTCAGGACTTAATTCTAAGCCTCGATCACAGTCAGCTAGTGATTCTTCGTAGTGACCTAATTTCCAATGCGCAGCAGCACTATTGGAGTATACGACAGGATCATGTGCATTGATAGAGATGGAGTCTTTGTAAAACCGGAGGGCTTCCTTGAACTGTCCCTTTTTAAACTCCGCATTTCCGAGATCCTTCAGTTTCAAGGCTTGCTGCGACATGCTTAATCAAACGGACCAATTGACTGTGGTATTTCGGACCACTTTAGTGGTTCTCAGATGAGGCTAGGAGTAGTGGGCTCGAAAGGTTTGTAGGGCATCGCGGGTTTTTCAATCCGAGTCTCTTCTGCAGAATTGATTTAGCCGAGTACTCTTTGCCCTTTCCTCTTCACTGCACTCCCATGTGTGTTCTGTTTATATAAGTTGATATCATTATGAATGAGCTCTTCCACGATGAAATAGGAGCTATAGACGCAATATATCCCGACTACATGACCAAGATATCCCCTTGGATCTATGAGTTCCAGATACCCCAGCATGAACATGTCAAGGTTAGAATGTTGTTTCCAGCCACCTACCCGGATGCTGCTCCACAGATAAAAAATGTTTCTGTGGATGGTTACACCAGCATAGATTTTGAGAAAGCGTGCAGGGAGACATTGAAGTCGGTCTATAACGAAGGGGATGTGTGTATCTTCGACTTCTTCACGGACCTAGATCCAATCCTTTACGATTTGGAAGAGACAGATGCTAGGTCCAAGCCCAAATCTGAAGAAGTGGAGGATCTTACACACGATTTGGATTCTCTAGGAATAGGGTCTGAGACAGAGCTGGACGATATACCCGAGGATATTCCAGAGCAAACAGTTTTTCAATACGATGAAATTTACGTCTACAACCCAGACGACTGGAAGTGGGACAGTAAGAAGAATGAGGATCATCACGAAAAGCATGAAAAGTCAAACAAAGAAACTCATTCTGCAGGTTGGGTCATTTCCGAGCCTATTGTGGACCGGAAGTCGACGTTCATTGCATTTACTCATCCAGTCAATTCGGACGACGATGTGACCAAATACTTCAATGAGCTAACTCAGGATAAGAAAATCGCCCGCGCTAATCATCTTATGCGTGCATGGAGGATTAAATTAGACAATGGTGCTATTATACATGATTATGATGACGATGGTGAGACGGCAGCTGGTAGCCGACTGTTGAATCTGTTAACGGTGAGTATCGGTTTGTGCATGAAGACGCAAGGGTTTGGAGTCTCATCATGTTTGTTTCTGGGTTCTTTCCGTGAGTTACTAACTATCTCCCAGATCATGGATGTCTGGAATGTAATGGTTGTAGTAGGCAGATGGTTCGGAGGGCTTCATATCGGACCTGATAGGTTCAGACATATCAACTCTAGTGCAAGAGAAGCGATTGTGAAGGCTGGATATTTGGATGATAGAACTCCGAAAAAGACAAAGAGCCGAAAGAAATGAGGAGAAAAAGGCTTCACTTCTTTGAAGGCTTCTTCTTCTTCTTTTTCAGTTTGTCCTCACCATCCTGTTTCCTCTTGTTGGAAGGGGACTCTTTATTCCACATATCTTCTAAAACCTCATCTAGCTTGTCCTTTTCAGCCTTTACATCAGGAGCATCTGTTTTGGAGAGTGGCTTTCCAAGTGTTCTCCTCCCCACTGGTTTCGGCTCATCATCATCATCATTGGCTAGGGCATTCAGTGAAGCATACCCCACCGACTCGAAATTCCTCGAAGCCGGCTTCTGCACTTGTATCGTTCTGTTTGCTGGTAGCTTCCATTCACTGGAATCTTTGAGTTTGTTCTCAGTTTCTTCTGCCTGAGATCTTGCTGAGCTAGACTCAGCAGTTCTCATGAACTGTGCGATGTGTTAGTACTCAGGTAGTGACCTAGTTGGCCTATGTTGTTAATACTTACCTTCATGTTCATCACCCGCTGGGACATTCCGCTTCCTGTCGACATTTTGTGGTTTTGATCTGTATATAAAACACCGAGGCTATCGTAACTATATATTAGCTAGTAAAAGTTGAACCGCATCTTGTTAATTTTATAAAAAAACTTGAGTCTACACACTACTCATACAAAGATATGAGCTGCTTCGGAATCTCCAAAAGTTTTACAACATGAGAAGTGTTGTTATTTGGTTATTTACACCTTCTTTTCCTTCGACAGCTCCTCCACAATGATAGCCTCAATGGTTGCCAAATCGGTAGACTCAACGAGCTTGATTTTCTTGGGGATATTGCTCAATTGCTTGAACTCTTCTGGAAGCACCTGGTCCTCAAAGCTGTAACCTTCGAAACCACCCAGGGATTCGTTCACAACCTCTGAAAACTTGGCTGGATGAGCGGTAGACAAAGCAATGTACTTTGTAGACTTCGCTTCAGGGTCGACAGCCATCTTCTTCTGCGCAGTTGCAATTCCAACAGCAGTGTGGGGGTCTAGTATGTAGTGGTTTGAGGTGGAAGCATACGTGTCCTTGATGGTAGCACCTGTGAGTTCGTTGGTGATCATTCTAGAATCAAAATCAGACTTGATTTTGGCAAGAGTTTCGGGAGCAACTTCGAAAATTCCCTTGGAAGAAAGATCCGACATGAACTGGGCCAAGATCTCACCAGCCTTGTTGTCATCACCACCTGCAGTAGTGGCTTTGATGGCGTACCACAATAATCTCTCAAAGTTGGAGGAGACACAAATGTCCATGGCGGGCGAGAAGGTGGCCTTCACGGTGGAAGCCTTGTCGTACTTGCCGGTATTCAAGAATCTGTCCAGAATATCATTCTCGTTGGTGGCAATGACCAGTTCCTCAACTGGAAGGCCTAGTTGAGTTGCAAAGAAACCAGCAAGAATATCACCAAAGTTTCCACTTGGAACCACGTATTTCACCTTCAGGTTTTTCTTCTCGGCTTCAGGCAATTGCTTGACCAGTTGGAAGTATGCGTGGAAGTAGTATGTGATCTGAGCCAGAATTCTGGCCCAGTTGATGGAGTTGATAGCACCGACGTGGTACTTATCATTGAACTTGGAATCATTGAAAACTTGCTTCACCAAATCCTGACAGTCGTCAAAGGTACCTTTCAAAGAGAGAGTGTGAATATTATCATCCAGCACTGTAGTCATTTGAAGCTCCTGGATTGGCGAGATTCTTCCAGTTGGGTACAAGATGAACACAGAAACGTCTTTCTTATTCCTCAGGCCGTAGATGGCAGCACTGCCGGTATCACCAGAAGTAGCACCGACAACGGTGATGATGTCCCTTTGTTCACCTTCCTTCTTAGCAGCATTTTTCCTGGTCAAGAAGTACTCGAACAGGTTTCCAACAAACTGGAGAGCAACATCCTTGAAGGCGTATGTTGGACCATGGAACAACTCCAACAAGTATAAGTTGTCGTGGGAGTCAAGTTTCACCAATGGAGTAACATCTTTGGTTCTGAATGTAGAGTATGATTTCTCAACCAAAAGCTTCAAATCAGCATCTGGAATCTCAGAAGCGGCAATGAAGTTTCTCAAAATGTTGAAGGCAAGCTCTTCAAATGACAAGTCTGACCATTTTTCAAGGAAATCAGATGGCAGCTTTGGGATCTGAGAAGGCACAAAGAGACCACCGTCCTTGGCAAGACCCGTCATGACGGCATCCTCGAAAGAAACGGCTTGGTCAACCTTGGAGCGTGTGGAACGATAAGTTTGACTAGCAGACATAGCTGATTTGGAGTTGAGGAAATGGAGAAAAAAGGGAAGATGATCAATCAAAGACACTGACGAAATATGCATGGCCTGGGCCGGTGATGGGCCATCCCGGTAACGGAGAGATTTTTTCGTCTTGAGTCACAGTCACGTGCTTTCCGAGGGAAGTTACAATAAAGATTTGGAACATCAAAATTTAGCACACAAAAACCAAAACAAATTCATAAATAAGCACTAAACTGAATGCAAATAGCTGGTATATATTTAAAACGAGCGAGCGATTGTTGGGTGGCGTTCTCGTGAAACTGACACAAAGTGATCCCAACTAGTTCTTCCTCTCAAGTTCTTGGAGCTTATCACTCCTTTTCAAACGAACGTTTCCGTCAACGATGTCGACTTCAAAGCCAGTCCTCTCCAATATGGCCTCATCCTCTTTGTCTATAACAGTTCTCTGGGCTTCCATCTTGCGGACGAACTCCTGGTTCCCTGGGTTGTTCTCAAGCAAGTACTTTATGCAGAGAATGGCACGTTCTTTGACGAAAGGCTCGTTCTTGTCCAAGTTACAATTGGATAGGACTACCTCCAGAGCATGTAGATTTCTAACCAATTCCTGATTCTCAAAGTTCTGGTATATCAGAAAGGTGATAATCTCTATTATAACCGACTTGATCATTGGGTATTCTTTTTTCCCTGCTGAGACCGAGTCAGTTGAAGACTTCAACGTCTTTCTTTCTGTGTTGTTGTGCACAATGTGGAGAAATGCAATCAACTCTTCGAGGAACTTGTAGCTGTTGAGGTAATTCCTGACATGATCGTATTGACAAAGAGAGCCGATGGTGTCAAGTGCACAAAGAAGAGACTTCTGGTTCTTTGACAAAGTCTCCTTCTCAGCTACCGTCAGGCCTTCAGCACTCAGCAACGGCGTTGCCTCTCTAGAGAGACTTCTGTAAATCTCCAACAGCCAGGTGATCACTATCGTGAGCTTGTTGCTGTCCCAATCCCACTCCTTCGAAGCCGTCAATAGCTGTACCAACTTAAGCAGCTGGAACATCACCTGGTGAGCTTCTTCGTCATTTTGCTGGACCAGTTGCTTGCTAAAAGCAAGAAATCCTTCATGAGTGACCACCTTGAATGAAATGGACATATTCAAATAATCCACCTCGGAAAACGCCTCCAGTGTCTGCCGATCAGACACATCGTACTTATCTATGAAATGCTTTAGCAATCCGGCAGCCATCGGGTTATCAAAAAGCTCCTGTATGATGCAAGGGTTGTTTGAAATGTTGTTGACGTAAATGGAAAAAGGTATTATCACCTCAGAGCTTCCAAACACGTTAATATGGGAGTTGGCTGGCATCTTGCCCATGTCTCCGTCGAACATAACCACTCTGTGTAGCAACGGACTCACTCCTTTCAAGTCCAGATGATGCGCAACATCATGAATGTCTTCTATATCAGCTGTCGAAAGGTTTGTGAGGTATTGAAAACAAGCCGCGATGGTCTTCATGTAAAGCTCGACGATGGGGATCTTGAGATCCTCCGGACCCTGCAATTTGGCATGTTCCAGGTTGTCCAGACTGAACATCGCCAGCGCGTTCACATGTTTCTGGTTTTGAATAATCAAGCTGTAAAGCTCACGAGTGTTCAAGTTGAAGCCATTGGTCGTTTTGTGCTTGTCCTCGGATTTCAATGCGTTCTTCACTCCCACAACCAGGTTTCGGGCGGTCAACACCACACCACGAACTATACGAACTCGTAATATCGAAAGTGCATCTTCCTTGAGATCTGGTGCCAAATTATCAACAAAAGCTCCTATGGCCTCTGAAAGTTTCGACCAAATGGACACCGACAGTCCTAGAAAGTCCCTCGTCGATTCAACATTGGCTGTCAATGTCACCACATATCCCAATCTGGATAAACAGTCTTCCGCCTGATCAGCACTCCCGCTGGGGCTGAACTGCTGGAGCACATCAGCAAGAATCGAAAGACACTCTTCACGCTCCATTTGTGTGAGTAGCGATGTTCCACACGCGCTCTAGATGTTTGATGAAAAACGATACCAATGCCGCGTCAACCAGTGCTTGTGTTTCTTTTGGAAGGGACTAATACAAGAAGGTGATAACCTTCTGATCAACAAACTTGAAAGTCGAAATTTCAAGAAGAATCGTAAAACACTGAGATAATTAAAACAGAGGCCCTCGTGTCTTGTGCCCATTTCCCGGCTGCGCCAGCCATTGCCTTTTTCTTGCCTCTTTCTTTCGGCTAGCCATCCCTGCAGGTGTTTCCCAATGCGGTCTAATGATGCGTCAGTGCACTACTCGTGCGTATGCTGTTTGAGCTTGAAGTGTGGAGCCATAAGGCCTAATCAGGACTTAAGGTTTGGGAATTTAATGTTTATGGATTAACGTTAAATGTGTGGATTGTGGTGATTACCAGAGACTTGATTATTTCGATGCTGGTTGGTGGTGTATGTAAGTATGTGTGGATTATGCACTAGGAGTCCTGCATATCATCATCAGACTCTTCTTGATCAGATCCCTCAGAATCGTCCAAGTTTTGCCCAGCAGATGATTCACGGTCTTCATCTTGGTCCATTTCGGAGTCTGAGGCCGAAATGTCGGAGTCGTCCGGCTCCCCAACCATCATTAACTGGAATTCGTCCCTATCGACGGCCCCGTGCGGCTCAGAAGTAAGAAACTGCAGATTGAAGGTGTTACGCTCACCAACAGCAACCACTTCCTTGGCCACTCTGGCCAAAAACCTTTGAATTGCTCTCAATCCAGATGCATAAATATGCTTATTTTTGGCAATGTGTCTTCCGTGGGAATTAAATATCGCCTTGATCCACGAAAGGTTGAACTCGATGTGTGGGTCATCCATCAGGAGAGAACCTATGAAGTCTATCAGTCTGCTGATGTATATCGTTGGCAGTTGTTGCACCACGAGCTCAACATCAGTGGCCAGGATCGAGTCGTACACTTTGTGAATCAGATACTTTTCGTTCAGTCTGAATGACATCACCAAAGCAGTGAGGTATTCCTTCTCCTTGAGGGCTTCCAGTGTGTTCTCTGGAGTCACCTCCATATCGAGGTCAATTGGGTCAAACATGGCGTCGTCATCTATAGAGTAGATAAGTAGTCCTTCTGTTGTAGCAGCTGCAAATGCGTTTGCCGTTGGAGAAAAGGAAACGCTCGTGACCCTTATTTCGGGCAGTGTCGATCTCAAAGATGGGTCACCTCTTGCAGAACCAGGCATGGTAGAGAAACCCTTCTTACGATCCTCGAAATCTGAAAGATCATCATCCAGATCGATCAGATCGATAGGACCTGCGTCGGTCATCTTCTTAGAATTGAGTAGCTCAAGAGTTCCGTTGAGAGACATGTTCTGAGAGACGGTGAATCTTTTGAGCAAAACCTCGTTGGGGATATCATAAAGACACAACGAGTTGTTGTTTCCACCAGCAAGCAAAGAAAGACCATCGAAACTGTAGCAGATCGTTGAAAAGTGCTTTCCCCTCGACGAATTTTGAGAGACAAATCGGTCCTCAATGTGCCTTCCCTGTAGAATATCTTTTCTGCCATCAATATTGCCCACCTGTGTACCAGATTCCAGATCCCAAAAAGATACCTGACCTTCCAGCGTACTGGCAGCAACTTGTTTTGAATCAGGTCTGACTGCAAGGGCAAGACACTCCGACAAAACGTGGAAAGGCTCCACTGTCTGAGATCTGGCAAAGATGTCCCACACACGGATGGTCTTGTCCCAGGAAGCACTGGCCAGCACGTTTGAATTTTCAGTACCAAAAGAAAGAGAAGATACAGGTCCTTCGTGGCCAGATAGAGAGTCAAGCAACTGCGAAGTTTGCACAGACCACACATGGATATTGAAATCGTCTAGCGATCCGGCACACACAATCTCTCCACTGGGATCAACAGCCAGACAACTAAACTGAATCCTTTCTGGAGCAGTGAAAGTACGGAAATTCCTATATCTGATCAGATCCCATGCTCTCACGGACCCATCAAGCGAACTGGAAAACATGACTTGACCTCTCTTCGCGAATGCTATACCAGTGACAGCCGAAGAATGCTCGTCAAAAGTAGCAAGACAAAACCCCGAAATGATATCCCAAATCTTAATCTTGCCGTCATCTGCAGCAGTTACAATTCTGGCACCATCTGGAGAATAGGCAATGGCATTTGTGGAGTCAAAGTGACCCTGTTGTTTCAGAATGTACGACTCAGATTGCCATTCGTACACCAATAATTGACCCAGTTTACTGGAACCAAAAGCAAGCCATTCACCTGTAGAGTTCACTGTTATAGTGTTCACCGCATTCTGTCCCATGGCCAATTGCTGAATGAGCGTAAAAGATGGCAGTTCGTACAGACGGAATTCACCATTGCCAAATCCGACGGTAAGAACCCCTGAGTCAGCATGGAAAGTACAGCACTTCACTTTGGTATCAGCAAAAAAATAGTGTCTGTCCGTTATCCTCCAGTTCATGTCCTCTTCATCGTCATCTTTCTTCGACTCTAATGAGTCCTCGTCCTTAGGTCTGGTGGTGTACTCCCATTGAAATATGGCACCATCCTTGCTGACAGTGAAGATGCTCTCCTGGTCTTTGGAGAAGAATGCCCTCACCACGTGGTCTCTATGTCCAGATAACGTCATCTTAGCAGCAGCATCCTCGGTCTCGAGTGAAAATATCCTTGCTGTCATATCTTTGCTTGTAGATAGGATGAACCTGGAGTCTCCGGACCAAGACACGGATGTCACCTCAGAGTAATGTCCGGCATAAACCCTGTGTCGCACAAATGGTGCAAACTGTCTGTCTTCTGTCAAACTTGGAGTCTTCCAAATCTGAATAAGTCTTCCGCACGAAATGGCAAAATGCGTCCCATCAGGCGAAAACACTATATCACGAACTCTGTCCTTGAAGTTGAAATGATGCAGAACTGTACGGGCTCTGAAATTCACCAATATGGCTCTTCCATCTTCATCCACAGATATCAGAAGATTCCCCTGACTATTCAATGCCAGACATGAAATGTTCTTGCGATGCTCATAGTCCAATGTGAAGGATTTGTTGTGCATAAGATCGAACACAGACACCTTGTTACCAACTGGTGACAGCAGGGTGGAACCATCTTTGGTGAACACGAGATTGCCCCTGTAATACACAGATCCCAGCAAGTTGGAAAACTTGAAATCAGACCTCATTGTGTCTGGACCTTGGCTCTATGGAAATGTGAACTTCACTGATCAAACAAGACACAACTCAAGTATAAAACTTTAGTATCCATAAATTTTCATCTCATCTTCTGTCACGTGACTGAAAAATTTTAGATAAAGTTGAGCCGCATTTAGTCGTGTATCGCGCACAATAGGATTTTTCAGTGCTTAATCCACATGTGCATGAAATAACGACTACAACTCCATATTATACTCCAGACATTAAAAATGGCAACCACTGCTAACGTTGAAGGTTTGCTGGACTGGTTCAGAGACCCCTCAAATAAGTCCTTTTGGAATGAGGACCTGCTAGACATAAGAACAGCATCTGTGGGAGGAGGAGCTGGTGTTTTTGCTAGAGAAGACATCGACGTGCATTCTCACGACCATTGTGGAGGCCATGGAGATGATCATGAGCATGAAGATACGCCTATTCTATTGAGAGTCTCCAAGGAAGCCATTTTGAGTGGCAGAAACTCCAAAATTTGCAACTTGTTGTATGAGGGAGGACTTGATGGGATGCAAGCAGTTGTGCTTGCCTATCTCTACGAGAAGGCTGACCCGACCAGTCCGTGGAAGGGTTATGTCGACTCCATAAACATCTACGATGATAACGGAAAGCCAATTGTTCCGCCGTGTATGTGGGATGAGGAGGCCAAAAAGTGCTTAAAGGGAACTGAAGCTGAGGTTCTTGGAGTGACTGATCCTGAGGAGATAGAGAGATACTTCACCATTGCTCTAGCGTTTGCAAGAGAAGTGGAATCTGTCATTCCTCGGCCAAAAGAACTGGACATTGTGGGAAAGCCTCAAGAGGAGGTTGAGAAGATGTTCGAAGTGTACGCCGCCATAGTTCTGGCTGTTTCCTCTAGAGCTTTCACCATTGATGATTTCCATGGTCTGGCTCTCGTTCCAGGAGCCGATTTGTTCAACCACAATGCATACGACGATGAAGATGTTCATTTTGAGACTATTGCAGACGTTTGCCCTTTTTGTGGCAAAGACAGTGGCTGTGGCCATTCAGAGTTTGGTGGTCCAGACAGTGAAGAAGATGACTCGATGACTGGGTCAGACTCCGAAGATGAAGAAGAGTCAGGCGAAGAGGAAGAAAATGATGACGAACAACTTCTCGAAATTACTGAGGAAGTGATCGAGCGATTTGAGTCGGATCTCCTTGAGCAAAACGGAAGTGAATCTGATGAGAGCTCTGATGAGAGCGATGCCGAGTTGAGTCCTGTGGAGAGAGAAAGAAACTCTGCGTTTTCTGATCCTGACTCATGTTGCGATATAACTTTGGTGAAGAGCATCAAGAAGGATCAGGAGATTTTCAACACTTATGGTGATCTCTCCAACCCTTTCTTGCTGTCTAGTTACCTCTTCGTTGCAAAGAACAATCCAAACGATACGGTTGGTTTGGGTAGACAGATCATCCGATTCTCCAAAAACAGCAAATTCGCCAAGCATATCTCTTGGTGGGAAAAGACTGGATACGTTTTATTTAAATCTCAATTTGCTAGAGCCAGGGGGCTTGATGAAGACGAAGAACAGCAAGATTCTGTCTCTGATGGATGGAAACTGGATATGAAAATTGCTGCGGATGGAAACCCTACACCTGCGACATATGCATTTGCAAGGCTGCTCTCATTGTCTCATATCCATCTGAAGAGAGTGATATTGCAGAAGCACAAGTTGCACAGCTCTCTTACCATCAGAGATCCCAGAGCCAATCGTCTGTTGCTACACTGGTGTCAGCAGAGAGTTTCACAGTATGGAGAAGTGAAGGTTCCACCTGGATATAAACACATGGTATCACCATTGATCAACCATGAGAAACAGATTCTTGCTAAAGCGATCGAGCGTCTTAGCAGATAGACGAAGTAAAGCGTATAGAAGGATGTACAAAATGGAGCATTTTCAACATTTGTTGCGGCGTAATATTGGTAATTGCACTCCGACGAAGCGGTTTTCCGGATGGCATTTAGAGACGTCTGTCTTTGCTCCTATTCTCTTCGAGCATACATTAACCCTCCAATACATTATATCCAATATGGGACTATTCAGATCCGATCCAGTGATCCCAGACCCTCCAAACAGATCTAAACGTGAAAAGTGTTGGGAGTCTAGAGACCTCTTTTTCAGCTGCCTAGACAGGATAGACGTGGTGAACCCGTTGGATAAGAAGCACGATAAGATTATTGCTAAGGAGTGTTCGAAGGAGAACAAGCAATATGAGACTGATTGCGTTGCCTCATGGGTCAAATATTTCAACCAGAAGAGGCCCTTCGACATAAAGAAGGAGAGAATGTTGAAAGAGGCTGAAGAGCAAAACGCAGAAGTGATCCAAATGCCCGGCTACCGTCCAGGTGCTATTGGTAAGTGAAAAATAGCACTTTTTGGCTCGTTTATTATATATGTACATAGTTATGCCTGAGTTTATGCTCTTAATCTTTTTTCAAAGTCCTTTGTTTCTCTGCATTCTTGACCACTTTCTCGTCCACGAATAGGCCCTTCCTCTTCCTGATGGCATTCATGTACTTCCTTGCAACGTTCTCTTTATCAGCGGTCTCGCCAAGATCTTCCAGTTCTTCTTCAGTCGTGGGAACCCAGAATGGGTCCATATCGATGATCTCGAATCCCGAGAAAACCAGCTGAGGAGAAGCAGCACCAGACGTCTTCTTTCTGATATCTTCGCTAAAACCAAACGCCTCCACGACGGGAATTTTGGCCTCGATACTGAAGAAGGGTGTTCCTTCCTTCATCTCTTCCGAATCTATATGACCTCTTCTTCTCTGGATAACTGCGTAGACCTTTCCCAGCACTTCGGCTGAGGCCTGAATCTCACTCGAGTACATGGCAAGCATGAGACGAGGAGACCAGTCCAGAAACCCTTGATGGATGCAATCCCTCGTGGTGGTGATAGTTCTTCCTGACAAGTTTGGCACTGTTGATTCTTCCTCAGAAACATTTGCTTCTTGGACAATAACAGCAACACCTTGGATTGGCTCAGCAGCTAGTGGACCTTCGTGCATCGCTAGCTGGAACCCGTTGATGATGCTGTCTTCGAACTGAAACCTCGTAGCAGCTTCACCAAAAACTCTTCTCCCCAGATTATCACTGAGATCCATAAGTATATTTGGACCCATTCTCTTAGGTCCAAGAGATACAATTCTGTCGACGAGGTCGGTCCAGTTGATATTGTCCTTGTTCTTCAACTTGTTACCAGTCTCCAAAAGCTTTTGGAGCTGCGATTTGAGCTCTCCAGCTGTCAGAACACGGTTGTTGGACTCAATTACACCCGCATCATCGTCATCCTCGTCATCCTCCGATTCAGAGACTTCCTTCTTAGTCACCAGATTCTTAATGCTGTTGTGGTTTTCAGACAGAAATTGGACCACCGCCTCGGGAAGAGGGATAACCTTGTACTTTATATTCACATTTCCGAGACTTAGCTGAGTCACACCTCTTCCGAGCTCTGGTTTCTTCGGAGGGTTCATTTCTGATTGGGCCAAAATTGTTTCACGATAAGGAATTTCAGGCTGAGATGAAGTGATCTCAATTCCAGCAAATCTTTCTCTCAAATCCTTCAAGCATCTCTCCAGGTGGAGCTCACCTGCAGTGGCAAGGATATACTCACCAGTATCCTTCACAAACGTACGAACGCAAGGGTCAGCTTGGTTCAGTAGCTCTAATCCATGGACCAGTTGGTCCATTTTGGTAGGATTAACAGGCTCCAGAGCAACACGCACAATTGGTGCAGAGCTGAGAATCAGACCAGCAAGGTTCACCCCGGTTATCTCTGAAGACACCAATGTACCACTCTTGAGCACTTTACCAGCCAGTCCACCAATACCAGCCAGATTTCCGGCCGGAACCTCCGCTAACGATATCAGCTCGCGTCCCATGATTAAGTAAAGATCAGTAATAGTCACCTTGGAAACATGTTCGTTGGGGTTAGCTGGGTTGAACTTAGGCCCCAGAACAGTCAGCTCCTGTCCAACCTTTATGGACCCACTGTAAACTCTAGCCACACCAACCAGGGCCTCTTTGACGAGTTCGATTTCCTCCTCAGATTCTTCATCATCTTCATACTCGAGCTCAAGCTCGAACGGGTTCTTGGTCTCCACATCAGAAGGACTGACTTCGTTTTTATCAGACTTATTCTCAGTCAACAGTCTAGCTTGTTCGGATGCCTTGGCTGCAGCCTCTCTAGCCAGCCTTCCTCTCTCAAAAAGCTCGTCTTGAGTCATTGCAACTCTCTGGTTCTTAGGTAACTCTGACTCAGGAATGGAAACCATTTTCGAGACATAGGCACTCACAAGTCCAGACTGATTGCAAGTGAGCATATCCTCCTTCAGTTGAAGGTCTATCAGCTCAGACCCTGGTGCCGCCTCTAAAATGGTTGGGATACGTTCCTTCTGTGAATTCAAAGGTGAGGGCAGCTTATCCACAACCGTTACCAACACTGCACTGGATACAGGCAACCATTGGCTCATTACTGTGTTAATCAAGGTTTTGGAATCTTTGGACCTGAGATCACGAGGATTTACCTTGAGCGATAGAGATTTCACCACTTTCTCTAGCTTTTCCTGGTCGCGGTTGATTGAAATGCAATCATATGCGGCCCAAATGTTGTCCAAAACCAGCGAGACGAAAAGAGGCTTAAGAGTTCTTCCCTTAAGCCCTTTGGAGGATATCACCTTCTTGGATTTGGGGTCAAGATAAAAGTTTCCCCAAAGCACTTTCTGCAGATTCTGTCTCTTCATGCCCAACTTCTTCTCATAGATGGAAGCAAATTGCGCAATGTTGAACCCCCAGCCATCATAAGCGGAAGCAAAAATCACATTGTTCTTCTCGGGAGCAAAGTAGATATCTTCGTCATCCTTTTCCACAAACTCTTCTACGGTTCCCTGTTCTTTCCTTTCTCTCCACAATAAGTCTTCCTGCATTCTCTCACCAGCGAAAAAACTTCCGATAACAGAGTTTACCTGCTCAATCACCTTGTTCAAATGGATATATGCCTCGGTAGAACTCAGCTTCAGCTCTGTGATCAATCTGTCTATTTTGTTCAGCACTAGCACCAGTTTTAGTCCGTCCACCCACGCCTGTCTCAGTACGGTGACCGTCTGGGAACAGACTCCTTCAACAACATCCACCAAGACCACAGCACCATCGCACAATCTGGAAGCAGTAGACACCTCTGAAGAAAAGTCGATATGGCCTGGAGAGTCGATCAGGTTGATCAAGTGTTCTTTGACCTGGGGTTCAGCCTCCGGGTCTTCAGCGTTCCGTCTTAAAAGCCTGAAATATAGCGATATTGCGGAGCTTTCCATAGTGATTCCTCTCAACTGCTCATCAGGTCTAGAATCAAGGTATCTCACCTTACCGGCTAGTCTTTGGGAGATAATTCCGTTTGTTGCAAGTAAAGAATCAGACAACGAGGTCTTACCGTGATCAACATGGGCCACAATGCATATATTCCTGATGCACGCAGGATCCGACTGGAGGCGCGAGATCTCCTGAGTAGATAGTCCCATTTTTAGGAGTTTATTAGTGGATTTCGCAACTGTGAGCGATGGTGTATTCGACTGACTAATCTGAAAACTGACTTGAAGCCATATCTATAGTGTCTACAATTTTCATGTCTATAATTTCTTGTGCCGAACACACACGCGATGAGGCAAGTAGGACTTCCGAAATAGGCAACGACATGAAATGACGACTGTTCCAGAAAAGAATATACTGATCAACGGGAACTGAGTTTTTTCAACGCCTTTTGGTAGAAAACAATTGTGAAAAGGTAACTTTATTCTTAGAAATTTGATTCAGATGAATTCTCCGCGTTATGAGCAGTCTTTGGTACGGCTGTTTTGGTAAATGCAGCTTTACTTCTGACTGACTTCAGACATGCTAAATGGTAAAATATACAAAAATTGATGATTTTTTTGAAAAAATCACTGCTCCAGCAAAACCATCTCATGTTGGACCAATCAGTATATATTAATAAATGCAAGTTTATCTTTCGATGAATGACAATGTAATGCCTGCGACTCTATGCTAGTTTTGGTATATGCTTTACCTCCTCAATTGTTTGAGTCATTCAAAAGATTCAAACTCTCGTCTTTGTCCGTGTAATTCCCCCATCCCATGCCGGTATCACCACCCACAGTCACGGCAAACTCGAGGTCCTCGGTGGTTATCATGTCCCAGTACTTGTACACCATCATGACGGTGGAGAGGTTGCAAAGAGATCCAAACAACAAACCGTCAATGTAATGGTTCACATTCTCGCAAATCTTGGTAGAAAACGCGTAAACAAGTAATTGGGAACATACAAAGAAGAATCCTCCTAGGCATAGAGCCCCGAAGGCCCACCAGTTATTCAGGTAGAATACGGATAGAACGGCCTGGGACACTAGATATGTCACCACCAAAATTCCATTCACGATGTAACAGACCACAAAAAGCCCCATTGTGTGTTCTGTGTCCACGCCGGAAGACCAGTTCTCAAATGTGAAAATGGCAACCAGGAAACTCATCACGAATGCGCCCAGAGATGAAATCCTCAGAACCTTCATGGAAAAACGCGTTCCGTCCTCCCAGAGCTGGTAGCCAGTCATTCCCGAGTATGCCAGAGACCAACACGATGCAGTAACCATTCCAAGCTGAATTGCCACGAAATACCCATAAGAACCGGATCCGGGTGGAGACACACCACAATCAACGATTAACGTGGATACTATGAGGCCAATGAACACGCTGAAGAAAAATACCATTTCGCTTCTTCCAATTGCGGTATATTTGCTCTTGACCTGAAACAGGATAATTAGCATTATCACCAACGCTGCGATATTCACAAAGGCGTTGCCTATCTCGAACACCATGGTGTTAGCCAGGTTGACTGGTCGCGCGTAGCATGAGGGTAAAATGCCCTTGTAGACGGTATCTGTAGCATTGACACCGGCAGCCCGCACCACCGAGCACACCGGCAGCGGAGCCTTCGCACATATAAAACTGAAATCCCCAAACCCCATGCTGGAAAACGGATGAACACTTGGAACAGCACAACAGAACCGTGTGCACCGAAAACTATTTTAGAGTCAATCGCGTTTCGGAAATCGGGGCGTGTTCTAATCAATAGATGGCTTATATAAGCTCATGTTATACTCGTTTACGTAAGCCTTCTGGCTGTGATGGGCCGATTTCTCGGAAAGCGGAAGAAGGCGCAGACCTCAAAAGAAAGGAAAAACACGTTACCAGTGTTAAAATCTTCTCCCAAGAAACAACTTTCTTTCTGAACTTTTTTTCTCGCTTGGTTCTATACACAATGAGCAGACTACCTTTGTTCAGTACCTCGCAGCTCCAGCTGCACACGTCGAAGAACGACTGCTGGGTCTCTCTGTACAACAGAAAGATCTATAACGTCACACCATTTTTGGAGGAACATCCAGCCGGAGAGGAGTTGATCCTTGAATGGGCCGGAAAGGATATCACACAGATAATGAGTGACCCGGACTCTCACGAGCATTCGGAATCAGCCTTTGAGATGTTAGACGAAGACATGCTCGTTGGTTACCTGGCCACCGCAGAAGAGCAGGAAGAACTGTTATCTAATAAAGCTCACTTGGTTGAGGTCGTTCCTGAGACTATTGATCTTACCGAATTTGGTGAGCTGCCCAGCGAAGAGTTGCTGAGTGTTCAAACCGACTATCAGCACGATCTGCAGAAGCACAGGTTCATTGATCTGCGTAGGCCCATGGTGTTGCAGGTGCTACTTTCGGACTGGACGAAAGAATTCTATCTAGACCAGATTCATAGGCCCAGGCATTACGGCAAGGGGTCTGCTCCCATATTTGGTGGGATTCTGGAGCCTCTTTCTTTGACACCTTGGTGGGTTGTTCCTGTGGTTTGGTTGCCGGTGGATTTCTATGTGTTCTATCTTGGTTGGGTGAACCAGAGTTACGCGGCTTCGCTTACGTTCTTTGCCATTGGTCTCTTTGTGTGGACTCTGATTGAATATGTGTTGCACAGATTTGTGTTCCATCTGGACAAGTATCTTCCTGATCATCCAGCCGCGTTTGCGCTCCATTTCTTGCTGCATGGAGTCCACCACTACTTGCCTATGGACAGAATGCGTCTGGTGATGCCTCCCACTCTGCTTGTGGTGCTTGCATATCCTTTTTACAAGTTGGTCTTCTCGTTGTTACCATACTACTATGCATGTTCAGGATTCGCTGGAGGGTTTTTGGGTTACATCATGTACGATACTACGCACTTCATGCTGCACCATGCTAAGCTACCCAAGTACATGCAGGACCTTAAGACGTACCATCTGGAGCATCATTACAAGAACTACGAGCTTGGTTTCGGTGTTACCTCCAAGTTTTGGGATATCATCTTTGGAACCGTCTTGAATTCCGACAATGTATACGAGAAGAAGAACTGAGAGATAGACGAGAAATAATTGAGAGAAAGGAAAGACCAGATGTTACATAGGGCAGTGACGTCTCAGTCGTATGAAAAATATTTTAGCATATAATGTATAGGTTCAAATAAGGGTTAAACCAAAAGAGCTTCAGTAAGTGAATATTGTTAGTATTAATCATCACAGCTGAATGTTCTAAGGTTTACCAGGATCTTAGTGTGGACTATCAAAACAGCTTCTTCAAATCTTCCAACCTGCTCAGACTCTCGTTTACTGACATGTCCGCATCCGACATGATCTCGTCGTTGTCTCTGTCTAATGGTGTAGACGGTATCGACGTACCGAGACCGTTCTTGTTGCTCTGTATCATTGCCATGATAAGTTTATATCCTTGTATGTGTTCATGTTCGGTCAAAGCCACAAAGCTGCACCATGGCTGGTGCTCCTCGATCACGTTGATTTCCTCTTCGTTTTCGTCGCTTTCGTCGTTTTCTGATCCCAGTTCTGGTGGGAAATCTATGGGCATCAGGACTCCGTTCGGAGGAATGCTCTGCAACTTAGCATTGCTTACTTCCGACAACAGGATTCGCCGTAAGCATCTCGGACATTTCAGCAAGCTCAGCTTTTTTGTACCGAAAGTCTGAATTTTCAGTTCCCACCCGAGAAGTCCAACGGTAGCTGCCAGCTTACCGATTTTGCCATTAGTCCATGCTTGTAAGTCGTTGATAACGCTGTCGTCGAGAGCCAATTTGAAACTCCTGGTGCTCAGGAGGTCGACATTGTCTTGTAGCTCCAAAAGAGTGTTTTCCAAGTTCGCAAGTTGCGTACTCGTGTCCGTGTAATCAAATAGATAATAAGACAAAGGAACGCCTTTGTTCTTCCAGGGACAATGCACGAAATGGTCCGAATGTAGTCTCTGCAAGTAATTATCCACTAATCTAAACTGCAACTGACGCGACTCCTCTTCCTGATCGACATCATCTTCCGGATCCTCATCCTCAAAGAATAACGCGCTTGTGGAAGACAATACATCAAGCTTAACCATCATGACTGCATGACATGTGGAACACTCTAACTCATTTTTCCGAGCACAGTGCCACCCAAATCGCGAACACTCCAAAGGCGTTAGTCTCTGATCGTCTATAGTCCATCTTAATATCTCGAAGGTTGACATCCTTTCAAGCAGCTGGGAAGTGTCATACGGGTTAAACGTCTGCTGGCTACTCGAACTGGAGCCACAGCCTGGATTCCGCAAATGGTTCCGTTTCGAACGAACAGCATTGAGTCTCAAACTTTCATCTGACAATCGCCTCTTTCCGATGGACTCGATGGATTTTGTACGAGGTGAGAAGGACTTCTTTTTGTGTAGGAGATGATGGTGCAGGGAAAGACCCGAGGGTGATATCGTTATAGTCGACAATATGTTGGATATTGCATTTGTCGTGGATTTTTCCATTATTCCTGAGATTATCTGATGCTGTGTGGGGTCCTCTCGGGAATGACAACCTTATGTGCATAAATCTGGTAAACAGGACATTTGAAACCTGTGGATATAAAGTAGTAAACTGTCTGGCTACTCCTGCATTGCATTTTGGTTAGTCAGCCCTGGTAACTTGAGTATGTGCGGCTCATCTGTGGAATGGCCAAATGGGTGAATGTAAAAGCTAGTAGATTGAAATTGTTTGATGATATCTACATAATTCTTAGTCTTATATCAGTTTTTAGCTCACTTGTACAGAAAAAAAATATGTTCTTCTATGAATTCAGTGGCACTAAGTAAAAATCCATCACCCTCTCTTTTGGCCGGTAGGATAAGGCCTTGCAGGTACACGATGCCCCTACATAGGGGTAAAAAATGAAAAATTACTTGGGGCTCTTGACATTTACTTTCTTCATTCAGCATATTGGCATACCACTCTCTGGATCAACATGGCTTCTCACAAAACTATTTTCATCGATGCTGCTCTGGAGAGTCAGGCTCTGAAATTTGGAACGTTTACCCTAAAGTCGGGAAGAGAGTCTCCATACTTCTTCAACATGGGTCTGTTCAACAACGGCAAGCTGCTGTCTATTTTGGCATCTGCCTACGCCAGTGCTATTATCGAATCTGGAATCGAGTTTGACGTCTTATTCGGACCCGCTTATAAGGGTATCCCTTTGGCCGCGGTTACAGTTGCTAAGCTGGCAGAAGTTGGTGGTGAGAAGTATGCCAAGATTGGTTACTCCTTCAACAGAAAGGAGAAGAAAGACCACGGTGAAGGTGGGTCCATCGTGGGACACACGCTGAAAGATCAGAAGGTTCTGATTATTGATGACGTTATGACTGCTGGTACTGCGATCAACGAGGCTTTCGAGATTATTGCCCATGAAAATGGAACTGTTGTTGGCTGTGTCATCACTCTCGACAGACAGGAGAAAACTGTGGACTCCGAAATGAGCGCCACCACTGCTGTTTCCAAAAAGTACAACATTCCTGTTTTCTCTATCGCTGGTTTGAGCGATATTGTGGAGCATTTGGACGATAAATTGACCCAGGAGCAAAAGGAGTCGATTGCGAACTACTTGAAGAAGTACTCACCAAGTCAATAGAAAATAAGATATCTTTCTACAGGTTCATAGCTGGATATGATGTATAAACAGTGATTAATTATACTTGCAGAAAAACTGTTTTTATGCCCTTATCCTCTGAATCTTCTCCTTGTGGGGCTTTGGGGTAGGAGGTGGAGTGGGCTCCTTCTCGTAAATCGATTTCGTGGCTGGGTTTTTCATCAAAAAGGGGCTGTGCAGTGGAACAATGGAGTTCATATTCCAGCCTTTCACTTTCGGGATAGTCTCCGGCTGGTATTGGGCCAAATCTGGAGGACCGGGTAGCTGCTTGACCATGGTCAACTTGGTCTCGTGCTGTTGTAGATATGTAGAAATGTGGGCCATCAATTGTCTCTTTGTGTAGACTTTTACTCCATCGATACCGTTGGCCCTTAATGCAACTCTAACGCGTCCTGGATTACCGAAATCCTGTGGGTGCGACTTTTCTGGCTCCAGAATGCATGGAACATTCAACGAGCGACACGCATCAAGCAGCGTTTTCGCCAAAGGGTTGTTGACCGCATTATGTTGGTTTACCCTTCTTCCATCTCCAACAGATCTGTTCTTATCAAAGTAGCACGGGTAGATTATCTGCAGGGCCTTCATTTCGGCCATTTGTTCCTCGTCCATCTCCTCTGGGTTGATGATCGACTCTTTTTCGATCGCGGTACCAGCATTACCTAAGCTCATGCCCATATCAGGCATTCCACCACTCTGCATCTGCCTCATAATGTCTTCGAACTGTGGGAAATTTGGTGTTGGATCAGACTTCACTACTGTTGGTTGTGGTCTGGCGGGCGCAATAGGAGTTCGCAACGTTGGGTCGAACTCGGCTATGTCCATGTCCAGGTCGTCTATGTCCTGAACATCTTCGATTTCTTCCAAGATCGGCATGGCAAAGAATCAACAGCAATCGAATACTTGCGTTGAATTTTGAACTTGATCAACTAGGGGAACGTTGAATGTCGTTCATTATCGCTGGGCGTTCGAAATGCACCTTTTCATTCTCACACGTAAGTTTGTTCGGACACTAAAACATATGTGCGTGAGTTTATCAATTCTGAGTCTCACAGCGCTTGTAACCACAATATCTAATTATTGATGCGTCTGAAAGTGTGTAGCAAGAGCTTGTATAGATAATCTTCAGCTCTGAAGATAGTATGCTGCCACAAAATCATGAGTGACCCAGCCGAATCATGGCAGGATGTTAAGACTGATGCTGTCAAGGTAGTTGAAGTCCTTGAGGACGATTTCAGGCACGATTTGGCGGTGCATCTCTACTCTGTCTTTCTGCTGCACTTGAAAAATCCTAGCGAACCCAAACCAAGTTTTACAAGATGGCCTCTCAGCTGGGAAGAGGTGCCTGATCCGAAGGTGTTGATGACCTACATTGATGAAGGGAACTGCAATGTGAGAGGGTCGAAACAGAAAGATCCTCCTGCGGAGGAGCTGACGAGCGATACCATCGCTGAAGAGCTGACTGATCCAGTGGAAACTTTGAAGGCTGAACTAAATGCGGTCTTTAGGAAAAAGGCATATCTGAGAATTCATGAGAGCAACTCCAAATTGAAAAAGCCACAGAGAAAAAAACGGAAAGTGAAGCATGCCAAAACAGAAAGAAGCGTTGAGCCAATTGTCGAGCCTGCTCTTGATCTCGGTAACGAGATTTTTGATGGGTTGAAATCCAAGATCGATGGACTAATTGACGGAATATATGAAAGAAAGAGCACTTTACGCCGGAACTACGCTATCGGATTGAATTGGCGCGACGTCTTACTACGACTGCATGATGATGAAGACCTCGAAGCGATTGAAACTCGATTGCGCAAGATGTTTGAGCTGAATATACGGCCGGACTATTTCACAGAGTTGAGTGACGAGAAGAAAGATGATGTTGCTAGAAGAAAGCGCATAGATGACTTGAAGGAGGCAGTGCTCGAGCAACGGAAGCGAGCCGATACCGAGCGTCGTGGCGTTTGATGTCCTGATATCCCCAAGAGAAAGAGGTGACACTGTATTTATTCTGCCAATATTATGCAATCCTACTGGATGGTGAATGCTTTTGATTTTGGCAATTTACATCCCAATAAGCATGGCCAGCAGTTTGAGTCCTAGAACCCAGAATACTTTTACTTGGCTTGGATTATTTACAGGTAATTGCTCACCACCAATAATTCAGAATCGATGTTGGGGCATCCAGCAGTAACTCTCACAAATATTTCACCAGTACAGTAGCTTCTCCCCGAACTCGTGTGGGTAGTCGTGCGCTGCATGATTCAATGGCCGTTAATAAGCTTTTACTCCGAAGGGTCCGAACGATTTAAAGTTTTTCCAACGGAGATGATTAAATAGTTAGCATTTGTAATAACAATAGAAGCTTATTCAAGTAGGTCACGTTAATCGCCAATGCATTAAATCCCAACCCGGACAACTATCGCACGGAAGACTAGATTCGCGTACTGCGGACCGTTGCAGATTAATTAATTACTTACCTAATATTGATGACGTTATTTGTGGCAATCTAGATCGGGCCTGGAGGAGGGGTGGTCCGGAATCCTCGAGATAAATCCCCGATATAAATACGAAGCCAAGTCTTCTTCCCCTTCTTCTTCAATTTCTCTGATAACTATATCGCAGTTGATCAATTGACTCATCCTGATATAATACTTGAATCTTCTACAAAAATGGTTTCTGTTGGCGGTATGTATAACGTCTGAAATAATAGTGCTAGATTCGTCAGCAATGTTCCCTTGCTAGTTGCTAACTAACTCTATTTTAGACTCTTTCCCTACCGATGTTAAACTCCAATACATTCCTTGGAGCGAGGAGAATGCCGGTGTTCTAGCTTGTTCAATCCCAATTCCTTACGACCTGGAAAAGAAGCTTCCTGGTAGAACCGTCGTTTTCGTTGCCGTTCCAGGTGCTTTTACTCCAACCTGTACTGCCAACCACATTCCTCCATTCGTCGAGAAGATCGGTGAGTTGAAGGCTAAGGGTGTCGATGACGTTGTCATCCTTTCTGCCAACGATGCATTCGTTCAGGCCGCTTGGGGTAAGGCCCTCGGAGCCAAGGATGAGTTGATTTTCGCCTCGGACCCATTGGCCAGTCTCAGTGCCGAATTGGGCTTCACTTTGGACCTTTCCTCCAACGGATTCGGAATCAGAACCGGAAGATACGCTGCCATTGTCAAGGACGGCAAGATCACTTACCTGTCCCAAGAGCCAGGTGCCGGTGTGACTGTGTCCGGATTCGACACTGTGTTGGCTGCTTTAAACTAATGGAGCCGAGCAGATGGACCAAGTTGTGAGTAGCAGACAATTTGGTGAATAATCGCCGCTTTTGTGTTCGTTGCTATGGTTTTCACCAGCTTGGCCGGAGGGCGCTTTCCGTCCGTCTAGCTTGGCCTTTTTGTCAAAGAAACCACACAAGGTAATACAAGTATTTCTCAACAGAATTTGATGATACTAGACTTCTTTGTGTCAAAAACAAGTGTAAAAAACAAGTAAATCATGCTAAACTTTTCTCAAGGAAGTAGGTCCTCACCACAGTGTGTTATCGCGGAGACTGTGGAGAAGCACGACCTTTACTAAGTACGAGTCCCTGAGATAAACGCTTGAGCCCCAGCCAGCACATCTCTAACACAAGAGAGACCCAACCTTTAGACTCATAAAAAGCTCAGAGATTCAGAAAATTAAGTCGGAGCTATAATTTTGTCTCCTGTTCCCATTTTCTGTTGCTTTTTCCATGTCTGGATCGGAATTTTCTTTCAGTGAGGAGGGCTACTCGTCTTTCGATGAGGATGATGGGTATCAGCTGAGCATAGGAGATACAGACGTCGCGTTTGATCCAGATGCGTCCCAGGTAGAGGTCAAATATTCCTATCCAGATGCAACCACTTCCACGAAGGTGCCCATCAACAGGATCAAATATCAGGCTCTTTCATATGATGATGTGGACGCACTTCTAACCGAGAAGATCAAGAGCGTGAATGGAATCTTGCAAGTGGGCGATGACGAAAGCATGGTCTTGCTTCAAAAGTTCAACTGGAAGGTGGAGAGATTATTAGAAAAATTTCTTGATAATCCTATCAGAACCTACGATTCGGTTGGTTTGAACTACAATGCTGTTAGAGTGCAGCCTGAGAAGTTGATCGTGGTGGACCCTCACTTTTTCTGTCCCATTTGTTGCTCGGAGGGTTCCGAAGAAAATCCGTTGACTACTTTCCATTCGGGTGGTTGCGATCATAGATATTGTGTAAATTGCTACGCGACCTTTTTGAAGGAAAAAACCACACTCACGTGCATGGATACGGAGTGTCATAGCGTGATTTTACCCAGTGAGCTAAAATCTCTGAGCGACTGCATCTTGAACGCAGAGTCGGTACTGGGGGATGCTAGCAACGGCCTTGCTGCCTCCAAAACTGAAGCTTCTGCTGATTTCTATGGGTATGCTTCTGATAGTGCCACCACACGTGGTAATGACTATTCTGATGACGAAGATGCTGCTGAGCTCGATTCGGATGGTGAGGAGATAGAAGAGCAGCGATATTTGGTGGAGTACAGAAAGAGAAAGTTAGAAAAGGCCGTTCAGGATAAAGAAAAGCAGAGAAACAAGTCTCTGTATTCTCGGTACAGATCAAAGATCATGAAGGATCATGTTTCGCAGCAGGCAGATTTCAGACTGTGTCCAGCGTTGGATTGTCCCGGGATCGTGAGGTTTATTGATTTCGATTCAAATAGCGCTTCTAGCGGTATCACCGGGTTGGAGCAATTTGCTAACCAGCATCGGTCTTTCCCCATAGTGGAGTGTTCGTATAACCACTTTTTCTGCTTTTATTGCAGTAAGGACAACCATGTTCCAATACCGTGTCCGATAGTAAAGGCCTGGATCAAGAAGTGCAAAGACGACTCGGAAACTGCAAATTGGATAGACAACAATACCAAGCCATGTCCACAATGTGATACCAACATCGAGAAGAACGGTGGATGTAACCATATGACGTGCAAGACGTGTTGTCACGAGTTCTGTTGGATTTGCATGGGCTTGTGGAAGGACCATAAGGATTTCTATAAGTGCAACAGATACCAGGAGGTCAAGGATGATTCACCGCAAAAGGAGAACTCACGGAGATATTTGGAGAAGTACCTTTTCTATTACAACAGATTTGCAGCCCACCAAACCTCCTTCAAGAAGGACCGTGAATTTTGTTCCAAGCTGGATTTTCTCATTCAGAAGGTCCAAAAGAGAAACAAGGTGTCCTGGATTGAGACACAATTTTACGAGGAAGCAGTCAGGATTCTCCTGAAAGGAAGACACACACTAATGTGGTCGTACGCGTTTCTCTACTATGTGGAGCCATGTCGTTTGAAACATCTGATTGAAGACTCGCAGTTTGAATTATCCAAAGCTGTTGAGAGTCTCTCCAAGTTAATCGAGACAGTTAAGCCCGAAAACATCATCAAGTACCGCCAGAGGTTCATTAAGGAATCAGGTCTGTTGAAAAGCCACAAGTACGCCCTTGTCGATATATGCCTCGATGCTCTGGCCAGTGACGAACTGTTAATTTCGATCCCAACTTGAATGCGGATTCATGTACATAATAAAGTAGCTACATTCATGATATGTTCTATGATAAAAATTTGCTCGTGAATTCATTGTCGATTCATTTTTTGTTTCATGCAATGACTTGTAGCTCGGAATCAATGAGTTCAACCAAGAACTTGAGCTCCAGCTTTTGACGGGTCGCAACGATCCAGTCATCAGCTAGTTTTCTGCTCCATCCCTTCAGGCTGCACACTTCTTCCAAAGCATCATCCAATTCGTTTCTCACCAAGTGGTAGTTCACTCTGGCGATGACAGATTCGACGTCAGTACCACTGAAGTCGGCATCCTTGGACACCACCGGAGAACCACTCTTGGAGAACAACAGCTTGCCGAACACAAATGACGAGATGTGTCCAAGAACACCTGCGTTTGGAGGAAGCAGCGAAACAGATCTGAGTTCTGGAACGAGCAACTCCCATCTAGAGATTAACTGAGCCTGCGTCAACACACCTCCAGACTTGAGCAGAGTCTCGTTAGAAGGTAAACTGTTGATGGCCTCCAAAATGAGGGTGTTATCCAAAGGTTTGGTCAAACCATACAAGTTTGTCAATTCCTTAACGAGGTCCTTGGCAATAGTAGGAGAAGGGTCCTCGAGATTCAACAGCTTGTTAATCTTGCTGACGGATTTCTTGAGGTCTTTGGCAGCCACTACCTCTCCTACTTTGGCGGCAAGATCAACTTCTAGGTCTTCAAGCTTCCCAACTTTTGCGTACAAGTCTTCCAACTTGGCGAGCTTGCCCTGTTGGTCTGAATCCACCAGGCTGGATATGTGAGTCTTGAGCTCTTTCAAACCGTCCACCTTCAACTGGGTGATCAGATTGGCGGTCTGGGCATCGAGCGTCTTTTGAAAACTGTCGATCTCAGCAGCGAGCCTAGCCTGGTATTTCTTTTCGATCTCAGCCTTTATGTCGGTGAGTTGACCCAAGTATTGCTTGGTCAATTCAACCTCCTTCGACTCGAAGCTTTTCTTGATGTCTCCAAGCTTGGATTCCAGTAGTTTATCCAACTCAGTGGCACGGCTGGCACTAAGTTTTGCGTACTTCTCAGAAAGCTCCTGAATATTTTTGTGCAGCTGCTGGGCGGTCCTCTCGCTGTTAGGTGATTTCGGGTTGGTGTTGATCTGAATCAATAACTCATTCAAGCTGTTGACAACAGACTTGAAGGTTTCATCAATAGCAGCAACATCGTTCTGGGACAAAAGTGGCAAAATAACGTCTGGAAGAACGTTCTTGATCTCCTCCGACGTAGAAGCTTTAACGGCTTCGGCTGGTTTGGCTGGTTTGCCAGCGGGTTGTTCGGCAAGGGGATCAACCTTCTCACTAGCAACACCTCTCTTGGGTATCTCAATGGTCTTTTCGACATTCAATTTGCCCTTCAGAGGATCGCTGGAAGGAACCTGTGTGAATGGGATTGGTTCGTTTGTCCACTTCTCAACGAAATCCAACACCTCCTCACCGTATGGAACGTAATCAATAAAAGCGTCCTGGATAGGATCCGACTTCGTGGCAGCAAAAACACCAGCGGCATACAACGAGACAGAAACAAAAGTCAGTCTGAAGAAAAACTTCCTGATTGGATGACTTTTCTTAATTGGTGGAGGAACGGTCGTGGTTGTCGACTGTGCTCTCTTCAGCAGCGAACTTCTAACCAATGGGGCGCTTCTGGCGGACAAACGCCCGTTCACGAGGGTTCTAGAACAACGAAGCATCGTGCAGGTCAATTGCGAGTGGAATTGATTCGAAACGTGGAGTAACTTAGAGATCAGCTTGGTGACTTGTTTGTTTGATTCGGGCCAGACTAAGTGAAAACCTGATTGGGCAGCGTTTTTCGGTGGTGCACTTCAACGCCTTGAAGACTTGACCAAAATGTACACCAAGTATCACCCGAAGATATATCATCTCCGTGATCTTCATCAATACAACTATTTTATCAGTTTCCATGAGTGCCGCTCCTCAGATATACGGTGCTGATGAAATATCTGCGATCGTGCTAGATCCCGGTTCCTACACCACCAAGGTTGGTTATGCTGGTCATGACAGCCCATTGATAGTGAGTCCTTCCTATTATGGAGAACAAAAAGGCGACGTGGACATGGACGGAAACGGTTCAAGCGAGAAAAAATTAATATTTGACGAGAATTCATTGTATGCCCCGAAGGAGAACTTTGAAATTAAGCCTATACTGAAAAACAATATGATTGAAGATTGGGATGGGGCTGTGGAGCAGTGGAAGTTTTTCTTTGGAAGGCTGGATGTTAATCCAGCCGATCAGCCTCTTCTTATTACAGAGTCGACTCTGAACTCATATTCAAACAAGGCTAAGGCCATGGAGGTAGTGCTTGAAGATCTACAGTTCTGTGCCTTCTCCCTAGTCAACCAGCCCACCTGTGTTTCGTTCGCGCATGGACGCCCCAACTGTCTTGTGGTTGATATCGGTCATGATTTAGTGACATGCACTCCTGTCGTTGATGGGATCTGTCTGAAAAACCAGGTGATGGGTGTGAGATATGCTGGTGCATATTTGAACCAGGAGTTGACGCAGGTGTTGAGGAGTCGTGGAATAGACCATATTGACCCATTGTACAAAATCAAGGCTAAGAATCCATCGTATTGGTCAAAGGAAGAATTCAAGCCTGACTGGGAGTCCAGAAAGTTTGACTATTCCATCAGCAAATCGTTCGACGATTTTCACAATTTGAGGGTTCTACAAGAGATGAAGGAATCCTTGTTACAATGCACCTCGGAGATAGTTACCGGGCCTGACACAGAGAGTCTCACAAGCTCCTCTGCTAGAAATTTTGAGTTACCCAATGGATTGAATGTTCCATTTAGTCAGAAAGAGAGATGCTTGCTTGGTAATTCCATTTTCTCTCCTGAAAAGCCGTACACAGGTCAGGAAGAGGGGATTGTGGAAGGCTGGGAGGAAATCACCGATAATGGTAACATCGTCAACGTGCTGGGTGGATCCAAGGGAGAAAAGACTAGTAAAGAATATGTGCCATTGCGCCGGTCCAAAAAGGGTGAAGACGAAGAAAATGAAGACGGCGACAAAACGGATGCCTCAAAGAAACTCGCCAATAAGCCTAACGGTTTGACAGAGATTGTGAATCAATGTCTTCTCAATCTCGACATAGACTTGAAGCCTCAATTGGCGAACAACATCATCCTAAGTGGCTCGACATCTCTGATCCCTGGACTTGGTGAGAGGCTCAATCAGGAGTTGACCGATTTGAATCCTGGTCTCAAAATAAGAATACACAGTGTTGGTAACCCAGTCGAGCGCAAGTATGCTTCGTGGGTTGGAGGTTCTATTCTTGCCAGTCTTGGTACATTCCACCAACTGTGGGTCAGCAAGAAGGAATACGAAGAAGTGGGAGCCGAAAGGTTAGTTGTTAGTAGATTTAGATGATTTGATCAAATGCTGTTGTAACACTTAAGATTGACTGTAGTCTAGGACTCGCCATCACATGATATAGTTAACTTCCTACAACTCTTTTCAATACGATAAAACCGCTATTGCCATTACTATAGTACAATGTATGGAGCAAAAATCAAGCCTAGCAAGCGAGCGGGCTGATACCGTTTGCGTCTCAGTAAAATTCAAAAAAACTCCATTTACTCTTCTTCAGAACTTTCGGATTCATCATCGTCGTCATCAGAGCTCTCATTATTGGCAGTGACCTGATCAAACTGCTCGAGCTGATTCTTGATTCTTTCAATCTTCTCAGAGTTCGAGAGGCCCTTCTTCTTCTTCCCATTTTTGGAGCCCGACTTCTCCTTTGGCTTTGCGACCAAATAGTCATAGAGCTTCATCAACGTTTCAGAGTCCATTTGGTCCATATCTAGTTCGATTTCATCTTCTTGGTCCAAATCAGGCATTCCCTCTCTTATGATATTCAAAACAACCTTCAGTCTGCTCTCAGTGACTACATTCAAAGCCTCCGAAATCTCCTTCTTCATGTCATATGTGATGTTAGTAGGATAAATTCCATTGTGAGAGGAGAAATTCGAGCTTCTTCTCTTCTTCTTCGACTTGCTCTTCTTGCTGTATTTCTTTTTCTTCATAACCTCCTTTCTTGTTTGATCGTAAAGATCCTTTTTCATCTTTATCAAATCGTTCTGCATCCTGGTAATCTGCTGTTCGAGATATTCGATTGCAGGGTTCGTCAGCAAGGAGTCGTCGATTTGAACATCCTCATCATCCTCGTCTTCATCAGAATCATAGTCAGACATTGCTTGAGGGCTTGGGGCAGGAGCTGGCTTTTCGGCCCACTTCTTATCAAATACTGCCTCGAGCCTATGGCCCATCATGTTGACAGGTGATCCTTCTGGATTGAATGCGTAACAGTTACTGAAAACAAGTCTCACATCTCTCTCGAAATCGTCACCATTTTCGTATTCGTTGTTAGAAAGCTTGGTCTGGACAGTACCCAGGTCCATTGGCTCCTCAACGATCTTGAAGTAAGTAGGACAGTCCAGAGCAACAGGGTCAACAGGAACCAAGAATGGGTATGAGAAAGATTCGTGTTTCTTGGATGTTAATTCCTTCAACACCTGTTGGCAGTACCTCAGTTCGGTGATAAACTTCTTCTTCCTTGGCCGTGTGTCGTATGGCATATCTTTGGGCTTTGGTGGGTGAATCTCACGCTTTGGACGGCCATCGAAGTTGCTATCCCTTCTGATCTGAGGCACGTCTGTGACAGCGGCCACTTTGCGACGACCTTTCAGGCCTGCCAATCCATTAGCAGGGAGCTCTTTGGGAGGCATGTTGAGCATGTGCTTTTCAAAACTCGCCTGTATGTTTCTGGCCATCTGAGCAATGGCCGATTGTTCACCATTGAACTTCGCACAGTTTGACACCATCAGGTTGAAGTCTTCCGCCACATGCTCTGTGGCTTCATAGGCATCAGCGTTAAGCTTTCTTTCAATAGTGGATAGATCCATTGGTCTTGGGATATAGTTATAGTACAGTGGGATGTTGAGCTTCACAGTGTCAACAGGCTGAAGAAATGGGCCTGCATCCTTCAATCTCTTGACAGCCTTGATGGCATTCAAAGCATGTTTTACCTGGTGTTTTGGTATAGGGTTTTCCGGTAGATTGTTCATGTCCGGTTCTTGAGGAGGCTTGGGTGCAGGCACCAAAGGAACTGCGGCTGGAGCTTGCGGCAAATCTGTGGAACCTCCAGCAGGTGGAATAGAAGATGCAGAACCGTCCGCTTCAGCGGCTGATGCAGACTCACCTTCCTTCAACTTCTTCGAAGCAGGTTGCTCTCCGTCCAACTCTCCATCGTGCTCGTGCTTCAATCCATTGGATAATGACGGACTGCTAGTCTCTTCCGGCTTCGGTGTAGGTAGGGACTGCTGAATTAATTCATGAACCTCCGTCTGCTCCACAATAGGTTGTTCAAGAGACATAATACCCAAAACTGACCCTTTTCTCTGGAATAGGGTGCACTTTATTAACTAGGCAAAGAGGTCGTGTCCGGAAATTAAAGGCCTGTTCCAAACAGAAAACCGCTCGCGGCGAGGGGATGAGCCGCTTCTTAAATACCCATGGTTTTGCACGAGTGCTGACAAATACGCACTGTCGGTCTCAGATGTACCAACCAATCAGAGGCCGCCAGATGCAACACCAGCCATGTTGTAGAGGCTGTTGCACAGATATTTGTACTCAATCTTTCCTAGACCAAGCCCTGAGAGACCTCATATTAAGCAATCCCATAAACGAGTTGTGTCTAGTGCCAAACACCTGATAACAGTTGTTGCGCTTGACTTTGTAAATCTCACAGCACCCGAGTCCCTGACCCGGTGCAATTGGCTCCCACGCGATGGTATCACCAACTTTACGTCTTTTCTTTCTTTCCATGGGAGGACTCTTGTTTTCAGCCCACGCGTCCATTTTGTGATCGCGATCCTCTCTGGTATATCTCTCCAAGGCATCCAGATCCGCGGAAAGTTGGTCTGCCAACGTTTTACTGGTTCGCTTTAAATCCCACGGCGCAACCTCCCAGTGTAACACCTTATAACCTTTAAAATCCAGCTCTGGTTCGCTTGATATATCACTTGAGTCTTGTCTGTTGAAATGCCGCATAATAGCAAAAGTGTCCTGGGGTAAACTTGAGTCTATGGTGGTCGGGGGTGGGAGCTCTTGGTGAAGCAGGTCCCATATATCAGTGGAATCCCACGGATCCACCGGATACATGTTCTCTGATTTGACGGCAACAGGGCCCGTAAAAAGAGAAAGATGCTCTTCATTAGGTTCCTGTGCAAAACTAGTATGGTCAACAAGCGTAGGAGAAGGAGAGTATGCTCTCTTGCCACGAGAGCTTCCAACGGTAATCTTTGATGAATCGGCAATCGATCTGCCAGGGACCGCACTGGCATTAAAATTTGGATGATTCTCATCAGGATGTTGTCCAAACATTTCAGGTTGAACGAATGAAGTGTAGGAACCTCCAAAAAAAATAGAGGGCTCAAGAACTGGCATTTTCCCCCTGGTTTCTCCTCTTGCCGCACTCTAAGTAACCCTGACGCACTGCACCGAGATACTACCGGGTTTATATATCAAAGTACATGCCAGCTCTACCAGAACGAAATTTGAAGATGCTGAACACTGAACTCAAACCCCTTATATTTAGCTGAAAAGTCTGCGGCGATATTGATTTTGACGGCAAAGTTCTGGATGTTTTTCTGCTCTGTCGACATTGCTGCCGTCCCTTATGCAAGTACGTGCAGCTCGGATGATTTGTTTTTTTGATGACATAGGCAAACGCCCAATTAATACCGCATGTGCTTAGCATAGCCTTTCAGTAGGGCTCGATATAAATTTTGCAAGTTAAAGGTTATTTGTCTGATGATAGTTTGGCAAAGTTCCAGTTTCTGATGAGTCAAGGCTGTGTTTATTACGGATAAACTAGCGGACCAAAAGGAGGGTCTGTCAGCACAAAGAGTACTGTTCGTGCAGGTTGCAGCCTTTTTTCTGAAAAGGGGTTGAATAATAAAGGACATGGTAGCCGATTTCTTTTGTTCTTAATTGGGCCACAAATGTCACTTTTTGGGGTTGCTGTATAGCATCTCATCCCATCCCGCCTTAGCCGTTTCAGCTCTTCTGCAGATGGCCCTCCAAAGATGATTGTTCTTTCCCCCGCATTGGCAGCTAAAAAATCACAATGCGAAAGGCATTGCACTGCCAAGCCAATGAGTCTTGGCTGGTTCTTGTCTGGTTCTTGTCCGGTTCCTCTCTGAGGATTGGTGAGTGCCGGTCGATAAAAGTGGAGTGCAGATAGAGTAGTCTGGATGTGGGGTGTGGGTTTGTCAGGTGGCTACTCCAATCGGACAGGCACTTTTTACAGGATGGATCCGGTTTCTACATTTAGTGGCCACTTCTAGTTGATTTCCTATGCCGTTTCACCGTCCAATTGACAAGTGGAACTTGGAATATAAATAACGTAATTTTTTAGTGAGTCGTCCTCGGCACAAAAACATTTTCTAATCTAATTAACCCCTATTAGGAAATTTCATAACACGCAGACACATTTGGCACGAAGGCCATCGATATTTGCATAAAACGTTTCCCCGTTGTCTATTGTCATTATCTCCAGTGTACTCGACCAAACTAGCTAAATTGACTTGAATACATGGAATCACATAGCAGAGACTCCAGTGATGTGTCTGGAGGCACGAGCCACTACTCTGTCTCTAGATCCTCCGGACATGTGCAATCTCATTCCAAGGCCTCGTCGACCAAATCAGCACATGATGCTTTTTCGTTCCGTTCACGGTCTCCCGTTGCAGCAGTTGAAAAAGAGTTTCAACAAGTAGGTTCCTCTTTGGGAGCAGCCAGTTCCTCGAGTCTTCGAAGCGGAGGCCGCCCGGTTATGGCTACCCCTGAGTTCAATACTCCCCCTAGGAGTGCAGACTCGGACTACTCAACCCCCTCGCAGGCTGAGTCTCACACTGGCTCGCAGTCTTCGGACTTTGCCCACTTTCAAAAACCTCGGATGAACATTGTAAATGCTCCTCCCGGAACAAGAGCATCAATGATGTCCCACTACTCTGGTGTCATTCAGGATGCTGACACAGACACGATCAGGTATGTGGTGGACCCAGCGAACGCCGAAAAAGGCACGGTTGTCCCCTCTTTTGTGACGACCAGAAAGACTAGTATGGCTGGTGTTTCCGATATCAGTATCCATTCCGCAGAGACAGAAAATACTGCGCAGGCTAATCCCAGACTTTCGATGATCAGCTCGCATACCGACAGAGGATACGAGTCGCCAGTGGTGGACACGGAACCGCTAATGCTGGAAACGGTTCAGGTTGAAACTGGAGAAGTTCCCAGACCCCCTGATCGTACGCAACTGACGAATTTGGAGATCGCCATACCAGCCAGATCGGCAAAAAGGCCCCAGAGCATTGCGTCACCAGTGTTGGGTCCCGAGAAGACTTTATCGAGTTCGCCGGTGAGGCCATTGCCCTCTATCCCTGTGCACCAGCAAGAGGTGTCCGGTGACTTGCTCAGAAGATTGTCAATGATTTCTGTTGATCACGATGACAAGCCTAAGCCAACCTTATCTAATTTGGATACGCCTACTGAACCATTGAGCAGACATGTCTTGAGGTCGCATTCTCGCCAATCGTCTGCATATGCAAGCAACAGCTGGGCTCCTCCCCAACTCCAACGTCCAATCACAGACTCGGCCTCGACTTTCGATAACGACAACCAATCGTATCATACTGCAGAGTTGGCAATATCTGAGACCCACGACAGTCCAACGACACCTAAGTACGGGGACCAAGGATCGGTTTCCAGCGGAACTTCCCATGGCACCTCAAGAGAGCCAGTCACGCCGAAGATGTCTGGTGACGAATACGAAGACATTGATGTTACTCAGACGGCAGGAATTGCTGCTGAGGATCCTCCAAGTACCAAGTCAAAGAGAACAAAGAGGAAGAAGACGCGTGGAAGCAGCTCCAGTAGACCCAATTCGTTCTCCTATGATACGCTTGCTCGTCTACTGAGTGCTACCGATGGCATAGTGATAGGCCAGGAATTTGCCCATTTGAGCCTTCCCAACCACGAAAAGTTCCTGCTGGAGCAGGTGGTGGATTCTCTAGGAAGATTGAGCGCAGGTATGTTCATCAACCCTTCCAGATATGATCAGGGCTGTAAGAGACTGCAGAGAGTGCTCGATGTGCTAGAGGGTTTCGAAGATAACTACTGAAGCTCAGATGAGACGGGTTTCTTTAATTTAAACTGATTTATGTTTCTTTCTCGTGTTTTCTATTTGAATATTTATCACTTTTGCTAATGCTGTACCAATTAAAATTTTAAGATTTAAGGTTTGAAAATTAAGGCGTCTCGAGCTCATCCCCTGCATGTTTATGTTTTTCCCAAACAGGAATAATTGCTACCGCCGTATCAGGCTGCGAAATTCACCTCCAATCTGAGACTGACGATCTTCTTCAATACTTTGTTCCAGGGGCTTAGCTTTGGAGATATTTCTCAACACCAACACAAAAATGGCATGCGTTGGGACCAATCCGCCGTTCCGTGTCCAGGCCGTGTATTCGTGGGGTGGTGATGATCACAACGACCTTGGGTTTCTGGAGGGGGACATCATAGATGTTACAGATGTAGCAGAGAGCGGTTGGTGGTATGGTCAGTTACTTAGAAACAAAATGGCTGGGTATTTCCCTTCGAATTACGTCAAGCAAATAGCTATGACAGCCTCTTCATCTAGACACAGTTTGAGCGCTCTGGCGAAGTCACAGTCAAAGCAGAGCTTATCGTCACTGAATGGCCAGAGCGTTCCCAGGAGTGCATCTAGCAGGTTCATTAATACAATGAGTGCAGAGAGTTCCAGAAGAAACTCTGCGAATCTGAGTTCGCCAAAGTTGGACCAATCCCCTCAGCGAAGCAGACAAAGCTCACCTGACAAAAGCAGTTATCAGGGCTTCTCCAGACTTTCCTCGGCCACATTGTGGCAGTCTAATGCCAGAACTGCTGAGACGAGTGAAGAGGACGATGACATCGCTCCTCCTGCTCCGAAGCATGTTTATGGGCTGAATCACTCCGCGAAAGGATTGAGTAGCTCTTTCAAGGACAGCAACTACTCCAGTCTGAAATACTCCACCACATCAGTTGAAACTGAAAGATCCTCGTTCTTTGGTCATTCGGATTTTAGTGCAACATCGGCTGCCTCGTTTGCGAGACATAGGCACTTAGAAAATCAAAATCAGCTCCGGGAGTACTCTGAAAAGGGTATTTCAGACCCCAAGGAGAAGGAGCTGGTTTTCGACAAATTATTCAACGACAAGCAATCGAAGCATCCAAGATTCCTCAAGAAGATCTTCAAAACAGATGCAAAAGGTCCTACTCTTGATGAGCAGATTCATCTCTCAAGCTCAGTCAATTCCAAAGCCGCTTCAGAACAACATCTCCATCACGAGAAGAGTACGGACGAGCTGCAGGAATACGTTGATGTTGAGCTGCAAAGATGCAAATCACTTACTTCAACTGACAGGGCAACGAGAGCAAGCAGAGTCATGAAGCAAGAAAGTTATCTGGTGCTTCGGCCTCATAAAAGCATCACGTACATCAATACAAATGAACAGGTCAAGACAGTAAAGAATGATTATGAACAGCTTGATCTTATACCATTACATCACGTCGACAAAATTGTGCGCAAGATTCCTGTTGATAAGTTTTCTTCGCCGCAAACCGTTGCATCTTCGAGAATAGGCAGTCAGTTTGATTCGGAGCTGGAACTGCTGAGGGCAGTGTTCGTCTATTGCACTGAAAGGTTCAAGATCTTACCTTACAGCGGTATGGAAAAAATCAGTTCCAGAATCGCACCTGATTTGCCAAAAATTATGCAAGATAAAGAATGCACTGCTCATGAGTTGACGTGGATATTCCGCATTATGGCAGCAACATTGGGTCTTCAAACTGAAATCGTCTTGGGATTCGTAAAGTTCCCCAACGAGATAGACGATCTGTATCAAACCAACTCGTCTTTGGTGCTAAATCATTCTTGGCTAGCCGTACTAATTGGTGCCCAATGGCGTTTCATAGATGTGGCTCTGGCAAATGCATCGCATCCAATCCACACGAAATTGTGCAAAAAGGGCCGAATTGACAGTCCTCATGAAGGTTTCTACTTTTTGACCAAACCTCTCGATCTCATTCATACGCACGTTCCTTTGCACCCGGACCAACAGCACGTGGTCCCTCCCATTGATAGCATAGTTCAGCTGTGTTTGCCTCCAGCGTATCCTTCATTCATCCAGAACCAATTGCAAATGATCAAATTTGATAATTCTCTCATGCGTCTGCAGGACTTTGATGTGGCCGAGATTGATATTGATCTGCCAACAGATGTCCAGGTGACGGCTTCCATAGTCGCTGAGACTGGCGAGACAAAACCTCTGACCCAGATCTATTGGAGGAAAAATCATCGAATTGCCAAAATCAAGGGTTCTCTGCCTCATATGTCTTCGCAGGGCACCTTAAACGTGCATGCTGGGCCAATTGGAGTCGATCTTAATCGAGCCGCAATGAGCACACTGGCATTATCTATACCGGTTTTTCACAAAGGAAAATACAACAAGTTTGATTTTGTCAAAAGATATCAAAACAACGATATGTTTTCCCAGGATCTCTATGTGAAGGAACCGCAGCTATACAGGCTGCAGCACAGAGGGTCCTATAGGTTCATCATAGCTCAGCATCCTTCCAATGGCATTGATTCCGCTGCACCTCTCCCAGACGACTCAATTTGCATTCAGGCTCCCAGCGGAAGAAAGACAATGCTGAATAGACAGTTTACCAGGGATCAGACGAGTGGTAGCTGGGGCTGCCAATTTCAAGTCCGAGAGCCTGGTATTTGGAGAGGCCTAATTCTGAGTGACGATGGGAGGAGCTGGTGTGAGTTTGCTGAGTGGGAATCAAGGTAGAGAAGAATGACCATAATAACTTTAATAATAATCGAAAACCATGACAAAACTGATAAAATCATTTTAAAGAGCAAAGAGTGGAGGCATTTAGATAAGCATTGAGAACGTGCAATAGCAAATTACGCGCGCGTCTATTTTGTTGACATTTCAGATTACCTCTCTTGCTCTTCTTCTGGTGGCGACCGCTTCACCAAATGGTTTCGGACGTTTCTCATAGCGTTGAGAGAAAAAGGGTAGGTTTCTTTGTATTCTGCTCGATTGGTTTCCGGAGCAACTAACTAACAGCGTTTCAGCCCCTCTCTCCCGAGCAGGCCAATGTGCGAGACTTTCAAAGTGAGCTTGGCCTTCTTAAAAAGACCAAAGTCCATGGCAATAAAGTCGCACTCAATCTCATTAGTCTGCATCCCGAACAATGGCCTCATATAGAACTGCCCTCGAAGTCAGAAGTCACCATTGGAAGAAGCAAAAAGTGCGATGTAAGGTTGGAACGACCAGAAATTTCATCAGTCCACTGTCAGATATCCATGAAACAGGTTACCACCATGAACGAGACTCTTGTGACACTAATGGTCAATGATCTTAGTGCGAACGGTACTTATGTCAATGGAGAGCTTCTTGGGCGAGGAAACCATTGCACAGTGAGACCCGGTGACAAAATTTCACTTGCCGGATGTGTCGCTTACCTGATCAAACCGGCTTCAGAGATCTCCGATGGTCCTCCAAAGCGTAAGTCGTTCTTCGAATGCTACGTTTTGGGTGAGTCTCTGGGTACGGGCCACTATGCTGAGGTTAAAGAGGCTTTGAACAAAAAGACGACGGAGATATGTGCGGTCAAGATCTTTCATCCCCAAAGGGCAGACATCAAAAACTCCAAATCGATTCAATTGGACCGCGAGCTGGAGGTGTTGATGTCGATAAATCATCCGAACATTGTGCGTTTCTATGAAAAATTTTACGAACCAGTGGATCATACTACTTTCACGACGTATTTAGTTTTGGAAAAGGTTAATGGAGGTGAGCTATTTCAAAGAATTGTCAGAAAGCAAAGGCTTCGGCAGGATGAGACGAACGCTCTGTTCAAGCAATTATTATCTGGACTGAAATATTTGCACTCGCGAGGCATTGTTCACAGGGATATTAAGCCTGAGAACATTCTACTAGACATTAAACCACGGGAGACAGTTCAACAGACTCAGACGGGGCCTTGGGATGAAAATGAACTGGACATCAAGGTGAAGATTGCAGACTTTGGTCTGGCAAAGGTGATTGGTCAGTTCAATTTCACCACCACCTTGTGTGGAACGCCAGCTTATGTTGCACCCGAGGTGCTGAGATCCAATGCTGAGAGGATGTACAATAAGGCTGTTGATTTGTGGTCTACGGGTGTGCTGTTGTATGTCTGTCTTTGTGGATTTCCGCCGTTCAGTGAGGAGTTAGGACCTCCTTCTATGAAGCAACAGATTCTGCAAGGCAGATATGCGTTTTTCTCAGAGTTTTGGAATGATATTTCCGATGAGGCGTTGGATCTCGTGGCCAGACTATTGGTTGTTGACCCGAATGAAAGACTGACTGTGGAAGAGGCCACACAACATGTGTGGTTCCGTAAAGAATCATCTGAGCAGACCGAATCGCTAAGTAGAGAACAACTCTACACTTTCGAGGCTGGTCGTCAGGCCTCCTTCCAGGACATGAGAGCTAGAGCAATGACTGTTCGAATCCCAACGAGGGCTCTTTCCAGTCCGATGACCCTGCAACAAAAGTTCACAAACGGTGTGAATAATGACGATGATGTCGATATGAACTAGGTCCAAGAGATCTGCTTTTATATTAACTGGTGTATTAGATTTTGGTTTTGGTTCAACTTATAGTGTTTTCCTAGTAGGCCCAAGACCGTGCGGCTCAGACCAAGTTTTGCAGTAGCAGGGCCTGTTTACAGTATAAGCTGGTTTCATGCGTTTAATTATGATAAAAATACCATAGTTGTTGTGCAAAATACCAGTTTTTGTGGAATTTGCCAGACTTTTAAATATTCGGCTCCGACTTGAATGGCCGCAGGTTTTGTACCCGTGCCCGATCGGGCTGCAGGCTCATCGACCCATAGTTAAGTCTTTAGTCCCTCTGTTCATCTGCCTTGAGACTGCGAAAGCGCGACAATGCTGGCAAACGCGAGAATTCGGGGAATTGGTTGCCTCAAAAGAGGTTTTTGCTCTTCTAGCACCTCATTGGTGGACTACTCACATGCAGTTATTGGGGGTGGTGTAGTTGGTCTGGCCATCGCGGCAGAATTGGCCAAGATGGAGTCCACATCAGTGATACTCCTGGAGAAGCATAACGAGGTTGGAACGGAAACATCTTCGAGGAACTCAGAAGTCATACATGCCGGATTGTATTACCCTCCTGATTCGCTGAAAACAAAGCTATGTATGCAGGGTAAAGAAATGATCTACTCTGAGGCCTCCAAGTACGGTGTTGAGCTTGCCAGATGTGGAAAATGGATAGTGGCCCAGGATGAATCACAGCATGAATATCTTGATTCGATGCATACCAAGGCTCAAAGTTTGGGAATCCCGACTGAGTTTATTGATCTGAAAGCAGCATCGTCAATTGAGCCCCATGTTAGAGCGAGGGCCGCTATATTGAACTCTCCCTCAACAGGTATCATATCTGCCCACTCTTTGATGGATTTCTTGCAGGCTGAGTTCCAAAGACACAACGGTGATTTGGCTGTTGGGAGTGAAGTCGTTGGCATAAACTATGACAAGCATCAGGGAGAATATACCATCAAATCCAGATCCGAGGGCGAAGAGATTGAAATTTCAGTTAACTCGGTGATCAACTCGGCCGGGCTGTACGCTTGCCAGATCTCCAACATGGTACTTCCAGAATCCCGTCATGTTGTTCCTTACTATGCCAAGGGCAATTATTTTTCTCTGAACTCCAAAATAAAGGTGAACCGATTGGTCTATCCATGTCCTGATAAAAGCGTGGTGCAGTCTCTGGGAACTCACCTGACCATTGACTTGGGAGGACAGATCAAGTTTGGACCAGACCTGGAATGGGTCGACTCGCCAACAGATTTCGGTGTTAGCTCTACGAATATTCAGCAAGCGTACAATGCTGTTGTGAACTACATTCCTGGAATCAGACAAGAAGACCTGGCAGCGACATATGCTGGAATACGCCCTAAACTAGCAGGACCTGCCGAATCCAAGTTCCAGGACTTTATTATCCGTAATGAGGAAGGATTCCCAGGGTTTGTCAATTTACTTGGGATTGAAAGTCCGGGGCTAACTTCAGCAATGGCGATCGCCAAATATGTGAAAAGGTTGATATAGAACAAAACTTTACGCTACATTTTGCCTATAATGCTGTATTATGTCTCCAAATGGTCGTAAAAATCGTTAATAGAGAGTCAAAATCAAATTCGATCTCGCTATTTTTGGCTATGGTTATGTCTCCTTCTTCGTTCTCTTTGGCAACAACTCCGGTTCTGTCGGCAATGGAAACTCTACGAAGTATTTCTGAAGCAACAGTCCCGTGGTATCGTTTCTCTTTGAAGGATCCAACTCCACCATCTGTGACATCATGTCCAAAGCAGCTTCAGTTGCAGCAAGAAATCTGTTTCTTAGTTCTTGTCTTGAAGGCTGAGAGAACACCTCTATCGAATCGTACAGTGGCAGGTTGGATACCCCCGGCCAATTGGATTCAGTTGGTGTTCCCAAAGCTTTGAATGTAACGATCAGCTGGTCCGCGTCATCAGCACCGGGTAAATAGGGCGTTCTCAACATAAGCTCAGCAAATATAATTCCCGCAGCCCAAACATCAACAGCCTCCGTATAATGAATAGATCCAAACAACAGTTCCGGGGCACGATACCATCTTGTGACCACGTTTGAAGTGAGTCTTTCGTCGGGCAATCCCAGCGATCTGGCCAGGCCAAAATCAGCAATTTTCAGCGACCCGCTCGGCGATATTAGCAAATTGTTGGGTTTTAAATCGCGATGCAAGATCCCGTTTCTATGACAATGGTGCAAGCCTCTGAGGAACATGAGCATCCAACTTTTCACATCGCCTGGTGTGAATATCACCTCTCTGTCTCTTATCAACATCTCGAGGTCGTATGGCAAAAATTCAAGCACCAAATTCAAATTCTCGGGCGTAGCATACACATCAACCAACTCTATGATGTTTTCATGTCTTAGTTCCTGGAGATACTTTACTTCTCTCAAAGCACTCATATCCAAGCCGTCCTTGAATCCACCTGTTTTGATCTGTTTAACAGCTATCTGCCTTCCGGTGAGGGTCTGCTTTCCTAAGTATACCACGGCATATGTACCCTCACCAACCTTCTGGTCTAGTGTATAGTTCAAAGGAAGTGGCATTTTGTGATGAATAGTGAAAGAACACAAGGAAAAACCATGTGAAGAACATGTCTCTAGATGTTTCAGCGATTTGGAAATTGTGTGTGTGTGCTAAGATTACGCCGCGCTTGAGTATTCTGTATGGACAGATAGGTAGATAGATGCATAGATGGATACATAGATATTTACATGGATAGATAGATGGAGTCTATCATTTCTGCCAGTTTATAGGAGAAATTCAAATATAGAATATAAAAGTTTTCATGAATTCTGTCCCCATACCTTTCCAACTATGACTCCCCAAATAGGCAATAAATATCAGCCCAAGATCAAAGGCCCATCATGCATGGAGCTCATCTTTTATAACGTCGTAAACTTCCTCCAGAATGTCCTCGATGGACCTTCCGGTCGTGTTGATTCCATACTCGTCTCCACCCTCTTCAATAAGATCCTTCTCCGCTGGAATCTCCATGATGTCGTATTGGGACTTCACCATATCACTCTTCATGTAATGATCCTGCCTCTGAGCCACACGATTGAGCAGGGCCTGGTAGTCAGTGTACAGGAAGATGAACAAAAACTTCACTTCAACATTCTCGTCAATGTTGGAGCTGTGAGAACCAATAGACTTGATGAACTTCCTGTATTCCTTCTTCAGCATCGAGCATGAAACAACTGAGATACTGCTTGGGTCGTTCGTCGAAGTCTCAACTGCGTTTTCAGTCAAAGTTGTGAGCCACGGATATCTATCCTCGTCAGTCAATGGGATTCCTTGTGCCATTTTGTCGATATTGGCTTTGGAGTGAAAACTATCTCCTTCTAAAAAGGGGCAGTGTAGAAGTTCGGCAAGTTTTGAACCGATAGTGGTCTTGCCGGTACCAGCTGGGCCACCAATAACAATAACGAGTTCTTCTGCTTTGGTCATTGTTGGTAAGCGTCACACAACAATAAAAATGTGCACTTTTGATTGAGCGTTTGGGTTGGCTTCTCTATATAGCAAAGCCTTCAAATGTAAATGCGACTGGACTGTATCAATATGTCCAGTATAATGTTTTGAAGCGGTTTTCAAGGTTTTTCTGGTTCTTTTGGATGAGGTTTTGATGTTTTTCCTCACACTTAGTCCATAGAGAGATTTTCCCAGTGATTTTTCAGCTGCCTTTATGATTTTGAGTGTAACCGGAGACTTATCACTAACATGTGTCTTCTGGTCTATTGAACAGCGAATATCCTATAATAAACAAAATCCTCGGAAATTCGACAAGGCAGAAACGAACAACAATAAGTTAAATAAAAACAGGTGAACGGTTCGGAAGAAGGAGCTACACTTGATGTATATATATATCCCCGGCCGCAAAAATGTACTAGAAAAAAAGCAATAAGCCCGATGTGGGATTGCGGGATTTTTGTTAGTGATTTCGTGGGGTATCAATTCAACCATTTGGCCCGAGGAGTTATCGCTGGTTTATCGCTGCATAAATCACTAAAATTGCGTTTATCTGGGTTTATACGTCATGGGGCGATTATCCGCTTACTCCAGAGATTTTCTAGGTAAAAATCGAGTGCAAATTGTAGGAGTTGAACCAGCCTAAAATAAAGTCGGGATTTACAGCTGCTTTATCTAATGGGACCTTCCCTATGATTAGATGACAACATTTGATTGACATTTCGGATCTGGAAAAACGTCGAGGGAAAGGCATGGGTCAAAACCCTATTTTCCTTCCTTCAAATTGATATTTGAGCGTGTTGTTGTTCTGACGGATTAACTCCACAATAGTGAAGCATCGCGGCTAGTCACGCGACGAGAGGGTTCGGTCTGCCAATATTGTTTGGTAGGGCAAATCCTGGTGGGTGCAAGAAGATGATTTCTGGATTTTGTTCCAGCAGATTGGCTCGAATTTATGATTCTGTGGGATTTTTTTAGTCTCAACCCTTTTCTTTGTTTTGGAATTAATAGGTTTAATACAACTGAACAGGGTTACGTTTGAAAACGGTCATTTGCGGCTGTTGCGGGTGCTGCGGGTGCTGCGGGTGTTTCAACTGAGCCACCTGCTTTGCGAAATAATTGAAAATGGGTTCTCTATAGTATGCTCCAATCATCCCTCTAGGTTCACAAACATATATAGTTTATTTCCCAGCAAGAATGATGGTCAATCGTCCAGTCTTCATCAGCGCTCGCAACTTCTCTCCCGAGCATATGTGCGGCTATTTAACGGTTTTTGCACTAAGATATTTTAATTCATCCACTCCACTGTAAACTTTTATCGGGAAAAATCAGAGCTAATGCATACTACTACAACATGCTTCACGTATCATACAGTTCGAAATGATCTCCAGATTTGTCATACGACATGTCAGGGGGTATGCAACTCTCAAACCTGAGCAGGAGGTCAAGGCTACGCTTGAGCGTTTTTCGCAGTCATGTCGCACAGTGAGAAACGCTATACGAAGCAGGGCATATGAAAGACTAAGCTTCGAGCCTCTGCAGAACATGGGTGATGATTTCTATTACGAAAACGAGTCGCAGGTGGCGAAGACTTTGCAAAAACTGGAAACTTATGTGAATGAAGAGTTGCCAAACAGACTGAAGTACGGCCTGAATGTCAAGTCGGTGGATTACATATTCCCCAAGTATGATACCTTGCCTAGTCTTCTGGTTGGCCTAACAAGGCAATCTTCGGAACAGGCCAAATTTGATCTTCTGGTGAACAAAATCGTCTATTCACAGCTGAAACCATACAAATTGATGTACACGTTCAACGACCCTAGGAACAACCAAAATTACAACAACGACATGACGTTCAACGTGGTCGACACAGAAAACCCAGCAGATTGGTATCCCAATGCTAGAAGACTCAAGAGAAGGTTTATAATGCATGTGGGGCCTACAAACTCGGGTAAAACGTACCATGCTTTGCAGAGGTTGCAAAACTGTAAGAAGGGTTATTATGCTGGACCACTTAGACTGTTGGCTCGTGAAGTGTATGAAAAGTTCACTAGCCAAGGAGTCAAGTGTAACCTGGTGACTGGTGAAGAGGTGATCATTTCCGTCGATGAAAACGGTAGTAGGGCAGGTTTGACTAGTGGAACCATTGAGATGATACCGAAGAACAGGTACTTTGATTGTGTGGTCATCGATGAGATACAGATGTTAAGCGATGAGAGCAGAGGTCATTCGTGGGTGAACGCGGTGATTGGAGTGAATTCCAAAGAGATCCATCTCTGTGGAGAAGTTTCTGCCGTTCCTCTTATGAAGAGGATAGCAGCTTTGACTGGCGATACGGTCGAAGTGAAAGACTATACCAGACTGGGAAAGTTGGAGGTTGAAAGGGATGCCGTTTCATTCAAGACACTGGCGAAAGGTGATTGTATTGTGTGTTTCAATAAGAAGCGAATCCTAGACATGAAGGCTTATATTGAGCAACAGACAAGCTTCAGATGCGGTGTTATATACGGTGCCCTTCCCCCAGAGACAAGAGCTCAAGAGGCGACCAAGTTCAACGATGGTGAGTATGATATACTTATAGCCAGTGATGCTATTGGTATGGGACTCAATCTCAAGATCAGAAGGGTGATTTTCTCAACCATCATGAAATTCAACGGCCGGCGTATGGAAAAGCTGAGTGTGTCTCAAACCAAGCAGATAGGTGGCAGAGCCGGTAGATTCGGCGTTCATGGTGAGGGAGAATCTGTTGGTCTGATTAGTTCTTTCAAAAAGAGCGATCTAGCGCCCATTCGAACAACCATGAACTATCCAGTGGAGTATCTCTCTCAGGCCGCACTTTGGCCTTCTGACAAAATATGGATCAGATACCATTCGATGTTTGCAAAGGGTACAAAACTGAGAGCTGTTTTGAAGAGATTCCAGAAAGATTATGAGAAAAGGGCTGATCCAGAAAACAACACATTTTTCCTCACAAATATCTACCAGGTGACTGAAGGGGCTGATTTCTTTAACATGAGCAAGCTGGATGAAAATTCAAACTTCTCGATCCACGATCAGTTACGGTTAATGGCGGCTCCCATTTTTGGTTCCTTGCAAATCAGGTCGAATTCCGCCGGGCTCGACTATCTGCCGCCCTTGATGTTGGCCAACCTGTTTGAAGAACTCATTCTGGCAATTACTCTGAGGCTCAAGAGATCGCTCTTGGACTACTCGCACATGCTTCCTCTGGAGGTGACCGAACCCATGGGGTATGATGAACTCAAAAAGGACGCTGCCAATTTGGAAATCACATATCTGAAAAAGTTGGCTCCGGGAAGGGTAAGTGAAATCGACTTCAGCACCATTAATCCGGTATTGGTCAGATTGAAAACGCTCGAGACCATGTACACGGCAGTGATGGTGTTTCTATGGCTCACCTACAGATACCCTCAATGTTTTGTTGATATAGAGAGCGCCCAAAAGCTAAAGGAGCTGATCGAGGCCAGAATCAGTGAGACACTGGACATGATCAGAAATGAGACCATCAAGAAAAATTCCTTCAAGTTTTGAATTGCATATAGCCTGCATATGGCCTGCATATAGCCCACGCATATATCCTTGTACATACAAACATGTTAGCACCGGTACTACAACGGTATTTCAAACGTTACGATTCGGCTATAGAAATTGATGGAGAGCAGCGCTATGTGACATAGAAAAGCGTAGATGAAAAACAATGGCCATAACAACTTGTATTCAGACTAGAAAGAACTAAGTCTTTGCGGCTATTCAGCTTTAACTCAGCCTGAACAAATTTTCAAAATTGTAGATGGTTCCCTCAAATACAAGTCGTCTGTTCATGATCTTTTCGTGATGTAATTTTTTTGATGTTGGGTGTCCCATGGAGACTGAAATCACCTGGTATGTCAGCAGCTTCATGACAGAGAAGTGAAAAAAATGGGCAATCGGCGAGAATCAAAGGCGACAACAATCACCTGTATTGATTGCGAAGTTGTTCAACCATGATCTTCTGTTGAGGAGGTAAGTTCTCAACCTGGTCTGGAGGCAGCTTCAAGACCTGTACGATCAAAGACGATTCGCTCTTTTCCATCTTTGAGAGTTTCTCAATGGTGCTTTGTGATAGACCAATCCAATCTGGATCGACTGATGAGGATGCAGCATAGTTTGAGTTATTGTACATTGGGTTCGACGTTTCCTGGTGGAACTGATTATTGGTATGGGCGTTGGTTGGCTGCAAGGGGATGGCTGAGTTGACCACCGCGGCCGCAGAAGCGGCTGAAGCTGCATTGCTTTGTTGCAGAGTTGAAAGAGTAGGCTGCTGGGGCTGTTGTTGGGTGTTTGCTTTCGAAACGGCCTGGTCAATCACGTCTGTGTCTATGACACCCATGAGCAACAGCGACTGGGCCGCGGCCACAGCCAACTGCGGGTTGCTGTTCAAGACCGTTGCCGCATACTGTTGATTAGGACCCTCCAGAGTCTGCTTCAGAGTCGCAATCAACTGGATCAGAACGGCTGGGTGGATTTGCGAGAGGGTCTCGGAGATCCTCTCGCGGGTCACAAACGGCAATTTCTCGACCTTGGGAAGGTGGTTAGTGGCGTCCAACAAAGAATTGGGCATAACGATCCTTTGCTGAGGGGGTTGTGGAAATTGCGATCCCTTACTCAGGTACTGCTGGATAACGTTGGAAACCTGGTTCATGTCCATTCCCTGCGACAACATCTGCTGCACCATGCGTTGGAGCTGCGGACTCGAGGAGATCTGCTGAAGCAAATCCGGTTGTGATAGCTGTGATGGTTGGTGTGCGTAAGCGTTTCCGTTCGAGTTGAAGTCGAAGCTTGTGGGCTGGTGCGAAAGACCGTTCATCATTTCGTTGGGAATTACCACGTTTGGTGGGAGGAAGTTGCGGGAAAGCAGCAACTCGGGCTTGGTCCCGACTGGCGAAGGATTCCGCAATCCTTCCTTGGAAAGCTCGATCCTCAGCTTCTTACGGCCTTCGATCTTCACCTGCGATAGCAACCTCAAGGCTCTTTGCGCGTCATCTGGAGTGGCATATTCGACGAAACAGAACCCCTTATTCTTGCCAGGACTGTCCATCATACAGCGGACATCGACAATCGGTCCGCTTCCACATACCACAGCCTTTATCACCTCAACATCCCAATTGTAGGGAATGGCTCCTATGTACAGAACACACGACGTGTTCAATGCTATGCCCTTCGACATACCTCAGCAAACTTGGGCAAAAATGGGCAGAGGGTTGGTCAGCAAAAAAGAATCCAAAAGAAAGAAAGCTTCTGCTGTGACGGGCTAAAAAAAAGAGAACCCAACGAGCTGTTTCCGTGCTATTAGCGTGTGTTCTTGTTCGGTGTATCTCACTCAACCTAGGCTCTCTAAGCAAAACCTGGACTTCCGAACTTTGAATTTAATTTCTTGTCCCGTTCTCGAAAACTCGGCTCAAAATGTTATTTGCAAGAGTCTCCTATAACTTAATGACCAAGAAGATATATCGAAGGTTCAGGTCTGGTGGGATCCAGGAAGGAAAATTTTTGTTCGGCACTAATGAATTTCAAAATTTTTTTCCTCTTGCGAAGAGAGAAAAGCCTGGAGAAGTTTTTGTATGGTAGTGTGCGACCCAGGTTTTGATTGCCATTCGTTTGTGTTTGGGCCTGTTGGGTGGTGGTTATAATGGAATTTTCTCTACGATTTTGAAAAATAGTATACGAGGGAGATGGTTTTATTGAGGTTTGTAGTTTGGTGAGGAGGTGGAGTAGTACAAGTGGTGTAGCGACACGAAAGGCTATACATGGTCACGTAGGCTTGGGCTTGCACGTAAAGTGACACAGAATATAAGTACGGGACGGTGGGTTTGAAGCAAAGATCCAAGAGGAAACCCGGAGTTTAATCGTGAACCTGGTGTCTCCAGTGCTACTGTTACTGTCCAACAAAACCTGAACCTGTTACTGGCCCTGAGTCTTCCTCCAATCGTTGAGCGTGGTTTGCCCTCCAGGGCTGCACTAGGATGCAGTTGACTTGCATGCGCTGAACTTGAAATCTCCATCCTTCGATCCGGCTTAGAGTTGGCCTATAATCAAGATTTTTTTTATTGGACGAGATAATATAAAGATGTACTAGTTTAAGGTTATATTCATGGACATCCTTTCGACCTTCAGCACACATACTAGTAACAAGTACGGCCACCTCAGCTGTCTTTGCTTTTTGATGGCTCTTTTTCAGTTTCTTTTCAAAACGGCTTTATTGATGCGTACACTATTTTGGTCACGTGATTTAATTCATTCTGATTATCGCACGTTGGCGTACTTCTGCTTAAGCTGTACTATAAGGAATCTCTGATCCTCCGGAACCTGCTGGATTTGCTCGTCAGTCATAGCCAGGATTTGTCTGATCATCTGTTTTTGCTCTTCGCTGATCTCGTCAAAGTCACTGGTGCCACCGGTGGTGCTTCCGTTGTTCTGTGGTGCTGAGGGGGCATTCGCGAGACCAGGGTTATGGAGCAGCCCTGCGATATCTTTGGAGTCAGTGAGGTTCAAAAGCAAAGCAGCTTGAACCAATGCATATGATAGCTGGGGGTTCTGTTTCAGCAGCTTGACCATCATCTCTGGGTTTGATTTCGACATGATTTTGGCATCGTTGATCAGGTTTTTGAGTCTGTTGCCGTCCAAATTGTTCAAGGAAGAGCTCACTATTCCCGCAAGGTTCTCGGGTCTTGGATCCATCACCTCAAGTCCGGCTGGTAAGGGGGGTATCTCGTCTTTGGTGACGGTACGCCTCTTGCCCTTGATGTTGTTTGAGCCATTACTAAAATTGCTGAAGCTCTCGTTTGAAAAACTGCACTTTATTGCCCTATTTCCAATCATGTAGTTGTTTAGATTTCTCACGGCTGAAGAAGCAGTTTCTTCGTCTGTAAAATTGGAGTGTTAGAATGATAATGGGGTTGCAAATTCACAATGCCTATAACTTACCTGCATATTCCACGAATGCAAATCCCTTTGATTTGCCCGTTTCTTTGTCAAAAACCAACCTGGTATTAACCACTGGTCCGACGGATTTTGCAATGTCTAGAAGAGTTAGTATGCTCAGAGGACACAAGACATGCATGCCTGCCAAATGACATTTGACTGTTAAAAAAACCTACCCAGCACTTGTTCCTCCGTTTGATCATACGGTATACCACCAACATATATCACTTTTCCGTTCAACTCTGACATTGTGAGTTCTATGCGACTTAAAAGATGTGATAGAGGGCTAATTCGAAACCATATCCTCTCAAATGGCTGAACTCTTTTACATCGGTGTAAATTCTTGAGTGCACCAACCATTATAATTTGGGTTTCACACTGCTCGACAAATGCCCTCAACACGGGAGAGGATACCAAACGGAGACTTTCCAGGGAGCCGTTTAGTGTCCAGCGGTGGCTATTCCGTTACATATTGTATATATTCTCGCATTCATCGCTGAGCGATTGTGCCATAGCTACAGACAGTCTGCCTTTGAATCGCGTTGTTCATATACCCCTTACAATGGATGCGAAGACAATCAGGTCTTCCATGGCGGACCTGGACAAAACCAAAGATACTAAAGTCATCTTGGAGATACTGACTTCGTTGAAAAGAGATGTCAGGCCTACTGAGAAATTGTTGAGAGTGAGTAATTTTTACTGAGGTTTTATGAAATCTGGTTGGGAATGGAGTACACTGTTATTCCCCCGTTGTTCGAATAGGGCTAATAGCTAACTTGTCTCAGGAAACCAAAGTTGGTGTCGCGGTGAACAAACTAAGATCGCATGCTGATCCCGAGATCAGCAATTTGGTCAAGAAAATAATAAAATCTTGGAAAGATGAAGTTTCCAGCGAGAAGAAGTCTAAGGTTGTAAAAAAGGAGGAGCCCACTGCCTCCAGTGCATCCAGTGCATCACCAGCGATCAAAGGTGAGAAATTTCAGACCTCAAAGGCCAGAAACCCACAAAACGATGGTGTGTCCATAAATATACACGAGAACACGACAAGAAACGGATCTGTGGGTGGGTTGTACACTGCGTTGGCGATTGACTCTGATGCGTTCCCCAAGATCATTCTTCAAACAGCCAAGGAAATTGAGCAGGCTGCCTACGAGCTGGAATATCTCACTGTTAACGACAACTATCGGAACAAGATGAGATCTCTCATCATGAATTTGAGGAACAAGCAGAATCCAGAGCTAAGGGCGAGAGTGCTGTCTGGAAACATCTTTCCTGCTGAGTTCGTTAGAATGAAGGCAGAAGATTTAGCACCTGAAGCTTTGAAGAAAGAGATCAAGCGATTGCATCAGAAGAACTTACATGATGCCAGAGGAGCTGTTGAAGAAAGGGCTACCACCGATAGGTTCACGTGTGGTAAGTGCAAACAGAAGAAGGTATCGTATTACCAGATGCAAACTAGGTCTGCTGATGAGCCTCTGACTACGTTCTGTACGTGTGAGAATTGTGGTAACAGATGGAAATTTTGTTGAGATATCGCACTTTCTCTGTAAAAATAGATGTCTTATAGTATATGCGATGTTGATTTGTAGCTGGAGAGGATTGTTCTAGGCTTTAGTTGCGGAAAGTCCGTTTCTTCGTGCAAGCCTGGTTATTCTTCATGGCAGGCCCTTCTGAGTGTATTTCAGATGATTGCAAGTCATTCCTCAGGAACTTTATTTTTTCAAGTGTTTTATGCCTTAGTAAGCAATTCGAACAACAGTTTCGCATCTTGCGGAGCAAACTGGATGTTGGAAGACTCCAGCTCCTGCTTGATCTCAGAGAGACATGCCTTGATATCGTTATCGGTCAGGAACTTGAACTGCTGCATTAATGAAAGGCTTCCCTTGCTGTCTGTTGGAATGAGTTGTTTTTGTTCAGCAATGGACCTCAGTTTCTGGAATGACTCCAGCAAGTTTGGGTGATTGCCGATCTGGCTCATCAGCTGCGCCAGTCTTGGAGGTATACCCTGGTTCTCTTGTGCTTGCTGGATGGATCTGGAGAAGCCTCTGGTGGCAGCTCCAACTTGTTGTGGGAGCACTCTTCCGGCAAATGAGCGTTTCGTAGATGCAAATATGACTCTGTTAAACATTTTGAGGTGGAAATTGAGATAATCAGGTGAATTTTGGGCCAATCCGAAGGCTCTCTCTGGCTGGGTGAAATATCGGCAGAGGGCCCGAGGTGCTCATCACCACCAAATGAGCCTGCCACTATCATGGCCTCGGCAAATTCTAATTTCTACTATTTGCTATATAGGGCTATTCCTCTCAAGTTCTCGTAATTAGGTAATACTTGGTCTATATATTATCAAACCTGGTTTAGTTTTTAATTGAACTCACCCTTGGCTGCAAGAAAGGACACCAGATCAACCTTGGTGACCAGGTGCAATGGCTTGCCTGACTCGTCTGAGATCACAGCAGCAGAGTTTGTCTCGAAGAACTTGTTCAATTTCTCCAAGCTGGTTACGGGGGTAATCAGCTGGTACTCTCTTCTCTTATTGGAAGACTCCTTGTTGATGTTGTAGGATTTCTCAAAGTTTTTCAAGTTCCTGAAGTCAAAGAAGGTCTCGGAGACTGGCGAGTTGATGTTGATCTTGTTGGTTGATAATTTCTTCAGGATATTCGACAAGGTGACGATTCCCACCAGCTTTGAACTGTCTGAAAGCACTGGGACCTGGTCAAAGCCCTTGGACTCCAAAAGCTTGATGGTGGTTCCGACAGAGTCGGTGGACTTAACCGCAACAACTGGCTTCAGCTTCAGGTCTTTGACGGTGTACGAGTTCAAGGTCTCAAAAGCGTCCTTTTGGTTCAGACTGTTTCTTCTTGGGGTCTTCTCGGTTTCTTCGCCAAATCCGTTCAATTTCATCCAGTCATCGTCTGCAAACTTGGACAGATAGGATCTGATGCTGTCTGGACAAACGAAAACAACGTAGGCATCTTCTCCCAAGTTGTACTCCTGGATAGTTTCTAGTGTGGCCTGCAAGGAGGAACCCGAAGATCCACCAACAAGAATACCTTCCTCGCGGATAAGCCTTCTGGCCAAGTGGAAAGACTCTCTGTCATTGGTCTTGTACCATTTGTCAACCTCCTCTCTCTTCAAGACGTCAGGGATGAAATCGTAACCAATCCCTTCCACCTTGTACTGTTCATTAGAAGCGTTCAAGCTCTCTGGAACGGCCAGAATGGAACCGTATGGGTCAGCACCAATCACCTTGATGTTTGGGTTCTTCTCCTTCAGGTACTTGGCAATACCGGTGATGGTTCCTCCGGTACCGGCACCAGCAATCAGATGAGTAACCTTACCATTCGACTGTTCCCAGATCTCCTTACCGGTGGTGTAGTAATGGGCATCTGGGTTGTTTGGGTTGCCGTATTGGTCCAAGATGATGGAGTTTGGAATCTCCTTCTCCAGTTTCCTGGCAACACCAATGTGCGATTCGGGAGCATCCCAAGCGGCCTCGGTGGGGGTTCTAATAATCTCGGCACCAAGGGCCTTCAACACAGAGACCTTCTCGTTAGACATCTTCTCTGGCAGAGTAATGATGGTTCTGTATCCCTTCACGGCACCCACCAAGGCAAGACCTATACCGGTGTTACCAGAGGTGGGCTCAATCAAAGTGCTCACACCTGGAGTAATCTTTCCAGCCTTCTCAGCTTCTTCCACCATGCGCAAGGCAATACGATCTTTGATCGAGCCACCAGAGTTGAAGAGCTCAACCTTGGCGTAGATGGGGGCCTTGATTCCCAGTGATTGAGGGATCTTGTTCAGCTTCACCAAAGGTGTCTGGCCGATGTGTTCCAGAATGCTATTAGACTGAGGGGGGGTTGGTTGCGACATTTTCGGTTGACAACTGTTGGTGTTAAGGCGAGAGACAGGTTTCAGGGAGCTTAAATTAAACGGACCACAAATACTGAAAAAAAATTGCGTCAGATTTTACGTAAGTCCTTACGTAATCAAGTCTTGGCCCTGGCTCTAATCGGTCACAAACTTACCATTCTCCAGTATCTGTCTAATCGCAGTCTCCACCTTCGGGACAACTTGCTCGTTCAATATCTCTAGCTCTTGTGGTTTGAACTTCCCGAGCACGTAGTTGCTCACGGTCTCCGGGTCTCTGCTCTCAGGACGACTGATTCCGATGGAGATCGTGGTGTAGCCCTTGCCTATGTATTTCTGTATCGACTTTAGTCCATTATGGCCTCTCGTAGAAGCACCCTGTTTTCTGATTTTGATTTTGCCCAGCTCCGTATCTAGTTCGTCGTGAATGATTATGAGCGCGGGATTGAAGCCGCCGGCACGCGACTCCTGCATCACCTTGTGCCAAACATCTCGTATCTTGAGACCCGATACATTCATGTAGGAGGGGGACTGAAATAAGAATAGTTGTTGGTTTTCCCTCTTGCCAATTGACCATCCGTTTTGTAATGCTATTTTTTGCAGAATGTAATGTCCAACGGAATGTCTCGTGTTCTTGTAGCCTTTCTCTGGGTTACCTATCGAGGCGATTAACACGCTTATGGGTTCCTCTGAAGGTACCGTTTTGAACGCCAGAGAGCTAAATCGTCTCGAAATCATGAGTTGATAAATTTGGTCCTGCAAGATGTAAAAAACGTCCAGGAAGATTCTGAACATGTAGAAGGAAATTGTTTGTCTTGTTTGGATTATGAGTCAATGAAGGTCGTTTTCAAGATTTGTGATTTTTTCATTCTAGCGATGAGCTAGAGTTTTCCGTGCGGCGCTACTTTCTAGGATGCATAATAATGCACTCATTCGTATGTACGTATGTATGTATGCATATAAATATATTCTACCACAAAAATTATCCATATCCTTAAAAGAACAATGTCTGTATTATATACAGGCACATTGACTCGTACTATTCCACATATACAAGTTCAACACTATGAAAGCACTCCTCCTCTTCACTATGATAACACACTGGTAAAGTTTCTTTTCTTGGATCCAGCACTCTTATTCTTTTCAGTCTCCAAGTCAGCGTGTTGTCTCTTCAAACCACCCAATTTCTGGTTGAAGGTCTCGACTCCAACATCCATCAAATCCTGTTTAGCGTTTGCCTTGATGCTCTGGATATCCTTGATCAGATCCTCTTTCAACCCTTTCAAGTCTTCGATCTGGCTCTTGTAGTTGTTGTGCCTCTCCACTAAGATTCCGATACTGGTGAGCAATGCATCTCTATCCTTCTGTAAGTCTTCAAACTGTTTTTGAGACGTGAGTTGTAACTTTAACTCGGTGACCTCTTGCTGAAGACGGCCATTTTCTTCGATAACTTTTAACAAGCTTGGGTTGGATTCTTGTGACTTGCTTTGTTCCTCGATCTGATTCGAAATCTCGGCCAGCTTGGCTTCCAATGTCTTCTGACTCGTGCTGTTCTTCAAGAAGCTCGATATCTTGTCGAGCTTCTCATTCATCTGGGTCTCACTATCTGCCTGGCTGAGCTTCTTCAGCTGCTCCAAGATCTTGGTAAGTTCTCCCTGTATTTGTTGGCTTGTATCCGTCTTCGAGGTATTCAAAAGGTTCAAGATAGCCTCTAGTTTTTCGTCCGCAAATTTTGTCGTCTTGCTTATCTGGCTTGAGGAATCCAAGACTTTCGAAACCTCTTCACCCAAGTCGACATCCAGTTTCATAAGGTAGTTTTTCGTTACATCCAAGCCTTTCTTGATCTGTGTGATTTCTGTATTCAAAGCATCGGCAGCCGTCGCGCCTTTTTTCTCATGCAAAATGGCAAAAATCTCTTGCAATTTTTCCGTGACTTCATGAAGCTGGTTTCCCATATAGCGTAAATCGGATTCATCAGGCACCCTGTACAACATACTACTAATTTCGTCAATTCTCGAATCCATCATCTCTTCCGTTCTGCCGGATCGGCGCAATAATGTGATGATCTCGGTCAACTCTGAAGAACCTTCATCTTTCGAAGAAGCCCCACCTAAAATTTCACCAAGACGGCTGATTTCAAGAAGAACCTGGTCAATCTTTGACGTAGCAGAAGAGGAACCCTCATTTCTCAATTCCTGCAACAACGAAACGAGTTTCTCGGTGCCAAATTTGCTAATATCCTGATAAATATAATCCAGCTTATCGGAATCCTCTCTTTGGGTGTTCAAATTCTCGTTGAACTCTTTCACGTTTTGAGCCAGCTCAACTAGCGATGAATTGTTATTCTTGGACCTCGAAATCAGGCTCTCCAGCAACTCCTTCAGTTCCACCAACTTATTTGCCTTTAGATGTCTGTCCAGTAGTTGTTGGATTTGAGTTGTGTCTATGACAATCTCCCTTTCGTCAGACCCAAAATCAAACTTGCCTATCAGTTTTTTTGTCTTCGAAGGTGTGTGATTCAACATATCCTTCATGTTGGGTGCAATTGGTAGTGGGGGAGGATTTTTATTCGGATTTCCGGAATCCCACATGGGAGGTTTGTTTTCTTTCCCTGGGGTGGTTGTAGCTGTATTCAAGCTCGTAATTTGCACCTCGTGGTGTTGTGTGGGTATGTTCTCCTGACGCGTAGTGAAAGGAGGAGATGAGGGTGCTTCGTGTTTAACTTGAATTTTCGAGTTTATATTGGTCGAAGACTTCGACTTCTTGATCGATTTTGTATCCTCGGACATTTGAAGTTTAAGTATAGATCTTGTAAACCGCCGCAATGTACATGTCACAGACGTGTTACACGTTCTTTACCCCGAGTGGACTAACAGTGATGTCCTAATCTGAAAAATCCAATTACGTTAGTTGGGACACGAAAAAGTGTGCTTGCTTCAATTTTTGGTCATCCCCCAGATTTGGAATATATTTGTGTGGGATGAAGATAAGCAGACTTCAGTCTCTTTGTAACCGAGTCAAGTCTTTGGAGCATTTTGAAAGATGGCACAAGGTTATCCTTTGGATTACTTACAGACGTGGCAAGAACACTTAGAACGGGAAAGGTACCTGTGCGGTTCAGTTCTGGAGAATGACTACTCCATACCTGAGGATGACGTTTATATGGGTACGCATCTTAAAACACCTTTGGGATAATTGCTTCGTTTCTAACCTGCATTTTTAGAGTCATGGATAGACTTGCGAGACTCAGAGACATCGGAAAATGAAAATTTTACCGATTCCGCTATCACAACGACGTTCTCCAGAATAATCAAACTGAGAAAAAGCGATAAAGCCAGTAGCAGGAGTCAATCACACAGCCAAACGAGCTCCGAACAAAGCTCCAGTTCCCCGTCGCGCTCAAATTCTTCTTTAAAAATCTCGATACCACGTTCAGATAAATTAAAGGAGCCGTACTCGATGTACGGGGTTATTTTCCAGGTCGGGTGCGTGTCGATTGTGGTTGCGGGTTTATCGTTCAGTATTGGGTTCGTGTTTGGGGTAAAGAATAGGTGAGAATCAGATGGAATATAATGGGGTATGGATTTTTGTATGGGTTGTATGGGTTGTATGGCTATGTTTTATAGGGCGATTATTTAATTGATTTGTGTGCGCGTAAATCTTATCCAACTAGTCTGGCTATAAACTGAGAAGCAGGTACAGCAACCAGAATAAGGCTCACCAGGAACGCGATGATAGTGATGAATTCTGAGTTCAAAGACCCATAGAATCTGTCATTTCTGAGCAGCTGAACCCTTATATATGCATTTTTGAAAGAGTCACTTGCAGAGCCCTTGCCGATATGATAGAAATCCTGAGTGGTGGCTATCGTCAAAATGGTCTCGTTTTGGGACGTGAGGGTGCAATCCAGAGAGATGTCAATTGGATCCAATCCGCTCCAACACGCCTTGACAAAATATTTGCCTTCACCAATGTCATTGAGTATGATCGTGTATTTGTCCCTAGATAAATCTATGGCAACATCAAGCGACGTTTGGGGAGTGATTGCAAGCTGATGTGAGGCAATCTCATCATGCGTGTCTATTATGCGTAGCGTTGATCTATCAAACACCAAGGATTCTGTGTTCGCCCAGACAGTCAGAGCTAAGAATGCGAAAAAGTAGATTCTCATTACGCTCTGTGCATTCTTCGATATGTCACAGGCCGGTTATTGTCAGTACTCGGCTGGATTCAAAGAACCAGATCATACACTGTGGTGCCAAATGGAAAGTGTGTAGCGAAAATTGCGTGTACTTCCTGATTTTCCCAATACGGATGATCAAACCGGCCCACCGATAAAGAGGCCCCAAAAGAATTCCTTATCTCTCATACAGCCAAAAGATTTCATATATGAACCGAGTGGCTGACTACAAGTTTTCCATGTCGTTTAGACTTATAGTGTGCCATTAGGTGTATCAAATATCGATTTTTCTCTTGTTCTCTTTTCTTTCGAGTTTATCTCAGTCGCCGCTTTCGTTTTATTGTCGCTTTTTTCATGTCTAAGAAGGATCTGAAAGATTCAAAGTCTCCAGTTTCGGAGAGGTCTCCTCTGTTGACTTTCGAATCAAATTCAAATGCCACGCCTACATCCTCACTGAGAGACTCTGTGAACACTGCTCTGGAAACGACAATTTTCTTCCAAACCAGACACGAAGGCCAATTCGAAGACGACCCAGATGACCCTCCTCCCCCATACTCTTTCGAAGCACCTCCTCCGCCAGTGGAATCTGAAAGCTTCAGCAAGTCCTTCGAAGCAATTGATAACAAGTACAAAGATTTTCCATTTGTGCTTCTGTTTTTTGGTTTCGTGGCTGGATTTGTGTTTTTGGCCGTGAAATCTTTGCAGAATCTGATGTCTAGAGATAGCTACTACACAAGGTTATTCCAGCTGTTTGGCGCTGGTTATGGAGACGACTACGGAGACTACAAACCGCAGCATCGCTTATTACTGGTCTTTCTTGTTTTGCCAGTGATTTCCTCTATAGGAGGATTGGTTTGCGCCTATATCACGCCCTATCACTTCATGATGACTGCTTTACTGTCCATCCCCATCAGTTGTCTGAGTGGTGCTTTGATTGCACTTGGCCACGGGTCGGTGCCCGGAATGGTATTTTCCGTTGTAACTGCTCTGGTGGCTTTTTTGATCGTTTCCAAGTATTCTGCTCGGATAAAGTTCTCGGCGGTCATTCTGAAGATCGTTATTCATGTGTTGACATGGCACCCTGGTTCCTGGTTCGTTGCTCTCTTTGGCTCGCTATTCACCGGTTTTGTGTTTGTGATTTATGCCATCATGGTTGCCATTGTAGCAGCTGATCGCTACGAAATAGACAGCAAGGATAGGTACAACTACGATGGAGAAAAGAAGTGGCTCTTTTCTAGCGATACCGGGTTCATCCTGGCCTTCTGTCTCTTCACCTGCTACTATACCTTTGAGGTTATCAGAAACGTAATCCATGTCACTATTAGTGGCATTTACGGAACTTGGTATTATTTTTCCAAGTCTTCAAAATGTCCCAGATATCCTGCTCTGGGCGCCTTCAACAGAGCCGTGACTCACTCGTTCGGATCCATCTGTATGGGCTCTTTGGTTTCGGCTGCCATGAGGTTCACCACCAAGGTCCTGTCCTTCATCAGAACCAATAGAGAATACAGAGAAGCCGGAAGCCTGGTTTTAGACGTTCTAGTCTACGTTGCCTCATTCTTTTACAAGATGCTTCAGTTTTTCAACAACTTCTCTTACTCCTACATTGCCCTGCATGGAAAGGACTATGTTACTTCTGCTTACGATACCTACCATCTACTAACAGTTCGTGGAGTCATGACGGTGTTTTCAGACTGTGTCATTGAGGTCACTCTCAACTTTTACGTTTGGGTGGTTTCCATTCTAAGCTCTTTCATCGTGTATATATTTTTGAAGTACATCGAGCAGGAAGTCGATGCCACCAGAATCACCATATTTGTGCTAGGTGAGTTCTTCATCAGTCGCCTTATTTGCAATGTGACACTTTCCACGCTTACGAGTGGGTTTTTCACTCTTTTGGTGGTATTGGCAGAATCTCCAGAGATCTTGGAAAAGAGCTATCCGGAGTACTATGAACAACTGTGCTCCTACCAGCCAAAGCTTAGAACCAGCTTGCACGTTGCGATTCCTTCATCACCAGGTGTTTGAGCAGTTATTTGGAAATTTTTGTTATTATTCATTTGGTTGTATCACTCGTAATATCTTGTGCGTAATTCGTTAGTCATAAATACGTTGGGGCCTTGCTCCGTGCCCCCATTTTTCGAGCCCTCATTCTTATTCATCATCCTCTTTCACCTTCTGCATGAACTCCTTTTGAACCTTAACCTGCTCGAGAGAAAACTCTATTGGGTTTGACTCCATCACTCGACACATTTGGGTCGCACAGAGGTAGCCAAGGTTGTTTGACTTACTCCCCGTACGTCCGATTTTTCCTGCAGAAACCCATAATTCAAAGCTTCTTTTCAGAGCTTTTATCTGCTGCTGAGATTTGGGTTCTTCGTCAGAACCCACCAATCCCGATCCTGTAGAACCACGCAGATAGAACAGCATAGCCGCCAAATATGGTGCGATTGAGCACAGCTTTTCCAACTCCCTCGATCCCATGGTCGTGAAGTTTATTTTGGGGAGTCTTGCCAAATCACCAAACCAATTCAGGTCGGAAATCAGGCTCATCGTAGCGGTGAGCAGAGGGTCTGATTGCGAAAGGTTGTCCTGCTGGCTGCACATTTGGTGAAGGTCATCCAGGAGTACGCCTCTCAGTTTCCAAGCCTTCGAAAGCTGGTTGGATGTTTGGGATTCAGACTTATCCCTTCCCTTCAGCATGATGACATCGTGACAGTTCAATACATATAGGTTCAGAGTGCTCAAGCAGTAGAGCTGATTGTACAAATCCAACGGGCCTCCTCTCTCTGGGCCCACACCTGCAAACAACTGCTTCAAAGACACTACAGTGTCATCATTCACGAAGTTTCGGTTATTCAGCTCCGTCTCCATGGAAGTACAAGACTTCCGGACTTTGCTGTAAAACTTCTTGGCCCTTTCGTAGTCCCCGAGATGATGGCTTTCAACGGCAAGCAGATAAAATATCTGGGGAACCAACTTATGGTAGACTGCCAGCTCCTGCGATGAAAATTGTCCACCCTCGTAGTTTTTGATGAACTCAAAAAGAGGCTTGAAATCCTTGGAGGAAGACCTTCTTTTAGCCTGGAATGCCAATACACCGCCATTGTTGAGACAATCCAACGCCTCGTATATGTTAATGAGGATTTTCCAATATCTCAGTTTCAAAGTCTTGGACTCCAGCTCGTTCAACGAGCACTTGAAGTCAGAAGCCAGCTCTTTATCTATGAGATGATGACACATTTTGAACAAGGTCAGTGCCCTTTGCTTGCCATCCCATGTTCGTAGCAAATAGTTCATACCACAATAGAAGAACGTGAGAATGGTAAACTCCGTAGAAGACATCCACTCTATTGCCAACGGAGTTTGGTGATGACGGTCATTGTCGTTTTCAACAGTGGAGCTTACCATAATCAAAAACCTCTCCGATTTCCAGTTGGCAAACCCCTTCGACTTTTGGTGCTTCAAAAACTGGTCAACCATGTATATGCGTTCTTTGGATTTCACGGGATCACATTCCATGAGAGAGCATAGTAGCTGAGATAGCAGAAACATGGCTCTTATCTGGATTGGAAATGTTTTGTCTATCAGAGTTTCGAGCTGGCTCAAGTCTTTCTGCGCAATTGGCAGATTGCCGCTGTAAATGGAACTGTTGATTCGGTATAAGAGACACGCCGCCAACAGATGTGGGTTCCTTCCTGAATGAAGCGTGCTTTTCCTGACCAAATCCGTAAGCATATTCTGATACACCGAGGAATCCTTGGCAACACGGATATATTGAAGTCCAACAAACTGTAGCACCAGAGAAAGACTTTGGTCGTTGAGTTTCTGTAGATCGAGGATCTTCCTGTCGAGGAGCTTGAGACTCTGCAAACGGTTCTTCTTGAACATGATCTGGAAGTATAGAATTTCCATCTGGAGACTCAGGTAGTTGTCATCTAGACGACTGACCAATGAGATGGCTCTGGTAATGCTGTCAAGAGCATCGCTCAAATTTTCGGTTTCGTCGAACAAAATTCTGGCCATTTTGAAGTGGATGATGGCTTCCAGCTTGGAGGTGAGGCTGAAATCACGGTTGAGACATGACATTAGCAGGGCCAGGCAAGATTTGACAGTAGTATTATAATCTATGAGTCCTTCTCTTGATCTGTAGACGTCAGACGATTGATCTTTGGCACTTTGCAAGAGCATATCGCTCATGGTAGCAATTGCGCGTACTTTCTCATCCTGAGTCTGAGGTACTGATGAGATCTGTCCAACCGGCTCCAGGCTGATCTCTCTGGTCAAGTTCATGAGCAGAAAAAACAGAAGCTTATCAAGATTACCAGATCAACTGCCACAGATTCCCGAACTTTAATCAAGTTGTGATGATCCCTGGGATATTACGCACTCTTTGTTGTACGTCGTTTCCGCTATCAAAAAAACGCGTCTAATCAATTTAGTCACGTGCCCGTCTCGTTCGAATTTATCTGTCCCAAACGCCCGGGGTTTGTTGAATGGGAACACCCTTGATGAAATGTCTAGTTCACCAAGTATTTCCCGATTTCTTTCGACACCTGTATTGATTCATTCGCCTTGTCGCCAATTGTTGGTTCATTGTTGTGATCTGACGTTGACTCTGTCGATTATTCTTGATTTCCGATCTCAGTGAAAAGAGCGAATCGGACCCGCTCAAACTTTCGTTGGAGAGCAATTCGGGAGACAAGCCGCTTGGAACAAGAGCGCGCGCGTTGAGTGGAAATATTCTAGGTTGTTCCGTGTGTGGGCTTAATCTTAGGGTTTTGATCGTTCGCTTGTGTTGTTGTGTTGTTGTGTTCTTGCTAGTTTGCTTTCTTGAGTGTACAAATAGACATGGCGTTGTCATCGGCGGCTCTGCCGAGGGGTCACAATGCCCTCAGCCAGATTAAGGCTGGATGCAGACGGTTTGGCAGAATAAGAGCTACGAAAAGAAATATTTCAAAGCTGGTTCTTCTTACATCGATTGTGGGTGTAATGGTGTTTGGTATTGTCAGCTTTGTGAAATCACTGCCCAAGGGAAAACCTTACGCATTCACAGAACTGGAGGCCAAGAAGATAAAACTGGAAGATACTTTGAAAAGAGACTTCATGAAAAAATTTCCCCTTTCCAAACGTGATCTTTCTTCCAAAAATGACGCGGTTTTTCAGGTGGGTTGTCGGGAACCAGATACCTCGAAGGAAAGAGCAAACGCTGCGTTTGTGATGTTGACCAGGAACGAAGAGCTGGATGGTGTTATCCACTCGATGAACTCCATGGAAAGACATTTCAACCAATGGTTCAAGTATCCTTGGATCTTTTTAAATGATGAAGATTTCACCCCAAAATTCAAGAAGACCGTTAAGCAACACACCAAGTCCAAAGTGCAATTCGGCAAGATTCCGAAAGCTGCGTGGAATTTTGCTGCCACCGAGGACAAAGAGGTTGTTGACGAGAGTATTGAGAACCAAGGCGATCGTGGGATCATGTATGGAAACATGCCCAGTTATCACAAGATGTGCAGATTCTATTCAAGCTATTTCTTCAAACATCCATTGGTTCAGAAACTGGAATGGTATTGGAGGGTGGAGCCAGATGTGGATTTCTATTGTGATTTGACCTATGATCCGTTTTTGGAGTTAGAGAAGAGCGGAAAGAAGTATGGTTTCACTATGGTTATCAAGGAGCTGATAGCCACTGTTCCTGGGCTTTTCAGGAAGACCTTGGAATTTGTGAGGAACGAAGATGTGGAAATCCCCGATTCCTTTAAACTGTTTGCGCAAGACTTCAAGTTCTACGCTGGCACCAATGAGGTTCATTATAAAGGAGTTACAAATAACGAGGAACTATTTGAACGACTGCAACAACGGACTCCGATGCTGCGTTTACTGAACAAGATGAACCAGCAAGGCGAGATCACTGAAGAAGATATTGACACAACCTCCATAAACTCGCTTGTGGATCACAGCAACAAAAGAGGACTACCGCGCTTGGGGAAGGACACTTTCAACGACCAACAGTACACTCTGTGTCATTTCTGGAGTAATTTCGAGATTGCAAGGACTGACTTGTTCACTTCGCCTGAATACCAGAAATACTTTGATTTTCTGGAGAAGTCCGGAGGGTTCTACAAAGAGAGATGGGGAGATGCCCCAATTCATTCGCTTGCAGTGGGTATGTTTTTGAAACTTGAAGAGATCCATTACTTCAGAGACATCGGCTACCAGCATACTACCTTAGCCCATTGTCCTTCCAACTCAATCGTCAACCAACTGCCCTACAAGCCCGCCAAGGACTATACCAAGAAACTGTCCAGTTCTGAAGAGAAATACTGGGCCAACCCAGACAAGTCTCAGGAAAACGGCGTGGGATGCAGGTGCAGTTGCCCTAAGAAGCAGGAAGAGATAGAAGATGCCGCTGGATCATGTTTTGACCTATGGGTTGGGCTAAATCACGACTTGAGGAAGCCCGAGACCAAGCTGGATTTGGACCTCATTGAGCAGAAAGCATTGTCGTCATATGAGATGTATCTACAGAAGCATAACTATGACGGGAAAGACTGGAAGTTGACTCCCGAACAGGTGAAGGAGCTTGAGAAACTTGTGCTCTAGAAAAGACCAAAATGCAATCTGAGCATGTTAATCAAATCTAGGCCTGCGAATGCGTTTTTGACGATGTCCCTCTTCCTCTACTGTTCCCTTACTATTCTTTTACACTGCGGCCACGCTAAAGTCAGACTGGCCCATTAATAATTTAATCACTTGACACTTAAGAAACAAAATTCGACATTTTCTGCTTCAATGAGCTATCACGTTCAAGTCCAGTCACATAGCTCTGACAAGTTGTATATGCAGGGTGCGCTCTTGCGTGCATACCCTAAAAACGATACTGCGATGTCATTGCTTGGTCACAAATAAAGGACAGGACTACTGAAAGGCATTATAGTATAATAATTGAGGATCAATTACTCTTTGAAGCTAATGTACAAATATAAAATTCCCTAGATATACCCCACCGACAACAAAAAGAGAAACCAAATGAGATACCAGCGAAGTCTGGGTGCGTTAAAACATCCAAACTGTTTAACCACCGAAACCATACAAAGTACGTCCCTGTCTCTTCAAAGCGTAAACGACATCCAAAGACGTAACAGTCTTTCTCTTGGCGTGCTCAGTGTAAGTAACAGCATCTCTGATAACAGAGTCCAAGAAGGACTTGAGGACGGCTCTAACTTCTTCGTAGATCAAAGCGGAGATACGCTTGACACCACCTCTTCTGGCCAGTCTTCTGATAGCTGGCTTTGTGATTCCCTGGATGTTATCTCTGAGAATCTTTCTGTGACGCTTAGCGCCACCCTTTCCAAGACCTTTTCCACCTTTACCTCTACCGGACATTATTGATTATTTGATTGTGTGATAGATGAAGAAGAAAAAGGAAACAACGGAACCACAGAAGGTGAAATGGTCCCTATATTTATAAAAGAAGCTTGGGCGCGATGTGTGTTGTTTGTTTGTGTACGCGAAGCATGATGGGAACTACACACGGGTGAGTAGTCCCCATACCCGGGGCAGATGTTAGTGCCCAAAAATGCAGGTGGGTGTGTATATTCCAGCACTGTTGGCGTGTTTACGTTTCAGCATCTGTGTGGTAAACAGACCAAACAACGCGCCCGAGCTGTCGTCTTATATAAATCCTTCTGTTCCTACCCTTATCTCCCAAGCTTTTCTACCTTTCTTTCTTCAGCAATCACCCTTTTTTCACAATGGCCAGAACAAAGCAAACTGCAAGAAAGTCCACTGGTGGTAAAGCCCCAAGAAAGCAATTGGCTTCCAAGGCTGCCAGAAAGTCCGCACCATCTACTGGTGGTGTCAAGAAGCCTCACAGATATAAGCCAGGTACCGTCGCCCTGAGAGAAATCAGAAGATTCCAAAAGTCTACTGAGCTCTTGATCAGAAAGCTGCCATTCCAAAGATTGGTCAGAGAAATCGCTCAAGACTTCAAGACCGACCTCAGATTCCAATCTTCTGCCATTGGTGCTTTGCAAGAGTCCGTTGAGGCTTACTTGGTCTCACTCTTTGAGGACACTAACTTGTGTGCCATCCACGCCAAGAGAGTTACCATCCAAAAGAAGGATATTCAATTGGCCAGAAGATTGAGAGGTGAGAGATCCTAAGCTTAATGTATTGATATACTGTTGATAAGCTGCTGCTAAGGTTTATTTCGTGGTGGTTCGTTAGGTTATTAATTAGGTTTATGTTTTCTATTTAAATGTATATTAGATGTTGGGTAAACACGTTTTCATTAAACCGCAAAAACATAGTAAGCTCTAAATATGATTGATAGTGTTGTTCTCAAAAATATATTATGTATTGCGCACTACCCTAGTCTACTAATTGATAGCAAGCCATAGACGTGAAATTAGGCGAACTATAACCCTCCATTAGAGGTCCAACCTTATTCGACTGTGTGATACCTGTATTGATTATTGGATTTTATTTCAAATAACTAACTTTGATCAATGTCACAAGCTCCAGAGATCCCAGAAATCACCGATTCTAAAGGCATTTCCCAATATGTCTATGAGCTGAGTGCAACCCCATATCCAGCATGGGCTCTTGCCGCTGGTCTGGTTACAACGCCTTTGATACGACCAACTCTAGTGCCGGCTGCAGCGGTGGATGCCGCACCAAAATCAACGTTCGGTTTTGGCGGAAGTAAGCTAGGTGTCAAATACCCAGGACTATCGTATCCTACCAATTTGTCGTGTTTGCTATTCGGGGCCACATCTGCATTGGGTGGTTATATGATCTATGATAATGATTTGCAGAATGGCTCTGGGTTCCTGGCAGTGTGGTCGCTGCTGTATCCAATTGTGAATGGTCGTAAGGCGATATGGACTCTGAAGCTGTGGCCCAAGCTGCTGGCAGGTCAGGCCTTGATCAACGCTGGCCTTTATGGGAGAAGGTTTATCTGGCCTTGATTGTTATAAAATATTGCGTGCGTTCTCGTCTGGTTGTATAACGTAGAGGTTGAGCTTTTTTTTGGTATATTTGATCCCTTGGGGTCTTGCACCAGATCACCAGCTCATGAATTGGTGCAGGCAAGGGATTTCTCTCCGCAAAATTCGTGTGAATAATCCCTTGCTGCATCATTATCTTGGTCAGTGATATAATTTTGGTTTAAGACACTCTGACCTGTGTTTGGCTTCACCACTTCAACGGTAACCAATTCCTGGCAGTCGCATATCTATCCGTTTCTTCATCCCTAAACATCTCAATGAACTGCTGGTCCAAAGGTCTCTCCTTCGGGTATGAGAACTTTCTGTATTCGTCAAATATCATTGACAAAGACCATTTCTGAAGTTTTCGTATACATCCCACCAAACAGCCTGTGCGGTGTTTTCCACGGTTGCAATGGATAAGTATTGGTTGGTTTTCTGGGTTCAAAACAATCTTGAGTGCTTCCTGAATCAGTTCCGGCTGTATCTTGACAAAAGGCTCTTTGTTTCCCTCCATGCCTATCTGGAAGAACTTGATGTTGTGATCCTGAATGAACGAGCTGTTTTCCTCGGGATAGTCTTCTGGAATCAGACATATTATGGACTTCAGCTTCAGCCGCGACAGAAATTCAAAATTATCCGTTCTTGGAAAGGAGGACCTGTAGATGTCCCCACATACTGCGGAAAAGTTCTCTGGAGGAGTCACCAAACCACCAGGCATAGACGTATTCGTACCCTGTGTTTCGTGCATTATGGACACCTTGTCGCCACTCACCTTCATGCTATATGTATCCGTCTCACCAATCTGGGTAATCGAATTGGTCTCAGTAACCAAAACCTCCGTCTTCTCGTCATCTTGTCGCCTCTTCGCAACTCCTTCTTCCTCGAACCCGTCTTCAAAGTCAAAGATTTCGTCAGCCATGGGGTTCGATTTGAATTTCAAGTGCTACTTGCTGAGCGCTATTGGCTGGAAATGAATGTGTCAGCTAGGTTTAGGAATAAGGAAACGATATATCTGGTGATATACGCCTATATATATTCACAGGCTCGCTGCATGTGGAAACTGGTTGTCTGTTGGATTGGCTGATAGGTAGTGTGCTCGTGCTAAGTTAGGAGGCAAGGTGATTCGCGAAATGGGTGCGCGCTCGAGTTCTTTAGTGTTGTTCTTTGAACGTGTAAATTTTGTCTTTTCTCGTTGAAATAAACGCTAAGCGAATTATCGAATCGATAGGAAATTGTTTAGGATGGTGGGTATCGATTTTTGTTTTGCTGAATTTCGGGGTATTAACCGTGTTTAGAGTGCCCTCTTCAACTTCTACTCGCTGTTACAGGTCATCATACTATTGGTTTGCACGTCCACCTACATACACTCAGCATGGCCTGCTTTGCTGGATAAGAATAAGACAGGAATCTTAGGAGTATTCTGGAAGTCTGCCAGAGTTGGTGAGAGACTGAGTCCATACATATCCATTTGCTGTTTAGTGATAGCTGTCAATCAGTTACTAGGGTGATGAATCTAGGTTATTCTCTGTTTGTGTTCTATTGTTCTTTAATGTCTGGTTTACTTTATTTGAACTCATACATCTCGGATTTACCTTGACAAAGCTCGCCTGCTGCTCTTGATCCAACAACCTTCTCAAGCTTCAGTCTATCAAACTTGCTGAACATGATTCTCACCATGGAGAGATTCAGGTCAATGATGTCGTTTTCTGATTCATCCTCTCCAAGCTCGTCCTGGATTTGGGCCAAATCTGACTTGACCTTGTTCTTGACGATAAAGTCAAGAATTTCAGAGTAGAACGTTGGGTCGGTTGGCAGTCCGTAGAAAATCACATTCTTGACTCCCTTGATGTTGTATCTCTTGTAAAAATGCAGTCTTTCTGTGTAAAGAATGAACGGATTTGAGGAAGGCTTTCTCTCAAACAAAGCTCTGTTTCTGGTGAGACTGCTTTGCGTGGAATATTCGTCAACTGCGAGGAAACCCACGTTGGTATCGTTCTGCAGATAATTTTTCAGGCGCAGATAATCGACATATGACGAGACGTAAATTAGCGTACCGTTATTGTAAGAAGCCTTGCTCCTCACCTGAGGCAAAACCACATTTTTAAAGTGTGCCAGTCTCTGATCGGGATCTTGGAGAGGAGTATCGCAGTCAAATCTCATGAAAACCTGTTTCAGTTGAACATCTTTGCTCAGAACACCACCACGAAGTAGTCTCCTTCTTTGCAAACTGACCGCAGAATTCACATCTGTGATCAGAGGTCTCACAGATACGTATCCTGCAATATTCTGGGACTTGTTGAATACCAAGTTATTAATCTCTGGTGTGGTGTACTTGGAGAAGGACATGATCTGTGTTAGGAAGTTAGCCTCACCGTTAATAGCCCACATGCGAACACGACTAAAGTCAATGGTTTTGGCCAACTCTTCCGATCTTGACGATGGAGGTTTTCCAACATATTTTCCAAAGATTGTGCTCACATGTTCCCAATTCTGCATCAACAGACCGTGGGCTTCATCCAAAATGGCAATCTCTATGGATGAAAGGAAACCATTACCCTTCTCCTTGATTTTCTTGTTATTATCACCTTCCAATAGAACCTTGAGTCCCAATGGAGATGCAACTATTATATCCGATTGCAAGAATGTGGAGTATAGTTTAATGGTCTTTCTCGTAAACTTCACACCAATGCTGAAGAAATCGTTGGAGTTACCTTTGAAGAATTTGACAAAGTCGTCTGGTCTCTTGTCACTCACAGAACCCAAGTCAAAATCATGATAGTATTGAGCCTTGAATTTTCCTTTGTTCTCAACAGTTTCCAAAGAAGAAAGAGCGATCAGCTCGTTGATAACCTCCCATGCGGCGTTCCTGGTAGGAACCAAGATCAACACTTTGGCGCGTGTGTATCCCTGATCTCTCAGTTCTGGCTCTTCGAGGTTTTTATCAGCACCCTCGCTGATCTTCTTCAAATACTTCTGCTTCTTTTCGTTGTTGGATAGAACAGAATCTCGAGTTCTCAGCACATGGTTCAAACAATGCAGCAAGTAGTAACGTCTGTAATTGTTCTCCAAATTTTTGTTTTGAAGATACTGTAAGTTAACGTTTTGATATTGGAGCATTCCTTTGATCCAATTGTAATCCAGTTCCGAGATATCTTCTTCAGAAAAGGCCTCTTTGATTTTCTTTTTAATGTTGACAGAGCTCCAGAAGCTGTTTGGCTTTGCTGGAACGTCCTTCAATTGTGCTATGTCTTCGTATCCTGTGCTCGTGCAAATGTAATTATCCTCATTTTGCACATACCTCGCCGTCTCGCTGGAAAAGTTTTTTCTGGATTGTAGCTCTGCCATGCGGTTTTTGAAAGCCTGGATATCTTTGTCAATTCTGTCCTCTTGATTAAAGTGAAAAACAAACGGGTCAAAAGTACCATTTTCTTCAACTTCATCAGAGTCTGATGGTAGCTCATCTTCCAGCTGAATATCTTCTTCATGCTGATCGCTCTCGTCGTCAGAACTGGTTTCTTTCTGAACTAGCGGAGCTGAATTCTCAGCTAATTCTGGCAAGGTTGAAGGTTCGTTGTCCAGCAAGGCAAGCAATGCAGAATAAGCTTTAGCGCTCGAACTGCTTGCAGATCTGCCTTTTGCTGAATCCTCGTCTTCGCTTTGTTCTTCCTCCGAAGATGTGTCTTGTGTATGAGTCTCCTGCGACTTGATAAGAATCTTAGGCTGACCTCTGCGCATGGTCCTAGATGTTGTCCTCAACTCCGTCCTTCCGGTCTTTCTTTTGAAGGGCCTCGGACCCAAGCCATCTGAGCTTCTTTTCATGGTGGTCTTGAGAAATAAGTGCTAAGAAACCAAACTCAACACACAATCCACTGTTGTACACGATACCAAAGCATGAAAAAATACTAGAGACAAAAAAATTGAAAGTGGGATCTGTCCCGTTTCTACGGGTTGGGTCGTGTACTTGCGTGCTGAAATTTTCGGCAGGTTTTTTCAACATCAAGGTGACGTTCCTGGACACGGCAGAAACCCCTTCAATCCCATAAACCAGTAGCTCATTCGTTCAAGAGGCACATTGGAAGTTGTGTGACTTTATTTAATCACAGTCACAAATTAGCCGCTGATACTTCAGAAGGGCATTGTATTGAATTTGGAACCCAACAACTAAGAAACCTAACAGGTTCTTCCAGCGTCAAAAATGAGTACTTCCAACTGCAGATTCTACGAAAACAAATACCCTGAGGTCGAAGAAGTCGTCATGGTCAACGTCCAGCAGATTGCTGAGATGGGTGCATATGTGAAGCTTTTAGAATATGATAACATCGAAGGTATGGTGTTGCTATCGGAACTGTCAAGGAGGCGTATCCGTTCGATCCAGAAGCTGATCCGTGTTGGCAGAAACGAGGTTGTTGTTGTTCTCAGAGTCGACAAGGAGAAGGGATACATTGACTTGTCCAAAAGACGTGTTTCCTCAGAAGATATCGTCAAATGTGAAGAGAGATACAACAAGAGTAAAGCGGTTCACTCCATTCTGAGACATTGCGCAGAGAAATTCTCGGTTCCTTTGGAGACCCTTTACGAGACCATTGGATGGCCTTTGAGCAAAGAGTTTGGTCACGCCTACGACGCCTTCAAAATCTCGATCACGGAGCCCTCTGTGTTCGATAAGATCGTCCCACCATCGCCAGACATATTGGAGGAGCTGAAAGGATACATTTCGCGCCGCCTGACTCCACAGGCCATCAAGTGCAGAGCCGATGTGGAGGTGTCTTGTTTCAGCTATGAGGGTATAGATGCCATAAAAGAAGCCTTGTCGGCTGCTGAAGCTCTTTCCACAGAACAACACCAGATCAAGGTCAAGCTGGTTGCTGCTCCTAGATACGTGCTTACTACTCAATCGCTGGATAAGCAGAAGGGTATCGAGATACTGGAAGAGGCCGTTGAGAAGATCAACGAGAAAATCACCAAGTTTGGTGGTGCCTGCAACGTGACCATGGCTCCTAAGGCTGTTACTGCCACTGAAGACGCTGAGTTGCAAGCCTTGCTGGAGAGAAAGGAGGAGGAGAACGCCCAAGACTCTGACGATTCCGAAGACGACGACGAGGAAGATTAGAGTGGACTTGAGCTTGAAGCGTGGTGTTTTGCATTGTGTGGGGAAAAACAAAATATTTTATTGATTAGTGGATTGTAGATGTGTATGTAATTGAGTTCTCTGTAGAGGACGGAACCGTTTATCAACCTATGTGTGTAGAATTGTGACTATGTTCATAGCACTAGAATGCTATTATGCTGGATGTTTTTAGGGTGTGTTTCTGACGCAAAGATAGCAAGTTTGTTTTTGATGTTCGATAAGATAGCTCCTAAGCATCTAGATATGCAGGCACTGGCTGGAATACCTTCAGGAGCAGTGCCCAAATAACAAATATCTGGAAAAAAATTCAGCAGTGGGTTGAAGAATGAGACAGAAAATAATCATGTCTACCTATATTCCAGAAAGTCTTGTCGCACTGTTTCATACAATGTGTTTTGACCCTCCATCTGATTTATGGATAATTCTGTAATTTTTCAGATTCTTGAAAATTATAGTACACTCTCTCAACAGACTTGAAAAATTTATTAAAAAGAATCCAAAAAAAGGCGAGGAGCCCAATAGAACTTCCTCAATATTGACAACAACTAATAGTCATCAATTTCCAAATAGTTTTTTATATCTTTCACTCCATGATAAGAATGTCATAAGAATGTCATGGTTCGTTTAGATGGTAATCTGGGATTCTGGGGTAATGTGCCAGGACCAATATGTGGCCTGCTTATCACACTATCTGGGGATTTCATACAAGACATCCATCGATTTCTTCTTTTACTTTGACACATATCCTGAGTTTTCTGTGGACTTTTGGTGAGCTTTCAGCATTTACTACATCCACAAATGTCAATTCGTCCTCCAACTCATGCTGGTTCTTGGTACAGCAGTAGCCGTGGTCAACTGGACAAACAGATGACCCGTTTTCTGGATGCTGCTCCTGATGCCATCAAAGGAGCGAGGGTACTGATCGGACCGTAAGTCTGCGTTGAGTTTCCATTGGCTTGAAATAATTTTCGAGGCCTTTTTTTGGGACTTGAGACTAACATTTTGTTCTTTAGACACGCAGGTTACTCGTACGCTGGCGAGACTTTGGCAGAGACTTATAAGGCCTGGGATGCAACAGATGTGTACGTACCACCGGTGGCTATTGGCCACTTCTACTGCCTTGCTATTTTCTCATTTCCTTCCCAAATTGTACTAACTATCAAAGGAAACGCGTCTTTATCATGGGACCATCGCACCATGTTTATTTCAAAGGACATGTAAAACTTACTGGGTATGAAGCTTATCAGACGCCTCTGGGGAACGTGCCTGTCGATACCGAGATCGTCAAAGACCTTTTATCCAGAAACGACTCGTTGTTCAAGGTTATGTCCGAGCAAGTAGATGAGGATGAGCATAGTTTTGAGATGCATATGCCTTATATCTACAAGATGACAGAGAATCTCCAAAAGACTCCAACGATTATACCCATTATGATATCGCACTCGGATGAAGACTTTGAAAAGAGACTGGCGAGTTATCTGGCGCCTTATTTTGCTGACAGATCAAACACGTTCGTGATAAGCACAGACTTTTGTCACTGGGGAGATCGGTTTGGGTATACGATGTACACTTCGGGAGATCCGTTCACGTTGACTGACGTAGGATACAGTCTGGAGATGAAGCCTAACTCGCTTCCCATCTACAAGTCAATTGAAATCCTAGACAAGGAGGCAATGAAAATTATGTCAACCATCTCGTACAAGAGCTGGAAGCACTACCTCAAGGTGACCAGCAATACGATTTGTGGTGCGAAGCCGTTGAGTGTGCTGATCTCCATGATGGAGGATTCCGGGAAGGCTGACACCATCAAGTGGCTTGGCTATGCTCAGAGCAACAAGGTGTCGAAACCGTTCGACAGCAGTGTGAGTTATGCCAGTGGCTATGCGATTGTTTGACAGCATCTTTTCATTTCTAGTGGGTTCTGGTTTCGATTGATATTTAATAGTTTTTAATGATTTTGTATTGGTTTGTCAAAAGTCGTGCAATGCACATCATCTGCACCGGAGAAGGCATCTCAGCCGGGACCCGAATAACCATGACGTGCCTATAACTTGAACTTTAGGTTTTGGCGTATTCGAGTGTTAAAATATCAACAGGTTTACATGGACAATTAGGAGGAAGGGGAAAATATATCAAATAGATTTTCACAATGAGTGACTCAAAGATATACACAAAGGTAAGCATACACGCGATTGTACCGTCCATTGATGTGCACCGTGATGATCCGAGTACTAATCTCTGATACTTTAATAAGGTCAAAGCAGCAGATTTGCGCACAGAACTGCAACAATCGGAGAAGAAACAAAAAGTGGTGGGAAGAAAAAAGCTTGTACTGAAAAAAATACTGGCAAACATAACCTTGGGTAATAACGAGATGGTGGAGCTATTACCAGAAGTGGTGACCATCTTACTCACTAACCGGAACGACTTGGAAGTGAAGAAAATGTGTATATCGTGCCTCAAGACATATGCTGAGGTGAGGCCTCATGAGGCCGCAAAGGCAATTGAAGTTTTTGAGAGCGATCTGGCGAATGGTTCGCCCTACGTGAAGGCTCTGGCCTTGAGAACAATCTCTTCTATTCCGACAAAAGAGTACATCGAGAGAACTGCAGCCGAATTACCCGTTTTCCTGGGTGATGCGAATCCATATATAAGAAAAACAGCTGCTTTGGGTGTGGCCAAACTTTTTGAAAAGGATCCAAGATTGGGGCAGGAATATGGTCTGCTAGAAAAACTCAACAACCTGTTACACGATAAAGATGCCACTGTTGTTTCGTCAGCATTGGCAGCCTTGAATGACATCATTGAAAGGAGCCCTCAGCTGAAGCTGTCAATTGAGTACAGAGACGCGGTTACCCTTATTGGGCTGTTGGGGACGTCCGATGAATGGGGTCAAGTGTACATCTTGAATTCGTTACTGTCGTTTGTTCCGTCTCAAGAGAGCGAGGCTGTTGAGTTCATCGAGAAGGTTATGCCGTATCTTCAGCACTCAAACAGTTCTGTGGCTTGCAATGCCCTCAAGGTGATTGTTTACTTGGCTAATTATGTCAAACACCCAGAGGACGTCCTTCCTGTGTTACCCCAGAGAATCAGCAGTGCTTTGACTTCCATGCTTTCGAAATCCTCCGAAATTCAGTTCTTGATATTGAGAAACGTGATCCTGCTGCTCCTTACGAAATCGAAGCTGATCCAATTGGATGTAAAGATGTTCTTCTGTCAATATGATGACCCTATCTATATCAAGGACACTAAGCTGGAGATCATCTATCTATTGGCAGAGAAAAGCAACGTTGGCATTGTTTTGAATGAGCTAGAGGCATATGCTACTGAGATCGATATACAGATGGTGAGGAAATCCATCAGGGCCATTGGTAACTTGGCCATCAAGATCGAGGAAACTGCTAGCGAGTGTGTGAAGGTGTTGCTGGATCTTTTGGAGAATGACATCTCATACATCGTGCAAGAGACAGTCGTTGTTTCTAAGAACATTCTCAGACGGTATCCTAACCAGTTTGAAGAGCTTATAGAGTCCTTCAGCAAACATGTGGATTCCGTGGAGGAGCCGGAAGCAAAGTCTGCTATGATATGGGTCCTGGGCCAGCGTTCGAGGAACATTGCGTCGTCCACAAAAATGCTAACTGCTTTTTCTGAAGGTTTTCTGGAGGATCCAGTTGACGTTCAGTTATCGCTACTGACTGCATCCGTGAAAATTTACTCGAGGAGCCGGAGTCTGGATTCCTCGCAGCAGCAGGGTGCCGAGGAGCTCATGCTGAAGGTTCTCAAATTGGCAACCGAAGAAGTGAATGACCCAGACTTACGGGAAAGAGCCTTCTTTTACTGGCGAATTGTTCAGCAGAGTGCCTCGCTGCAAGAAGTAGTGGATGTTTCTCTTCCTGTGATATCAACTGATTCGGACAAACTGCCAGAACGAATTCTGGAGGAACTGGAGCTAAGCATTGGAACTCTGGGATCGATATACCTAAGGCCAATATCGCATGTGTTTCGTCTGGCAAAACCCAAGTCGCTTGCTTACAGTCCTGCCCTTCAGAAACACATCGAGGGAAAACCCATCTCCAGTAACATGGAACGCCAGGTGAGCATTAGTGAGAATGTGAGAAGCACCTCATCAAACGGTCAGTCTGTTCAACCCGAGAGCAGACCAGATAGGCGACCCCTCATTGACGTGGAGGTCCATCATCCACATACCAACGCCAATGGCGAGAAGCTCAAACAGGTTCAGTCCTTAGAGGATGAACCGGAAGGCTCCAACATAGACGGATCGCTAAATGCACCTAGAGATGTTCATACCAGATTTCCATCTCATTCATCTCAATCTTCCACCAAGACAAGCTCGAGAAAGTCGACTTTGGGTCGGAGAGCGTCCATCTCACTTCTTAGCAGGAAACTGAGAAACCTGTAATTGGAGCAGGATCATTGGGACTAAAAGTTTCTACGTACCTTAGACAATTACAACCACTGCACTTGTGCAACGTTTTTTATCATAACCATTACAACATTGCAAATAAATCATCATCATCGTCATCGAACCCGTCGGGTTCTTCAGCTTCGGCAGGTTCCTTCTTCACCACTACAGGGTTTTCATCATCAACAGCTTCCTCAGCTTTTGGTGAAGAGTCTTTCAAAGGCTCCGATGCCTGTCTCACGTCAATAATCTGAAGATCGTCGGAAAATTTGATGCTGACTCCACTGGCAGGAACAATAGACTCGTTCTCTATCTCAGGCATATTGGGCTCTGGGCCAAGAGGAATCGAGTCGAGGTCCAACTCGACTCCAAGAATTTTAGCCAAAATGACTATCGCAGCTGGCTTTGAGAGAACCAAACTATTCTCCTTACAGAATGAAGCAGCCACACAGTCTGGACAACCCCAGTCACAACCATTCTTGCAATTCTGAACAGTATCCAATGCAGTCTTCAAAACCTCATCAATGTGCTCGAAAACCTTGGTAGATAAACCTGAACCACATTGGCCAGCTTTAGCATCATAAAAAATTAATCTAGCGGGCCTCTTTCTGGTGGACTCTGTTTTGGCAAACTCTTTCTCCGGGGCCTTGCACTCGGACTGAACTTCTCCCAAGCTGGATACCACAAATAGTGGGAACACGTTCATGAGAGCATGTTCTGCAGCATGGACTCCTCCAGCAGCACTTAGCTTTTTCTCCTGAATTATCTCCAAGGCTTCAGCTGGGATGTCAATCCAAAGGCCCTTTGATTTCACCACCACGGGAGGGTTATTCACTTCGATTGCATCCAGAATTCTTCCCCTTCTGTCCACCTTGAAAAATCCAAAAACAACACTTGTAGACTCAATTTTGCCAAAATAAACAGGTACGTCCGAACCTCCATACAAAGACCTCACCATCTCAATCTCTACCGGATCCACATCTGTAAAGTCCCTCTGGGAAGTGGTCCAATCCACGTTGACCCTCTCCACTTTGGCATACATCTGCTCTGGGTTGAACTCTTTGATCAGGTAAGGATAGCCCTGATGAATAAAAATACCACCATCATACAGAGTAAACGTAGTTCTTGAAGCCTCGATCTCCTCAATCACCTGGTTTCTTCCATTCGTGATATCCACCACTGCGTAAGACGATTGCTCTATTGCCCTGATGGACACATGGTTCGAAGGCCATGGTAGAAACCGTCTATTGCACGTGTAGCCATTGACTTCCTCGAGGTAATCCAGCCTTTCCTTGCACAATTTTTCCAGAGACTTATAGTCTCCAAAAAACGCCTTCTCCCATTCCCAATCCGACATTGTAAGCTCGAAAGCCGCACATTGGATATGTCCCTCCAGCACGAGAACATTGTCAAAGTCCAGAGGAAGATCTGGCATTTCAGTGTTAATCAGCTCTTCCGGATGGTTCAAATAGTGTTGGCTCACGGGGTCCTGACCACCAACCACCAGAGTCATGGATTCGTTGCTTCTTCTTCCTGCTCTTCCACTTTGTTGGTGGAAGTTTGCTACCGATAGAGGAAACCCACACATGACGACAGCATCGAGAGAACCAATATCGATACCCAGTTCAAGGGCGTTCGTTGAAATTATCGCCTTGAGGTTCCCACTAAACATCTCGAACTCTATCTTGCGTCTATCCGAAGGAGAATAACCTCCTCTATAACTCATGACCTGCGTCTTCAAATCGGGTCTGTTCATCGAAGTCAGTAATTGTCTGACTTCGTTCATCAATAGCTCGCACACTTTTCTCACCACACAGAACACAATCGTCCTGATGTTCTGGTCCATCATACGCACCAGGATCTTCGCTGTTTCAGCCACAAAATTCTCGTGTCCACTAGTAGGATCGTTTGGAGAGATCAAAGGAGGGTTCCACATCACGATCTGTTTCTCACCCGACGAAGAGCCATCCTCGGAGACATGGCAGATGGTGTCAGGTGCCAGACCAAAGATCTTACTCATGTGCATCTGGGGATCTCGAAGAGTTGCAGAACATGACACAAACCTGATGCTGGTGTTTCCAAGAAACGTGCAAATTCGGAGCAGCCTTCTCATGATCAGGGCCACATGGGAACCAAACAGACTCTTATACATGTGGAGTTCATCCACCACGACGTAGCGTAACTCTTTCAAAAACGAGGTCCAACGACGATGATTAGGCAATATGCTAGTATGAAGCATGTCTGGATTGGTGAAGATCACGCTTGCGGACTCCCTGACTTTGTCTCGTGCGGCCTTATCAGTATCACCATCATAGGTCTCTACTACGACGTCGTATAGCTGGTCCACATGTTGCAAAAAGTCCACCAATGATCTCTTCTGGTCTTGAGCGAGTGCTTTGGTGGGGAAAATAAACATTGCCTTTGAATTTCGGTGCAGCAGTAACGAGTTGAGGACAGGAATCTGATAGATCAGCGACTTTCCTGAGGACGTAGGAGTTGATACAACAACATTTTCTCCTTTTTCAAGAGCATTTAATGCCTGTGACTGGTGCGAGTAGAATGTGGATATTCCCTTCGACTCTGTGAGAGCTTGATATAGCTCGGGCTGCAATTCGAAATCCAGTTCGGCGTATTTCGCTTCGGTTGCTCCTACCGTCACCAATCCTCCTCTCACTATCTGGTTCTTGTAGAATTCTTTTTCTTCCCTAAGCATTTGGATAAACTGAGATATTGTACATTTCCGCTGCGACTTCTGGGAAGGATTCTGCGACTGGATCACCATCTCTTCTACCGGGTCCAGAAACTTCTCCTCTTCGGGGATGTACTGTTTGGAGATTTCTGTCAGTTCTGCAAATGCATCTTCCTTACCTTCACTCGCGCACTTCTCTAGAAACTGGGACACAGAAACTTCGAATTTGGAATTTCGCTTGTTAATCAGTTTCTTCATGGATTCAGCACTGTAAACGGGCACTTTGATCTCCGTCCTGTAGAGAGTTTTTGTCTTGGACTTCTTAACATCTCCGTCTATGAACTCAAAAATCAACAATTGTTTCGAGGATTCAGCCTTCTCATAGCTTTCTATGTCGTAGATATCGACTTCTGTTTGATTGAAACCCTGATTTTGAGCGTTGAACACATCTTTTTCTTCTAGCATGAACTGGTTCTCATCAACATACTTGAACACCACGTCGCTTGGTAATAGTGCCACAATACGTGAAAAGTCCTCGATGGTAATATCCCTCTTCAAATCTGTCTCTGGTGCGGTCTTCAGCAACTCGAAAGTCGGCACTATGTGTTTCCTGGAGCTAAGAAAGGTGAAGTACGAGTTCAGTCTGAAGTGAATGGTCTCCAACTCCAGGAACTTCGGCGGCCATTTCGACTTGGGAATTATAGACACAAACTTGCGCTTCTTGATAGCACGTGAACCTTCCAATGGTTGCTCGGCATTTCGCTGCATGTGAATGGGACTGGTTAGTGCGGAGTTGTTGTTGATGGCAAGAGGCAATCTAGATTTTTGTGATTAGATAGAGAAGATTGAAGATGCCATAATCAATTTTCAGTGTGGCCACTACCAAAATCGAATCCTTGTTGCTTTGTGAGCGATTCCAGCTAAAAGTGAAAAACAAAGGTAACTATAGGTATTGATCATATTCCCATAAAACAAGTGCTTGATAGCTTGTGTCGATTATATCGAATGTTCTGTATCGAAAGCACCATGAAATACGGAAGGTGGGTTTTCCAAAAAAGTGATCATTTCTGGAATTCCTAATAAGAGCCGCACATGACTCACCTTGAGAATAGTTAGCTAGCGCCACTAGGTAATGAGATCAGCATAAGACTCAAGGAAATAACGTCAATTAATTATGATCATTTGATTAGCTCATATTTTCCAATTCCCGGTAAGATGGCACCTGATTGACACCTGATGCAAACCGGGCTAGTCTAGATCAGAAGTAGTGCCTCACCCTACACGTGATCCCCGGAAAAACTGATACAGAGGTCATCTCTGGGTTGACGTCAAGGGGGACACTGTTCCGTTGAATGAAGATCGGTTTGATCCTGCGCTTTGGAGGCCTCTAAGTTGCCTGACAAAGTGCTATACGTAATTTTTGGGGTTGAGGACTGCATGATTTTGATCTCTTTGCTTCAAACCCCTCAATTGCTGCGTTTACAAGGGCATGTGGACTCCGATGAAATTTGCGCCGCTTCTCTGTACCCCGGGAGCGGGCACTTCAGTCGGAACAGAATGGAACCTGGATACGTGGTTTTTGTGGGATTTAAAACTTAAAATACAGATAATAACCACAAACACAACTGTATTTCACTAGACCATCCAAATTTCCTCAAGTATTGATGGTTTTCTGCTAATTTTTCACCAGCCTCCACCCAAATCCCCACCAAACTCGTCAGCACACACCCTTTTGAGGTCATCACCTCACCGGGCGCTGAGCGAAATTCTGGTCATTTAAATAGGGCTGCTCTGGTCCCTTTTTCAGGTTCATCCCCCTTCCTGGAATATCGATTTCTTCATCCGCTTTTTGAACCAATCAATTGTCCCTAAAATGCCTTCTGTTTCCAAGATCCACTCCCGTTACGTCTACGACTCCCGTGGTAACCCTACCGTTGAGGTTGACCTCTACACCGAGGACGGTTTGTTCCGCGCTATAGTTCCATCTGGAGCCTCAACCGGTATCCACGAAGCTTTGGAGCTCAGAGATGGTGACAAGACCAAATGGCAAGGTAAGGGTGTCCTCAAGGCTGTTGCCAACGTCAACGACATCATTGCTCCAGCTGTTGTCAAGGCTGGTGTTGATGTTCTAGACCAGGCCAAGTTTGATGAGTTCCTGCTGTCTTTGGACGGAACCCCCAACAAGGCCAAGTTGGGAGCCAATGCCATCTTGGGTGTTTCCCTGGCTGCCGCAAAGGCCGCTGCTGCCTCCAAGAAGGTGCCACTTTACGCCCACATTGCCGACATCTCCGGCAGCAAGAAGCCATATGTGCTGCCTGTGCCATTCCAGAACGTGTTGAACGGTGGTTCGCATGCCGGTGGTGCTCTGGCCTTCCAAGAGTTCATGATCGTTCCTACTGGAGCTGCCACCTTCTCCGAGGGTCTGAGACAGGGTACCGAGGTTTACCACAACCTCAAGTCGTTGGCCAAGAAGTACTACGGTCAATCTGCCGGTAACGTTGGTGACGAGGGTGGTGTTGCTCCAGACATTGCCACTCCAAAGGAGGCTTTGGACCTCATTGTGGAGGCCATTGAGAAGGCTGGATACACCGGAAAGATCGGAATTGCCATGGATGTTGCTTCTTCCGAGTTCTACCACGACGGTAAGTACGACCTCGACTTCAAGAACCCTAAGTCCGACCCAACCAAGTGGTTGACTGGTGAGGAATTGGCCGAGTTGTACGCTCAATTGATCAAGGACTACCCAATTGTGTCGATTGAGGACCCTTTTGCCGAGGACGACTGGGAAGCCTGGTCCAAGTTCTTTGCTAAGGTTGACATCCAAATTGTTGGTGACGATTTGACTGTTACCAACCCAATTAGAATCAAGACCGCCATCGAGAAGAAGAGTTGTGATGCTTTGCTGTTGAAGGTGAACCAGATCGGTACTCTTTCCGAGTCCATCAAGGCTGCCCAGGACTCCTACGCTGCTGGCTGGGGTGTCATGGTTTCGCACAGATCTGGTGAGACCGAGGACACCACCATTGCCGACATTGCTGTTGGTTTGAGAGCTGGTCAGATCAAGACCGGTGCTCCAGCTAGATCTGAGAGACTGGCCAAGTTGAACCAGATTCTCAGAATCGAGGAGGAGTTGGGCGACAAGGCCATTTACGCCGGCAAGGATTTCCACATCTCATCCACTTTGTAAGTTGAAGGTTGTTTAGTTGTCTGTGTTTAATCTATAACATTGGTACCGTTTCGTGGTGAACGTTTGTGTTTTGGTTCTTATCCTGTATTTGAAAGTGGTTGATTTTTTCTCACTATTGTTCTCGCTTCTTTATGTCTTTCACTTTCTTGCTTAACACAGAAATGTTCGATGTATTATTGTTCTAGAAATGTGCCACATTAGTCGTGTCCTCACCAATAGGGCGATTTTGCATCAATGTCCTTCAAGCCCACTTCGGTTAATACATCGGTTAATTAAACAGTTTCTTCATTCTTTTGACAACTGTTTTCTACTTTGTTTCGTCGGATGTCTGCTGAAACGGAGCTTAGCTCCATGCACCTTTCTCGACGCCCTGTGGCACGAAGGGCTTGTCTGGCTTGCAGAGAAAAGAAGATCAAGTGTGACGGTGAACCACCCCCGGCAAGCGGTGTTCGGTTTTCGGCCTCTGTTCCATCCACCTGTTCGAATTGCCGATATTCCGGGACCGAGTGTGTCTTCATTCCGAGTAACCGTGGGGGTCGGAGAAAGAAAAACACCGATACAGAAAGCGCAAGAAACTCGATTTCGACTACCTCCCACGTATCAGTGACTGCTTCGGGCTCTGAAGAGCCAGGGTATCCACGACACCAGCAATATGGATTCCCGAGCTACAAAGGTTACTATTCCAGGTTGAGTGGGAATCGCAATCAAAATGACGAAATGTCGGTTTCGTCCAACTCTGATGATGGGGGTGAGTTTTCGGTTCCCCCTGAGTCTCATCACAACGGTGGAGGGCGTGGATCACCGGGATCCCGATACTCCGGCATGCCAGAAGGACGCCGGCTCGCTCACCGGGACGAAGGCTTTCATCATCAGTTTGGCCATCCACATCCACCGCCCCCACCTCCGCCGTTCGGGTTTCCGCCTCCACCGCCCCCTTTTCACCACCACTCGCGCGGCTACAACTACTGGTCGCGCGGAATGCCTCCACACCCACCTCCACCTGGCTCACATCTTCCGCCACCGCCTCCACCTCCGCCACCTCCACCGCATTACCATCCTCACTACGGGGGATCACACGAAGGTTTCCCTCCACCACCGCCGGTGCTTCCTCCCATTTCCGACCCGCGCTCACCCGGAAACAGGCGGTACTACCCATCGCCTGGATACTTTGATCCTTACTACAGGGAAAGAGAACAGTACCGTGGATCTGTGGAAGAGAAGTCTGCGTATGGTGCTACGTCTAGATGGGTAGACAGACAATCAGACTTGGAAGAGCGCGAATACCGCGACAAGGGTTCGACCAGGGACAGACAAGACTCCTCCATAGGCTTGGTATTACCATCTGCTAAGAAACTGTCTGGTTTAGGTATCAAAAAGAGATTGTCCAATTTGACTGATGAGATTTTGGCAAAGCACGATTTCCCCGAGTTAGAAGTCACCGGTAGCTTCATTGATTTATTCTACAGGTATGTTCATCCAGCTCGTCCTATTTTTCCTAACAAAAAGACCTTCCTGGAAACCTTGGACTTGAACTGCAATGCTGCTTTGCTTCATGCGATGATAGCAATTTCTGTGTGTTACGCCTCTCCCAAGCAAATCCAGAATCCCGAGCTACTGAATCCAGCTCACTGGCACAGACTGGTCGAGAAACATTGGGATAATATCGACGTTTTTGGGGCATTTGCCATATTATTGCTGATGAGTGGCTCAATTGTGCCTGAGGGCCATTGGACGCGTTCGAATAATGGGTTCGAAAAGATGACCAACATGGTTAGACTATATGGCCTCATCGACTGTCACTCTGCCACATCGCCTCTTGAACTCGAAGAAACGCTTGCTTTTACGTCTTGGAGACAGATTTTGCAAAGAGAAAAAGAATTGAGAGCTGTTTGGTCAGTGTGGTATCTGAAGGTCTACCTTCGTGCCAATTTTGACTATCCTTATGAGGCAAGACAGGATTTTATGATCAAGTTTCCGGCCACTATGGATTTCCCTGTGAGCGATGACCAGTTCTATCTCCGCGGAGGAATGTCCAAACAGACGCAATCCGATGGCTCTGAGAAGTTTGTTGGTCCTGTTGATTGGGGCCAGATTCAATCAGAAATCAACTGTTTCCCACAAAAATCAGAATCAGACTACTCTACGTTGATTTACGATGCGGCCTCGGTAGTTGTTTCTACAAAGTTCCTGGAAGACGTCATGGATACCGTTGGAAGAAACGGGTTGACTCCCAACAACTATGCAAAACTCAGCACTCAGATCCAGGCCCTTCTCAAGATTACGAAATCCGGGCTATTCACTTTAGAAGATTTTGAAGTTGATAATCGCAAGGTTAGAGCAATTGTCATCAGAGGAAAGTTCTTACAAACTCAGTTCATTGCCAACTTTGCAATGTCCATATTAAACTTAGGATACTGCTCCAAAATGCTGACATTCAATCCTCAAGTTCTCTGCACTGCTTCCGATCACTTCCTGAAAGATGTTACTCTTGATGACCTTCCCAAAATGGAGCTTATCGTGGAGGAGTTGATCAGCGCTTCGGACAGAGATTGGCATTGTCTGTTTGAGTGTGCACTTGCAGCCTGGCGCTGTGTCAATCTTGTGGAATTAGGCGATGGTATATCTTCCGAGACGATGAAAATGGGCGTGCTTCCGGCTGTCATTGGTCCCACTTCTTTCGAATCAGCTTTTGTCCTAGGTCATGAGGAACAACCAGCTACAGACAACAAGGACTCAAAGGCACCAGCAATTGACCCTCAATGGTGGAAAGCCGCGTTTGCCGATTCCCGTGGGGCCGCAGCAATACTGCCTGATCCAACATTGCCGGATGTCTGGCTCCAATATCCTATTTTTTCGATCAACGTTGTCATGAAAATGATTCCAATCTTGGCCTCTTCCTGCGTGCTGTCACAGATTGTTCGCTTGAAGCATGTAGAAAAAGGAAACATGCTAGTTCAGGACAATGAAATGCCACTCGAGATCTCTGTGAAGAAGGATAAAATATGGACAGCCGTCAAAACCATAACAGTCACCAAAGATGTGGGTCAAATTCTCAACGCAGAAATGGACTTTGACTCAATTCTTGAGAAATTGAGAGTCGTCGTCAAGTTTTTGTACGCCAATGGTACTTTCTTCCCAGCGATTAACATCGTCCACGAGAATGCGGAGAAGTACATCAAGATTGTTGTTGATCTCATTGAGAAGTATCCCGCATAAGTGTACACACCACAATTTTTTATGTCATTTGTAATATTAAAAGCGCATTCAACAGCCCAACAGTAGCACAGCTATCAAATTATGGCGTATCAGTATTTGAATTCATTACAATCATAGTCACTGATATGACAGCAAGAATCATGTAAATCTTAAAGACTATGAGCAATACGGTCTCTCTTCAAACAAACTCTGGGACCAGCCCAATCATGCACGGTCTCCGAAGCTTCAGGGACTGAAGTGCGGCTCATTGAGCAGCTACACACCTCTCAACAACCAGAAGAACACAGGTTGCACATTCAAGCTGATCAGAAATCTGTTGAGATTGATTAGCCCAGAACAATCAATTCAAGATGGCCAGAGACATCAGTCGGTTGATAACGCATGCTGTCAGAGCTTTGAACCTAAACAGGAAAAACTTTCGAGAGAGCTCAAGAAAAAGAGGAGAAATGATGATAGCAGCAGAGGATTAACAGTAACATCGAGAGAGAACATAGCTTGAAGAGGACAGTTAGAGTTCTCCGGGTTAGTTTTGGTGGCACAGCCAATAGTGCATCTCATATCAGCAATCAAACGAAAACGTTCCATACAAGGTTTCTGCATAGCTAGAAAGTGAACTCTACCTGTACGGTGTTCGAACGATATTCATATTCACTAGCACAGCCAGCACAAGCTGGAGTATTAGGAACTCATGGTACCGAACTTATCGAACAACTAAAATCCCCTTGTATGAAAGGAGAGGTAAGCTCCGTACACACCTTTCCAAATTGTGACGATCGCAGCTACAGCACAAGATCTCTTTACCTTTAGGGATTTAAACTTTCGTTATAGCATAAACTAATGATGTATATTTCAACAAACGCAACCTGGGTAGAGGACCAAATGTTAACCGGCCCTGAGACCGTAGGCTCATAGTGCTGCAAGACAACTCTCAACCACGTTCTTCACAATCGGAACTCCATACATTGTTGCAGATGTTTCTTGAATCAGAAAAGAAGTAAGCCATAACAATATTGAATATCAATATAAAATTTAAAAGAAGTATACCTCTGAGAGCTTTTCTCCCATCTTGAAAACACTGCTGAAACTAACTAACAACAGCAACACAGTCTGGTGTAATATTATCATCACTATCTTAAGTGGTAAATGACATAAGCCATACAAACGTCTTATTGACCTTACCTTCGTGATGCTCAACGCCTGCTCTTGAAATCATAGTTCATATGAATCATGCACTCAAACACTAAAAGGAGCACTGCCGGCGTCTCCTATAACGCTCCTACCCTTAATCATAACATCGAAGAAAAACCCAAATATCCGATTCCCATCCTCTGCCGCTTCTCAGTCCGACCTATATTGGTCCACTACCCCGTAGGCTTGCATGCAAAATCATTAAGCTTAGGTGTACAGGCTCCAAAGAGAAGCCTACATCGGAGCTTGATCATGACCTGGAACAAGGACATCAAGAAGGTCAGCAACATCATTCGGTTGAAAACGAACTTGACCTAAGGTACCAGCAGCAAAAAGCCTGCCAGAGATATCAGGAGGAAGACGACAAATCATGAAGGCTGCATAAAGTTCTGAAGCAGTGACAATAGGATCCAGAGAATACATAGCACCGAGAGCGCGCTTGGTCTTCTCCGCATTAGGGTGTACATGCCAAGAATCATTCAGTCTCATATCAGCAGCCATCGTCTTGGTAGAAACGTACTGAAAACGATAAACATGGGTCGTACAATCAACCAGGTCAGACATTCTTTCCGATTAAAATTCTATCTTTCACTCTAGCTACTATCAATAGAAGAGAATAGGCAGGTTATTCGAGATACTAAATTCACTGTAATTATAAGGATCAATACAGACCTTCGACCATCTTTATATACCATGAACAGAACAGGTTACCTTTCCGATATTTAACGTTGTGTTTATATCCCAAGACTAAAATGCTCATCACATTCCCAGGATTCAGCAACTTCAAAAATACCACTCTCAAGACTCATCACTATCATCACATTATGGTCTCATGCTATCACGGACTGAACGATAGGAGCTGAAACGTGATGCACTGGCAATTTCCGAGTATCGGTCAAAACTAAGATGAAAAGAAAGACAAGAAATTTTCAAAGCCTTTTCGCGAAATAGTTACATTCAGTAGTGGGCTTTTTGGAAAGTTGATTTTGAACGAAATCAACTCATACCGATCTTTACTCCAGCTGCAACTGAATTTGAACGCCAGCTCTTATGCTTCATGATCGCCCATTAATCATTTAAGATGACGTTGTTGAGGATGATCAGTTTGACATACACCACTTTATGAGAGAGCTCTAGTATTCCGTCGGAGTTGCATCCAACTATCATGGATGGTGTCTGTAATTCATTGGAGGACACTATGCAATGCATTGTTTGGTGCATTTAAGTGACTGGCATTTAGCCAGAATGCTTTGGTCATTCGGGTTGAATTCTATAATAAGACTACTAGACAGAATTGTATTTCGGTTGTTAATCAATTTCAGAAAAAGTCCCTTGATGTTGAGATAGTTGAATCTAGACAGTATTATCTGCAGTGTTTAGATATCGTTTAGATACTGTAGTATGTGGAATAACGACATACGTATTCTCTAGTATTGATAATATCTAGAGTGAAAGATGGAACTCTAATAAGAAAGAATGTCTAACCTGGTTGAATGTATAACCTAGATGAATCGACTTCATGACACGGTTCTAACCGGTAAGAAAACTGGAGCGCCTCTGGATATATTCTTGGTGTAAATGTTTGAGCAGTGGTCTACAGTTCTAGATATCCCGGAATTTGTACGTAACGAAATTGTAGACACCAATTGAATATATGGAATCGGACCATCATGGTAGTGAGGCTGAGAATCTATATAAGATGAAAATACACCGGTTATGGTCTTTTATATTTATATCCCTTTGACTGTCCTCATTGTTGGGGTCACGTTTGCTTATATATAACCATAATGAGTACTACAAATGATACTTTAATTCGTGATGATGTTGCTAATCAATTTTAGCAGGGATTGTTGATAGAGTTTGGCTTTTTTTGTCTATAGAGAAAGAAATAATTCTAAAAGAGCACGATTTTGCTTGATGACCGAATCAAGATCAGCGTTGCTGGAATTGAATAAGAACATCATTACTGTATGGTTTGTCGTTATCGGTAGCCAGCATGCTCTAATAAACATACAATCACGCGCCTACAACAATTTGCAATCTTATCATCTATGGATGATTCAGCTTGTTCTATGTATTTTTTGGATAATGTTTTGTGTTGTCCAAGTCAAGTATGTTACTGCGCTGTTTATTTTATACACCACAAAGGTAAGGCCGTTGTCTGTGTGATCAAAATAATTGAGCTTCCAGTTCCTTGGTGGAAGTGTCTGGCTTTTATTATAGAGATTTCGGAGTCTTTCCATTGTGCGACTTTGGTGAGTCAGATTGAACAGTTCCAGCTGTCAGTTTCAATAAAGACAGTCTTGTCTATATGTTTTTCCTTTGTAATTGCTTGAGCAGATGCAAACTAGCCTCAGGTCTCATGGATGCGAAACAGGATTTTCATGATCTAGATGACATGCTTTTTTCTTATAGTAATGTGCTCACTATTAACCAATGAGTTTATCTCTTGGCCCTTTTTTCTTTGTAGAAGAGTTACCCTGTGGGATGTGTGCTTAATATTCCCTCTGGTCACAAAGTTTTTTCTTTACATCTTCTGATTCAAGGCAATTAATTTTTGTTTTTTGTGTTTGCTTGGTTTTGTTTTGGCTTCTGGGAATGGGAGTGCGGACTACCACCTGTCTGTAGCAGCTTGAGGATTCAGGAATGTGGTCATGGTTGCTTCTCTAAGTACTTGATAGCCCAGCTCTTTTTATGATTTTGTCCTCCGTTAACTTGATAAAGTTGGGGGATTTTGATTAATTACTAATTCTCTACTCTTGGCATTTAATGATTATCCCTTTTGTATTTTATTACAAAACTGTACCTGATAACAACGAAACAACAAAAATTAAATCTTTAAATCACTTTTACCCTTTTCATAACCGCATCGCGTATATTTTCCTTGAGCTCGACTAACTCTGTGTGTGTCACGCCGAGGTCCGTACGATACATCGACGAACTCAAAATCCCTCTCAAGGCAATCGCTGACAATCCCGTGACTTTCTCCCACGTTTTCATCTCAACCTCATTGTGGAAGTTGATCATAAACGAAGCCAAAATGAGCTTCTTGAGACAATTGAAGTCGTTCTGACTCTCCTGGACCAACCTTGACATTATGACAAGACATCTTTGAAAGTTTGCAAAAGTGCAGCCCAGTCGAGACGACAGCTTTTGCAGGAAAGTCGATACACTCTTCACTGAGACGGCCTGACAGCAAGCACACGATTGGAACCTCTCCTTGGCGGTCTTATATAATTGCTCTGACACAATGCTCACTATGAGGATCATCAGGTTTTCCCTGTCCTGCATAGCTGGTCCATAACTGAACATCTCGTAATCTTGATCGCTATCCTCGTCGCAAGATTGAGACTCGCTGTCTGAAACGAGGTCAGGTATATCCTGTTGTATAGGACAGTCAAGCAAAGATGAGACGTTGATGTTCAAAGAGCGCAAGCGCGAGCTCAAACTTTGATGATGGCCAATCTTGACAAACGTTGTGATCAGCTCGCCCTCGTCACAGCAGTTCATTTCGGTAGAATATGCCAAAACCATTGGAGTAGACTCTCTTTGTCTTTCAGTCCGAGAAGGGATTCGATTACTTCCTTGAATCCAGACGACGGCAAATTGGTATTCTCTTTGCAGAAAAAGCTAATCCTTCACGGCAATGAGGTCAGCTTATGATACGTTAGTTAATCTTTAACCCCTAAGCTAAGACTCGATATTGTTTCTTCCAGCGATGGAAGGAATTTAGAAGTTCATTGTGACGTAAACTCCTAACAGGTATAAGACGCAAAGCAACAATTAATCAGTGACAGGATTGAAAAAAGATGGTGACAATGAAAGGTTGAAGCACAAAGCCAAATCCAGCGAAAAGAAGATGAATAAGTATGTCGACAGGGAAGAAAGTTGAGCCCTTTTAACCCAGGAGCCGTATGCAAGAGAAATCTGACGGATGATTCATACTATGAGCCATACGGAATTATGACACACACAAATTTCGTTGACGCACTCCCACTGTATCAGATGCCGTACCGCCTGTTCTGGTGGGTGAGTCATTTCTGAGACAAACGGCACTTGGCCGTGCCGGTAGCCGGTACACGATCATTATTTTTTGGAAATTTGGAGTTAGGCACACCTAATTGAGAACTGCACGCCTCATGCCCGTGTAACACGCGCGTTAAGGCTTGGTCCGCCAGAAGACTATACTGAACTGGATTCCTTTCAAGACCTCAAGGAGTGCGTCAATTTACTTCGTGCTGGAGTAGGGCATGGTAAATTACAGTCTTCTGCAGAATGGCGAAGACGTTGTAGCCGGCCTTTCGCACATCCCAGGCAGGGTCGTCGAGTTTCTTGGTGATGATGATGTCGGTGAAGAGGTGGAACATTTCAACTACAAGCAAGAGCTGAGCAGAAAACTGACAGTCAGCTCGATGATCGGGCTGGGATTCTCACTTATGGGTGTTCCTTTTGGTGTTTCGACCACCCTATCCATAGGCTTGATAGATGGAGGATCTGCGACGATTCTGTGGGGTTGGGTTACAGTGACACTTCTTTCACTCTGTGTCGCACTGTCATTAGCCGAAGTTTCCTCGAAATATCCATCTTCAGGTGGAACGTACCATTTTGCAGCGATTCTGGCCAACGAAAAATATTCTTTGGTGGCTTCCTGGTTTACGGGCTGGTTCTTGATCATGGGCAACTGGACCATGTTCATCAGTATCGTTTATGGAGGATCACAATTCATTTTATCAGTGTTAGGCTTGAAAGACGACGAGTACAAGAGTGACTCAATACTGACACTTATGTTGTATATTTGTTTGGTCATATTCTGTGCCTTTGTCAATTTGAAGCTTTCTAAGTACTTGGAAAAGATCAACACTCTTTGCATTTACTGGACAATTTATACCGTGTTGATTATGGACGTGCTGTTAATGCTGTTTTCCTCATCATTCCATGATGTGAAATACATTCTCACTAACTTTGATGCGTCAAGATCTGGCTGGCCAGATCCAATTGCATTTTTGATTGGTCTACAATCAGCATCGTTCACCTTGCAAGGCTATAACATGATCCCAGCAATGAGTGACGAGGTCAAAAACCCAGAAAGAAACGTTCCAAAGGGAATGATATTTTCTGTACTGGTTGCAGGTGTCACGGGTGTCATATTTATTATTCCAATTCTGAGCATCTTGCCTGAATTAACCCTTTTGTTGGACTCTAATCCTGACATCTTCCCTATTGACTTGGTATTCAAGCTGTCGACTCAGTCTTTGCTTGTTTCTTTTGTCTTGGTGTTGCTACTAATTGGAACTGTTCTCTTCGCTGGTATTGGTACTTTGACCACAGCTTCTCGTCTGACTTATGCGTTTGCCAGAGATGGTGCCCTACCATACAAAGACTTGTGGACACACGTTGACGACATGGGAGAACAGTCTATCGTCCCCAGAAATGCCCTGTTTCTTTCCACTGTCGTCTCTATCCTACTTAGTTTGCTGTCGCTAGTATCCTCCTCTGCTTTCAGTGCTTTTGTGGGTAGCGCAGTAATTAGTCTTTCCCTAGCGAGTGGGATTCCAATACTATGTCTTTTACTTAATAAAAGACGCAAAATTCGTGGTGCCCATTTTAAACTGCACAAGTTTGGATGGGTTTTTAATGCGATCAGCTTGATCTGGGTGTCTTTGTCGATCATTATCTTATGCATGCCTCCACAGATTCCCATCACAGTGAGAAGCATGAATTATGCTTTTGTCGTCTCCATCCTCTTTGGTGTTTCAGCCACCATCGCTTACTTTTTGTGGGGAAAGGGGCACTTTCATGGCCCTATGTTGGATGAGCACATTCTTGCTGAGTCCCAACAAAATTCGGTTCTCATGCAGCCTATCGTGAATCCGGTTGAAACTAATGATATCGATCCTTTCGGGGATCAAAGCACATTCTTCGTCGATAACCCCGAAGATATTTGGGAGGAAGATGAACAGTATGAAAGGGAGTTGACCCCTGCCTCCAATGACACATTGAATGCTGACTTGGGTGCCTCTTCGAATTTAATAAAGACCTTCAAACTCGAAGAGGAACCGCGAGCAGTTCACGAGGAAGATGGTAGTTCATCAGAGGCTCCAAATCATCGCGAGCTTTTGTGAACTACTACTTTGCATTTTATAGATATTTTACAATAAAATTTTAGAATCATCAAACTTTTGTCAAATTGTAGCAGGGCGTGGCGAACTGGTGCCCCTTTGACCTATAACTACACGGGTACAGGACTTGAAGCAGTGATCCCCTTGAAAGGCGTAGAGTTTCACATACTGAAATGTAAGGATAACGCTTCTGGCTGTTGCCGATTTTGGCCTCAAAAGAAATTCAAGAATTGGAAAAAATAAAAAGGCTCTACTGTAAGGTGATTCCTATCCTAGCATTTTGATGACTTTATGGATAATTTTGAAATTTGGGAATATTTCATATATTTTGATGAACAGACACTTTCCATGCGCCTTTAAGTTAAAGGTTTTCGTGCACCAACAAACCACGTGACAATATTTTCAAAAATTCTATCACTCCGAACTTTCGACATGAAGGGAAAGGTAATTCCGCAAAGCCTACATTTTCACATACAACCAACACAGTGAACTTCGATAACATCTGAATATGTCCGCTAGTGCTGATCATTCCAGAGATCCTTGCCCAATCGTCATTGTGAACGATTTCGGTGGTGCTTTTGCCATGGGTGTGAGTATTTTACAGGGTGTCGACGATGCCCTTGACAACTTTTGGAGCAAGAAGACTAACAGTATTTAAGGTAATTGGTGGTTGCGTCTGGCATGGTATCAAAGGATTTCGTAATTCCCCTATTGGAGAACGTGGTTCGGGAGCCGTCTTGGCGATTAAGGCCAGAGCACCAGTCGTGGGTGGAAACTTCGGTGTTTGGGGTGGTCTTCTGTCTTTCTACGACTGTGGAATCAAGCACATCAGAAAGAGAGAGGACCCCTGGAATGCCATCATTGCAGGGTTTTTCACGGGTGGAAGTATAGCAATTAGAGGTGGCTGGAAACACACCAGAAACTCCGCTATCACCTGTGCGTGTGTTCTTGGTGTCTTCGAGGGTGTCGGTATGATGTTCCAAAGGTGGATCGCCACACAAAACAAGCCTATGGCCATACCCGAGGGAGCTGAGATGCCTTCGCCCCCTCTTGCTGCTTGAGAAATGAGCGCTTGGGTTTCATAGAGGGAAAACGAGATCTCATTTTTGGTGGCTTCTGTATATACGTTTACATTTAACGATTTTCAACTTTGATGAAATTTTGGTGGAACTGATGTCACGATGATGTCCATGACCAGTCGTATGTGCTATGTTAATTGTTTCTATTGATATTCTTCCTGGAGTACCAATTCACGAAGTCATGGATACTTGCTCTGACCCTTCTGAAGTCCTTGGAGTTGATAGCTGTTTCAACAGTAGCCAGCAGTTTGAGTCGCTCTTTTTCATTAACAGATCCAGTCGGCAGAGTCTGGATAGACCCATCTAGCCATATGAGACCAGCTTTGGCATCAGGTGTGTTCTGACTCACAGAGAGCTTGATAATCTTGGAGAGTAAATCAGAAGCATCTGGAGCACAATCATATGGAAATGAGTATATCAATCCCGTCATCAGCACAGTTGTGAGTTCCTGTCCTACCTGGAGGGTGAACTGGCGAAGTTTTAGCTGAACCTCAGCGGGAACTTCATCCACGAACGAAATGGGTGGTGTCTCAAATCCCCAAGAAAAGAGATCAATCAAAAATTCCAACGTATTCGATATTGGATCCACCTGAGTAAGAGTAGAAAGCGCCGCAAGTGCGGTGGAAAATGACGAGGTAAGCAACGGGGAATCAACGAATTTGAATGGGAAGAACATCAGGATATCACTCACCATCCTGAAGAAGTCTTCAACCAAGTCGGGATAATTGGCCAGGTTAGACTTGCGCTCATCCAAAAACCTCATGAAGTTGCTCGATTGTTGAATGGAAAACTGCCAGACAGATTCGCGTATCTCTGCTGGAACGACTTCATCTGAATACTCTCTGATGAATATTCCAGAAACCCACAAGTAACAGCCGTAGTGAAACTTTTCGAACCCATGCACCAATAGCTCCGCAGTCTGAGATATCACCGGAATCAAGTGTAAACTAAAACTTTGCATCGAGGTCTTCATAAATTTGGAGCAACGTTCGCTGACCCTCTCTGATTCTCCGTAAATGCTTAGCAGCTTGGCCACCAATGGCCAACAGACCTCCACAATGATCTTAGCTACTGGAACTTCAGTGTCGCGCGAGTTTCTTGGTTTCAATACCCTCACAAAAGCACTTATGACTTCGATTGTGTCCGCTATCTTTGTGTGAGTCTCTTCCAGAGTCTTTTTGTCTTTCGGTATATTGTCACAGAACCCTTGCAAAGTCTCCAAAGTTGGTTTCCAGAACATTAATGTGATATTGTACAGCGTTTCTTTGTTTTTCTCTTCTCTGAGAATGTGCCCGATACCATCTGCCACTTCGTAGAGAGACTTCAGATCCAATGAAGCATAAACGCTGTTGTAGAAGTTGAAAAGCTGCTCCAAATAGTTGATCAACAGATGCGAACAATCTTGACAAAAGTACATCAAAGCATGTGCGGCTGCAGTGTTCACCTCAGTATCAGCCAGTTGGAAGCCTTTGATGATATAATCAAGTTGGGGTTCCAAGAAATTCGAATGTCTCGCGGTCCATTCAGTGTATCTTCCCAGAACCAGAGTCGCGGCATATCTGGTCTTGGGGTTTTCGGGTAGTTGAACCAGCAGAGTCATAATTTTGGGCAAGACATTCTGTTCGCTGGTGCCCACCTCTTTAGCCATCGCTCTCAAACTAAAAATGGCAGCCTCAGCCTGCTGCCAAGGTACGATCACACCGCGGGATTTCGACTCAACATAAGACACCAAAATATTCAATGGGATACCCAAAGCTGTGTCAGTACCTATCACCGCACAACAGTCTTTAAGCACATCACCCATTTCGTATCTGAAGTCTTTGAATTTGTCCTCGCGCTCCCTGTCTCCAAAGAGTACCGACGAATCTGTGGACTCGTTTCCCTCGACGACAGGGTAGCGAAGATGAGAAATCATGACTTCCAACAACTTTGTGTACACTGGCACATAAACTTGTCTCGAATGAGCAAATTTTTCCATCACAATCAGTTGTTTCAATGCATACCAAAAGTAGAATGTGTATTTGACAATGTCGAGATCCTCGTCGAAAGACGTCAATTGCAGCAAAACATCGGCGAGAGGAGCAAATTCTTCCGGCATCTTCGCTACGTAAACGTGCCATGCCTCTCCAGCCTCGACAAACAGTCTTGTGAAAGCCTCTAGCTGTTCGGGATCATCTTCAGTTATCATAGGCCTGAGGGTCATTAGTTGTTCGTACAATGCCTTGATCACAACCAGATTGTCGTAGTCTCTGGTTTCTTGGATCAAGGTACATAGACAATCTATAGACATCTCAAAAGTGTCCACATCGAGGACTCCTTGAAAAACCAACGAACATAAAGCATTATTCGTCAACACCTGGTCCAGAGGAACCTCCTTGATCCACGAGTTCAAACAACTTAACACGAGCGAATTTGCAGAACCTCCGTTAGAATCCTTCGATCCGGCAAACGAAGTGAGAATGTACAGCACTTGCTCGACATTGTCAGTTAGTAATTCCTGAGACCTTACCCGGAATTCTTCGTCTGTTAGAGGAGTCTTCTTGACATCTGACAACTCTTCAGGTAAAACCTGTAAAAACTCTAGCAAGGACGATACTGCAGTTGCTGAGAGAGCATTGACAATCTCCGTGACTGCGTTCTTCCAATCAAGATACTGGAGAGAAAAGTTGGCCAGGGCAATGCAAAGCTGGGTGGAGATCAACTTCTGCTTGGTATCGAATGCAATGATGGATTGTAAGATGGATTCTTTCAGCGAGGGGAGGGATTCTCTGGGCACCTGAGACAAATCGTAGTTCACTTTGGATCGCAGAGTCTGTGCCGCAAATATTCTTAATTGCAAGGCGCTCGGGTCGTCGTTTTGTAGCACTGGAAAAACAATAGACCATGCTTCCTGGGACCGCTGGAAGTTCTGGAGAAAATCACTCGCCTCCTTCTTCACGGAGCTGTCAACGTTGGAGTAAAGAGCCTGAAGTGCATTATTAACTTGATTTAGGGTCTCCTCAGACATTGTTGAGTTTCTAGTTTCGTGATCAAACTTGGTGTGATCAGGCTTTTGTTCAAAGAACTGTTTTTCTTGAATGCCTCAATGGCCTTTTCGCGCGCGCACGAATCATTTTTTTCGCATGTTGCAGATGAACGTAGCATAGGATAACTGGGTATGTTTTAGAAAACCCTCTCTTCACCAAGTTACTAGCCCATTTATACAAATACACACCTGCAAAATATGTCGGGAAGAAGACAGCAGAAGGTGGTAAGTCCGGTTGATATTAGCTACGCGCTGGCTGAAAACTCTACTCTTCTCGGATGCCTACTAACTTTACAGATGGTGCCTCCAATCAACTTCTTGTTTAAGTTGTTGCAGCAGCAGTCTCTATCCTCCATTTGGTTGTACGAACAGACAGAGAGCAAGATAAATGGCCACATACGGGGATTTGATGAATTTATGAACGTGGTGGTCGACGATGCCGTGGAAGTCAACTCCAAGACCAAGGAAGAGAGGAAGTTGGGGAGAATACTGTTGAAGGGGGACAACATAACGTTAATTTCGAGTCTGGAAATGTGAAAACGGCCCGATAACTTCAACATAGGTTGGAATCCAAAAATGTACCATAAACAACACGCATAGATTACAGTGAAAATTCAATGCATTTGCTATGTTTCGAGACATAGGGGCTCAATAATGGACACCATTAGAGGGCTTCATTGATTAACTATCGTTATTACAAGAAATATGATTCAAAAAGCCATCAAAAGTTAAAATTTTGGTCTTTTCCCCGAATTTCCAACAAATCCTGTAATCGTATAATTCACAACAGAGTGATTTACATTCAATTGCCGCACACGCGAGCGGCATATCGTCAGGGTAAATTTGAAGCCTTAACAAACCGCCTTCTCTCATGAATCATTCTCCCTTGACAAAGAACACCTGTGCATCGAGCAAAATGTCAGCCAAAGCAATCAAATACGCAAAGGGTAAGTAAAGCTTCATTTCAGAGCCCAAATTGCCAATTTTCCCTAACACACTCAGACTTTGTCAGCTTTGTCAACGCTTCACCCACTCCCTACCATGTGGTGGACACAGTGAAGAAGGAACTGGTTGCCTCCGGGTTCAAGGAACTGTCAGAGAAGAAAATATGGGCTGGCCAGATGAAGAAGGGTGGCAAGTACTTTGTCACCCGTAATGGCTCCTCGATAATCGCCTTCACCGTTGGTGGAGCATGGACCCCGGGTAATGGTATCTCCATCATTGGAGCACACACCGACTCTCCTACTCTGAGAATAAAGCCCATTTCGACCTCTAACAAGGAGGGATTTCAACAAATTGGAGTTGAAACTTATGGGGGAGGAATATGGCATACATGGTTCGACAGAGATTTGAGTGTTGCTGGAAGAGTGTTCATCTACGATGAGGCCTCCGGCAAGTTCATCTCCAAGCTGGTGAACATCAACAAGCCGATTCTGAGAATTCCCACTTTAGCTATCCATTTGACCAAAGAGAGATACGTCAAGTTTGAGTTTAACAAGGAGACCCAGTTCAAGCCAATCGCGGGTCTTACAGATTCGACTGCCTCAGGCTGTTGTGACAGCGAGCCTCTGTCGGAGAGCGAGTTCAACTCAATTCAAAATATTGTGAGCAGACACAACAAGGAGCTGTTATCTTTGATTTCAGCGGAGCTCTCAGTTGAAACTTCCCAAATTCAGGATTTCGAATTAGTTCTCTACGACAATCAGAAGTCCACCCTTGGAGGTCTCAATGACGAGTTTATCTTTTCTCCAAGACTGGACAACCAGGTGTCTTGTTTTTGTGCAACTCATGGTTTGGTGAACTCAGTTGATGATTTGGCATCTCAGACAGGTATCCAGCTGATTTCCCTCTTTGACCACGAGGAAATTGGATCTCTTTCAGCCCAGGGTGCTGATTCGTCATTCTTACCAGATATTCTCTCTAGAATCACCAGATTGACCGGAAATGAGACTTCTTCCAGTGAACTGCAATCAGAATCGTATTTCCTGCAATCTATGGCAAAATCTTTTCTCATCTCGTCTGATATGGCCCATGGTGTCCATCCAAACTACAGTGAAGTCTACGACTCCTTGAATAAGCCTTCCATCAACAAAGGTCCTGTGTTGAAGGTTAATTCGAACCAACGTTATGTCACGAACTCGGTGGGAATAGTCCTGTTGAAGAAGCTAGGTGAAATTGCCAAAGTGCCATTACAGCTGTTTGTGGTCAGGAACGATTCACCTTGTGGTTCCACCATTGGTCCAATGCTGAGTGCCAAATTGGGAATCAAGACTTTGGATTTGGGTAATCCTCAGTTGTCAATGCACTCGATCAGAGAGACTGGAGGGACTTATGATGTTGAGAAACTAGTTACCTTATTTGAGACTTACTTTGAGCATTACTCTGATCTCGAGAGCAGAATTCTGGTTGATGCTGTTGATGCGGAATAGGCAGAAGCAAATCTTAGAGTTTTATAGGTCCAAGTATAATCATTAAGATCAAGTTTCATTATTTCAAAGCTATTTCAGAAAAACGTTTTTGCTTCAAGGGCAATTTTACTAATTGCAACTGATCAAGAGCTTGAACTGTACAAGGTGACAACTTTATTGGATTCAACTTGCTCGAATGAGCAATGCAATATAAAGGGTAAAAAATAACAGGTATATGACATTCGACCAAACATTTAAGCAATCATAGTTCGTCGTGATCGTAGTCGTAGTCGAAATCATCATCATCAACTTCTTCGTCACCGGCTGGTCCACCTGCTCCGTACAACTTGGCAGTGATTGGGTATGCAACCTTGCTCAGTTTCTCCTTTTGGTCTTCAAACTCGTCCTTAGTGGCGGTGTCGTAATTGTCTTCCAAAAACTCCAAAGTCTCCTTGATGGCATCAGACAAAGTCTCTCTGTCATCCTCGTCCAACTTGCTACCGAGACCAGTCTCAGAGTCGTCACCAATTTGATTTTTCAGGGAGTGAGCGTAGTTCTCCAAGGAGTTTCTAGATTCTATCTTTCCTCTCAACTCAGCGTCTTGCTCAGCATACTTCTCAGCTTCCTCCACCATACGGTCAATCTCCTCCTTTGACAATCTACCACGGTCATTAGTGATGGTGATTTCGTTGGACTTACCGGTTCCCTTATCAGTGGCAGCAACCTTCAGAATTCCATTGGCATCCAAGACAAAGGTGACCTCGATTTGAGGAGTACCCCTTGGAGCTGGTGGGATTCCGGTCAGCTCGAACTTACCAAGCCAGTTGTTGTCCTTGGCCAAGGCTCTCTCACCTTCGTACACTTGGATCAACACAGTTGGTTGGTTGTCCGCAGCGGTGGAAAATATCTGCGACTTCTTAGTTGGAATGGCAGTATTTCTGTTGATCAAGGTGGTCATCACACCGCCGGAGGTTTCAATACCCAAAGTCAGAGCATTAACATCCAACAGGACGATGTCATCAACACCCTCTTCACCAGACAAAACACCGGCTTGGACAGCGGCACCATAGGCAACAGCTTCATCTGGGTTAATACCCTTTGAAGCCTTCTTACCGTTGAAGTATTGTTCGAGAAGTTCTTGAACCTTTGGAATACGGGTAGAACCACCGACAAGAACAACATCGTCAACATCGGCAGCCTTGACACCGGCATCCTTCAAGACTTGTTCAACTGGTTTCAAAGTCTTCTTGAAGAGTTCAATGTTGATCTCTTCGAACTTGGCTCTAGACAAAGACTCAGAGAAGTCAATTCCGTCAGCAAACGAGTCAATCTCGATTCTGGTGGACATCTGAGAAGACAGAGTACGCTTGGCCTTCTCAACTTCTCTCTTCAATCTACCAATAGCCTTTGGATTCTCGGAGACATCGATACCGTGCTTCTTCTTGAAGATCTTGACAAAGTGACGAACGACCCTGAAATCGAAATCCTCACCACCCAAATGGGTATCACCAGCAGTGGCCAAAACTTCAAAAACACCGCCCTCAATGGACAGCAACGAAACATCAAAGGTACCTCCACCCAAGTCATAAACAATAATCTGCTTCTCACCATCGGTCTTGTCCAGACCGTAGGCAATGGCAGCGGCGGTTGGCTCGTTGACAATACGCAACACGTTCAAACCTGCAATCAAACCAGCATCCTTAGTGGATTGACGCTGGGCATCGTTGAAGTAAGCTGGAACAGTCACAACAGCATGGGTAACCTTCTTTCCAAGGTAGTCTTCGGCAATCTGCTTCATCTTTCCAAGGATCATACCGGAGATCTCCTCCGCAGTGAAGGTTTTGGCCTCGCCACCAACAGTGGCCTTGACGACTGGCTTGCCATCCTTGTTGAGAACCTCAAAAGGAAAGTGCTTCAAGTCCTTCTGGACAGACTTATCGGTGTATTTCATTCCGATCAATCTTTTGATATCAAAGATAGTGTTGTGTGGGTTCGAAGCTGCCTGGTTCTTAGCAGCATCACCAACAAGTCTTTCGCCATCGTCGGTAAAGGCCACGTAAGAAGGAGTAATTCTGTTACCTTGGTCATTGGCCAAGATTTCAACCCTTCCAGACTTCATCACACCCACACATGAGTAGGTGGTACCCAAATCGATACCAATAACCGTACCGTAACTCTCAACGTCATCACCGACAACTGGCTGGGCCAGAGGAACAGCCACCATCAGCACAGCGTAGAGGAGGGCCACAAAGGCCAACATCGAGCGGTTGAAGCTTAACATTCTGCTAAAAAATGGTGGAAAACAGACAAACGCTTTGGCTGAAGAAAGAAGAGAAAGAAGAAAAGAACACGATTTATATTTGACAAGAGCGTGAACTGGACACGTAAGTTTGGAATCTCATCGAATTTCCAAATTATTGATAGAGACACGAAAATATTTCAAAACCAGAGTCCAGCGGTTCACGAATAAGTTGGGCACGACTCAACCTTTGCACCCTTCCCCACATAACGTTAATCAGTCTTGAAATCCGTAGTATGGTTGTAAATCTGTAGTTTTTAAATTTTTTTGACACTGCTTCCAAAAAAGAGTTCTTTTCCTAGTGAGGCTTGTGTTCCAGAAGTTTGATACGCCGATCAGACACCTCCCCACACTTGCCATATCTTGTCACTCAACACAGGACCGATTTTCTTATTGCCAACTTCTCCTTTGAACTCATCCAGTAGCATTTTTCTCCCATCCCCAGTATACCTCTCGTACTCATCTACCAACTTGAGCGGTGTTCCGTACCGTCTCTGGATCACTACCGCCTTGTCCAGAGAAACACCTTTAATAGCCATCAGCATTCGGATGAACATCTCTCCCACGGTAGCCATGTCCGATTTCGAAAGAATTACCTGGAGAGTCTCAAAGCTATGTGCACATTTCGTGTCCTCGGCCAGCCGCGATCTGTGAAATTCTAGCCTCCGTGCATATTCTGACTGACTATTCAGGTTCTGGAGTTGCATTACTGCCAGTGACTTGTCCTTGTAGTATTCCACAATCAAACCAGTCAAATCTCTTAGAAAATGAGCAGTTTCTTCAGCATCGGCCGTGCGTTTGACATGGAATTTGGAGTTGGTGATAGTGGCACTTATAGCCGTCTGAAGAGAATCACCCATGAACGAAACGTCTCGAGACGACTGTTCTTCTATCAAATAATAGACATGATCGATTCCCGTTCGGCTGAGTCGCGATTTTTGTTCCAAAAATCTCCCATCGCGGATAGACATTAGCAAGTCATCAAGTCTCTTTCTCTCCAGAATGAAATCCAAAATGGCTTCCTTGCCAGTCTCGTTGTGTTTGGCTATCCAGACAGCATCACCAATGGAGAGTGCTCGTGTCTCGTTTGTCACTCCCATCCTTTGTAGTGTGTTACCAAAGAACCCTCTGTTATCCTTGGACTTGATCTCTCTGTTATCCAGCAACAGAACTACTGAAAAGTCCCCAGAGTTCCAAACCGTAAACGGCCTATCTGGAACCTCCAGCTCTTGCAGAATTGGAAAGGGAGGAGCCACGTCTTTCAGAAGTCGTTTGGGGGTATCCTCAAGACACAGAGTTTCGGCGATTTGTGAACCTTCCTCAGTCAACGAAAACCTAGCTGGTCTTCCATTCGAAACAACGAGTTCCTTATTCAGTAACGTCTTCATACTCTGCCATGCCGAATAGAACTGGCCTGTTGCTGGATTTGGGTCGAAGCTGCTTTCACAGAATTGCGCTGCCTCACTAATGATCTCGCTTTTGGTCATCCCAGATCGCCTTCTGTCAAAGCTGTGTAAAGTAATGAGAATCGCGTAACCACCGGACCGTTTCGCCGGCACGTACTGTTTCTTTGTTTTCTTCTTCATGGCATTCCCATCGGACTTCCTAGGTTTCCGTTTCTTAGAATTTGTTGGATTTTCGGCCTCTTCTTCGTTTCCTGCAGCATCTCTGGCCTTGTCTTCAGATGCTTTCACACTCTCTTCAACAGTCTTATACCCATTCTCGTCACAATACTTGCTTAATCTTGCTGATATCAATGCCACAGTTTTAGGTCCAACACCCTGGACCGAACCAAGCTGTTTGGGATGCTGGAATACCGTCTGCGACGCGCGTATATTGTCCACGCCTCGCGAGTATACAGAGGCCAGATGAGTACTGAACTTTTCGGCCTTTACCCTCTCCTCTTCAAGCCATGCCAGAAACAGATGCTTGAGATCACTTGGCAAGTCCATGCTGGAACAGGATTCCCGCAAAAACCTTGCAAAAACACTGTTTGCACCTCTTTCCGTTCTATCTCTTGTTGGAATCCTAGAGCCTAATAAAAACAGTTCTCATCTCCCGGTATAACCGGGATTGGTGCCATTTGCAGAGGTGGGCTATTATCCCAAAATCTCCCTTTACAAACGATACTTCTCCCATCACTACAGGTACAAAACTTTCCGTTATCTCGAAAATCTGGCCGGGAAAAAAGGCTCATCCGATTCTGCCTTGTTCTGCCGTTATTACAACGCCTTCTTTGTAATCATCCAGTTTTTGCCCACTTCAATCGATTATTTTGCGAAAAAGAGTCAGCGGGTTAATTAGATACCATCTGAATTAAGAGGTCTTTTTTTGGCTTTTCAAAATATTCAAAGGTACCATGTCGTTTACCACCACGCTTTCTGTGGCGGGGATGACATGTTCCGCCTGTGTTAACTCGGTAACGGCTGTTTTGAAGGAGGAACCGGGCGTTGTTTCTGCAGAAGTCTCGTTGATGACCGAAAGGGCTTTTGTGAAGCACGATTCCTCTGTTTCGCCTGAAAGGCTACGAGAGGCTATCGAAGACTGTGGGTTTGATAGTGCTGTTCTCTCATCCGAAAATGCCGAAACGCCTCAAGATGATAATACTTCGGTTTCGCTGCGAATTTATGGAATGACGTGTTCGAGTTGTTCGAATTCGATAGAATCTGTGGTTTCTGAGCTTGATGGAGTGGCCAGTTGCAACGTTAGTCTGACTACTGAGGAGGCTCGTGTGGTATTCGACACCAATAAAGTGGGGATACGGACCATCATTGAGACAATCGAGGATTGTGGATTTGATGCAATTGTTAATAATGCTCTAGATTTGACGTCTCAACTGGAACTCCTTTCAAAGATCAAGGAAATCCAGTATTGGAGAGACAATCTTTTACAGTGTATAACAGTTGGAGTTCCCGTCTTCTTCTTAGGCCATATTTTGCCAATGATCAGAAAGCAGGTTTTTCATGTCAGTCCTCAGGGACTAAGAATTGGACACGGCGTTTACCTGGAAGAGGTTATCCAGATTGTTCTGACCACCTATATCCAGATGCGAGTGGGTAAGAGATACTACATTAGTGCCTTTAGTGCTCTCAAACACGGAAGTGGAACTATGGATTTGCTTATTTGCATTTCCACAACGATAGCCTACACATATTCGGTTATATCGATGTTGCTCGCTTTCTTGACAAATTCTCAGCAGGAACCAACTGTGCTGTTCGACACCTCTGCCATGCTGTTTATCTTTGTCAGTCTGGGTAAATGGGTTGAAAACAGGGCCAAGGGCCAGACTTCTACTGCTCTTTCCAAGCTTTTGTCATTGACTCCGTCCACATGCACCATAATAGAGAACTGGGAATCTGTTTTCTCAGAGGACGGAGAACTGAACGTGGTCGACATGACCACCAGAAACATCGGTGTTGACCTCCTGGAGAAGAACGACATTGCGCTTATCTTGCCCGGTGCGAAAGTTCCCACAGACGGAGTTTGCATCTACGGAACCTCCGAAGTTGATGAGTCTCTGCTCACTGGGGAATCTTTACCAGTGGTGAAGGGTAAAGGCTCCAGACTAATCGGTGGGTCTGTAAATCAGGCAAATGCCCTCTACATGCGCGTTCTGCGGGTAGGCGAGAATACGGAGCTCCAACAGATAGTCAAGTTGGTTCACAATGCTCAGATTGCGAAAGCACCTATTCAGAGATATGCAGACAAGATTGCGTCTAAGTTCGTTCCAACAATCTTGGTTTTGTCTCTGCTAACTCTGATCTCGTGGATGGGTATTCTTGGATGTATTACGAGTAAGGGAAACGGCTCTACTGCCTCGGTACCCAAGTACTTCTTGGACTCAGATGGAGAAGTGCTTTTCTCCAAGATCTTGCTGTTGGCAGTATCTGTGGTTGTGGTGGCGTGTCCTTGTGCTCTCGGATTAGCTGCTCCTACAGCCATCATGGTAGGTACAGGTGCAGGTGCGAAATTTGGAGTTTTGCTAAAAGGAGGAGACGTTTTGGAGGCTGCAAATGGAATAGATTGTGTCCTTTTCGATAAGACCGGAACGATCACTGCCGGATTCATGAAGCTCTCCAACTACGATTTTAAGAGGGGCCTGTTACAGGAGAATCTGAAGCTCGGAGAGTCTGATGTCTGGGCTTTCTTGGGAATGATCGAGTCTTCAAGTGAACACCCTATTGGCAAGGCTATTACAGAGGTTGCTAAGTCAAAGGTAGGCGACCCCATTGAGGTGTCACTTGTGGAGTCTCAAGTTCAGATTGGTTCTGGAATATCGGCGGTCGTGAGATTCAACTACCAGACATATGTCTTAAAGGTTGGAAACTACAAAATGATGCTCGAGAGCCATATCTCCAATATCTCAGACTTTCAAGATGTGGTGAGTGAGGTCGAGTCCAAGGAAAGTTCGGAGCTTTTCTCCCATTGCTCTACGTTATCCCATGTGCTGATTAACGATTACTACGTTGGATACATGGAGATGGAGGATGTTCTAAAGACAGATGCCCAGTCTACGATAGCAGAGCTCATGACATCGGGGTATTCGGTAGGATTGGTCACTGGAGACAACCAGCGTGTTGCTTCTTTCATTGCTAGATCCGTTGGAATTCCCCAGGAAAACTGCTTTGCCAATTGCAGACCAGACGAGAAACTGGCTTTGGTGAACAATCTCCAAACGGAGCTCGGTCTAAAAGTTGCATTTGTGGGCGATGGAATCAACGACGCTCCCGCTCTTGTGAAGGCTGATTTGGGAATCGCGATTGCTTCGGGGACAGATATCGCCATAGACTCAGCAGATGTGGTTCTTCTGTCCAACGATACTGAAGCAGACACGTCCAAAGGTTTGTGGAGTGTGGTGTCCACGTTTTCGTTATCCAGAAAAACTTTCAACAGAATCAGGCTGAATTTTCTATGGGCCATGATCTATAATTTGGTGATGCTGCCTGTGGCAATGGGTTTCCTGATTCCAATCGGTATCACTATGCATCCCATGCTGGCGAGTTTGTCAATGGCTTTTTCGTCTGTGAGTGTTGTTTTGAGCTCTCTTTTACTGAAGACCTGGAAACCACCAAAGGCGACTGTGCAAGTGTCAGACTCGACTTCGGCTGCCGTACAAGATACAGAAGCTGATGTTGGCTCATTGAGCAGATTCAAAGTAAATAGAAGAAAGGCGGGGTTTATGAGTCGTTTGGGAATGCCTTTCAGCTATTGGGGTACCAGGCAGCAGAATTCGGGGGATTATGAGCTTCTACAGCAATAAGAAGCTTTTTTTGTTCGGTGTTTGGCGATGATTTGATGGTTTTACGCTACTAATTAATTTATGCGTATAGTTCTAATATAGTTGAAGGATCAATTGGAAGGTGAAAAACTACGTCACATAACTAAGAGAGTCCATTCGTAAAAATTACCTGTTTTAATGTTCGTTTCGTGTTATACAATTGCTCAAGAAAGCACTTATTGTCTGTCTCATTGCTGGAGCTTCTGAAGCACTTGTGGATAATTGCGGAAAACCTCTTCAAACTCTTGAGGATAAGACATCTGGAACACTTCGGGGTCCTTAGCCAGAGCAATGAAAAAAGTGGCTGTTCCGCTCCGGATCACAGAGTTCATGATATTGGAGAGCTGCATCCCAATGAGGAAGGAAAATGCAACTACTGGTGCGTAGTAACCACCATCAGAGTTGTAGGCAGGTTTGGTAAATCTGAGGAAGAGATATGCCAAAAGGGCCGAGAAGTATGCCACAAACAATGAGTATAGAGTCAACGCAGGATTGATCAGCATGTCGTTGACTAGAGCATCAATACCTTTGTACTTCATGAAGTGCCATGTATCTTTTGCCGAGTCCAAGTAACTTTTGCCGTAGAGAGCAACATAGGAATACGCGTAATGGTTGAAATAACTCACCAGCCAATTCAAGATCCAGACGATACATTGGATCACCGTTACCGCGATTGCACCGCATGTTTCTCCGCTGTTCAGTGCGTCTTGCTTCAGGATACGCAGACCAGTCTGAAGAAGCTGAATCAATGATACAATCAAAGAGCCAAAACAGATAGAACCAAACGAATAAGTCATGGCTCTCTTAAAAGCCCCAAGTGCAGGGTATTTGGGCATACCCTGGTCGGATTTGGACATGTAATACCAAGTGCCGTAGATTCCACTGACAGTGACATGGATTACGTTCCTGATCACTTCCGAGATGTAATAACCAGCAAAGAAGACAAATACTAGAATTCCCTTCACCTTGGCACTGGAACAGGATCCTGATTGACAGTTTGGATTTGAATCATTTTGATTCCATTTGAGGTAGGTAGCAACGATTGTGGCCGAGAAAAGGGCTGCAAATGCTCCACTAACCAAAGCTCCAATCAGAGAGACAATCCATGTGTATGGATGAACTCTGACAACTCCAATCACGATCTGCAAGACTTGGGCTGAAAATGGAATCCTGTGCCGGGACATCCAGTAGAACCATGCCGACAAGCATGTCAAGACCAGGAACACAATACCGGCTGAATAGTAGTGAAGACACAGATAAAGAATTGACGTTCCCAATCCCAGTATCACATTCACGAAAAGAGCAAAAATGATGAATTGTTTGGGGTAGGTGTAGGCCAAAACCATTCCCAAAAGGGCCAGCACCAAGCCCATAACAATCACGAAAGCAAGCAAGATTAGAGTGTTCCCGTTGAGAGTCAAACTGTTGGTACCATAGATGCTGGTTCCGCTATAGGAAGTGTGGGAATGGTAGCTCTTGAGAGAGATACCGGCAACTACCAGAAAACCAGCGCAAGTGGCAATAAACAGGATGGTGAACGGAATATCATGGTAAACAGGGTTTTCCAACTTGAAAGTGTCTTCGAAGGTATTTCCGGGAGTAGGCATAGGAGGCCTGTTATTCCATTTCTCTTGGTTCTGACCCAATTCAGGGTCCTGTTCATGCTGCTGCTGTGCAAAACCTTGGTTGTCGAACGGCTTCTGCTCATATGGGTTGTACTGAGGCTCCTGTTGATAAGATGGGGGTGGCTTGGCAGGTCTTTCGTAGTCAGGCATTGTTGGTGTTATTTCCTCCAAATGATACGAGTCTGAGAAATTGGGTTGTTGAACAGAGGTTGTCGAACAGAAGACGGTGAAAAGAAGAAAAAAACCTGAAAAAAATATTGAAGGATATATCTCCAACAGCAGCAACCAACTAAATTTGAAATTGGCGGTTGAAAGAATACACGCCCAATTTCACCTCATCTAGCCAGTTCCTGCATGAAGACTCAGCCGCACAAGCCGTTTGGTTTTGGTTGGTAATGTTTGAAGTTTCAGTTGGCATTTTGCTATTCAACTGGATGAACATGAAATTAATTTACGGGGTGCAAATTATTTCTGGTATTATGGTAACCAAATTTGATGTCAGATGTGATACTCACCGGCTGAGGAAGGGTCAAGACGTCGGGCGCCAATTATTTTGACACATTTCGGCGGGTAGTGTGTCAGATAGGACCGAAGACAGAAGACCGAAGTCAAGAACTGGTAGATATTGGCGGAATTTCCTTGAAGATTCTTGAGGATCAATATATTTTAAATCAACTGACAAGATGGAGATAGATGTGGTATACTTGTGCTAATTTGTGGTGTTTATGATGGACAGGGGGGTCTCTTTTTGAGCTGCCGCCTATACCAAGTGCTCTCTCTCCGCTAATCGCAGACATTCTGCGTTCGGCCCAAAAGGCTCTCACAATGTTCTCAAACACAAAAAGCTTGCCAGAAACATGTATTAAAGTTGCATTACAGGACCGTGAGATAATATTTACCATATGCAAACCTTTGAACACAAGGTGTTTGAATCTTTTGCCCAATTTTTCACCAGCGCCGCACGCATCCGGGTAACCAATACCGCCCACATAACACCACCAAACGTTAATAATGGCTACTCTGTTGCAAAAATTTCACCAGAACTGACAAATACCGTTCATCAATGGTTCAATCACAATGATATCTGATTAATTCATTTCCAACCTGTCACATGCCCGTTTCGGCTCTGTGCTCGGACCAGGCCCGTTTGCGATGGATGCGATGAGGCTTCTCCGCCGATAGTTTTCAGAACAGAGCCAATGTAGAGCGATTTCACACTCCTCTCGATATCCCAGCTCTCCCCGTTCCGGCTCAAGAAAAAAAAAAATCAAGCAGGATACAAGATGGCTTCGAAAACAGTTGCTAGGGCATGTTTTCTGGGCAGGAGATCTTTTTCAGGCTGTCTAAGAGCACAGTCGACCGGGGCCCAGTCTTCGCCTTATTCGGCACCAGAAACTGCAATCGCGAAACACAAACCCAGCACTTTGAAAGAAATATACGCAAAGTACAAAAATGGAACTCCGATATCCGTGGTAACTGCCCATGACTATATTTCTGGAAAATGGGCTGATGCTGCGCCCTCTTGCGATGCTGTTCTTATTGGCGATTCGCTGGCAATGGTAGCTGTTGGATACCCAACCACCCTGGAGATACCGTTCGATGAGTTTTACTATCATTGTGCCTCGGTATGCAGAGCTGTGAAATCCAAGTATATTATAGCAGATTTGCCGTATGGATCGTTCGAGAGCTCCGTGGAGAAGTGCATTGAGAGCTCAATGAGACTCATGAAGCTGGGCAAGATTTGCAGCATCAAGATAGAGGGTGCTTACGAACACGAAGAGTCAATATCGAGACTAATAAAACTTGGAATTCCAGTTACGGGCCACATTGGTTTGAAGCCACAAAGATTCAACGGATTGGAAGGTTTCAGAGTTCAGGGCAAGACCGTTGATTCTGCGTTGCAGATACTTAAAGAGGCCCTGTTCCTACAGGAGACTGGAATCTCCCTTTTGGTTCTGGAAGGGATTCCGCACGAGATAGCATCATATATCACAACCAAATTGTCGATTCCAACTATCGGAATCGGTGCAGGAAATGGTACCAGCGGTCAGGTGCTGGTTCAGGCAGATCTACTTGGAATGCACACTGGAAGGGGCCCAAAGTTTGTCAAGAGATATGAAGATTTGTACGGAAAAGGTGTTGCTGCGATTGAGAAGTATGCTCAAGAGGTTTCCGCATCAGCTTTCCCTGATAATGCCGTTCATACCTATCCAATGAAGACGAAGGTTCTGGAGGAGTTTTTAGAGCAGGCCGAAAAGATATAGGCTTGAAAAAAAAATTATAGTTGTATATACATAAGTGTCTATTCACAGACTTGTCATATTCTTTTCATATATCCATTTTCATTCTAGATATTCAGTCTAAAAGCACGGCCTTTCCATCACGAACTTCCCTTGCTTCACCAGAACTCTCGTAACTCTTGCTCATGTCCATCACAAATGTCTTTCCAAACGTGGGAGCAAAGATGTCCTTTGAACGGTTCATATCCTCGGCCAGTTTCTCTAGCTTGTGCTTTGGTTCTATGAAAGGCTCACTGCTCAGAACGAAGGTACCCCAATGAACACCCACCATCTTCTTGCTCTGGAGATCCTTCACTATCTCGATGGCCTCGCTAGGACATATGTGTCTGGGTTTTTGGTGCCACTGCGGACAATACTGGCCAATGGGAAGCATCGAAAGGTGGACGGGTCCCAGTTTCTCCCTGATCAGCTTGAACAGTTCTGGAGTGTACCCAGTATCGCCAGCATGATAGAACATCGACTTTCCGTTTTTGGTTATCATAAAAGAACACCAAAGGGTAGAATTGGCATCCAGCATGTATCTCCCCGACCAGTGCATTGATGGCAAACAAACAACCTCGTATTTGTCCGGTCCTTCTACAGGAAGAGTTATACGATCCCACCACGCCATTTCAATCACGTTGCTCACACCTTTTCTGGCAAGATACTTCCGAACTCCTAGTGGAACAATCCACGCACATTTATTGCCCAATTTCTTAACGGACTCACTTTCCAAATGGTCGGGATGGTCGTGAGAAACTAGCACAAAATTTGGCAAGGGAAGCTCTTCAAGCTTGCATGGAGACGGTGTGATTCTTTTCGGTCCCAAAGCCTTGTTCACCAGATAATCCTCAAATATGGGATCCGTCAAGAATGAGATTCCAGAGAGCTGAAGAAAAGAACAGCTCTGACCCAACCACGTGAAAGTCAGACGATCTTTCAAAGGAGGAAGGTCCTTAGAATCAACCTCTATGTCTGATATACCCGTCTTCAGCACACCATGATTACTCCAGATGAGCTCTAAATCTGGCTTTACCACCGGGAGAATTCGTCTAAGTTCGGCTTCCGAACTCGGTGTTCCACCTCTGGTCTTTCCTTCGAATAACTCCAGTATTCGGCTAAGTAAGAACTCAAGTATCGTCTGGCTTCTATACTCAGGGAACGGATTCTCAAACCTTCCAGCCACGTTCAAAGTTTCATATCTATTAGGCACGTCAACTATCTGGTCAAAATCACCCTGGTCCGCCTTTTTCAGTCCCTTCTTGTGTTCTTCGTAGCGCCGTTGTCTTTTTGAGATCTCCAGCTGGGCTTGCACAGCAATGTAGGCCGTGTAGGAGGCGTACGACACGACAAGTCCCAGTCCGACCTTCCCGGGCAGTGATAGGGGCATTGTAGGCACTTTGAGGCTCTTTTACAGCAAGAAACCAGTCTAAGTAGGTCTAAAATAAGTATGGGAAGAGTGTTCTTTCAAGCGGTTCAAGCTCGGGGTGACTCTCGCATAAAAGAATCAAGGAGTCGTGAATTAACCGTTTGATGCAATCAGGATTATATAATCGACTATATAATTTACAAGTCCAAGTCTGTGGAAGAATCTCAAGCTCATTACATGGCGGAAATATAGCTAGCAACCCTTTTTAGTTCATTCGATACTCTCCAGTGTCACTTCATGACGACGATTGGCCTTGGTTTTAGCAGGTTTGGCTTGTGTGGTAGTAGAGGCGACAGGCGAGGCTTCTATTGGAGAAGCATCTGAATCTGCGGACCCAGCGGAGCTAGGTTTCTTGGCCTTCTTGCCCTTCTTGGGCTCATCCCAGCCATAAAGAGGCTTGAAACTGTCAATAATGCCCACATCTTCAAACAAATTAGGGAAAATCCAAAATCCGCGCGACATGAAGATGGCTGTGAACCCATACAGAATAATTCTCACCACTGCCAATCCAAAGAACAGACCGATAAGACACAGCAAACCAGTACTTAAATACCACACACCTTTTCTCATGAACATAGGCCATAGTGGGAACAGAATCACTCCAAATATGGCAACTACTCCGAGAACGGCATATAGGGCCAGGAATGGGTTGGGGATCCGGAAGTTCCATGCGTAATATTCGTTTGGTTGCAGCACAGCTCGTTGGATTGGCTCCAAAGTCGGTTTGCCTCTGATTGGTTTCGAGCCTTTCTCTCTGACTTCTTTGGAGGTGAGTTTCTTGACCGGTATTATAAGCTGGTTCTTGATTAACAAGATGAACACCTGTTGGGCCTTAGCCTCGTCTCCGTCTATGGGAGGCAGTAGCTTGTTGGAACTAGCAGCCTTCGTATAGTCAGAACCAATCAAAGCTCTTATACATCTCTTGTATCTAAAAAAGTCTGAGGTTGAGCCATCCGATGAGTTGATTCCTAGTCGTTGTTTCAGCAACGTGTGCTCTCTTAGAAAAGTGGCGGCGGCAATGGCCTGCGGGTCTTTCGCAGTCTGGGGCTGGACCTTCTGCTCCATTATGATTGCTTAGAGTAAGGGATAATCCAGGGAAATGTTGCTTGTCTTTATGGCGCTTAATCGTTAACTGAATCAAAATCTCGTTAGCAACAGAGAGACACGTTGGCTTCCGTTTTGAGAAAATCAATAATCACACGACAAAATCAAAAGTTTCCACCAGAAAATGGTCATGGAACCAGAACTTCGTTGATTAAAAGAGCACCATATTATACTACATACAAATATCCAAAAATGCCACCAGCTCAGCAACAGGTCCAATATGTGCAACAGCAGCCCTCGAACTTTGAGAAGTTCAAGATGGGTATGATGATGGGTGTAAGTTTGGATGGTTGAGGTCTGGCTCTGTGAAGAGTCTTCTGAGTCTGACTACATTTATCCAGGCTACTTGGATTAAGTGACTAACATATTTCTCTAGGCCACTGTTGGTGTCGTTACCGGGTTTCTGTTTGGTGGATTGTCTATTCTCCAACAAGGACCAGGTCCAAACGGCGTGGTGAGAACCCTTGGCCAGTACATTGCCGGTTCCGCAGCCACTTTTGGTTTGTTCATGTCGATTGGTTCTGTCATCAGATCGGATGATGGCGTTTCAGCCCAGTTTACTAGACCAAGAAACGTTGCCGAGCTCAGAGCCCAAATGATGGCCAGACACTATGTCAACTTCAAGAGGGAGTAAATCTTAGTCCTGAAGCCTGTATATAGACTGGAATCAATTACGCACCTGAATGAGCAAGAACAGAAGAGTTTGTGTAGTTCAAATGGGTCCTGCGGTGCTTGAGTAGAGGCCTTTAAATGTAGACTGAGGTGGAGTGTGGCAGCAGTTGCAAAGGTATAAGACGAAGGATACAGAAACAGTTGAGGAGCACAAAAAGCGTACAAAAAACACTCCTGCCGAGTCAATAGAAGTCCAGGAGTATTTTTGCCTACCAAAACAATGCAGTTCTGTGAGGACTTTCAATGCGTTCCCAACAGAAAGGCAAACACAAATCCTCACCAGCTTGCGCATACTAAATCCCACTATTAACGTGCGGCTTTTCAACTGGCTATTTCACCATTCTTCAAGCAAATTTCACGAATTTTTTCTGGAAAATAAAGCTTTAAATTATATTCAAATAGTTGTTCAATATTTAGCAAATATATCTTTCCCCTAAATACTTGAATTCACAGGTGTTGTCGAAGTCTCGGCGAATATCGGGGCGCCGCAGGTAGTGTAGTTGCCCGAGAGCTTAAGCCCATCCATACGCGGTGGCTATCACTTATATTTCTCACAGTTAATCAAACCGTCCACTCTGGTTGTATACTACCATTTTCGAGAGAGAATTTGGTGTTTGAAAGGTTACAGAGTGCCAGTCGTTTTAGTGATCAAATTTTCATCGAGTTTAACAGTTCACGACAAAGGTTTTCTTGTTAGTTTCCTTCCGTGCTCCTGAGCTTAAAACGCTCCAAGACAACATAATACACCAAAACACTTTCAAATATTCTCAAAATGGCAGAAAAATACGGAAACCCAAACTATCTCAAATACATGAACTTTAACCAGGACTACACTTGTGTTTCTGTGGGATTCGAAAAGAGCTACAAGCTGTTCAATTGCGAGCCATTCGGGGAATGCTTTAGCAAGAGTGAGTATAGTCCACTGTGATCGGGTTCAAACACCCTCAGACGCTTCTTTGTATCAAAAGCTTCGACTAACTTTGAGCAGACGATGATGGCGGGGCAGGTATTGCCGAGATGTTGTTTGCTACGTCGTTGGTAGCGATTGTGGGGTTGGGGGATAAACCAGCGACTTCTCCCAGAAAGCTCAAAATCATCAACACGAAGCGAAAATCTGTCATCTGTGAATTGGTGTTTCCGTCTTTGATACTTTCGGTGAGACTGAACAGAAAAAGACTGGTTGTTTTCGTCCAAGACCAGATATACATCTACGATGTCTCATGTATGAAATTGTTACATACGATAGAGATATCGCCTCACAAGCTTGCAATTGGTGATCTAAGCTCAAGCGATGAGTCGATCCTGGCGTTTCCATCACCCGGGGAGAATCTCGCCGTGCCTCCAAGACAGGAAGAGGAGGATCTCGAATCTGATCATATTGGAAACTCTTCTTTCTCCGAAGGAGATAAGTCAAAAAGACCTCGTCAGGGCTCGGAGCACATTACAGGAAACAACGGAACCGTCGTGTTGTTTGACGCTTTGAACTTGCAGCCTCTGGAAGTGATACAGGCCCACAAGTCTCCAATACAGAAGCTGACTTTATCGAAGGACGGAACGTTATTAGCCACTGCATCGGCCAAGGGCACCATTATAAGGGTGTTCAGGGTGAGTGATGGAAGAAGATTATATGAATTCAGACGGGGAACCTACAATGCTGTGATATCAGGCCTGAGTTTTAACTTGGAAAACACAATACTGACCTGTTGTTCGTTAACAGGAACGATTCACTTCTTCAAGTTAGATGAAGGCAGCTCTTCCACTTTAGCTGATGCAGACAGAGAATATGATCTCAAAAGCTATTCCAGCGATAGCAATGTGGAAGACGATATGGACGAGGACAGAACAGACTCTTCAGTCCCGGATTTGGAAAACAACGATGGCGACGAGCCTACTAAGCGAAAAAACTCGAAGACCAACTATTACGATAGTCTGAAGGAACTGGGCAAAAAATCGGGATTTAAAGATATGCTGTGGTCGAGCATTAGCAAGAACGTTAGGGGAAAGGTTAACGATTACCTTCCCTCTAAAGTGACGTCAATGTTGGAGCCGAAACGCGATTTTGCATTTATCAAACTACCACACGCAATTGGAGAGAATGCAACAACTGAGCGGTCTTCCAATGTGGAGGAAGTTTTAAGAATGGGATCAAGCCATTCCATAGCCTCTATTGCTGCTATCAATACCCCAGACTCTACAGTGATGGTGGTGACAGCAGACGGCAACTTCTACGTTTACACCTTACCTGGGTTTGATAAGGGAGGTGCATGCATTTTGGTGAAGCAGTACAAGCTTTATGAAGAGTAAAATAAAAAGAAACCAACCAGAATAAAACAAGAAAACCACGAAAGTTTGCAAACCTCAACCGACCATATAGCTGCGACCTTAGCTCTGATATTATCACGTGACATTCCTTTCGACCCCCCCACGCCCATACCCCACCACAACACGGAGATGTCACCTGTTCCTAAATGCCTTGCCTTCTAGAGCCTCTCTTTTAACCCAGAGACTTGGGCTTCGAAAAGACTAATACCTCACTATCAAGATTGCTATCCAATGGCCCCATGTTTCAAAGAGGAAAAAGTGCTGCGCAACAGCCCTCGCTGTTTGACATCAGGTAGGTTCTTTTCGCTTGAAACACCCATAGCAACTTGCTAACCAAGATCAAACAGAGTACACACACCGTACAGAAATACCGTGTTGATCAAAGGAACAGAGTATGAAGCGCCATCTGTGCTTTTAACTGGCCATTTGGTATTTTCGCTACCAGAAGCTACCAGAGTGAAAGCCGTGGGGCTTGAACTTACTGGGACTTTCAAACTGGACTTCATGGAGTCTGTCACTGATCACAGGAAGGTTATTGCTAATATACCCGTAAAGGCTGAAGCTACGGTGTTTAGATGCAGTTGGGATAACCTGTTGGTACAAGAGAAAGGCTCAATCAAGACCGGTGATTACGGCCACCCAGTGGTCATATCTGATAATGCCTTAGTAAGGCATGTGACTTCTGCGTTGAACGAGTTATTGGTGAGCCAAGAATCACCGGGCTATTCTCCCAGTCAAACAGGGCATCAACCCGGGAACCACTCACCAGGTCAAAGATTGAGTTCCCCGAAGCCCAGGTTACGCAGGTCCAATGCGCCTACTCTGTTACAACTCCCACCAAGCGTGATGTCTGGTAGTACGCCTTTTGAAGGCGTTTCTACCCCTACTGGTGGAGTTTCCTTTAACCTTCCTGCAGATAACTATTCGTTGCCATTTTCGTGTGTTTTGCCAGGAAATGTCCCCGAGACTGTAGAGGGACTCCAATCTGGCTCGTTGCTTTACAAACTAGACGCTGTTATAGATAAAGGAAAGCATCAGTTTAAAAGATCCAAATACATCCGGATCTTCAGAACTCCATCACCATCCGACGCTTTACTCTCGGACGATTGCAGCATCGAGAACACTTGGAGCGGAAAAGTTCAGTACCAGGTTCGACTACCACGCAAGGCGCTTCCCATAGGTGGAACAGCCAAAATTGAAATTCTGATAATTCCCCTGAGCAAAGGCCTGAAGCTGGGAAAGATAACCTGCTGTGTTCAGCAGCAGTGCGAGCTCAAAGGAGCAAACGGTAGGGTTTACAATTACGATAGCACCATCTACGAAAGCGACTTCCCCAGCATCCCAGCCGAGTCGCTATCTGAAGATAGATGGGCTCTGGAGGGTCTCATACAATTACCTCCAAATCTAAAACAATGCACCCAGGATTGTCGGTTGAAAAATGACATAATTATAGTCAAACACAGACTTCTTGTCACCGTTAAGATTATCAATCCGGATGGTCATTTTAGCGAAGTCCGTTCAAAATTGCCAGTGGTTTTATATGTGACCTCCAAGGTTCCGGTGGAAGCCCGGTCTGTTGCTGCAGATAATGATGGAGTTATCCATTTTAGACCCGGATTTCAACCCCTTTTTGAGCCTGTTGGCAGTGGAAGCCATTCTGGCCATGGTGATATCTCAACCACTGTTTCTCCAGCATCACCAACCCCAGCTCAAATTCACACAGTTAGGGACGAGGACGCAGGAGAAACTCCAGAAGGCAGCATGGGAATTTACGAAAATGACGATGATCCAGTCCTACCTGCCTATGACGCAAGTTCTAGAGATCCGTTGTTCAGCCCTTCTGCAGAGGACAGTTCTGGGCACGTTTCTCCATTTTTCGGTTCAGCAAGCAATAATGCCAGCGGATTCTCCAGTCCTGCCATGCAATATCTTTCGAGAGTAAATTCAGCTTCTAACCTTGCCGGAGGACAAGGATCTGGGTCTGGTTCCGGCTCTTTGTTCCCATTGATGATGTCTGTTCTGCCGTCATATGATAGTGCGGCGGACGAAGATGTCACCAACATAGATTTGGCTCCACCATATCAGGACACTTCGAAAGTTTCCGAAACTGAATCCAGCAGTTCTGGAGACTCATACGCAAACTTTCCCCAGAACACTTCAATCTTGCCTGGTGCTTCGTCTCAGAGCCAAAGTCGTTCAAGACCATTTTTACTGGGAAGACATAGTAATTCGAGCTTGAAGAACCTGGGTTCTAACAAGCCACTGTTGTCGCGCGCATTTTCCTCGGGGTCTCTGAGCGGCAGCAGGCCATCTACGCCATCCATGAGCATAGCAGAGCGATTAACTAAGAGGTCTTGACGCTCGAGCTTTGTGGACATAACGCTTGCCAGATACGACCATCATTGCCATGCCATTATATCGAGATTTGTAATCCCGATGGATATACTGTCCTCGGGACAAAGATTTGAAATCAGAAGTATTTGTAAGCTATGTAAAAATGAAAGGATCTTGCATGAAAAGACGCACAGTTATGAGCACCTGTTATCAAAACAGCAATGTCATCCATTCGGAGATAAGCAAGACTAGCATTTTTAGCGGTCTTTGCGGCAAATGTTTTAATTAAGAAGAGTATTTAAACATGGTTCTACGATCAGTTTAATGAAAGTTATGCCACAGAAGTAATAACAAAAGCAATCACGAGAATAGCACTTAACCGAGACAAACAACCATGACAAAACTACTAGTTGTATTTGGGGCCACTGGAAACCAAGGTGGCTCGGTGATCAGGACAGTTCTAGGGACAAAGGAATTATCCACTACCTACAAGGTAAGGGCTGTCACCAGAGATTCTACCAAACCTGCTGCTTTGAAACTGAAGGAGCTAGGCGCTGAAGTGGTCGAGGCAGATTATAATGACCAGCCCGCCATCTCAAAAGCTCTTTATGGAGCTGACACTGTGTTTGCTGTGACCATGACTGGCTTTGAAACCATCGGGTCTCTCACAATTGAGTACGAACAAGGCAAACTAATTGCAGATGAGAGTGTGAAGGCGGGTGCCCGCTATCTGATTTGGAGTACCTCAGTTGATGTTGAAAGGGCCACCAACGGGCAGCTGTCAGTCCCACATTTCCAGGTTAAATACAATGTTGAAAAATACATCAGAGGATTACCAATCAAGTCTGCATTCTTCAGCCCAGGCACTTTCATGTCCAACTTCACCTCTATGATGAGATACACCAAACAAGAGGACGGCTCCTACACTACTCCTGTTATCTTCGACCCGGAAACTCGTCTTCCACTGCTCAACGTTGAAGAATCGGGCAAGTTTGTTGCACCTATTCTTTTAGACCAAGCGAAATGGGAGGGAAAAATCATTCCAGGTGCAACAAAGTTTTACTCAACGACTGAGATTTCAGAAGCAATTTCCAGAAGCACCGGAAAAAAGGTTATCTTTCAAAAGGTTCAGGACGAAGTTATTGGTTCATTTCTTCCAAAAGAAATGCTTGCTATGTATAAATTGCAGAATGATTTCGGATACTTTGGTTTTAAGGGGGCCAAGGCTGAAGAATGGATCGATGAATCTGCAGAGCAAGCTGTGGGAGAGCTTACGACTTTCGATAAGTTCCTCAAGACGAATGCTCCTAAGCTGGAGTGAACTATTTTCTTATTAGCTACGTTGAACATTCTGGTTTAATCAGTATTTTTCATTCTTGCAAAACATGAAAACATTATAGTTTTTTTTTGACACACCTTGGTCAAGGCTGTGCAGATGCATTACCCCACGTACGATGAGTAAGAGCAGTGACTAGAGACGCAACCAGACCAGCTGCTTTGAAACTGAAGGAGTTGGGTGTTGAAATAGTTACAGCTGATTATGAGGACCAATATGTGATTGCAAAGGCTCTCAAAAGAGCTGATACCGTGTTTGCAGTGACTGTCACCCAGTACCAGAACATTCAGTCTCTTACAATTGAGTACGAACAAGGAAAAACAATCCCTGATGAGAGTATCAGGGCGGGTGCCAACCGCCGTTCTGGGGATGTTCCAGTTTTATATGGACTCAATGGTAAGGAACTTGAGAATTGGCTTGATTGGTCCAGGGACCAAGTCCCGAAGTAGCTGACTACCTTTGAGGAGTACCTGGATAAGAATCCTGTACCTTTGGAATAAGATAATGGCACCAGCCAGCGAAGGCTGGCTGTTTTGCCAACACAAATTTGGAATAGTTGCTTTTGAAATTATTGACATTTGAAAATGATATTGTAGCCCTCTCGTCCATTGATCTTAAAATGTCGGCACCTCTCATGAGAGCGACGCTATTCCGGATAGGCCGACCGGCCTAGCCACCAGGAGCAACCCTATGCGTCCCGAAACTTTACAATTTGGAAATTCTTTTCAGCAGACTTTTACTGAAGGCAGTAGGATTTAGGTTCACCTTATTGTAACCAGCAATTGTCTCGAGACCTCCCTGAACAGACGTTTTGGACTCACTCACCTCACTCAGACACAGCTTGGTTCCCCTTATACACCAATCTTCCCATTTGGCGATCTGAGATGCCAGTTCAAAACATCTTTTCAAACCATCTGCCTTTGTACCAACAACATCAGCCTCATCAACAAGCCCTAACCTTAATGCGGTTTCCCATCCAAAGTCTTCTCCGGTAAGCGCAAGTCTGTTTGCCAACGATGAGTTGCCCACAATCCGCGGAAAACGCTGCAAAGAGCCCATGTCAGCTGGAAGGCCAACCTGGATCTCCTTGATACTTATTTTTGAATTTTTGGATACTACACGGATCGAAGCAGTTGAAAGAATGTCCACCCCCAAACCGTAACAGACACCGTGAATCAGTATGATGGTGGGCGTGGAAATCCTAGTTGAAACACCGATTGCATCCTGAAAATCTTTGATATGGTCATAAAGATCTTCCTGAGTCTTTCCAGCAAATGAGCCCATTCCTTTAATTGCATCTTTCAAATCTAGCCCAGCAGTGAGATGGTCACCAGCACCTGAGATCACTATCACCTTCACTTCTGGGTCCTTGTCCAATTCCAGTAGTAATTTACGATATTGAATCCATGTTTCGTGCTCAAATGCATTCAACACTTTTGGGCGGTTGAATTCAACATGGGCAAAGCCTGTGTGCTTGGTGATTTTGTATTGGTCGAAGGTCATAGTGGAGAGAACCAGGGTGTGTAGGAGTATGTGGACACGATAATGAACCAGTTGTATCAACACTATACAACGCCGACTAACAGGACACAGCAAGCCAATTTGATATCGATAATATGTCCACACCTGTACAAAAATTTCTCTTTTATGACAGCTTCTCCTGGCCTTATATACCGAATATTTCATCCTCGGCCGCGATTGTGGGGTAACTCATGTGATAAAAGTTGGGCGTGTACCGCAGAATAATCAATCACTGCACACACTACCTATTTGTTAGGAATCCTTCACGAACTACCCAAGCTTGTTGGTCAACTGCTCTTTAGCCTTCCTCCACAACCGGTCTAATCTCATCTTCAGTAATTGAAGCATCGAAATGGCGTCTTCAGCGGAGATTGGTGAAGATTACTCCAAGTCATTGACGAGTTTGACGTTCAACTCCAGACCGATCATTCAAAACCTCACCATCATAGCTCAAGAGAACGTCCATGCTGCTGAATATATAGCCAAAGCTATCGAGCGGCAAATTGCAAAAGTAAGTATTTGGGTCATCAAGATCATTTTCGATAATCTTGATTTTTTTCTGGTGGATTTCATTTCATGAATCTGTAGAATCTTTCATTTTTCAGTGCGAATGCGGTACTAATCTAACCCCAAACGTGTAGGCGGTGCCCTCTCAGAAGTTGTTTTCGTTCTACCTACTGGATTCGGTGTCTAAAAATGTCGGGTCACCTTATAATATTCTATTTGGTCAGAATCTATTCAAAATCTTCACGGAAGCGTATGTGCTGGTAAACGACGAAAACAGGAAGAAGTTTATCGGACTTTTCAAGACATGGAAGTCCGCGGTCACAGAGGCCGGGCTCCCATTATTTCCAGAGGATCAGATTGGTCAGATAGAGTCTTTTTTGGAGAAGGCAACCCGGAGAAATCGCTCTGCTCCTCCACAGTTGTCGGTGGAGCTGCTGATTCGGGAGATCGATATACTATGTCAGATGGTTCAGGAGAGACTGAATAAGAGTCCAAGCGATACAAAGGCTCAGGAACGGTTTAAGGTGTTAATGGATCTCAAGAGGATCCTTACAACGCAAAAAATTGCTTCTCAACAGCTACAGGTGGTGCACACCCAGTTGGTGGGGATCAGAAAGGACGAAACGGAGAAACTGACACTTTTGAAAGCCCAGCAGACACAGCCACAGCCTCAGCAACAACAACCACAGATGCAATTTTCGGGCTTTCCGTTTCAGGCTGGTGCCCCGTTGCCTCAATCAGCTCAGAACAGACAACCTAAATTTCAGCCGCCATTGAAACAGAGGCAGCCTGCTGCTCCATCGTTTTCAACGAACCAATTGCAGGCTTTGTTGGGAGCTAGGACCCCACCTCCTCAAGTCCCAACAAATCCTGGTGATGTTTCCTCGATTTTGAGCAGTCTTTCACAATCTGGTGTCTTTGAAAAATTGAACCTGAAGCCAGCGCCGGTTTCAGCAGCCCCAAAACTGGACCAACAATCACTCAAGAATCTATTGGGGCTATCCCAAATGGATCCCACATCGAGCATTGCGCTTTCAGGGAAAGCAGTGGTGGCTTCAGAGGACCAAATCTTGGCTCGTTTCGATCTGACCCAGCAGTTTTTGAACAGCCACAAGCCCTCTGCTGAGGAGATCAACTTAATCTACAATATCAAGCCTAATAAGTGCAGTAATTGTGCGAAACGGTTCAAAAACACTCCCGAAGGCAACATAAAACAGCAGGAGCACTTAGATTGGCATTTTCGTATGAACAAACGACTCAAGCAGAACGAAGTCAAGACCATCAGCAATCGTGCCTACTATCTTGACGACGAAAAGTGGGTCAATTTCAAGGACGACGAGATTCTGGGAAGTCTTGAAGAGGTAACCACAGAGTCGCAGGCTGCAGAAAGGGACGGCAGGGCAAGCGCAGAAAAACGCGATGCCAAGTATGTGGTTCTTCCTGCTGATTCGACCGATCTGACTACAGTTTGCCAAGTCTGCAAGGAAAAAATCAACGCTGAATTCAATGACGATTTGGGCGAGTGGATATGGAAGAACTGCATTTCCGTGAAGGACCGGGATGGAAATGAGCGCAATTACCACTACGATTGTTATGTGGAGACGAGAGGTGTTAAGAGGGAGAGGTCGCCTGGTTGAGGCGTACAGGGGGAAACACTTGCCCAAAAGTGATAATACACAGAGAATAACTTAGAATATGTAATAAACTCCATTTTTGAAGAATTAGGTATTGTTTCTCCGTAGAAAATGAAAGCCTTAAAGTATAGACGCAGCTTGTTTGGAAGAAAATAACTAGTCCGGGACGAACTCAAAATTCATTAGGATTTTAAGAAAGCAAACACAATACGGAGATAATTGAACGGGTCTCTATATGCTCAACAATTATCCACTTACAGCCTCTATGACTCAGATGACTCTGGTGTAGTTAGTTGGACAGAGAGCTGCAGCAAAGACCAGAGATCTGCAACATTCCCGAAATAAACAGCCCAACACATGCAAATATCAATGGAGCAACTGCAATCACACACTAATATGCCGACGGATCTTTTACGAATGTGGTACGTTCAATAAAATACAATTTCGACCCGGAAATGACAATCACAGTTGAGCTATGGTTGAAAGCCGTAATCTAACTCACGCAACAGAAGTCTCAATTTTTGAAAAAGCCAGTATGAATTTAGAAAAAGAACTGACTGAAGTGACAAAAATATTTGCTCTCAATAACTAACAGTAACTGTGAGTTCTTTTTGAAAATCATTTTTATGACTCTAATGTAAATCAAATGTGTGTATCTAAGCACCAGAACTCACCTAAAATAACGTAGCCTGAAGTCCCACCCAACAACCCTAAAAATTTACTTGAAATCCTAAAAATAAACATATGCATACTTCCGTAATCCAATGAAAATACTTTATACTGAAAATCCTGGCTGATCTACCTAAACATGTTGGTCTTAAGCAGTCTTGGACCGCCTCGCCGGTCCTTTGACAGTGCGTATGTGACTCAAAATAACTTCCTAAATAGGAAGGAGTCACATGCAACACCCCGATGAGCTGAAATAATTCAGACTGAAAAGTTCATCATTTCGACTGTTCTTTTTGTCTATTTAAGAGACGAAGAATTCGTGGCTGGAAAGAGCTCAGTTTTGAGAAATAAGCAGAAAGCCCTGAATTCTATAAAACCCCCTCCAGCTATGACACAACAGGTTGAGAGCGAACTCCACAGCGGGCCGAAAAACGACCTCCAGGAAATGTCTACGACAACCTCCACCAAGTCTGAATCCCACGAACTGGACCTGGAATACTCGCCAGAATCTCCCGTGGACCCAAAGGAACTTGACCAAGTGTACCGTCAACTAGATATCCGGATTATTCCCGCGCTGTGGTGCCTCTATTTTCTTGAATCGTTTGGAGGATCAGCATACGGAAACACACTCACAATGAACTACGAGAAGGGCCATTCATTGAAGCTCAGTCTTGGACTAAGTGCCCACCATACCTCGATTGCGTCTGCTCTAGTGTACGTGGGTATCATCGTGTTTGATGTTCCTATGAACCTGGCAATGACCAAACTTTCTCCCCAAGTCTGGCTTTCGAGAATCATAGTATCTGTTGGTCTGTGCTATACATGTTACACTGCGCTTAAAGGTCCTGGAGGCCTCATAGCAATTCGTTTCATTACCGGAATATGTGGGGCCGGAACATGGCCCGGAATGTCATACTATATTTCTCTTTGGTATCCCGGAGAAAGATCGACTAGGAGGATCGGTTACTACTTCACTGCCGCTCAGCTAAGTGCGTCTGCAGCTGGACTGGTATGTGCAGGTTTCCAGAAAATGGACGGCGTGAGGGGATGGTACGGATGGCAATGGATGTACCTGGTATATGGATGCATCACTATTGTGTGTGGATTCACATTGTTGTGGTGGTTGCCTGATAGACCAAGATATCTTTCAAACCAAAACCAATCCGCCGAAGACCGGTTCATGTCTAGGATCGGGTTGGATAAGTTCAACTTTTTGCCCAAAGCTACCCAACCGCTGAACGAGAGACAGAGAAAGTTGCACAAACAAGATATGCTAATCAGATACAAGAGAATTCAGTATGGAGTCAAGGATGTCTGGAACATATTCATTGATCCTAGACTATGGCCCTTGATTATCATGTATTTCGGAGTTGTAGGAACTGGATTTGGTCTGGCCGTGTTCGGAACGACCATCATTCACACATACAACCCAAGTCTCTCCGGAATTGACCTCTCGCTGTTGTACGCGCCAATCTGGCTATTTGACCTTGCTGCTATTCTGTTGATCACGCCTTTCGCTGATAAGTTCCCCAAATGGAGGCCTCTTTTGTTTTCTCTTTCCACATTGATCATCATAACTGGTCTCCTGGTCTGTACTTATGCACACGACAAATGGAGCAAGTACGGAGGTCTTCTCATTGCCGGATTTGGCCTTGGACCCACTGTGCCTATCACAATGGCATGGACAGCTGAGATCTTTACACCACGCCACGGTGATGTTGGTTGTGCTGTCAGTTCGGCATTGGTGTCCGGATTGGGAAACCTCGGAAGTGTCACTGCCACATATGCACTTTACAGCGGATGGTCAGCAGATGCTGCTAGACTGTACAGAGACTCGAACATGATGCTGGTACTGATGCTTGGGGTCAGCATTTTGGCGAGTGGGTTTTTGGTCGTCCTCAGATGGAAACTTGGCGACTTCAAACCATCCACAAAGCTGGCAACCAGCACTGCGTTTTGAAGACTTGAAAAGATGTAAGTAGTTTTTGTCTAATGGACTTTGTAATTGAACCCATACGTAGGTGGTCTACGGGCTTATCTGGCGTAGCTTCCCCTTCTGTCCCCAGATTTAGTTCACACACTACCATTAATTGTATTAGGAGATCTGCTCTTCTTATATGTTGTTCGTTATCTTACCATAATAGTATCATTAATTTTTCATGTTGATCTTCCAAAAATCTGCCGTCAAGTTTATTCTTGGTCACCAAAAGTCATACAGCGGTCTTTTACAGAATTTTAAGATAGGACCCTGTGACCGAAGGTTTATCGGCCTGATTCAACAATAGCGCTCATAACCCCTGACGGAGTAATTTATTTCAAGGGTCTTCGTCTCCATCCAGGCACGACCACTTACAGATACCAAAATTCCAGCTAAGCCACCGGAGATCGCGGGGAAAACGAAAAGTTTATTACTCAAACTTTCTCAAGTAAATGATTATGACAACATAATTCAAACATTTGAAATATCAGATCCTGGAAAATGACGATTAATTCGCTCTGGTTTATCCGAAAGGTTCGACTTAATCCGGCTGCACAGCCCGGTGTTTCACCTCTCCCGATTTGCGTTTTTTTGTGTTGATGGCTTTCAAATCTCATCTATATCTTTACTCTCTTTCTCCACACCAACCCTATTCGCTCGTTCAAATTCAAAAATGGAAAGAGGAGTGTATTTATCTAGTGAGTCTTATAAATATTTTCAACCATTTGCGGTATTCTCCAACTAACAGACATAGACGAAAGAGACTACAACCATGCTACTGACAAGGAGTATGAAAAATTGAGAAAACTGGCCGACCAGGCACATGATAAAAGGAACAAGCTTTCTCACGAGTCACAGAGCGCTTTCAAGCGCGGTGACAAAGCCAAAGCTGCTGAATTGTCGCAACAGGCCAAGGAACAACTCGACATAGCAGAGAGATATAATGCCCAGGCTGCGAATTATGTGTTCATTGAGAATAATGAGGACTCTGACCGAGACGAAATTGACCTTCATGGTTTGTTCGTTAAGGAAGCACAGTATATCTTGAAACAACGTATCACCACGGGGATTCAGAGAAACGAAACCCATCTCAAGGTGATCGTTGGTAAGGGACTTCACTCCGCCAACGGGGTGGCCAAGCTGAAACCTGCAATTCAAGAGCTTTGCCAAGATGCTAACCTCAAGAACTATATTGATCCTAAGAACACAGGTGTTCTGGTGATTGAATTGCAGAATGCTAACATTCCAGCAAGTTGGTCTCAAAATGCCCAGCACTTCAACATGCCTCAGGCTCCACAAGCTGCCTATGGCCAACAGCAACCTGCGTATGCTCAGCAGACCCAACAAAATCAACAGGGTTACAACCCATATGCCCAGCAACAGCAGTACCAAGGGTCCAACCAACAAGGGTCCAACCAACAAGGGTCCAATCAACAGGGCTTCCAGTTTGCGGGAATGGACCAGCAACAACTTCAACAGGCGGCCAAAACTGCTCTGCCTTTCTTGAAGGCAATTTGCAATTGTATCAAGAGCAATATGTAAAGCTTAGGTTCACCTTCATTAAATTGTATAATTCAAAGACTTTTATTGTTTAAATGGCGTTTCTTTGTAAATTATGTCGTGTACAGTTCCAGACGTACCCCGTAAAATTCCCCGTTTTTTAGCATTGTCCACGACTTTGGCTCCTCCCCCCCTTCTGGAATAACAGCCCGACGTTTTGTACCTGGAGAATAGTATACCGCACATTTCCGCTACAAAGCTCTTTTTCGCACAAAAATATATCGTAAAGAGCACAAAGAACGAGAGGGGATATCAACTAGGAAAACTGAAATCGTTACGTCAATGACAATGCCGGACTCCTCCAAGGACGCCTCCAAACCCTCTTCGCCCTCCCCAGATGGTTCCAAGGAAGAATCCCCGGACTTGAAGCAAGCAGGCGGGCTACTGGACCCAATGCCTCCGCGGAAACGGTCCAAAGTTTCCAGGGCATGCGATGAATGCAGGCGAAAGAAGATACGTTGCGATGCCATGGTCAGTGCACAGAGCTGTTCCAACTGTAAAAAGACCAACGACAAATGCACATTCACGCGGGTGCCGCTCAAACGTGGCCCTTCGAGAAGCCAGAAACACTCTGAAGATTTTGAAGTTCGCCGACAGAGTTTTCCACAGATAATGCCGTTACAACAGCAGCAACAACTTCAACATCAAGTACAACAACGCCCTCAACCCTCTCAAACTAATCAAAGTTCTCAGCAGATTCTACTTCCACCGTTGAGCTCGTTGTCGCACACCGGCTCGATACTGCCTCCGCCACCTCATCCAATCAACCCCTTGGATGGACGTGTGACAAACCTCTTAAACGCTGCCAAGCCAAGATCTAACTCGCTCACCTCGAATGGTTACAACTCTCAAGCCTTGTTTTGGAAGGTTCCGTACGAGTTACCTACTTTTGAGAGGCGGAACTCAACAGATTCGATGTCTTCTTCCATCAGTGTTCCGTTTTCGCCGCAGGTGTTAAACCAGAAACCCGCTAGTGGCAGCTCTAACGGAAACTCTCCAATGTACAGGCCGATTTCGGGATACGATTCCGTGGGAATCAGTGATTCCGAGGATGAGTTTCTGAATAGCCAGCGTCCCAGTTTTATCAGTGTTCCGCACACCAAGGATGGAACTGTGAGCCCCGCACTGAGTGTGACTAGTTTATCAAGTTTGAATCAAAATATCAACAAGGGGCTTCAGATATCACCTATTACCAACCAAAATCGGACCTTGAATCTCTTGAAGGCTATTGAGTACAATCTTGATATTTACTACAGCAAGTACAACAAGAAGTTTCCGATTTTGCCTGTTCAAAGAAGTTTCATCAGCTCTGTGCTGCCGACTTTGATCAACACCGATGAAAATATCCCAATAGTGGAATTGTTCAACACGAGTCTGAGAATGCTGATAACATGTGATTCACCCAGCTTCAACTTCATGGAGGTGATTGGTATCTTTCAAAGAGCCGACCACCTGTATGCGCTCAAGAATTACATCGGCAACCACGAATCGCTAAAACTCATCTTTGGAGAATCGTTGATCATTCTCAACTATTGTATTATCCTTTCCGGGCACGATTACTCCATGGGGCTCGCGATTACCTTTGCTATACTGAACGACTGGAAGTTTTACAACAGACTGAAGGCCCTGTCGACATCACCAGAGACACCCAGCGATTTCGAAGCATACACAGCAAGGGCATTTGTGGGTTTCATTATACTGGACACAGTTTATTCGCTATCCTTTGGTAATCAAAGACTTACATTTTCAAGCAACGACATCGTGGCCAAAGACTCTGCGGTGATCTTGTCAAAATTGTTTCCAGACGAAGACCCTTCTGGCTTCAAAATTGGCTTGAATCTCGTGTTGCTGACCATGGGACATGCCTCTACTTCCGTTTCAGAGTACGACGTTGTTTCGATCCTCAAAAGCAGACAAGAACTGTTTAAGTTCTTCCAGGACCAGAGAGATCATTACGCACAGCCCAAAGGACTTAGTGATGACGATCTGGACGAGTACATCTTTGAGTCACAAATTAGGTTCTTCAAACTCTCCAAGAAGCTCAGTGCTATTGCAGGAGGGTTGATAAGTGGTTATCTTCCCTCCCCAGGCGGCGAGTCCCCCAAAGCTATCACACATGTTCAGCAACAGGTATGTCCGTTTTCGCTGATTTCGCTGATCACGTGTCTCAAGACTACCCATTTACTGCTGAAACTAGTCAAATCGCTGGTTCAACTGAATGCGGCCACAAATACCAACGACCTAGCCTCGAGATTGCCCAAGATCGAGGCAGATCTCGCTCAGGTCGACACTAACTTCTCTACCAAGGCAGTTTATCCGCTGCCTTCGATGGTCAACCTGCTCAAAGTGGTGCAGGTTTCCAGTCCAGCTTCGAATCTACTGAATATTCAACCAGGTGATTCAACTACTTTTGCGAAATTTCGCTCTTGGTCGTTGGATGTAACCGGGGAGATCGAGAGTATTTTGACAAAGGAGGCGGTGGAGGGATTGTTGAGCCCATGAGCTCCCAAGTGTGGGATTATTCAGGTATCCTCACGATGATGACTGTCGCTTTTGTGATATAATGTACAATATTTAATGATTTCAGGTCAAAATATATGTTAATGAGTCAATTGGAAAAAGGTAACATTAAGTATAATATGAAAGGCTCCATATTAAATGAGCTGCGCACTACCAACGTCACGTGAACCCCTAAAGCCTTCTCCGCATACTCGCATGGCTCTATGGCTTGCGGCAAAGATTTTGTTTTTCTATATGTCCATCAATCTTTTACGAATTTTTCTCACGAAAGTTCGGAAAACACCACAATTAGCATATAGCTCCAATCATACCATGGCTTCATATCTTGCTGACGCAAAAGCACCAATCGCACAACTGTCTGCGCTCAAGGCCTTCAATGGTCTCACCTCCAAGGAGAAGCTTTATGCTCATCACCTGTCGGTGGCTTCCCATTGGGGCACTAGAGCTGTCTTGGAGAGTGTTTCACCGGAGTCTGCAGCCATCTATGATCTGATTTTAGGAATCCATCAGTCTATTGATGGCAAATATCACGAAGTGGTGGCGAAACATCTCGGGGCAGAGATCGAAACGCAGTATTTGGAGTATGCGTCGCAATTTCTCAGCAACTTGGGAAACTACAAGTCTTTTGGTGATGTCAAGTTTGTCCCACGTCTTTCCAAGGGCGACTTCGAGACTCTGGTGGAGCTGACCAATGACGAAACATGCCTGCAACTGTTTGAAGAGGTCAAGGACCAGCTCTACGAAATAGACGAATCAAAAGCGTTGCTAGGATGGAAGGACAGCGGACACGTCAGCGCTTACTATCCAGGATCTGGGATCTTGAGGAAGGACATTGAGCTCATCAACTCTGCTATGGCGAAACTAGGACTGATGCCTGAGAATTCGAGGATTGAGAAGAAACATGATGGTCAGCACATACTGAAAGTGGCTAGTGCGGATGTGGCTAACGTCACCGGATATTATCCAGACGAGTTTCCAGTAGAGGATGAATCTGGAAAAGTTCTGTTCAAGGTGATTGTTGAGTTTGGCGATCACAAGAGGGAGTTTGCCAAAATCGCAGAGCACTTGACTTTGGCGAAAAAGTTCGTTGCCAACGAGACTCAACTAAAGATGCTGGAATGCTACATTCAATCCTTTACTACTGGATCCATGAATGCACACAAGGAGTCGCAGAAGCTCTGGGTAAAGGACAAGGGGCCGGTTGTCGAGTCTAACATCGGGTTTATTGAAACCTATAGAGACCCAGCCGGAATCCGTGGTGAATGGGAAGGCTTGGTTTCTATTGTCAATAAGGAGCAAACCGCAAAATTCCAGCATCTTGTGAAGAACGCTCCTGACTTCATTAAGTTGTTGCCATGGGATATGGCCGTTTGGGAGAAGCCTGTTTTCCAGGCTCCTGATTTCACCTCTTTGGAGGTTTTGACCTTTGCAGGCAGTGGAATCCCCGCGGGAATCAACATTCCAAACTATGATGATGTAAGGCTGAACGTTGGATTCAAAAATGTTTCTCTAGGTAACGTTTTGGGAGCAAAATCGAGCTCTGAACCTGTGAGTTTCATTGATGAGCAGGAGCTTTACGAGAAGTACCGTGATGGATCCTTTGAAGTTCAGGTGGGAATCCACGAGCTTTTGGGTCATGGTTCCGGAAAGCTGCTGAGCAAAGAAGATGTCGTTGGAAAAGAGGTTGTCGGTCTGAATGGCCAGAAGGTGACCACCTACTATAAGGAAGGTGAGACCTGGGGTTCCGTTTTTGGTTCTGTAGCCGGCAGTTTCGAAGAGTGCCGTGCTGAGACGGTTGCAATGCATTTGATCAACAACAGAGACCTTCTAAAGATTTTTGGATTTACTGATGTTGAAGAACAGGACAACATCATCTACATCGGCTTCTTGCAGATGTGTCGTGCTGGTCTTCTTGGTTTGGAGTATTGGGATCCAAAGACTGGAAAATGGGGCCAAGCACACATGCAGGCCAGATATGCCATTCTCCAGGTTCTACTTCAGGCTGGAGAAGGACTAGTTGAGATTGTAAGTGTTGGTGACGATGATCTCAGAATCAAACTGGATAGGTCCAAGATCGCCACTGTTGGAGCCAAGGCCATTGCTACGTTCTTGAACAAGTTGCACATCTACAAGTGCTCTGCAGATGTTGTGAACGGAGTTAAGTTTTACAACGATATCACTTCTGTTGATTCAGATTTTGCCAAGTACAGGTCCACTGTGTTGAAGAAGAAGCTTCCAAGGAGACAGTTCATTCAGGCCAATACCCGCGTAAACGGCGAAGGTGAAGTTGAGATTGTCGAATATCCAGAGACCGAGGTTGGTATGATCCAAAGTTTTGTGGATCGTGCCACATAAAAGTTTTTGGAAAGCATTTATCATCCATTGGAGTAGTAGCTACTGAAAAATTCTGTTAGGATAAGAGTTAGAACAGCCACCATGCTGTTTGCCGGGGCATGTATCTGAGGGTCTCCTGAGTATATACCAACTAATTGCCGCAAGAGAATTTGAATATCCAACAATCAACTACTAAATTAACTGAATTAACAAACGCCAATTTCCGATGCTTATGCCAATTTTGGCAAAAAACTTATCTTGCCGAGCCGTTTCCCAATCGGGTATTCTATGAAAATCCACGACAAGATAAGAACGGCCCGAGCGCATCAGTGTTTGGTGTTAAGTTTACATAACCCTGCAACCTTTTGAGGGGGAATTTCTCACGTTTTGCTCAGAATTCTCACAGTAATACATTCTTACTGGCGTCTTTATGAAAGCAAGATAATGTCTAGCAAATCCATTGAGTTGGAGCTTCTGATAGAGGAGGGATTAGATGATGGACCTGGTATCATCAACACAGATTCCAGCTCTACCATTCTCGAGGATGACAAACGCTCGCTCCGCAGAATTACAGGAAGAGTTCCCAGAGTTGCATTTCTCATATGTCTTGTTGAATTGGCGGAACGTGGTTCCTACTATAGTTTGACTGGGTGTTTGACCAACTTCATCCAAAGGCCATTGCCCGTCGGTGGTAACGGTACAGGGGCTCCATCAGCTCACAGCCAGCAGAATGCCGGTGCTTTGGGGCTTGGATTGCAATGGGCAAATGTTTTGTACTTGATGCTGATTTTTTTGGCCTATTTAACACCTATCTGGGGTGGATTTCTATCTGATTCGCAATTGGGAAAGTTTAAGGCCGTTTGGACCGGCACTGTTATATGTGGAGTATCACACATCTTGTTTATACTGGCGGCATTGCCGATTGTATTACAAGAACACCGTATTACTGGGCTGGTTTTGATCATTATTGCAATCGTGGTTTTGGCTTTGGGGGTGGGTTTTATCAAGCCCAATCTGCTGCCATTGTTGATGGACCAATATCCGCACAAGAATGACTTCATCATGGTTCTGGAGTCTGGAGAAGTGGTTATTGTGGACCGCAAAGCCACTCTAGAGAAGATGTCGTTAATTTTTTATTGGTCCATCAATGTAGGGTGTTTTTTCCAGTTCGTGACGGTTCTAGCTGAAGATCGATATGGCTATTGGCTAGCCTTCAGTATACCCGGGATGATGTACCTATTGCTGCCGATAGTGTTGATCGTGGTTGGTCCAAAGCTTCTCATACTTCCTCCCGGAGGCTCCATGTTTGCTGATATTGTCTCTGTGCTTAAAATTTGCTACTCCACTGGCTGGTACCGCAGGTTCAAGGACGGTACCTTTTGGGAGTATCCATCCTCGAGATGGGACCCACAATTTGTTGATGATATCAAGAGGACAATCGATGCTTGCAAGATATTTTCGTTCTTCGTGATTTTCAATGTCAATGACGGATCTTTGGGGTCAATTCAGACAAATCAGGCGGGTTCTTTGACCAGGACTACTGTCCCCAACGACTTTTTCAGTGTGCTCAATCCCTTGACCATCCTGATTATGGTCCCGTTACAAGACTATTTTCTTTACCCATTTTGCAGGAAACACAACTGGAACTATACTCCTCAACTAAAGATATTCACCGGGTTTATTCTGGCTAGTATTGGAAGTATCATTGGTGCCGTGCTGCAGTACATGGTCTACCAGACTTCTCCGTGTGGTTACAAAGCAAGTACTTGTGAAATTGGGACCCAGGTTTCTCCCATATCTGCCTGGTGGACTTCTCCAGTATGGATTTTACCTGCTGTGGGAGAGTGCTTTGCCAATGTGACTGCTTATGAGTTAGCTTACTCGAGATCGCCAAAGAGAATGCAAAGTTTGGTGTTTGCGCTGTTCCTGGCTTCTACTTCGTTATCAGCGGTTTTGGGCGAGATATGCACAATTGCAGCAAAAGATCCGTATTTGGTCTGGCCGTTTGCCATTTTTGGTATCTGGGGATTGGTATCTGCAACAAGATTCCTGCGCAAGTTTAATAACCTGCATCTAGAGTAGTATGACGACATGTTTGGGTCATCTTATTCATTTTCTCTATATACATAGGTCAATAAAGGGTGTTATATTTTCGTGTCATCGTTAAAAAATAGAATGCAATATCAGCGTGTTCTTCCACTCCTCATGCTATTTTCTGATCGTCGTTCTTTAGCCCGTGCGACTTCACCTCCTGGATCTTGTCGTAGTTTATCTCGTCTAGGATCTTCTTGGCTCCTTTTTGTATCAGCATGTTGCCCAACTCCTCGCCGAACCTCTCTGCATCGGCGTCGTTTGCAACAACTCTATTAAGCACAGAATCCACATACTGTTTCCCGTCAGGACTTAGCACTATGGCCGTCATATTGAGGGTTCTTCTTTCCACATCAAACGAATTGGAAACTCCAACCGGCACAGAACACCCGCCCTCCAAAAATCTCAGCAAAGACCTCTCAGCAAGACAGCAGACGGTGGACTCCTCGTCCCTCAGCACCTGGCAGATCTTGGAGACAATTGGATCGTTCTTTCTGATTTCAACTCCAAGAGCTCCCTGGCCAACCGCATGGTACATCGTGTCAGCGTTTAAGCATTCGGTGATGCGATGACCGAGATCTACACGGATCAGGCCTGCTGCTGCCAGAATGAGACATGAGTAGTCCGAGTCGGCATCGTCCAATTTGCGTAGTCTTGTGTGAATATTCCCTCTCACCGACTTGAACTGGAGATGAGGATAGTTCTTGAGGAGCTGTGCAGAACGGCGAACAGAAGAGGTTCCCACTATGGAGCCCTTGGGCAGCTCAGCCAGCGACTTGTAGGGCGAACCTGCTCTCATGACCAAGGCATCTCTGGGATCTGTCCAATGTTAGTAAATGGTAAAATGGCAAATGGAAACCCAACAGTTGCAACCTTTGGAGTCGAAAACATGATCGAAAACTGTCCTGGTTTAGATGATCTATCAGATTAGGTTTGGGTAAATTGGCCTCCTCACTGTCGTAGACTAGGAAGTCAAGCGTTTCATATAGTTTAATCCCATCATCATTCAGAACTTAAGAATTTGTCTTCAGGAAGTGATCAGAAGTCTAACGTCTGAAATTCTTTAATTCATCATAAAAACCCACGGAACAGTCCCAATCCAAGCTGTTGACGTCCAAAAATGCACTGTTAGTAGCAAAAATAGCACAGAAAAACTCACCTTCTCTCTTCAGTATGCAGCCCAATTCAAACTCCTCGGGCAAGTGTGTGGGCATATCTTTTAGCGAGTGAACAATCAGGTCGATCATCTCGTTGTCACCAATCTTCTCGTACAGGAGGACCTCTAATTCTTTGGTCCACAGCGACTTTCCGCCAAATGAATAAAGCGGTTTATTCTGAACCTCATCACCAAATGTTGTGAGGCCCACTATCTGGGTTCTGAGATGAGGATAGACGTCTTTGATCTGGGCCTCAACAATCTCGCTCTGCTTGATCGCCAGCAATGACTTTCTCGAACCCAGCTTAACGAGTCCGGTGGGAATACCCTTATTGGATCGCAAGTCCGTCAACGGTCCAGTTTCGAAATCGAATGACATCTTCTCCGCGGTGTGTGACGTGGCTTGTGTATGTATCGACAACGACGCGGATATCATCTGTAACGGAAACCCCCAAAATGACAGAAAAAACCAAAAATTCCAGGAATCAGTAGCCTCTATTTCGTGATTACAAACTCGTAATCACCAACGGCAAAAAAACCAGTAAAAAACCCCCCGCGGTAACGGCTATATGTACAGAGAGGCTAGCGAATCGCAATGTATCGGCAAAAGATCCCGGACGCGAATACACTAACCTGGGCGTGTGGGTATGGTGGCAAAGCCCCGTGTATTAAGGTAGAATCGTAGAAACCAGAACTGAAAGCTCCGGAAGCTAGTGAGCAGAAATAGTGATCAGGAAGAAGAAAGAGTGTTGGGAAGGGAAGAGTCGGAATGAAATTTTTCTAGTCCAAAGTCTGGGACGTGCCCACGCCAAAATATTTTTTGGAGTGATTTTGGTGTTTTTGCGCCAGGGCTTCGTAGCATACAAGGGTTCTTTTGTCCGTTTTGGGACAGAACCAGAGTGCATCTGCTCACGAAATACGGCACGGCGTGCTGAAAACGTCATTTTTTGCAGGAATAAATGGCATCTGTGCTTACTTCTATGATGCATAATACTATTGAGCCTCTCTTACTGCGTTTATCATCATCCTAGCCGTGTGGTTGTGTCCTCTAGCAAATTTCTGGATTCTAGCCTATCACCAAGCTTCGAAAGTTAATCCGAGCGTGGTGTAACGAATGGTGGATGGAGGAATTGTAAACTTCGGTCTTCAGATTAAAACCGAAATGTCACTGAAACAAGCTCTTTTGATGACTTTTGGTCATTGTTTGTACTTGTAATTGATTTCAGCTCTTCGGGTTAATTGTAAACCTGTGTCATCATTAGATGTTACCCGATAGGCTTTGCTTACAGATCTGCGAAACCGCCAAACATTGTCAAATTGCCGACCAAAAATTTGGAGAAAAATTGAATTGAGTAACTTTCAAAGGTGAACGGCCACTTTTATTAGCTGAGTCTGAATTTCCTTAAAATTCAAGCCGAATATTCTACCAGAATTAAGTTCTAGCTTGGAGGCCATTCGCACTCTCCACATGCCGTGCGATATGCCCTGCTGCAGCCTTCGCAGTGATGGCTGGAAAGATTGAAATGTCAGCCAGCTGGAGGAGGTACTGGGAATTCCTGCAATTGGCAAACTGGAATTTATCATAAACGCTTTTAGCTGGATTTTTTTTAGGGAATAAATGCATAGGCCAATATTTGCTACAGGCACTGACAATAACTGCAGTTTCATACTCTACAAAAATTCCATGTTGACATTAACCTGTGTTGAACTATGAAAAACTTGAATAAGTTATCAAAAATCATTCTGAATATCACCCAGTAGCATTCTGGCTAAATTGACTGATTCCAGCTCTTGTTAACTACCTCCCAGTTCAAGCTTCAATCGTCCTCTTAATCAACCTCGTCAGCTGCTCCAGCTTCACGTTCTCGGTGCTGATGCTGACGAAACTGTTATCATCTTCATTTCCAACGACGTACTTGTCTCCCTCCAATTTCCAGCTGAAGTTGGCACTAACATATGCCTCGAGTGCAGCCGCATCTTTGAAGTTCAACACCCTCTGCAGAAAATCACGTTTGATGGACTTATTGGAGATCCCAATCAAAGTACCAATGGACTTCTGGAACTCCAACTTCAGACTCTCTGGGTTTGCGTGGGTCTTCAGGATCTTAGCTAGCTCGGCATCGTTCTCAAACTCATTCCAGAATTTGCCGAACTTGCCGAGAGTCAACAGCTTATAGACAGAGACCAGCTTCTGCGTCTGCTGGTTGAACGAGTCGATGAAGGGAGCCTGGTCGTTTATTATCACGTAAGAAGGCAACAAGTTCAGGTAAAGCTCAAAATCGTTGTGGCTGAAGTTCACAAGCCCCTTGATCAACGCCTTGATAGAATACGACTCGTTTTCCTCCTCCTCGTCATCATCATCGTCTTCATCATCTTCATCATCTTGTCTATCCGAGCCAGAAATCTCGTAGAGCTTCAACAGAGCAAGATTGCTGTTCAAATCCTGGAACGATTCGTCAAACTGCTGCGCCAAATATCTCTGCAAGTCCCTTATTATCGAAGTATCATATCTTTTCAACGAGCTCAGGATATCCGATATGTACTCGGGACGCTGGGCCGGAACGTAAACCAGGTTGTTCTCCATTTTGTCCTTCTGAGTTTAGATCAATACAATACCGAACTATTCAAAACCCGTGGAGATTGATAGATCGAAACCTTTAATTAGGATGAATTGTGCTGGTGTTCAGCGTGAAGCTTCTATAGCCTTGTTGGATGTCGAAAAGTTTGTCGCGTGGATATTGGGATGTGCACGATAATTGCAATATTGCTTGCCGCACACAAAATTTCAATCACGTGCACACGCCTAACTGTGGTTTCCTCCCACACTCCTTCAACGACTGTGAAAAGTCGCTCGAGAACAACCAGGATCACCCTTCTCTTTTGATCCCAAACCTAGTTCGTTCGAACCCCCGAATCTCCAACACCTCAAAAGTGGAAGTCACATGTCAGTTAGGAGCCAAATTCGAAGAATGTCAACCAAACTGCCTACTCACAATCCCTACTTCAAGCTCTCCGGAAAGGATATCTGGACTCTGATCAACGAGACTGCCGCACAGGCCGAGGCCGATACTGGCAAGAAAGTAGTGAATCTGGGCCAGGGATTTTTCTCCTATTCGCCTCCTCCCTTTGCGATCCAAGCCGCCAAGGATGCTTTAGATAATCCAATGGCAAATCAGTACTCACCCTCAAGAGGTCGTCCCTCATTGGTCCAAGCGCTTTCCAGAACATTTTCCCCCTTTTATGGAAGAACTCTCACTCCAGATGAGATTGCCGTAACTACTGGAGCCAACGAGGGTATGTTCAGTTGTTTCGTGGGCTTTTTGGAGCCAGAAGATGAGGTGATTGTGTTCGAGCCCTTTTTCGACCAGTACATCCCCAACATCGAACTGGCCGGAGCGAAGGTGGTGTACGCCCAGATACACCCACCAAAGGACTTCGACACAAGAACTGTCGATGGAGACGAATGGTTCATCGATTTTGAGGAGCTGGAGAGTAAGATCACAGCCAAGACCAAGATGATTGTTTTGAACAGTCCCCACAACCCAATCGGAAAGGTGTTCACTCGCGAGGAATTGCTCAAGATTGGCGAGTTGGCGATCAAGCACAACCTCTTGATTATCTCAGACGAAGTCTACGAGAACTTGTATTACAAAAAGCACATTCGTGTCGCTACTCTGTCGCCAGAGATCGGTGAGCGTACGCTGACTATTGGGTCCGCAGGAAAGTCTTTTGCAGCTACTGGCTGGAGAATCGGCTGGGTCATTGGATCCGAAAAGTTGGTTCCTTATGTCACTGCTGCACACACTAGAATCTGTTTTTCTTCTCCATCGGTATTTCAAGAGGCTGTTGGTTCTGCCTTTGATCAGGCTCTCACTAATGGCTATTTCGAGAAGACGAGGCAAGAGTATCTCCACAAGTACGCCATTTTCACCAAGGTCTTTGAAGAACTTGGGTTGCCTTACACCAAAGCGGAAGGTGGCTATTTCCTGTTGGTCAATTTCAAGAAGGTGAATGTTCCCGAGGATTACGAGTTTCCTCCGGACTTCCAGACCAGGGCCAAAGACTTCCGTCTTGCCTACTGGTTGATCCGTGAGTTTGGTGTTGTATCGATCCCTCCTTCCGAATTTTACCTCGAGGAGCACACCCACGTTGTCGAGGACTGTCTTCGTTTTGCAGTTTGCAAGGATGATCATCTGTTGGAGGAAGCAGTTGAGAGATTGAGAGGACTAAGCAAGTATATAAATTGAAGGTGACAGATACGAGTATAGACCGATCGCATAAATGGTATACTTCCGGTATACGTTTAGTTGAGCTGAGCCTGTAAGCCAATCCTGTAAGCCTTAGCTTCTGAAACTCACTGAAAATTTCTAAATATCTCAAAAAAAAATCTTTTACAGGACCACCGTATTGGCCCATAAATCAAGTCCAGCTCCTACTCTGTTGATTCTATGCCGTGCGGCTCAATCGGGGCTCCTAACATCTTAGACTCAGTCTTACTACCTCAACCCATCAGACCTGACCGCTGAACTTTGGTTACAGATAGCAAAAAACCAGCAAATCATGCTGCTGAAAGCAAATCCCGGTGTGCCAGTATTATTCAGGCGATTTATTTCCGTGAGTACACACTACGAGCTCCAAACAGAGACACCCCACAATGAAAGATTTTTCGCTGACTCAATGGCCAGACACCGAAAGCACTCCGCGACTTCAAGTCCAATCTGGAGATCCACAAACAACTCACGAAGGAGAAGCGTGATCTTATTTTGACGATTTTAAAGTCTGCAGCCTCAAAACGAGAAGTTAGGAGCTACATTCAAAAGTACCCATTACTCAAGCAGAATGATATCTATGACAATTCCAATCTGGTGCGGCTGGAAAATTCCCAGGTAGAACCTGGTTTCAGGCCCGAGACAAACACAAAGTATGACGAGATTTTGAAGTCCGTGGTGGACTATACGCCTGCAAAGGGCGAGGAAGCATTCCGAGTGTCGCCCTCCTCAAAGAACGAGATCAGTCTTTCAGGCACTCTGAGACTGGGCATCATTCGGATCCGTGATTTGAAGCGATTGAGTCTCGATACAATTACAGGAATTGGCTCTACGGTGCACAAATTGGTTCAATTGGGATTGAGTCCCCTGATAGTAGTAGATGTGGACTCGGAGATGGACTCGCACGGCGAGAATGGAGGGGCCAACTTCATCAAGTTGGTTACCACGGCCATTGTGGAGCAATCGGATCTGCTTATAGACAAATTCGAGAATTTTTCGACGGAAATCGAGCCGCTATCGCTTCGTTCCGTGAGAGGGCTTTTCGAGATCGAGGACGGCAACATGAGATTCACTCTTCCAGAGCTGTTACTCGTCCCGTTGGCTCAGGGAATCATTCCGGTAGTAGCACCAGTGGCTGTCAATCTCGGTGACGAAACCCAATCGTTTATGAGAAGCAGTGATGCCATCAAGACCATAGCTTCTGAATTGAAGAGATTCAACCAGGAGTACGTAGATTCCCATGGAGGGAATCTCGAATTGAACTCGTTGCTGACGGTTGAGAAGATAATTTATATAGACAATGCAGGAGGGATTCCATCATTGGAACGGTTCAAAAGCTCGCATGTCTATATCAACCTTCTTCAGGAATACGACGATATTGTTGCAGAACTCTATGTTGGGTTCCTGAAGCCGGACTTCAGAGACCGTCATTTGCAGAATCTCCAAGATGTGAACGAGGTTCTGAGTGTAGTCCCAGAGGCAACAGGTATCATCACCACTCCCGAGATCGCGATGTTGAGATTGGATGCCGATACTGCCAACCCTCTCATCTACAACGTTCTCACAGACCGCCCCACGATTTCGTCGTCTTTGCCCGTGAACTTGAGACGCACTCCAATGCTTAATACGACGGTTGTCAAGAAGGGAATGCCATTGACCGTGTTCACCAGTGAGGCAGGAGAAGCTCCAATTGACTTGGTCAAGTACGATAAGGCCGGTCTGATCGATCTTCCAAGACTCAAAAACCTCATAGACGATTCCTTTGGAAGAGACCTGGATCTAGACCACTACCTTCGCCGTGTCAACGGAAAGGTGGCTGCAGTTATAGTGGCTGGAGACTATGAAGGTGGTGCGATCATCACCTTGGAGAAGAGTTCATATTCAGACACTCTGGTGCCGTATTTGGACAAATTTGCGGTTTTGAGGAGCAAACAGGGAACTCCTGGAGTGGCAGATGTGGTTTTCAAGGCCATGCTCTCGCTATTTGAGGACGAACTTCTATGGAGATCCAGAACCAACAACCCGGTCAACCGCTACTACTTTGACAGAAGCAAAGGAAACTTCACAGTTGACGGCAATCTTTGGCGTGGCTTCTATTCTGGAAAAAAGGTTAGAACTCGCCAAGACTTCAGAGTATACAACGACATCTGCGGCTCAATTGAGCCTTCGTGGAAAAAGTAGTAGTCCACGTTTCCGGAAGCGTTAATAGCATATATACCTCGTATTGACAGTATAATACATAATGAATTTAATTCAACGGGAAAAAAAGACCAATAAAAAACCGCAAACTAGCAATCGCAACTACAACTACAACAACAACTACAACCATAAGCCAGTGAAGACTTGATTGAATCTGGATTTTTGGGATCACGTGACCTCTACCTTTTGCTCCCCGCCGTCTGGCCCCTTCCAGACGGACCAAAGGGCTCAGGGACCAAGATGCTCTCTTCTTATCAAAATTGGTCCAAACTCCTTTTTCTCACAATCAACAGCACTTGGAGCTGTGACCTGCTGCCATCGGTCTTTCCCTCGTTATTTTTCCGTTTACTTGCTGGTTTATTTGCTGACTTTCTGCCTCTCTGCTGCAAGGTCTTGTTCAAGATAGAACCTTCAAAAAACACTTCAATTTTCGCCGTAAAAAAGTGTCCCCAGACTTGCGAGATCGAGGGATCTGCATTGTTCTGATTGTGTGGTCTTGTCTTTAAGCTTTTTCGAGCTTCTTGCTGTTCTGACCCCCTCCTACAATGTCCTCTTCAGACGCAAACAACCCCCGGTTCACTCACACGCGCATCCAGCACCGGTTGGAACCAACTGTAAGTGGAGTGGCCTCACCTGATTCGGCGAACTCGCTGCAGAGTACTTCGTCGGAACCGATGTCGCGGAAGGGAACCACTGACGTGGAGAGACGAAAGGGTGGGTTCCCGATTCCATTGATAGGAAATCTGATAGACCACACGAAGTCCAGTGCAGACGTCGCCGGATTGCCCAAAACTGAGTCCAAAAAGTTTGGGAAGTCGCGCCATTTCCCGCATCCGTTGCGAAGAAAGCACAGAACGGACACTGCGCCGGTTGAGAATGCGAAACCCAGGCATATGTTCAAGACTTTCACGGAATTGGCCTCGCCAGCCCCAGGCTCCCGCCCAGAACCCCGACCATCGCATGACCCTTATTTTACAGCCGAAAATGCGGTTCATTTGGCCGCACGGCTCAGGTTTTTCATGAAATTTCGGGAGGAGTCTGAACTGAACGACTCCATCAACTACGCCAATGTTCGCAGAGAAATGTGGCTCGACTGGTACAAGAAGTTCCTGCGGGGCGTTGAAGTTGAGCTGGCTGAAGTAGAGACAGCTCTTGAGCGTGAATCGAAGTATTCAAAAGGTGGGTCTTCAATTCAAGCAGTGCCTCATCTCACGGTCGACCAGCAAAGATCGCTTGCCGGCAAAAAGAGACTCATGAGCATGATGAACGATCTGGCAAACTCGGCTGTAATGACCGATTTCCCCGTGACGAATCCAACCTCTGGAACTACTCTACCGGTTCAGAACCAGGATCAAGTTTCTCTGATCAAATTCTGGCACACACAAATTTACAAAAAGATGACCAACTCGGAATCCCTGGTGTTGCCCATAACGAGACATTTGATCAAACTGCAACGTACCTCGTCGCAGTCTGGACCATATCAACAGGTTCCTCTGGAACAGATAGCTGTGCTGTCCAACCAGAGAATTTTGAACAAAGTCCAGGAAACGGACGTCAAGGAAGATACTAATCTTCTAACAAGCTGGGAAGTGTGTTTTGACGAGAAGAATTTCCATACCAACAGCATCAATATCAGTGATAGGACTTCAATTCTGTACGATGAGAAAAATCATGGTTATCTGCCTGGCCAAGAATTGCCCAAAAACCCCAGCTTTATAAGCACTTTCTTCGACACACAAGACCTGACGAAGGAAGAAACGGAGTTTTTCCAAAGATTTTCGTCTTTCACAACGACTGGGTACACCCAACTGCCATTGAGAAATGCGTCTCAGGCAGCCGTTTTGTGCCAGGACTTCTGGTTAACCGTGACGAAAAACGAAGTCCTACCTGCTCTTCAAGAAATTCACAGAGTTTTGAAGCCTGGCGGAGTGTTACAAATGCCAGTATTTGACTTTGAAGTGATCAACGAAATGAAACACGAGAATCCAGATGGATCATTTTCACAAGAAGCCGATCCAGACGAACTTTTAGCTCATCTTGTGTGGTCGGAAATGGTCAAAATTGCCAACGAAGAAGGTACTGAGACCAACATGAGCAGAAGCATCATGAAATTGATGTACGATGCGGGTTTCTCCAAGGTTTCATACACGATGGTGACATATCCACAGGTATCAACACTTTCGGACGTGGGAAGCACCACAGAGTCTCATGCTGCTACAGGTCTCGATAAGCATTTCTCCTTTGGATCGCCTGCTTCTTCCTCGCAAAAAGCTAGATCCCAGGAGACATCTCCTGTTTATAATCGGGTCAATGAATCGCCGAGATCTGCTGCTTTTGGAGACAGAGCAACAAAGCGCCAGAGCTCTTTGGGCTTAAGCCCGACAACACCTGCACCTCTGAGACCTCTGCAGCCTGTTAGGCCCAGTTCTCTGAGAACCAATAGCACTGAAGCTGTGAGAGAAAGCAATGCAGACTCGGCGACACAGGGAAGCTTTGATGGTTCCACTCGTACCGGATCTGTTCTTAGTACAATCACTTCTGCTTCTTCGAGAACACTAGATGCTGAGACTCCTGCTGGTGAAGGCCACAGATCCAGCACTGCTACCGGAACGAGCTCCAACACTGCTCCGACCAGTATCTCCAGTGCTGGCTACAGAGATGAACGGATGAACAGCTTTTTCGAGCTGTTTTCCAACTACATCGAGATGATCGTGATGTTCAAGTTCGGAGTTTTGAACATTGACAAACTCGTTTCCGATGTGGACGGTGATCCTGACAAGTTGCGCAGAAGACTGGCTTTGATCAGAATGTTTATTGGGTATAAAGCCCATGGTATCAACTTCCTGGAGAAGGCCAGGGAAGATTCCTTGGCTAAGAAAGAAAAGAGGCCTACTAAAGATTTCGAGAGAGGAAGGGCCAGGGACGATAACCCCACGCATAGGATAAGAAACGAGGGTATTGCCTATTTCTTCATTTTTGTCGCCAAGAAATGAGCCCGGGAGTACTTTACGTCATTGCCTATACCAGATTCTTACTATGTTGGTGTATTTGTACAATATTACTGAAAACACAAGTGATCGACAGTGTTACTCCGTAGCAGGCTTGGCCTCAAGAGGTTCGGTTTCTGTGACTTTTGTGGCCTCCTCTGTTGCAGCAACGGTCTCAGCTGGTTGAGTTTTCTTCTTCGCTTCTTTCACTTCCTTCTCTCCATTGTTCACCTTTGAAAAATTACCAGTCAAAAAGTCGAACATTTTGATGCCCTTAAACCCGTCATTACCAACAAACCCATCGATAAATGAAAAGAATCCGTAAAAAACATTTTCTTTGATCTCTTCAGCATAAATCTTATCATAAATGAAGCTCTTCTTGAACTCGAGCATCTCAGTCTCGTAAGGTGCAAAATCAACGTGCTTGTAGCCGAACTTCTCGAGTCTGGTGTTGATGGCCTCGTAAACCGGCTGTTCTAGCAAAAGTCCAAGGGCAGGAGCCTTAGGGATGTTCAGCTTGATGTTCGTGAATGAGTCGGTGATTCTGTCAAGACTGGCACCTGTTCTAGCCACTAAGGCAGCTAATCCAACCATCTTCCTGATCTGGTGAAGCATGAACGATTGACCATGAATCTTGATTGAAACCCACTCTGTTCCCTCAATCACGAACGGTTCCGAAACAGTCAGATCCTTCATAAACCTCGTTCCACTTGGGTCTTTGAAATGCTTGCCCAGAGTGAAGTTGTGGAAGTTATGAGATCCTTCGTAAAGCTTGAGGGCATCTCTAAAGACCGCCAGTCTCTCAGGTGTACATCTGTAATTTCTTCTCAATTCCGTGCCAATACGACGAATTTGTTTTCCAAGAGCATCAGTTTCGTCTGTAGCCAACTCTGAGTTGATAGTAGCTTCGAGAACCTTCTCCACGTCCTCAGCTGAAATCCCTCTTTCGCCCAGAACACGGTTATACTCCTCCCACCATTCAACTCCTTCTTTGTCCTCCCTCAAACTGTCGGGGTTGGCATTCAAAGTCTCAGCCAGATGCTTTCCTAAAGGAGAAGTCGGCTTTGGGGGCAAAAGACAGAAACTAGGCATCAGGTATTCGTACACTCTGGAAGAGCACATCTTACGACAGTCGAAGCTCTTGTTGACTCTCTCAATACCCCAAACACGGATCTGGTCTGGAAGCTCGGCATTCAACTTCTCCAGCAGATTATCATCTTCCACGATCATCTTGAGCGACACCACATTTCCAGCAGCATGGACTCCTTTATCGGTACGTGCAGCCCTCATAAAGCTGGACTTTTTGAGATCATTCGAGTTGTCTCTGGATATAGCACCTGTCTTCACGAAGGCCTCGAAGAGCTCATACTCAATGGTCTTGGTTCCTGGATTAAGCTGCATTCCATGGTAACCAGTTCCACAGTATCCAATCAAACAGGCCACCTTCTTCTTGGGCCTACGAGGATCGTTGTAGAGCGGATTTCCACTCTCGTCTAGAATACGGCTGTAATCTCAGTTAGTAACACTGCGGAACAAATGATAACTTTCGCCAAAACATACCCACGCCTCAGCCTTTTCATCCCAAGCTTCCCGGATCCTCTTTTGCTTTTTGACATAGCCGCCATCTCCATCGGAGAAACCACGTTTCTGTTGACCATCCTTGGGGTCGCTTCCGCCAGCGTCTTGCAGGGGAACACCTGCTTCCACAACAACGCTAGTCTCATTCTCAACGGCCTGGTCCAACTGAATGTCTTTCACTTGTATTTCGCTGTCCATTCCGCCTGAACTAGTTTCCAAACTTTGCTAGAACAATGGGTCTCATCTTGGATTCATCCGGTACGTTTGGCGAAAAGTTTCGTTCCAAATAATTTGGTTGTGCAGCACACTACCGATGAGATGGAGAAATTTTTTGAAACTTTTTAGGGCTTCTTGAGTGAAAAGTTAAGCCTTCTGTCTTTATTTTCAGGTAGCGCTTTTCTACTTCCCGCTCAGACTTCACCACAAAAATGAGATCGTTAACTGAAGAGGAGACAAAGGTGGTCTTTGAGAAGCTTGCTAACTATATCGGAAGAAACATCGCCTTTTTGGTGGACAACAAGGAAGATCCTCATGTCTTCAGACTCCAGAAGGACCGTGTGTACTATGTCAGCGAGAAAATCGCCAGGCTCGCCACCTCTGTCGCCAGACAGAATCTAATGTCGCTGGGAGTGTGTTTGGGCAAGTTCACCAAGACCGGGAAATTCAGACTTCACATCACGTCGCTTGACTATCTTGCACAATACGCCAAGTACAAGATATGGATCAAGCAGAACGGAGAGATGCCTTATCTATATGGAAACCACGTTTTGAAGGCCCATGTTGGTAAAATGAGCGAGGACATTCCTGAACATGCCGGTGTCATCATCTTTTCCATGAAGGATGTGCCATTGGGATTTGGTGTGAGTGCAAAGTCCACCACTGAGGCCAGGAATCTGCAGCCAACCTCGATTGTTGCCTATAGACAGGGAGACATTGGCGAGTACCTGAGAGACGAAGATACTCTGTTTACCTAAGGGCATAATTCTTGATAGCATGTGTACATTATGATTCGAAAATTACTGGGGTTGTAGTCAAAAAGTAAAAACAAAAAGTACTGTGACAAATAATCGTAATACTATGATGCTATTACATTATCACCATTAACGGTGAATGACAAGGTATGAAGTTTTACTGGCTTTGAATGAACTGGCATGTCTCGATATTAATGGCACCGTCATCACCATGAACGAGTGATCAACCCTCACATCGGATAACAATATCACCATAATCTCAACAGCATGTCACAGATCACTGCCATAAATCTGATTTTTCGTCAATAGGCTCTTTCGTTATCAACGACGCCCTTTGACCTTCTTTTTCTTAGTCTTGGCCGCGCTTGCTGTCTTGGCCGGAGCTGCAGCTGGTATGCTCGAAGCTCCAACACTCTCTTCAGTTGTGTTATCAGCAGCACCACCCTGTGTATCGCGCGCGTTCTTCTTTCCCTTCTTTGATTTGTAGTAGCTGCGGTCTTTCACTGGCAGCCATCTCTCTGGGTCTGGACCCTTGGCTCCTTCGATCTTGGCTGGGTGTTTGGGGTTCTTGCGATGTCTCTTGCTGTGTGGCTTGCTAGTGATGATAGCAGATGCAGTCCTCTTATTCGATATCAGTGGTAGAATTCCATTCTTCACGAGGTCCTCCACATCAACTCCTTCCGTCAACTCATCCAACTCGATCAAATCCGAGGGCTCGCCGTTTCCAAGAACAGCGCTTACTAGGGCATCCTTTCCATGGCTATCTAGCTTGCGGAATAAATGCTTCGATTTCTCTTCATCCACCGAGATCAGAGAAAATGCAATGTGTCTGATGTATTTTGCATCCTCATCATCCACTATTTCTGTCATTTCTAACTGGTCATAAATCTTCTGGAGAAGAGCACGTTTGGAAACGAGTCTCTTCAAGGTGTCGTAAACGGCTAGAAGAGGCAATGCGATATAAGGTTTCAGCAACACAGAAATGTCGCTCTCAACCGCCTTCTCAAGAATTGTGGCCGCATTGTCAAAATTTTCAACGGAAACGTTTGCTTGAACCGCTGCCAGAACGAGAGGTGTTTCCCCAATGCTGGAAAGGCTCTGTTTGTACAGCACCTTGGCAGCTGTGTGTGGTTCTGTAATTCCCAAAACAACACCAGCTTTTGCAACTGCCTCCAAAGAGGCTGGAGAAGCTGAGCTGGGATAGCTTTTGGTGTGTGGCTTCGAAGAGGTTGATTTACCAGCGTGAGAACCAATGACTAGCTCATTCCTTTGTAAAGCAGCTTTCTGCGCAAGTGTTAATTTCTGACTTGCATTGGAGATGGAGTTGGGAAATCCCAACTGCCTGTACAAAAGGTTCGGATTGACACCTTCCAGAGCATTGGTATAGCCTTTAATGGACAGTTTGTTGTTTATCACTATCAGTTTCAGGCCCTCATCTCCCAGTCTGCCAACATCCAACCCAGCCAAAATCTCATTCGCTTCCTCAAACTTTCCCTCCCGCTGTGCCACATAAGCCTGCTGGATGAGTATAGGTGCCAACTCATTGAAGGCCTCCTGTGGATCGGCACCTTCCATGGCAGTCTCACACTTGGACTTGGCCAAAGCCAATAAACCGGCAGCCTTTTCAAACCTGGATCTGCTGATTGCAATAGAAGCCTCGTTGAACGCCAGGTCATAGGAGTCAGTAGCTTCTAAAGCGGTAGGCGCAATTCCAGAGCCCGATTCAGCGATCACAGCCCTCTCATTGACGCAAGAATCCAGCAAATTGCTCTTCTCCTTGATCAAATCTCTGTAAATGGCCAAAGCCTCTTCGTAATTGCCAATGCGGTAGAAATGCTGAGCGAGAACATGAAGTAAAGGTTCACGACCATCAGCCTCATGTCTGGCCCGTATAAGAGATTCCTTATCCTCGGTTTTGTAATAAATATATGCGCGCTCAGTCAAAGTGTGATAATTGTCACTTCTAACAGCACCAGGAAACTTATTTTTCACCCAGTCAGCAGCAGTTTCATACCTTTCGAGGTTAATCAGTGCGACTAAACACGTTTTTAAGGCATCTGCATCGTTAGGGTTCGATTTTAACGACTCCAGTCCCGTTGCCAGTGCCGCACGGTGTGGCGCATCCTCGGACGAAACCACCAGTTTGTCAAACCACTCAGTCACGGTAGTCATTGGGAAAGAACACAACGGTAATTGCAATATCGAAAGCCCTCTTATCCTCTTGTCCTTTGCCAGATCGCACCCTCCCGACGACGAAAAGCGATGGCCATCCCCAGACCGGGTAACCCCTCTATCTCTGCTAACAATTTTTCAGCCCTGTATAAAATGGCAGAGGTCTCAAATCGCTTGTTACAACTAGAACTTACTTATTGGAACAACGGTGACCGAAATGAGTGTTTATATTCGGGGATTCGTTCAGTTAGGTGTGCGAAACTATGCCACTCGCAGGAAGGTCTCCAACTCGTTCCGCAAGAACAAGGCTCTGGAGAACCCCAAAAGACACACCGGTACACCTCCATACAAGAAGGATCCAAGGCCCAGGCGAGAAGCGGAACGCGAGAAGCCCAAAGTTGAGCCTCATGCCTTCAAGATTGGCCGGTATCCAGGTTTGAAGCTCCCGGATGAAGACAGGGTCAAAGGTCTTCATGGACTAGTCTCCAAGATAGATGACTTCAGAGCCCTAAGACTATTACCTGAGATCAGAGACGTGATGATTCAAGAGCTGAGTGAATCGACCGTTTTGAAAACGCAAAACTTCATCAGTCCAACCAAGAAAGTGAAGTCAGACGAGGAACTTCACGGGCTGAAAATCAGGCCTACGCCAATCCAAATCGCTGCTATCAAGTCTATACAGGCTACTAGAGTACCTGCTAACGACAGGAAAGTTTTCACACTCGCTGCCGAGACCGGCTCGGGCAAAACATGGGCTTATTTGGCCCCATTATTGCACAAACTCAAAGAAGAACAGTTGACGCCTGAATGGGGAGGTAGAGCTCATAAAGCAGCTATTCGCTCGGTGATCCTTCTCCCCACCCACGAGCTGGTGGACCAAGTCTACGAGGTGGTTAGTAAGGTTGCAGTCAAGCTGGAACTTAATGCGTTCAGATGGGATACAGAATCAAACTTTAAGGTGTTTCTGGAGAATTTCAAAAGCAGAATTGACATCATGGTGACGACTCCTGCTAAGCTACTTTCATTGACCAAGTATGACTCCATTGGCAGCGCTCAGGCTTTGCTACAGAGCGTGAGATATTGTGTTGTTGATGAGGCTGATACTCTTATGGACAAGTCGTGGATTGATGACACAAGGCCTTTGCTCAATCACATGCAATATCTAGTAGATTTGGTGTTTGTTTCAGCCACCATTCCTAGTGAGTTTAATAAGACCATGGGCAGAGTGGCTCCGAACGCTATTCCAGTGACAACTCCCTCGCTCCATAGGCTTCCTGCTGCTATAGACTTCAAGATTGTTGATGCCTCTGTTTCTCCTTATAAGGGCTCCAAGATCAAGGCTCTGGCGCAGGCCTTGTACTCCATTCACTGTGATGGAACTGAGAAGGGCTACGAAAAGCGGGTCATTGTTTTCACCAAGGAGAAGACTGAATGTGAGATTGTTGCTACAAAACTCAGGAACATGTTTGGCCATGATGTCGTGGCTGTGAGCAGTCAGGATCCTGTTGAAGAAAGAAGGGCCAAAGTCAAGGCCTTCGTTGAGCCTCCTCGTAAGCTTGAGGATACAGAAACTCCTCCATTGAAGGTTCTAGTGTGCACGGATCTGCTAGCCAGAGGAATGAACTTTGTTGGTATCCGAAACGTTATCCTTTGGGATGTTCCGAATACTTCCATTGATCTTATTCACCGGGCTGGTAGAACTGGTAGAATGAACCAGTCTGGTAGGGTGTTCATGATCATTGATAAAAAGACGCAGAGCTTGATCAAGGGTTTGCCCAAAGTATTGAGGTATAGAAGGAGACTTGGTTGAGCCATTTAATAACTGGTCAAAAGCCTTGTGAAGTATAGTTGGTGATGCTGATGCTGAACATGTAACTGTTAATACCCTGCACATAGCCGTATATATATGTATAAAGAAAGAGGTGGGAATACCTGTTGGGATTGAAGGATCTAGATGTAGAATCAGGGCAGTCTTGCTCTGCATGGATCAGGGGATGGAAAGCGGATGGAGCGTGAATCTTGTCACCGGACAGTACGCATAAACAATATGCACGGTTGCAGACTTTACCTATCTGGCCACAATGGGCGATTTTTCGTGATAAACACATGAGACTGGATCGCCTCCAGCGGAAACCGGTTCTCCGGTAAATAACACAGCAGTTTCTCGATCAGATCCCGCGCCTCCGGGGAAACAAAATCTGGAATCCGTAGATCCACTTTTCCAATTCGCGCATATGTCGCCTTGGCTTCCTCGGCCTCAAAAGGAGGATGTCCCACTAGAAATTCATAAAGCAGAACACCAAGCGCCCATACATCCACCTTCTCATTATGTGGTTTCGCCTCAACCATCTCCGGTGGTAAATAGTCCAATGTACCACACATGGTTGTCCTCCTGCGCGATGCATGGACGCTCCATCCAAAATCAGAGATCTTTACGGTGTTGTTGAACCCAAGCAAAATGTTTTCGGGTTTCAGGTCCCGGTGGATAATGTGTTTCGAGTGGAGATATCCCAACGCATCTGCCAACTGGTATACGTAATGAGAAGAAGTCACATCGTCAAAACGTCTTCTCTGTCTCAAGATCTTGTAGAGCTCCCCGTGAACAGCGTATTCGAGTACCAGATACACCCTCCGTTCGTCATGAAACCATGTCAGTAAAGAAATACAGTTGTTGTGCCTCACGTTCGCCTGGATCTCCACCTCGCGCCGAAACTGCTTTTCTGCGTGATAGTCCAACAACTCCTGTTTTTCCATCACTTTCAAAGCACACACGTACCCGGAGCGTTTTTCGCGAACGCAGTAAACTTTGCCAAATTTGCCCTTTCCGAGGGTTCTTCCTATTTCAAAATCGCTGAGGGTGTAGCTGGGATCATGAGGTGGCGTATGCTGTCTGAAGGGCTTGCGGGTCGCGGGTGAGAGGGCAGAGATAAACTCAAGTCTATTGACGCTGTCCCCATCCCTATCCCTGTTGACGTCAATCTTCGATAAAGGCCGTCGACGATCTAAACGAGACATTGTGTGTAAATTTTGGGGGGAAATGCACTGAAAAAACGAGGGTTTCGCTCGAGAAGAGAGTGTGGAGTTGATAAAGAGAGTGTGGTCTTCAATGTTTACATCTCATCCAAAACAGATCAATGAGTGGTCGTGTGATTACAATTATTGTTAACAGAAGATACGCAGATAGAGCATTTTTAGAAGCTCATGTCCGCAGACATTGTGGAAACAAAGACCTATTGCGTTATTGGTGATGAATTTCTGATCAGTTAGTGAATGCTTCTCCGTGGATGGTGACAGACTTTCTTCGGTTAGCGGAACGTGTGAGTATCACGTGACTTGTTCGATCCAGTCGAGCACTATCACTATGCTGTCAACGATAATTCGAGCCTAATCCGGTCTGATGGTCTAGAGGTATGATTCCATCTTAGGGAGATGGAGGTCCCGGGTTCGATTCCCGGTCAGACCCGATTTTTTTTGGGACCCACAATGCCTGCAATCACTCGTAAAAATGTGATATCAATTATTATTGTTGTATTATCTGATTCGCGAATGATTTTTTATAGTCTAAACTTGAGTAGCTCTTCAAAGAAGGAAGGGGAGACAAAATTCATATTGCTCATGGTACTCTGTCGGGAGCCCAGGACTAAACACTGGCTCATATTCCATTTGAATCGTATTGTGAACTTGCGCTGAATAAGTGATACCTCAGTTAATCAAAAAAAAAATGTCTGGATCATAAAAGCAAAAAAAATGATAGAAGCCCTACGGGGGGGTCGAACCCCCAACCTTGTGATATCTTCTGTAACAGAGGTGTTCTCTTAAGAGTCACACGCTCTACCGATTGAGCTAGCAAGGCTTCTTCGAGATGTCGGTTTTTTACGGTCTGACATATTCTGAAGAATACAATTGGAAGGATGGAAACAAGTTGACAAAAATGCACTTTCAAAGACCAGAAAAGGTTGAGCTGCTTAGCCAAAACAAAAAACCAAACTCTGCATTCTCTTGTCATTTGTACGCTACTTTTGAGCTTTAGTAGGAAGAAAATCAGAGAATAATAGAGTGCTTCAGTTCTTTAGGCGCCATACTTCTTTAGTAAGCCCCTCCATCCATATGGGTAAGTTCAAACGTTGGTGCCCAATGTGGTCGCCCAAGCTTCAAAGCAAAGACATGACATAAGAAAAGATCGAGGAATACAGATTGCAGATCAAAGCTCTTTAAATTCGAGTTAAGTACTAAACAGAGCGTTTTGAATGACCTGGATGAAAGAGCCCCATAAACCGAACTCCACAAATCACTAGTGTCAAAATAGGCCAAAAAAGTAACTGTTCTCAAACTATAAAATAGTCAAACAAAACCCATTCCACAATAATCAGTATTTCAAACCATCGGCGCAGCGGAATTTTCGCAACTGCCCTGGCAATTCAGCTACACAGTAGCAGGGCTAATGGGTCTAATGGCGGGCTAAGGGATGGGGGTGTGGTAGAGCGACCCAGTGCCTCTGTGCTCTATTGTCTCCACATCGCTTGGGTTGCACTGGAATAACAACACATAGGCTGTTCTTGAGACGATTTTAATCCCCTAGTAATGCACATTATATCCTTTTGATTTGCTCGCTCAATAATCTCAAAAAGCCATCTTTCACGCTAATGTCTCCGGGGTCGCGCCGGACTCCGAGAAACACGTGCGGCGCTCTTCCCGGCGTAATGCATCTTTTGATTACGAAGGTCCACGAGACAACAGCAAATGCGGTCACTCAACACATACTAGTATGACATACCGCCCCGGGTGCAGTAAAACTGTCGGATCGGTGAACCAATCATCCTTGAGCGCTTCCATATGGACGGGGACGGATGACTATGGAGGGGAAGAGGCTGGGGTTGGAATAGTGTTTCCCCCCACACTTTACCCGGAGATACTATTTTGTGCTTGGCCTTATAAATATTGTTCCTGCTCTCTTTGTGAGATCAACTTTGCCACCCTTTGAATCGACTCATATCTAAAGATCTTTCTCGATCTGCGAATTCAAATCAATACTTAAAAATGACAAAACTTCAACAGCAAATCACTTTGCCCAATGGGCTTGTGTACACTCAGCCTTTGGGACTTTTCATCAACAATGAGTTTGTTGCTGCGAAGTCTGGAAAAACCTTCGATGTGATCAACCCAGCCACTGAGGAGTTGCTGGCCTCTGTCCAAGAGGCTGGAGTTGAAGATATTGACGCTGCAGTGGATGCTGCCGAAGCTGCTTTCAACGATGGTGTTTGGGCCAAGCAAGAACCTCTTGAACGTGGAATTTTGCTTAACAAACTTGCGGACGCAATTGAAGCGGAGGCAGACTTGTTTTCTGCCATCGAGAGTTCTGACAATGGAAAGGCGCTTTGGTCTGCTCAAGGCGATGTTGCTCTGGCTATCAAGTACTTCAGATCAACTGCAGGTTGGGCTGATAAGATCCGTGGGTCTATCGTTGATTCGGGCGAGACCCATCTCAATCTGATCAAGCGTGAACCATTGGGTGTGGTTGGTCAAATCATTCCCTGGAATTTCCCATTGCTGATGCTTTCATGGAAGCTCGGCCCTGCTCTGGCGACTGGTAACACGGTTGTGCTGAAGTCTGCAGAGTCTACTCCATTATCAGCGCTGTATCTGGGAACTCTCATCAAGAAGGTTGGGTTCCCACCAGGAGTGGTTAACATCGTCTCCGGTTTTGGAAGACCAGCCGGTGATGCCATTACAAAGCATCAACGTATTAAGAAGGTGGCTTTCACAGGATCGACTGCAGTTGGTCGCCAGGTGCTCAAGAACGCTGCTGAGTCGAACTTGAAGAAGGTCACTCTCGAGCTTGGTGGAAAGTCCCCAAACATCGTTTTTGCAGATGCAGATGTGGCTGATGCGGTCAAGCACATTATTGTCGGAATTTATTACAATGCAGGAGAAGTTTGCTGTGCTGGATCCCGTGTCTACGTCCAAGACACTGTTTACGACAAGGTGCTTGCAGAGTTCAAGGTGGCAGCAGAAAAGGTGAAGGTTGGTGATCCTTTTGAGGAAGGGGTCTTTCAAGGAGCTCAAACCTCGGAGAAACAGCTTAATTCCATCCTGAATTACATCAAGGTTGGAAAGGAGGAGGGTGCTCGTGTGATCACTGGAGGTGAACGTTTTGGAACCAAGGGTTACTTTATCAAGCCAACCATCTTCGGAGATGTAACTGAGGAAATGAAGATTGTCAAAGAGGAAATCTTTGGACCTGTGGTATCTATTACCAAGTTCTCCACTGTTGATGAGGCTGTCAAACTCGCCAACAACTCGAACTACGGTCTAGCTGCTGGAGTTCACACTGCTGATCTCAACCGTGCAATTGATGTTTCGGGAAGAATCAAGGCTGGGACTATCTGGGTTAACACTTACAATGATTTCCACCATATGGTTCCATTTGGAGGCTATGGTGAGTCTGGTGTTGGCCGTGAGCTTGGTGCAGAAGCGCTCGAGAATTACACACAGGTCAAGGCTGTTCGTGTTGGCTTGAAGAAGGTTTTCAAATGAAACTAGTGCGTTTTCAGTGATATGTAGCTATGTGATTTAATTTTTGCTTCAAGCAACCGGCCAGTAGTGGATAAAAAAACAGAATCTGGTAATCATGCTGTTCGTTCTTTGTTGGTATATGCTAAGAATTTTGGGAATTTTTTTGAAAATTATAAGATTATGGAATAAAAGTGGAATAAAAGTGGAATAAAAGTGGAGAGCTCTGAGACTACAAAGTGTTTCTAAGCAGAATTATAAAGACTTAGTGCAAGATACTTGAATTCAAAGTATAGACCAAAAGGATAGACTATAGTGTGCTATGTTACTATTCTTTTGTATGCCGATATGGATTACTGATCTTCCTAGAATCATATGCTATAATCCAGTATAATGTACTGTAGGATGTAAGCATACTGCGTCCCATGATGTACAATACAATACAATACAATTACACCGCTAAAATATGGAAACACTGCACTGTCATCATGCACTATGCAATAAATTCATGTATGCTGCACCTTCTATGCTATACCAAACTAGGATGTCAGTCTGGAAGTATGGTTCTTTTCAGACTTCTATTCCAAGCAAGATTAATTACAAGAAATATCAGCGCAGTGGAATAATATAAAATATAAATATATTTGAAACCCCAGGCCATATTAGAATGTGTTCAATTTATAAAGCTCCAAGTACGAACACACCTAATACTCAGACAACCGCAGCTTCTTGCCGATTTCGCGGCTAGAGAATCCGTACTTGAGACCGGGCCTAAGGAAAGGTGGCTCCGGTGAATTCCCGCGCGACTTGATAAAGTCAGAATTGCCATTCAGTTCAAGCGAATCGTATCCTCCGAGAAGGCCTGCCAAGTCTCTGCTGGCATGAGGGCTGTTAACCCGAAGAAGACGTCCTCTCAAGGCATCTGCAAATTTGGCCTCGTTTGAAACCTCGGGCGCAATCGAGTCACGATAAATCTTTTCAACTTCCACCAAAAATCCATTTAATGTGTCCAGAAGCCTGCGAGTTTGGCGATGTTTGGAACTCGCACAGATCGATATCGAGTTGTCTTTGATGATGTAACCAATTCCAAACCCGTTGGGCGAAACTGGGCCAAAACCAAACAGTTTGAGAGAGGGATTTCCACAGTTTGAAGTAGACAAAATCGTGTTGTTCAGCTTGTCCCATCCGGGATCGGCAAAAATCGCAGGTATTTCACGAAGGTCCACTGGTGAATCGAAGTTCACAGTAGTAGCATCGGACTCAAATTCCTCGGATTCAGACTCTTCGTTGAAATACCTTTTCCAAATACAAAAAAGTGCATAAAGGTGTCTATCTTGACCCAGGCCTTTGGAGCAGTCACGCGTGCGAGCAGAATGGGCACTACATGCAGCCTTGAGCAGTCGCACCTTTTCGCTAGACGAAACATTGCTTTCGAAAAACTTGGTAACGAATTCGTTCGATTCCATAGAAACAGTTCGAATGGCCTCAGTACGACCATGCAGAAACATCTTGGTCATGGCAGGCTCATATGTGCACTCTACCTTTCCGTAGAGAGCAAAGTACGTAGCCTGGAAACACATTTGGACGAAAGCATCAGGGGACATTCCCATCTTCTTGATCCTTTCCATTCCATAATCTTTGAATTCGAGAGCTGCAAATTCATTCTGCTGGATGAGATCAGAAAGCCGAGTTTCACCAAACCGCAGTGCGAGAGACAATTCGTTTGTCAGGTTCCACTCGAGTTTACGAGGAGTGGTGATAACGTCACCAAAACTGGCAGGATCACGAGTGGAAGGGTCTGGAGAAAATGATTTCCACAATGAAGGGGCATTACTGTTGATTGACTTTGCAAACCGCAAAATCGAATCGGTGTATATGTCTGAAGCAAACCGCAGTACGGTATGACCATCTACACCAGTATGCTCAAAATTGATACCGGCTTTGGCATTCTTTGTCACAATCAACTGCAATTTGTCATACCATCTGTTAGTGCAAGTACCCACTTGAACACCTTTTTCCAAAACAGAAAGCCCGCAGAGGCAGTTCTTTGCCAGATCCTTGAGGTTCTCCACCTCAACGTTGTCTAGACACACCACAAACAGTGCGCCGTCGATGATTTTGAGGATCTCGTCGTTGGCCTTGTCGTCTCCAAGTCGTTCACGTAACCCGGCCCACAGCTTTCTGTTCTCCGTGGTGAGCACTCCGAAACTTGACCTGGCTATCTCCGTGATGGGAGCACTCTCCGCGTCTTCCAAAATGCTCTTGAAATTTAAACGGATGTCCGTTTCCGTCATAATCAGATCATCATCGCCGTCAAGAACATCAAACCAGTAGAACTGAGAACGACTCAGCACCACTATATGGCGACTAAAAGAGTCTGTTTGAAGCACACATCCAGTACGTGATGGAATACGAGCAGACCCAAAGAGCTTTGGGTATTGGTCCATATCCAAGGGAGCTCCATTCTTGAGCCGGTCCGGTCCAAGCTCATTGCGCCGGAGCGCACGAACAAACCGGAGTGATGAGGTGGTGAGACTAGCAGCACGCGAAAGCTGTGTAGATTGCAATGGAGTCGGATCGTCTTCCAGCAGAATAAATGGGTTCAAGTTGAGCACCACGGGCGAATCGTAATTCAGGTACGAATCGTACCAAAATTGCTCAATGTATGAGTCACGTGTCTTGCTGTATTCCTTGAGCTGTTCATCCAAAACTGGGCCTGCACCTTTAATGAAATCTGTTACGGCAGCCACCGTCTTTGCATGCTCTGTTTCGGTCTGTAGTGGCCGCAGTACCTCCAGGTACCGACGACATGTATCGCCCAAGGGCGGAATTGGTAGCTTTTTGAGACTCTTTTGATACTCAAACGTCGTCATTTTAAACTAATTTATTCTTGATCCAAAAATCTGGAACCCAAAGTGACCTATCGATTGCCCAAACCCCAGAGATTCCCTTCATATATACCCCAGATTGAAGAACAAGGTCATCTGCGGCGTGCGTGGGACAAAAGGGTCATTTGCCTGATCCGGCTGAAGGGAACAGACCGAGCGACCAGGGCTGCTAACGTTTTTCGTTTTTCAAGGAAATATGGTTAGAGATAAGTGGACATAAATGATTTGCGGGATTTTGTTGGGACTTGACGGCGATTAAAGGTGCCGACAATTGTTTTAAATGTGTAGTATACCAATTGAGTCCATTATGGTGTTGGATGACGCCCACTGTTAGAGCTGATTTGCTTCTAAGTAGTGTTCCTACTCTAGTTCTCTTACTTTCTCCTTATTCAAGTGCAACTGTATTGGCTATATACGTCTATTTCTTCTCCTCAATGCTCAAAGGCTTCTCTGGGCCTGGCGTCAGAATGTACTCAGCATCAATGAGCTGGACCTTTGGGTTCAAAGTCAAACCGAAACCAGGCTTGTCGAGGACGGAAACGTCGAGGTAACCCTTGACCGGCACGGGCTCGTCGATGAAAAGCCCACCAAACACAGGCAACACGGACAAAGAGTCAGGCGAGTTGGCGAGGTACTCTTGGAATGGAGTGTTTTGCTGGGAGACAACAAAGTGGTAGGAGTATGGTCCAGATGCATGAGGAACGACTGGAATGTCATAGGCAGCAGCTTGAGCAGCAACCTTGACCAACTCGGTCATACCACCAACCCACATAACATCTGGCTGCAAGATGTCAATGTTACGACCCTCGATCAACTTGCGGAAACCGTACTTGGTGTACTCATGCTCACCGGTAGTCCACTTGGTACGAGGACAGGCACGCTTGAGCTGTTGGAAACCGTCAAAGTCATCTGGGTGGAGGACCTCTTCCCACCAGTTGATGTTCAGGTGCTCGGTAGCGTTGACCAGGTCAATGGCGTACGAAACATTGAGGGACATGTAACAGTCCACCATCAATGGGAAGTCTGGACCAATGGCTTCACGGTGCTTGGTCAAAAACTCGACATTCTTGCGCAAACCCTCGTGGCCTTCGTCTGGACCGTATGGTAGAGGGACCTTTCCACCCCAGAAACCCATCGACTTGGCAGCCTCAGGTCTAGATCCGGTACAGTAGAAGTTGAGTCTTTCACGAGTAGCTCCACCGATCATCTTGTACACAGGCTCGTTTCTGATCTTTCCCAACAAATCCCAAAGGGCCAAGTCAACGACGGAAATAACCGCAATTGGCAAACCCTTACGACCGTAGAACATAGAAGCACGGAACATCTTGTCCCACAGGATGTTGAAGTCTCTTGGATCAGCACCCTCCAAGAATCTGTTGAAGTGCTGGTGGACGATCCAACATGCTGGTGGACCTCCGAAACCTGTAGCGAAACCCTTGGTTCCGTCGGTAGCCTCGATCTCGACACAGAAGGATCCGAGAACGTTGATACCCCAGGAAACCCGCGATTTTCTGTACTCGGGGTACTTGGACATAGGGTTGGAAATGGCGTTGTCGATCAGCCAGTGGCCTCTCTCGACATTGTGGTAATCACCACCAATACCCACACCGGGCAGCAGAAAGGTCCTCACCTTCTTGATTTTTGGAAACTCAGCAACTGGAGACATGACGAAAAAAATGTAGCTTGGTTTTGCTCTGAGCGATTAAACAAAATCTTTCGACGAAGGACTAACGGCCTCTTTATAGGGTACTAATCCGGGGTACGCGCGCAGTGGGGTAGGGTGCAAAGATCACCCGAGCGGGGGATTAATCGCGCATCAAAGATGACCCGGCTCGGCTCAACATCTGGCATCACTTAGTCTTTTCTGCTTAATTTCGACCATGACCTCGTTGACGTTACCCGCGGCTATTGCATTTTTTAATTGTTTCAATGTCGCGTTGGTGACCTTGACACCATCGTGGATCAATTCCTTGACTTTTTGCTCAAGCTGCAACTCGTTGGTGGGACGATGGTCTGTTTTGGATGCGGCTAAATGCTCGCGTAACCCTGCGCTCATCGTGTGATTCAACACTTGCATACGAACGACAAATTGTTCCGGAGATTTGGAAATTTTAACAGAATCGCCAAACACCCCGATAGCCGCGCTATTGGACCCCACAAACACTTCCCAGCGAGGTCCATCATCTGCCCTCACTGGACGAAATGTAAAGATTCCTTCTGCTGTCAATGCTTCTGAGTCGCATGTCAGTGTTCCTGAATCGGGTAAGTAAGAAACGTATTTGTTCTCGTATGTTTTGAGTCCACAAGTCATTTCCGTGGATTTTTCTTCCTGTTGGAGTAGCTGTTTGAAGCCCGAAGTGGCTGAAAGTAGGTGTTTCACTGGAACTGGTACAAAAACCTGACTTGCTGAGTTTGGCTCACCTCTATAGATCTCGCCTTCTATCACAAGATCATCTGATGTGAAGTTTATGCTGTGTTCTACGCCCACTGGTTCTAGCGAAGACATCACCACCAACTCAGAGTCTTTTACTGCAAGCACCCCTTTATCGGAACACAAAATGATGGGACCTTTGATATCCACTGAATTTACAGACGTGGTCCACCCAGTTTCCAGAAGCTCCGGATCTAATTCCTTCAAATCCACGTAAGAGTTATTGATGTGCACAAAGTGTTGAGGGCCTTCCGTCTGCTCAGGTTTTCGCTTCTTGTGCGAAGACTTGTGGGACTCGCGTTTGCGCTTTTTATCATTCTTGAAACTAAGCTTTGAGACCATGATGATTGGATCCTGGCCTTTGCAGCTGTATCAACGCGTAGCCATTGTCAGCTTCAAGATTCCGGTTCGTGTCTTAATTTTAAAAAATTGGCTGGGGTAAATATTGGGACAAGGACACGACTGAAAATTCTGGAGCCGCACATGAAAACTTGCAGACGGTACGATCAAAGAACCTCAAAACCTCTTAACTAATGGTCTGATACCACTAATATGAATGTTGGCTAACTATGTTCCTTGAGACAAACATGAATGTAATTATCCACGCAATTACCAGCTAATATGGTTACAATAATAAGGCCAAACTACGACAAGAAAGTTGCCCGTTATATGCCGTATTGCTGGGGTAACTCTGCTGGAAATACAGTTATTCTTGACAAGTCTCAACGTGCAATGCCCTTGATCATTAACCAGAATCAAATATACATGATAAGAAATTCCCATATGGAGTTATATGCATTATATAGTCGCATAGTTGCTTTGAACAGTCAGATCATACCTTGGCACGAAGATTATTGGGTTGTTCCGCCCGCTTTGACTTTACAAACAACCATATTGCTGCCAATGCCACCAGCAAAGTGAATACAAAAGAGGTCCATGCCATTGCAGCTGCACTGTTTCCCGCCACAACATTTATTACGCCCATGGATCCCGGACTAATCAATCGAGTTGCAGTCTCTACCGCAACATGCAGCCACATTGTGGTAAACCCGCACATAATTGCGGCCAGCAGTGAGACTCCTGCCAAAACGGTCTGGGCGACGTGTTTCCATGGCATAAACGGCAAGGAAGTGTAGGCAGAAGCCCCGAATGTAAACAAGATGAGCACGAGGTTGGTGAGGACTGCTCGTGGGTCAACAGTGTCTTCGAATTTGGAGGCAACCCGGACAATATCAAGTGTTGCCGCTGTTGAGTTCGAGGTCGAGTCGTACAACGCAATTCCGGGGAATTTTTTTTCAAGTGCATCGACTTGGGTTGTGCATTGCATAGCTCCTGTGGTCTTGTAGCATACGCCAGAGAAACCCACGTAGAGCTTGAGGTCGACTGTAGAGTTATAAGAGTCAGCGAGCAGTCCCAGAACGGGCGATGACTGGTTGAATGAAAAGCGTGCAGCATAGATGGATGAGTGACTGGTGTTCTGGCATCCAAAGTAGAGATAGGCGAGCAAGAAAGCATTGACTATGGTCAATACCGTGACGAGACAGCGAAACAGTGTATGTAAACCCAAGCAAAACATTGTTGCAGAGGAATGATAACGGACCGCTAATTGACAGCAGAGGCTCCCAAATATATACTTGCATTATCCATCGTCATCTTACAAAATAGTTACAAATGGGTCTCAAAGAATGAAGCCACCCAAACCCATACTCGTTTCACGGCTGTCATGAATGTACTTGTATGCAGCATGACACAGGTCTGCTTCATGCGGAGTCGAATTAATAGGCACACTAGTGAATTAATTAATACACACATATTTCAATTTGCACACATATTTGTGCACGTGACTTGAAGAAGGGCTGCAAGACCTCATCACATCTCTACAAATTTGTCACTGAGCCATTCTCTCTCTTACCTTCTCCTTTACGAAACCACATTTTTTGTTCCCTTGTAAGCTTAGAAAGAAGCATCTAGTTTCAAACTTGCAGACGAGGTTTTTACAAAGAGAATTAAAAATGCAGATTTTCGTCAAAACCCTCACCGGTAAGACCATCACCTTGGAGGTGGAGTCTTCCGACACCATTGACAACGTCAAGTCCAAGATCCAAGACAAGGAGGGAATCCCACCAGACCAGCAACGTCTTATCTTTGCCGGTAAGCAATTGGAGGATGGCAGAACCCTTTCTGACTACAACATCCAGAAGGAGTCCACTCTTCACTTGGTCCTCAGATTGAGAGGTGGTGGAAAGAAGAGAAAGAAGAAGGTTTACACCACCCCAAAGAAGATCAAGCACAAGCACAAGAAGGTCAAGCTCGCTGTCTTGAACTACTACAAGGTTGACAACGATGGAAAGGTCGAGAGACTTAGAAAGGAATGTCCAACCGCCACTTGTGGTGCTGGTGTCTTCATGGCCAAGATGACCGACAGACACTACTGTGGTAAGTGTCACACCTCTTACAAGTTGAACTAGATTTCTAGTGACGCTTAGGAGGTTTGAAAAGAAGAGTTTTGTGTAGGTCTTTTTAACTAGTTGATCGAACCATCTTCGTCTTTTCTCAACGCATTCAGAAACTGTAGAAAACTGGGCACGTCGTGGGATATTGCCTTGGCCGCCATCAATCGTTGCAGCTTTCTCGGAAGGTTTCCACGAGCATCGCTACAAGTTGCCATGGCCCATTCCACTTGGTTTGTCTGGGGATCGTACTTCAACCTCTCCACCGAGCAATACGCCGCATGGACATTTCCAGCCGTAACCGTGTAGTTTGCCACCAGACTTATCACAAAACACACCAGTGACTCGTCAGCCTCATCCGGGTTCAAGTCACACAGTCTCTTGGGTGGAGTCACCAATATGAATTCATTAAATTCGCGATTCGACAACATCGACCCGAACCGGTACTCCAGATTCACGCATATCCAGTCCTGTAGATACGAGAATTCGGGACTGAAAGTGTCTGTAGAACCTTCGAGAACTGACTTCGAGAAACTGGACCATTGAATGGGCCGCCACCTCACCACCAACTGGATATACCTTCCTTCAGACTCCGTGTGTCTGTAGCGGTCTCTAATCACCCACTCGCCCTCCTTGAACTCAGCTCCGGTCAGATGCTTTACCAAAGTCGCAAACGGATAAGTATCCGTGTTGACATGGCTCACTCGCGCACACCAGTATTCACCGTCGAGGATGGTCGAGAACGTTGGCACTTCTAACCCTGCCACCGGGGCATCGTATGTGTACACTTTCCCCTTCCTCCACGTTGTGATCGATTCCACGAGCGCATTTGCCTCCAAAACCAGTTTGGCGGTATCCACTGGGATATCATGTGGATTCAGGGGTTGCAACCCGAATTTAAAGCCCATCCCTGCGTTCCCAGGCTCGGGAGTACTTAGATCACTCAGTCCAGCGAGGGGGTCTCCACGTGAGTCTTGCATCGCTTCCTCTGGCGTGTGTGGCTCAGAAAAGCCCAATACGGGAGTTGTAGACATCTTAACAGCTTTAGATTCACAGAGGGATGGAGTATCAAATGACTTAAATGACTTAAATGATAGAACCGAAATAAAGCAGAAAACATTTACAGAGTCGGTTAATTCGGCACCGCCTTTTCACAGAACCTCTTACCAGCCCTTCCTGTATGCACAGCCACCCGGCAACGCCGTCTCTTCCGGTCTGCCATTGCTTACCGGGTTTGGTGGCTCGGCTCAGACTACTGGAGAACCGATGTCTTTAATATATCAAATGATTCAATTTCTATACCTATGCCTTACTCAATTCCATGAAATGCGAATGCGATCTATTTATTGTCCAAATAGCGTCTATGGCTTGAAAATGCTTCTCTTCACGTTCTCGGTCACCTCGCTCAAGACACTAGACGTCTTATCGGTAACCTCGCTCAACACAATAGAGGTCTTATCAGTAACCTCGTCAATCAGCTTTCCACCTTTGCCGGCAACCTCGTCTATCAGTTTGCCACCCTCTTGTATCTTCGAGAATAACTGTAGTACCCCCTCAAACCCGGTGCGGCCCTTGATGGCGTTTTGGCCAAACCTTTCGACACTCCAGTCTTCGATCTTGTCACATATTTTCTTCCACGAAGCGTACGCGGTAATCTCCGCTGTCTGAGTGAACGTGGTACTTGACCCGTCTGTAGCAGGCGAGTATATGCAGGTTTCGTGCACTCTCAGCAGATTGCACATGGTCAAATTGCACGAACGCATTGTGAGAGTTTTCTGCTTTGGGTCCACAAGCGATATCTCACGCACATATGAACGACTTGCTCCACCAACAAGATGTCTGAGCCACCCGGGAATTGCCTGTTCGCACGTCAAGAGTCTCTCTGTAGTCAAGATGCCAGAGCTTGGATCCACTTCCCTACGCAGCACGTCTACCCCTATCACATGAGTAGATACCTCATTCGGGTACTTTAACCAGTTGGCAGCAGTCACCTGTTCCCATGGATAGGCAAATTGGTGTTCTGATGAAAACAACTTCATTGGCAATTGGTTTCCCAGAAGAAGAAGATAATGAGAGGAAGGCGTAGATATAACAAGAAAAGTTTCCGGGATCCGGATCCGTGATGAGATCACGTGATTGAAAAAGATAAGAGAGCAGACGAGCAACTGCGGCTTGACATATTTTGGTAACGAAAATGGGCTGGTGAAAGCATGCAGATTGGGAAACTCAAGGTTTTGAGTTGATCAGAGATGAAAATTTATATTTTCAGGCAAAATCATCTTGTTAGGGCAAGTTTTGAGGATTTATCGCCAACTGGTGCAGGTACGAGCACCTTGCAGCTTTTTCAGTTCTGCTCTGATGAACACATTAGGATACGGTTGACCTCAACTCTCTTTGTTTTTTGCTGAATTATTCCTTATCCTTTCATTCTCAGACATGAGACTGCACACTTGAAATGCAATTTAGAACGTGTGTTTATTTTGCCGAGTGGACTGTCTACGACAACCATACACCTGCGGACATACCGTTGGAGGCTGTCACCAACATCTTCTATGCCTTTCCCAAATTGGGCCATAACTCGATTGAGTGGAAAGATAAATTTGCTGCTGTATCACAACAATTGCCACTGCCAATGAATAATGACAGGACTTCCGAAACAGTATCTGGCAATGTTGGTCAATTGATGGCACTCAAACGGCTCAAGCATTCGCTCAAGGTAAGTCTCAGTATTGGCGGAGCAGACACCCACCAAATATTTCGCCAAATCATACGAGCAGGTATTCCGCATTTCTCTAAAGCTGTATGTGAAATGTTGGACAACCATGGGTTTGATGGAGTGGACATTGATTGGGAATACCCCAAAACTGCTGGTGATGCAGAAGGCCTACTGCGACTGGTGGAGGGGCTGAGATCCACGTTGGACTTGCTAGAAAAACGGCGAGGACTTGCACCTGGAACCCTTCTTTTAACTGTTGCAGTACCTGTTGATCGTGAGTATCGAAAATTGCTCAGGATAGCGGAAATGGACCCGCATGTGTCATTTTGGAACGTTATGGGCTATGACTACGCTGGCTCATGGTCTACAATGGCTGCCTATCAGTCGAACCTCTATGCTGGAGAAAAACAGATTTCATCTAGTGAAGCAATGAAGTTCTATAATACCAAAATCGAGGCTTCAAAATTGGTGCTAGGGATGCCAAATTATGGAAGAGTATTCTATGATAGTGACGGTGTTGGCTATGGGTTTGACAGCCGGGCAGGAGATGTTGAACTGATCAACTACAGAGAGCTGCCTTTGGCCAACACCACGGAAATTTACGACCCAAAACAAGTTGCCGCCTATTGTTATGATAAAGAAAACCGTGTATTGGTGACATATGACAATCCACAGAGTGTTCGGGCCAAAGCCAAATACCTTCGCGATAATGAGTTTGGAGGAGGCATGTGGTGGGATTCCAGTGGTGACCGATACGACAATCCGCAAAGGTCTTTGCTGGCAAATTTTGTAGATGGTCTTGGAGGTAACCAAATGTTGTTCAATGAGACTAATGACAATTGGAAGTCTGACGGTGTTACTAATGGCACAAACACCAATGCTGGTGTGCGGCTCAACAGAGGTGGTCTGGACGCTTTTCACCTGCTGCTGCTCGTCTGGGTTATTGTGTGGGCTTTGGAATAAAAGTTGCCATGCAACATAGTGGAGTATTTCAATGTCAAGATTCCCCCGTATTTCCTGGTTTTGCTACCAGATATTGTCACCTGTCTACTTGCCATCATCCTTCTCCGAACCGTGCGGCTCAACCAACCAGCCATTCCACGAACCAATCAATCTACACATCACACCCCTAGTCTTTGTGGTCCGAAAAATAATTTTTTTGGATGGATTCCAATACCCAATACTAATTGACCAATATTTGTCTGAATTCCGACCCAATTGTCCCATTTTGTACCATCGGCCCGAAATACCCCATGCCTGATTTCCAACCTAGTACTAGTAAGAAACCCCCACCTTACTAATCCATCCTGGGCTGCTAACCCGCCCACTTTTCTTCACATCTTCCTGCTGAAGCCGGCCAATAGAGTGTGGTGATCTATTTCTGCAATCGCACACCCCGCCGTTGTGGAGTTTGATTGAGGTATTTAAACAAATTTTAACCCTCACTCTTTGCTCTCCGCAAAACTTACATCAACACACAATGAGTGAAATTTCGGCAGATCTTTACACCAATCTCGGCCAAAGTGGTCTCAAAATCTCTAAGGTGATCGTGGGATGTATGTCCTTTGGATTGAAGTCTTGGGCCGATTGGGTGGTGGAAGACGAGGAGTTGGTGATGCAGGTGTTGAAGAAGTGCTATGACACCGGGATTCGCACCTTTGATACCGCAGACATGTACTCGAACGGAACTTCCGAAGTACTTGTTGGTAAGTTTTTGAAGAAGTACAACATTCCTCGTGATAAGGTGGTGATCCTGTCGAAGTGTTTCTGGCATGTGGATGGAGAGAATAAGTATGTTCGGGGCCAATACCCTGCTGCTGAGTTCATCAATCGCATTGGTCTTTCTCGCAAACACATTGTCGATGCAGTCCAGGCGAGTGTCGAGCGTCTTGGAACTTACATCGATGTGTTGCAAATTCACCGGTACGATCCAGAGACTCCCCAGGAAGAAACCATGCGCGCTCTGAACTATGTGGTCGAGCAGGGCTGGACCCGCTACATCGGGGCTTCTTCTATGAGATGCTACCAATTCATTATGTATCAGAACATTGCTGAGAAGAACGGATGGCACAAGTTCATCAGTATGCAGAACTACTACAATCTCACCTTTAGGGAGGAGGAGCGCGAGATGATTGCATACTGCAAAAAAACGGGAGTGGGTATCATTCCATGGAGTCCTATTGCACGTGGAATTCTAGCAAGGCCTTTGGGAGATGAATCTTCTTCGGGAAGGATCAAGAGCGACGTTGGGATCAAACTCAACAAACTGAACGCTTTGAGCGCGAGCGATCAAGAGATCATCAACCGGGTCGAGCAACTAGCAAAGAGTCGTGGGGTGTCCATGACCACTGTGGCTACAGCCTGGGTTCTTTCGAAGGACTGTTATCCAATTGTTGGACTTAGCAAACCTGAGCGTGTTGATGATCTTCTGGCAGCTGTTTCTCTCAAGTTGACCCCCGAGGAGATTTCTGAGCTGGAGACTCCTTATATCGCAAAAGCTGCCCAGGAGCTTGCTCCTTAAAAGACAGTCATATGTACATGCCTTCAGCGGTTTTATTATCTTTTGTTGCACAAATTGCCTAAAATTTCACTCCCAATAACTAACCACGAACTTCTGAGAGTTCATGTGCGGCGTATATTTAGCTAAAAAACGACTCTGCATATGGCACGCACGCGTCACGTAAACTTTTCACTTTCTCTCTATTCTCTAAGGTTCCAAGCCTCGGCGTTATTTCGCTTATTTTTGCATTCTTTACCTGAAATCCGTCTTTTCCAGCGTTAAGTTCTAATCTGATCTACGAGGACGATAATGCTGCGCCACAGGATCCTCACACTGTAACGCTTCTTCATTAGGATTGCGCCCGAAAGACGGAAGCCCCCGTCGGATTATGAGGATAGAAAGCCCGCTATCTCTTTATTGTGGTGACTCCGGCTTCCCGAGAGGGTTATTTGAAACAAACGGAGTAGTATCACTGGGCTAGGGACCCACCATGCGCTTAATTGGCACGGATCGAAGCGCTTCTTTCACGACTCTCCTTCCTGCGGGGAAGGGAGTGTTACCATTGTATGTTAAGGGGAGGGCTTTCGTGGGAAAGCCTGGCGCCTGCGGTCGATGAGTGCGGCTCGGTTGTACAAGATCGTGGAAATTTCCAAGGTTTCGCACCATTTTAATTTCCAGAGATAACCCCCATGCCGAGCCGTCGTAGCTCTGGAGACGTGACCGATGGAAGAAGCCAGTCGAATAATGTCACGAGACGACAGGGTTATGCTTTGCTAGATAAGTGTAATGACCTGAATTTCTTCCCAGTTGTCTCTGCGTGCATCCGTGCCATATCAAGAAAAGAAAAATGAGGTCATTGGCGGGAGTGCGTTGTACACGAGGAAGGAGCCGAGTGTTCGGAGGTGGAGTCCGCAGCAAAAATTGGAATCTTAGTTTCAGAGCTTCTTTCCAACTTGCTGGATCGACCCAATCGTCACTTTCCGTTGTAACGCAGACGGAATACTGGTTACTAGAATATTGCGCTAGGGACTGGAGGACCCGGGAGGGGCAAGAGAAGGGAATATGTTGAGGCCTGGGGCCGACTTTTTTGTGAGTAATGCCATTGTGACCGAATTTTGATTGATGACTAACACTAGAAATGAACAAATTGTGCTGAACCGAATTCAGGGTCTGAATGCTGTTTGGTAGCCTGGATTTGCCGGCCAAATTTAGCAGTAACGAACAGTTAGTCGATACTGTTAATGGCCACAAGCACCTTCATCTTGAATTCTAATCACAAATGGCGGCCCAGTACTAGTAAATGTGGATTTAACAGCTTTGTCTGATGTCCAACTATTGATAGTGAACGAAAACTGTAGATAGTATTAATCGTTATGACAAGTCCTTTGATCACCGGCTAATAATGACAAATTGCTGATCTCACCCCGGTGGACCACGCGTAGACTCCAAACGTCAGAAGCACGCATGTAGTACAAACAGCAACGCTGGTAAATGCGTAAATGTGTCTTCTTTTACCTTGAAGCTTTTCAAACTCCGCGACAAACGTGGATGTGGTAGAAAGGACTCCACTAAATCCGTTTTCAATAGCAACCAGTGCAACGCACGCTGCATGAGAATTGTGAACCCTCAAACCACGAGACGCGAGTAACGCGATACCAATAACAACACATGCGATAGTGTTGGCAGCAAGAGTACCCCATGGAAACCAGGACCGCGAATTTAAATTTCTCGCTAGCTCAAACCGCAACATTACGGCCAGAGGCGCAAAACAGCAAGAGGCTGCCCAAGGTCTCCACCAACCTGGCAACGCAGCTGCCAAAACAACCATCACAATGATGAGACATACTCCCAAAATTCCGATGGCTACTTCAAGGGGAGCAACCCAACTTGAAGGCATTTTGATTGCGTGAAACTGCTCAAGCCCTATTACCAAGTCATGACCTAATTTCCATGCCAGAACAGATACACCTAGTTGCACGAGAATTACACTAGCAAATTCCATGGTCCCATAGCCATGGTTAGGCAACTCACGGCTTGCATCTAAAGCTTTATTGAATGCCTCGACAATCAGCGAGGAAAAAGTGGACAGCGAACCACAATAGCCAGTGGTCAAGCCAACATAGAGGAGCAGCTCCGTCTTGGCTTTGGCACGATGAGTATCCTTGACTTGCTCGGTCTCAGTTTCTACCAGCTCATACCAGAAGGATGTGGAGTTTGCCACAGCTGAAATAATGAAGCAAGCGGCAAAATTGCTCCAAAGACATGAATTTGAATCTGCGGAGTGGATGTAGGAGCCTTGGTAGTTAGTGAGCTTGGTTAGAGACATCCGCGACAGCGTGCCAAGGATGCTCCAAAAAGACAGATGGCAAAAAATTTTGCCATATTCAGCAAGTGTCATATCATGGGACAAAAAGTGCAAATTGGATAAGTTCGACGTAGCAAAACTAGAGTTGCGGAGGTTTGTCTTGACATGTTGTGGTAAGTTGTGATGGTATAGGAATTAAATCCTTTGGTACACGATAACACCCCATAAGACTACAACAAAGATGGCAGTCAATCGGGCTCAGAATACGTATATTTGAGTATATTTATGCCTAAACGCAGAATTTGAATGTCCCAATTTCCATTGATTATCTCAAAAGCTTTCTAATTCAATTGCTTTGGCTTTGTCCAATTCTCCTCCCTATTTCTGGAGCACGTGATGTCGTGTTAGCCGCACGTCCCGTTTTGATGACTGATCTCATGATCATGACTGACGATATTAAAACCAAGACTCTTCCCGATTAACCAGCGTCTTTTATTTCCAAAGACTAAAAATGGCTGAAACGAAAAAACCAATCATATGTGAGTGTCCTAGATTTAAATTTGGCCCTTTACTGTTACTAACCCTATAGTCGCACCGGAGACTTACCAATACGATAAAGACTCTCTAGACATTGGTGATGTCGACCAAAGCCCCATAGAGCAATTCCACAAATGGTTTGACGAGGCTCAAAAGTCTGGCGAGCCGCTTCCAGAATCAACCAATTTCTCGACTGCTTCATTGCCCAGCGGACGGGTGTCGTCCCGTGTGGTGCTGTTGAAGGAACTGGACGACACTGGGTTCGTTGTGTATTCCAACTGGCGCGACTCTAAGAAGGGAAAGGATGTTCAGAGTAACTCATACGCAGCTTTGACATTCTTCTGGAAGACTTTGCAACGGCAGGTGCGCGTGGAAGGACTTGTAGAGTTCGTTTCAAAGGAGACCAACCAGAGGTATTTCGATACCAGACCACGCGGATCGAGAATCGGAGCCTGGTCATCTCCGCAGAGTCACGAGATTAGTGGAAGAGAGGAGTTTGAGAAAGTTTACCAGCAAAGGGAGAAGGAGTTTGAAGGAAAAGAGCAAATTCCATGTCCAGACTACTGGGGTGGTGTGAGGGTTGTTCCCTTGGAGATTGAGTTCTGGCAAGGTCGTCCCAGTAGGCTTCATGATCGGATTGTTTTCAGGAGAGAGACAGTGCAAAGCGAGTGGAAGGTTTTGAGAATTGCTCCATAAGCCAATTGGTTAATTTGGTCAATGGAATGATGAGATTTTGTCTTTACTAGATCAGCAAAGATGATAGTCTCAATTCCAAATTTTACGCTTGACGCTTTTCTCTAAAGAGAGAGCATGTTGATGCAGTATGTTCATGCAGGCAGTTGAGATGGACTAATGGGTTGGTGATAAGATCCCAGACTCGGCATATCAATTAGACTTCAATTCCGGTTTCAAAGTCAAATCCGAACTCATTCTCTATCGGAATCTGCAAAACCTCAGTTATTTTTCACTTTTGCAGCAATAATCAGCGCCGTGTACGCTGTCCCGAAGAACCCGGTAAAATTCCATTAGACCCCAGGTTCCAATTCCAGCCGATTCATCTGAGACAGACCATAGCCGATCTCCAATTAAAACGTATTATTTCTCAAATCTACTTTTCATGTTCAAGCAAGAATAAATCTGTGTAGTAAGTTATTTGTTTATCTAAGCAGACAACTTCGAAGCAGCCTCGTAGAAAGTCTCACCCTGGATCTCAGCAATCTCCTTCTCCAAAGCAGAAACGGCTCTAGAACCGTCAGCACCTGCAATGGTACCAGCACCCCAAGCGGAACCTCCGTGGACCTCCTCGATGTTAGCGAGTTGACCAAAGGCCTTAGCGTAACCCAATGGGATGTAGATCAGACCGTGGTGAACAAGGGTCGACAGAGCGTTGACGGCAGTCACCTCGTTTCCTCCACCAGTACCGGTAGAAACGAAAATACCAGCTGGCTTGTGGTACAAAGCACCGGAAGCCCAGAGTCCTCCAGTACCATCGATGAAGGCCTTGAATTGAGCTGGGAAGTTTCCGAATCTGGTTGGAATACCAAAGATAAACGCATCGTACTCCTTCAAGGTCTCAAGGGTAGCAATTGGGTAGTCTGGTCTTGGTGGAGCGCCAAGTGACTTCAAGACATCCTCACTGAGAGTTTCTGGAACCTGGTAGATATCGGCAACACCACCGGCCTTGACGACACCAGCCTTGACAGACTCAGCCAAGGTGGCGATGTGGTGGTACAGAGAGTAGATGATGATGGCAGTTTTGGTCATTGTTTTGGAATTCAATTGATATGACTTGAAGAAAAAAAAGGGAGGATAAATTTCGGAAAGGAAGGAGGCAGAAACAACTTTATAAGAGGAGGGATGCTCGAGGCCCAGAGTAAGCGCCAACCCCCCGATGCGATTATTCACAGATTACTAAAATGAAGAAATTATGTCGTGCCCTCGGTAGTCTCGAACGTGTGCCGGGAAGTTCCGACTGGTTAGGGATTGACAGTAGTGAGTGCGTTTTGCTGCATATTTCTCTAGGCGATCTCCAAATCTTTTTTTTGATTGGCTGATTCCGACTTCAATGGCTCCTACCAACAATAGATTGAATCCCATTTACGGGTTGCCGGCTAGATCGGTTGATAGTAAACCACCAGAACATACGCGGTGGGAAATACCCCGGTTTTTCTAGAACTTTGCCTAATTTACCCCCGCACGCATCCTAAACGCGCCATCTGTGGCGCCGGATTACTGACTGATTACTCACGATTGGTAATGGGCACCGACTGTCCCCCCCTCGGTCTCCGAGGGCAGACCCGTAGTTTCGGACAAAGGATCTTTTCAGCCTTATATGGCTGAACCGGCCCATGTTTTTTCTTATACACGTAGACCTCAGATCTAGAGAGGATTTTTTTGCAAACCCTCAATTCCTTGCATTATGGCCAAACTCGCTGTGAGTACTTGATTTAGCACGCTGCCTTTCTTTTCCAGAACGGTGTCTGGATTGGCTACCCGGGCCCCTTACTAATGTCTTCTAGATTGTGATATACTCTACCTACGGTCACGTCGCAGCTTTGGCTGAGTCTGTCAAGGCTGGTATCGAGTCCGTTGGCTCCTCGGCCACCATTCTCCAGGTTGCGGAGACTTTGGACGCGAAAACGCTGGAGCTGATCCATGCCCCGGCCAAGCCAGACTACCCTATCGTTAAGGCAGAAGATCTCACCAACTACGATGGTTACCTTTTCGGTTTCCCATCGAGATTCGGCTCGTTCCCAGCTCAGATTAACGCCTTCACTGACTCCACGGGTGGTTTGTGGGCTTCCGGAGCCTTGTACCACAAGCCCGCCGGTTTCTTCATCAGTTCTGGTACTCCAGGTTCCCAAGAAATCACCGCTAGATCCGTGCTCAACTTCTTTGTTCACCATGGTCTAATTTACGTCCCATTGGGATTTGGTAAGGCCGGAGCTCAACTCTCTAACATTGAGGAAGTCCACGGTGGTTCTGTGTGGGGTGCTGGTGCCTTTGCAGGTGCTGATGGCTCCAGAGCAGTCTCCCAGTTGGAGAAGGATCTTGCCCATATCCAGGGTTCTGAGTTTGCAATCGCTGCTTCCAAATTGGCTCCATCTGCCCCTGCTGCTGCCTCTACTGCTGTTAAGGAGGCTGTTGCCGAGACCGCTGCCAAAGCAGATGTTGCTACCACGACTGCAGCCACTAAGGCCGAGGCCCCAAAGAGTGAGAGTGGTTGTTGTACTATAGTGTAGAGCTGTAGAATAGACACTTGAAACCAAAGTTGAACGATAGATTAGAGTTCAAATAATTATCAACATCAGATGAAAATGTAGGCGAAATTTTCAAAAGATCAAGAATGGCACAGCAGCTGAGTAGAGTGATAGGTGTGAACAGTATTCTCCTAACAGCACTGATGCCATCACAAAATATTCTGTCTTTGTGTATGAATAGTTTGGCAAAATATGAACTTCATGCTCGTGTTAATGCTCAGTGTAAGCTTCAGCTCCTGTTCTCTATAATCTACACTGGCCATGACGCTGTCTAGCCTTCAACCACTTTCCGCTTTCCTAGACCAGATACACCTCGGAACTTCCCATCACCTTCTAGTAATCACATAGTTCTTGCCGATGCGCTTCCTCCTCGCGTACTTCATCACGAAACTCTCTAGCTTGAGATTTCTTGAGTTCAAATCCTCGACATATGGCTTCATCTCCTCGAGCGACCAACTGGCCTGGATCTTGAATAACTCCTTGAACCTTTGAACAGGATCCTGTGGCAAACCTGCAGAGTTGTAAAATTGTACCATATTAGGGAAAGGCCTCACAAAACTTCCCACCAAAGATTGAATGTCAATGCTGACGTCAAAAAAAGCTGGAAAAGCGTCCTTCCAGTTGATCAAAAAGTCTTCCTCTTTCACGGGAGCAAGAGTGCTTCTTAGAACTTGAAGCCCAAACCATCGTGAAATCTTCGGCTTGTCCAGAGAATACCCAGCAGGAGTTTTGGTAGCAAATTGTGCAAGCACCGTTCGCGCAAACTCCGGTCTAATATCCTCCAATCTCTCTTGTAGCTTTGTCGCCGAAAAAGCTTCCTGGTCCATATCATAGGCTACCAAAGTGGTGATAATGGTTTTCAGAACAGAAACCACAAGGTTGAATCCGAGAATTACCGCATGTCCATCTATTTCACATCCATTCAGTTCGGCCCATTGTACATCAAATTCGGTTTTGGACGCGGTGGAAACGGCCCGCAAGTCTGCAAAGCTCGGCGGATTTGTCCTCTTCACAAAATCAGTAAATTCTTCGCCCGTTTCCTCAAATAAAGGCACATCCGAGATGTCAATCGATCCGGAAACCACCTTGGGTTCCAGCTCTGAGTCCATCGAGGCAAATCCAATAGCTTTGGCGTTCTCCTTGTCATGTTTCAAGACAATAACCGTGTTCGAATGGTTCTTCTTGCGAATATGAAACGTCTTGGAATCTGAACACAGAAATATGCTTGAGTCGCGATCTCGCGACTTGAAAATAAGTCTGCATTCGCGTTAGTAACTAGTAACAAGACAGATGCTGAATTGCATACTCACCTCTCATTATTCTCCATGGTTTTCACCAAATCCGGTGTCATTTGAATCAGATGAAACGAGTCATCTCGCTGAAGCCACGAATAAATGTCCATTTTCAATAACGGCAGAGTTTAACAGATCGTTGATAGTAACCAAAGTATTTGAAACCGCCGCTTTGCGACGCGTAGATGGAAACCCGGCTGTGCTAATGAGTCTGACACGACTACCCCAGATTTCTTCGAGATCATGTTCTGCCTTATAGTAACTATAAAAGACAGTGAGATCTGTGATTTTTTCAAGCTGAATCCCTTTTCTGTAGTAAACTAAAATGATATTTCAAAAAGTTCTTCTTTTTTCAGCAATTCCCTTTGTTTGGGCTGCCGCAATCCGCGATACTCTGGACCGACCACTCAGATCTACGTTGTCCGTGAATAACATCACCCAAACAGTCACATTTGAATCAGTATGGGCCAGTCCTACTGTCACAGTGGGTCCAGACCCACTAGATGCACTAGTTATGCCTGCTGATTTTCGCGAGCGTCTCCATAGCATTGGCAGTTGGTTATATTTCTTCTTCACGTGGTATGACTACGAAAATCCAGTTACATGGCTTCCTATAGACGGTAAGCCAAATCGAGGCGGACCGGGGTGGCTTCCACCAATCCCGTCAGACCCAGCGGTGAGGGGACCAGTTCCGAAACTTGGACCATATCCTTGGATGCCACTTCCACCACCACCGTATGGCCCGCCCTACAGTAGACGTCCTTCATACAGTCCGTTGCCAATTTTTGCAAGCAGAAACGAGCAATTGGCTGATGTTGTTACTGTTACCGTTACAGAACTGGCTCCAGGGAAAGGGCCAATTACAGCCCATATAGAGGCTCCGCAAAGGACTCCGGAAAAGACCCCGGTGCCTGGCCCACAATCGTAGGAAAGCAGCGTGTGCGGCTCACGAGTACAACATAGAGATGTTGTATCCTATAAGATAGCAGACTTCTTTTTGCAAGTTGACCCTTTTTCTTCTTTCTTTTCTTCCTCTTCTCATAATTCATTTGTATATTCATCTTCAACATGACTACCACCGTTCTAGATACCGTATTACGACTCCAAGAGCAGATACTTCAGAACCCTTATGAGGAGTATGAAAGGATTGGTCTTGCCATCACAGGTTTGAAGCTTCAAGTATTTCCATCAATAGATGTTGCGAGTGCGTACACTAGTTGTGATCCCATTCGTCTATACTCTCATGTTCGCAAATATTTCACGTTAGAGGAATTGTGGGTTCTCGCGAGAAGGGACAGTGGTTGGCGTTTGTTTCTGGATGAGGTTGAGTCTGTTGGTGGTGGTCAAAATACAAAGCGCAGCAGCTCGGATTTCTTATGGAAAGGTTTATTTTTGCGAGAGCCTTCTTCAAGAGTATCTGGACCCTTGGTCCTCCACAGAAAACGAACCAGACGGCTCAGTCAAAAGAACGCTAATCCAAAAAGAATCTACAAAATACCTACAACAACACCAACAGATATCAAGCTGCTTTACTATATTTTTGAAGTTGCAATCGGATTTGCAACGATAGTCAACCAGAATATATTTCATTCTTGAATTTTAGACCAGTTTACTGACGTGTAACAGACGCGTCAGTTGTGGAGTCGTGTGGTGACTAGCCACCTTTTGCTGGCACTGTTTACATTTCAGCCTGGTGGTGTTTGAGGTTGGGAATACCGTTTCCTTGTCATATTTGCGAATATTGAATCCTCGTTTTTGCGACTTTCTTGCCTTTAGCTACACACTTTGCTTCCTCAATAGTAGCCATGTCGCTAAGGCTACTTTCCCAGAGGCAAGCTTCCGCGAGAATCACTTCAAGTAACTATGGAGACCGTTCACAGTCGTTTGGGTCTTTGAATCTATCTTTGAGTGCTGAAGACGAGCCTGTGCCGGACTGGGCTTCAATAGTCAAGGATGCTGTTTATTTCTATGGGTTTGAGGAAATCTTTGGCCACCTTGTGGCGGTTATCTTCGACGACCCCAAGCTGAACTCCGGTCCGAGTTGCGTGATTGTGAGCGCAAAATACGGCGAGTTTCTCTTCAGATCTATGACGATCACCTCAAAATCGCGGTTTTATCCGGCTGTGGAAAATCTGCCTTCCCATATGCAGTCCTCAAACGTGAGAAGAGCCCTTGCTATCGCTTTGCTGCGACTGGGTGCTGAATGTGATCTCGACTGGGATGAAACGGATAGCGGAGAACTCGCAGGAAGGTTTGTGTTAGTGGATAAGCAGACTCCATCAGATAGTGGCGATCAGATATTTAAGCTTGGCTACTTCCAGTCCAAGCTAGTAAATTCTCTGTTGGTCGACGTGGTCTATGACAACGCAAGCGGTGACGATACGCTTACTGACAAGAATAACAAGCTGGCTTTCTTGCTCGGTGAACAGCTGGACAACCTATTTGATCCACTAACGGAGTACTCACCAGAGCCTACCGAAAGGGTGTACGTCCCTCCCTCTGTCATAGCTGTGGATGATGATGTCCTGGTTAAGTCCATCTGCCAGGAACTGATTCGCGTTCAAACGAATTCGACAGTTTCTCTGGTATCATTCTTACAAAAATTTATCATACCGCTGCGGATCAAAGTCTTGGAAGGAAAGATGCCGGATTGGACAACCTCGAAACTGAATCAAATATTCCCACCAACTATCGACGAGGTCACACGGATCAACTGCATCTTCCTGGACGCGCTCAAGCTAACACAGGGTGAGAGTTTTGAGGTAATGAAAGCCTGTGCGATGACACTGCCATATTTCTACAAAGCATATATGAGACATGAAGCTGCAACCAAAAATTTTCATCGATCTCTAGAAAGTTTTTTTGCAGAAGCTCCAGAGGAAATTGTCGCGAACAGAACATACGACAGGCATATGATTGAGTCAGTCGTTCATTCATCCCTCAGTTTGGCAAAAATAAAGATCATTTTGGGAAGATTGGTGGACACTAAGGTGTGGAAACAGGCACAATTGGAGGAGGTCCATTCGTACTACGACAATGTGTGCAACATCATTGATTCCTTCGGAACTGATAAGCTGAAGCCCTACAACAACAGAGTGTTTACTCCCACAGGTAAGCTTTTGACCGAACTCGCAAGTGGTTGGCCATCTGAGCTTCACTACGGTTGGTTGAACAGAAGGGTTGTCGCGGTGTTTGATGTTGAATATCTGATGGAGCCCTCAATGTACAACAGCGGCCTCGTCATTTTGTTTTCCGATCATATGGTTTTCTTGCAAATAGTTGACGACGAATACTATTACATCGAGCATTCCGGTTCTGATGCTCTGCTCTACAAGCCGTCCATAGCCGATATGATGATGCATTCCCTGATCAACGAGGTGCCGCTGTCTTCAGACATACCTAAGTTAAAGGTTTCTTACTGGACAGATGTTTCAAATGTCTTCGCCTCATCCTACGATGAGGGAGAATCTGTCTGTCTCAAAATCGAGGACGAGGTTAAGTTGCTCCGCATCAAGAACACTAGGCTCAGAAGCGGTGAATATGTGGTGGATCTCATCAACAAAGCTAAGGTTCTCAACAAGACTCAGCTATTCCACCTCTTCAAATCTGAGTACGAACCCGAGTGCGTGATTTATTATACTGCCCAGGAGCTGATGGCCTACCGAGAGGAGAAAAGCAGGTCTCCGCTAACGATATTTTTGAACATGAATGTGAACAGTGCGTTGTTGGACGAGCACGGACTGGACAGAGCGGTAGTGCTAACCTTGTTGGATTCGGAAGATGTGGAGATCAACCTGGTTTCTCGTGATGAATCAGAGATGACAAAGGTAATGACAGCAGAGTTTGCCTCTGTGTTGTCCCAGATAGTAAGGGAAAGGTTGGCCAATACAGTGTACACTCTCAATACTGCTCAGGAGTCGAAGGTAATGGATGCGCTGATCTCGTTCTTTAAAGAGGATAGATACCTGGAAGAGAGATCTTTGGCCTTGAGAATGGCAAACAGAGAAACAGTGCATTCACAAGTTCATTCCAAAAGCCATTCGAAGAGCATTTCGGGTCTCACTATAACGCCAAACTCCAAAACAAGAGTCTCAAGCTCGGGAACAGTGAGAAAACAAGTACGTGATGGAGAAAAGAAGAAGTGGTTTAAAGTCCTCAAAACAAAGGTGTCGCGTGTATTCAATAGGAGAGATCCTGATATGATTCAAATCCAATCCGACGCCCAGTCAACTACAAATATGACCACTGCCTCTTCCAGTCTGTTTGTAAATTCAAGGTTCGAGTTTCCATTAAAAGAGTTGCCAGCAGTGACTTTGCCAAAGATGGACAGGCTGACTTCTCCGGTGATACCGAGGGATGAACCTGGTGAGTTCGAGACTCAGGCGTCACATTCGACCCCAGTTCCTTCTCCTGTCAGGAAAGTGGGTATGCCATTAGCTCAGTCATCTCCAGAAGTCAAGCCAGCTGTGAAATCAACTTTGAGCCCAATTGTGACCCCAACCTGGAAACCAACTAGGAAACCACCTATGGATGAAACCGTGAAACCCACGCGCATCGATGCTTCTTCAACTCAGCAACCGATTACAGAGCCAGTTCTTGAACATCTCAAACAAACCGAAAACCAGTCTCCTATAAAAACACAAGTGGCCAAAGACACTCCAGTGTGGAAATCTCCAGAAGTTACAAAAAGACTCGCGCTAATGCTCAGAGAGCTCGGTAATGAGTCCAGCGATGAGCACAACTGGTCTTTACTGGATGCAGAATCCAACACATCTTTCCACGATGCGCTCATGGATAACAGCCGTTTCGCAAAACTTCTGAAGCCAGACCAGCAAGCGGATGTCTCCAGAGATATCTCCAGGGAAGAACCTTTCAGTCTCGCAAAGTTGCTGAAGTCAGAAAATCCGAACAGGAAGTCTACTGTAGAATACGAAGGATTCCCTGAGTTACTCAGAGCTCCAAAACCGTTTGGTCAGATACTTCAGCAGAACCGTGTTTTCTCGGACAAAACTGATGACGATGATGAGCGGTTTTACACTCCCAAAGAACATCCGTCTGAGATTTTCGAGAATGGTGCAGCAGATGACACTGATGACGATTCGTACTCTAACAACAGCAGCACGCTTTCGGCCTCTCTCATAGATCCAAGTCTGTTACTACCAAGGGAAAGACTCTTAGAGATGCCCACAAACAGTGACGACACCATGTTAAGCGGGGATTCGTACGGGTATTTGGGGGAGCTTTTGACTGGTTCTATGAACTTCAAACGCGAGGAAAGCAAGCCAGATGTCGCCTACGACAAAAATCTGGACATTGCATTTGCCAGCCGCCTTAGAGAATCTTCGGTTAAGTATCTAGCCGATTTTATTCACAGTGGATATACCCAAGCAGATATCCATGGGCTTTTGAATGAAGAGAAGGCTTAGTCAATTGAAGGAAAGCTTGACTGAAGATATTTGTTCGTATTTTTTTGGTGATTCCCATGGAAAGAATGGGGCCCCGAAATCTCACAAAAGTGTCGTCACCGCCTTTGGATCCAGTGGAGTACCATCGGCTGCGATATTGTTGTTCTTCATCACGCTCTGTGTATACTCAAGCCTGGCATCGTCGAATGAAAGCCCCTTCTTCTTCATCAGCTCATGGACCTGCTTTTTGGCGTTCTCATCTAAGCCTTTGCGAGTGTCTCCACGACCGATATTATCTGATTCAATATCAAAAGTGCTAGAAGTGAGCCCCTGTTCTGCGTCCAGCGCGAATGAGCCGGTTTCGGCTTGGTGATACCCAGCGAATCGCGCCCTCAGTTCTGCAAACTTGTCTCCGAATCTCTCTTCCACTCGTGGAACTAGTTTTGTTAGCTTGGGATCGTAACGGGTGAAAGACGGTCAGCTGGTCAACTTACCCCATCTTTTGCGTAGATGGAACATGATCAGCGCCACCACTGCAAGGATAATAAGCGGGCCGTAGTGTTTGGCGGGCATTGTATGTGTAAGAATTCAGATCAGTGACCTTGGCGTATTATGAATATAATATGAATATAATATGAGAATGAATCCCCGGATAGATATGCCTGTGCTGGAATCAGGCAATACCTAAGCTTCAGAGCATACAGCTTAGCTCATTTAAATGTGAAGGCATGCTTATTTGCCCTGATCTGCCATCCAAGTCTACTAAGGCAGGGCAAGTTCCGCATACTCACTGCTTTATCTGTAAACTAGGACCAACAATGGAAGATACCTGGTTCGCTAAAGAAAATGGACCAAGCCTGAAGGTTTTCTTGACAACCTCACCTCTGGATGCTCAAAAGTGTATTGATTTTGTGAAAGACCCAGGTGCGGGTGCTGTGGTGTACTTTGGAGGTACGACTAGGGACTCATTCGGTGACCGTGAAGTGGTGAGTTTGTCGTACGAAGCCCATCGGCCAATGGCCTTGCGGAGTTTGGTTAAAATTTCAAACGAAGCCATAACAAAGTTCAAGGATTTCCGTGGCCAAGATTCGGTGCAAAAGGTATGTATATGCCATCGATTGGGTACTGTGCCAGTGTTGGAAGAGAGTATAGTCATTGCTCTTAGTAGCACCCATCGCAAGGAGGGCTGGGAGGCAGCTATGTATATTCTGGAGCGGATCAAAGAGAGTGTGGAGATCTGGAAGAGTGAGGAGTATGCTGATGGGGGTGCAACATGGAAGGAGAATGGGAAGGAGCATGAGAAAGTGCAAATATAGTGAAACGGCGGTGCATCCATAAGAGGACGAGTATGTGAAGGCTGAGAAGGTATCATGCTTACTTCAATGCAATAATTGAGACCTCAAACGTTCAAGGCGATCAGCGAAACTTATCTTGTTGGCAACGCTGCTTGCAAGAACAACGGTGATGCGGAGGTGAAGAACTAAGAGCAGAAGCTATTGCGTAACTTTCGAAGCGAATGACTCGTGGAATGCATGTTAATATACAAAGGAGAACAAGAATAAAAACCAAAGTCAAGCTGCAAGCTTCACCTTAGAAGGATGATTTTTCAGCTGGTATTATCACCACCGATGGTTGCACCTGTCCAACATCTACTAACGAAATTCGAACATTCAAGATTTGACTATCACATTCGTGCATATCTATCTACAGTATCAATCTTGTATGTACCTAGTTGACCCCAAAGGCCTCCTGACTTCTTTGGATAACCTCCACCTTGTTCTCCTTGTAGTTCCAGCGCTGGATCACCGCACGGGTCTTCTTGTCATCCTGGACAATTCCCACAGGCTCACTGGCCACCGGCTTGAGGAACCTCCGACGCAGCTTGACTCTGGAAGATAGATCAAACACCTGGTTGTCAATGAGGCTAGCGATATGGGCTTTGAGTTCTGCGTTCAAAGGCGTCTGCTCAGTCGCCTTCAATTGCGCCAGAATGTCGTTCCTAGTGGCCTCAGTCTCAGCCTCAGTCAAGGACTTGCACAGCTTAAAGCGACAGTCAAGAACCACAGCAGCATCTAACTTCTCGGCAATCTCAGTATACTGGGCTTTCACAGATTCCGCCGAGGCAGCACTCAACTCGCCTCTCTGAACTTCCAATGACTTATCGTAGCCATAATTGTAACTCGTGTAGAATCTGGCATCTTCTAAGCTCTTGCCTCCTCTCACCATGGCTTCCACGCTCACCATTCTGGCAGCAGCGATATCGAGTTCCTCTCCCGAGAGCTCGACAAACTCTGGTAGAGCTTTCTTATAGAAATCAGCCTTAGCAATTCTGCGAGCATCTCTCTTGGCCTTCTCGGAAAGAATCTCTGGGAAAGCAATGTACTCCTTCCTGCTCATTCTCTCCTCCTCACGACTGGCCTGCCACGAATCAGTCAGCTCAACACATCCAAATCTCCGCCTTCTGGGTTCAAAATGAGGTGTCGGTAGCGGGGTGTCTCTATCAAGAGAAACACCAATGAACTTCCTCTTTGGATGGAATGGATCCAGATAGTATCTGACCCAACCAGGCTCCAAAGCAAAGATGGTATGGTCCTTTCCAATCCCGGCATTTTCGCCCGGATAGAATTTGGTTCCGCGCTGGCGAATTAGAATCTGGCCGACTTTAACGCGCTCATTGTTTTGCTTCTTTGGCCCAAGCCTCCGACCTTTGGAGTCTTGCATGTGTGTTTTGGAACCGGCGGCCTTCTTGGTGGCAGTACGCACCTGGTTCACCTGTAACGTGTTTCTTAACAGCGCCGAGCACGCACGCCCGACAACCCGAGGCGTAAGTTGGGCAATGCTATACAACTGCATTTTGTCAAAACCTGCTCAAAAAAACAAATTGTAGGTGAGATTATTAGAGATTTGAAGACAGTTGAGAGGTCGATGCTGAGATGCTTCGGCTCGTTGGAAATTTCAGCCGGTCTGAATATTACACTACCGATGGCAGCACGCGCGTAAATATGGGTCCCAAATAGGTAATCTGTGGAGCATTAATCGGATATACATGTCATGTTCACTCCATATACACTCAGTTCCTTGTTTCATCCCCCTTTTTCATTTGTTCCCAATGGATGGCCTCTGGGAAGTAGCGGTGTCATCGCTACAGGACACCTGCAATGCTAACGAACAGCGTAGTTTTGACCTGCGATTCAACGCGGCCATAGAAGAGATGTCGCCGAAAGAGCTGGCCGCGTATCGCGAAAGTGTGGAGGAGCACCGTGAAAATGCCAAAAAAGGCAGGAGGTGAGTGTTTGTTATATTATAGAAGTTAAGATGTTTGCTAACTGAAACAGACTCATAAACACAGCTTTGGAGAATGTGGTAGCTCTCATCGAGGCCAGGCAAGAGGCTCCAGAGCCACGCAGCCGCAAGAAGGAAGAGGCAAAGCCTAAAAAGAGTGGAAGAAGGTAAGTTTGGCGCCTAAATCTGAGAATACAGGATATTGACTAACTTTCACAGTTATTGGCAAGGAGCATATCATCCGTCGGAACCCGTGGTTACCGGATCTGAGGTGGCTTTCCGATTACGACACCGGGGCGAAACCGAGTGGATTCAGTGTGAGGTGACTCGTGTAATTGGTGACGGTACCAAGTTTGAGGTTCGTGATCCGGAACCAGATGAAAACGGCAATCCGGGCCAGACATACAAGTGCACGTGGAAGGATGTGTTGCTGATCCCCCCACGAGACGAGGCTGCGGCTTTGGTGAACTACCCTTATGGAACCAAAGTGCTTGCACGGTATCCAGAAACGACTACTTTTTATCCAGCTGAAGTCATCGGGACGAAGGTGTGTATTTGTCAATTGCGTCCCAACATAACGGAGGGCATTTGGATCCTTTTGCGCACTCATTGGATCTTTTTTTTTCTTCTCATCCACATACTAACTCCCACAGCGCGACGGAAATTGCAGACTACGCTTTGAGGGTGAAGAGGAGGTTGGCAAGGAGACCGAGGTTGAAAGACGTCTCACGCTGCCATTTCCTTCTAAGTAACCGCAACGCATGGCTCAATTCGCATTGTACACTATATTATACTGATTTTTTCTGATGACATTCATCTTGTAGTAGTGAGGAAGTGATATCAGCTTTGAGGCCGAGCAAGAATCGTGGCCGGTAATTTCCCCGTACCTGTACCGGCAGAGTCTGATCGTATCTGGAGAATCACCAGGCCTCCTTCCTTAAGAACCTCCACAGAACCAAAAGAAAAATCAAAGCCCCAGAAATCAGCGCCTCGGATTACAATCATCTGATAAAACCTTCTTCTTTTCAAGACCCCCTCTATACCTCTCGATGACAACCTCCTGCTGCTCTAGATCATGCTCCCTTGCACCCTTGCTTTAAGAAAAGGTGATGTTTGCACGTACACTATCTATCACTCCTGTCAATCTTTACATGATGACACAACGAGTACAGAATAACACGGGAACTTGCCAATTATCAGTTCTTCCAACTATTTTTATCTCTTCTTCGAGAAAATCTATTTTTTCAATGCCAATTCTCTCCTGTTAGCCACACTTGCAAACCTGTCTTTAACAGACTTAGATAGTCTTAGTGTGTGCACGACATTTTGATTTTCCAAGGACGAAATTTGTTCGACGCATACGAGCCAGCCACACTGCGAAATACACCTCTATTCTTCATCTCCAATACTTCCAAAAAATGAGTGAAGAAATGGAAGTGGACAACTACGAAAGGGTAAGTGCTTGAACTTGATGAATTATTTAAAATTTTGCGTACTAACATGGGTGTTCTTTCAACAGCAACGCTCGCGTTCGCCAGTGCGTGACTCGAGACGTGATAGATCTCGCTCGCCAGCCAGAGGCCCTCCTCGTCGCAGACTCGAAGACAGAATTGGCGAAAGAGGTGGACGTGGCTTTCGTGGAGGAGACAGGGGATTTCGTGGAGGCCGTGGGGGCCGTGGGGGTGATTTCAGAGACCGTGGTCGTTTCGACCGTAGAGGCCCACCATCCCGTGATTTTGCTCCTCGTGCCTCCGAGCCCAGAAACCACGAAAATACCGTTTTTGTGGGAAATTTGCCATTCTCGTGTGAATGGTATCAGCTGAAGGACCACTTCAAAGAGATTGGAGAGGTTGTTCGTGCCGACATCATTGTTCGTGGTGGCCGTTCCCGGGGAATGGGCACTGTGGAGTTCCAGGATTACCAAACCGCGCAGGATGCCATTGCAAGATATGACCACACCACTTTCTTGGAGCGCGAGATTTTTGTGCGGATGGACCAACCTCCTCCAGAGGAGGCTGCAAGACCTGCTCGTGAAGAGAGGGTTCGTGAAAGAGAGCCCAGAGACGCACCCAAGGGCTTTGAGATCTACGTCGGAAACCTTGCCTACAGAACCACATGGCAGGATTTGAAGGACGTGTTCCGGGATGCTGGAAGCATTGTCCGGGCCGATGTTGGGCTTGACCGCAATGGCCGTTCTCGTGGCTACGGTCTGGTGTACTTCGAGACCAAGGAAGACGCCGACCGTGCCATTGAGATGTTCAACGATTACGAACTCGAGGGAAGAAGATTGGAGGTCAGACATCCCCGGTCCCGCCAGGAGCCCGAGGACCGCAACTCAGACTTCAACAGAGGTGTTTCTGGGGACGGTGAGCCCTCAGCGGAGATCTATGTCGACAACTTGCCATGGGCCACTACCAACGAGGATCTGGTCGACCTGTTTGCCAATATTGGCTCGGTAGACAAAGCAGAGGTCCAGTACAACGATTTCGGCAAGGCGTCTGGAAGGGCTGTTATCAGGTTCCAGGACGAGGAGAGTGCTGCTTCTGCCATTGCCAAGTTGGACAACTACGAGTACGGTAGACGCAATCTCAAGATCACCTATGCTCGCAGACCCGAGTCAAGTGCTCCAGCCCAGACCGAAAGTGTTGCCGAGGCTGCTCCTGAGGCTGCCGAGACTACTGAGGCTGCGCCAACTGAGGATGATATCGAGCTAGAAGCTTAGACTGTATCTAGACATATGACAGGTTAGGTTCAAATGGTCGATGGAAAAGTTTATGAAGTCTTTGAGAATGGTGTAGGCAGTTTCTTTCGCCTCTTAAGCCATCTCATCCTCTACTTCTCTCTCCTACCCATTGCTTTGTAATTTTAGTCAGAAAGACAGAAAAGCTCGTGTTTTTGTTTCTAGCTTGGAAATCCCCGTAGTTTATGAATATTGATATGTCTTAATCACTGCATGGTTTCTTCCCTGGTTAACCCAACCACCTTTTGTATGTTACACTGTCGCACCCGAAACTCCATCTGTGATGAACGCAAGAAACCTTTCACCATAATCAATGGGCGGGATTGCGCTTATGGTATCCTTTTTGTGCCCGATGGAACGAAATATCGTCTCCAGTCTCTTGATCCATGAGTAATGCGTAAGGCAATCGATGATGCCGACATAGTAGACGAACGGCTCATGTTCATCCTGTTCGTTGGTGGCTACAATTCCACCTTCTTCTTCTAATGCTGCCACATCCTCGGCCGTGAGCATTCTCCGGTTATCACTGAGATTCACAAGCGGCTCCGTTTCCGCAGCTGCAGCATCCAGGCTATGGATTCCCACCAATAGCGAGTAATCCATAATCCTCAAACGCTCCAGAAAACGGACATCTTTCCGCAGCTGAGTCAGGAACGTCTTTCGCTTGGTTGGGCCAAGCAAAAGTTTCTCGTTCTGGTCAAGCCAGTTCACATCCTTCATCACTATGTTAGTCTTACCCTGCGCCAGAGCTCGAGGAACATCCATGACCCTTCCGTAAGTTGAACCTTTCAAATCAAATTGCTTGTGCATCTTTAGAAACGGAGGGAAGATATTATTCATCACTAGAAAGTGGACTTTGTGTACCTTTGCGTCTCTTCCCCAAGGCATCTTCAACCGGTGTAATCCGTATATCTGGGATATCAGTGTGTTCGGATTGTCCCGAACATATGCATGATACTCGCGCAATGCCGTGCGGAGCTGTCTGTGCTCGCTGTGGTGGATAGTCTTGATAATGAATTTGAAATCGCGCGAGTAGTAGAAGAAAGAGCCACTTTTCCCGGGAGAACCCTGCTCTGAAAGAATATATTTTGCAGTTAGAGACACAAGGTAGTCTGCAGCATCAAGCTTGAATAACCTCCGTAAATCTCTGAACACCTCAGGAGCGTAATCTTTGAATTTGAAGTCGTATTTCGACGAAGGTGTAATTTCAGAACCACTAAGGTCAAAAGCGAGCTTTTTGGTAGCAGTGAAATCGGCATCTGTTAATCTGTGCGGAACCTGAGCACACCGCGAAACGGCGACACGGATTCCCGTAAGCATGTCATAGGCCATGACATAATTCGCATGGCCTTCACTGACTCTCTGGCCTACCAACACCCTTTCTCCGTCTTGAAGCTCTTTCATGCGTCTCTTGTTCTCACGCTTTGCCTTTTCAGAATCTCTCATTCGCTTCAGCTCGTCGCTGATATCCGGATCTTCTGAAATGAAGTCTCCGTTCACCACTGAAACCCTCTTAGGGTTGGCAGCAGAGGAGCCTCTGTCCAGTGACGGCCTCGCCAACACTTTCACTTCTTGAGAAAGTCGCGCGTGTTCAGAAACAGTCACACTTGGGTGTGACTGTCTTCTTTCTAGCTCTGGTACGGATTTGCGGTTTTCATTGGGTGTCTTCGAGCTGTGTCGCCTTATGAAGCCCGGTAATTGGCTGATAACAGCTGACGGCTGCACATCTTTGGGATCCATGATCTCAGCTCCCTCGTCCGGGGTTTGTGTGGCTTCTGTTCCGTTGGCCGCCTGCCTTTCGCTTCGTTCAGCAGTCGGCCTGGCTTCTGCCATCGATCGATAATTCTTGATTTTGTCAATGTTTGAGTATATGGGGCCTGTTTTCGGGATCACAACTCCAATATCAGTTATTCTCTCACCTGCATAATCCGCAGTGCTTCGCTGGGGATCCAGAGTCTGCTCCACAGTCATAACAACCGCCATTTATACGGCAACCCCGGCCAAACCTGGGTGAGTGCTGTGAAATTTGGCCCGGTAGCGGTAATTGCCCGGATTTCACGGTCTTGTATTCAAATAAAGAATTGCTTGAATTTGCGGCTATTTTGAAAAGCTCACAATGTTTGCAGCCTTGTAACGCTGTGAAGTGATGTTTGAGTTGTTTAGGCTTGACAGAAGATCGACACCAGTGGCTCGCACCAACTGTTAAGAACTCTTGGAAAGCAAGCTAATAAACACACTTAGGCGCAATGGGGCGGCTGTTGTAAATGTATTCCAAGCGAACAAACCCGGTGATTGGGCAGTAGAAAGGGGTTATTCGATGGTGGTAGTAAGGTTTGGTCTCAGAAAGCGTAGCGCCCGTTAATATGGGCTCTTAACCTTCCCAAGAGGACAATTTTTGGTAGTGCGTGTGCTGAAAATTGGAGGATCAACATGTGACAGGAGATAAGCGTGAAAATGCAGGTGGGTTAATTCAGGATGGATAGGGAGAATATCTTACGGCTGGTCTCATAGAAAATATAACTGGGACATAGTCTTCCACGCTTTTCAACGTATTTTGGTACCGTTCAGTGGCCGCACTATGCCCTTCACTATGTGCTATATACTCTGTGCTATTCTGTATGCACTCTCTAAACTCTCTGCTCGCTTCAGTATGCATACTAATATTCTGGATCCGTTTATATAAACATCTCAACTGTGTTGACGTTTTGCTTCTCGTCTTAACACCCTTATTTTTTCAAGTATTCCTCGTAACCAATAGTCTCGAGTCTCTCTGCCTTTTCCAAGACCTCATCCTCCATATTGGACATGTATGCACTCATCTTGTCGAGCCAATGTCCGTCAACAGCCCCCAAAATGCGGATTGCCAAAAGGGCCGCATTGGTAGCGTTGTTAATGGCCACAGTAGCCACCGGAATCCCGCGTGGCATCTGCACAATCGAGTGGAGTGAGTCTACACCATCAAGAACAGAGCCCTTGACGGGAACACCAATCACCGGCAACGGAGTCATGGCAGCAACCATTCCTGGAAGATGAGCCGCTCCTCCTGCTCCAGCAATAATACACTTGAGTCCTCTTTTAGGAGCATCCATTGCATACTTGGTCATGCGTTGAGGAGTTCTGTGTGCAGAGACAATGGTCACTTCGAAGGGAACACCAAATTGTTTCAAGATGTTACATCCAAGTGACATCACAGGCAAGTCTGAGTCGGAACCCATAATCACGCCCACCAAAGGCTTTTCTTTCGTGGCAGCCTCCTCGCCAACAACTGTTGCTGCTTTGCCCTCGATATACGCCAGTCTTCTCTCGCAATCCTCCATGCTCGAAGAAACAATGTTGATGTGGCCCATCTTTCTACCTGGT